GTTGTGTGCGATCTTAATCGACCGAGCGCACAGAGCATTGTCACTGAGAAGAGAAAAGGAACTTTGAGTTGTAAGGTCTGGCAACGTTCCCAAATCTGAAAATGCAAATGTCAGCACCGATGCGCACCAATTTCCAGTCTTTAACTTAGCAGAACCTTCAAGCTTGTCACTGCACGCACTGCAGTTCGGCGACTGTGGCCGTGGCGACCGGCTCGTGGGATCGTGGTCGTCAACGCGTCAACGCCTGATTAAGGCTGACATTCGATTTACTTTTGTGCACTTTGGCGTCCACATTCCACCATGTGCGATATGGGCCGCATACAAAAAGCAAAGTTCTTCAATAACAAACAATCTACAGTCAACAAATGCGCCAAACCATCCCTAGCTAGCCCATGGGCTCGTCGAGAATCTCGAGGTCGTCCGAGGCTTCACCCCCTGTCGAGCCTGACTCTCCGCCGCCCTCCCCGAGCTCAGCGTCATCTTCTTCCTCAGCCTCCTGCTCCGATCGTGAGCCCAAAAGTTCTTCCATTCGTCTTTCATACACATCATCGCGGTCTCGCTCGGCCTGCTCCGCGGCTGGATCGGGGGTCAGGCCAAGTTCCCTTCGGAATGCGTCGAGGTCGATGGTTGTGTGGCGCACGTCCACGGCAGAAGGACCTGATGAGCGGCGGCTCGACTCAGCGACGAGGCTCTGCATTTGAGTATTATTCAGCGTCGAAAGGCGGCGACCGAAATGACGTGGACTACCGCGCGAACGGCGCGACACCTGTTTCGGCCGTCCGGCGAAAAGTCCCCCGATCAAACCGAATGCCGAGGGCCGCGATTCATGAACTGCGGGTGAACGCGTTCTGAACCAGACAACCGAGAGATCATCGCGCTCGGCGAGCCGATCCAGACGCTCTTTGAACGAAATCTGTCGGCGTTGAAGCACATGCCACACCGCCGTGCCAACCTCGCCCGCGCCATCAGTTCCGAGAAGTTTCCTAGCTGCTTCGATCGTTTCTTCGGGAACTAATAGAAGGGGCGACGTAAGGTACAGCACCATCACAAAGAAAGAGTGTGTCCATCTCACCTTTGTCCTCTGCCCATGCCTGAGATACCCTAACAAAGCGAGTGTCCTCATCTTCGAGCCACGCGAGTAGTTGTCGAACCTCAGCTCTGATTCGAAGAATCTCTTCTTCCGCCCTGGCTTTGAGTAGAACCGCCTTGATCCCTTTCTGAACGTCGGTATCGATCGCCCAAGGCGCAGTGTCGTGTTCGAAAAAACCGTCTTGCCAGAAAGCGTCCGTTGGCGACAGAGTCACAAGCGACTTTATCGTGGTAGCGAGCGGCAAGTTGTCCAGAATCTTGGCCGATTGCTCGGTCGCAGCATTTCGGTAATCCCCGACCGCTTTATTGTACATATCGATTGCCACTTTTCCTTCTTGCTGTGCGTCTGTGAGACGCTGACAAGCTTGCTGGCTTCGACTTGACCGATTGTCGCGCCGCTTCGTCCCCGACCCATGGAGTCAATTCGTTCTTGACAGCATTGCAATTGGACCGTCGCTTTGTGTAATGCGCGAAGTTTGACTACGCAGTTGCACAAATGCTGGAAATCTAGGTATGTCATGGGACATCAAATATCAGGTGGCGGTACTCATAAAGATAGGACGCGCGCCGCACCTGAAGCTGCAAGTTCCTTCGTACGATTGTATTCTTGTTGATAAGCTCTTAGCTGTTGCTGCAAGCGAGCCTTCGCTTCATCGGAAGCCATTGGATCGAATCTGAACACACAATGCCAAGACACAGTGTCAATTTTACGCCCTTGTCCTCCAATGGGGCTTGACGCGCCGAACGTACAGCCTTTCTTCCACCTGGTGTAGCTTCTGTACAATGTTGAAAAGCTCGAATCGCTCCTTGTCCTCATTCTCCCGACGTTGACTCGCCGTTGTGGCCGCTTGAGCAGCTCGCTGTAAATCCCATTGCGCGAGAAGGTCAGACTCGGACCATATTGCCGAAACGTCGCTCAGATCAGTTTGTGCCCTTCCAAGCTGATCTTGAGCATTCGACAGTCGTCTGCGGAGCCAACGGCCTAGAATGGACGATGAATGAAGGGACCGCATGATTGAGTAACGAACACGGCGTGAAAGTGTGGATGGCAGAGCATACCGAGGCTATCAACACCGTTCTTGTTCATCAGGTCGATGCGACGCGAGATGTTGACGCGCCGGTGAGAAGCGCTCGCAGGACGATTGATCGGGATGAGCGATCGGAGCTGACTCCAAACGCGTTCGCATCCCTCCCCATCCGTCAACCCAAAGTGCTGAATCAGGCGCGGGTTGTACTCGAGCTGGCAGGGCCATTGATGAGCAAAAGCATGAAACACGCTCGTGGCAAACTTCAATCTCGGAAACAAATCGGGAAGGATACCTCTCTGCGGGCGATCGAAGTACAGTGAAGGTCAGCGGCGCCCCAGGGCCAGAAATCTAAGAAACGACGGATCCGCCACTCTTGCTGACCGATTGCATGTAGCCGTCCAAATTACACGCAACATCATACAGCACTCCGAATGTATCGTCGGACGGGAGTTGGTTCGAAATATGTTGCAGCAGCGATAAGCCGTAGTAGCGCCTGCCTCATCAAAAACGAGCGTCAGGCCTTGTAAGCGGGTGAGAGAGGAGCTGAGCTGACGAACTTTTCACCTGATTGATACAAGTTGACCATCTTCAACGCGATATCGTGACGGCAGACACAGGCAACTAGGCCCGTATCGGACTTGCCCCGCGAGATTTGTGTCGCACCGCCGTTGGCCGCTTTCCACGAATCAGCACAAGCCTTCAAGACGCAAGAGGAAAGGCGTCAGCGCGTTGAAAGGATCGCAGGGGGCGGCTCGGATCAGCGGACCTTTTCTGACTTCTTGCTGTCGCCACCATCACAGATCTCCTTCATCGATTCGAGCTCATCTTCGCCGAGGAAGAGGGCTGGCGTCGACTCCTGAGGATCGTATTTGGCTGAGGTGTCGCGAGAATGTTGGAAGTTGCCATCCAGAGCGACAAGATGCTGCACTTCGACTCTATGGTGGGCTTGGTTCAGACGCGTCGATCCGTAGCATGCTGGACACTTGTCCGAGAGAGAATCCGCGACACCGAGGACGAGGTCGCCCAATTCTCGCTCGGATGTCGTGAGAGCCCGAAATTCGTCAAGGGCGCGCTGGAGTTGCTTTCGCAACTCCTTGTCCTGCGCAAACGATGATAAACATCAGATAATGCTCAATAGCAATCATGACAGGAGGTCGAACTCACGAATTTATGCTGACTCAGGCCCGGCCGACCCCATCCAGTTTGCTCATAGAAAATGTCGAGCCCGCGAGCTGCTCCATCGACAGGAAACGGCGCGGTGCTCCACCAGGAGTCGAAAAATTGGAGAAGTCGAAAGGTGAATGCAGAGCGAAGAGCAGCTGCGGTCGATCCGATTAATCCGATCTGAGCAAGGCGCTCGGCGTACGTAAGGCATGGGCTATCGCTGCTGGATCTCGGACAAAAAGCGATCGGCACCTCGACCACTGCATTGATTCAACCATTCGACCTTGTCAGCGCAACGTTCGACACAGCGACCCAATTCGCCTGATTCACATACAGCTTATGAGGTCGTACACGTCAAGCCGTAACGTGAGGGGACTCTTGCATGAACAAGGCGGCGGCACTTCGCTAGCGACCGAACCCTGGCACAGCTCCTCGTCCACGTCAATCAAGGGCCGTAGATGACCTTTGACCCCAGCGCAAAACGCGATGTACTGGCGCAGAAGCGCTGGCCGTTCCAAGCGCCTAAGGCGAGCGTCGTTGAACACGAATTGCTTGTACGTTCCTTGCTTCGACTGACCACGTGTGGCTGATTCGAAACTTTCGACTTGGCGCAGGTCAGCCAGTGATAATCGCTCGGCGATTGCACTATAGTCAGGCGAGATTGGGAAATGGGATGTTCGATCCGGAGAGTATGGGGCTGGATCGAAGTCGTGTTCGAAGCCACCACCGTACTCGCTGTAACGCTCTTCATCCCAATCCATCCCACTCGGGTTGGCGGCGTCACTCGCGGCTTCGTCGGAATCGGCCTGAATTGGAAGGGCCATTGGACGCTGAGGAGACGGCGAGCTAGCTTCGCCAAAATCATCGAAGGTTCCTTGCTGGATTTGGCGGGCAGTGTAAGTAACACGGTGCCGGGTTCCGGGGATGTTGGTGCGGAGTCGGGCGTCCGATCGGAGGCCTTGAGGCCTATAGGAAGGATGCTCCTCAAAGTAGTCCAGACGGACCTTGAAAGGTCTCCATCGATGCCTGCCCATCGTCGATGTGAATTGCGTAGCTTCGAGATTTAGGAAGGGTGTCTCGATAGTTGATGCTCTGGTTAGAACTGAGGCGGGTCTCACTTGGCGCTGAGCGGAAGCTAAAAGAGACAGGTCTGCGGGCATACTAGTCACTAAATGCTCAATCTCATTAGCAAGTTAATCTTGGCCTGGCGCCAGAGGCCAACCCGGGTTGCAGGGGGGGGCAACCTGTATGGGTACGCCGCTTAAGAGCGGCGCTGGGAGGGGCGCCGCGCGCGCCACTTTTTGGTGTGCTTAGAAATATAGCCAGAGGTGCCTGGCTGGCCCTGGCTGGCCCAAGCTGGCCCAAGCGCTCACTCAGCAACGACCCGTTCCTCCTCTTGATCTCGACCTCCACCGTCTGACGTCTGACCGCGCCGAGCCAGCACTTTCGCTCCCTCGATCGCAAACAGTGTCCGATCTCCCCAGTCGTCCCATCTACTCCATCTACTCCGCGCGGTGACAGCGACTGCAACGTGACGACTCGCGCCGACCCGCTTGCTCGGACACTCGAGCCGATCAACTTCGACGCCGTCCCGATCCTCGTGCGACCTACGCCTCACGCGCACTCACTGCGTGTGGGCACACCAGATTCCACACTTAGGGACAAGGGCTCGACGAGCGAGTTGACCATCCGACCGACCGAGCGCGACGAGGACCGACCATGTTTGGAGGAACGAGCAGCTTTGGCGGCTTTGGCCAGCAGCAACAGAACCAGCAGCAACAGCAATCTCAGCAGCAGCAGCAGCAGCAGCAACAGCAGCCCGGTGGACTCTTCGGTAACACGGCTAGCACATTTGGTTCGGGTGAGGCTGGCCAGACTTGGCCCTAGATCGATGCCGCGTGACTGGTGCGACCTTTCGCGTTGATCGACGATGGGCTGCATCCACGCTCTCGCAGTCTACCCCTTATGTCCAATCTTGCTGATGTATCCTTGCCCTTTACTCTGTTTCTCCCCATGTTCACACACCCGCACCACTCTGGGCGAGTTCAGCTTTCGGTCAACCGCAACAAGCGAATGGCGCCTTTGGCCAGCCAGCCGCCGCGACCCCGAGCTTTGGTACGTTCGCTCTCGCACCTCCAACTGCGGTTCCGCAACGCTGCACTGACTGTGCAAAGTCCCATCCGGGCGAACATATGTAGGCGGCGGGTTCGGCGCGGGCAACACGACAACGCCGGCGTTCGGTCAAGCAGCATCGACCTCAGCCTTCGGTGCGCAGCCCACCGGGGGCCTCTTTGGTACACCGGCAACCCCGGCTGCCAACACGGGCTTCTCGTTCGGTGCGCGATGGGTCGTGTTTGCGCATACGAATTGAGAGAATCGTTCCGCTGATGCCCCTAGAAGGAATGCCTGCAGGCGGAGGTTCGACCGGCTTTGGCGCCCCAACGACGTCCGCGGCCCCAGCATCTGGCGGTCTGTTCGGGGCACCCAAGCCCGCTGCATCGACATTCGGCGGCTTTGCTGCAGCGGGTCAACAGCAGCAACAACAACCGGCGCCAGGAGGAGGTCTCTTCGGGAGTAAGTCGGATCTAGAGACTGAGCGGCCGCACCGCGTTCGCACGTCGAGACGGAAGTCACCGCTGACACCCAGTACCTTGGTCGATCGTGCAGGTGCCGCCGGAGGCTTCGGTCAACAAGTCCAGATTGCACCTGGTTCGGGGACCGCTGCGGTACAATACCAGCCGACGACGGTGATGGAACCGCCAAAAGAAGAAGGCAAACCGGATCCACCAAACCAGACGCCGCACCAGTTTCAAAGCATTTGTTGCATGCCCCCATACTCCAATTACTCGTTCGAGGAGCTGCGCCTACAGGACTATCAAGCGAACCGCAAGACTCCGACGGCTTCGACCTCGGCCCCGTCCTTTGGGGGAGCGTTCGGGCAAACCACGGCCACGCCAGCGTTCGGTGCGGCGCCGGCACAGGGCGGAGGGCTCTTCGGCTCGACGACACCTGGCTTCGGTGCTGCGCAGCCTGCGACCAATGCGTTCGGTCAATCCCAGCCGCAGCAACAGGGTGGGGGTCTGTTCGGTGCTGCCGGCACGAGTGCGTTCGGACAGCCGGCGCAACAATCGGGAGGTCTTTTTGGCGGCGCCACGAGTCAGCCGGCGCAGACCGGGGGGCTGTTTGGTTCGACCAGCACCGCCGGAACGACGGGAGGGCTCTTTGGGCAACCTCAGCAGCAGCAACAGCAGCAACAAGCCCAGCCGAGCTTTGGGGGCTTCGGGCAGGCCGCCGCCAAGCCGGCCAATACTGGGTTTTCGTTCGGTGCGACTTCCACCGCTCCCGCTAGTGGAGGACTCTTTGGCCAGACGCAGCAACAGCCGCAGCAGGCGGGTGGCTTGTTTGGGCAACCGCAACAGCAAGCGGGAGCAACGGGCGGTCTCTTTGGGCAACCAGCGCAGAACGCCGGTGCGACGGGGGGCTTCAACTTTGGAGGTGAGTTTTTGCACGGACTCGATCGGATCGCGTGGCGTTTGGTGCCGGAGCACAGATATGCGTCAACAAGGCGTCGCAGTGTGCGGAACGGGAACACTGACGTTATCGTGCGAGTGTACAACGTATTCCAGGTACCTCTTCTGCGGCTAAGCCCCTGTTTGGCTCGGCCCCCACAGCATCTTCCGCCCCCGCTTTCGGGACCTCGACCGCGGCGAGCGCCCCAAAGCCCGCCTTCAGCTTTGGTGCAGCGCCGGCCGCGGGCGGTAGCCTTTTCGGGACCCCTGCTCAGCAGCAGCAGCAGCAACCTGCTACCAACGGTGAGCCCATTATCGGTTCAATCGTATTCGCCGGGCTCGGTCTCAGCACACTGACCGTTCTGACTTTTTGGCTCAATCACAGCCTTTGGGGCCACACCGTCGTCGGGAGGAGGCCTCTTTGGCGGAGGGGGGAACACCTTTGGACAGCCCGCTGCAACACAACAGCAACAGAACACTTCGTCCTTGTTCGGATCGGGTTCGGGAAGTCTATTTGGTGCACCGAAACCCGCGGCCCCCACAACCGGGGGTGGCTTGTTCGGCGGAGGGTCGTCGACGACGTCAAGCTTGTTCGGTGCCTCCCAGCCGCAACAGCAGCAGCAATTCCAGCAGCCTCAGCAACAACAACCGGGATCGCTGTTTGGCTCGACGATGCTCGGCGGCTCGTCCGGGTTCGGACAGTCGACCGCGCCCCAGCAAGCGCAGCAACCGACGGCATATGCCACGGCCGACGACGTGAACGCGTACGGCGCCAATCCGTTGTTCCAAGGCTCGGCATCGCGCACCGGCGCCCCTACTGTCGAGGAGAAGAAGAAGCCCATTTTCACGTCCTTCCGCGGCACCCCCGTGAACCGCTCGGCGACCAAGATCACTCGTTTGCGTGGCTTTGGCGGATCGAGTTTGGTGTCGAAGTCCGCCGGTAATGGCTCCCCGCTCTCGTTCGGGTCGAGCATCGGGCCAAACGGATCGGGATCGCCTTCGGTCGGCGCAACACCCGGTTCGCCGGCGGGCGGTCGATCATCGCCTCTACGACTCGTCAATGGGATTGGTGACGATGCTGCGCTGAGCCCGAACGCGTTCGTGACGCGGCAATCGTTCAAGAAACTCGTCATCGCGCCGAAGCACCTCAATGGTGGCCTCGCCACGGGCTCTCCCGCGCCTGCGGGCTTCAATGGCTCTGTTGCTTCGAAGAATGGTGGGACCCGACCCAAGGTTTCGTTCGACCCGGCCGTGGAGACTTCGTCACGGGAGCGCGGACAGCTGGCCGAATCGACTTCCTCCGCGGCCAATGAGTCGAGCTTTGCCGGCTTCGAGGCGACCCCGAGCAAAAAGAGCGGCACCAACAGCGGGAGCAGCTTGACCGACGACTCGTTCGCCGCCCAGGTGTCGACGACTCCAGCCGGATGGCCTCCGCGCCGTTCCCCCGCGAGCGCTGCTTCGACGCCGACCAAGGTCGGTGCGTATTACACCGTTCCCTCCCTCGATGCGCTCAAGAAGCTCCCTGCGGCGTCACTTCGCGCCGTTCCGGACCTCGTCGTCGGCCGCGTCGGCTACGGCCGCGTCGCGTTCAAGGCACCCGTCGATCTGACCACGCTGCCGTCCCTCGACGATCTCCTTGGCAGCATCGTCGTCTTCGAGGACCGCAATTGCTCCGTCTACCCGAACGACTATGATGACGACAAGCCCGAAGTTGGGCAAGGTCTGAATGTGCCCGCGACCATCACGTTGGAGAAGTGCTGGCCGCTCGACAAGGCGACGCGCAACCCGATCAAGGACCCCAAGCACCCCAAGTTGTCGCAGCATATCAAACGCCTGCGCGGGCTCGAGGGAACCCGCTACATTGACTTTTCTCCAGAGGACGGCGTGTGGAAGTTTGCGGTCGAATCATTTTGATGTCGTACGGCTCGTGTCAGGAAACTTTGGAGTGACTGGTCCTTTTGGGTAGAATGACTGCTTGTGTATGATCTATCAGAACGAAATCCGACCGCTTGCGCAGAGGAAACAGATGGGAGGAAGCGACCTTCTGAATTCCCACACGCCCACTTATGACGCCGAAGCTGGGCGCCCCAATTCAGAGGTCGGCAGAGGTCGGCGATGGTCACGGCCTGCCGTGTTGTCGCGACGCGTTGTGACGTGTGCGGGGTTGGGCTCCACTTCCGGATATCACGCACACGCCCTCTTGCCTCCTTTCTTTTGCTCGCCCCACTTCCCAAAAAGAATGCCAATCCTACGACGACCAATGCGCCGCTCGCTCGTACATGAGCTACAGACACGAGGCAGTCTGTACCTCGGTCTCTTACATTTCTCGGTGCTGCGTCGTGTGCGAACGCCGGTGCTTCTGTTCACGCTCTACGCGGGCGCGATACACGTGTTGCTGCTGTGTAGGTCCTTATCGGTTCTGCTTCCCCTCGTTTTGGAGTCGTCTTCTTGATGTTGCTTGTGTATCCGAATTGTTGCGAGTTGTATCCGGCTATGGAAGGCATACTGATCGGCATCTCAGCCTTCGCGACCGTGTCCTACAGCGTACGAGATGCCCAGATTCACTTCGGGCGCTTCCTCGGTGGTCGCAACTCTGAATTTGGTCTTGGCGTTGCTCGTCTCGTTCCGATCTTCCTCGAGCTACGATCGGTGGTACGAAGGTAGGAGACAATGGGCATCGCTCCAATCCACCTCGCGCACGATCCTCCGCTTGTTTTATTTTTCGCTGCCCCCACCGGCCGCGTCGCCGACGGGCTCGGCAATCATGGTCCAGCAGCACTCCAAGGTAGTGAACGAGCTGTGTGCTCTCGTGTGTGCATTCGCATACGCGACGATGTACCATCTTCGGGACGAGCCGGGTGTCGACCATCCCGAGTTGCAGCGCCTCATTCCGCCGAGTTTGCTCCGCGCCTACAAGGAGACGCCGCGACAACTCCGGCGTGACCCTTCCATCGATGGGTCCAATGTCCACCACTCGACCGCCTCGGAGACGACAAGGGCCCTCGAAGGACTCAACACCGTTCCCGATCCGGCGGACGCTCTTCCCTTCGCCCTGCTCTCTGGAGCGCCCTCGAACTTGCCTGTGAGTGCAGCGCATCGAATTGTCGAACACCCTACGGGCCGTCTTGGCTGAGCTCGGGCCACCTCATCGTGATTCCTTCGAGCAGCTTTCCTTGATTCGGGCCATCCATGGGTACCTCAACGCGGTCCATGCGACACCCATGGCTTCAGCAGGCTCTCCGAACCCGCAGACCCCCGCAGTCGATGGGCCGACCTACGCTAACGGGCTGAATGCGATTCGTGATTTCTCGGACCAACTCACTGCGCTCGAGAGGATCCGCGACACGCCGATTCCCCTCGTCCTCGAGATCCAGCTCCAGTTCTTGCTTCTCGTCTACGTCGCGGCTGTGCCTTTGCAGTGCGCCAAGTTGGGTATTTGGTCGATACCCGTCACTGCGGTGGCGGCGGCGGTCTTTTACGGCGTTGATCGTGCCGCTGAAGAATTGAGCGATCCCTTTGGCATAGAGCGTGAGTCCTCACGAGTTCACTGAGATTGATCCACTACGGATCCAATCCTAATAGCTGACGGAGCTTCGCTGTCTCGTACCGCCAGCCAACGACTTGCCGCTCGCGAAACTATGCGCCGGCATCCATCGCGAGTACATCGAACTGGTAGGAGCGGGCACCCTCTCCGGCAGCTATGGGAACGAGTGGGTGCCCTCGTTGTCTCGCAAAGAGAGCTAGAGAGCCAAGCTCTGGACCCGCCTCTCCTTCAATCTGGTTGGCTATGACCATATGCTTGCCCACAATTTGGTCCATCTGGCGCGTTTTGGACGACAGAGCTATCTCCGTAGGGGCCGGCAGAACACGTAGACCAGTCTCATCACGCGTTTCCCTTTGGGCTCAGCTCCGAAATTTGCCTAGTTGGCCGATCTGATCCCAGGGGAATCGAATGTGGTATCTTATCAGTGTGGTCTGTCTTTCCGGACGTTGATTTGGTATGCCACAGTTGCTGTGCCGGTAGCGTGGCTCCGCTCTGTGAGGCTGCCACCACTCGAATTGTAGGAACCGCCTCGAGGTCACTTCCGCAAATCGGTGCTCACTGATTACCTACCTTGCTATCGTAGCTTCGACGGATCAAAGACGGAAAATTTCTGCGCTAGTGCACTAGCGTCCGATCTCAAGGGTGCTCGCCTTCTCCGGTTGGCAAAGTGCGGCCCGTGCCGCCGTGAGCAAGGCAGGGTGAGACCTGTAACGAAAGGACCGCGGAAAACCTCAGCCCAATGTGCTCGGAGACGTTTGTACTTTTCGGGCCCACTTGTGCCTTATCACATGCTACATGAGGCGCTTTTTGATGGTAGAGGCGTTTTTAAAGGGGCCCGATAATTTGCTTGACACCAGAATACATAAAACCCTTGTATATGAATTTCCGGTATACAAATCGGCCCAATAGCGGGGTTTTCCGAGAGGGGGCTTAGCTGTCCCGGATCCTCTAACGAAACCCCGTCCGGAGTAGGCTCACGTAGGAACTCGTCGAGTTCACTCCTTCCCTTCTCGTCCCACTTTCGCCGACCTTGGGGTTCATCACATCCACCACGTTCCCCAGTGCCATCAAAATGAAGCGCGTCAAGTCGCTCTCCTACTCCAGTCACTTCTCGCCATTCCACCGCCAGGATGCGAAACCCGCAACGCCGCCGCTGCCTACCACGCCATCTCTGCCACCGCAACCACCGCTCAAAGTGTCGAGTTCTCTGTTGGATTTGCGGTCCTTGTCCAAACGGCCTGGTAATCTCCTACGACGGTTCAAGAGTCGCGACGATGAGCTGTTCGGGTGTGCGGGGGAAATGCCCGACCTCGATGATGCGCCAATGGCGGCCCGTGATTCAGCTGCCGGACAGGGGCCGGCGTTCGACGAGGTAAGGTCGCCTCCTGAGCGTTACAGGCGACGTGGAACGGGTCCGAGCCCAACGCTGACTCTGATTGCTCCCTGCTACCATTCCTCGAATCCTTTACACCGCGAAGCTTCCTTCACCTCCTCCTCAGTTCTGGCAAGGTACTTCGCATTCACCCACGACATCGACATCATCAAGCTTGGAGCCCCTGTCGCCACCTCCTTATTGCCCGCCGCCTCGCGTCACCTCGCTGCAATCGCGAAAGTCGCTTCGAGCACTCGAGCGTCAACGCGAAGAGGAAGCCGCCGCCAACGCTTGCATCACCTACATTGCCGCCCATGCCTCGCTTCCATCTCTGTCACGACCTCTTCCGGGTCCGGGGCCGCTGTCCCTCGATATGAACGCCGTCGCGAGCTACCGGCGTTATCGCGCAAGTAGTTGCGCCAGCAGTGCCTTTACGAGCCGGAGCCAAACAAGTTCTCGGCCCAGTACGAACGATTCGCTCCCTTCGTATCGTTCGACCGTCGGCTCCGTCGCGAGCGATTCGCCCTCGAGTGAGCGCATCACCTTCGCCGCCGGGTCGGCACCGGGTCCGACGTGCGCCGCACGCACTAGTGTCAGTACGCGCCAACCCGGGGGATCAATATCCGCTACCGTTCCCCAGGCGTTCACGACACCTTTGAGCTCGGAGGCGATCACCAGGCCCGGACCTTATGATTTCATCTAGGTACGGTCTCCGTCCTGGCCGTCTCAATCACCCACGTGACCCACTGCTCAGACAAAAAAAGAATCGAGCACTGTTCGTGCACCGTTTCCCAAGTTCAAGTTATGTATAGGCTCCCGTTCCACCAGCACCACACCGTTGTATGCACTTCTAGATGTTTGCGAGCAATGCTCTCTTCAGTGCCCTTTCGTGCATCCGCCGTTCTTTACGCTGCCACAATGTGCGCAGGAGCCTCACCGCATATGCAAATTACCAATCAACGTACCGCGGGGCGGCGACGACTCCCTGAACCTCCAGTGTGATCAAGTGCTCTCGGCCTCAAGCTCGTGACGTCCGAGGCGCTTGCGACCCAGGGCATGTCCAAGTTGCGATCCTTGTTTTCTGAACATGCGGCAACGGTGTGGAACTTGGTAAACGGTGAACGGCGGGCAGATTCAGACAAGGTTGGCTTCCGGAATACCGGAAAGTGTCATTCTTTATTTCGCATGGACGGCATAAATCTGTGCGACATCGGCCGCTGGAAGAACAGCGCGCTCGGCGTCGTTGAGATCATAGAACGTAAGGGTGTTGGGCTCCATGGTCGTGTGAAGTGAACGAGGAAACGCAAGGTCGGGTAGGGATCTGAGGAGATAGTGGTCTGACAGGATGGTGTGCAAGAAGGAAAGAGGCGGAAACGTGCTTATGTGAGGGCAGCTAGGTGTGTCGAGCGGTAATTCGGAGCCGGCAAAGTGGTCGGGCCGAGGACGGACCGGGACGGGACCAAGACGGCGAAGCGCGGAGCATCGTTGAAATTTTGCCGCTAGGAGTGTCGACCAGTCGGCCTGCGTGCCGAACCTGCGAATACGGGCTACCTCACGCCGGCAAACTAGCGCGGCCTTTGGTGCTTGAGCGTAATCGATATCAGTAACACGAACATGCGGACAACACAGGAGGTAATGTGATTTTACACCCCGGCTTCAGATCTTTTTTCTTGGGACGTACTGCCCACGCCACATTGTCGAGGCGCTGTGTGGGAGGCAGTGTGAGAAAGTACCTGAAATTCGCAAGACTGTCGGTACCAAGTTCACATGTAAGCTCGGTGGAGGGGCGAAAGGAGTCAGCTCACCACATAATGCTTAGGAGAAAGTCGCCGAACGCCGACTTGAGCGCCGGTACGACCCTCCCAGATGTCGCCGGCGTTTCGTGTTCCGAAGTCGGCGAATTGTTGTTCCGCCTAGCAGCCCGTGTACTACAGTTTACTTGGCCCCAATCTTCAGTCCGGCCCCCGATTCTCCTGTGAGGACCTATTATAGAACCTTGCTTGTAAATCTTTCCAATGAGGCCGCACATAGCTGCCGGAGCTGCCGCAGAAGCTTGACACAGAGTTCAATTGGGACTTAAGAGTCGACGCATTGCAATAGCCTGGCATCAGTGCAAAGGTCTAAGGGGAAGTATTGAATGCGTTAGTAGACCTTGCACTGATATCGGGGGCCGGATAGCTTAGAGGTCAAAGCTTTTCCGATTAATGGAAGCGACCCAGGTTCGACTCCTGGTCCAGCCGTTTCTCTTCTTTTGTTGATCATTTCGGAATCATCGTTGATTCTAACATCTCCAACCATGACGGGTACCCCCGAAGCAAGTTTTTCAAGGCTGCTTCACTTCCGCTTGCAGCGCCTCATCGTTCCGTTGCTTTACTCTCACTCTCTACCTAGTAATAAAAAAAAGAGTGTCGATCCGTGACCCATGTACCTAAAATCGCTGTTTTTGACTGTGTTGCCGCCCCGAGTACCGCCTATAGTGACTGTACCAGTATACCATTAAGTCTGCCGCACCTGCCTGTGGTATCGGCCTCCCGACCAAAAGTCATGTAATTTTCTGGACCATATAAGTCGAGCTACAGCCCGAGCACAATTTTTGATGTATTTTGGCGTGGTGCGGAACTGTCCAGCGATATATTTAGTATTTAATGTATAGCAAGCACCTGGGTTTCCATGACACTTCTTCTACAGAGCTCAGGCGGGGTCCCGCTGTCGTTGGCGCGCGGGCGCGGCTTACGCTGCGCGATGCACCGTCAGTCACGTGACGTGTTGTCTGCATCGCGACACCAGTTTCAGGGGCTCAACAACAACATGAGGTTCGAGGGGCTGTCGATAATCCCGCGCTACTCTTTTTATTTCCTTTTCCCTCCATGCACTGGGGCGCAACGACGAAGCATGAATAACAACCGTCTCGGGTTTCATTGCGCGAGTGTTTGAAGCCAAGTTGAACCGACTCTGCGACGACGTCTTGGGCAACAAGCAACGGGCGGTTGTCGTGCTCTTACGGCGATGAATTGTTCCTTTGCTGACCTTCGTATTGTGTTCTTTTTCCCCTGCTCAACCCAATTCTGCAATTTGAATTTCATCATTCCGGTGATTTTACGGGTTCCCACTGGTTTTCTTAATAAAACCAAGTCTTCACTCCTCCTCACTCGGGATAGCTGACGTATCGACCGGGAAGCGACGCCGATGAACTAAGGCACGCAACAATTTTTCCAAGGGTCTGACCCTGCACTTTATGGTCAGTTATAGCATAAGCTGGCTGGAAAGGCACCTTGCGTCGGGTAAAGCTAAGATTGGGCGCCCCCTTCGGAATGGCGAAGGTCTCCCTTTCCGCAACAATACGGATGAATGACCCCTTCCGGCAGCCCCTGGATTTGGATATTGGATATTTCGGGACGGCCCACGGTTCACCCGCACGAGCACGCACACAGCTACCTGTTCCTTTCGACAAAGGCTCAGAAAGGACCCCGTACACAGCGCCTGCAGATCGGTTAATACTTTCCAGTCGTTTGGCCAGATTTTTCGTGACTACGATCGGCATCCCCGCAACCAGTTACCAGAGGCAAGGTGCCCAAGCCCGGGGTCGTAGAAAGCCCCACATTCCAAAGTTGCGAAGCCTGCGCGGGCAAGTGCGTCCTCCCATGTTTCCTCGGAGCTCTTCAGGTCCTCCAAAGCTGTTGAACGGCTTGAACAAGATAAGAAGTGTGGGAATTTTGCAGGCAGGCGAGTATACCGCCTGAAATTGCCCCGTGCAGAATCGATCGGCGGCCATTAGCAGCCTGTTGGCGGTTGTCACCGAAGGCCGAGTTCAAGGCCCCGATGGCGCACGTGACATGTCGCCGTCTGCGAGGGGGTCTGGGGCTGTCTGGGGTGGCAGCCAAGCCCCCACCGCCATCCTTCGCCTCGGAGCGCACCCTTTGTTCTCTGAGAAAGCCTTCCTTGCGACGGTCTACCGTCACGACAGCTCCCCATCAGGCATGGCCACGCTCGAGAGGCCGCGGTATTCGGCGACAAACGATGGCAGCAACTCCACCAGTCCTCTCCAAGCTTCGTTCGACCCGTTCGCTGTACCACGAGCGCCGATCGCGGCCGACCTGGACCGCGAAGGCGCGCTGCGTTTCCCCACCGCATCGAGCGCCGACCGGTCACTTCTGCCCATGCACGGCCATGACGAGCTTGATCTCATCGAATTAGGGCAGGAACGACTTTTTTCTGGTGCTCGGACGGCGACTGCCACAACCAGCTTAGCTTTACCACCCCCACTGCCGCCGAAGGCGATCGGCCGTGGCGCACCGTTGCTGGGAACGCCTATCGCGGTGTCAGAGGTGAGTAATTGTAGCGGCTCTCGCGCAGCAAATGCCCTCACACTTATGTAATTTACACGCATATGAACACGATCCTTCCTGCAGGAGTCTTTTGGTCAACTCAGCGCCGCCAAGCTCGCGTTCCTGTCGGCACTGCAGGGCTTGCTCCAACCGCTTCTCCGTCCTCGCTCTGACGGGCTAACAACACCACAAGCGACGCAGCCGATGGACTCGATCCCCATCGCATCTACGTCAAGAGCAAACGCGCCTACCGATGTTTTCATCTTGTTAGCGCAAGACGCGACCGGACCGGGTTCGGGACTTTCCCCCCCTCAAGCCCTCACAGTGCCGGCCGCTCAGGCCGAAGACGAGCTGCTCGCCCACCTCATCAACGGCCTGAGGGTCCAGGCGATCGTACGTTCTCGGGAGGATGCCAACGTCGACGGTCAGAGTCATATTCTTTCCTCGACGGGCTCTTGTCTTCCCGAGACCGAGACCACGTCAACGCCCGTGAACCGTCTCGCCCGGGCCACTGAGTTACAGGCCTGGATCGATCGGCTCGCGCCAGCGCTTTCACCGACCGATGCCCAACTCGCTCACAACCTGGGCGCCCTGATTGTCAGCATCGAACGACTCGTTCACGTTGGCCACACCTTCGTTGCCCCAGTACCCCTACCTACCCAGCCCGCGCCCGGGCCAGCTTCCGCATCGGTGTCGTTGACGACGGACCGGGGAGCAGAGCTGTCGGCCTCGAGCGTCTACTCGGCGAACGTGTACCAGCGACTTGAACGCGAAGCCAAGGCGTTGCAGCAGAGCAAGAACGAGGGTTCGCCGCACGATGCTGCACACGCACTTTCGTCGGTCTTTGGAGCGGCAAGGGAGGTTGAGCGAGCCGAGCGGGACCTGCTGTGGGGTCGCATCGACGATCTATCCGAGCGGGTGCGAGCATTGTGTCGGGAAAGGGACGAAGCCGACGCAATATTTGCAGAGGATCAAAGTTTCATCTCGTGCGCCCGGGAGGGCCAATTTGCGCACATAAACGCTTATTCGTCACTACGGTCCTCGACCATGTTTGCCCTCTCGGTCGCGGGCGTCACCGGCGATCTCCCTTCGTACTCGCACGACCCGAGTCTCGTAGAGCTCGAGCATCCCCAATTGCCACCGTCCTACTTTGCTGATCACGTCGTCGACTGCAAGGTCGAGCGCAACAGCGAAGGCGAAGCCGCGCCGCTGACGCATCAAGCTTCGCACCGCAGCAACGAAAAAATGCAACGCGACCTCGATTCGGTCTCGCACGCGATCGAGCGCCTCTACGCCGTCTCGCCGCAACTCGCCAATCAACGCGTCGAGCCCGACAGGCGAGCCCTCCGGGAGCGGCAGCTCGCCAAACTGGGCAATGCGATCGAGCGTTTGTCCAAAGGCCGTCTGGACGACCAGCGCGCCGTGTCCATCCCCTCGGCGGACGAGGATCCCGGCGAAAAGGCCGCACGGAATCAGAGGATACAAGCAGTGATGCTCGATAAGCTCATCGATCAAATCAATAGGGCGGCCTCCCGCACGCTAACCGACCAACGGGTCGACGTCAACGGTGGCGAGCAGCGAGAAGTCGTCAAACCTTCTTCGCCCTTTGTCCCGTCGGATCTGAACGAGGCTGCACGAAGGGAATCCATCCTCCAGCACACTGGTAAAGGTCGACTTGCGTCGCAGGATGCGGTACTCCCGTCGCACTATCCGGTCGAGATTTTCCCCGGTCCTCCGCCCACCGGCAGTCTCTCCCCAGCCGACTATTCCCTTGACGGCTCGCCCCCCGTCGACGGAGGTTCGCTGAAAAAGCGGTTCTCGACTCTGCGCTTGGGCATGTTCAAGCGCCCTGGCTCCCCTTCGGCATCCCGACGGCCGTCCTACGATTCTCGGATAAACTCTCCCTCGGAGGCGACGCCGTCGTCGCCCATGTCGAGGCGAGGCGAGGCGGTCCGAGGCGGTCGGCGAGCGTCCGTCGAGTCCACAGGGCTGGGCGTGCTGGGCCTGGGGAACGCACTGAGGCGCCCCGTAGGCCCCTTTGACGCCCCTGCCCCTCCGGTCATCGACTATCTTGTCGAGGAAGCCCGCAACCTGGGGTCGCTCGTCGTGTCGTTCTGGCCGCGCTCGCCTGGCTCGGCGCGGCAGGAATGGGAGGTCAAGTCCCTGGAGGGCGAAAGCATCCTCGTCGGGCCGACGATCGGTGGAGAGCCATCCCGGATCGTACTGCCCTCGCGCGTTGCGACCCAAGTCGCGCCCGTCACGCCTCGTGGTTCTTACTTTGAAGTCAAGCTTGCGGCGTTTGAGCCGTCTCCGACTCGGTCCCGACCTGACCTCGAGATCCATACGCCGCTGTCGACGGCCGAGCTGCGCGAATCGCTTCCCCGCTCCTTCGCGTGCTCGACCTGCCACTCGGAAGTCGTCGACGCCTCGGCCATCACGAAGTACAATGCGCTGCCGAGCGAGCACTGGGCCGAGTTGCTCGACGCTTGGATGTGCCACCAAGACCAGACCCTCTCGGACGATCTGATCGCCAAGGGCAAAGGTATCCAACCCCGTGCAGGCGAAGGGTTGGTCGGGTCGAGTTATCTCTTGTTCGACCGAGCGCTCGCGAAAAATTGGCACCGGATGCCATTTGCTGACGAGGTGAGTCCGGCTTTATCACATTGACGGGCGTACACTGTGGCTCGCCATATGCCCTTTATCGTTTTCTCGTCTTCCTCTCTTTCCATTCACATCGGACGTAAAAGAAAGTCCGCCTCCTTTGCCCTTTGATGACGCTTTTCGCATTCCTGTCTGCTGAGGCCCTTCTTGGGGGGAACTGCGGAAGGTGGCGAGCGTTGATGTCCCGGGCTGATTATCTCTAGGGAGGGCGGACTGATACACTCTGTCCCAAATCGACTGTTACAAGCGACCTCTGAACAAACCTGCCTGCCTCAGCTCTCTGCACGGAAGGCTACACTTGAGGTCACACTTGCCGAGCCCTAGCCCATCACTCGGTCCCGCCCCGAACGATCCGAGCTGACGCCCAGCCCGTTGTCTCTCTGCGTATATTCCCAGCTCGAACGGACGGAGAACGGAGACCCGTTGTATCCTGCGCAGTGCGACTCGTGTTCGTCCATGATCGGCTTCGAGGTCTCGCCCGCACAAGCTTCGGACACCTCGACAAAATGTTTCCGCTTACTCAAATTCGCTACGTACCCGCTCTCACTCAGGATTCCCGGCTCGCCACTCAAGGACGCGCGTCGTTACAGTCTGGCGAGCCAAATCACCGCCGAGCTGCTCGAATTGGGGCAGGCGCACGCTTGCCATCGATTCATCGTCGAGGATCGTGAGCACGATAAGGCCCGACTATTGGTGAGTCCAGTCGAACCCTTTGCTCGCGCTGGCTATACCCGTACTATAGTTCAATTTTGTCTCCGGATGTGTTTCCCTTGTCCAGCTCTGGCTCTTCAATCCTTCGGTCAGGTTGTCCTTTTCGGTCATGACAACACCTGCGGTCGAAGTGCTGGAAGACAGCTCCCCCCAGCCAAGCGGGGCCGTCTCTGGCACCGAGCCGGCCACACGACGCTCGATGAATGCCGTCAAGATATTCTACATTGTCGTGGAAAACGAAACAGACGAAAAATGGTACGCTTGGAAAAAGACCTGGCGTGATCTTGCCTCATTGTTTGAACCTGCTGACCTGCGTCGCTCGACACTTCCCCCCCTCCACTGTCTGCACCGCACGCAGTCAAGAATTTATTGCATCGCCAATGTCGACCTGCGAACGAACACAATACCCCTCATCTGTCATCACTCGACTGACCGACTTGTTGCGCGCTAGTTCGTCCATCTACCCTTCCGACAAGCGCCACTGGGGTCAACTCGAGGTTGGCTTTCTCGAGCGCCTGTAGAGAGTCGGACGCATTTTTCATTCGCCTGCTCTGACCCACGGATGGTTGTGATTCGACCAAGCCCCACGATATGTATTTGTATCGCCTCGGGATTCATCCTTCATCCTTCATTAGTACTGCATATCTCTTCATCTGCAATCGCATCGCATTGCATTTGGCCCGCAAACTTGCCCCCGCCGAAATCAAAACAGAGGGGACCGCTTCTCCTCCATGGGACATAGTGTCCTCGCCACTCCCTCCCTTCTTCCCATACGATCCTATCCATGGTGCAAATGGGTGGGCAGTGGGCAGGCACACTCGACAGCAACTGACACTACAGTTGCTTCTGGGCACTCGGCCAGAAGTCACGCGCGTCCGCCCTTACTAAACTTACTTCATCTCCTTCGAATCAACACCTCTGCAAATCTGTGTCGCACGATACACCAACCCGAGAACCCCAGTGTTCACTCCGAGGTTGCCACCCCGCCTCCAGCCAACACCCAACAAGAAGACTTGCATGGAGGTTTGAGAGGGATTTAAGTCGATATATCGTTTTCAACTATCTGCAATAGTAGCTCGCTCTTTCGTGCCGCACATACTCTGCCCGAGAGAGTGGAAGCGGTCGAGGGAATCCATTTTCGCCTCGAGTCGGGTCTATCGCGAAAAGTACTTGCGGGATTGCGGTGGTGAAAATTTTACTAGCGCCGTGAATTAAGGCTCTTGCACATGCTGTGGTGGAATTCCAGGATCTTGCTCTGCCACTACAATGCAAGTGCACGACCAGGCATCAAGATGCAGGCTCATGCACCCACACGCATGTTAGCCATTCGACTTCGTGGCCTTCGTCCGGGCGCCGCAAGCGGTCGTGCCAGGGGCTCGTGACATGTCAGCTTTGGACATGACGTAGAATTATGGGGAGAAGAGATAATTGCCCTCCTTCTCGTCAGCTTTCGGCACACAGTTTCGACTTGTACTTGTGTGGGACAGTCTCGGCCCGTCCGAGCGGCAGCGATCGAGGGGAGGTCGGATATCTGATAGGGGCTTGATACCTCCGGGCACTGCGATCCACATCCCCGGTCGGCCCAAGCAGAATTCTGGGGTGCGAAGCCTTCAAGCGAGAACTGCTACCAATAATCTCTCTGGTGCCGATGCGAACCCAATTTTCATGCGCGTTGCTGGGATCGGAGTTCGACGCCGCGTGTATTGTCAGACGCACGACGGAGCTGGGTGGTTCGCCTTCATCGAGCATGGCATGCGGCGAATGAGGGCACCAACCATCGCTCAACCTGGAAAAAGATTTACGGGCGATCCTTTCTCCATCTCCTCACCATGGGTCCAGACACCTCAGCTGCTCACAAGAACTGCGCCAGTCTGTCGCTTTTATGATTGTGCCCCCGCCGGCCGCCGATAGATCGATCGGCTCGAGCAAGAAAACTTCGTGGATAGAAATTGGTCGGACTTTGCAAGGTCGAGAGGGTAAGTGTCGATGGCGGCTGTTTGAGTAACCACTCCTTCGCTTCGCCGGTTCCATCGGTTGCTGAAGCCCCCGCGGAACCGGCTGAAAGTTTGGAGGAATATTGAGAGGTGTCGAATGAGACACTTCTGGTGTGCAGAGGCCACGCACGGGAATAAGCGATCGAGCTGAGACCCAGGCGGGCGCCCTCAACAGAGCTGGGCAACCAAACGCTTGTCATTTGAGGGCACTTGAAACTGATCACACATGAGATGCACGAGAACCGAGGAGAAACCCGGTCGCCCAGTGGGTGCCTACACCTGTGTAGCACAGATTACCCCGGCGAGTGGATACAACGAGGGAGGTAGTAGTAGGTAGGTGGAATAAGGAGGCCGACGAGCCTATTGCAGGATCCGAGTCCAAAAGCCTCGACTCCAGTCGGCAGCGAGGTCTCGCGAAGTTCGAGGCTGAGTGGTGCCTTGATCCATTGGTAGCGATGGACCCCCGGGACCATCGTCTCGAGGCCTGCGACCAGAACCTTGGCGGCCTGCACGCGACCTAAAGTAAAGTCGGTCCCCCACCTGCCTACCTTACTTCCTTACACGCAACTGGTCTCTGCGTGTCTACTCTTCGACCGCAGCTACCCACAGGATTGGCCACAACGCTTCCAGACATCATCCGTCCTACGACAGGGGCGAATCCAATCGTCGGTCGAACGACAGTCGACGGCGAACGCCGAAGTTGGGGCCGGACTGCACAGAACGCCGGCGCCCAGCCAGCCTTGGAACCCGCCCGGCCGGCCCACTCGGTGGAGCTTCGGATCGACGACTAGTCAAAGTGGCTTGAAACGTGGAAAGGGAGCAAGTTGGAGCCCCCGCAAGGCGACGATCCCGGCTCACTGCTAGGCTCACGACCACGAGACAAGACATCACTAGAATGGTCGTGAACGCTATAGCTGGACCATCTCGGCCACGCGTCGACCCCGATCTGCCGACGGCTCAGCCTGCCACCGTGGACCGTCGAGCTGCTCATCGCCAACGGCGCCGTGGTGGCGCCTCCGTGCCGCCCTCGACTGCAGTGTCAATTTCGGGGACCGAGCCGCAAGCACGCCCCGCCGCGCGCGGTCTGAGCAGCAGGTGCCGCCGTTGCCTCGTCACTTTGGTGGCCCTTTCCTTCTCGACCTCGCTCGTGGTCGTGTCTGCCGCCGTTCTACCCGTGAGAGGCTTGGCCAATGCAAGTGGAATTCGCCCCAGAGCGTTGATCGTGAGAAAGCCTGACCCCGATGCCGAAGGGTTCGCTCTGCCCCATCGGCCGATAGGGGTCGACCGGCCGAAGGGATCGTCGCCGCCTGGAACAGCAGCGTCGGAGCAATACCCCCCCGTACCCAACAAGCTAGCTATCTTCGCACCTGCCAAGTCCATAGTCGACTTACGCCACCTCTACAAGTCAATATCGGCTGCCTCCTCCTGTGTCACGCGCTCGAGCGACGGCGCCGCCCTGGCTCCTGCGCAAGTGCTCGTCCCGAGAGCAGTCGAGTCGTCGACGAGCACGCCAACAGCGGCACCAGCTGTCGTACGTCTCATTGAACGAACGAATGTGTAGACGACACCTTGGAGGCCTGAGCAACTAATGTGGATTTTTTTTGCGCTGTCTGGGTGTGTAGACTACGAACTACCCCTCCGCCTCTAGTTGGGCCTTATTAGCGACGACGTCCGCGGCGTCGGCGTCGACCTCGACCTCGACCCCGTCGTCGACGACATTCGCTGCGGTATCAACCTCGACTAGTGTTCCCAGCAACTACACGCTCCCAGAAGCTTTCGAGTGAGTTTCACTGCGTAGCCTTATGTGGTGCCGTAGAACAGACCACACCACCTCGATCTTTCCCAACACGGAAGACTGCGGCTCCAGAACTGACGAGGGGCTTTGCAAACCTTGGAATTTTCCTTAGTGCCACCCTCGGCACCAACTTTACCTCCACGGCATGCCCTTCGTTTTTTCGCACCTTTCTCGCCAACCCCGCTTTGTGAGTACACTCGATGTTTTTCCGCGCGGCCCAACTCGGTGTTCTGGCGCTGATTCGATCGTGTCTCCGGCGTCGGATCTGGCCCTATCGGATGTCTCAGTATCGCATGCACCCCCTTCTCGCTTCTGATGAGCACATCCAATGGGTTCTTCATGGCCGCACGGTCACCGTTCGCACTTCTGCCGACTGTACTCAATGCGGCGTGTGCGGCTCCTGTCGCCACTTGCACGACGCTCATGAATGAACTGGCTGGCCAGCTCGCCAAAGCCAAAAACTGCGGCAACGACCTGTCGCGGCGCAACCCGCTCGTCCTCGAAGCACTCGAAGGATTCCAAAATTATGCGATGATGTACCAAGCCGGCTGCCAACGCAACAACGTCACAGCGCAATACTGCTTCGCCGAGGCCAACGTCGCGACCGACCCCTCGGCGCAGTACTATTATTATCTCCCCGAGGGGACCTCTCTCCCCTCGGGAACGGTGCCCGAATGCGGCTCCTGTACCCAGGGCCTTATGAATATCTACGCGTGAGTCAGAAGTGGAGGGTTCCGAAAGCTGCTTCGTTCAGCAGGTTGATGAGCTCGACCCGATGCCTTGCCTCTGTGTCCGCCGCTGCCGCTTCTGCCACCATCAGCCAATATGCCCGCAACTCGACCTACGTGATCAGTCAGACCTATGGTGGGGCCCGTACACAAACAGCACTAGCTTGTGGTCCCAACTTTGCGCCTCTGATCGCCGTCGCTTCGACATCCGCCGCTGCGCCACACGTGTCGTCGGCATCCGCATCGGTGTCGCCGTTATTGCTGTTTGTGGTCTTGATGACTTCTTTGTACCCCATTCTACGTTAGGAGAGGGCGCATACCTCTTCTACTATATCATATCGCCTCTTCGGCGTTATCATGTCTGCCAAGCATTAGACATGATGGACGACCCATACAGACACTTTTTTTGGCCCTCGCGACCGAGCCGATTTGAACTGGGCGACTCGTATATATGCAGAATTATCGTCATAGCTGGGCTATTTTTTTCTCTTGGTTTTTGCTGTACTGGGTTTCAATGGGGGCCTTCTTTCAATCACGAGTGGACAATGAAATATGCAGGTCGACGTCGCCGTTTTAAGGCATGGTTTACACGTCCGTGCGCCTGGCCGTCGGCCGGGAACGTTGTCGCGCCGAGGCGCGCAGGCCAATGCGCCAATGCCTTACAACTAGCCGGACCGCTAGATTTCTGACGATGTTGAAGACGGATTAGGTGCTGCAAACAAAGGAAATGTGTGAGCTCGGATCGACTGAAACAGTGAGTGACGCACTTACTAGTCTTGACAAATATCGCGTAAGTCATACACGTCCACGATGACTCTGATCCGACTGCCTCGGTCCGACGCTCGCTCGGCGTCAGATTATGTCATCGGTTCGGGCATTGTTATCGGAGCTTCACGTCGCGGCAGGTCGCGGCAGGCTGCGGCAGGGCCCGGGTGTGCTGCGCAGCTCCACCTCAGCTTCTGCCCACACTTGACCTAAACTTTATTCGCCCGCATCAGCCGTCTGCAAGCTCGCCGGCACAGTCTTAAGCTCACGACAGATTCAATACAACGAGATCGCGCTCTCCACAGTCCATTTGAACGAGTCAACATGACGATGGACAGTCGTGGTGAAGCGAACGGCGGCGTCGTGACTCGGCCTGCGGTCCGATTGGTGCCCATTCCTCCCAGCTCAAGCTCTAGTCCACGCTCGAGCCCGAATCCCAATTCCCATTCGAACCCGACGAGCCCCAACCTGCACCTTGATCCGATCCCACCACCACCCAAACGCCTCGTACGCGACCCGCCGAAGGCCTACACTCCGTATAGCGATGCGATGCCGCCGACGAAAGAAGGCTTGTCGGGCTGGTTTTCGCGCCACGGCAAGCAGAAGGGGACGGTGGCCTTAGAAAAGGGCATCGCCTGGTCAGATTGGCTCGGCGTTAAGATGAACGGTTGGGCCGAGGCGGTGAGTTTTTGGTGCTTCACGCTGCTACAGAATCGAGCTGTTCTTCGAGGAACATGCCTTCTGCCGTGGGAGCCGTGGGCGCCGCGGGCGGATCGCGCGAGGCAGAGAGTTTCGGCAGTTGCGAAGGTTCGGCTTAGCAGATGCACGCTGTCTTGATCCGTATGCCGGAGCGGAGACTCGGCTCTGCGGGTGTTGGTGGCAACAGGCTTGTGGCAAGGGTAGGGAGCACTGGCGTGCGTCGCTTTGAGGTCAGAAACACGCCGCTCGCGGTCCGGCTCGTGGCGCAACATCAATCACCACGGAGCGAAACGGCCGCGGGAATCTCGAGATCACGTGCGCGCTCGGGGCCAAAACTGACCGCCCTCCCCCCTCCACCCCTCTGCCCCGATCGGTATCGACACTTCCCCAGACCGGCTCGGAACGGTTCTATCCGGTAACGGGGGACTTTACGGCCGAGTTGGAAAAAGTGACGAGGATTCTGCAGTCCTTTACCGTCGACGGGATCGAAGGTGCCGTAGACGTGGAATCGAAAACCGCTTCCGGAGCGCCTCGCAAGGTGCAGAAGAAAGTCATTAGGTTCGTTCGCGGCCCCGTGCCCTACGCTTGCCCTCCGGGCGGTCGGTGCGTGGGCAAGACTGACTCTAGCTTAGGTTTCTCCAAACCCAGGAAAATCCCGGCCAAGGTCATTCGGGAGGCCAAAGGGGTTGCCATCTTTACCAGCATGCGTTCCGGCATCGCTCCTCTGGGAGGCGCCGGTGGGGCCGGAATGGTGATTGCCCGCCTCGAGGACGGAAGTTGGTCCGCCCCGAGCTCAATGAGCCCCAACAATCTCAGTTTCGGGCTGATGTTGGGTGTAGACATATATGATGCTGTCTTGAGTCAGTCACCAGACACCAGGGAGGAGGCGATAGCGACGTATCTCACGCTGACCAAACATCCTGCGCTTGCCTGCCTGTACGAGCAGTTCTTCGAACTGCGGAAGTGCTTGACGCGTTCATGGGTCGTAGGTTCACGAAGAGCATGCCTCACACGCGTACTCGTCAGAATGCTGATCAGTCCCTTGCCACTTCGCCAGATACCGTTACCCTCGGCGCGGAGCTCGGTGTCGCCGCTGGCCCCTATGGCGCTGGCGCAGTCGCCGAAACGGGGAAAAGTCGAGTGCCAATACTAAGCTACCGTGCGTGAAACAGACCTGATCCGACCGAGCTAGCGCCGTACATCGCTCGAGTTTGCTCACGCCACACCCCTATGTCTCTTCCTCTGCGTTCTGCCCGCAGTCCGGAGTCGAGGAATGTATGCTGGTGTCGAGGCGGTCGCGCAAATCTACGTCACGCGCAACGAGGAGAACGAGAACGCGTACTTCTGGCCCGGCATTACCCCACGCGACATCCTTACGGGCAAAGTGCGCGCGCCCCGCGAAGCCGAAGCACTGCACCAGGCGCTCGAGGCAGCCGAGACCGGCGAGGCGCAGCGGGCCAACGGCGACGAGTTCGAGTTTGAACAGCCCTTTTTCGAGTCCGAGGATCTGGCCTCGTCGTTGGGTGAAGGGGAGGTGTTAAGGTTACCGCCCACACCGGCGCAGGTCGAGGAGGAAGAAGCGGAGGAGAGTAGGGCCGAAGCGATCAAAGAGAGAAGCGAGAAGAGGTATCTGAGGTAATTCAAGGTCGAAAGTGCATTACGTTTCCATTTGCTGCGCTTTGTTGTACCGTATCCGTAGCACCAGAGTCGAAGATGTCCTGTCAATTGCATGCCTGTCTGAGTGACGCCCGATCCTTTCTGGTTCGAATGGGTAAAACGAGGAACCAGGAGGGTTGCATGCTATTACAAGCGCATCGAGTACAAACGACACGGGAAAGTTGAGAGGCAGATGCTAGTCGGAAGAAAAAGATGAGGGGCGAACGAACGACGGGGGCGGGCGAAGAAACCTTTCTGCGCATTACGGTTTCCATTGCTTGTCTCGATCGGTCAAGCTGCGCGTCAAAGGGAGGATGCGGGTCAGATCTCTTTCTGCTCTACTCGGCGACGATTCCGGCGGGTCTGACTCACGGGACGTATCTCACACCAAACAGCTTCTGGCTCGAGACTTCGCCGTTGCGATCCTTGTCGATCTGAAAGACCTCCTGCTCGTCTTCGCCAAAGGGAACAAACATCCTCCCCGGGCTCTTGAGCTGTTTGACCAACTCCGTCGGCCACACAGGAGACGCCGCTCCGACGTGGATACAGTCGAACCCTTCGGAGGGAAATACCTCGGAAGGCGCCCCACGGCGACCATCGGCGGTGACGAGCTTGATCGAGCCCGCCGTAAGCGCAGACGACGTGCTGGGGGCTTTCACGAGATTTGTGCACGCGAGCGAGGTCAGTTGAGGGATGTGGTCGATGCCGACGACGAGGCCCGAAGGTCCGACCAGCGCGTGGAAGATTGCCATGAGGTAGCCCGATCCACATCCTATGGAAAAGAGTCAAAAGCCCGTGAGATGAGCACGTAGCCCACAAATACTCCGAGACGGAAGTGAAGGGCTGACGAACCGACATCGAGCACGTTAGCCCCTGGTTGGAGCAACCCCTCCAGGTTCTCGACGGCGTGAGCGTGCATATGAGGTGCAGAAATGGTGGCGCCTGCGTTCCACGGGGATGCTAAAGTCAGCCTAGCCGCGGCAGCCTGACCTCTGATGAACAAGAGACGAGACCGCGCAGCGGTTCAGAGAGAAGGACAAGGGCTCAAGAGTGTCGGTGAACTGACCGTATCCGATCACCTGAGGCGAGTCCATGTAGGGCTGTACCGGAGTGAAATGCCCACGGTCGGTCTCGAGGAAGGCCTGATACACTCTGGGGCTGCTGATCAAACCTGAGGCTGATGATCAGAACGAAGCCACTCCAGTGGCGTGGTCAGTTCGAACGCGCAAAGAGAAAGAACCGAATGCAAAGAATTGTCTGGTTGCGAGTCGAGCAGCGTTGGCAACGGGGTGTTGACCCGCCGACAGCTCAGCGCTGGGAATGCGCGAACGGCACGACGCTTACACAGGAGGTTATCGACCAGACCCGAGTTGGATTTTGCACTACAGCGCCATGCCATGTCGAGCCGCTCCTGGTGGGGACGGTACGAATTCGTTGCAGAGGGGATGGGCCTGGTTTTGAACGGCGAGACGAAAGTGGAATAGCGATCAATGCGCGCGGAAGAAGAGCCTTCCTTCGATGCGGTCCACTCTGTGCCGGTGCGAGGAGGTCGAGGCTGGTGTGGGCCGTGTGGGGGTGGGACGGGGCGTGCGGCTACGGCGATCGAGTCGGTGCGCCGGCGGGTGGGGAAGTGACACTGTCCGGCGAGGGGCACTGCCTGTGGTGGGAGCGAGATAGATACGCTATCGAGACGAGCTGGGCACAGGTGGGCCACGGTGCGTAGAGTTGAGGTGTGTGGTGCCGTGCCCCGTGGCAGGTAGAGATCAGGAAGCTAAAGAGCAACGAGACGCTGGGCCGAGTCAGGGCCCCCGAAAGCCCGGCCCAGCTAGGCCCAGCGGCGCGGCGCGGGTAACAGTAGTCGCGCTGTTTGCGTTTGGAGCGCGTTATGTTAGTGTCTGCATTTGCGATCATTTATCGTTTTTTGGTCGTCTCTCGCTCGGAACGCCGACTTGTCGAGCTACGTCTCCTCTTCTTCCTTTCGATCTGGAAGCTCTCTCGCCGCCGCCGATTGTCGTCGGATGCTTTGGAAGCGATCACCGAAACGGCACTCGAGAAGCTCCGGGCGTCAATTTAGGAGTCCAAGGTCGCCTTGCGTCTCTGTAAGTCACCCAAGGGGGTTTTAGTGGGTATGATTCTGATTCAGGGTCAATGAGTCCTACACTACTGGCCTAGCCAGTGTGCTTAATTGCATTTCCTCCGACTTTTCCAAAGATTTCTAGGTATTAGAATCCATCAAATGAATACACAGATGAGATCCTATTGAAGTCCATTTCATTTTGAAAAGGCTCGTTAGCGGTCGCGCCGGCGGCACTCTTGGTGCGCGCGCGCGACCTTTCCGGCCCGCGCGCGGCGGGAATGCAGTCTGCGCGCAGCGCAGAAAAAATTCCGAGCATTGTACAGCTTGTAGAGTAGTTTTGAGAAATAATTCAAGACTAGGCGGCCCTCATATTTGGACATTTTCAGTCAGAATCCGGGAAAAATTTGGACATTTTGCCTCGAAAAATGCCGTTTTTAGAGGGCCGCCTATGGCTGGGCTTTCGGGGGTCCTGCCGAGTCCGGGCTGAGAGGCTGAGAGCGGTGAGAGCGCGCGTCGGACGACCTACGACCTGCGACGACTTGCGACGACTGCCAGGCTGGGCAGCTGCCAAGGCGCGCGAACCGACGAGTGGAGCGGCTTGGCTCGATCCTTGTTCTAGGATCGACTATTTCGTGGTCAGATACGGCTCGCTCCCGTCATGGCCTTGACTGTCGTCCGTCGTTCCGTGGGCCCCGGCGCCAAGTTGGTAGGCAAGCAACCCCTTCTCGCCCCGACTTTTCGCTCCGGGTACTCCGTCGTCCTTCGAGAAGCATCGACGACTAGCAGCAGCACCAGCAGCACATCGCAACGCTTCTACCCTCGACCACCAGGCACACCCAGCCAAAGCAAGGGGGTCAAGATTGGCTACGTCTTTGGCGTCCTTGCGTTCGTCGGTCAGTAGCGATCCCCCACGTCCCAGTCCGCGATCAGAAACGATGCAGTCATCTTCAGCCAGGCTAAATCGCTTCTGATCCCCCATCTCTCCCCGTTCCTTTCTTGCTTCATCCTGCTAGGCATCGGAGCCACGTCCTATGGTCTCTACAACTTCTATTCGTCCTTCACGGCTTACCCAGCCGCAATCCGCACCCACCTTCGAGCCGCTCTCAGGTCCGCCGCGACTGAGTCCTACTCGCGCGCCGATGCATCCTTTGCGCAGGCTTACCAACTCGCCCTCGACGACCCCACGCTGGGCAAGACGAGGCAGGAACGGCTGATCAAGACGACCGGGATTGCGATCCGATGGGGGGCCATGTGGGAAGCCGCAGGCGAGCTCGGTAAGGCGATCGAGGTCTACGACAAGGGTTTTCGCGAAATCGCCGATCTCGTCGACGCCGCATTGCCCGCCCAACTTGCATCCACTTCAACCTCGACAACAACGGCAACGACAGACATGCCGACCAAATCAGAGATCATGCGCGGCGCTGCCATTGCCCTCAAAGTCGGCGACCTCTCATGCGACCTTGGCGGAACGGAGGCCCTTGCCCATGCCGAGGAGCGGTATGCATGGGCCTTGCAAGAGTTGATGCGCGTAAATATGACCCCGGCGCAGCTACAACAGGTCGACATCGGACAACGCCACGGCTCGCCCGATCATGGAAACCCTCCCCCGATCGAGGGCAGCGAGGGGAACAACGATCTGCCAACTTGGGTCAGCAAGGTCGAGCTCGTCGCGGCGATGGAGAGGCTTGGAGGCCTGTATGCCCGCCAAGGGAAGCTCGAGTAAGCTTTGGATCATCTAGCACACATTTTAGCTCCCCAATCGTACGAGCACTGAGCCCTTCTTTTCGATGACCGCTCTACAGATACGCGCAACCGCTGCTCCAACAAGCGATCGCGACGCTTTTGCCACCTCCGAGCAAAGACGCCAACCCCCGGAAAAAGCTCCCACCCCCATCGGTCGCAGATCGGTGTCACGCGGCGACGTTGATGAACAACCTTGCGTCTGCGTTCGTGCAGGACCCGTCCCCCTCGGTCGCCTCGATCGATTCGGCGTCGCGATGGGCCCGGCAATCTCTCGCCGTTGCGCATGGGGTCCGGACCGAGATGATTGGCAAACGGGGCGGCAACGAGGTTGCGGTCAAGGACCGAGAAGAGGTCGAGTGCGAGCTCGTTGCGCTCGTCGGGGCTTACAACCTGGGCAAGCTTGCCGAGCTGGCCAAGGACAAGGACTCGGCGAGAAAGTGGTTCGAAAAGAGCCGAGCGCAGGCCGTGCGCATCGGCTCGAGGGATGGGCTGGAGCAGTCTTCGGAGGCGATCAGGAGGTTGGGAAGATGATCCGCATTTTAGATTCTTTCGGATTTGGTGTGAAACATACAGTCATTGACGGGCTCACATGACCTCTGATCATTGCCGTTCGGTGACTCGGCTCAAGCCGAATTCTGCCGGTTCGGCCACGAGAAGTCTGCAGTCCGCACAAGCTGTGGGGATGCTTCGCCCCACTTGATCGTCTATCGCCCGCCCGCGGGCGCGGTGGTCGCAGACGCGCAGACCCCCACCAGTTCGGTCAGTTCATCGGCCCCTCCGCTGGCTCGATCAGATGCAGTGAGTCGTAGTCACGCAGGGGAACGACTTCACCTTGCAGAGCGTCCGGTTTATTTGGTCGTTTTGGGAGGAGAAAGACGGTTGATCTTTCTGGACGAGATCCTAGGATGAAACTTTCACCCCAGGAACCGCGGGGCAAGTCTGCAAGATCAGGCCTTTCCGAGATAAAAATCTGCATCTTATACGGGAGGCCCAAATTGAGGAAAAGGGCGCTCTGTAAAAACGCTCGCTTAAAAAGATAGGGGCCTTTGCGCGCGCTTTGAGATCTCCACGTCAATAACACACGTCATTGTGTTGGATTTGCCACAGTTTACGGGGAATGTTTCATAACTCTAACCGAGATAACAGTTCGGGACGCACTCACATGTCAGGTTAAGCTCATGTAGTGACATGAAGTCCTGGTGACAAGTCCTACATTGGCCATGGCATTCAGCACGTTCAAGAGCACGTCGAGGCTAAGAGAACAGGGGCACGGGCGCGCCACATACACGCTAAGGGGTTTCTTGTGGAGAGCTGGTGGCACGAGACGCGATGCCACGCATACATCATCTTCATCGACGATTTCAAATGAAAGCGCTTTCACATAAATTCACCTTCCGGAAGGTCGAGTAGACCCGATTCAAGGCGCACCTTTTTTTTTTGTCTGTCTGTTGAAAGGGATGGCCGCGCCGATCGCGTCAGGCCGGGTCCGCGGCGTCTTTTCCACATATTTCGCAAAAACATCGCGCGAATAAAACAGGCGCCGTTTGCGAACCGATATTTTCGAGTTCTCCTACAAGTGAGCACGAATGCCGTTGGAGCGAAACGATCAAGGTGCAGAAGCGAACAGGCATTGCTCTGGCCTTGCTCCACTGTAAGCGCAGGCGCGCCACCGCCAGGGGGGCGGCCCACCCCGTGGCAAGATCAGATTGAAAGTTTTCCGAGTGAACGACACAGGCGGCCGCTGGCGGGTGCCTTACCTCATCGCACCTCATCCACCTCAACGCGTAAGTGACCTTCTCCGTGCACCAACCCGCCCGACGTTCCTACCACGGGTGCTCGGCCGCTGTGCCGCTCAAGTACGTCCACGACGTGTCGAGCCTGGGCCGTGTCCCGTGGAGGTCGTACCACCAGCACCTGCAGAGCGCCGCTGGGCGTTGGCCGGCTCGCTCGTGCGTCGTGGCCCCGGCAGTCGGTCGGGGTTCGCTGCTGGTGGTGGTGTGCACTCGGCCCTCTCCACACAGCTGCCCGGCCCCTCGTAGCCCCTCGTAGCCCCTCGTCGCGGCCCATTCGATGTGTGGCACCTACTGACCCTTACACCCACCCCTCACTCGCCCCCGGATCTTACAGGCCTGTTTCTTCCAGCTCCGTTCGCGCTCTCTCCATCCCGTGCTCTGATAACCCTCCCCGTTCCCCCTCCGTTCCCCCTCCGTGCTCGTGAATCATGGCTTTAAAGCGCATCAACAGTGAGTGAACGCTGCTCTGGTCCAGGATCCTCCCGATCGACCGAGCAATCGAGCTCGCTGTTGACGATGGACTGCTGCGAGGTGCAACAAGGCCCCCGATCGGCGGTCATGGCTCGGGGGGGTCGCCGTGGCCGGGACCGGCGCGGTGGGTGTTCCTTCCATTGAAGCCCACTCGGCGGCCCACCTGCTGGGGCTGGTAGCAGCCATCGGCGCTCGTCATACGCGTCCGAACTCCGAGCCGCGCACCGCTTCGTCCATCGCATCAGCAGCAGCAGCAGCAGCAGTAGCAACAGCACGCGAGTACACGAGCACCAGGACTGACCGCACCTATGACCTGCACCACCGCAGAGGAATTGATCGACCTTGGGCGCGACCCACCTTCGTCATGCTCCGCCGGCCCGACTGGTGACAACATGTTCCAGTGGCAGGCGACCATCATGGGGCCGGGCGACAGCCCTTACTCGGGCGGCGTCTTTTTCCTCACCATCACCTTCCCCACCGACTACCCCTTCAAGCCCCCCAAGATCGCCTTCACGACCAAGATCTACCACCCAAAGTGCGTTGACCTAGGCTCGCCTCGTTCGGCGCCGGTCCTTAGAAACGGGTGCCCGAGCTGACGTCTCATCCTGTGTGGCCCTCCTGCAGCATCAACGCCAACGGATCCATCTGCCTCGACATTCTGCGTGAACAGTGGTCCCCGGCCTTGACCATTTCCAAAGGTCGGTCCCGCCCCTTGAGCTCCTGACTGGCCTCAAGTGAGTCGCGCGAGTCGCACTTGAGCTGACCGAAGCGGCCTGTTTCGTCACAATTTCATTCAGTGCTCCTGAGTATCTGCTCCATGTTGACCGACCCCAACCCCGACGACCCGCTGGTCCCCGAGATCGCGAACCTGTACAAGAGTGATCGTCCGAGATACGAGTCGACAGCGAGGGAATGGACGAGGAAGTGAGTGACCAGAGTTCGCGGTAATAAGTTTCCCGGGCGAGATGAGTTGAGCTGACCGACCCACGGCACTCTCCGCCGCTCCAGGTACGCTATGTGATGAAACCGACAAAACCAGCTTCGTCCGCGGAATCATTGATCGTTGCACTCGGGTCGTGTTTTCTTCTCTTCTGTTCGCATTCGAGCATCCTTTGCAAGGGAGAAAGTCAAACTATCTTGCCGAAGGGTTTTCGGGAAGCTCTTCGATCCTTGGAAGAAGAAGGGAGCTCTAGAGCGGGCGCCGATCTAGCTTTCCGAGCCCTCCTCTCTTCGTTGAAACCTGTGCTGCAATCGTCCAAACCCCGAACCCCTCTCGTTTCGTACCCTCCTTTTTCTCCTCGGCAGGCGGCAATCAAGAGTATGGTTGCTGACGATTACAACAGGAAGTTTATCACGCGTCTAGAATCGACTCCCTTCGGCTGCGCGAGGAAACGCGATGCATTCCCTCACGTTCTCCTGCCCCGTCACGATCGCGATCAAGCGCTCCCAGCCCAGCCCGAACCCCCCATGTTGCGTCGAGCCGAATCGCCTTAGATCAAGGTACCAGCCGTACCGCTCCTTGTTGAGACCATGTTGATCCAGGGTTTGTTCCATGCGCTCAGCGCGATGCTCCCTCACCGACCCGCCGACGAGTTCCCCCAACCTCGGCACGAGCAGATCAAAACAAGCGACCGTCTCTCTCGACGATTCGTCGTTGGACAGCATGTAGAAAGGTTTGATCCCCTTGGGGTAGTCGGTGACGAATAAGGGTCCTCGGACGCACGTCTCGGCCAACCATCGCTCGTGTTCGGTCTGCAAACCTTTACCCCACACGGGCTCAAAAGTAAACGTGCCGGGGAAGGAAGCCTCTTGGTGCTGCAGAACTTGAATCGCTTCGGTGTACGTCATGCGCGCATATCGTTTGTGCGTAGGAACCAACTGATCCAACTCGTCCAAGAGCGTTGGACGCAACGTGACAAACACTTCGAGTTCCTTCATCGCGAGCGCGGTCGTAACGAGATGTCGCACGAGGTCCTCGACGACGTTCATGAGGACCTGGTTCGCGTCCGGCGTTCGGGCGGGGAGGAACCCGAGTTCGGCTTCGAGCATGTAAAACTCTTGGAGGTGGCGGGAGGTGTCGGACTCCTCGGCGCGGAAGGTAGTGGACAACGTCCAGACCCGCGCCAGGGACGAAGCGAGCGCTTCAAGGTGGAGTTGGGACGAAACCGTCAAATAGCGCGACGGCCGTGGCGGAGGGGGAGGGCTAGTCGGTATTGTAGCAGTAGCAAAAGAGGAAGAAGGTGTTGATGTTGATGTTGATCCTGGTGGTGATCCCGACTCTACTCGAAAGACCTCGCCTGCACCTTCACAATCACTCGAGGTGATCAAGGGGGGTTCGACCCGGACAAAATCTTGACTCTGACGAAACGGTTCACACAGCTTTCCCATCAGGCGTGTGAAGCCCCGAGCTTGGGAATGTGGAGAGACTGACTCTAAAGTGCTGGGCTGCAGCAAAAGCGAGCTCACTCCGGACCCTCAACATGGCCGCGATCGAAGGTGTCCTCGGGCGAAGATGAGCATTCCTGCGCAGAATGGGTAGCGGCACGCCTTGTTTCGTGTTGGGGATAGGGTACGTCTGTAGCACACCATATCGAGTGTCAGATCAATTTCGTACGGAGGGGGTGGATAACAGCAAAGGTGGGCTTCTTGCTTGCCTCTGCATCACTCGAACCGAGCAGTTGGACTTGGTCGACTTGGAATTCCATCTCCTGCCCCCGTCCGCGACTCGGGACGAACCGACCCGTCAAAGCGGCCGAACACCCGACGGCGAGTCTGCGACGAATGGAGCTCATGTTTGAGCGCTGTGGTCCACTCAAACGCATATCATCGACTTTCCAAAGCGGCCAAGAGTAGCCATACTCACGCGTGATCAATCCCCGCGGCCATGACGGCCTGAATGCCCTTGACATCGCTGCCGTCGTTGAGTACCGCAAACGTGACGTTCTTCTGTCTCCGGCACGAGCGGATCCACCCCGAGATAGTCGTTGTCTTGGCTTCAGCTGCTGCTACCGACGCTGAAGTCGTGGTTTCACCATCTTGATCGCTCTTTGGAGTCAGGGTTGAGCCGGGGGACGCCGAGGAGGGAGCAGCGAGTGCGAGTGCGAGCGCTTGAGCGATCGTCGGCGCCAGAGCTGCAGAGCCGGTGTGCTGAGCTCTCGAAGATACGAGCTCTCGTCTGATGGGTGCAAACGACCAGGGTCGTGGCAGCAGCATCCGAGCAGCCTGAAGTTGGGGTCACGTGTCACGATCCCAGCAGCGTGGAAAGGGCGAACGAAACTCGCAAGCGATCGCATCTTCGCAAGTCCTGGCGCGTCGGAGCCTTGTTTCCCAGGTGCTTCCCACACCACCCACACAGAACGCACACGCTCAAGATGGGTCTCTTGATCAAGAATGCACACATTTCAGCAGTTGCTACCTTTACGCCAAAAAAGAAAAAAAGTGGGGGAGACTAGTGGAGAAACAAAGAGCCAAAAAGTGGGGGAAAAGGGGGGTTAGGGCGAAAGGCGCGTGAGGCGAGCGAGCACCTGCACAAGTAGTAAAATGATCCAGCCATGCAGTAGTTTCAAGACAAAACGGAGGTCGTGGAGGGTTTAGGGAGGAAAGGGGTCGTTGGCATCGTCGTCATCGTCATTGTAGAGTAGTAGAAGGCGGCGGAGTGGCTAGTAAGAATATCGGCTCATCTCGAGGAGCGGATCGGGTGGGGAGTGGGGGGGAGGGGGGGGGGGGGGGGGGAGGTGGGGGGGAAGACGCTTTGGACAGGCCGAGCTGCGCAAGATGTCAAGTAGGGGAGCAACGTTGAGTGTAAGCTGAAACCCTACACAAGGAGTACAGGTAGGCAACTCACACATGCGGACAAGAGAGAACACGAACCAACCTTCCCGATCGTCGCGTGACCGAGCCGAGGAGATAAAGGCGAAACGCGATCGAGCATTTCGACGCACCAAAGGGGAGCAGGGGTGAATAGAGCGTAGTACAGTCAAATTCGAGAGGGAGAAGCGGAACGCCGTGGCAGAAAAAGGTGCGGAATAGGAGGAAGAAATCATGTCGCGTCTTTTGGTGTTGTAGAGAAGGCAAATCGATCGCTCGAGAGGAAAGCGACGCCGACCCCAAAATCCGCTTGCACGGTCTTCGTCTACTTAGGTCTGTTTGCCCTTGCCTCCCTTTGATTTGCGAGGAGGCGTGACCGGTCGTCCTTGCCCGCTGCCGCCATAAGAAAAGGTCTTTTTCTTTTCTGCCGGTTTCAGGATCTACAAAAGGAGAAGCAAGCAGGTCAGTGACCACCACGGGGGTATATCACACCGATCGGCGCCCGTGTCGTCAGAGGGAACGTACTTGGAAGGAGCACAGCAATGTCTCGTCGACCGACATCATCGCACCAGCGTTGTCGAACTCTCCGCAGTCTGTGGCATAAGTGAACTTGCGAGGTTAGCGTCGATCGTCGCAGTTTGAAACCAAAAAGCGCGATCCGATATGGTACGAACAATTTCTGGAGACGACTCGACTCGATCGGCGAGGGGGGCAGACAGGAACATGGTCAGCGGAAGTGGCCGTGGCAACGCGTCCCTCAATCGCGACTCACGGTGCAGAGAACAAGGTCACGAGCTGCCTCTTTGCAAAGAACTCGTACCCATCCTCGACAACTTGGTGGGCGCGGCAGATGAGGTCCATGTCGTGCTTTTGCAGGAAGCGTGAGACGACGTCGGGCCCGAATGTGAAGGATACACCGCGATCGTTCTCGCTCCACCCGGTTATGTCTTTGTCCGGGTCCGACCACAGCAAGTCGCACAGCAGTCCCGTGTCGGGGACGTCGGTCGGCCTCATCACGCGTCGGATTTGCTCCATCGACTGCAAGTCCGGACTCAGGCCACCGTGCATGGTAAAGATCTTTTCGTCGATAATGGCGGCGATCGGCAAGCAGTTAAAGCAGTCCGTAAACGTCTTCCACAGCTTGATGTTGTACCGCCGTTTGCCTGTCAGGGAAGGAGGCAGCAAAGGAAGGCAGTCAGCAACCCGAGTTCTCGCCACGCAGACATATACACGGCCCACGACGGACGCACATTCGTCGTAAAAGCCATAGATTCGGTTGATGCTGGCGCACTCATGGTTGCCACGGAGGATGAAAAAGTTCTCCGGGTACTTGATCTTGTAGGCGAGCAAAAGACAGATGGTCTCGAGCGACTGCTTGCCCCGATCGACGTAATCACCCAAGAAGAGGTAATTTGCTTCCGGAGGGAAGCCACCGTATTCAAACAGTCGCAACAGGTCATAGTATTGCCCGTGGATGTCACCTATGAGAGACGGACCGTTGAACGGGGCGTGAGTACTACTGCAAACGATCACTACGCGACCAGTTTACTGACCGCAGATCTTGATGGGTGCCTCAAGCTCGAGCAGTATCGGTTGATTGATGAAGATCTCGCGCGCCTTTGTGCACAAGAACTTGATCTCGTACTCTTGCAGTTGGACCTGCTTCCCTGGTCGGTTGCCTCGGACTGTGGACGAGCGGGAAGAGAAGCGCGCGCGCGTCAGCCCCGTTCGACAGCAAAAGTGAATAAGAAAGCGTGGGTTCGATTCGGAACATGCTCCTTCCCGTTCTCGCAACGGCGGTAGGAGGGAGCCGCTGCACTCATCGAGCGCACTCCGTCTCGGCCACGCGTGCGCCGGAACGCGGTCGGGAATCGGCGGCTTGGCATGATGAGGACTGATGATCCCTTTGTCCCCAGCTGGGCGGGCCAGGCTGGCGTAGCGTACGAAGTCGGCACACAGGGCGGCGGCGGCGGTCAAAGACGACTCGTGGATGCGAGTGGGCATCGCCGAACCCCATGCACGAGGCGGACAGGACAGCACAGGGCCGAGGTCGCCGCGACGCGATGGACCGGCACGACGCTCACCTTCGAGTAGCCGATCAATTACGGAATCCAAATCAATGTCTTGGCCTTCTGCCATTGTGTCGGAAGAGCTGGGGGTAGATCAGGTGGGGAGGGCGTGGCCGTGGGATGAGGGGAGGTCGTGAGACGCGTGGAGTAGGGAAGACGGGCGGAGAGTGTGAGTTCGTCGATAGTCGTTCAAACAGCACGACTGGGGGAGCAAAGCGGAGAACAAGGTCAGAACATTGGATCTGCACGGAAGGGAAAACGATGTTGAGGTGTAGGAGTTGTAGACGGAGGTGGAGTGCGCCGAAATTGCGGCTACACCGACCGGCGTGGGTGCTGCTGGGGTGCTGCTGGGGTGCTGCTGGGGTGCTGCTTGGGGGTTTGACTGGCTTCCACGCACGCAGACGACATCCGCGCCGGTGCGACCGCCCGGAGCGCTTGAGCAGTGCAGCACGAGTGGCGTGGCCCAGCGTGGCCCTGGCCCGGGCGTCGCCGCGCCCGCCGTCGCCAGCGCAACCCATCGTCGCGTTCCGTACATCCAATGCGGCACTCGATCACGTCCATCATCCCTTCCTCTTCGACCGCCAACCGGACTCGACCCACTCCACCAAATCCAGATCCAAGGCGTGGTATCGGTCGTCGTAGGCGAGAGATGGGCGTGCGCAGGTAAGCGAGCACACACAAACAGCACACTCACACACACAACACACACACACACACACGCGCGCGCACACACACACACAACACACGTTCGAAGTAGGGTGGTCCGATGCGAACGAAGAGCTACAGATGTGTAGCAACGGGCGTCGAGTTCCAAGTCGCGGTCAGGCAATCAATCACGCGGGCTCGACGATGGAAGGGAGTCGCAAACAATCCGTAAGAGCCGTGAGTGCAGGCAGGAGCAAAGCGTAGCAGAGCGTAGCAGAGCCAGCAGGCTCCAGCAGGCTCCAAGAGGCTCCAGCAGGCGGGGTGCGGCTGCCCTGCGCCTGGGGCAAGCCTGGGGCCGCGGGTCTAGGAATAGAAATTAAAAATTGGCCTAATAACTGAGGATCGCTCTGCAAGTGCTTCTTGCACTTCACAGCGTTGGTTGTTGCCTCAAAGAATTATCTGACGAATCGAACATGCAGCGCTGCTCCTGTGGCGAGTCTGTGGCCCCCGACTTTGGAGCGTGTGCAGCCAAAAGGTAGATTAGTACCGAATAGAAAAGTCGATCGGGTTCGATCCCATTGAAAACTATGCCGGACCAGACTCCAGTCGACGACTAGAAAAGTTCACAGTGATGCTCCATTATCAAGATCTTCCAAAGACAATATCCCCCCATCGGTACTTTGCAGCATGACACATCAACTTTGCTCGGTGCGACCCATTCATGATTCAGGACACGTAGTAAGACCCGAGCGCCGACCGTTCCCCGGCGCGCGGATCTGCGCGGATCCGATTCGGTCCCCATTGGGCCCGGAGAAGCTGGAGAAGCGCCTTTCGGTTTCTGCTCCATTCCTTCTCCGCGACCGTCTTGGTTACAGTCCACGGGGTTCGCTCCTCGCTCAGAGTGCAGCGTGGATCATGGCGTCGACGGCTCTTCGGATACCTGTCCTACGCGTTGGAAGTCGGCCTTGCTCGTGCCCACATCGGGTGCTTGGACAGCAGCCGACGCTCGGGACGTGCCGGAGCAGCCTGGCGGTCCAGCACCACCCCTTTCACCACCGGGCAGCGATCCCCCAGCTCGCTCGTTCGACCCCGACCCGCGTTGTAGGGTTTGCCAAGAATCCGAGCGCTTCAGCCTCTATTCGACGGCACCTCTCGGCATTCCCTCCCACCAAACCGGCGCACGTCCAGGGCCCGACCGCGGCCTACGACCACGAAGTCTCGACGGGCTTGATCCAAGATGACCCGCACCAACGCTCGATCGTCGCGCTCCTGCAGGACATGTACGACCGACTCGAGGCGTACAGCCCACCGACGATCCCACCTCTGCCGCCACCACGCAAGCCGTCGCTGTTGACGCGCATCTCGCGCTCGAGGTTCTTTGCGACGATGGAGGACGAGCTGCACCAGGCCAACACGGCGACGATCCCTCTGCCGCCCGCCCCACCCCGCTTGCCGAAAGGCCTGTACCTCTTTGGCTCGGTCGGGTGCGGTAAGTCGTTTCTGATGGACCTGTTTTACGCGCACCTGCCGCCCAAGTTCGAACACTCGAAACGTAGGGTTCATTTCCACGCCTTTATGGTCGACGTCCATCGTCGCGGGCACCAGATCAAGCAGGAGAAGGGCGAGACGCAGGATTGGATCCATCTCGCAGCTCGCGACATTGCCAAGGAGACGACCGTGCTTTGTTTCGACGAGTTCCAGGTGCGCGCGAGTCTATCTCGAAAGCCGACCTCTTTTAGGAGAATCAGCGACTGACGTTTTCTTTCGTTCCAATCGGGCTCCGACAGGTCACAGATATTGGCGACGCCATGATCCTGCGGCGGCTGATGGAGTCGCTGAATGCGTATGGTGTGGTCACAGTCATGACCTCCAAGTGCGTTTCGGTAGGAGACTATGCGAGGGAACAGAGCGTTAGCACGCGGGAGCGGTCGAACTGACGCTGGCGGTGCTCTCTCCCCTCTGTGCCCAGTCGAACCCCCGACGACCTGTACAAGAATGGGATTCAACGCGAGCAGTTCATACCTTGCATCGAACTGATCAAATCCTCCTTTGTCGTCAAGTGTCTCGACTCGGAGATTGGTAAGTCGTCGTCATCCTCCAGCCCTCGTAATCGTGATCCTTGCTCGCTGACTCATGCGCTCCTGACCCTGGTCGACGACAGACTACCGCAAAGTGCCTCGCGCCCTGTCCAAAGTCTACTTTACGCCAATTGACGACGCCCATCGCCTCGAGATCAACAAGCTGTTCGACAGTCTGACCTCGAACGAGCCCGTGACCGAGGACCGCAAGCTGACGGTCTGGGGTCGACCGATCATCGTACCCAAATCGACGTCATCGGTCGCCAAGTTTGGCTTTAACGACCTGTGCGGCCAGGCCTTATCGGCATCCGACTATCTGGAGATCACCAAGACGTTTCAGACGATCTTTTTGACCGACGTACCCCAGTTGGGGTTGGACACCAAGGACCAGGCGCGCCGATTTATCTTATTCATCGACGCGGCCTACGAAGCCAAGGTGGGCATCTCGGTCTTGCCCTTCCTCCGCAGTTCCGGATGCAGGATGCGATGTGCTAAAACACGTCCTTTCTGTTCGGTTATTTGATGCAGACCAAATTGTTTATTCTGTCCGAAGTGCCGATCGCGACGGTCTTTTCGGATCAAAAGGGAAAGCGCGCCACCGACGAAATCTCGGACCACCAGCGCGCGCTCATGGACGAGCAGGGCTTGTCGGCCGATGTCGTCGGCGCGAGTTCGATTTTCACGGGCGACGAGGAGATATTTGCTTTCGCGCGGGCTGTGGTGAGTTTGAAAGAAGAGTACCGTCAAAGCTTGGTCTCGCCCGGCGATCGACAGCTGACGCGACGCAATACCCCGTTGCCTACTCGCGCAGAGCCGAATTGCGGAAATGGGGGGTGTACAGTGGGCTCGCATCAGCAAGATCTCGAAGTGAATCCGGTCGAGTCATAGACGCATCGTAGATCATTCCATGTTGTAAAAAGAAAATCACGGTGACCCGTGATCGATCGGCGTAGAGTTGAGAGGGTGAGCTCTTTTAGTAATACTCTGCGAATGCGCGGTCACCAGCCCTTACTAGCGCCCGTTATGTAGTGAACGAAGTCGCGCGCCCGCCTTGCTCGCCGTATGAACGCTTGATCCGCACCCGTTCCGACCACATACACCCACCGCCTCACACCCGCAACCCCTCTACTCTACCAGCATCACCCCTCAACATGAGTTGTACGTACCTTTCGGCCTGCGTTTGGTCATCGGCGTAGCGTCGAGCATGTCTGGGCCCGTTGCTGACTCCGCGTTCACCTCCACCTACTCTCCCTCTCCCTCTCTTGCACACCACAGACAACGGCGTCGGCTTGTCGACCCCACGTGGAACAGGCACGAACGGCCACATCCAACGCAACTGGTCCCACCTGCGAGCCCGCGACCCTCTGCCCCCACGTGACGGCTCCGGGGCCTTCTCATCGTCGAGTTCGTTCGGCGGCGCTTCGACCGGACTCGCCTCGCGTGCGCCCGATGCGGGCATCCTCGATCACGAACGTCGTCGCAGGGTCGAGGTGCAATGCCTCGAACTCCAAGTTCGCCTCGAGGACCAGGAAGCGCCGGTGCTGAGCGAGCAGGAGATCCAGCAACAGGTTGACGCGCTAAGGCAACGGCTGTTGGTGCAGAGCCAGGAAGCGCAAGGGAAGGAGAGAAAGGGCCTGATCCAGCCCCACGAACGACACGAATTGGCGCAGGCCAAGGCCGTTGCGGATGAAAAGTTGCGCAAGGCGTTGGGGATCAGCAAGGACCATGTGGAGGGGAGGGCGTTCGACCGCGTCGAGCAGGAGCGGTTGAAGGAGGCGCGCAAGGCCGAGTGGGAACGCAAGGAGGAGGACAAGCGCTCCCGGCAAGAAGAGCGAGTCAAGCACCAGCAAGAACTCGAGAGGTTCAAACAGCAGCACGATCACGAGAAGAGCCGACTCAAGAGGGACTACGAGAGGCGGGGTGGGGCACCGCCGGCGGGCGCTTCGTCCGAGCTGCCGCTGTCGGCCGCCGCAAGGAGGTCGACCACGGATCGAAGGAGGTACAGCCGGAGCCCCGAGGTGTCCGTGCGTCGTCGGAAGGATTCGAGATCGATCAGTCCCCCGCCTCGTCGACGCGGCCGCAGCCCTTCGCGTTCCCCGTCTCGCTCTCGCTCCCGCTCCCGCTCGTACTCACGGTCCCGCTCCCCACCACCTCGTCGCGGTGCCGCCGCCGGCTCGTCTGCCAAGGGGAGAGGTCGCTCCCCGGGTCGGTCCGTCTCCCATTCCCGTTCGCCCATGTCGCGTTCGCCTTCCCCGAGGAGATTCAGGACGGCGGATTCCATGGGGACCAAGCGGCCCCGATCGCCGAGTCGGTCGCGCTCACGTTCGCCGAGGTCGAGGTCGGCTTCAATGTCGACGTCGTCGTCGTCGACGCCACCGAGGTCCAAGGCGAGGGATGACTGAGCTGTTGCAAGGGATCGCATGTGTACGAATCAGATCACGGCGTATGAGCCTTTGATGGACAGCGGGGAGGGATCGGTTCGTAGGATTCTTTTTCTCTCTCTTCAGGGGGGAATGTTTGGTCAAGATGATATAGGATCCTTCCCATGTGGTGCCCGTGGGACCGCTCGCTTGGAATACTACAAAAGCTCTATTGCTTCAACAACTGCTCGATCGTCGCCCGCTTCTCGATCACATCGGCTACAGCGTCCTGCAGAGCGAGGTGAAAGAGAGGGACACAGGAAATTCCGATTAGATGCGCTCCGTGCAGGGTGCTAAGAAGCCAATGTCAGATCCGGACTGACCTTGACCTGCAAGAACTGCTCGAACGCGACGTAGGGTATCTTTTCCCGATCGCAATGCACGGACAGGTCGTTCGTATGGCCCGGAACGACCTTGACGAACAAGAGGTCCGCCGCACGCGCGGCCGAAAGGTCAGAGACGCCGTCGCCGCAAAAGAAAAGGGTCGGCTTGTGCTCGAGATCGCGGTAAGGGGACGTTGACCGCGACTTGTCGTGGCCAAAGCCCGATTCGGGGTGACGGAACTTGATGGTCCACTTGCCGTCGGGGAGGTACTCGACGTCGTTGGCGATGATGTCGATCTTGGCCGCGTCCTCTTTGCCGACGAGATTTTCCATGATGGCGCGGATGATGGGGACCATGCCGGACGAGACGATGACGACGGGGACGTCATGGGCCTTGCACCATTCGAAGAAGGACTTGAAGCCGGCATCGAGCTTGATCCTGCTGCGAAGGTACTCGCGCGTCTCGTCAAAGGTCTTGTTAGCCGCGACCGAGTCGATCATTTCTCGGAACGCGTCCCTGCACGCGGAAATTTTCGGGAGGACGACATCGTGATCAGCACAAAGCCCTGCCCTAACGGACCATGCAGATCCCAAGGTTCGACTGACCTAAAGTCCTTGGTGCCGTTGAGAATCTCGAGGTTGATCGCGCGTCGTTTCTCGAGTCCACAACCGAGCTGTGGGAAGACGAGTTGATCTCGGCCGTCAGCGCCGGTCCTAGTCGAGCGTGCGGGGTGCAGTGGACGCCAGGGTGGATTCTCCGAGATCTGTACTTACGTTGTCGGTGGCGGCATCGTTCGAGTCCTCGCTGTAGACGAATGCAGACAGGATGTGAGCTACCTGCGGTGTGCGGTGGGTCACTCGGGAGCTGTCGAGTTGCTCTCGCGAACGAAGCCTGGAGGGAGGTACGCACGTGGTGATGGTGCCGTCAAAGTCGGTGAAGACGATGTAGGGCGCTTGAGCGTGGGGAAGCAAGGACGAGGATCTGGGGTAGGAGTGGAGTGGAGTAGGAGTCGGTGTCAGTGGAGTCCGGCGTGCAGGGTGTGGTGTGCAACACGGCACGTTCGCGTCGAAGGTGGATGATGACGACATGGGTACCTTCCACACTCGATGCGAGTTGAAATGTCGAGGATCTTGAGCGTGCCCGTTGCTAGGCTCGTGATTGTTACTCACGCGCTCATTTGAAAAGATGCCAGAGGTGAGCGAGTGCGAATGGGGTGACGGCGAGTGGTGGAGAGACGAAAAATCACCGAACGCGAATGGGCTCACATACAATAGGCGGTCATAGCGGGGCAGTATTACTTCGTGAGTACGGGTCAGCCCCGGTCAGACCGGTCAGACAGCCGAGCCGGCGGCGTGACTGCGGCGTAGTGCGGCGTGGCTTTCTCCTGAGGTCGCCGCTCGCGTCACACTCGCGTCGCAACCTCAACCTCCGACTCGGCCCCCTCCGATATTTTGCACACCTTAACGGCCCTCTTGATTGAGTGGTCGTCCTGCGGCCCGGACCATGTCGGCGACGACGCCTTCCAAGCCGGCACGAACGACGGCGGCGACGGCGGCCAGCGCCTTGTCGACGTCGGATACGGTCGTACTGCTGCTGCAACACATATGCCGTACCTTTTACGACACCGAGCAGTCCATCCTCGTCGACTCGCTCCGTCGCAAGTCCGTGTCAGTCATCGGTCGTGCTTCGAATCTCTCGCTGCTCCTGTCTCTCCCCCACTTGGGTCCCGTCGTGTTCCCATTCTTGCCAGCGTGGACTGACTTTCGCCGCTTTCTCGCTGCGTTTACTCCCTCCAGACTCAGCATCAGGGACGACGAGCTGGCTGGGATGATGTTGATGCAGAAAAAGGACGTCGCCGCCGTCGCCAAGCGGCTGATCGAAGACCAACTCTTGTCGAGGTGAGCTTCAGAGGTCTGGAGATCAGCCCACAAAGTCCCCCCACACGCATGCGCTACAGCATTGCCTCTCCCGTCACCTCCCCACGCCTATCAGCTTCATGCGCCGGGAAGCGATTGAAGGCACGACCAAGAGCTTCACCTACAAGCGCAAGACCGAGGCGATGCTCAAGGGCCAAAAACTCGGCCACGACGACGGCCCCAAGATGCAGAACAAGACCTACTACTACATCGACCCGTCCAAGACGACCGACAACATCAAATGGAGGCTCTACCAGGTCAGAAAGGTTTTGGACGACCAGGACAGGAATGTGCGTACTCGTCGGTCGAGGACAACAATTGGCGGTGCTAGGGGGAAAAAAACCCTGACTTTTGTTACTTTCGCGCTCTTTCTCTCTCTTTCCGTGTCCCGCCCCCTGCAGGAGCTCGACGCACAAGGCTACTTTTGCCCGCTGTGCAAGGCCGAGTACACCCACCTCGACGCCGGCGGGTTGCTCGATTTCGCTCGCAATGTCTTGGCGTGCTCGATCTGCGGTACCGAGGTCGTCGACAAGGAGACGATCGTCGTGTCCAAGAGCGCTCACGGCAACGTGCAGAAATTTATCGAGCAGACCAAGACCGTGAGCGAGCTGCTGAGGAGCATAGAAGAAGGTGTCTTGCCGAGGTCAGTCTTCTGGCTGCTTACTCGTTGTGGGTTCGTTTCAAAGTAGACGGTCACCGAGCCCTGATCACTCGTCATGGTCGCCTTGTTCTTCACGGTCCCATAGGTTCGACATTGAAGAGTGGTTGGCCGCGAAGGACGCTGATAAGGCTCGCAACGCCACCCACGGCTCCGGTGACAGCCACCGGCTCGCTCACGTGAACGTCCAGATCGCCGGCGACGAAGACGAAGAGATAGAGCGCTTGAAGCGCGAGGCTGAAAAGGAGGAAAAGCGACAACAGAACCAGTTGCCGACCTGGATCGCCAACTCGACTGTCACGGGCGAGGCGAGAGAGGCACCGATTCACCATCCTGCGCAGTCGGATGACACGAAACCTCGGCTCGGGCTCGATGCAAGATCGTCGGCGGCAGCGGAAGAAGGCCAGCCGACGCCCACGACGGCAGCCACTGTGGGCGCGGGTGTCGAGGGAGAGTCACATGCAGGGCAGGACCCAGAAGAAGACGATCTCGACGCGTACTATGCCCGCATGGTCGCTAACAATGCACCGCCACCAACAGCGACGACCACGAGTGTCGAGCAATCGCCCCTCTTCTCGCCGCTCGCGACGCCCGCGGCGCTGGAAGGTTCTGCGACCCCCGTCGCCGCGACCGACTCTCCGCTCCCGCACGCAGTCAAACGAGCTCGTGAAGACACCGACGGTTCCAACGTCGACGATCGCAGTAAAAAGTTCAGGGTCGAAGATGTCGTAAAGGGAGATGCGGATGCGGGCAGAACTGACGATAAAGGTGGAGGTGGAGGTGACGTTGCTGGTGGCGACGATCACGAGGATGACGACGACGACGATGACGACGACGAGGTCGAGGACCCTAACCCGCTCATCACCGTCGGCGATCTCCAGATCGCGTTCGACCAGATCACCGAGGCACATACGGAGGCGATGGTGAGTTTTCAAGCACTGGCTGGGGAATACATGACTCTTGAACCTGACTGACCTCGTCCCCGCGCGGCCGTTTTTCACCCATAAGACGCCGGAGGAATACACGGCAAGTCGAAAGAGCGCCCGCTTACTTTCGCAAGTACTGACACCGCGCTTTTGTACCCTTCTTAGATCTATTTTGACCACTATAGTCGACTCGGTTGATTTCAATCACTTTTTCGGCACCTGTTGTAACATAGAGCAGTTCTGCATCGACGGACGCACCTGCGAGGTTTGGGAACTCTACACAGAAACTTGACTTGAGTCAATCGTGCTGTGCGATCCACTTACAAATAAGATGTACTGGCCCATGTCGATGATCGAAAACGAAACGGAAAAAATCTCGGACCGCGGCCCCAGAGTGTGCCCTTGCTCCCGTCACCTTCGCATCGATAATTCCTGTCATCCAAGCGTATATTGCAAGCTTTGTTTCTGAGATGGAAATGTACTGCTATTGCTTCCGCTGCTATTGCTACAAGCGAGAAGAAAAACAACCTCTCGCACGAGCCAGAACACGGGAAAGAAGATGACGCGGTAACACCAAGCACGCCTCACAGCTCATTCCCTCGATCCATCCTCGAGTCAAGTCCTCAGCGTCCCGTCGTTGAAGTTGCGGCGAGCGCGTTTGAGTGCGGGCTCAATGCTGTGAAAGCTTTTAGTTCGATAAACTCCGAAGCGAGCTACACATGCGCGCGCGAAACTTATGGATCCCGTAGGGCATAACTTGCCGTATGTCTGCAAGGATCAAATCTGATTCCGCATCCATTGAAATTGTTCGCTTCTTTGGCTGTGTAGTCCAGGTGTTGTGAGGGGCTGGCAAAAAAAAAAAAAAAAAAAAAAAAAAAAAACAATTTCAATCGCTGCTGATTGAAATCAGAAGGGAGCCGTTCACGGTGCAAGATAACTTTGGTCCTTGCAGACAGACGTCGACAGATCGTCGAGAGCCAAGTCGAGATAGTCCTCATCGGCGTCGCGAGGGCCAGACCGAGCACGGGACAACGCAGCCTGTCGATGGGGAAGTGGCCAAGATCGCAGCTTACGAGCGGTGCGAGGAGGCGCGAGTGCTGCCGTACCACCTCAGAACGATTCGCTTCTGGCACCGATGGCGAGGATGAGGACTCGGGAGCAGGAGGCCGAACGCCGAGCGACAAGGGGGCAAGTTGGTGCCAACAACAGAGAGGCGCAAAAGGACAGAAAGTGGAAGCAGGGTCAGTTGACGGGCGTACACTAAAGGTGAAGACCGGACGTGTTTACGCACGCCACGACAAGTGTGGTCGGAAAGGGTTTGTGGGACACTTTAGCAAGCACCGCTGTTCTCCGACCGCTAGGTTCGACTTCGTTGCGCCTCTACCCATCGGCGTACTCCTAATTTCGTTCGCACATTCGAATGCCGTTGTACGTGCAGGCAGTCCAAATTACCGCCGGGAAAAAAGGAGTATGAGGCCCACGACGTCGATGTCATCGGGTGCGACCTTGCTCGATGTGCTTGGCAGTTCGGTACCCGAGTCACCCACCACGCAACCCCGACTCCAAGTGAGCATAAAGGCAAGGAGAGGGAAGCCACTCACAGGCGGTATGTGCCGGCCTTGAATAGGAGATCACGGGTCGCTCGACCCAAAGAGAAAACAGACCCGGCCCTTGAGTGGAGTGGAAAAACTTACGGCGGAGTCCGGGAGAGGGTCGAGAGATCCGCTCTCGCTGTGTGACATCGTGATGTGGCAGAAGCTCGAACTAAGGGCGACGATGCCCAGCGGCGCAGACAAGCCGAGGCTCCTGAAGAGTACGGCAGCCTATGAGGAGGAATGGCAAAGAAAAAGAGAGATAAAGCAGGTTCAGTATCCAGCTTTCGGGTGGGGTGGGGGGGGCAGTGAATGGGGAAGAGTTAAAGGTGACTTGTGACTTTGATTTTGATTTTGATTTTGCTTGAGGGAGGGGTACGCGGTCATCGCGCTAATCTGGGCTCCAGCCTCTCCTTCAGTCCCGCCATCTCCCCATTCATGCTCGACATTGCTCTGGCGTCACGATGAAGATTCCAGAATCTGCTGCTGAGAGTGTCGAGCGCCAGCGAAATGAAGGCGCGGATTGAGCGGCTTTTTCGACGTCGGAAGGCGAGCGCGCAGTCGAGGGAGGCCGTGCTCGATTTGAAATGCTGCGTAGGTTGAGGTCGAGGATCGACACGGCTCCCAGCACGTCACAGAGATTGAACCTAGCGGCTTACCAAGTTCGAGAACAGTTAGGGCAATTATGCCAAAGCGATTCAAGTCATCCTCCACTCCTGACAGGCTGCATGCCTGCACATGGACGCAGATTGAGTCGCCATGCCGCTGCACAAACTGGCACTTTCGCGTGGGCGCGAAATGATGCGCCAGCTTGAAGTGAGCCTCGCGCTTGCCGATCGTGGCGGGCCCGGTGTTGAACGACGCCCAGAAGAATCTCCTTTCTCTGGGTGTGGAGAGTGCTCCAGGGTGTTCCGTGTCGTCGAAGCGTCGATGGTTGATGACGCGTCGAAGTCGCGCAATGGTGTAGTTCAAGCTCAACCTTTTCCACTGATCACGCAAGGGCGCGGAGAGGAAGGGATGTTTTTGACCCGACATGCCGATTTGAGTCGCTCTGGCCAAGAGGTGATCGAGGTGATCGCCGGGCCGGACTCCATGTGCTCCAACGACACGAATGACGGGCGTTCGACGTGCGACGCTCGGAACGAACCTCTCGTCCCCCGCGGCCACGAGACTAACCATGCGTTGTCGTAGATTAGCGAGGTCGGGTTTGTTGCAAAACCATCCTGGTCGCCTTAACCAGTACACCAAAAGTGAAGGCACCTTCAAGAGATGCATGCGCCGAATCCTCTTTCAACACTCCCACTGATTCTAGCATGAATCACACATTATTGCATCCTTTGCATGTAGCACAAGGAGAGGAACTTTTTTCACCTCTTGGGACGCATCCCCCAACAATGGATTGCTACAGCGGGCGGGATCCGAACCGCAGATGTCTTGCCAACAAGAGCAGCAATTGCTCGTTAGGCTCATAACCTGTTGTGGATTTGGACTTGGAGTACCAATGAATGAATGAAGATTCGCTGTAGCTACGCGGCGTTGATAGATGACCTATTGTGAGATAGAGTATCGCCAAGGTCAATCAACTTGTAGCAGGCGAATGGGCGAGATAGATATCGAGTGTGTGTTAATGTATTACAACTAACCTATTGTGAGATAGAGTATCGCCAAGGTCAATCAACTTGTAGCAGGCGAATGGGCGAGATAGATATTGAGTGTGTGTTAAAGAAGAGGGAGAGAGTGAACGAAACCAGAGCCTTAGATAGTATCCGCGTGCAAGCCACCTCTGAGTCCAATCAAGACACCACACCGCCATCTGCCTCCATCCGGCGCCGCGCCACGCGCGCGCCAACTTCCCAATGCCACAAGTCCCTCTGGACCGCTGACCCTTTACTAATTTCCCACAACACTCCCACTGGTCAAGGCTCCAAGGGATACCATCCCCAATCCATCACGATGAAGTTCGAACAAGTTGCGAGCGAGCGGCTTGGTGAGAAGATCCGCAGTCATGGCTCCTGTCTTGCAATACTTGATTCGAATGTCGCCAATCGTAACTCGCTCGCGAATGTAGAAGTGATGCACACTGTAGTGCTTCGTCCTACCATGATGAGCCGGGTTCTGTGCGATCGCTATCACCGCCTGATTGTCCTCCCAGAGAAGTGTAGATCCAGGTTGTTGAATCTTGAGATCCGCAGCCAGGCGTCGAAGCCACATGGCCTCCTTTGCTGCCGCAGAAGCAGCCAAGATCTCGGCCTCAGTAGTCGAAGTCGCAACCATCGATTGCTGCTTACTCTGCCAAGAAATTGCTGCGCCTGCCATGATCGAGACGAACGCTCCTATCGACTTGCCAGTCAACATGTCGTCTCCCCACGAGGCATCTGAGTAGAGTTCGAACACGGTGGAACCCTCGAGGTTGTACTTGAGTCCCCAGTCAATGGTACCTTGCAAGTAGCGGATGATCCTCTTCACCGCGATCCAGTCGGCCTGGGTAGGAGCTGAAACCTTGGAAGCTGCTGCACGAACCGAAGTGACGATGTCGGGACGAGCACGATGCGCAGCATACTGCAAAGCTCCCACTGCTGACTGGTAGAGTGCAATGTCGTCGAACGGCTCCGTCGAGTGTTCCATGTTCGACCTGGGCTCCATCGGGACCTTCGCTGGGTGCTTCGATCCGTGATCTCCGCCATACGTAGCGACGAGGCTCCTGATGTACTTGGACTGGTGCACGAAGATGAACTTGGACGTGCGCAGGAATTCGAGACCGAGAAACACCTTCACAGGACCAAGTCGCTTGAGTTGGTACACCTTGTTGAAAGCTTGGATCTCCGAATCCAGAAACATCTGATCGTTCGAGGCAGCGAGTCCATCATCGACGTAGAGAGTAATGTAGACGAACATCTCCTCGACACGCTTGACGTAGAGACATGAATCGGCGTCAGATCGCGAGTAACCACAAGCGACCATGAGGTTGTTGACTGCCGAGTTCCATTCTCGAGGAGCTTGCTTCGTTCCATACATTGATTTGACAAGACGAAGGACTTGGCCAAGCTGAGGACGATCCCAACCCTTGGGATACTTCATGTAGACCATCTCCGTCATCGTTCCGTTCAGAAACGCTGAGTCGTAATCGAATTGTTCGAGGCACAGTCCTTGGGATGCAGCGATGGCGATGAGAAAGAGAATCGTCGTAGAGCGAGCAACGGGAGCGAAAGTCTCGTTGTAGTCGATGCCAGATCGCTGTGCAAAACCTTGCGCGACCAATCGAGCCTTGTAACGAATGACTTCTCCTTGAGCGTTCTCCTTACGAGCGAAAACCCACTTCGACCCGAGAGCGCGAGCACCGTGGGGAAGATCCGAGTCTGCAAGGACTTGATGACGATCCATCGCATTGAGTTCGTCCTGGATAGCTTCCTTCCACTTGTCCGCTTCGGCACTGTTCATCGCTTCTTCGTAGCTGCTGGGTACGGCCGGACGATCCGTGCTGATCATCGCATAGCCAGACATGATGGGTGGTTCGGGATCGAGTTCGGGTATCTCTGTGACGAAGAGACCTTGTTGTTCCGCGATGCGCCTTTGGCCACGAGTACGCTGATGAATCTCGTTGCCTGCGTCGATCTCCTCAAACCTGCCTGGGTTTCGACCCCTAACCGCGGGATCTCCGTATTCCCAACGAGGACGGTTCGGACGAGCAGGGGCTATCTGATCTCCAGCAACCTCATCCTGAAGTTCGTCTCCGGCGTCGTTGCCTTCCAAGACGGGACCCTCATCTTCATCTGGCCCCTCGAGCAAAGTCGTGACCTCCGGTGCACGGACCTCCTCTGGTTGTAGGTTCAAGACCGCGATGTCGCGTGTGATGATCACCTTGTGTTCCGAATCGGAGTCGACGAGCACGCGATAGTTGTACTCGTTGTCATACCCGATGAACGTTCCCCTGACTGAAGTCGGCTCGAGCTTAGAGCGTTTCGACATGGGGACTTGCGCGAAGATGGTCGATCCAAATGGACGAAAGTGCGAGACCTTGGGCTTTTTTCCGTAGAAAACTTCGTAAGCCGTCTTGCCATCCAACTTGGAGTGTAGGACCCGATTCGCGACGAACGTGGCGTACTCCATCGCATAAGACCAGTACTTCCAGGACAGCTTGGAGGCTGCAAGGACCGCACGAACGATCGCCATCAACGAGCCGTTGAAGCGTTCAACCGTTCCATTCTGTTGCGGGGTGTACGGTGCTGAGGTCTCATGGAGAATTCCTTGACTTTGGAAATCTGCGCCGATGAGCTTGTTGGTGAACTCGTTGCCAATGTCCGTGCGAACGCGCTTGATTTTGCGACCAGTCATCTTCTCGACACCTTGTCGAAATGCGATCCATACGCGAGTGACTTCTTCGGCCGACTTGGTCTTCAACGGAAACGTCCACTTCGCAGTCGAGTACTGGTCTACAATAGCCAGGTACGCCTTTCGACCTTGAAAATCGACTTGATCTTCTGCGACGAATCCGATGTCCATGAATACGCGTTGAAGGACGTCGGTGACATGGGTAACCGACTCGGAGAACTTCGATGCGCGAGATTTGGAACTGATGCAGGGCTCGCAGTCGTGGACCTTCTCGTCGGTGAGAACTAGTCCATCTACAGCGCCTGACTTGACGAGCTCCTTGAGCGAGCTCACGGCGATGTGGCCGTAGCGACGATGCCATTCCATCAAAGGCGCTCCCACTGTCGCACGAGTTGCAACATGAGCTTGGTCCTCGACAATGCGCGTAAAGTCGAGGGTGTAACCGGTACCGTTCAGCGTCTTCGCTACGGTAAGCCCTTTGATCTTGATCGTCATGACATCCCTGCCATCTTCCCATCCGCAACTAGCTCCTGATCGGTATAAAGCACGAGTCGAGACGAGGTTCACCGGAGCGCCCGGGAGATGGTAGACGTTCGAAAGTGAGAGCGAGGCCCCGCTTCTCAACTTGAACCGTACCGTACCATACGTGTCGCAATGTACTACCTGACCGCTCGCGGTTTGAACGTTCAGACTTCCATGTTGACGGTCGGTAAGCAGACTTGCGTTGCCGACGTAGTGCTGACTTGCACCGGTGTCCAGGATCCAGATCTCACTCTGGTCGTTCTGTGACACCCTATTCGCGACGTTGATGTGAAGCGAATGGCTCTCCTCGAGAGACTTGACCACCAACGCAAAAGAAGCCGACTCCTCCGAATCCGCAGATCCCTTGGAATGCTGATGTTGCTTCTTCTTCTTGTTGCTGTGGTTCTTGTTACGACCGCGTTTGGCGTTCGGATCGTACTTGGGACATTCCGGATCGATTTGGTAATGACCGGTTCCCTTGCAACCACGACAAATGCAGTTCGGATCACGCTTGACTTGCGTGCCTTCGCGAACCGCTAACGCTCCCGCGTTCTTGAGTAACTTGTCGTACTTGCCAGTGAGCTTGCGTTCACTGTACTCGTCGGTAAGTCGATTGACGGCGTAGTCAACCGAGCACTTATCGCTGAGCTTTATAGCTTGCTTGAGCATCTCGTATGAGGGAGGTAGAGCTTGAAGCATAAACGCGACGATGGCTTCATCCTTGAACTTCTGGCCGAGATCTTCGAGTTGATCGACCTTGTCCGTGATGTCCTTGAGAAACTCGCCGAGGTTGGTGTCCTCATCGTACGAAGCATTCGAAATCTCGTAGAGTAGCGTGCGAATCTTGAACGGATCGGCGTTCCCTTCGTGGTGTTGTTTCAACTTCTCCCAGATGTCTTTGGCTGAAAGCGACTTGCTCTTGACCATCTTGAGATTCGAATCGTCGAGGCACGAGATGATGATCGCGCGCGCACTACGATCCCACTTGGTGATTAGAGTCGGGACCTTGCCCTCCTCTAGACTTGGGTCGATGCCATGGAGAGTCTTCCATGCTTGCACATCCATACTCGATGGTCGGTCGGCTCCGTGTTGAAGTACACTGCTGTAGCCACGACCTTCGAGGAACGCGTCGACTCGGATCGACCACAGCTCGTAGTTATCTTTACCGAGCTTGGTGATCTTGACGTCCCCTTCATTCGATACATTGGTGGTAGTCGTCGAACTCATAACCTGTTGCAAAACCATCCTGGTCGCCTTAACCAGTACACCAAAAGTGAAGGCACCTTCAAGAGATGCATGCGCCGAATCCTCTTTCAACAGGGTTGCAACTATAGACATTAATTTGCAACATGTGCCAAATCTTGACTTTTGTGCGAGACAGAGACGATCGGCGCATCAGCGACACTGCGCGGCTGTCACTTTGTCACTCGGACGAGGTCCAGCTTGGACCATCAATTCCAGCCAGCGAGCGATAGGGTATGGTTGAAAGGTTATCACATTGCAAGGTTCTCTTCCGACCATCGAACAGCCACCAGATACCGCTCACTTGAACTCGGATCTCTTCGAACAGCGCTGTCGCTGTCTTGACTTTTTCGATCGTCGTCTACTTCCGTTGCTAGGGCATGCTGATCGCCGTCTTGAGAACAGGCGGTGTCATTCGTATATGGTCATATGGGTTGTCCCGTCCTTCATCTGATTATTGTTCCTTTTATGGTACTTGGGATTGAGCCTAGCGGCGTGTCATTATCTCCTTAGTCACTCAATCTCCCTACTTTACTAGTCTCTAATCTCTCTCCTTATTAGCTTTACGCTTCACTTTCTAGCCTTCCGCGAGTCTGTCCCTTAGTCTCTGGCCACTCTGTTCTCGTCCCTGTTCATTGGACTGAGTCGTGGTCATCATCAGCTACCACTCGAGAACATTTCTGCAATAGGCGGCAGCGAAGCTATCTCGGGCGTTGGAAGGGGGACCGAAGCAGACGTAGAGCGCTGTCGTGAACTCTCAGCCACTCGACCACCTTTTTTTTCGCGCGCAGTGTTGTGGTTTTTTTTTTTTTTTTTTTTTTTTTTTTTCTTTGCGCGCGCAAAGGAAATAAAAATAAAAATCACACAACACTATCCTTCGGGTTGGCTCGGACCGCTAGAAAAAGAGCTAAAAGAGGTTATAAAGCAACGACGGCAAGCAATTGGGTGAAAGTCAAACCCCTGCGCAGATCAAAACCCGCCGAGCACCTAACGCGGACTCCAACGGGCGGTGAGTACTGCTGCCGCTTCACGTCCCAAGAGCGGGAGCGAAGATACTCGAAAACCAGGCAAGAGCGCCTAGAGAAAGAAAAGGGGAGAATATACAAACATTCACGACTGGAAACACGGAGAACCAGGAATACTAAGACAGAGAGGAGGGGAGGAGGAGGGGAACACACCCGAGGGGCCAAGGGAGGGGGTCGAAGCCAGAGCTAGAGGTCCCCAGGGACTGACAGGCCGCAGCCAAGCCCCAGCTACTCGTCACCCCGACAGCGCCTGATGTCCTCCCTTGGCTGAGTCTCGAGTGCTGGCTGTTGAGCCGTCGGGGCCGAACGAAAACGATCCAATACAACGAAACGAGCCTCGCCTTGACGCGAGGATATTGACCAAAAAAACGAGCGACCTTTCTTCCCGATCCATGCCGTAGATCTTGACCAACGCGAACGAACGATCTATTCGACGGAATCCAACACACGGCTTAGGAATAAAAGGAGAAGTGGCTGAAGCGTAGTCAACAACCGAGCAACAGGAACGAGAAGAGGAAGGGAAGGGAAAAAAGGGGGGGAAAAGGAGGGGAGAACTTCACAAAGCCTCCAACGCAACGACGATCGACCCGGCTTGCCGATCCATCCAAGAACGAAAACCGCTACTGCACAAAGTAGAGAGAGGGAGAGGTGCGCAGCCTTCCACTGCGCAACAAGTTTCAAGACTGTCAGCTTCTGGAAGAAAAGTCGACCTCCGAAAAGGAAGGGAGGAAAGGAGGGGAGAGAGAGGAGGGGAGAAAAATGGGAAGGAAGGACTTAACTCGGTCATCACACCTCCCAATCTCGAGCCCCAGGCACAAAGCCCGCTCGAGAGAGAAAATCTCGCTCGAACGCTCTGAGCGCACTGGGAAGCGAGGGAGAGGCCATGACTTTGTCCAGCTCGAACCGCTGATGAACGCGCCAGCGGAGCAGGTGCAGCCGCTGGAAGCCGATCGCGCAGGCCAGCCGAACCCACATCCATTTCGAGGTCGTTCTCCCACGACCCCGCAAAAGGGGGAGCCCCATAGTCAGCTGCTCCGGAGTGAACGTCGACGGATCGACGTCGGTATCCTTGATGCCGAGCTTGTCAAGCAGAATGCGTAGCACCCCACCCCAGAAGCTGGTCGAGTACGCGCACTCGAAAAAGTAGTGGGACACCGTCTCGATGACCGCTGCATCGTTGCCACAGAACAGACACGTCGGCGAAGAGGCATGACCCTGAGTATGCTGCCTCTTGCGCGTCGGTGTCACGTCGTACATGAGCCGCCAGTGGGTGTCCTGCTCGACAGCAGACGCGAACCGGTCATGAAGCCATCTCCAGAAGCGCTTCCTATCGCTCTGAGAAGTCCCATCAGGGAAACACTTGACACGGTCCTCCCTCCCTGGGAACCGCACCTTGTTCACAAGCCGATGAAGCTTGCGAATCATAAAAGGTCGGGAGAGCCCAAAGAAGTTGAAGCACCGAGGACGGGGAGCCTCCTTGAGAGGTATCCGAGCAGGTCGCAACGCGGTCTTGGGCAGCAACGCTTTCGCCTTGAGCAACTGACCCACGCGCGACCACACGTGCTCGTGCTGTAGGGCGGGTTCCTTAGAGTGCTGCCAGAACCCGCGTCGATGACCAACCAGAGCCCATCCCTTCCCTTCGTCCCTCCAGTACAGGTCCGCGATCTGCGCAAACTTCGCCACCGCGTCCGCATCGTCATATGCGTGCTGGGCACCTTCAGCATAGAGTGAAGGGAGGCGAGGCGGAAGCGAGAGCAATTTGGGAAGCGTAAGGAGTTCGGACTTGATGATTGGAACTGTGACCCTGGCCGCTGCAACGACTGCCCCCCAGCGCGTCGAGTCGCGATACAGCTTCTCGACCCGAGCCGTGCTGCTGAAGAACCCCCACGGACTGAAATCGCGGGTCGCAGCGACGAGGGACCTCCAGCTCTTGCGAGCTAGGGGCGCCCAGATCGCCTCGTCCGAGCCCGCCACAGCATCCCAAAATCGAAGCGCCACCGAATGAACGATGTCGCCAATCGAAATCAAACCCAAGCCACCGTCCTCCCTGTTGAATACCATACACTCTTGCTTAGGTCGATCTCCAGCCCGCGCCCAGCCTAGCCAGCCGCGCGCCGCTCGGACCCCTTTTGGACTTAGAGATATTTCGCGCACTCGCACCGCGAGCCTCTTTAGTCTTCCCCCTAACGCTCCAAACTACTTCCTAACACTCGTACTGTGTCTCGTGTACTCACTGGTTGCCGATCCAGTCCCCTCTCGAGACACACGACTTAACAGGTTATGAGCCCGAGCTAAAGCTGCTACAACGATGCCTTCACCACCATCGTCACTTGCCACCATCATGATCGCGTTCGTCATCATCATCGCTCTGTACCACACCGTTGAAACCGCCCTCGCCCATGCGACCGGCCGTTACCACACCATGACGCAACTTGACACGTCGCACCTGGACTCGACTGTGAGCGTGACAGTCCGGCCCAGCGTGAACGTCGTCGCACTCCTAGGTCGTCTACCATTGAACCGTGAGCTCCACCTTCCAAATGACACCCTTGTACTCGACTCGGGCGCCTCCCACCACATGGTCAAGGACGCGTCTCTCTTCGACGCCTGGCACACACGGTCACACGTCGCCGTCGATGGCGCTGGTGGGTCACTCATGGCACAAGGCACCGGCTCGATCATGATACGAACGTCGAAACAACGAACGATCAAGCTCTGCAACGTCTACTACGTCCCCGACCTTCCGGCCAACCTGATCTCGGTCATGCAGCTGCGCCGCGAGCGCGTTTACACCCACTTTGGCAAGACCATCGAGCTCCGGTCACAAGGTCAACTCATAGGTGTGGCATCCCTCATTGCGAATCAACTGTCGACACTGGACGCCACCCCAATCCGCAGCACGGTGTCACCGGTCGCAGCAGCCGCCATCCCTCTCCTGACTCTGCACCAACGATTCGGCCACCTATCCCTCCCCAACCTGCGAAGGGCAGTATCGTCGGGTCAACTCCAAGGTCAAACATGGACGTACTCGGCGGCCGAATGCAAGGCCTTCTCCTGCGACACCTGCAAAGCCGCCAAAGCAACAAGGACGCCTTTCCCAACGTCGGACTCTCGCGCTTCGCAACCACTCGAACTGGTCCACTCCGACGTCCTCACTCTGCCCGAACCCGCCACCGATGGGGAACGATACGTTGTCACCTTCATCGACGATTTCTCCCGGAAGACGTGGGTCAGCGCGCTGAGGAACAAGAGTCAGGTCTTCGACACCTTCCAGCGTTGGCACGCCATGATCGAGCGCTCGACGGGCCTCAAGCTCCGCACGTTACGAACGGACAACGGCGGTGAATATACGTCCAAAGCCTTCATCGAGTACTGCTCTCTTCACGGCATTACCAGGCAACTCACGTTCCTTACACCCCGGAGCAAAACGGCCGAGCCGAACGGACGAACCGCACAATCGTCGAGGGGACGATTGCCCTGCTCCAGCACTCGGGACTGCCCATGACACTCTGGCGCGAGGCCCTCCGGTACGTTGTTGACACCAAAAACCTCAGCCCGCACAGCGCCATCGATCACAAAATCCCGGACACTATCTGGTATGGCAAACCTCCCAGCACGGCAAACCTGAGAGCATTCGGCTGCCGCGCCTGGCACACCACCCCTCGGCACAAGCGGGCAAAACTCGACCCCAAGGCCAAACCATTCATCTTCGTCGGCATCGAAAACAAAACCAAGGCCTGGACGCTGTACGACCCAGAAACAACTTCGTTCTTCCAGAGCCGCGACGTCAGATTCGATGAGAACGTCTTCCCCGCTCGAGATGCCCCGACTGGCCAACCGAAGCCTCGCGCGACGTCCACTGCTGGCGACTGGACCTTCGTTGACGCTGCACATGGCTCCCGCACTGTCCCACGTCTGTCACTCCCGCCCGTCGTGCACGAAAATCGATTTGCCGCACTTGAGACCGACGCGAGCGACGACGCAACAATCGAAATGTCCGATGATGGTTTTGATACCCCGTCCGACATGTCCATGGCTCAGTTCTCGCTGTCACCCCCCGCGTCGGACGTGACCGATGACTCGGCCGACCCCATCGACTTCCTGTCATGCCCGTCTCGCGCCGCTGCCTTTGCCGCCACCACTGCAGATTCACCGGTCGTCGAACTCGAAGGGCCAACCGAGGACCCCCAGAATTGGTCGCAGGCGGTCAAGTCAGGTAAAGAGGAGATCTGGAGGCAAGCAGCAGCCGACGAGTTTCACTCCCTTACCACCGAGTACAAATGCTTCACCCCTGTTGACTCCTCCTCACTGCCCCCTGGCGCCAAAGTCCTCGGATCCAGGTTCATCTTCCGCACCAAACGCGACCAACTTGGCAAGATCACTTCGCACAAGGGCCGGCTCGTTGCACAGGGATTCTCCCAGCGCCCAGGTATCGATTACGACGAGACTTTTGCCCCTGTTGCCAAGTTCACCTCCATCCGAGCTCTCATCGCCCTGGCCGCCGCCAAGAAACTCCACGTCCATCAGGCCGACGTTGACAAGGCGTACCTCCACGGCGAGCTGAAGGAAGACCTCTACATGCGCGTCCCACAAGGTGTTGACATGCCCGGTAAAGTCCTCAAGCTCCATCGATCGATCTACGGCCTCAAGCAGGCCGGCCGAGTCTGGAACGAGCACATTGACTTGACGCTGAAAAGCCTCCACTACCGCGCCACAGCCAAGGACCACTGCGTGTACGTACGACGCGACGGCGACCACTACCACTACATCGCCCTCTACGTCGACGACTTGCTGATGGTCAGCCCCTCGGAGGACGAGATTGAGCGCATCCTCAACGGCCTGGAGCAAAAATACGGCATCAAGCGACTTGGCCCAGCCCAGTACATCTTGGGGATCCAGATCAAGCGACAGGCCGACAAGTCCATCATCCTGTCGCAAGAGGCGTACATCACGAGCATCCTCCGCAGATTTGGCATGTCAGACAGCAGCCCCGCCTCCACGCCCATGGCCCCGAACCGACAGCTCGAACATTCGCTCGCGGAAACATCCAAAACTGCTCGGACACGCTACATGCAGGCTATTGGATGCCTCCTGTACGCCGCCACCGGTACTCGCCCGGACATTTCCTACGCTGTCGGATACCTCGCACGCTTCTCTGCCAGTCCCACACCCGAACACTGGACGGCCATCAAGACCGTATTTCGGTACTTACGTGGAACCGCACGTCTAGGCCTGCACTACAGCTCTGAACAAGGCAAGTTCTCAGGCTTCACCGGTTACTCTGATGCAGACTGGGGAACCTGCACCACATCGTCACGGTCGACCATGGGGTACAGCTTCCACCTGGCCGGATCTGTCATCTCTTGGTCCTCCAAAGTGCAAAACCGTGTGGCCGACTCCACCACAGACGCCGAGTACCTCGCCCTCTCACACGCCTCCAAGGAAGCTGGTCACCTGCAAGAACTGCTTATGGAACTGGGCATCGACACACGAGCTCCCGTCCAGCTGTACGGCGACAACCAAGGTGCTATTGCTCTCGCCAAGAACCCCACCCTTCACCACCGGTCCCGTCACATTCGCATTCGTGAGCACTTTGTACGCGACCAGGTCAGGCTGGGCACCATCCAAGTCGACTATGTGGACACGAAAACCATGGTCGCCGACATCTTCACCAAGGCACTTGGACCCTTGGTGTTCAAGGTACATCGTGACAACCTGGGTCTTCGAGGCTAAGTAAGCTTCGAGCGAGGGGGGGTGTTGAATTCCATACACTCTTGCTTAGGTCGATCTCCAGCCCGCGCCCAGCCTAGCCAGCCGCGCGCCGCTCGGACCCCTTTTGGACTTAGAGATATTTCGCGCACTCGCACCGCGAGCCTCTTTAGTCTTCCCCCTAACGCTCCAAACTACTTCCTAACACTCGTACTGTGTCTCGTGTACTCACTGGTTGCCGATCCAGGTTAGTTGTAATCCTAACGCTCCAAACTACTTCCTAACACTCGTACTGTGTCTCGTGTACTCACTGGTTGCCGATCCAGTCCCCTCTCGAGACACACGACTTAACACTCCCGAGCCTGGAACACGAAATCGCGAGCGACGGTATTTCGCCCTGCTCCTCCCCAGACAAAGTCCGTAAGTGCCGTCTCCGCCGCCTTAATGAACCATTGAGGCGGTATGTCGAAGGACAGCACGTGGAGGACCGTCGAGATGATGTGAGCGTTGGCATAGAAAACCTTCCCACTCGGCGAAAGTGTCCGGTCTCGAGCGGCGCGGGCCTTGGCCTTGATCCTGTCAAGAACATGGGTCCAAAACAGTTTCGAGTCACCGTGGCGAAAGAAGGCATAGCCGCACCACTTGAAGCTCTCCCCCTCCTGCACCGTTGGCAGCGCCTGCGCAGTCTCGTCCCGAAGCCAGTTCGGTCCGAGTGGTAGCACCAGCGTCTTGTCCATGTTGGTCTTCCCGTTGGTAGCCTCGTACCACGTCTGCGACAGCGTTTGCAGCTTCGACAATGCCGCCGGTGACTCCACCACCACCACAGCATCGTCGGCAAACACCAGATGCGTAAGCTGCGCACGCGGCCCCCCTGGCCACACCTTCTGCAGGTCGAGCGCGATCCCGCGCCGAACGAGGGCGTCGAGGAAGGGCTGGAACGTGATGTTCCAAACCGGGCACGAGAGGGGATCCCCCTGACCGAGACCACACAGCAACCGCACCAAGTCCGTGGGGAACCCATTGACAAGGTAGCGCACCCCCAGAGTCTCGGGATCGTAGAGAGCGCGCAGTAGCGAGATGAAACGCTCACCGAACCCAAAGGCCTCAAAGACCTCGAAGATCCAGGCGTGATCGACCCGATCGTACGCGCTCTGCTGATCCAAAGACAAGAGGGCGCCCTCGGGGAAAACATCAGTGCCTAGCGACTTGAGTTTTTCGAGAAGGAGAGTGAGATGACTTCCCGCGTCCGCTGAACGTCTTGATGGCATGAAACCGTGTTGCGCCGGCGGCAAAAGCTCGCCGAGCACCCCATTGAGTCGCGCCACCAAGACCTTGCTGAGGACCTTGTAGGTCGTCTCGCGCAATGTGATCGGTCGGTATGCCCCCAGTGATTTCAGATTGGCCCCCGGTTTATTCTTGGGCAAGAGCCGCACCAGCCCCTCTGCCAAGGACGCCGTCATTTTGCCGCCCTCCCAAATCGAGTTGAACAAGTCCAACAGCTTGGGAGCAAAGTAGGTTGGCAGCGCCTTGAAGAGCTCGTACGGAATGCCCGAGGGCCCCGGTGATCGCCCCGAATCCGTCTTCTTCAACGCCGCTTCAACCTCGAGGAGGGTGAAGGGCTCGTCAAGCGCCACTCTCGCTTGACGAGGCAGCCGACGACCGAACGTAGGGTCCGAGCGGTCGTCATCGTAGCATTTCGCTGCGCGAATAGGGTCGAGCAGGGACCGGCGTGCGTTCGTCGGGTCGCCACGAGCTGGGTCCGGCGTGAAGAGCGACTGCGCGTGCCGTGAAGCAATACCCAGCACCTCCTGCATGTCAACGGTCTCGGTGCCATCCACATCCTCCAGCGAGACGATGCTCGTCTGGCGACTCCGGCGGTTGAGGTGCGTGCGAATGCTTGCCGATTGACCTTCCCTCGAGTCGACTGACGGCACATGCGCACGAATGCGCAGCCACTGAGCCTCCTTTACCGCCAACTGGTCCAACCGCGACTTGGCAAGAGCATACACATCGCGCTCGGCCTCATTCATGTGCTCACCGCGTGCCTCCAAAGCCTCCATGACGGATTGGCTCTCGGCCCGCAGTCGGCGCATGTCGGCACGAGTCGAGCGGTATCGTGCATGGCCAGCGACTGCAACCGCCCGCAGAGCGGCGTCATAGACGTCGCCGAGCGGAGCGGTCCCCTCGAGCCTTTGATAGACCTCGTCGACGACCCCGGGAATCGATGCGACAAAGTCTTGATCGTCAAAGACCATTGGGTTGAGCCTCGAAATGAAATCGCTCGTGGAGGGAAGAGAAAGGGGGGGTTCGGCATCAGCGTTCGATGTAGGCAAAGCGAAAGTCGCAACTACAGGTCTGTGGTCCGAACAGGGCGCATCGAAGAGCGTAGAAGCGCTCAACAACCGGTTCGCCCAACTGCATTGGACAAGAATATAGTCGATCCGCGACCACGAGCAAATCTTTCGCTTTTCCCCTCTACCACGGTAGTGAGGACGAGTGAATGCAGGGGTGCAAGGATGGGCATGTCGGACCGTGTCGAGTGCCTTGAACGCGATCTTTGACAGCAAGGTCTGCCAGTGCGATACAGGAGTCCAAGCGCGATCGGTGATGGACACTCGGTCGACCGATACATCCGGACAATCGTTGAGATCGCCGGCCAAGATCCGAAGAGTCTTGGGTCTCGGGGCGTTGAAGTGCAGAAGCCCGAAAAAGTCGCGACGATCGTCCTCCTGCACCGGCGCGTACATGTTGATGATCTCGACATCGAGCTCCTCAAGACGAAACACCGAGCGCAGAATCCGACCGTCGAAACGAGGAGCTCCTGCAAAGACGACCGGGGTAGAGGAAAGGAGATGGCCCGCCAAAGGTGAGCCATCGGGTATGAGGGTAAGGACATGAGGAGTGAAACGAATACAAGCCCCCGGCCAAGCACTCTCGAAGCCTTCGCGCGACGCGTTGTAGCTGAGGTGGTGCTCTTGCAGGAGGATGGCCGCAGGGGCCGGCCGAAGGGTTTTGAGATAACGGATGATTTTGACTTGGTTGACTGCGTTCTTCATCGATCGGACGTTGAACGTCAACACGGTGAGTGACTCAATCATGATTAAATCAGTTCAGCGCCGCCCCCCTCGAATTCGGTCACCTCGGACCTGTAACCCCCTGAACTGTTGCCCCCTGAGCCATCACCCCCTGATGCACCGAGGATCATGGCGGATCCCGCCCGGGTGACACGTCGGTTGCCGGGTGCCGAGCTCGAACGAAGGCGTCGAGGACTCGTCGAGGCTATCGAGGTTGTCGAGGTTGCCGATGATCCCGACGTGCCACCGGACAAAGGCGAAGGAGAGGTCGGGGTCGAAACGGGCGCCGCCGTCGTCGTCTGCGTCTCCTTTGTTGAGCCCAGGGTCGCACGCGTCGACGTCTCTTCCCCAGTGTCGCCGCCCTCCGGTTCGGTCGAAACGACCGACTCGTCGTCGCCGTCGTTCGCGTCGTCCTTGTTGGCGGTTACTGCACCTGCGGGGTTAGCACGAGGTCCCAGCTGGATCATGTTCGCGCCAGAGACACGAGAGTTCAATGCGGCAGGCCCACCGTGCTTCCCATTCTTTCCAGCAACTCGGAAGCCGGTGGTCGAAGTCGAAGTCGAAGTCGAGGTCGAGCCCCCCGGAACAGGGGCGGCGGTGGCCGGAGTCGAAACCGGCTTCCTGCAAGCGCCCCACTGGTGTCCGGCGCGATCGCACACCGCGCAGTAGTGCGTCTCGAATTCGTGTCGCAAGCCGTACTTGGCGCCCAGGATCTCGATCTCTTGTGGCAAAGCGGCGTTGAGCGCACCCTTCTGCGTCTCGATGGAGCCTTGGAAAAGATCAGCATGTAAGCGAAGGTACGCGCAGTGGAACCCGTCTTCGGTCATGGCCATCGGATCGCCATTCGGATCGACCGCGAGGCCCCGCTGTAATTGCATCAGGGTATAACCTTGCGTGCGACCTGCGCGGCCGAACGAAAGGGTGATAGCATCATCGAGAGATTTTCGGAGCACGGAAGCGGGGATCGCGCTGGAGGAGGAGGGCAAGGTGAATCGCACCTGCACGACGTGGTTAAGGGGAGAGGCGCTGGGGAGCTCGGTAACCATCTCCTTGCCGTGGTAGGGGAATGGGCCCGCTGAAGCGGCTTCAAGACAAGCTTGCTCGGATTCGAATACAAGCTCGTACATGTGACGAGCGATCGGGAACCTCTTCGTGGCTTTCGTCACAATCGGGTTCAGCTTCACGCATTTCGAGAAAAGCTTCTCGACCTCGGGGTCAAGCACGACGCCCTCGGGCCGCGCGAACATGAACGGCGTCTCGGCCAATCCAAAGTGCTTGCGCAGCACGGTCTGTACAGGACCTCTGGGTGATCCAGGACCATCCATAATGACTTGAATCACATTGGAGGCCGGGGCTGCGTCGTTTCGCACCGCTCTTTGGGCGGCTCGTGCGAGCGCTGGCGCCTGCGAAGGCGGGGTCGAGGCGTCGTGCATCAGGACCATCAGTCGGCGGGTCGACTTGCTGGAGGGAACAATCCCGAGCACTTGGAAGGTCTTCTTCATCAGTTTTTATTTTATTTTACTGGGGCTCATAAATTGCAATCCTTCGGGTTGGCTGGGACCGCTAGAAAAAGAGCTAAAAGAGGTTATAAAGCAACGACGGCAAGCAATTGGGTGAAAGTCAAACCCCTGCGCGCAAAGAGCGCTGCGCAGATCAAAACCCGCCGAGCACCTAACGCGGACTCCAACGGGCGGTGAGTACTGCTGCCGCTTCACGTCCCAAGAGCGGGAGCGAAGATACTCGAAAACCAGGCAAGAGCGCCTAGAGAAAGAAAAGGGGAGAATATACAAACATTCACGACTGGAAACACGGAGAACCAGGAATACTAAGACAGAGAGGAGGGGAGGAGGAGGGGAACACACCCGAGGGGCCAAGGGAGGGGGTCGAAGCCAGAGCTAGAGGTCCCCAGGGACTGACAGGCCGCAGCCAAGCCCCAGCTACTCGTCACCCCGACAGCGCCTGATGTCCTCCCTTGGCTGAGTCTCGAGTGCTGGCTGTTGAGCCGTCGGGGCCGAACGAAAACGATCCAATACAACGAAACGAGCCTCGCCTTGACGCGAGGATATTGACCAAAAAAACGAGCGACCTTTCTTCCCGATCCATGCCGTAGATCTTGACCAACGCGAACGAACGATCTATTCGACGGAATCCAACACACGGCTTAGGAATAAAAGGAGAAGTGGCTGAAGCGTAGTCAACAACCGAGCAACAGGAACGAGATGAGGAAGAGAAGGGAGAAAGGGGGGGAAAGAGAGGGGAGAACTTCACAAAGCCTCCAACGCAACGACGATCGACCCGGCTTGCCGATCCATCCAAGAACGAAAACCGCTACTGCACAAAGTAGAGAGAGGGAGAGGTGCGCAACAAGTTTCAAGACAGATTTTTTTTTTTGTAGAAAACGTTCATCATATTGCCCCCAATTCCTGTTCCCCCTGTTTCGGCCTACGGAAAAACTAGATGGAAGACTACGATGATAACACAAACCGCCCGCAAAAGTGCGAGAAACGAGCCAAGTCCACCAATCCGAGATTCGGATTCAAATGCCCTAGCCAAGCGGTTGCTCCCCCCCAGGAGACGAATGAGAGAGAGAAAGAGAGATGAAGAGAAAGAGAAAGAGAAAGAAAAGAAATGTACTAACGACAGAAGGCCCACCCCACAGCCACTTCCCACTCGGTCGAGACGAAGACAAGAGCACGACTGCGCAACCACCACGACCCTCGACGCTCCAAGTCTCTGCTCAGGCACAACAAGACGCGGTGAAGGTCCCTCAAAACCTCCCCCTCGGCAGTCCCTGGCCCCTCAAAGCCGACTTTCTGCCTGTGTCCGCTGATCCCTCCCTTGACTCAGAACCCCGAAGCCGAAGAGCGCGAGCCACACCGAGTCGACGCCAAATCGCGAGATGGTCCATGATCCGCAACGGTGAACCTGTAACAAAAGAAAGAGGAAAGCGAGCTATTTAGTGTACAGTAGGAGAAAATGATGTCACGAGAATTTGGTGTGTGTGTGTGTGGTGGTGGGGGGAAAGTCGAACCCAGCCTCTACTGCCCTCTCCTCCCCCAAGCTCCTCCCGCCCTCAGCTTCAACCTCTCCTCCAAGATGATCCTCCTCCTCCCAACACCCTCCAGCCTCGTCCCCCAATTCTGCATCCCCCACCTCCCGCTGCTGATCATCTCCAAGACCAGCCCGGTCAATATTTCGATCGTCCTCCCCGCTCCTTCCTGATCGCGCAGACTGGCCTTGAGCTTCGGAAGTCCGAACATGCGTTGAACGGCCGTGTAATGCGTGTTGTCGATCGTGTCGAGCCCCAGTGCTTCGCAGAGCACGCCCCTTGCCGCGATCCAAACGTTCCTAGAGTCAACGCAGTCGAAGAAGTAGTGCTCCCGATCGTCCTTGGGCGCTCCACAGACGAGGCACGCGGGCGAGTCGTCGTGCTTTTGATGAAACTGCAGACTCCGAGTCGGGGTGAAGTTCCTGACGAGCTTGAACCACACCTCGCGTTCCCTCGCCGTCAATGCCTTCGAGTTGACCCCCTTCCAGAATCCCTTGAGATCGTCGGGCTGCAGCGAGTCCCTGAAACCGATCGTGTCGGTGAAGGCCTTTGCATTCAAGACTCGGCGGACGCGACGGATGGTGTATGGCCGATCCATGCTGAGCAAGTTGTATTGTGTTGATTGGTCTGGGAGAGCCGGTCTCGGAAGGCGCTGCGGCGGGTCGATCGGATGGGGCAGGATCGACTCGAGCGGCGTGGTGGGGCGGACTCGGGGAGGCCCGTTGATTCGTACTGCCGCCACCGGTTGAGCTATTGGTGTGAACCTCAATCGATTGATCGCATGTCGGTACCATGCCACGATGTGCTCTCGTTGTGGGCGGCCCCGTTGATCGTATTCGCTGTTGCTGACGACCACATCCGTCGGCGGCGTCCAGAGATGAAAGCCCCCGCCCGGGTACAGCTCGCGTCGAAACAGGTCCGCTACCTTGGCGTAAATGGCAAACGCAGCATAGTCGGCGTCGTAGGGTGGTCGCGACACAGCTGGTGCTCCCGGTAGGTAGTGAAGGGTGTGCAACTTGATCGGAAGAGCGAGAAGGTTCGCGAGCGTCAACGTCCTCGGCTTGACTTGCGCATTGTGCGTCGATGGTACCTTCAGCACGGCCTGCCATCTTGGGTGTAGATCGGTTCGGATCGGAGTGTAGTCGCAAGGCCACGCATCGGTTGCCAAGTCAAAGTCGGGGGCGGGATGGGCTCGTACAATCGCCGCGCGCGCAAGTCCCTGCCAGATCGCATCCGAACCGCCAAGAAGCACGTCCCAGACGCGTGCCGCAACCGAGTCGACGACGTCCTGCATCCGCATGACCCCAAGACCCCCCTTGAACCTCGGTGTGAAGACGACGTCCTTGCCATAGCACGACCTCCTCTTGCCGCCGCGGACAAAGTCGGCGAGAATGCGATCAAGCTCCTTGACGACCTCGAGCGGTGGGATGTCGGCGGAGAGGATGTGCAGAATCTTGGGAATGGCGTATCGGTTGACGTAGAACGCTCGGGTGTGGTGTGTGAGCCCTCGGTCCCGTGCCGAATCGAGCACCGCTTCGAGCCGTGCGACGAGATTCACGTTGGCGAGTTCGGTGTTGCCGGTGGGGTCGAAAGATAGGCCGATCCACTCGAGCGACTCGCCCTCGGCCTTGACGACGAGCGGACGATCGCCAGCCTCCCAGCGACACCCGATGGGTAGTACGACGGTCTTGTCGGTGTTGAGCCGGCCATTGGTTGCGAGCCTCCAGTCGAGCGCCAGGTCGTCGAGCAAGTTGAGTGACTCCGAGCCCGCGACGGCGACGACGACGTCATCGGCAAACGCAAGGGATGTAATGGCGCGGCTCTGTGGGTAGGGGTGAATGGTAGGAAGCGAGAGGTTCAGCGCGATGCCTCGACGGTGCAGAGCATCCAGGAACGGCTGGAACACGACATCCCAGACCGACGACGACGCCGGGTCCCCTTGGCCGAGCCCACACGTCAGCCGCACCGGCGGAGTCAAGAAGCCGTTGATGATATATCGCGCCGTGGTTGAGTCACCCGAGTAGAGCATCCTCAGAACGCGTTGGAAGGCGGCAGGAGCGCCGAGAGCGTCGAAGATGGCGAAGATCCATTCGTGCTCGACGAGGTCGTAAGCCGACGATTGGTCAAGAGACAAGAGCGCCGCGTCAGGGAACTCGGTGCCGCGCGCGCCCAGCTCTTCGATCAAGAGTCGCAGGTGGAATGACGCGTCCGCCGATCGGCGGCCCTTGACGAAGCCGTGCTGTTGCGGTGGGAGCAGGTCCGGCAGCACGTGGTTGAGTCGCGCAACGTAGACCTTGGTGAAGAGCTTGTAGTCGCACTCGCGCAAGGTGATGGGCCGGTACGACGAGAGCTCGGCGCGATCGGCCCCGATCTTGTGGTGCTTGAAGAGCAGGCGAGCGAGTCCTTGCCCCTGCTTCGGTGAAAGCGAGCCGCGCTCGGTCATCGCGTTGAAGGCCCTGCTCAGCGCCTTGGCCCACGCCCGCGGCGCTGTGTGATAGAGCTCGTAGGGCACGCCAGATGGACCCGGCGATCGACCGGGGTGTGTTGTTGCGATTGCGGCTACGACCTCGTCCTCGGTGATGGGTTGCTGCAGCAGCTCGATGTGCGCTTCCGAGAGTCGTCGCAGAAAGAGCGGGTCCGAGCTCGGGTCATCGCAAGTGCGCGCCGACCTGATCGGCGCCAAGAAATCGTCCCTAAGTCGCTCGACGTGGTCCCGATCGCGCGGCTCGAGATCGTAGAGGCGCTGAAAGTGCGCCTGTGTGTGGTCAAGCGCGACGTCAATGTCATGTGTCAGCTCTCCGTTGGGCAATCGCAGTGCTGTGATCTTGGAATCCGAACTCCGTGCCGCGAGCTTGGCGTGGACCGGCCGCGACAGTCGTTCCTCGGTAGCGATTTCGGGTACGTGGGCTCGGATCCGAAGTTGGCGCGCGCGCTCGTTGACCGCTCGCCTAAGTTCCTCCGTCGTCCGCGTCCATTCGGCCGTCTCCTCGTCCCCCATCACCGGCAACGCCTCCAGATCCTGCACCCTTCCCACCAAGACCGCCATCCGCTCCACCCGCTCCCGATGCTCCCTCCTCGCCAGCTCCCGACCCTCCTTCGCGCAGTTCCCCAGCACCACCTCGAGCTCCCCCACCGGTTCCTCCCCACTCGCTCCTTCCAACCATCCTTCCAACATCCCCTGGAACTCCGCCGTCTTGAAGGTCGCCGCGTTGATACGATGTAATTGGTTTGATGTCGTTGGTAAACTATTGTTGGGTTGAGCCGCGTCTCCTCGCTCGTCCGAGAGAACTAGGACGATCGAGACCGGTCGGTGATCCGAAAGGTCCTTGGGGTGGTCGTAGATCGTCGAGGCTTGGACGAGTCGCTTTTGGTGGGTGCGCTGCAGAAGGAAGTAGTCAAGTCGTGAAAAGGACTTTGGTCGCTTGCGGACGATGTTGGGTCGAGTGAAAGATGGTGTGAGCGGGTGTTTGAATCGTATGCAGTCGGTGTAGGGCGAGTCGAGCTTGCCGATCAGGATCGGCCAGTGATGGCCGTGCCGACCTTGGTTCCGCCGATCGATCGCCGGCAGCGGGCAGTCGTTGAGATCGCCGCCGAGGAGTCGAAGGTGGGTGCTCTGCGTCCTGTGGAAATGTAGTTTGTCAAAGAATGTGAGTCGTTGTTTTGTATCGACTGGTGCGTAAATGTTGTTGATCTCGAGTATCCGGATGTCGCCTCGAAGTCGAAAGGAGGTGACCAGGATTCGTCCGTCGAGTGCCGAGTGGGTGCGCAAAATCTCGGCGTCGATCAGGGGCGAGTCGGCGGGGATCAGAGTCAGACAGTGTTTGCTGATGAAGACCTTGCCCTCGTACTCGTCCTTGATACATTGCCAGAGTTCCGGTTTGATGAAGTGTTCTTGTAGTAGAATGGCGGATGCTTTGAATGTTGATAAATAGGTGTAAATGTTGCGTCGCTTTTCCGGGATCCCCATGCACCTCCTCACGTTCCAGCTGGTGATGGTGTGCTTGATCATTATTGGATAGACGATGTAGACGTGCTCTTGGCGGTAGTGTCGTCCTCAAAGAGTGGGAATTCGGGGAGAATGTCATCCTCGGGCTCGTGGTCGGACCAGCGCTTCTCCTCCTCCACCCCTTTACCCTTCTCCGCTTTCGCCTTGGCCCCCTCGACCTGCATCGCCGCCGCCGCCGACATCGACCTCGTCACCCTCTTCCCCTGACCCGCTACCTCCTTTCCTGCTCGACCTTTGACCCTGTTCAGAACGCGCTTGATATCGACCGGGTCGTCGCTCGGATCGCTGAGATCGGCCACCGTTTGCGACCTCTTCATCTTCTTGTTCGACCCGGAGCCGGTGCCACGAATGTTGATGAATCGCAGTTGTCCATCTTCCTGACCCCACTCTGCAAATTGGTGGCGAACGAGCGGTTCCTCCGCGTCGAGTTGGGCGTTGATGATCGCCTCCTTTTCTGCTTGGACACGTGCAGCAGCTTCGGCGTTAGCTCGGTCCCACTCCGCACCCTCGCGCAGCGACTTTGCCAACGTCTCAGGAGATAGTGGAGGCCACGAGGGACTCCGAGGAGTCGACTCGCGGGAAACCGTGGTGATCGTCGTTTGGTCGTCGTCGATGATCATGATGCTGTCGTCCTGTACCCCCTGTTCCTGCTCGACCTCTTCTTCCACCTCCGTCTCCGTCCCTTCGTCCTCCTCCTCTGCTCCATCTTTCATCACGTCATCCCCATCGTTTCCTTCGTCCTCCCTTTGTTCGCTTCCCTCCGAGCTGTCGTCCTGTTCGTCCTCGTCGTCGTCCTTGTCGTCGTCCTTGTCGTCGCCTCCCGCCTTGTCGATGCCCGCTCCGGCGTTCCCATCCGAGTCCGAATCCTCGTCGTCCGCCTTGGCGCCCGTATCCTCTTCTCCTTCTTCGACCTGCTCCTTTTCCTCGCCCTCCTTTCCTGCATCCTCCTCCTCGACGTCATCCTCCTGTCCTCCTTCGACCTCGAGCCCCGCAAATCGGTTCCGCGATTCGAGTTGGTCGGTTCCGAGGGCGCGGCTAGGGGCCACAACCTCGGAAGCGTCGTTGTCGGTGTTGTTGGTGTTGGTGGTGTCGTTGTTGTTGTTGTTGGTGTTGGTTGGGTTGTTGTGGTACTTGTTGTGCCTTCCGGTGTTGTTGTTCGCTTCCTTCTGCCTCCTCTCCTGTTCCAGCGCGCAGGTCTCCACATGCCCCACAAAGTGGCACCGAGCACAGGCCGCTTCTCGTTCGTAGTCGTGACGAACCGCCGTATGCATGTTGCCTCTAGTGGCTAGAGAGACCTTCGACGGTAGGAGCTCCTTCAGCGTGTTGTTAGGGGCTTTGAAAAGGGCGTCGTCGTCGAAGCGGATAAAGGCCGAAAACTCGCCGGCCAAGTGCGCATAGGCCGAGTCGTTATCGACGTGGATCACGCGCAAGACTTGTACCAGCTCGCAACGGTGTCCCTTGGCTGTGATTTTGGTGACAATTGATTTAAAAGAGTCAACAATGGCATCCCTGGATGGGACCGCTGCGACACCGACGTTGATACGCAGCTCGACCATGTTGTGGTAGAAGTGGTGGGCCTTTGCGAAGTGAGCCTTTGCAGAGTGCCAAGTAAGCGCCAGTGGGGCCGTAAGCGCCGAGTCACGTGCCTTCGCCGAAACGAATCCCACGGAGATACGGTGGTTGACCACACCGGCCCTGACGAAAGACGAGTGTTGGATACCCCTAATCTGGGGCGCAAACGCCGCAAGGTGCTCGGGAAGGGTGACCTCGGCGTCGAAGCACAGGGGCGATTGCGGGAGAGCAGTCTCGTGACGCAACCGAGCAGATCGGCCTTGTCCGCGGGAGAGGCCTTCGAGGCGCCTTGGACGGTCAAAGTGACGTCGAGAGCAAAGTCGAAGATGTTTCGAATGGATCGATTGGCGTTGAGAGCCGAATACTTGAGCGATGTAGCGGTAGCGACAGGGTACTCGTCGGTGGCGAAGGTGGCTTGCAACCACCGGTCGGTGCGATTGCCCGGTACAGCACCCATGACTTCGAACATTTGGGTCAAAGCCTTGGCACGGTGTTGTTGTTGGGTCTGCTGCTCGGGAGTCTGCTTGGTCTTTTGAATCGCGGCGGTGGCGTAGGTCGCGGCGGCGATAGGGACTTGCGTCTCCTTTGTCCCAATCGGGACGCTCGTCGCCGCGGACGCCGATGGTGGGGGTGGGCCGGTCTCGCCGGTCTCCATGCTAATGTAGGCTGATGTATCACTTGTAGCTTCGAAGGTGGTGGGTGGCGCGATTTCGAAAGTGAAAGTGAAAGTGAAAGTGAAAGTGAGTTTTTTTTTTTTGTAGAAAACGTTCATCATATTGCCCCCAATTCCTGTTCCCCCTGTTTCGGCCTACGGAAAAACTAGATGGAAGACTACGATGATAACACAAACCGCCCGCAAAAGTGCGAGAAACGAGCCAAGTCCACCAATCCGAGATTCGGATTCAAATGCCCTAGCCAAGCGGTTGCTCCCCCCCAGGAGACGAATGAGAGAGAGAAAGAGAGATGAAGAGAAAGAGAAAGAGAAAGAAAAGAAATGTACTAACGACAGAGGGCCCACCCCACAGCCACTTCCCACTCGGTCGAGACGAAGACAAGAGCACGACTGCGCAACCACCACGACCCTCGACGCTCCAAGTCTCTGCTCAGTCACAACAAGACGCGGTGAAGGTCCCTCAAAACCTCCCCCTCGGCAGTCCCTGGCCCCTCAAAGCCGACTTTCTGCCTGTGTCCGCTGATCCCTCCCTTGACTCAGAACCCCGAAGCCGAAGAGCGCGAGCCACACCGAGTCGACGCCAAATCGCGAGATGGTCCATGATCCGCAACGGTGAACCTGTAACAAAAGAAAGAGGAAAGCGAGCTATTTAGTGTACAGTAGGAGAAAATGATGTCACGAGAATTTGGTGTGTGTGTGTGTGGTGGTGGGGGGAAAGTCGAACCCAGCCTCTACTGCCTTCTCCTCCCCCAAGCTCCTCCCGCCCTCAGCTTCAACCTCTCCTCCAAGATTATCCTCCTCCTCCCAACACCCTCCATCCTCGTCCCCCACTTCTGCATCCCCCACCTCCCGCTGCTGATCATCTCCAAGACCAGCCCGGTGAATATTTCGATCGTCCTTCCCGCTCCTTCTTGATCGCGCAGACTGGCCTTGAGCTTCGGAAGTCCGAACATGCGTTGAACGGCCGTGTAATGCGTGTTGTCGATCGTGTCGAGCCCCAGTGCGTCGCAGAGCACGCCCCTTGCCGCGATCCAAACGTTCCTAGAGTCAACGCAGTCGAAGAAGTAGTGCTCCCGATCGTCCTTGGGCGCTCCACAGACGAGGCACGCGGGCGAGTCGTCGTGCTTTTGATGAAACTGCAGACTCCGAGTCGGGGTGAAGTTCCTGACGAGCTTGAACCACACCTCGCGTTCCCTCGCCGTCAATGCCTTCGAGTTGACCCCCTTCCAGAATCCCTTGAGATCGTCGGGCTGCAGCGAGTCCCTGAAACCGATCGTGTCGGTGAAGGCCTTTGCATTCAAGACTCGGCGGACGCGACGGATGGTGTATGGCCGATCCATGCTGAGCAAGTTGTATTGTGTTGATTGGTCTGGGAGAGCCGGTCTCGGAAGGCGCTGCGGCGGGTCGATCGGATGGGGCAGGATCGACTCGAGCGGCGTGGTGGGGCGGACTCGGGGAGGCCCGTTGATTCGTACTGCCGCCACCGGTTGAGCTATTGGTGTGAACCTCAATCGATTGATCGCATGTCGGTACCATGCCACGATGTGCTCTCGTTGTGGGCGGCCCCGTTGATCGTATTCGCTGTTGCTGACGACCACATCCGTCGGCGGCGTCCAGAGATGAAAGCCCCCGCCCGGGTACAGCTCGCGTCGAAACAGGTCCGCTACCTTGGCGTAAATGGCAAACGCAGCATAGTCGGCGTCGTAGGGTGGTCGCGACACAGCTGGTGCTCCCGGTAGGTAGTGAAGGGTGTGCAACTTGATCGGAAGAGCGAGAAGGTTCGCGAGCGTCAACGTCCTCGGCTTGACTTGCGCATTGTGCGTCGATGGTACCTTCAGCACGGCCTGCCATCTTGGGTGTAGATCGGTTCGGATCGGAGTGTAGTCGCAAGGCCACGCATCGGTTGCCAAGTCAAAGTCGGGGGCGGGATGGGCTCGTACAATCGCCGCGCGCGCAAGTCCCTGCCAGATCGCATCCGAACCGCCAAGAAGCACGTCCCAGACGCGTGCCGCAACCGAGTCGACGACGTCCTGCATCCGCATGACCCCAAGACCCCCCTTGAACCTCGGTGTGAAGACGACGTCCTTGCCATAGCACGACCTCCTCTTGCCGCCGCGGACAAAGTCGGCGAGAATGCGATCAAGCTCCTTGACGACCTCGAGCGGTGGGATGTCGGCGGAGAGGATGTGCAGAATCTTGGGAATGGCGTATCGGTTGACGTAGAACGCTCGGGTGTGGTGTGTGAGCCCTCGGTCCCGTGCCGAATCGAGCACCGCTTCGAGCCGTGCGACGAGATTCACGTTGGCGAGTTCGGTGTTGCCGGTGGGGTCGAAAGATAGGCCGATCCACTCGAGCGACTCGCCCTCGGCCTTGACGACGAGCGGACGATCGCCAGCCTCCCAACGACACCCGATGGGTAGTACGACGGTCTTGTCGGTGTTGAGCCGGCCATTGGTTGCGAGCCTCCAGTCGAGCGCCAGGTCGTCGAGCAAGTTGAGTGACTCCGAGCCCGCGACAGCGACGACGACGTCATCGGCAAACGCAAGGGATGTAATGGCGCGGCTCTGTGGGTAGGGGTGAATGGTAGGAAGCGAGAGGTTCAGCGCGATGCCTCGACGGTGCAGAGCATCCAGGAACGGCTGGAACACGACATCCCAGACCGACGACGACGCCGGGTCCCCTTGGCCGAGCCCACACGTCAGCCGCACCGGCGGAGTCAAGAAGCCGTTGATGATATATCGCGCCGTGGTTGAGTCACCCGAGTAGAGCATCCTCAGAACGCGTTGGAAGGCGGCAGGAGCGCCGAGAGCGTCGAAGATGGCGAAGATCCATTCGTGCTCGACGAGGTCGTAAGCCGACGATTGGTCAAGAGACAAGAGCGCCGCGTCAGGGAACTCGGTGCCGCGCGCGCCCAGCTCTTCGATCAAGAGTCGCAGGTGGAATGACGCGTCCGCCGATCGGCGGCCCTTGACGAAGCCGTGCTGTTGCGGTGGGAGCAGGTCCGGCAGCACGTGGTTGAGTCGCGCAACGTAGACCTTGGTGAAGAGCTTGTAGTCGCACTCGCGCAAGGTGATGGGCCGGTACGACGAGAGCTCGGCGCGATCGGCCCCGATCTTGTGGTGCTTGAAGAGCAGGCGAGCGAGTCCTTGCCCCTGCTTCGGTGAAAGCGAGCCGCGCTCGGTCATCGCGTTGAAGGCCCTGCTCAGCGCCTTGGCCCACGCCCGCGGCGCTGTGTGATAGAGCTCGTAGGGCACGCCAGATGGACCCGGCGATCGACCGGGGTGTGTTGTTGCGATTGCGGCTACGACCTCGTCCTCGGTGATGGGTTGCTGCAGCAGCTCGATGTGCGCTTCCGAGAGTCGTCGCAGAAAGAGCGGGTCCGAGCTCGGGTCATCGCAAGTGCGCGCCGACCTGATCGGCGCCAAGAAATCGTCCCTAAGTCGCTCGACGTGGTCCCGATCGCGCGGCTCGAGATCGTAGAGGCGCTGAAAGTGCGCCTGTGTGTGGTCAAGCGCGACGTCAATGTCATGTGTCAGCTCTCCGTTGGGCAATCGCAGTGCTGTGATCTTGGAATCCGAACTCCGTGCCGCGAGCTTGGCGTGGACCGGCCGCGACAGTCGTTCCTCGGTAGCGATTTCGGGTACGTGGGCTCGGATCCGAAGTTGGCGCGCGCGCTCGTTGACCGCTCGCCTAAGTTCCTCCGTCGTCCGCGTCCATTCGGCCGTCTCCTCGTCCCCCATCACCGGCAACGCCTCCAGATCCTGCACCCTTCCCACCAAGACCGCCATCCGCTCCACCCGCTCCCGATGCTCCCTCCTCGCCAGCTCCCGACCCTCCTTCGCGCAGTTCCCCAGCACCACCTCGAGCTCCCCCACCGGTTCCTCCCCACTCGCTCCTTCCAACCATCCTTCCAACATCCCCTGGAACTCCGCCGTCTTGAAGGTCGCCGCGTTGATACGATGTAATTGGTTTGATGTCGTTGGTAAACTATTGTTGGGTTGAGCCGCGTCTCCTCGCTCGTCCGAGAGAACTAGGACGATCGAGACCGGTCGGTGATCCGAAAGGTCCTTGGGGTGGTCGTAGATCGTCGAGGCTTGGACGAGTCGCTTTTGGTGGGTGCGCTGCAGAAGGAAGTAGTCAAGTCGTGAAAAGGACTTTGGTCGCTTGCGGACGATGTTGGGTCGAGTGAAAGATGGTGTGAGCGGGTGTTTGAATCGTATGCAGTCGGTGTAGGGCGAGTCGAGCTTGCCGATCAGGATCGGCCAGTGATGGCCGTGCCGACCTTGGTTCCGCCGATCGATCGCCGGCAGCGGGCAGTCGTTGAGATCGCCGCCGAGGAGTCGAAGGTGGGTGCTCTGCGTCCTGTGGAAATGTAGTTTGTCAAAGAATGTGAGTCGTTGTTTTGTATCGACTGGTGCGTAAATGTTGTTGATCTCGAGTATCCGGATGTCGCCTCGAAGTCGAAAGGAGGTGACCAGGATTCGTCCGTCGAGTGCCGAGTGGGTGCGCAAAATCTCGGCGTCGATCAGGGGCGAGTCGGCGGGGATCAGAGTCAGACAGTGTTTGCTGATGAAGACCTTGCCCTCGTACTCGTCCTTGATACATTGCCAGAGTTCCGGTTTGATGAAGTGTTCTTGTAGTAGAATGGCGGATGCTTTGAATGTTGATAAATAGGTGTAAATGTTGCGTCGCTTTTCCGGGATCCCCATGCACCTCCTCACGTTCCAGCTGGTGATGGTGTGCTTGATCATTATTGGATAGACGATGTAGACGTGCTCTTGGCGGTAGTGTCGTCCTCAAAGAGTGGGAATTCGGGGAGAATGTCATCCTCGGGCTCGTGGTCGGACCAGCGCTTCTCCTCCTCCACCCCTTTACCCTTCTCCGCTTTCGCCTTGGCCCCCTCGACCTGCATCGCCGCCGCCGCCGACATCGACCTCGTCACCCTCTTCCCCTGACCCGCTACCTCCTTTCCTGCTCGACCTTTGACCCTGTTCAGAACGCGCTTGATATCGACCGGGTCGTCGCTCGGATCGCTGAGATCGGCCACCGTTTGCGACCTCTTCATCTTCTTGTTCGACCCGGAGCCGGTGCCACGAATGTTGATGAATCGCAGTTGTCCATCTTCCTGACCCCACTCTGCAAATTGGTGGCGAACGAGCGGTTCCTCCGCGTCGAGTTGGGCGTTGATGATCGCCTCCTTTTCTGCTTGGACACGTGCAGCAGCTTCGGCGTTAGCTCGGTCCCACTCCGCACCCTCGCGCAGCGACTTTGCCAACGTCTCAGGAGATAGTGGAGGCCACGAGGGACTCCGAGGAGTCGACTCGCGGGAAACCGTGGTGATCGTCGTTTGGTCGTCGTCGATGATCATGATGCTGTCGTCCTGTACCCCCTGTTCCTGCTCGACCTCTTCTTCCACCTCCGTCTCCGTCCCTTCGTCCTCCTCCTCTGCTCCATCTTTCATCACGTCATCCCCATCGTTTCCTTCGTCCTCCCTTTGTTCGCTTCCCTCCGAGCTGTCGTCCTGTTCGTCCTCGTCGTCGTCCTTGTCGTCGTCCTTGTCGTCGCCTCCCGCCTTGTCGATGCCCGCTCCGGCGTTCCCATCCGAGTCCGAATCCTCGTCGTCCGCCTTGGCGCCCGTATCCTCTTCTCCTTCTTCGACCTGCTCCTTTTCCTCGCCCTCCTTTCCTGCATCCTCCTCCTCGACGTCATCCTCCTGTCCTCCTTCGACCTCGAGCCCCGCAAATCGGTTCCGCGATTCGAGTTGGTCGGTTCCGAGGGCGCGGCTAGGGGCCACAACCTCGGAAGCGTCGTTGTCGGTGTTGTTGGTGTTGGTGGTGTCGTTGTTGTTGTTGTTGGTGTTGGTTGGGTTGTTGTGGTACTTGTGTTTTTTTTTTGTAGAAACCGTTCATCATATTGCCCCCAATTCCTGTTCCCCCTGATTGGCCTACGGAAAAACTAGATGGAAGTCGACGATGATAACACAAACCGCCCGCAAGATGCGAGAAACGGGCCAAGTCCACCAATCCGATACTTCGGATTCAAGTGCCCCAGCCAAGCGGTTGCTCCCCCCCAGGAGACGAATGAGAGAGAGAAGGAGAGAGAGAGAAAATGAAAAAGAACTGGCGTACTAACGACAAGAGGCCCACCCCGCACCCACTTCCCAACTCGGTCGAGACAAAGACAGGAGAGCGACTGCGCAGCTACCCTGACCCGCGAAGTCCCCAAGTCTATGCTCGGTCACAACAAGACGCGGTGGAGGCCCCTCAAAACCTCCACCTCAGCAGTCCCTGGCCCCTCAAAGCCGACTTTCTGCCTGTGTCTGCTGATCCCTCCCTTGACTCAGAACCCCGAAGCCAAAGAGCGCGAGCCACCGTCGAGTCAATCCCAAATCGCGAGCCGGTCCATGAGCAACGGAGGCAGACCTGTAATAAAAGAAAGAAAGATGAAGAAAATATATTTAGTATACAGTTTTTGTAAGAGGATGTGTGATGTGGGGTGTGTGAGTGTGGGATGGGGTGGGGGGAAATCGAACCTAGCCTCTACTGCCCTCGCCTGCCTCTTGCTCCTCCCGCCCTCAACTTCATCCTCTCCTCCAGTACCACCCTCCTCCGCTCCAGGCTTTCCATCCTCGTCCCGTGCTTCTGCATCCTCCATCTCCCACTGCTGATCATCTCCAAGACCATCCCCGTGAAGATCTCGATCGTCCTGCCTGCGCCTTCCTGTTCGCTGAGCTTGGCCTTGAGCTTGGGGAGGCCAAAGAGTCGTTGTAGTGTCGTGTACTCGGCGTCCTCGATCGTGTCGCATCCGAGCGCGTCGCAGAGCACGCCCCTTGCCGCGGTCCAGACGTTCCGCGAGTCGACGCAGCCGAAGAAGTAGTGATCGGTGTCGTCCACCGGCGCTTCGCACACGAGGCACGCGGGAGAAGTGACATGCTTTTGCTCGTGCTGGAGCTTGCGCGTCGGGGTGAAGCGGAGAATCAGCTTGAACCAAACTTCCCTCTCCCTCGCTGTCAGTGCCTTCGAGTTGACCGCCTTCCAGAAGCTCCTGAGATCGTCTGGCTGCGGTGGTCCCTTGAGCCCGAGCGTGTTGGTGAAAGCCTTCGCGTTCAGGACCCGGCGGATGCGACGGATTGTGTAGGGTCGAGCCATGTTCAGCAGCGTATACTGGCTCGCCTGTTGTGGAAGCACCGGGTCCGGAAGGCGCTGCTCCATTGCGAAGCGGGCCACGGGCTTGGGGATGATCGCCTCGAGCGGTGCGCTGGTGCCGATCCGGGGAGGCACGTTGAGTCGTCCCGCCGCCACCGCCGCCGCCAAGGGTGTGTTCTTGTGTCGATCGACAGTGAACCGGTACCAGGCCGCGATTGCCAGTCGCTGCGGGAGCCCGCGTCGATCGTACTCGCTGTTGTCGCCGAGCACATCCGCCGGCGGCGTCCAGAGGTGAAACCCCCCACCCGCATACAACTCGCGCCGATAGAGATCCGCCACCTTCGGGTAGCCCTGGAGACGAAGGTAGTCAGGTATATGAACCGCGTCGATGGTCTGTCTCCCTCTGATGGGGGTGTGGAGGCTGCCGAGCAGGGTGGGCAGCGCGAGCAGGTTCGCGGTGGTCAAGGCCCTCGGGTTGACCTGCGCGTCGTGAAGTTTCGGAACGCCCAGTGCGGCGTGCCATCGGGGATGAAGGTCGTTGGGGATGGGAGTGGATGGATGTGGCCAGAGATCGGTGGCCAGGTCGAGGTCGGGCTGAGCTCGCTGGAGTGCTGCGCGCGCAAGTCCTTGCCAAATCGCGCCGGAACCGCCGAGAAGAACGTCCCAGAGCCGTGCCGCAACCGCGTCCACAATGTCCCGCATCCTTATCACCCCGAGTCCCCCCTTGTTCTTGGCGGTGAACACAATGTCTCTGCCGTAGCTGGTCCTGCCCTTGCCCCCACGGACGAAATCGACGAGCATGTCATCGAGCTTCTTGACGACTTCGGGCGGCGGGATGTCGGCTGCAAGGAAATGCAAGATCTTGGGAATGGCGTACCGATTGACGTAAAAGGCACGGGTGTGGTGCGTGAGCCAGCGATGCTGAACCGCTTCCAGCATCGCCTCGAGCCGTTCGATGAGATTCGCGTAGGCGAGTTCGGTGTCGCCGCTGGGGTCGAAGGGGAGGCCGATCCACTCGAGCGACTCGCCTGCGGCCTTGACGACGATTGGCCGTTCCCCAGGGTCCCAGCGACGTCCAATCGGTAGGACGACCGTCTTGTCCGTGTTGAGCCGGCCATTCGTTGCATGCCTCCAGTCGAGCGCCAGGTCATCGAGCAAGTTGAGTGACTCCAAGCCCGCGACGGCGACGACAACGTCATCGGCAAATGCAAGTGATGTAATGGCGCGGCTCTGTGGGTACGGATGAAGTGCAGGTATGGAGAGATTCAGCGCGATGTTTCGACGGTGTAGAGCATCCAGGAACGGCTGAAACACGATGTCCCAGACCGACGATGACGCCGGGTCCCCTTGGCCGAGCCCACACGTCAGTCGCACCGGCGCCGTCAGGAACCCATTGATGATGTAGCGCGCCGAGGTCGAGTCACCCGAGTAGAGCATCCTCAGCACGCGAAGAAAGGTGGTAGGAGCGCCCAGAGCGTCGAAGATGGCAAAGATCCAGTCATGCTCGACGAGGTCGTAGGCGGATGATTGGTCAAGAGACAAGAGCGCGGCCGCGGGGAACTCGGTCCTGCGCGCGCCAAGTTCCTCGATCAGGAGACGAAGGTGTAGTGCAGCGTCGGCCGATCGGCGGTCCTTGACGAAGCCGTGCTGCTGCGGCGGGAGGAGATCGGGCAGAATTTGGTTCAATCGGGCGACGTAGACCTTGGTAAAAATCTTGTAATCGCACTCGCGCAGGGTGATGGGGCGATACGACGAGAGTTCGGCGCGATCGGCATTCTTCTTGTGGCGCTTGAAGATGAGGCGCACGAGTCCCTGGCCCTGCTTGGGAGAGAGTGAACCGCGCTCGATCATCGCGTTGTAGGCCTTGGTCAGCACCTTGGACCACGCCTCCGGTGCGGTCTGATAGAGTTCGTAAGGCACGCCCGACGGGCCCGGCGATCGCCCCGGGTGCGTCGTCCCGATCGCGGCCACGACCTCGTCCTCGGTGATGGGTTGCTGGAGGAGATCAATCTGCGCTTCCGAGAGTCGGCGCAGAAAGAGCGGATCTGAGCGCGGGTCGTCGCAAGTCCGTGCCGCCCTGATCGGCACGAGGAGTTCGTCCCGAAGTCGGTCGACGCGTTCCGGATCACGAGGCTCGATGTGGTAGAGGCGCTGGAAATGCGCCTGCGTGTGGTCAAGAGCGACATCAATGTCATGCGTTAGCTCTCCGTTGCCCAAGCGCAGTGCTGTGATCTTGGAGTCCGAGTTCCGCGCCGCGAGCTTGGCGTGGACCGGCCGCGACAGTCGTTCCTCGGAAGCGATCTCGGGGACGTGGGCTCGGATCCGGAGTAGGCGCGCGCGCTCCTCGACCGCCCGCTTGAGTTCCTCGGACGTCCTTGTCCATTCTGCCGTTTCCGCCTCCCCCCATACCGGTAACGCCTCCAGATCCTGCACCCTCCCCACCAAATACTCCATCCGTTCCGTCCGCTCCCGATGCAGCCTCCTCGCCATCTCCCCACCCCTGTCCCTGCACGCCTCCAGAACCTCCTCAAGCTCTCGCACCGGATCCTCCCCGCTTGCCCCTTCCAACCATCCTTCCATCATCCGCTGAAATTCCACCGTCTTGAAGGTTGTGGTATTGATTCGATGTAGTTGGTTGGATGTGGTAGGTAGGCTGAGCTGTGGGAGAGCCGCATCAAGATCGTCTGAGAGAGCCAGTACGATCAAGACCGGTCGGTGATCGGAAAGATCCTTGGGATAGTCGTAGATCGTCGAGGCCTGGTCGAGCCTTTTTTGGTGAGCTCTTTGTAGGAGAAAGTAGTCAAGCCGGGAGAAGGAGTTGGGTCGCTTGCGATTGGGATTAGGTCGAGTGAAAGATGGGGTGATGGGGTGCTTGTAGCGGATGCAGTCCGTGTAGGCCGAGTCGAGCTTGCCCATCAGAATCGGCCAGTGGTGGCCGCGCCGACTTTGGTTCCGCCGATCGACTTCTGGGCGCGGGCAGTCGTTGAGATCGCCGCCAAGGAGTCGGAGGTGGGATTTCTGTGTTTTGTGGAGGATCAGTTTGTCGAAGAATTTTGCTCGTTGTTTTGGGTCAACGGGCGCGTAGAGGTTATTGATTTCTAGAATTTTGATGTCGCCCCGCAGACGAAAGGAGGTGACGAGGAGCCGGCCGTCGAGTGCCGAGTGGGTGCGCAAGAGCTCGGCGTCGATCAGGGGCGAGTCGGCCGGGATCAGGGTCAGGCAGTGCTGGTTGATGAAGAGCTTGCCCTCGTACTCGTCCTTGATGAGCTGCCAGAATTGTGGTCTGATGAAATGCTCTTGTAAGAGAATCGCGGAAGCTTTGAATGTGGAAAGGTAGGTGTAGATATTACGTCGTTTTTCCGGGACCCCCATGCCCCTTCTTACGTTCCAGGTGATGATGGTGTGCTTGATCATTAATGGGTAGTCGAGGTCGAGGCGCTCTTGGCGGTGGTGACGTCCTCAAAGAGGGGAAGGGCGGGCAGGACATCGTCCTCGGGCTCGTGGTCGGACCATCGTTTTTCCTCAGCTACCCCTCTTCCTTTCCCTCTGTCCACCTTCGTCACCTCGACCTGCATCGCCGCTGCCGCCGACATCGACCTCGTCACCCTCCGCCCCTCTATTCCATCCTTCACCACGACGCGGCCCTTCCCTTTGATGATGACTCGCTTGGCGTCGGTCGGTTCGTCACTTGGGTCACTGAGGTCCGCCGCAGTCTGCGACCTCTTCATCACCTGCTTCTTGAACTTCGCAGCGGTCCCCCTGAACTTGTGGCATGAAGGAAAATCGGGCACGCTTCTCATTGATAAAATCGACCTTGAAGTTCATAATGCCTATAGACGCTGGTTTGGCGGAGTGGTCGATCGCGAGTGATTAGAAGATTCTAATACATCACTTCCTCTTTGAGGGCGCAGGTTCGAATCCTGCAGCTAGCTAATCTTTTACCGTCCGTTGATGCGCGCGGCCGATGGTTTGCTTTTTTTTGCGACCGAGGGGCAGGAGGGGGGGCGCGGGCCGAGCGAGGGGGACACGCTGCGTGGGTTGCCATGTATGACTGTGTTTGATTACCCGCAGGCAGCATCTCAAGATTGTAGAATGTAGGTCGTGGAACTTTTCGGAACTGGGTGTAGCGACCGCTGGGGCTACTGTTGGGCGCGTCGACGTGGCTACGGTTGCGACGGACGGTCCGATTGGGAGAAGTCGCAAGGCGGCACAGACGCGGTCTGACGAGACGGCGGTGCGGCTGGACGATCTGTTCTCTACCGAAGATTAGCAGTCTGGCTAATGTCGGAAAGCGGTAGAGAAGAGGAAGGGAAGCACAAGGAGTACGAGTCTGACAAGGTTCTAGCAATCGGGCGCGCAAAGGATCTACTGCAAATCGGGCGGACGCGCTGCTAAGCGTCAAGGGCAAACTCCAAGTGGGTCATTCGGGTGCTGAGAGGGGTCGTGTTGGACAACGGCCACGAGGGGAAACCTATCTACGATGTCGAGTGTTGGTGAGCGAGGGAGTCCATAGCGACGAGACTCAGGTTGCGAACGGCGGGCGTCATGCATGGGCGATACTCTTGATGGCCGATGGAACATGAGGACGGCGGCGGCAAGCTGCTGGTGACTAAGTGGAGGCATTGGCTCAGCAAGACTGGAGGGCAGACGGCCAGAGTCCCGGCGTGGAGGCGGCGGCGCGCGGGCGTGAGTTGAGCAGGCCGGCGCGAGGCAGAGGGAGGAGGCTCGGCTGCGAAGGCGGAGGCGCGCGGCGAAGGGCGGCGGCTTGGCTGCGAAGGCGAAGGCGCGAGGCGAAAATGGGCGGGCCTGACAACGGCGGCCCAATGTTGAAGTGTTCGAACGCTTGTAGTAGAATGAAATTCAACAGAGATTGCACCGTCCAGGCAGCAAAGTTCAATCTGTCTTGTTGGGTGGCCCAAACACCTGCATCCGTCGCAGACGTCCGTGGACGATCGATCGAGTTCCGCGCGACCATAGACGATTTCGGGCGCACAAACGAGGGACGCGAGGAGCCGGTCCATCGCCTGGTGGACGATCCACGGGGAAGGATTCTCGGGCTCGTACTCTTCCGCATGCACAAAGATCGTGCCGATGTCGGTGTCGGTCTGGGGGAGACGGAGGCCGACTGCTTCGAGGTAGGCGGGGATCACCACCAGCACGTCAACGGCCTCGACGGCCACCAGTCCGACGGAATCCCGTCTTCAATGCGAGAGCGAATAAGGAATATAAATTGACAACATACCTGAACGACACTTCGGTCAGTCTTCAATGCGAGAGCGAATGAAGAGAGAAAGAGACAAAGTGTCGCCCAAGTGCTAAGCAATCTGCTAGAAATGCCCCGCCTCCCTGATTAGATGGCGGGCCCAATTGACTGCAGCCAGGGTAAGATGGCGATCCCAGTCGAGTAGAAACATCCTGCCATTCTTCCAATTAGTCACATCTTCAGAGTCAAGAACAAGCGAACCCCCCAAATCCAATACCGTCCTTCCTTCGTCTTCGAACTCGGATCCTATTGTAGAGACTTGTCGTGGACACTCGTACTCCCCAGCGTCCAACTCGACGCGATCAAGGACGTCGTGCGGATACATGAGCTGGCGCAGGCGGTAAGCGTCTTCGTTCATCGTCGCGATGACCTGATGCCTGTTGTCGCCTTCGCCTTTCTTGGTCGAGAGGTGGGGAACGGGATCTGCACCGGCCACGAGCCGAGTGGTCTCAACACCGGGATCTCCGCGGCCCTCTGAAGTTGGCGGAAACAAGACTCACCTGTTGTAGAACACCGATGAACACTTCTGTAGTAGGCCAGACCCTCCCAGCCGCACTCCTCGTGCCTAGCCCAATAATACCCGTCCTTCTTGCGCTCGATTCGCGGGCGGGTCGAGTCGGCGAGCAGGACCATGAGTTTCACGGGGTCGAGGTGAGGGGAGGTGACCTGATCAACCCATTGTTGACCGCCTTGACCGGTCTGACGTTCCGCATTCAATTCACCCACCCGCTTGCGGTTGGCGGCATACCGTGCCAAATCTTTGGGCGTCGTCATCTTCGCTAACTGCGCCGCCCAACCCGAAGCCCCGTAGGCAGCCCTAGTGTACCTGGTATCGGGTCGCAACGATAGGAAGAAGTTGGCGTAGATTTCGGTTCCTGGTCGAGCCGACTTGTAGGCCGGGGTCGAACGAAGCGCAACCGGCACCCCCCTCCGCACCTCCTCCGTCTCGAGTTCCTCAATCTTTTTGAGTTGCGCGCGACGACGACTACCGTTGGGGAGGCCCTCGGTTTTAGGTAGCTTGACGTTGGTCCTGTAGTAGGGACAGGTCAGAAACAAAGTTTCTCGAGTAACCCGCGCAAAAGTTGCACACGGTGCGAAAGCCGCGCACGGACGTACCTCCTCGTCGACGCCGACAGGGCTGCTGCGCCGGCAGCACTGACGACCTTCGTCTTTCCCGCATACCGCTCGCCCATCACCATCGCCCCCATGTCCAAGACGCGGCTTCGCATCGTTTCAAGAGCATGTTCCAGCCCGCACTCTGCTGAAAGCTCCTGCAGCCGAGTCCTCAGCCCCACGATCGCGCCTTGATTCCCGCCGGCGACTGGCCATCGACGAAGGACCTCTTCCGCGAGCATCGCCTTGAGCTCGATGGTGGCCGCGAATCGACCACGGAACACGCCCAAGAGAGGGTCGTACGCGTTCAAACCCGGGTGCAACTGGGGGATCACCAGTCGCCACTCGTCACGCGCCTCGTCGACGCACACGACGATCGACTCGCCGAGCACCTCGGAGAACCCGTGCATGGGGAGCGCCTTCCAGGTCGGAAGGCCCTCCCTCTCGGTGGGACGGCGAGGGAGCCACTCCTCCGCGACACCGGCTTCAAGCGAGGGGTCGAAACTGGTCTTGCGGATCGGCGCACGATGCTGGAGGAAGACGGAGCCGACGCTGGCGCCGACGAGGACGAGGACGGGCGCCGGACAGACGGCGACGAGATGTTCTTGAAGAAACACCAGGCAATCAGGGTATCGATCGTGGTCGGCGACGGGCAGGAGATCGAGGAAACCGCAATTCGTCTTGGCGAGCTGTTCCAGGACCTTGCGACGCTGCTCGGGGTCGGCCGAGTCGGTGTCGACCGGGAGGGGGTCGACGAGGTCGATACCATGAGCGAAGCCAGTCGCCGAGCGGTGCAAAGTTCCCGTCTTTGCCGGGCCAGGTCCAAAGAAATCGACCAGAGGGTCGCCCCGAAACTCGGTTAGAGGAATGCTGTCGAGAATGTGCCCGACGAGGGGCTCCCCTCGACTACCCAGGGCCAGGGACGAGGCGATGGTCGCAACGTCGTGAAGATGCTCGTCCGAGCGCGCGACGAGATCGAGCGAATCCGAGTTTCCCGCGTCCGCCTCGAGATGGGATGACAGTTTGCGTTGGAGCGCAAGGGTCGCTTGGAACAGCTTCTCGTGATGATCGGAGCGGGCATCCGAGGGGGGCGGAGGGGCCAGTGCGGCGATGCGGGTCTGGACGGCACGGCGGAGGTCGACGAGCTCCTGGTCGGGCACGCGGCGCGGCGAGAATCCGCCCGAAGCCGAGTTGAGGCCTTGTGGTCCGGCGAGGGCGACAAGCAGCGCCTCAAAGTCGGACGGGAGAGCGAGTCGGCGCGTGTCCCGAATCGCAGCCGACGGTGCAGACCAGGCGAAGCGATCATGGTCAACGATAAACTCGTACAGAACATAGTGAGTGTGGTGGAGGCCGTTCACTTTGTTGAAGTTGGTGAGCTTGGTCGCGGACGCACGATCGTCTTCGAGCGCGCGCCCGAGGGCCGAAGTACGGAACGTCAAGCCTCCATACGTACGACGAACAAGGTGTGCGCCGGAGAGGTGCTCGAGGGGCCGTGTGGAAGCTTGATTCCTCGATGGCGGACATCGGGAACTCGGCCTTGAAGGCCTCGCTCCAGAGACAATGCTGATGTTTCGTCGCCTCGAGGACTCGACAATAAGGTCGATCACGACCGCGCAAGCCATCGTCTTGCTTGGCTTGCGGCACGATTTCGTCTGGATCATCGGAGGCAGCATCGACGACAGGGGAGCATTGCGCCAACACGGCCGGGTACGCCGCGAAGTCGACTTGGCCATCGTTGCAGGCGTAGTCGACCAGGAACTCTTGTACAGCCGGGGACGACATCAACTCGTCGTGCACGGGCGAGGCCGAGGTGAAGCACCGTTCTGAAGTGTCCTCGCACCGCACGTTCGCGACCGCTAAGAGCGCATCGAGTAGCCGAGGCGAGGGGTCAGCGGCCGCGCAGAGGCGCGCCAAATCCGCTGCGCGAGCTCGGCGAGTTGCTTCCACGTGCGCAAAGTGACGTTGGAGCAGCGCAAACTTGTCCTGCCTCGTCGAACCACGGGGGAGATCGATTTGGTAGAGGTGTCGAGGAGCCATTTCGAAAGGCGTGGCGAAGGCGGCCGGTGGATAGGTAGGTGAGTCTCGAAGAGGGGTCCGGCCGGGGGGTCACGCAGGTCGGGCGGCAAGAGGATCGAAAAGGCTTCGTGATCGAACAGTCGCACGAAGCACCACCAGCGTGGTTTGGTGGATCGACTGTAACAAAAGCAAAAGTCAAAAGCAGTCGAGCACGGAGGGGTCCGAACGGGGTCAGTTAGGGAGTGAAGAGTGGGCGCATGCGATCAGGTCAAGCGGTCGGGCTTCTCTCCTCCAGGGCGCCTTCGCGACGATCGAGCCGGAGAGGGGGGGGGGAGCAGCCGTTGCGCGGCGGGCCGTCGCGAAGACCCGACGCCGGACGAGTGGACCTAGGCACCAACTCACCAAAGTCGGATCAGTGGGCCAAGAGTGATGTGGAGCTCTTGGTCGAAACTTTGTTGCGGTGCTTATGTGGTCGAACAGCGTAGGTGGGAAGGGTGACGGAGGACAATCGGCAGCGGCAGCTCGGAGAAACAGCCCGAGATCTGCAGCCAGTACGGCAAGGCGGTACGAGAGAGAAAAGATCGAGGGCAGAGCAACATCGTCAGTGCGAGTGCGGGTGATCCGAGGGTGTTGACCAGACACTCCAGGAACGCGGTCCTCCAGCGGGTCACGCGTCGGGCCACACAGGCGAAAAAGACGTCAACGAAGGGGAGTTGATTCGAGCCGAGGAACTCACCGAGATGGGATGCGGTCTGACCGTGGGCGTGCAATGAATTGAAACGGCGTGGATCGATCTGATGGGGCTCGTGGGGAGAGATAGAACCCAATGCCGCGGTGGAGGTGTGAGGCGAAGCCAATGCAAGAGCGCGACGGCCGGCCGCTGGGGGGAGGGGAGGGGAGGGGGGGGGGGGGGGGGTCGCGCGCCTCCGAAGCCTCCGAAGCCCCGAGCTCGCGAGAGGAGGTGCATGACGTCTCCCTTGGCCTGCGGGACAAATTAGCCAAGCCCGTCAGGCGCATCGCGGACCTACACGGGATCGTATGATCGTATGCGAGGCGGGTGACTCGTAATGAAAATACAACACCTTCATAAACAGCAAGAAAAGGGAAATGCTGAGCCGCAACGGGTTTACTAAGCGATCACCGCCCATCTTTGCAGTACTCATGACAAGCACATTGACAGCGGTTTCCACGGCATCATATGCGATCCAGCACTTGCAAGGACCCATGCAGCGGAGATCGCGCCTTCTACTATTACGTCTGCTACAGTGCATTCCACGATACGATTTGAGCGCAGCTCGAAGAGGGCTTCAATCTTGTTCTAGACGGGTGTCGAGCTGGGAGCAAACTGGCCTCGACACAATAACTGGGACGTCAGAGGACGGTTTCCGGTCCCGTCCACTCGGCTGGCCGCTGGTGTACAGTACCCTGTCGGTGCATGACAGCCTGAACGAAACATGCCAAGGGACCCCCTCCGGCCCTCCCGCACGTGATCAAAGCGGCCGAGGGGCTCCGATCTCGGGGCTCTTCTTAACCCTGCTATTCCTTTTCCTGGTTCCTAACAAACAGACGGGGAGTGACAAGTGCCGCGAATATCTCTTTCGAACGCATTTCCGCCTTCCGAAAAGTAAAAGTCCCAACTATGCCTGCCCAGGGGGTGGCCGTCGGATTCGCGGCAATCCTGCGGCCACGATCCGATGTTCTGTAACGATTGGGCTCCAGCTCGCAAACATACCCCCTCTGTAGGCAGAAGTTTCGGTCGGAACAAAATGGTGAGCAGCGCCGAGCCCTCCACCCAGGGGGGAGGGGGGGGGGGGCGCGTCGCCCTCTTGCGAAGCCGTCGAGTGCCAAGAGTTTTTGTTTCGGGGACTGCACCTCCTTTCCGACCAATGGGCGCCGCCGCCGCCGCCGGGCTAGGACCCTCGCCACGCGTTTGGCGCGGTAGCGCGATGTCGTTTGAGTTCTGTGTCCGTATTCGAGTCAATCGGATATAGTTGCTCCGTGATCGGCAAGGCACGCTGAACAGCACCGGTAGACAGCAGGGAAGAGGAAAATATAATCTCGTGCAGGCGCGATGAACCCGCTCCGGCGTGCGCGCCCAGTGAGCCCGCGCACAGGCCTCTTCGAGGCCGAGCGCGACAGAACATGGAGAGGCTCATGAGCAATTCGTTCTACAACCGTGTCCTCGGTCAGCCTGAGCTCGATTCATCGCACGTCGTTCGCTCCTTGCTCCCTCACCATCCCCTTCCTGTCTGCCCATTCGTCTATCCACATGATCCAACCTCCCCAGAGCCCACATTCAGTATCCAGGTCAGTCCGTTCGAACAGCCTCTGGGTCGTGAGCCCATCTGCCCATCCCTCGCGTTTCCGTCGTGGAGGCCCCACCCCACCCCACCCCAACATCGTTGTGGATCCCCCCCCCCACTGCACCGCACCCACCTCCCCCGCACTCGTATCCACACTGAACCGTCGCTGATCGAGACGTGCGTCCGAGGTCGGAACCGGCTACAAATTACCTCCACCGTCGTACTTGACTCCCTTCCTCCCAGTCGTTCCTGATTCCCTCCCTCCCTTGTCCCATCGATCGATCGGTGACGACTTTTGAGTTTAACCTCGCGACGCACCCGCTGCGCCCGCCGTCGCCGCTGCCTTGGTCGACTCCTCGGGCCTGCGTTCGCAGCTCGTTCGATCGGACCCCACAGCTTCGGCCAGGTTCGCGTCGATCTCGGAAACACACAAAAGATTTACCGACCCACCTTGCGTTCGCAGCTCGTTCGATCGGACCCCACAGCTTCGGCAAGGTTCGCGTCGATCTCGGAAAGACACAAAGATTTACTGACCCACCGATTGCTCTATCGGATCGTCTGTGGCCGACAGGATCGTTGACGACCGCCACTATGCCGACCTCGCGCAATCCCACGTCGCAGCAGACCATCGCCGATCACCGGGCCAAGTGTGAGCTCGCGCGCGCCTTCTCCCCCCCATACCCCTGCGCCGAAGGCAAGCCTCGCACGGGATGCTGACTCGGTGCCGTCCCTTCTCGCCCCTCCCACTCCCCTTTTCTTCTTTTCTTCTATGATTTCGCAGTGCGCACTACTACCGAATTACTCATGCGTCAGTTTGACCTCCTCCTCCCGCCTCCGAGGTTCATGTCCCCCTCGAAGGATCGACGGTGCTGACGTTCTCTGATGGCCGCCGATGCTGTAGGCAACGTCGAGTTCCCCTTGGCCCAAAGCACGGTAGGGAGGGTCGATGCTTCCAAGTGTGAGTTGCCGGTGCTTACCGGGACAGGAGCCGTGTGCGCTGATCGAGTTCGCCGGAGAAAATCGCACTTGCCTGCAGTCGAGGTCGGGCTCGCCCCGTGGGACGCCCCTGTCGACTGGCCTCGGATCGACCCAAGGATCGAGGGCAAGTGATCCACGAAGACCCGCTTGGCACACACCTGCGAGGCTGGACAAGTTGACGTCGCTTCACGTTGCCACGCTTTCGACAGCTTGCTACGTCAGAACCCATGACCTCGTCGACCTTGTTGATCCGCGTTCGTTTCAGCTGAACGTGGGTAAGTCCTGCTAGCGGCCCCCCCTGGGCCCTTCGTGGCCATTTGCCGTCGCGTTCCCGCACTGCTCTCTCCTCCCCGCGCGGCACCCCTCCGTTGCGCCTTCCCTCGGATGGAACGGCTGACGCGGGTCGGAAAACAAAAACCCCCTTTTTGTCTTGTACGACCAGGCCGGAATCGAGAGGCCTACCTCTACTCGCAGCGCCAGGCGATGCGAATCGCTCACGATTACGTCCTCGGCGGAACGATCCCTCTCGAACGCTTCGACGAAGGGGTCATCCGGGAGCTGCAAGAGTTTGACGAGTTCGCGTCGGACAACTTTTTTCATTTGCTCGAAGAGTTGACCCCTCGTGAATAGCGTCCCGTCTCGCTCGCGCTCTCCGTCTCGAAGCGCCCGCCCGTCGCCGACATGCGCGCGCTCGCCGACGCGCATCGTCTCTGGCGAGGGGCGCCGTTCTGGCCGAGCCAGGGCCTCTACAGCCACTTCGTGATCCCCTCGGTGCAACTCGGCCCCAACCCCTTCCCGACCTCGTCGATCTACTCGTATCAAGGCTCGACGCTGCGTTCGTTCGCCGAGCGTATCGAGGAACACGACGTGAGTACCCGGACTCCTCAGACATTCGGAGAGCCTTTCGACGATCCGAACGAGGGGGGAGCTTGTTCCGCCAGGGCCAGTGCTAACCCTGAAAGCTTTTCCACCTTACCGCTCCGGCAGTCGGTCCTCTCCCTCAGCCGCCTCAAGAAGCACAAGAATCAGCCGGACCCGAAAGTGAGTCTAACCGAGTAGCCAAAGAATCACTGGATCGCTCGTTCCCCGACCACTGACCGAGGAGGGGTACGGTTGCACCCCGCACCTGTCCAGATCGTTCGCTACTACCAACCTTCGCCGCATTACATCTCACTGTCCGGCATCCCCGACAGCGCTACCATCGCGGCGATCAAGGCCTCCCGCGCTCGTCCCCTCTCGACGCCCTCCGTTACCCAACACGATTACACCTTCGCATACCTTCCACGTAACGCCCCCCACCCTCTCCTCTCCCCTGGGTTTTATTGCCCCACGTCCCTCGACGGCATGGCCAAGGTCTCGCCAGGGGCTCTCCTCCTCGCCGAGACGTTGCGCAACATCTCGACGCGCTCCGTGCAGGGGACGACGTTCCGCGTCCTTCTCAAAAAGCGATACCAAGACGACGCGTCGCTCGAGATGCTCTACTCGAACGGCGGCGACGGGAGGGCTTGCGCAAGCAAGGTCGGTGCCGTGGGCGGTTATCCGGGTGCCGAAGCGTTCTACCCCGGGGTGACGGTTGGAGGCTTCAAGGACCCGACAGCGCAGGCCGCGAGGGGTGCTAAAGGTGGCGCCGCGGGGGAGCTAGCGGGTCGAGCGACGAGGGTGGCGTTGATTCAGCAGAACCCAGCCAAGTACCGCCTCATTGGTCAAAAGGTAAGCCTTGGAACGAATGAGCATCTGGCGACGTCGCGACCATGGCATCCTAACTGACTCCGCTCCCCTAATGGGGTTCCACCACCCTAACCCGCTTGCGATGTTTGACGTCGTTGCCCCTCCCCCCCCCCCCCCCCCCGACGACAGGCCGTTGCAGTCGCCAACGACGTCAAACATCGCAAGCGGATGCAGAAACTGTTAGACGGTACCTGGGAAGTGAGCACGCTCCTCTCTCCTCGTCTGCCATCGGCACCTGCAGACCCACCACTGGATCCATCAACCCATCCTGACCTTTGCTTTGTCGCCTCTGCCGTGCCAGGTCAAGTCGGTCCACCCGCGGGAGGCGCACGTCGTCGTCACGAAGCGGTACAAACACAGCAAATACTTCAAGGTCGTCAAGCGAGACAAAAAGGGGTGGTATAGCTTGGAGGGGCGCCAGCTCAAAGCCTTCGTCAAGGTCGCCGTTCCCCAGATTTTCGCGGCCGAGCCAAACTGGAGTGCAACGCTGCGTGTCGTCGACGCGACGACCGGCCTCGCGGTCAAAGAGTGGGCCTTTGACCGCGACCACACGCGCTACGCGCCGAGCAAGCCGGGACCCCAGAATCCGTTTGGTCCAGAGCTCTCGGACACGACCCGAAACCACTTCAGCGATCTCGCCAAGGATATCCCTGGCTTTCTTCAGCTTACGACGGCAAAGGCGTTGCCGGGGGCGCGAGTGGCCGAGCTCCCCGCCAGTGCCGAGTCGATCGAAATGGTTGACGAGGCGGACCCTGACGACGACGACGACGAGTACGCACTTGACGCCCCCGATGACCCTGTTCCGAGCACGTGCCGCATAGGCGCCTCGTCATCGTCCAATCCATTCAATACCGCCACACGGGTCGGCACCGGTTCCCCTCCGGTCCAAGTTCGGCCTCCCCTTCCACCGGTGGTCGACCCCCACATGCTCGATCTGACCTCGACAACGCCGATCACGAGTACCTCGACCTCACCCTCGACGACGCGAACTCTGAATCGGATTTCATCGACTTGACCCTCGACGCCCTTGAGCCCGCCCCCAAACGCTATCGCCGCAACTTCAACGACGGTACTTTGAGGACCTGGCTAAAGAGCGCAGGGAGGGCATGAGCTGAGAGGCTGCTTTGGGGGTACCACTACATCTTCTTTCTCGCCCTCTGGATCGTCTGAGCGTATGCTTTTGAATTTTCTTGTAGACGTAGCGGCCGAAGCCACAGCGATACATTTCCGTCGCTGAAACAGAGCTGGCAAACTTCGCTTGAATCTCAAACGAGAACATAACGATGCGAAGGTGGACGGCACGCAGGGGCCGCGGTCCGGGGTTTTTCGTTTCGTTTTGATCGTCCACATAGGCCAGTACAGTATGGCCGTGGAGGGATCGCACGGCACGAATGACTCACAGTTCTACGCCGAGATTTTCCGCCATCCAGTGCCCCCGAGGCTGGCATCACAAACGCTCCATGTCAGAGCAGTTGTCAAATGCGCGATTTTGACTCTCGTAACTGCGAGCGATTCCCACGTTGAACCTGTGCCCGAGAGTGATCCCACGGTGTGCTTCAGAATCGGGAAATTATTCGGTCACGCATCCACCTTTAAGAAACCGTAGGACACGTCTGTCACAGTCAGGACCCAAACAAGGGAACTAGCAATGAGAGGATAGAACAAAGAAGGGTGGAAGATCTACCCCACGTTGTTCCGCAAAGGGTTCAACGTCGATAGCACTTTGAGTGCGCGTGCGCGGAAGATGAAGACTTGGAACCGAAGTGCAAAGATGGTATACTGAAGAATGATTCGGGTCAAGGTGTGGGGAACACTATGGCTCGAATATTACAACTGAAAAAAGAAGGAGAGAGAGAGAGAAAGGCTACGAATAGAGACTAACTACTCGCATGTACGCTTTGCGTTGAATGGTTTGTTCGCACAGTGTTCACATCCGGAGGGGGAGTCGCAATGTCTCGGACAAGTAGTTCGCATCCGGAGAGGGAACCATAATGTCGCGGATGAGGAGTTCGGACGAGAGGTGGCATCCGGAGAGGGGAACGGTGATGTCTCGGATGAGAGGTGGATCCGGAGAGGGAACCGTGGTATCTCGGATGGGGAGTTCGGGTGAGAGGTGGTTGCTTGAAGATCTTGACTATGACAACGTCACACTCTAGACGGTTTACGATAGCCAACTTGGGTGAGTTCCACCATAGTATTACTACATGAATAGGGAAGATGATGAAAGACACGGTGACGTTCAAGTCATGTGCAACTGTTCCCACTCGATCTGACCAAAAGTTGCCGAGGGCAGACGCTTATCAAGCAGAATCGGAGGGGTCTATTGAGAATGGTTCTGGGACGGGGTCGGGACGTTCAAGGGATGGCCGGAGAACCATCCCGGGATGACCGTGTTCATACACGGCACCCTATGAAGTGGGAGCCTCAGACCCGCGACCATCCCAGGTATGAGTCGCCGGGAGGGACACGAGATTCGCGCGAGAAAAGAAAAAAGAGCTTTCCGACAAATCAGCTTTAGGTTGTTGTTGAAAGCGAATGTTAGATTCCCAACTGGGAAGCATCGCCCCTTGCGTGCAGTGGGGCGGGCCCGGCGCTTGGCCAGGGCGATCCTCTCTCTTCTTCTGTCTGGGATGTGGTGTTCCAATCCTTCCTTGATTCTCTCAGTCGGCGCAACATTGCGCTGACTATCACTCTTCCGGAGCTGGCTCCTCGTCCGCAGACTCGATGCATCACCAATTTGGCGTTCGCGGATGACGCCGTCGTCGCTGTCGCTGGACCGGAAGCTATTGCTTCGCTCGAGGCGTTAGCTCGGGATCGGCGACTCGCGACGAACGGCCGTCTAAACACCGACAAAACCGTGGTGATGCCATTGGGCGCGACGTTGTGGGATCGCGCGGACTTGTCCAAACTGTCGTTCGTGGCACCGGACGAGTCTCTTCCCTGGATCGGTCTCTAGTTTGCGCCTGACGGCAACAACAGGCTGGGATTCCATGATCTTGAGCGAAGGGTTGATCGAGTGATTCTATTGGTGCGCGACCGATGGATGACGCACCATACCCGGGCTTTCTATCTCAACCGCTACGGCATCTCCAAGGTGCTGCACTCTCTCTCCGCCGACATACCGCCATCCGACGTGATCAAGGTGATCGAGCGCAAGCTTGCTGACTTTGTGAAGGGAGGACCGCGGCCCGGCGACTACAAGCAATCGGTCGTCTTCACGGCACGGGCGCGAGGTGGTCTCAGCGTCTTGAGCATCCAAGATGTGGTGGATTCTTTTTTTTTTTGTAGAAAACGTTCATCATATTGCCCCCAGTTCCTGTTCCCCCTGTTTCGGCCTACGGAAAAACTAGATGGAAGACTACGATGATAACACAAACCGCCCGCAAAAGTGCGAGAAACGAGCCAAGTCCACCAATCCGAGATTCGGATTCAAATGCCCTAGCCAAGCGGTTGCTCCCCCCCAGGAGACGAATGAGAGAGAGAAAGAGAAAGAGAAAGAAAAGAAATGTACGAGATTCAGTCTCGGTTTTATTTTTTTATTTTACTGGGGCTCATAAATTGCAATCCTTCGGGTTGGCTGGGACCGCTAGAAAAAGAGCTAAAAGAGGTTATAAAGCAACGACGGCAAGCAATTGGGTGAAAGTCAAACCCCTGCGCGCAAAGAGCGCTGCGCAGATCAAAACCCGCCGAGCACCTAACGCGGACTCCAACGGGCGGTGAGTACTGCTGCCGCTTCACGTCCCAAGAGCGGGAGCGAAGATACTCGAAAACCAGGCAAGAGCGCCTAGAGAAAGAAAAGGGGAGAATATACAAAAATTCACGACTGGAAACACGGAGAACCAGGAATACTAAGACAGAGAGGAGGGGAGGAGGAGGGGAACACACCCGAGGGGTCAAGGGAGGGGGTCGAAGCCAGAGCTAGAGGTCCCCAGGGACTGACAGGCCGCAGCCAAGCCCCAGCTACTCGTCACCCCGACAGCGCCTGATGTCCTCCCTTGGCTGAGTCTCGAGTGCTGGCTGTTGCGTCGGGGCCGAGCGAAATACGGATTTTTTTTTTTTGTAGAAACTGTTCATCATATTGCCCCCAAGTCCTGTTCCCCCTGATTGGCCTACGGAAAAACTAGATGGAAGTCGACGATGATAACACAAACCGCCCGCAAGATGCGAGAAACGGGCCAAGTCCACCAATCCGATACTTCGGATTCAAGTGCCCCAGCCAAGCGGTTGCTCCCCCCCAGGAGACGAATGAGAGAGAGAAGAGAAAGAGAGAAAATGAAAAAGAACTGGCGTACTAACGACAAGAGGCCCACCCCGCACCCACTTCCCAACTCGGTCGAGACAAAGACAGGAGAGCGACTGCGCAGCTACCCTGACCCGCGAAGTCCCCAAGTCTATGCTCGGTCACAACAAGACGCGGTGGAGGCCCCTCAAAACCTCCACCTCAGCAGTCCCTGGCCCCTCAAAGCCGACTTTCTGCCTGTGTCTGCTGATCCCTCCCTTGACTCAGAACCCCGAAGCCAAAGAGCGCGAGCCACCGTCGAGTCAATCCCAAATCGCGAGCCGGTCCATGAGCAACGGAGGCAGACCTGTAATAAAAGAAAGAAAGATGAAGAAAATATATTTAGTATACAGTTTTTGTAAGAGGATGTGTGATGTGGGGTGTGTGAGTGTGGGATCGGGTGGGGGGAAATCGAACCCAGCCTCTACTGCCCTCGCCCGCCCCTTGCTCCCCCCGCCCTCAACTTCATCCTCTCCTCCAGTACCACCCTCCTCCGCTCCAGGCTTTCCATCCTCGTCCCGTGCTTCTGCATCCTCCATCTCCCACTGCTGATCATCTCCAAGACCATCCCCGTGAAGATCTCGATCGTCCTGCCTGCGCCTTCCTGTTCGCTGAGCTTGGCCTTGAGCTTGGGGAGGCCAAAGAGTCGTTGTAGTGTCGTGTACTCGGCGTCCTCGATCGTGTCGCATCCGAGCGCGTCGCAGAGCACGCCCCTTGCCGCGGTCCAGATGTTCCGCGAGTCGACGCAGCCGAAGAAGTAGTGATCGGTGTCGTCCACCGGCGCTTCGCACACGAGGCACGCGGGAGAAGTGTCGTGCTTTTGCTCGTGCTGGAGTTTGCGCGTCGGGGTGAAGCGGAGGATCAGCTTGAACCAAACTTCCCTCTCCCTCGCCGTCAGTGCCTTCGAGTTGACTGCCTTCCAGAAGCTCCTGAGGTCGTCCGGCTGCGGTGGTCCCTTGAGCCCGAGCATGTTGGTAAATGCCTTCGCGTTCAGGACCCGGCGGATGCGACGGACTGTGTAGGGGCGAGCCATGTTCAGCAGCGTATACTGGCTCGCCTGTTGTGGAAGCACCGGGTCCGGAAGGCGCTGCTCCATTGCGAAGCGGGCCACGGGCTTGGGGATGATCGCCTCGAGTGGTGCGCTGGTGCCGATCCGGGGAGGCACGTTGAGTCGTCCCGCCGCCACCGCCGCCGCCAAGGGGGTGTTCTTGTGTCGATCGACAGTGAACCGGTACCAGGCCGCGATTGCCAGTCGCTGCGGGAGCCCGCGTCGATCGTACTCGCTGTTGTCGCCGAGCACATCCGCCGGCGGCGTCCAGAGGTGAAACCCCCCACCCGCATACAACTCGCGTCGATAGAGATCCGCCACCTTCGGGTAGCCCTGGAGACGAAGGTAGTCAGGTACATGAACCGCGTCGATGGTCTGTCTCCCTCTGATGGGGGTGTGGAGGCTGCCGAGCAGGGTGGGCAGCGCGAGCAAGTTCGCGGTGGTCAAGGCCCTCGGGTTGACCTGCGCGTCGTGAAGTTTCGGAACGCCCAGTGCGGCGTGCCATCGGGGATGAAGGTCGTTGGGGATGGGAGTGGATGGATGTGGCCAGAGATCGGTGGCCAGGTCGAGGTCGGGCTGAGCTCGCTGGAGTGATGCGCGCGCAAGTCCTTGCCAAATCGCGCCGGAACCGCCGAGAAGAACGTCCCAGAGCCGTGCCGCAACCGCGTCCACAACGTCCCGCATCCTTATCACCCCGAGTCCCCCCTTGTTCTTGGCGGTGAACACAATGTCTCTGCCGTAGCTGGTCCTGCCCTTGCCCCCACGGACGAAATCGACGAGCATGTCATCGAGCTTCTTGACGACTTCGGGCGGCGGGATGTCGGCTGCAAGGAAATGCAGGATCTTGGGAATGGCGTACCGATTGACGTAAAAGGCACGGGTGTGGTGCGTGAGCCAGCGATGCTGAACCGCTTCCAGCGTCGCCTCGAGCCGTTCGATGAGATTCGCGTAGGCGAGTTCGGTGTCGCCGCTGGGGTCGAAGGGGAGGCCGATCCACTCGAGCGACTCGCCTGCGGCCTTGACGACGATTGGCCGTTCCCCAGGGTCCCAGCGACGTCCAATCGGTAGGACGACCGTCTTGTCCGTGTTGAGCCGGCCATTCGTTGCATGCCTCCAGTCGAGCGCCAGGTCATCGAGCAAGTTGAGTGACTCCAAGCCCGCGACGGCGACGACAACGTCATCGGCAAATGCAAGTGATGTAATGGCGCGGCTCTGTGGGTACGGATGAAGTGCAGGTATGGAGAGATTCAGCGCGATGTTTCGACGGTGTAGAGCATCCAGGAACGGCTGAAACACGATGTCCCAGACCGACGATGACGCCGGGTCCCCTTGGCCGAGCCCACACGTCAGTCGCACCGGCGCCGTCAGGAACCCATTGATGATGTAGCGCGCCGAGGTCGAGTCACCCGAGTAGAGCATCCTCAGCACGCGAAGAAAGGTGGTAGGAGCGCCCAGAGCGTCGAAGATGGCAAAGATCCAGTCATGCTCGACGAGGTCGTAGGCGGATGATTGGTCAAGAGACAAGAGCGCGGCCGCGGGGAACTCGGTCCTGCGCGCGCCAAGTTCCTCGATCAGGAGACGAAGGTGTAGTGCAGCGTCGGCCGATCGGCGGTCCTTGACGAAGCCGTGCTGCTGCGGCGGGAGGAGATCGGGCAGAATTTGGTTCAATCGGGCGACGTAGACCTTGGTAAAAATCTTGTAATCGCACTCGCGCAGGGTGATGGGGCGATACGACGAGAGTTCGGCGCGATCGGCATTCTTCTTGTGGCGCTTGAAGATGAGGCGCACGAGTCCCTGGCCCTGCTTGGGAGAGAGTGAACCGCGCTCGATCATCGCGTTGTAGGCCTTGGTCAGCACCTTGGACCACGCCTCCGGTGCGGTCTGATAGAGTTCGTAAGGCACGCCCGACGGGCCCGGCGATCGCCCCGGGTGCGTCGTCCCGATCGCGGCCACGACCTCGTCCTCGGTGATGGGTTGCTGGAGGAGATCAATCTGCGCTTCCGAGAGTCGGCGCAGAAAGAGCGGATCTGAGCGCGGGTCGTCGCAAGTCCGTGCCGCCCTGATCGGCACGAGGAGTTCGTCCCGAAGTCGGTCGACGCGTTCCGGATCACGAGGCTCGATGTGGTAGAGGCGCTGGAAATGCGCCTGCGTGTGGTCAAGAGCGACATCAATGTCATGCGTTAGCTCTCCGTTGCCCAAGCGCAGTGCTGTGATCTTGGAGTCCGAGTTCCGCGCCGCGAGCTTGGCGTGGACCGGCCGCGACAGTCGTTCCTCGGAAGCGATCTCGGGGACGTGGGCTCGGATCCGGAGTAGGCGCGCGCGCTCCTCGACCGCCCGCTTGAGTTCCTCGGACGTCCTTGTCCATTCTGCCGTTTCCGCCTCCCCCCATACCGGTAACGCCTCCAGATCCTGCACCCTCCCCACCAAATACTCCATCCGTTCCGTCCGCTCCCGATGCAGCCTCCTCGCCATCTCCCCACCCCTGTCCCTGCACGCCTCCAGAACCTCCTCAAGCTCTCGCACCGGATCCTCCCCGCTTGCCCCTTCCAACCATCCTTCCATCATCCGCTGAAATTCCACCGTCTTGAAGGTTGTGGTATTGATTCGATGTAGTTGGTTGGATGTGGTAGGTAGGCTGAGCTGTGGGAGAGCCGCATCAAGATCGTCTGAGAGAGCCAGTACGATCAAGACCGGTCGGTGATCGGAAAGATCCTTGGGATAGTCGTAGATCGTCGAGGCCTGGTCGAGCCTTTTTTGGTGAGCTCTTTGTAGGAGAAAGTAGTCAAGCCGGGAGAAGGAGTTGGGTCGCTTGCGATTGGGATTAGGTCGAGTGAAAGATGGGGTGATGGGGTGCTTGTAGCGGATGCAGTCCGTGTAGGCCGAGTCGAGCTTGCCCATCAGAATCGGCCAGTGGTGGCCGCGCCGACTTTGGTTCCGCCGATCGACTTCTGGGCGCGGGCAGTCGTTGAGATCGCCGCCAAGGAGTCGGAGGTGGGATTTCTGTGTTTTGTGGAGGATCAGTTTGTCGAAGAATTTTGCTCGTTGTTTTGGGTCAACGGGCGCGTAGAGGTTATTGATTTCTAGAATTTTGATGTCGCCCCGCAGACGAAAGGAGGTGACGAGGAGCCGGCCGTCGAGTGCCGAGTGGGTGCGCAAGAGCTCGGCGTCGATCAGGGGCGAGTCGGCCGGGATCAGGGTCAGGCAGTGCTGGTTGATGAAGAGCTTGCCCTCGTACTCGTCCTTGATGAGCTGCCAGAATTGTGGTCTGATGAAATGCTCTTGTAAGAGAATCGCGGAAGCTTTGAATGTGGAAAGGTAGGTGTAGATATTACGTCGTTTTTCCGGGACCCCCATGCCCCTTCTTACGTTCCAGGTGATGATGGTGTGCTTGATCATTAATGGGTAGTCGAGGTCGAGGCGCTCTTGGCGGTGGTGACGTCCTCAAAGAGGGGAAGGGCGGGCAGGACATCGTCCTCGGGCTCGTGGTCGGACCATCGTTTTTCCTCAGCTACCCCTCTTCCTTTCCCTCTGTCCACCTTCGTCACCTCGACCTGCATCGCCGCTGCCGCCGACATCGACCTCGTCACCCTCCGCCCCTCTATTCCATCCTTCACCACGACGCGGCTCTTCCCTTTGATGATGACTCGCTTGGCGTCGGTCGGTTCGTCACTTGGGTCACTGAGGTCCGCCGCAGTCTGCGACCTCTTCATCACCTGCTTCTTGAACTTCGCAGCGGTCCCCCTGATGTTGATGGAGCGTATCTCACCGTCCTCGTCCCACGTGGCAAAGTTGTGACGCACCAAAGGGGTTTCAGCGTTGAGCCTCCTCTCGATGCTTTGGTCCCGCTCAAGTCGTGCCTGCTCAACCCAGTTAGCTCTGATCCTGTCCCACTCCTCCCCCTCGCGTAGCGACTTGGCGAGAGTTTCGGGTGACAGAGGTGGGGTTGGTTCATGCGGCGTCGATTCGCGGGAAGCGGTGGCGGCGGTTGCTGTGGCGTCGCTGTCGTCGTCATTGTCCAGCCTGTTCGTTTCCCCTAAGTCCGTCGCTTCCGCATTCTCCGCTTTCGTCGATCCCCTCGCTTCGTCCACATCGCCCACCTCCGTCGCCACCTCCTCTTCCTCCATCTCCGTAGCCACCTCTCCTTCCGTTTCACCTCTTTCATCCGCCATCACCTCATTCTCATCAATCACCTCTCCATCGGATCCGCTGCAGTCCTCCAAGACCGACTCGTCCTCGCTTTCAATTTTGATGACCTCCGTTTTCGCGGCCGCCTCCGATTCCATCTCCGAGTCCTCCGAGTCCTCGTCATCCGCCTTATCACCAGCGTCTTCCTCCCCCGATTCCTCCGGTCCCTGTTCGCCCTGGCCAGTTACCTCTTCCTCCTGTCCCTCCTCGACCTCGAGCCCGGCGAAGTGATTCTGTGATGCGATCCTGTTAACAACCAGCACAGGAATGGGGGCCTCGGCCTCCGCGATGTTGGTGTTGTGGGTGATGGTGTTTTTGTTGCTGTTGATGATGCCGTTGTGAGCCTCCTTCCGCTTCCTCTCCTGATCCAGTCCGCAGGTTCCCACGTGACCCACAAAGTGGCACCTACCGCAAGCCGCCTCCTTCTCATAGTCATGGCGAAGGGCGGTAACCGGGATGCCTCGAGTGGGAAGGTCGATCCTCGAAGGTAGAATCTCCTTCAAGGTCGTGTTGGGGCGTTGGAATAGGGAGTCGTCATCGAAGTGTAGGAAAGCCGAGTAGTCTCCGGCAACGTGGGCGAAGGCCGAGGCGTTGTCCACGCTGATAACGCGCAGAACCTGCACAAGTTGGCATGAATGTCCCTTGCCTGACAGGTCTTGCACAAGTGATTGGAACGATTTGATGATGGCATCCATGGAGGGCACTCCTTGAACACCGACGTTGATTCGAAGCTCGACCATGTTATGGTGGAACCTGTGAGACTTCGCGAAGCGGGCCTTCGCCGATCGCCAAGTGAGAGCGGGGGGCGTCGTGAGCGCCGCGTCACGTGCCTCGCCGGTGACGAACCCAACCGTAACGCGATGGTGAGCCGCCCCATTACGCAGGATTGATGAATGTTGTACGCCTAAGATCTGTGGTTGATAAGCCGCAAGATGGTCCGGCAGAGGAACTCCAGGCTCAAAGCAGATAGGAGAGATGGGCGATAGCAGCCTCGTGACGCAGGCCACGAGATCGATCTTGTCGGCATGAGTCGCTCGCGAGGCGCTCTGGTGAGACAGAGTCACTTCAAGGGCGTAATCGAAGATGTTCTCGACGGACCGGTTCGCGTTCAAGGCCGAAAATTTCAGCGATGTGGCGGTGGCGACGGGGTAGAGTTCGGCGAAGTAGATGGCCTGGACCCAGCGATCCATGCGGTTTCCGGGTACAGCACCCATGGCTTGTAGGAGGCTGCCCAGAGCCTTGGCACGCTGTTGTTGTTGTTGCTGTTGTTCAGGTGTTTGAGCCGCCATCTGACTCGCAGCGGCAGCATAGTTGGGTGCGGCGGTGGCGGGGCCCGTGACTTGCGTCTTCTTCGAGCTTATCGGGATCCGGTCGCGGGGGGGCTGGACGCTGGTGGCGGATACCGGTGGTGGCGGTGCCGGCAGTGGGGACCCAGGGTCTCCGGTAGACATCTTGTCGGTGTATCACTTGTTAACTCGAGTATCGAAGGCTGCAGTAGGGCGATAGTGAAGTGAAGTGAAGTGAAGTGAAGTGAAGTGAAGTGAAGTGAAGTGAAGTGAAGTGAAGTGAAGTGAAGTGAAGTGAAGTGAAGTGTACGGATCTGGGACGTGCTGGCCGGCGGGTCAACTGCGATTTGGGGCGATCTGGCTCCGCGTTCCATCGTGGTCTAACGAGAGTGATTAGAAAATTCTAATATATCACTTCCTCTTTGAGGGCGCAGGTTCGAATCCTGCAGTCAGCTCTTCTTTTGCTTCTTGCCACTTTCAGAAGCTCGAACCCAACTCGTTCGCTACCCCCTTCTTTTGGTTGGGGTCGCCCGCCACATGCCACACTTTGGTGAAGTTGCCGGCCAAGTGGAAAAAAAGGAGAGAAAAAAAGGCTTTGTTCGGAAAGAGAAGAGAGAGGGAAGGTAGCGCGTTAAGGCAGCTTTTTCTTTGAATAAGACTAGCTGGAATTTATGGCTTTAAACTTTAAACTTTTTAATACCAGTGGGAACCCGTTAAATTAACGGGAGGAAGAAATCCAAAAAATAGCAGGATGATCGAACAGTCTACATGATTTCAGCGCAGAGGTTGAGAAAACACAATACGAAGTGCAGCAAAGAAACAAAATCCATTTATCCCACATCATCGTCGAAACAGCCTGCACGCCGTTTGTTGCCGGACCTGGCTTCAAACACTCATGCAATGAGATCCGGACGGTTGCATGCTTTGTCATTCGGCCCCAGTGCAGCCTTGATTTCCGGTCATTCGGGGTCGTGCGACATCGTGATGAGCAGCGGAGGCTTTCCATGTTTGACAACGCACGCCATCGCATCCTGGTATCGCTGCGTGATGTCGCGCGGTCTATTCTTGAACGTCGAGCCCAAGGTCATCGAACGTCCAATTTGGTTCGGGGTCAAGCCGTTGATGCCTTGGGTCGTGGTGAGGCGTAGGTTCTCTTGATGCAACCGGATGTGTTGAGTCGATCGGCCTCGACTTGGGAGTATATCCTAAAATCACAAACTCCAGGAAGGGACATTGGGTGCAATGCGGGATTGAGAAGTACTCGTCGCGTTTGGCAAGTAGTGCGCAAATAATTGTGAACGCGAGACTCGCCACCTCGACCCCTTTACTTGACCTTCGTCCTAGGTGTTCAAAAGTTCAATATCAGTCTGTGCTTGCGCCTTAAACAGAATGGAACATCCGAGAAAGAGCCAAAGACGCGTACGTTCGCCATCACCATCCTCTTCGTCCCCTTCCTCGCCGTCTTCATCATCATCCTCGCGGTCTTCGTCCTCCTCTTCGCCTTCGTCATCAAGACCGAGACCGGCAAGTACCTCGCGCGATTGGACACCATTGTCGATTTGCTGTCGGTTTCTGGCGATTGGCAGCCCAGCTTGGCGAAACCCGCAAAGAGAAATGTTGGGGTGGAAGCCATCTTCCCCTGCAGGAAATAGTAGTGGCTACCGGAGAGGCAACGCAGACGGATGGAGCGAGCTGATGACTTGGTACTTGGGCCGACCATCGGGACATCGATCACCGTGCACCTGGAGAATAAGGTCTTGAGGTCCACGATCTCCCGTGTTGGTCTCGGAATCGCAGATAAGCATCGCCATTTCCGTGCTCGACGTAGGAAGGTTGTGGGTGCGTCGGTCTCGGCCAGGTGGTAGGCAGAGGCGCAGGGCCGACTCTTTGGCCGTGTCCCAACCTGCGCGGGTTTTGGCCGATGCGAACTCCCTCACAAAGTGATTCTTGGTACGCAACATGGACTCGAGCTTGGTCAAAGTAGATCTTTGTATGCGACTGTCTGCGCCGTCGCGTCCAAGTTGAGTGTCGGTGGCCTCGGCCGGGCAGATGAGCCATATTTGGGCAAAGGCTGGACGTTGATTGACGGCAGGAATCAGGGCGGCGAGTCGATGCTAAAAGCAACCAAAAACGCAAAACATGCGGGGAAAATATGCGGGGTCCTTGAGTGCCTGGTCGAGTCTGGTCAAAGTGGGCGCGATCGAAGTGATTGACAGCGCGTTGTTGTACGACCGGGCATTCTTGCGGAACGCCGGAATGCCTTGGGTTCTGTGTAGGTGGGTCGCACAGTTCAGCATGTGGGTCTACTACAGACGAATGTCGTTGGACGGAGCAACTGACCGCTATCCGAGCCTTCAAGTAGCTGTTGAAAGTTGGGATTAGGCCGGAGAGAGGGAGGTAGCTGCACCTTGCCCTGCGAGCAGCACGTGCTGAAGTGTCCGGTCAACTTCGTCCTTTCGCACTCCCAGTGTCGAGCGTTGCAGTGGGTACACACGGTCATCTGGTGCCGAGGTAGTCGCGGATGGGAACGCGGTACTTGAGTGGTTTGAGCTTGATTCGAGGCCTGCGCACTTGCCTCTGCGCAGGAAGAGGTGGTGGTGGGGCGAGTCAGCAGTAGCTCAGCGTCGGTTCGGCCATCGGGCCATCGCGCTGACCACGCTGTCCGTTCTACAAAGCTGTACGGCGGACGCTTCAATGCCAAGATCGGTCGAGTGGTTGTCATCACGCGCGGGGAGCTGATTCTGTTGATCGGAGGGGGACGAAGAGGAGAGTCGAGCAGAGCGGGGCGCTCGAGCAGGCCCATGGTCTTCTCCCATGGTACGGCGGTACGCTATCGTACGGCGCTACCCTCGCGCGACAGACTCGGCGCGGTTGTCACGAAAATTCGATGAGAGTGGGAGGAAAAGGCGAAAATTAGAGAGAGTAGCGTATTCACAGTTTCTGGAACCTCACGTTGTTGTTGAGCCCCTAAAACCGGTGTCGGGATGCCAAAAATACGTCACGTGATCGACGGGGCATCGCGCAGCGAGACCACGCCTGAGATCTGTAGAAGAAGTGTCATGCAAATCCACGCGCTTGCTATACATTAAATCCTACACAACTACACAAACTGATCAATAGTTCCCCACCATATCAAAACTCGACAAAAATTGTAGTCGGGCTGTAGCTCGACTTTTATGGTCCAGAAAATGCAGAAAGGGGCGTACATGACTTCTGATTGGGACGTCGATACCACAGGCAGGTGCGGCAGAGTCAACATTATAATGATACATTCACCACTTGCGGCCCTCCGGACCGCAACACACACAAAAACAGCGATTTTAGGTACATGGGTCGCGGATCGACACTTTTTTTTTACTAGTTAGGGTAACTAGGTGCAGCGGCGCGCTCCGCGCGCCACCTCCCACCGTAAGAGTTGACCCGCTGCATTGTGATGTACTTTGCTGCAACAGCTGCGATACTGTTCAGTAACGGAGGCCTAGAGGTTGAAGTCGGGAGACGACCGCGCGACGACAATCAAATGTACACAGCCTTCATTACATTATCTGCTTCTGCGTTCTCAGTCTGAGCAGAACTCTGACACCGTCCACATAAGTTGCTGTCAGGGACAACGCGACATACAACTGGCCGTGAGAAAAGACGGGCGTCTCCAGACACACTCTTACCTGCGCGAGTGACTGCCCCTGCAACTTTTTAAACGTCATAGCCATTGCCAGCCGAATCGGAAACTCCGATGCAGAGTGAACGGAAGCTCAGCTGATGACCCTGTCTTCAGCGTGATCCGTGGCAACAAAACGGGCTGTCCAGCATGATCTCCTGTGAGAATGATGGCCTCGAGCAAGCGGGTGTAACCGAGTTAACAACAATCTTCTGCCGTTTCTGATCCACCTGCGAATTTTTGGGCGCCAGAATTGCTCGATCTCGGAAGTATTCGACTTTTTCGCCTATTGACATATTGTCCAGTTCGAGCGCGGGGCCGGGATAAACGTGTCTGATCAGCCCGGAGCTGTTCCTCGTGGTCGCCGGCAGGAGAAGCTCACGTGGGAGCGCGATAGAGGCTTCTGTTTCGTTCCCCGAGCCGTCTCCAACTCCTAAGAGCCAATCTGCAAAGCCCTGTGCCGTTGGCCGATCCGTTTTGGTCGTGCGGTCTGCAGCGGCCAGAAGACGCATGTTTGTCTGCCCTTTCACCGTGACGCTGTTAGTATAGGGTCTAAAAGTCAGGCAAGGACTACTACTTACAGAGAGATGCAGCGTCTCAACTTCCCCCCAGAAGTCAGCATTCCATGATGCAAGACGATTTGTGCAGGCGATGACTTGGGAATAACGGGAAGGCATTGTTTCGGATCCCCTGTGATGTCACAGTCCAACCGGTCAGTTAGTCATGCTGCCCTGCGCTTTGCTTTTGGAAGATTGGCACACACCTGCCAACACGACGGTCACTGCACCGAACCGAGCCGTTGAGGATCTGCCACGGGATGGTGAGCCGCAATTCACGGAACCAGAGCCTATTAAAATTATCAGTATTCTTGCTGTTGTCCATCTGTAACAATGGCAGTGAAGACTCACATTTAGTGTCCCACGGACCCGGATTATCAGCCGTACGAAGTCAATTCTTCCGCTGTGTCACTGATGTCCAATGTCTGTTTTTCATATCAGTTACCGTCATGCCTAACCATGTCAAGTCATAACTCACGCATGCAGTGTCACCAGCTGATGGTGAAGAAAAACAACTCGAGGGTTGACATTCAAAGAAGACGTGTTGAAGGGAATTGCTGCTTGGTAGTTTTCCATTAGCTCCTCAACACTCCCACACCAAGAGCACAGTTCATGAAGTTACTTACTCGAATCCGTAGCTATACTGCATGCTGCAGCCAGTTTTTGAAAAAGTTTGTCCCGTATTCGTTGCAGAGCTTCCACGACGACCGCTTCGGGTGTCGCGAGCTCGAGGCCGATTTGTCTCGAGCACAGTTCGGATCGGTCCACCCGTTCGATATCTGCGTCTAAGGCTGAATGGATAATTGGTTGACATCATGAACGTACATCAATGGGCTGCTCTCCTAAACATTTTGTTGTTTGCGTTACTTACTACACGGAAGCATCCCTGTTGAGGGATCAATCAATCGACACAATCTTCCCAAGCATTGTGACAACTACTTGAGCCGTGTCCTGGGCCCGGACCGTATTGCGTCAAGTCGATCGACGTCATCGACTGACAGCTGTTCGTTCGCCATCCGCGACTTGTGTTGGGGCTTCTTTCATGAGTTGCGATGAGATGAGTGGCGATGGGATGAGATGCGATGGGTAAGGTGTGAAGAGCAGGAGGGAGAAAGATGGAGAAGGCTGCGCCTCAGTTCAAACCGGGATCATAGAATGTCGCGGAAGGCCGCGGAACGACGTGGAGTGAAGCCCAGTGTCGGCAAGCCGTGACACGCTGGCGGGGCCCCTAACGGCGGAATTGGCGCACTGGCCGACACTACCCGAGGTCTGGAGCTGCTTCAAAGCGTGGACGAACGAATCTCAAGCCCGGAGGTCACTTGAAGGACTGCGGGCCCGTCGCACTTGCCGTGCGACTTGAGACTGCCTGCTGCCGGTGCAGATTGACTTGACGAACCAGTTTGCGCGACGTCGTGTTGATCGATTGGCGGCGGCGACTGTGCGATTAGAGCAGGAGTCGGGTTGTACGGAGGTGGCTCAGCTCGCTCACGATGGCGACGTCTCTGCTGCCCTCTGCTCTCCGTGCGGCGTGAAGATTGTCGTACAGGAGACGGGACGTAAAATTTTGCAGATGACAATTTCGGCAGTAGCGGATGATTGAAGGAACTACGCTACGATGTGGTAGACACGCACAGCTGCACGGCGGGCTCGTATACGTGTCGCAATACCAAGGTCGGTTGGGTTGTTGTCATGACGCGCGGGGGGCTGATTCTGTTGATCGGAGCGGGACGAAGAGGAGGGTCGAGCCGCGGGGCGCCCAGCAGCGGGGGCGCTCGAGCAGCCATGGTACGCTATGGTACGGCGCTTCCCTCGCGCCCAAGACTTGGCGAGGTTGCGATGGCCCTCCCTGACGACCTTGGGACCGGGGCATATTGGCGAGGGTTTCTCCTTGAGTGAGTGTGACCAAAATTCGATGAGAGTGGGAGGGAAAAAGAACAGGTTAGAGGGAGTGGCGCGGGTTTCTTTACGGGTGTGATCTGTTGTTCAGCCCCTAATACCGCTGGTCCGCTGCCGGACCGGTAATGACACCGACACCGCCGGCGCGCCGCATCACGTGACAGACGCCAGCCCTCGCCCCGCGCGTCAGGCGGAGCTGTGCTGTAGAAGCAATGTCATGCAAAGCCACGCGTTTGCCGTCCATTAAATGCAATATAAGTGTAAGCATTGTTTGACGTCAACTAAAAAAAGAAGGAAAATACTGGGAACGCTGTAGCTTCGTTCGACTGGCGCGAAAAATACAAAAGTTGCCACAGAGCTTGTGACTTCTTATCGGAACATGGACACAGAGGCAGGTGCGGCAGACACAACAGTATGCTGGTACATCCGAGGTGGTACATCCACCACAGGCGGCCCGGACATAGGCGGCCCTCCGGGCGGCAACCTAGTTAAAAACAGCGATTTTAGGTACGTACGTTCCTTAACTCACACTTTTTTCTTTTTCTTTACCAGTGGGATCCCGTTAAATTAACGGGAATATGGTTCCAAATAGCAGGAGAATTGAGCGATATAATGACGAAAGACAGCAGAGAAACTATTTTTCACTCATCGCGGCCAAGACTTGGCGAGGTTGCGATCGATGGCTCTCCCTGGCGACCTTAGGACCGGGGCATAGTGGCGAGGGTTTCTCCTTGAATGAGTGCCACAAAATTCGATGAGAGTGGGAGAGAAAAAGAAAAGGTTAGAGGGAGTGGCGCGGGTTTGTTCACGGGGTGTGATTTGTTGTTCAGCACCTAATGCCGCTGGTCGGCTGCCGGAATGACACTGACACCGCGGGCGCGCCGCATCACGTGACAGACGCCAGCCCTCGCCCCGCCTGTCAGGCGGAGCTCTGCTGTAGAAGCAATGTCATACAAAGCCACGCACCTGCCGTCCATTAAATACAATATAAGTTTTCTCACTGTTTTACGTCAACTAAAAAGTGAAGGAAAATACTGGGAGCGCTGTAGCTTCGTTGGAACGGCGCGAAAAATACAAAAGTCACCACCGAGCTTGTACATGACTTCTGATCGGAGCATGGGCACCACAGGTAGGTGCGGCAGACAAAACAGTATGCTGGTAGATCTACCACAGGCGGCCCTCCGGGCCTCCACCTACTCAAAAATAGCGATTTTAGGTACATTCCTTAACTCACACTTTTTTTTTACTAGTTAGAGTAAAAAGTGGTCGATCGCGAGTGATTAGAAGATTCTAATACATCACTTCCTCTTTGAGGGTGCAGGTTCGCGCAATCCTGCGGCTAGCTAATCTTTTACCGTCCGTTGCTGTGCGATGGTATGCTTTTTTTTGCGACCGAGGGGGAGGGGGCGCGGGCCGAGGGGGGACACGCTGCGTGGGTTGCCATGTATGACCGTGTTTGATTTACCCGCAGGCAGCATCTCGAGATTGCACCGTCCAGGCAGCAAAGTTCACTCTGTCTTGTTTCCAACCTCATCACTTTGAGCAGGCAATGCTCGTCCGCCAAACCAGCTGATTTTCTCGTGTCGACCGGAATGAAGCATTTAGTCCCCAAAGCCAGCCAGTCCGTAGGCTACTGCCAAAGACCACGGTCCTTTCTCATTTCCGAGCTACATGGATTACAACATGTCGTCACCCAACACCAGAGTACAGCACAATTCGAAATGGGAGACTGATCTCACCTGGCACCCGCCAACCGCTTGTAATTCTTGGGCCCATGCTCCGTTGTTCCTGTCGCAAAGTCGGGGAGATACTTGTCCGAGGAGAGTTTGGAGAGCTGCGGCTTGCTGCCGCACCGTCCAGAGGCGTGCCTGTGATTTGATCGCGCATCGGTCATCGTCGGCATGGGGACGGTGCCTCGGGGTGGTCGAGCCGACGCCGCGAGCGGGGGATGCTTCGTCGACGAGAGGTGGTGCGGAGAGGGTAGGCCGTACAGGTCGTCCTCGTCGTCGCTATCGGTGATCTCGATCACTTCCGCGCGCAATCCCGGTGCTGCCGCCGCTAATGTCGTCGGACGCTGCCGTTTGCGCGGCGAGGGGCTCGGCGTCGCGCGGTCAGCATTCGAAGCAAAGCTGCTGCTCGTCATCACCGTGTTTTTGATCCTGAAAGCAAGACCTGTGCCGGCCGTCGTCGAAGGTGACAGTGCTCTCGTCGCGCCAGAGGCTGCAGCAGGACTGCGTGGGACCGGAACGACTGGGCAGGTTTCGTATTCGTCGTCCGAGATGGCGGCCTTGGGTCGACGCCGCTTGAGCTCCTCGTACTTGTGGCGCGTCCTAGCCTGTTTGGACTCCCAGCTCTTGAGCGCCGCCTCGAGGCGCTGCACTTGACCTTTGAGCTTGACGACTTCTTCTTGCGCGCACGTCTGGGCCTGGGCGGCCAGCGCTGCCTTTTCGTCGGCCTTGTCGATGGCTTTCGTCGTCGCGCGTTGGCACTCCGCGACGCGCTCGTCGGCTTGGTGTTGGATCCGATCCTGCGCGAGTTGCATTCTGTGCGAATGAAGCCCAGACCGCGATCGATCGCCAGCCCAGCAAGAAGGTCAGCGGGGGCTGTCACACTCAAGCTCGGTGACAAGTGCGGAGACTCACGCAAAGAGCGCCTTGTCGTGGCCATCGATCTGTTCGCGCAGGCTTTGGATGGTCTTTTCGCCCTCTTCGCCTCGCATCGCCAGCGTCGCCTTGAGGCGCGCGACTTCCTCTCGGTGCTTGATCTTGGCCTCGTGCGCTTCCGACTCGACTTCGCGCAGCTGGGCCTCCAGCTTTGTGGCTTCGGCGCGCTTGGTCGAGAGTTCGTCGAGCGCGACCTCGATGACCCCGGTGAGCTCGTCGACGCGTACCTCGAGCTCCATAATGCGCTGGTGCGCACCGGGCTGCCCGCACTCGTACTGGACAAGCTCGTCCATGCGCCGGCCGAGCTCGCCCTCGAGATCGTCGATGACGCTCTCCTTGGCCTGGCACGTTTCCTCGAGCTCCTCGAGTCGCAGGGCCTGTTCTCGCGTGAGCTCGCGCAGGGGTCGAAGTTCCCGCACGGTCGCTTGCGTTTCTCGGAGCTCGCGTCGGAGCCGGTCGACTTCTTGCTCGGAACCTGCGCGTCGAGCCAGTCTGGGTGCAGGCCCTTCCCCTGTCAACAGATCCTCCCGTTCGTCGTCAACGTCGTTCTCCTCGTCGTTGGTTTCGTGATCCACGCGTGCGGCTGCAACTTCTCGGCGCACCGATGCGGCCTGCGAGGCTCCGGCCAGCTGGGATTGCACACCATCGCTCGTGACATCGGCTTCAAAATAGAGGCGGACCAACGGGTACGGGGTGCGGCGATGACTGCGGTCGGTGCTGCGCACCGAGACGTGGCGCGAAGGGCAGTGGAGCGGACAGATCGCTTCGGCGCGGTTGTGGCTTCGAATCCACTTTTTGATGCATTTCTGTTGGTCGTAAAGCCGTAAAGACGGGTCGTGGGAAGAATCATGGTCAGCTGGGCTCGGTTAAGGAGTATCTTTTGTCACCCAGAAGGGTCAAGGACATGATTTACGGTGTGGTAGACGTGTCCGCATGACGTCAAAGCGGACCACTCTGAGCTGTGCGCGTCGTCACCATCCTCGGGCGAGACGGTGGACTGGCAGAAGCATTCGAGCTGGCCCCGAGCCATCTATCGGGGAGCGAAGCCGTATGAAGCAACTGAGCGCCGAGTGAGGGGTGGGGCCGAGAGGAGGCAAGCGACGGAATGGACAGACGCCTTCTCGGGATGGGGACGAGAGCGCGAATCAACACGAGGAGCGCGGGGAGGGGCGGCCCCGTAATTCGAGACCTACTACTAACTAGTTCTCTGGAACTCAATGGAGCCAGCTGAGTGCCCAGCCCTGAGCCTCGAACGCTTTCAACAGCCACACCGCCAACCCAATACACCATAGCAATGTCACTATTTGCAAGTACATCAAGACCTAGCAATCGGAGCAAACGCCCTCCTGCCATGAAAATGAGATCGACATTCGACACCGCGGAGTAAAAAGGCAATCCTCCTCGGTGTCGGTTGTCGCGCAGGGAAAAAGCTGCGAGCGAATCAGAGCGCCGCGATCGTGTGAGAGCGTTTCCGGTCGCACGCATCTGCGATTCTGCGAGCGTGAGCACTGTTTGAGCACTGTTTGCGAGCGCGCGTAAGCAGCTTCCGAGGCGCGCAAATCGTAAAGAGCGGGGAGTGCGGGGTTCGGAATTTAGCTATGAAAATTGAAAAAATCAAAATTATTTTTCCGATTTTATTTTTATTTTTGGAAAAATGCCAAAAAGCGCGCAGATTGAGTAGGTTGCGCGCGCATGAGTGCGCTGGAGCGCGTGTAATACCCCCTCCGTGCGCGGATACGGTGGGGCGAGCGAGCTAACAGCGAGCGAAACGCGCGTGGACCGCCAATAGGGGCCAGAAACAGATGTTTTTCCTGAAAAGCGCGCAACTCCGACGAATTCAGAGCGCGTTAGAGACCAAAAGTGCGTCCAAGGGATGCAAAGCTGTGAATGACGCGCGTATGAAGGCCCAATGGCGCGCAATTGCACGATTTTCGGCGCGCGTACAAACGAGTCGTAACGCGCAAATGGCCCCGGGCGCGCAGATCCATTTGTTGCCCAAGCGGCGGCCCATACTAATTAAATGACGCGTCGAGAGCGCGTTCGTATGAGTTCGTATTAAGCTCAACTAAGCCCTCCCTCTGGGAGGGGCTTAGGACTTATCTGCGCGCCTGGCCCAGTTGCCCTCCGAAATTTCAGGGCCATTTTGGGGTGGTTTTCTGTAGCGTGGCAAGTACTTACAATTATCCAAAACGCAGAGATGTTATTGATCTTCTACTAAAAAAAATGGCCTGTGCCGAACGGCAAGAGGATACGCCATCTGTAGCCGAAGCTATGATGATCTGAAGTGTGTACATTTGGTCAATTTGGTCCCGAGTGGTCCGAGCGGCAGCACTTGCTGCAGCCACCGGCTTGCGCACTTCGGCGTGTGCGCATCGGTTTCTCTCCCGTCCCATTCCGCATCACTCGTCTTCTCGGTACTATGCTCTTTGCTTGTTCTCGGTGCAACACCGCGCTTATCTCAGAATGACGCGCAACCGTAGACGCTATGACTCGACGACTCGCCAGGATCGCCGCCGTCAGGCGGATCTTTTCGCTCGGTTTCGGCTCCACAAGCTCTCACTATGTCAATACCTCTCGTGGTATTTCAGCCCGTCAACACAACACGATGGTGTTCACAAGCATAGGCCAAAGGTCTTCAACAGTAATTGGACCCAGCTCAAGCGTTTGACGTGGCTTCCCGGCTGTTGAAGTACATGATGGACTGGGGAAAGGTGCTGGGATCTGACCGCTGGGTAAGGAGATCCCTGATACTTCCCATCGTACCGTTTGTTCTTGGTTTTCATCTCGACAACAATATTGCGTAGGTTTGGTCGGAAAAGGTCGGCTTTGGCGAAGAACGTCCGCGATTCGGAGAGACTGGATACCTTTGGGACCTTGTTGATTTTGTAGGTTGGAGCGCCGGCGGCGAGGAAGAGTGTTTGACAGCCAAGTATGAGACGCTGCTCCGCAACTTGCCCATATACGGGGCGAAATGCAGTCGAGCCTTCCATTGTGTGGCTCATAGCTCCGGCGCGCTCCCTTTCGCTGAATCCCCACTCGGCGATCTTGATTGCCTCGTCATAGGCAAGCAGCATGACTCGTTCTCGGAACGAGTCCTTTGATATCAGCTCAGCCCAGCGCTTGTCTCCATTGTGCATCTCTGGAGACTGTCGGAGATTATTAGTAGCAAGATATCAGTACGGGGGTTGTGAGCATGCAAAAACATGCGGCGGATTGAATGGACACGTACGATGAAGATGAATGAGACAGTATGGGAGGGATCGCTCAACTTCTGGTACAGCTCTCCGTCACCCCATGTTTCCTTGCATATGATAACCGCTTTCTTTCGCTCTTGATTGAGATTGTCGGCCTGTAAAGGTATCAAGACCGTGGGACTCAGCACCGGCGTCGCCTCAACGGCCAACCGAATAAAACCTACGTGAAGTTGGCTCAGCGCAGTCAGAGGACTGACAACTATGGTCACAGCCCGGCGTCCGTAAACCAAATACATGGCTTGAAATATCAAGCTCTTCCCTGAACCCGTTGGAGCAATGACGAATACAGCGTCATACTGATTTCGAGTCTTGAACCGCTCGAGCTGAAAAAGTCCCGCGAGAGCTTCGATTTGCACCGGCCGGGGGACGAAGCCCTCGCCAAATTTGTCGACCAAGAGGAGTCTGAGCTTCTTGCGTAACTCAATCGGGTCAACTCGATCTTCTTGAGTTAATTGTGATCTCCAGTGAGCAGCCGGAGAGCGACGGGTAGGCAGTTCGGGGGTTGTGTCGGTTGAGTGATGGTCCCTTGATGTCGTTGGCTTTGCCCTCGAAGCTGATCGTAAGCGCGACTCTCTGAACTCAATCGATGGAGACCGACGAGGTGTGCCTTTGACAAGCGTTGGCGTTTGTACGGGCATGGTGGATCATGAGGGCGGTAGCGACGTCGTGGACTGGCGTTGTGGACCGAAGGTGAGGCCGGTGAGGCGCGGCTGGCTGATTCACGAAGAACCGTCCCTCTGGGTCCGTGCGCGAGCCAGCTCCAAGTCGAAACTAACGACTTCTCACCGCTGTAGCTCAATGAATAGGACATGCAAGAGTCTTCCCTTGGGCAGATGCTCGTAAAAATAGCATAAGAATGGGCCTTTTTCTACATATTGTAGAGGTGATTTTATTTGCCAAGCTACAGCAAGGTGGTACTTTTCTGGGCCAAATTTCGATAGGCAACTCAGCCAAACGCGCCGATAAGGTACAAGCCCCTCCACAGAGTGGAGGGTTTCGAGCTTAAGTTCGTATGTTCGAGCTTCGCTGACCCGCGCGCGTGGGAAGAAAGCACGTGAGCAAGCGGCGCCTCTTCTCATTCGAGACTTATTTGGGTAGCCTGCCAAGCAGCCTGTGTCGACCCACTCCCAATACTCGCCACCCCATCCTTCCAAAGGACGGCGCCAGTGGACATTGGGAGCCTTGGTCCACCACAGCTCGCCCGTCGAGGGAGGATGGCACCTCGCGTCGTGCCCGGCAACCCGCAATGGATTGAATGGATCAGGACACTCGAGCTCGCCGCCGAGGAAAAGGGTTCTCGAGCGGCCAACTCGTGGGCCAAGGTACGTCCGGCCAGCCACTCCACCCGATCCCGTTCCAGGCTGACGCTCGTCTCTTTGCGATCACCCTCCCTCGACGCGTTCCGCCCCCCACTCAGGCAAGGAGGTCGTTCGAAAAGTGCCCGATCGTGTTCAATCACCCCGACGAAGCGCTGCAGCTCGAAGGTGTCGGCAGAAAGACGGTCGAAACACTGCTACACAAGATCACTGAAGAATGTAGACGCGTAGGTATGCCTCTTCCAGAACGCGGTCAGTCAATTTACTGGTTTCTCCGTTGAGCCGGGACCGAAATCTTGACCCCTCTTTGCAACCTGGCACTGTGCAGCGACCGTGCCGAGACGATTTGGGGCAGCAGCGAAGGGAGCGGTAGCAGCACCCGTTCGAGATGCGACCACGGGGAATGCCGTCCCTGGACCTTCTCGGAAACGTCCGAATTCGGGCTCGGCGGCCCTGCAAGAAGCGGCCGAGGATCAGTTGCGAGAAGCTCGACGGCGCAGGCTGCTCGGACTGCCCCCGGAACCTTCAAGCTCGCCCCCTCGCCACCAACACCACTCTGCCGGTAGGTATGCCTTGGCTCGGAACGAGAACGTCAACGCTGCCGCCGGTCTCGCTCGATCGCGCAAACCCGCGGTCCCCAAGGCCTACGTCCCGCGTCGGGGCTCGGGGTCGTACGCGATCCTGCTCGCGTTGTACAAGAGCTCCTCGTACGACGAGCCGCAGGTGTGGACGACCAAAGCCAAAGTCATGGAGGAAGCCTCCGAGTTGAGCGAGACTCCGATGGATCGACCCATGGCGGCACGCAACGGCGGCACCGAAGCGGGGACGGGCTTTTACAGCGCCTGGAACGGCATGACAACGTTGATCAGCAAGGAGCTGGTCTCGTGCGACAACAAGCGGCCCATCAAGTACTCATTGACGGACGCGGGATATGCGCTCGCGGACAGCCTTGCAGAAGCTGCGGGCATGGCGAAGCATGTCAGGGGCCCTGGACCAGCTCCGGTCCTATGGAACGCGCCGCCGCCACCGCCGCCGCCACCTCCAGGGGGCGTTCGCTCGTTTCAAGAGGACTTTGTCGAAGGCGGCACGGCGGGGCATCGACTCGGATGTGCAGCATCGGCGATAGATCCCGCTTCCGTGGGACCGACGGGGCGGTACCCGAACATTGCCCACCGCACTCGACCTCGCTCGCCCCCACTCTTTGCCGACCTCGGCCGCATGGGCCACGACGAGGCTCGGTCCGAGGACGACGACGACGATCCCGAGTTTGCCGAGCAGATGCGTCAAGCAAAGGCGCTGAGTCGCCAGGAGAGTCAACACCCCTCCTCGTCGTCGACCGCGATGAACCGGGATCTGATGAACCTACGGCCGCCGCTCCCACCCCTGCCCGCGAGCCGACCGTTCTTCGACTCGAGTCTCGACGGTCGCAGAGCCGTTTCGGGTCACTACGCCGCTGCTTTACCCGCCGCCCCAGGCGTTCCTGCCGCGGGCAATGTCGATCTCCCTTTTGAGTACTATTACCTCGACGAGAGTGAGTCGTGTACCGATAGCACTCTGCCACTCCCATGGCCCAGGACATTGCTGAGCCCGCGTTTCCCACGACCCCTCACCACTCCGCAGCTGACGCGAGGGTAACTCGACGCGACCAAGCCGAGGTGGGACAGGAAGAGGGGACGCTCGCACCGATGTACCGCGTCGAGTACCGCACCGCTCAGGCCCTGCATCAGATGACGCGCAGTGTCCTGAGAAGCACGACGCTGGCTCGCGGGACGCCACTCCCCGGCGGACGCACGATGACCGGCTACCTGCGAGGTCGCGTCGCAAATTCGGTCGCTCCTGGCTTCCCGTCCATGAGTGCGGCAGCTCTTTCAACCGCCGTCGCGGCCTCCTCGACCGCTCGAACGCAGTTCCCGGAAATCAACCTCCTGGCGGGCTACAAGGAGCGCCCACCGCCTTTGGACAAAGATGCGATGTACGCGCCGCCCCCTTCGGTGCGTCGGCTTGGAGGTGACGCCGCGCTGCAGCCTCCCTCTGTCGTTCGGCGGCCGGCGGATGCCGCTTCGAAGTCGAGAGCCACGACTCTGGATTGCGATGGGAAGCAGGACGCGGGCAGTCACGGCACGTCTTCGCCAAACTTGTCCTCGAGTCGCACCGCGGCGGCGTCATTGATTCCTCACACGACCGCTTCACTTCCTGTCCCTCTCGAGGACCGTTACGGACCTGCGGTAACTTCCGGTTTGAGCACGCGGCTGGACCGCACTCACCAGAAGCTGCCGCCCGTTGTGGCGCTGTCGCGAGCCGATGCACCTCCTGCACGACCCCTGGCCCGCACCTCGTCGTCGCAGAACCCATTGCTCGCCTCCTTTGATCAGTTCCCGAACCCGCTCATTAACCGCCACCCTCTGGACCCCGTCAAGGACCACGTCGCCGCGGTCCCCTACGACCATCACCCCTTCTCCGCCAAGGTCTTGCTTGCGGGCACGTTCCGCGTCATGCTCATCATCGACTCGCGAGAGGTGGGCTTGCCGATGCGCGGCAAGCGGACCGAGATGATCAAATCGCTCGAAAAGGAGAACGTCCCCTGCGATCGGCGCATGCTGCCCCTCGGGGACATGATCTGGGTCGCTCGACCGATCAATTCTTTCGGCCAACCCACCGGAGAGGATGATGTCGTACTGGACGCGATCGTCGAGCGCAAGAGGCTCGACGATCTGTGTCACTCGATTATCGATGGTCGGTACGTCAGCCAAAAGATTCGGCTCAAGGATTCGGCCATCTCGCACCGCATCTACCTGATTGAAAAGTACGACGACAAGAGTCAATGTGAGCCCGCGTTTCCTTCATTTCTTTCTATCGCGTCCCCGTGGCCGTACTGATTCGCGGACCGTTGTATAATTCCTTTTGCGTTGCAGACGCTCAATGTAAGACCACCCTTTTGACGCTCAGCTGTCACCTGCTTGACTGCAACTGACGTGATTCGATTTTTCCTCTGCAGTCGGGAAAGCGATCTGGACGTGCAAGTCTCAGTTGCAGATCAACGACGGGTTCTACGTACACGAGTCGGGCAGCTTCAAGGACACCATCACGTATCTCAAAATGCAGACGCAGATCATGCGCGAACAGTACGAGGTGAGTACTAAGTCGTCGTGTCCATGGCTGCTCACATTTTGAAACAGCGGGCTAACAAGAGTACTTCTACGCACCAGTCGCAAGATCTGCTCGTCATTCCGGACACGTCCATCGACCGACCGACCTACCTCTCGATGCAACGCCATCTTCAAGCGACTTCCCCTGCGTACCGCTACCTGACGACGTACCGCGCGTTCGAAGAACTGAACAAGGCCGACGCGGCACTGACGCTGCGTTCGCAGTGGGCGCGTATGCTGTCCTGCGTCTCGGGACTGTCGGCCGAAAAGACTGTGCAGTTCATCGGTCGTTGGTCGACGCCAATGCAATTCTTTGCCGAAGGTTCGGAATGGAGTAGGATCGTCAAGGAGGACCCGTTCGTTGCCGTCGAGGGCAAACCGGTGCCGAAAAGGGCGAGGAAGGAGGAGGACTTTGTCGTTGAGCACCTGGAGGATGTCGGGGCGAGGGGAATCAAAAGCAAGCTCGGGTCCAAGATTTGGAAACTTTTCCAGACAGGCACCGCGTACGCCGAGTAAGAAGGTGGTGGCCAGAACATCTTTTCTGTCACTGTCGACAACTATGCACTATGATACAACAAAAACTAGATGCAATTGCTAGCGTTACAAGCGTATGAACCGTGGTCAAGGGCTGGGAGAAGAGTCACCGTCCCCGCCCAGCAAGTTCCACCGCTTCGACTGTGTAATTCACTATCCGGGTCAGCTGCGTACGGCGGGCGTAAAAAAGCCAGCACATGTTCGTGACAGACCTTTTTGGACATTCTGTGGTCGATCCCTTGCGTCGGTCCAAAGTGCGACGCGGAAGGTGTCTGCATGGGCGGAGGACGTTGCGACAGGGCTTCTTGCGTCAACTGATCGATCTGCGCGAACGCATCGTCGCCAAAGTCGTCCATCGCGGCTCCGTAGTCGAACTCGTCTTCGCCTTCGTCTGCATCTTGGTCGCCATGCAGAGCTCGCATGGGAGGCGGAGGGGCAGGGGGCGAGGGGGGTTCCTGCGTAGGTGTCGCGCGATTGAACAAGGGCCGTTCTTGCTCTACTGCCCGATCCTGCGCCTTCTTCCCCCGTTCTGCATGCACGCGCAGTGGTTCCTCTTCTGCCTTCCCCCTCCGGCCTCTGACCATGTTATCGCGGTCCCTCGCAGCGTCGTCCTGATCATCCCCATCAAAGTCGGTTGTGGCGATGACAAAGTCGGCTCGACAATTCTCGGCCTCAACAAGGATCAAGACCGGTTCGCCGCCTCTCGAACAAGCGACGTCGACCGTCGCAGGAACCGCATCGGCCAAAGCGATGATGGATTTGAACTCTTTGAGCCCAAAGGTGATGACCGACGGGCGCAAGACTTCGTACAAGTCAAAGTCCGAGACGGAGATGACGAGCTCGGTCGAGAGGGGTCGCGAGGAGAGGGAATCGGCTGAAAAAAACGAGGGAACAAACCGGCGCTTACGCACCAAGGTCAGTGACTCCTGACGGATAGTCTCGAGACTGCTTGCTCTGGACTGACCTGGGTTATCGGAGGAAGTATCTACGCCGAAGGAGCGCAGGCGACACGAGTTTTCGTGCAGGTCGAACGAAATCTCGTCCGAGCCTCCGCCCTGAGAACCCGAACGCAAGTGGAAGTGATCTGTCCTGCAAGTTTATACTCTTGTTGTCAGCAGAGAGTGGGAGTCGGTCTAGGAAGACAAACGAGGGAAGACTGTACGGACCACTCCTTGAGGATGCGACTGGATGCGATCCAGGTGATGGTGCAGGCGTCTCGTTTCGCTTGAGGATACAGTGCCGTCGAGCCCGAGCTGTAGGTCATGCGATGGGTTTTGGTGACGCCTGTGGGGCCATCAAGCGATCTGGGTGAGTAAGAATAGAGCCGAACCAGGGACGAGCGCTTGGCTCGGATGGTGAACGGGGCGAAATTTGCACTAACCGTGCTGACAATGCAGTCGTATGACGATGCGGCACTGGGGTGCGGCGGCGGTTGCGGAACCCCTCTCGGACGTTGCGTCATCATCATCGTCGCCGTAAGATCCATTGTGTCGGCGGTGTTGGGTGAGGTCCTGGCCGGTGACGGAGATGGAGCACGTCTCGATCGTGTTGGCCGAGCGAGGTCGCAGCGGGGAGAGCAGCGCCTGGGGTGGGGGAGGAACAAATCAGCGGGGGCATACGACGCAGGTACGAGTGTGTGTGGAGATTGCCGCCTACTTTGCCCACGACCGAAAACGAGACGATGGCTTCGCCCGCGGGTGCGCGGACGTGGTAGCTCGGAAAGAAGTGGGCCGGGAAGGTGACGGCGGCGAAGGCGGTGCGCGAGGCGTTGATGGACGACAGCTTGAGCTGACGCGGGGCCGCGGCGACGTGGATTTCTTCGCCCCATTTGGTGAGGCATGCGATCGCACGGGTAAAGTCTGTGGGATGCACGAGCCGAGAACGCGAGGATGCGGAGTCCGGGCGGCCCACGCGGAGGTGGGTTGGGTCAGCTGGTTGACATTCAAGCCTCGGCGCGCGTCGCGACGTGTATCGCTGCGAAATGGACGACGATCAGACTGACGACGTAGCGCTGAGCCGGATGCGATGACTAGATCCATCGCCTCCAGGGACGCCGCTGCGAGGTGGTGACTCGTCGCTAGAGGGAGGAGGCGCCAGTTACGCGGAGAGAGTCGATGTAGGAGAGCGCTGTGTTGACGGACTGCCGTCGCTCGTCGCGCGCTGCACAACCGAGGGCAGGGAAGGCCAAGGCTGGGAAAGGCGGGCGGGCAGTATAGGCGGAGGTAGGGAGTAGGCGGGATTGGGCGGGATTGGGCGGGATTGGGTGGGATTAGGCAGGATTAGGAGGGATTAGGAGGGATTAGGCAAGATTAGGCGGGCGCTCCGACCGGGCTCTGTTCGCGCTCACGTGCTTGCTCGTGCTTGGTGCCTGTTGGCTTCCTGCATGCACGACGCTGGTAGGCTTGGCTGCTCTCCCTTGCTCAACCCACCCCGCACGACGCGATGCTGCTGCTGCCGCGCCTCACCTCTCGCTCACGGCCATTGACTGCTGCGGTGACGGCCCGCGTCTCGGCACCATCAACAGTCGCCACAGTGCAACCGTGGGTTCGGCACTGGACACGAACGATGCACCACACATCGCGACGGACGGCCCAGTGTGAGCTCCATGCCCTCATACAGAGGCTACCGAACGACGGCACTGACCATGTGCACCCCCAAAACAGACTACTTTGATACGGCCGACTACGTTTCGCGCTTCGAGAAGCATGGCCTCACGCCCGCCCAGGCCGAAGGCGTCGTCGATACGCTCGAGGACATTATCGGCGAATCCATCAGGAGCATGCAGGGCAACCTCGTCACCCGGGAAGAGCAGGAGAAGGTACGAGCAAATTCACCGGGCAATCTTGAGACTCACTGCCCAGACTTATCGCGTCCTTGAACCCGACAACAGCGACACTACACCCAAAAGGTCAGAATCGACGGGGAGCCGCTCAGCCCTCATCCCGAGATTATCGCTCACCTTCCGTTCCCTCCAGGTCGACTTTGCTTCACTTAAGCAAACCTTGGAACTATCGGAAAAGACAGATTTCGTCAATCTCAAGGCCGAGAATGAGCGCCTCTTGGGCGACATTGAACGGCTTAAGCAACGTTTGCGCGAGGAAATCACCCGGACCCAGGCCGGCGTCCGGCTCGATCTCAACTTGGAAAAGGTGCGGGCACTTCACCCAACAGCGAGCCCATAAGGCATCGTGAGCTCTGGTTGATTCTCTGCTCTTCGCTCCTCCGCAGGGTCGAATCCGGGACGAGTTGTCGATGAGAGTCGTCCGATTGGCCGATGTCGACACGCGGATAGAGAACGAAATCGGGTTGCTGAGGACATCGCAAGTCTTCTTTCTCCTCTTGCCATGTACCGTTGTTTCAGTTCACTCACAAAGAGACACTTTCATCGCTTGAACAGAATGGAGGCCGTCAAGTTCAAGTGAGTGATGTGCTTCTTGAGCGATCAAAGACGGTTCGGTACCATGGGGTAAGGTTGGACTGCTGAACTATTTCTCGCCCGCAGTATCCTGCAATATGCCTTCGCGGTCATGTCCGGTACCGGTGCCCTCTTGCTCGCATATCTTCGCATGTACGTTGACCTAGGACAGACTCGATGCAATATGTTTGCGAACTGACCGGTTTCTGCCTCGTCAGGTTCGCGCACTAGTCTGTTACGTTTTTGGGGGATGGCGCATGTACTACTAACATACTATCGCGTACTCTTTGCTGGTATTGAGAGACTGCTTTTCGCTCTTCATGCACTGGCGAGTCTCTGCGGCGAACGAAGTACGCGAACATTTCCCATTCAGGGGCCCGGTTCGACAAACAAGTTCTTATGACGAGCGATTTTACATGCAATTCAGTAATACACAGTGTAGTTTTGTGGCCCTATAACGTATAGTCCGAATGACAATCACTATCATAAGAGTATTCACGTGGGGCTCAGTATCCACCCCTCATGCCACCACGACCTCCACCACGGCCTCGGCCTCCACCGCCGCCTCCACCTCGGCTGCCACCTCGGCCTCCCGATCCTCCTCCTCGACCGCCAGAGAAACCGCCCTCTGCGCCAATACCCGAGCCACCACCACCTCCGTCGCCATTGAACCCACTATTTCGGCCTCCTTGCCCGCCCTTGCCCTCCCCCGGAAGCACATTCAACCCCTTCGTTCCCTTCAACCCCATCTTGCCGATCGTCTTGGCCGGAATACCCGGCACCGCACCCGAAGCACCATCGAATGCAAGGCCATCCTGGGCCGTCGCGAACGCGTTGAACGTCGCGACCATATTTTCCGCCGAACCTCGGAACGAATCTTTGAGGTACGTCTTGTAGAAACCCAACGTCGCACCGTAGAATTGCGATTTGAGATCGTCGTCGATCGTACGCATCGCACCAGCAACTTGGGTCTTGGCCGTACGCAACGCGGCACTGTCGGGTTTCAACTCGGTCGAGGCGAGAGGATGATCTTGAATGGGGAGGGCCTTGATCTCGCGCTTGTTCAAGAAAAAGGTCTCGAAGGGGGAGAGAATCAAGACGCCCGAACCGGAGGCACCGGCACGAGCCGTTCGTCCCAAACGGTGGATGTATTGTTCGGGAGCCGAAGGTAAGCCTATTTGGAACACGGTCGTCACGCCGGGGAAGTCCATTCCTCGGGCGGTCACGTCAGAGGAGAACAGGATCGCGGACGGCGCGGCCTTGTACGCTTCGGCGGCGGCGTTGCGCTGCGATTGAGATTTGCGCGAATGAATTTCGAGCACAGGAAGGCCCAGGTTCAAGCGGGTAAAGAGAGCTGCAGCGAGGCCGGTAGCACGGGCAGTGGGAAAGAAGGCCATCTGAGAATTCGTAAAAACAAGTATGCAAACGGAGTCGTCAGTCTTGGCGCTCCGCGCGCCACCTCACACCGTAACTGCGAGACAAGTTGTGAAGCGCAGCAGAGTCGGGGCTCACGATTTTGGTCGCTGGTCCGTGGGTGGCGATCTCGGCGCGAATGGCGACGAGCGTCGCCGCGAACGAGTCGTGCAGGTCCGCAATGACGGAGAACTGAGGAACGTGCTCGTGGGTGTTCTGGTCCTCCTCGGTCAAGGTCGTGACGAAACGATGGGTAGGCAGCAGCGCCAGCGAGGCGATCTGGTGCACCTGCGCGGGGATCGTCGCCGAGAACAAGAGCGTTTGCCTCGGTTGCACGTCACGACGGGGGAGGAACTGAAGAATTTTCTCAATCTCGCGACGGAACCCTTGCTCGAGCAGACGGTCGGCCTCGTCGAGGATCAGCGCGCGGCACTCGGAAAGCTTGAGCTTAAGGTTCGAGTTTTCGAGGTGGTCGAGCATGCGGCCCGGGGTCGCGACGAGGATGTCGCACCGCTGGTTGTTGAGGCGCGACGTTTCGCTCTTCATGTTGGTCCCACCGACGACGTGCTGGACGGCGAAAGGGGTCGACGACAGCAGGATGCGAGCGGCCTCTTCGATCTGGATCGCGAGCTCTCGCGTAGGGGACATGATAAGGATCGAAATGCGGTCGGCCTTGGGTTGCGGATTGGAGCGAAGCAGAAGTTCGATCGAAGGAATGAGGAACGCTAGCGTTTTTCCCGTGCCCGTCTTGGCTTGGGCTAGACTAAAGGCAGCGAATGAGGGGTGGGAGAGAAAGGGGTCAGTCCGTGCGACAGGGGCGGGACAATTCGGCTCCGATCCCCGAGAGGGGTGGACTGGTGATAGCCAAGCAGAAGATGCCGGGGAAGGAAATCCAAGAACCGAGGGAAGAACACCCACACGTCAACACCGGTGAGAATGACGGGCAAGGTCGCCTCTTGCACGGGGGTGCAGTAGATGTGAGGAGGGCTGAGCGCGGCGATGCCCTGCGCGGTGCGCTGCGAGATCTTGCCCTGGTGGTACAGATCCTCGAACTTGAGCTGCGTGAAGGCCTTGGACGAGTCGCCGCCGATCGGGGTCATGGTTCCCGTCGGGGTCGGGGCTTGCGACGACAAAGCAGGGGTCGAAGTGCCCGACGCTGCGACCGTGGACAAACGAGACAGTAGTGACAATCCGGGTCCACCAGCAGTCGAGGGCGTGGCCGGTCCCGAGGCCGACGCGAGCTTGGGTGCAGAGGAGGTGGTCTTCTTCTGCGGCCGTCTCCTCTTGTTGGGTCGACCGTCGTTCGTAGGGGGTGGGTTGCGGGGTTGGGACATGGCTGGGCGGAGAGAATGGATGGGATCGAGGGAGGATGCAGGAGTGCAAGCACCGCGAATCACGCGTCCGAGGCTCGTCGTTGCGAAGGAGTCGAATTGGAACCGAAATACTCGTCGGCGCAAATCCTGGAATTTGAACTTCCTGCTCGAGCTCAGCAACTGGGAGGTCATAGACGGGTGGACGGTAGCGGAGCGGGGTGCGCAACACTACAGTGCGATGGGGCGATTGTCAAGAATCAGATGGCGCCGGGATCCGGTCGCGAGTGCGAATAGTACATGAACGACAGCTACTTTCGCACCGGCTGTCGGCCCACGCCGCGCCCACATCACTCGATCACTGATGAGCCCGAATTTTCCATCACGTGACTTTTCCCGGAACCCGCAACCATTCCGGTCTCCGCTATACGATACAAAAAGTATGATACGACGTGAAGATAGGAGAGTAATGTGATGAAAATTCGGCGGGCTGCGCACGGTGAGGTCTGGTGCGGCACTGCAGTGGTGGGGCGTCGAATTCCGATCAGTCGGTCGAGCTGATGTGGGTGACCCTGCGCTTGTCCGCTCGTGGCAAGCAACTTATCCTCGAACAACGCCGACGCCGCGCCAACGCCGAGGCGAGCGTAGCGGGATCACGCATGTCCGGACCACTTGGGAACGGCGATGGAGGAGGGGACCTCAGCACGGCCCGTCCCATCAGTGCTCGGCAAGGCAGCTGGGCCGACTCGTCGCCCTGGGGAAACACGACGACCACGGGCACCCCCACCGCTCGAAGGACGACGGGCTCGACGCACATCCACGAGGAGCCACCCTCGCTACTCCCGCTGCTTCGTAGGTCCAAAGAGTCAGGGAGCATCTCCTTTGCACCTACCGCGCTTACTGGGCGGGTATCCCTACCCAGACGACTCGAATGTGCCACCCCTGTATCTCCACGCGTGGCGAGGGGCTCAGCCGATCCGCGACACCGTCTCGCTTGGAGCAGTGATGCGTGTGCTGTCCTCGGGAGGTATCAAGCAGGCCAGCATCGACAAGGCAAGCGCACTCCAGGGTGTCTGCTGATATGCTCGATCTAGCGCTGACGTTCATGGTTATGCCCCTCTGTTTGGTCCCTGTTCGGTTGCGCACTCCCCACACGGTCCGCCGCTGGACTCCCCGAAAACCTGTACAAATAGATCGTATCCTTGGTGACGCCAAATTCCGGTATCATCACCAAGCAACAGTTCTACACCTCACTTGTGCTCCTTGCCCACGCCCAACTCCACCGCGAGATTTCACTCCAAGTCGTGGCCCGAGCCGTCGAGGTCGGCTCGCTGCCGATCCCCACCCTGTCCAGTTCTTCGGCTTCGCTCTCGGCGGTATACTCTGCGCCGTCGTCGCCGACGTCCATGACCTCCCCACCAGACTACCACCGATCAACGTCCATGTCGTCCACGAACGATGACCCTTGGGGGACGGCACCCGCCGGTGGCTCCAGCGCGGTCAAAGCGAGCGGCGGTAGTCAGCTCCATAGCTCGATGGGTGCCAGTCGCCCCACCTTCCCGCCCGTCGACGAAGACGACGACCACGGCCATGCGTTCGGCGAAAACCCGCTGGGAGGGACGAGTCTAGGGGAGTGGGCGCTGGGCAAACAGCAAAAAGTCGAGGTCAGGATGCGGGACGAGCTCAAGGGCCTCGTCTTCAAGCACACCATCTGGTTCATTGCCACAGAGGTGAGCGCAGCACAGCACCCCACCCGTCCCAATTTTGCTCTCTGTTTCAAGCTGATCCGCTTCCATGCCACGTGTTCGCAGCGGGGAGTAATCGTCGAGCGCCGGTATTCGGACTTTGTGTGGCTGCACGACTGCCTCGTGCGCCGGTACCCATTCCGGCTCTTGCCCGTGCTTCCCCCGAAGCAAGTCCACATCCCGGGATACATCGCCATAGACGAGCTCTTCCTCGAGCGTCGCCGGCGAGGACTCGAACGTTTTCTCGTCGCGCTTTTGAACCACCCGACGTTGAAGCACGACCACCTCGTGCGCATCTTCCACAACGAGCAATCCGAACTGTCGGCGTGGCGCAAGAGCAACCCCATATCGCTGGAGGAGGAATCGACGTCAAGGATTCTGACGTCGGAGGAAGAGATGTCGGTTCCGTCCGACTTGGAGGAACGGCTGACCAACCTCCGCGCCCGCATCATTCCCCTCGTCGAGCACTGGACCCGAGTGACGACGACGATCGATCGGATCGCACACCGGCGCCAGAACCAGGCCGCGGAGTACGAACGCATGACCGAGGCTCTGTCTGGGGCCGTCGAGTGCGAAAGGACCGGGTGGCGTCCCGTCGAATGCGAGAACGTCGAGGCCGATGTCGACAAGGTTGCCCGCGGGCTGCGGGCTGTCGCGGGGAGGGTGCGACAAGGCGCGGACGAACAGTTGGAAACGACCGTTGAAGAGCTCAAAAGGGTGAGAGGGAGCTTTGCAGCGGGGCGAGGAGCATCCCTGCTTGAGCTGATGGCCTCATTCCTCACCTGCGTAGCACCGCGAGTTGTACGTCAACATGAAGGAGCTGTTCACGCGGTACGTTCACCTCTCAACCGACAACGTCGACAAGCTCAAACGGCGCGTCGAGACCAACATGAAGAAGGTGAGCTAGGCCGATCGCCCCGCTTCGAGATAGGTTGGTCAACATCGCTGATCGCTGCCAGTCTCGACGACCACGTGCGGCAGCTCGAAGTGTTGCGAGATGCGGCGACCCCTTTGGCCCCCGCCGAATTCGACAAACTATCCCACTCCATCTCGACGGACCAACGTTCGATCGAGCTCTTGCTCCGAAGAAGATCGTTCGTCCGCTGGTGCATGTGGCAAGAGGTTTTGTGGATGTTTCGATCGACGAGCCTGCTGTCGACCGCGACGAGAGTATGGGTGACGCACGAGGTCGCGGGGGCGGAGCATCTCCGGATTCGTTGGGAAGAATTGCAGGAAGGGTTGGACACTGTCTTGACTCGAAGCGCAGCCGAAGAGGACTGAGGAACTTGTGGAGAGGTATACTGCTTTGTTCACCGTTTTGCAGCAATGGCAACTGTTAAGCGCACCGACTGGTAACATTCTCGGGTAAACGAAGCAGGTGAGTTTGCAAATGGATGCACTACGAATACAACAACTACAGTGCAGGTATGGCGAAGGTTTAGCTTGACACATTCAAAAGGGTTTCCATTGTCTTACGGCGATCCATAGCACGATCAGGAGAACGGGTAGAACCCTCTTTGCGAGCCCTGCCGACGCAAGGCCGAGAACTGCACTTGAGCTCACATGTAGAGACGAAGGGTGGAAGGATGCAAGGACTCACATATCACCATCTTGCTGGCCAGGTGAACCTTGATTAGCATCGCCTCTTCTTCGACAAGCTGGGACTGAAGCTCGAGGCCCTATCCGACGAAACGAAAGCACACGAGCGCGCTACGTCAGCGCGCCTGATACACGATGACGGAGGAGTCGAGCTTGGGCTGACCTCTTTTTCACTGGCGAATAGATTGCTCCGGGCCCGGTTAAACGCCTCCCTCGTATGCGAGATGTTGACGGAGACTTCGGCCGTTGTTCGTTTCGCGTCGGTGATCGCTCTCGTGTCTTGAAGAATGGGCAACACTCTGAGCACTTGCTCGCTCGACGTCTGCGGAGGTCGAAGGGAGAAAGCGAAAGCAGACAAAGAGGGTGAGAACGACCTTCTTTAGGACGCTCAGGTGCGGTCAAGGTTTTCCAAGAACGGACTTTGGCTCGGTCCTTGGCGTCGCAGGATTGCTTCAGCAGCGCATTCCAGTGCTGCGATCGAGCTTTGATCTCTTTCTGTAGGGAGGTAATAGGCCATTCAGAGTCAGTGCTGCATCAACGCCGGTGAGCTCGGTCTGCTGCCAAGCGCACCTGTAGCGCTTCAATCTCAGCTCGGTGGGCGTGACATCGCCGCGTCGTGTCGGTCACGATTTGCTCAAAGCGTCTGTCAAAGGCAGGAACTCGCAGCGTCTCAGTCCCATGGATCCACTATGGATCCACCGCTACGCTGTCCACTCTTGTCGTGGGACAGCCAGCGCGCTTACTCACTTGAGCTCTTCATCGGCTTTACCCAGTGGCGTATCGGCGGGCTTGTCCGTGTTGGTGACGAGATGCTGGGCACCGGTGACCCCCTCCGGTCTCTTGCGCCTCCGCTGCAACGACGACTCGAACGACCTCCTTCTTCGATGGCCGACCGAGGTCAAAGGCAAGGTGTCGGACGTGGGACTACGCAGAATGGCGGAGCGCATCGGTGGCGGTGGGGACGAAGACAGTGGGGCACTGGTCGGTATTGAGGCGGGTAAAGCTCGCCGGGAAGGAGCAGGAGAAGGTGAGCTAACAGCAGAAGCACCACCCGTAGACGGTCCTGGAACGGACCGTGCGTGCTGCTCCCGGTCCGAAACCGCCATGCAGCCCTTTTCGTGCCGCGGTGGGGATGCCTTGCGTGAAGCGCAGTTCCGTGTAGCCGACCGCCTGTCAACGTGTCAACAGACGCGACTCGGCGAGGTCCGTGCTCGTTGCATCGGGGATTTCGACGATTCCTGCCCTGGCGCCCCGGCCCCGTGCCTTGGGGCTGGCGCTCGCAAGCGTCTCGGTAAGCAATATAACGATTTAAATGAAATCGGCCTCGCCACGCTGATTACTTGCCCACCCATTAGACCATTTCGATTGTTGCCCGTCTCGAACCCACCCTTGCCCGCGGTCGACTCCATCCAACCACACACCCGACTCGTGCCAGATCGACTCTTTGTATCGGTCCTGCACGACCAACCCACTTGAACTCGGACTTGCCGCACGCCGCACGCCGCTGGGTTTTCGCTCAGTCCCTCCCCCGAAGCCGTTGGTCTAACCACGACCCGACCAGCTCGCTTCGAGCGAGCGACCTCAGCTTGACGCCCTGTACGTCCTGAAATCGACTCTTACGCGAGCCCACACGGACGCGGTCTACTCACACGCCCAGTAGTACTGACGTTGTCTCTGTATTGACTCGATAGCCGCCTCCGTCGCCCGGTTGTGCGCCTCCCTCGTTGCACTTCCTCGATCCCGCACTCTCGTCTGCCTGACCTTTTGCCGGCTAAACCCGCATCCCACCGCTGCCGGTACGCACGTCCCACCGCACCGCACCCGTCTCGTTTGTCTGCGTCCTCGTGGCACCAGCAACTAGACCTGGTCCAGTTCGGCACTCGACGATCATAACGATCCTCGTGCTCACCTAATCCATTCACCGGCGCTTGTGCCGCGCGCGACACTCCCACGAGCCCCAGCCGCCGCCGCCGCCGCCGCCACACAACCGAACCGAACCGATCCCGGCTTGCTTCGCGGCTCCCGGCTTCCCGTTTCCTCGTTGTATCGACTACCAGACTTCCGATATCGCTAAGTCGCCAGTCGATCACGTTGTTCTCTACCTCTCAATCCCGCCAAACCTTCGACTCCTACTACCGTCCCTTCGCGGCTTTTGCGGCCCGGCTAACCTCGCACCGATCAACGCGTGCGACACCCCTCCGTCGTCGATCTCTGAAATCCGCCCTTCGCCTTCAAGCCCGTGACGACCACCACCGGCGCGCGCGCGCCCACCTCATCCCACCGCGAGCCCGAACACATTGTTCACTTCACCCCACGAAGGTGCGAGCGAGTCGGTGCAGTAGTCTGAGTTTTCTTTGAATTTCGTGGGCGAAAGCAAGGTCATTTTGGTGCGTCAGTCTTTCGTCGTACCGTCCTGCTCGACGCCGACTAATTCTCGCCTCGCGCGGCTTCTTCCCCTCCCCACCGCCGTAGGTGGTTTAGGTTTCTCCTCAACGAGCTCTCAATAGACGTCCGAAAATCGCTACGTCGCCGAGAAATCATAGCAAGAGTATACCTTCTCCCCGTCACTTTCCACTCGTCGGCTTAATCGCGCTTCGCCTCAAGGTGGGTCCGTGCGCTTGGCGGCTCCGAACTTGCTCTTTACCCCCACACGAATCTCCTTTCCAGCGCTGACTCAAATCCGATTCTCGTCAGCAGTCCACTTTTCAACACCCGCTTGACGCTGCCTTGATTACCGGCCACCATGAGTTCTTCATACCACAATTACCATGGCGATGGCTCGAACGGCTCCGCCGAGTATTCCGCGTACACTCATAACTTTTGCGCGCACGACATGACGGGGCAGCTGCAGAGCCATCCGATGACGTTCTCGACCTCGAACGGTTCGAACCACGGGCTCAATGACCCCACCCCAGCGCATGACACGTATTCCCATCTACTCGATGGCAGTTCGCCCCACACACACTACGACCCGTCTGTGCCTGTTGCACTCTCCGGCATCTTCGACTCTGCCGCGTATCCGAACGAGGACAGAAAGGGTTCGGTGCGAGCTCAGCAGCAGCAGCAACAGCAGCAGCCGGCCCAAGAAGAACCCAACCTTGGCGCAACCGCATCGATGTCGAGCTATTTTGATCCCAATTCCTCTCAGCCTAATCAGAGTCACAGCCAGTCACAAGGGGACATGATGGCGCAGATGATTCGCTTTGCGAACGCATATGAATTCGCTAGCCCGGCACCCGCTACCTCGACCTGCGCATCCCCGAACACGTTGGCCCTCGTACCGGATACCCCGAGCCGAGTGCAGCGAACGCCCTCGTTATCCGTGCCGACGACGTTCATCAAGGAGCTCGCTGTTCGACCATCAGCGCAGGGCAGATCCAAGTCGCACTCTGTCGCGGAGACGTTTGGCATGATGGGACCCCCGCCGCGCCCCCTGGTCCGCTCGCAGACCATGACCAATTCGCAGTTCGGTCGCACTTCGGCGCCCGCCTCGCCCCAGCAGCACTCGTCGCCGAACGGGCCCTCCTCCGACACATACAGTGCCTCAGCGTTTGTGCCTGCTCCGGTGCCCCAACAAGCGCCGCAAACGACAATACAGCGCCCGGTGAAGCAGCAGGCGCAGGCCGGTGCGAGCCCCCAGAAGGTGGACCGACGTCCCTCATTGCCGAACTCACTTGCGTCGACGTTTTCGATGAATCCCACTCGCCCCTCGTCACCCTTTGATGCCGCCAGCCGTGGATTGCCAACCGTTCCCGCGCAGTTCGGCCCCAGTGCCTCGGGCACGTGGACGAGACCTTACGCATCGAACGGATTCGACATGGTCAAGATATTGTCGCGTGTCGCCTCGCGACCGAACCCGCAACTCGCTCTCGGACCCGTCGACCTGGGATGCTCTTTTCTCGTAGTCGACGCGCGCAAGTTCGACCAGCCCATCATCTACGCGAGCAAGACCTTTGCACGCTTGACTGGCTACTCGAGTGAAGAGACCTTGGGTCGCAACTGCCGTTTCCTGCAAGCCCCCGACGCGCAGGTGGTCCAGGGCGAGAAGCGCAAGTATACGGACGGCAACGCCGCCTACCACATTCGTCGGCACATTGTCCAGGGCAAGGAATCGCAGGCGTCGATGATCAACTATTGCAAGGGCGGGCGCCCTTTCATCAACTTGATCACGGTCATTCCCATCTCGTGGGACTCAGACGAAATTGCCTTCTACGTCGGATTTCAAGTCGATCTCGTCGAACAGCCTTCGGCCATCACGGACAAGATGAAAAACGGCTCGTACGCCATCGACTATCGAATCTCCAACATTCCGCGCGAGATGTCGGCTCCCTCGACCGAGGCCATCAGCGTAGACCACCTCGAAGAGTTGACGGGCGGCAGCCACGACCAGCCGTTAGCACTCGCCTCCCCCGGGATTAGTCCGGACCCGAGCGCGAGTGCGATCGCGGACATGATGGATCCCAGCAAGGTGCTTGATCAGGTCGACGGACGGGGCCCGGCTGGTCTCGCGAACGAATCGGGCCGCAAGTTGTTTAACCGCATGCTGCTCGAGAACTGCGATGACTTTGTGCACGTTCTTTCGCTCAAGGGCGCGTTGCTCTACGTCTCGCCGAGCTCGAAGCGATTGCTCGAGTACGAACCGCAAGCCCTCGTTGGCAAGAGTCTGAGCTCCTATTGCCACCCTTCCGATATCGTCTCCGTCCTGCGCGAGCTCAAGGAGGCGGGCAGCTCGCAGAACGCCTCAGTCGACCTCGTCTTTCGCTTCCGGCGGAAGAACAGCGGCTACACGTGGATTGAGGCCCACGGCAAATTGCACCTTGAGCAGGGCAAGGGTCGTAAACGTGTGATTCTTGTGGGCCGCGTGCGGCACGTGTACAAGATGTCGTGGTCCGACCTTGAGCGAGCTGGTGGCTTCGGCAAGCAAGAGTATTGGTCCAAGTTGACGACGAGCGGGATGATGCTGTACGCCACGCCGACGATCGGTCAAGTGCTCGGCTATCGCTCCGAATACGTCGTGGGCAAGACCCTGGCCGAACTGAGTCTTGGGGAGGATATGGCTGCGGTGATGGACGCGCTCGCCCAGGCCGCCAAGGGCGTTCCCGCGACCGCGCGACACCGTCTGCTTAACATGGAGGGCGTCGCGATCGACGTCGTGACCCATTTCTATCCTCCGCGCTCGCAGACGGGCGAGGAATCAACTTCTGCTCCGATGTTCCAGGGCTCCGAAGACTCGCTCACGGTCGTGGCCCAGACGAATTCGGTTCCCAGCGAGATGGCTAAGCCGGCGAAGCCTTCTTTGCCGTCGGCGCCTTCTTCGGTCGCGCGCGCACTGGCCAATTTTTCCGCCCATGGGCAGCGGCGCCCTTCTCTGCTTGCGTTGCAGCCATCGAGCGGCAACGGCAGCGCCGCTTCTTCGACGGAGTCCAGCACCGCGTCGTCGAGCTCGAGCATGCTCACGCTCCCCTCTTTCAACATGAGCGCACGAGGCTCGCAAGACTCGGCTTCGACGAGCGGAACGTCGGCCGGCAAGTCCACGACCTCCTTTTCGGCCATCACGAGCACGTACAAGACGCTCGAGATCAACAGCAACCTCAGCGACAACATCTTTGACGAGCTCGACTCGGTGCGCGGCACAAGTTGGCAGTTTGAGCTACATCAAAGTGAGTAGATGTGGTTGCGCGTTTTCTTTTCGCTGATGCGGGCAGTCGCTGACGAGCCGTTCCCTTGTGATTGTTTGCAGTGCGACTCACCAACAAGAAGCTTCGTGAGGAGAAGGAGGCCTTGGTCGTTCTTCAGAGTAAGAAGCGTCGACGGGAAGCAGGCCAACGGTCCGATCCGGGCAAATCCGCCAAGTCCGAGATCAAGTCGTGCCTCAACTGCGGCAAAACTCAGAGCGCCGAATGGCGAAGCGGTCCGACGGGGCCCAAGACACTATGCAACGCTTGTGGACTTCGGTGGTCAAAGTAAGTCCTACAGCTTCTTCCTGTCTTGGTCGGCGGTGACTGTCGGGCGTGGCGACTGATTCGGTCACCTTTCGAATGCTTGCACAGAGCACGATCACAGTCCGTCTCTGGCTCCAAAGGAAACGAATCTTCGCCGAAATCGCTCCAGGGCTCGCCGTCTTGCTCTTACCCAACCCCGGACTCGTCTGGGCGACCTTCCGTCTCGCTGCACGGCACCGGGCTATCGACGCTTGCTGCGGAGGATACGAAGAAAGTCAACTTATCGGCGGGTAACGAGCTCACTGTGCCACCTGTTCCTTCCCCGTCCCTCGCTCCCCCGACCGCCGCTGGTCATCAACGGCCAGCGTTCAATACTTATCACTCGGCCTACTCAACCGGATGAGCGCGAAGGTAAAGATCAGACCTCCAGACCCTCCAAATATACGCCGAGGGCGTGATGTCTATCCCTCCCCCACTCCCTTCGGCCTCGCTTCGTCGTTCGTAACCATTCCCTTTGGATCTCTTTATACATTATCCGTGGTTTTCCCGTCCTCGATGTATCCTCGGTGCGCGTTGTCCCTGTGACTCCCACCACCGTATATATTCTCGTGCTCTTCGTTTGCTTCTTGGGGCCGCCCCCCACCCCCCACCCCTCGGTCATCTTTCGCTCTCTATCTTCATTCTTCACTGTTTGTATCGTGGCATATTTTCCCATTTTTGCTCCGGTGTTGTTCCGGCACCCAATACATATGTCTGTGTTTCTCATCATCGTCGACCTTGACTCGAAAGCAACTCGTCGAAAGAAGCCGAATTCCGCCAAGCTGTAAACTTCTGCCAAGAGACCAACCGAATTGAGTACCGCAGCGCCGCTCAGACCCCCCTTTCGGTGCCCCCGCCGCGCACTCGAAGGCGTGTCTCGATCTCTTGCCTTTCCGCTGCTACCGTGCGAGGAACTTTGGTCCCTACTCGCTGTTCAGGGCCGGAAGTAGTGACCAGTCACAGCTTGCGAAGCATCTTTCCTCGGCCATGGCCGCTGCGATTCCACCGCATCCGACATTGACCTTTCCGATTCTGCATGTTCGCGGAGGTATCTCGAGTGCCGTCGATGATGCACAGATCGTTCAAGCCTTGTCAGAATGCCTCAGAGTTAGGTACGTGGATGCAATGGCCGAGCCCTCACCGTTGCAGATCGCTGGTCCAGTTCAGTTGTCTGGCGGCCACGTTCTCATTGGCGGCGGCGCTCGAGCCCCTTGTCGCACACGTCCCAGCTGGACCACGAAGGCGCCGCGATGCTGACCCCGACGAGGGCTGGACGTTCGCAGACCCAACATCCCGCGCGAATCAGGGAGTCGGTGGGAATCGGCGAAAGGCACCCTCGAGTTCGAGGACCTACATCGAGGTCAGTCCATTGGGCGAGGATTCGCTCGTACCGAAGGGCTGCACCGGCCTCTAACCGCATGGAGTTCGTTCGCGACGCTGCCACGTTCTGTTCAGCCGAGAAAGCGCTCGCCACGGTCAACAGGTATCGTTTCCCCGGTGAAGACGAGCCATTGCGCTTATACGCTGCACCGACGTGCGACAATCCCGTACCCAAAGCAAGGAGCCGCATCGTCAAGTTGTTGCCAGAGACAATGACGCCTGGTGCCCTCTTCGAGGCATGCCGTCCCTTCGGCCCCATTCACAGTATCGTCGCAGTTCCGACACAGGCCTCGGACGGTTCAATCTCAATGATCGTCACTTTTCTACGGGAAGAGCACGCCTTGGCTGCGACAAAGGAACTGCACCTCGCCGAGGTCGGGTCCCACACCGTCACCGTCGAGATTTTCGATCCAGCCAGTCAAACATCTCCGATCCCTCCCGCGGCGACAATGGGAGCCATCAGCGGCCGTCGGGGCGCATTCCCCGCCCGTGGTGAAAGTCATGGATTTCAAAGTCCTGTATGGCACACTACATCAGCAGCAAAGAGTCCCGGTGTCGATCATGCCTGCAGTCCGTCAACGCAGTGGAGCCCAACCAACAGCAGAGTCGCATCTTGGACCGCCCAGACGTCGAAGCCTCACCCTGGGTGGTCACCGCAACCAAGGTCCTTCTCCGGAACTCAGTCCAGGACCCAGGAAACCGACCATTTGCTGTCGCCGACACGCCACTTAGAGCATGGCATCCCCGGCGTTGATCCCTGTGAGCAATTCGCTGGCGATCATTTTTTCTTCCCCGTGGCGGCCTGGAATTTGCTCACAGGGTTTCTCTGTCCTTAGGCAACTTATTCATCAAAAACCTAGACCAGGCCACCACCACGGAGGCGTTACACACTCTGTTCCAGAGCTTCGGCACCATCGTCTCGGCCCGCGTGATGGAGGAACCGGTGACCAAAGCATCAAAGGAGTTTGGCTTTGTCTCGTTTACCCGAGCCGAGGACGCGGCGATGGCGTTGGCGGCGATGAATGGGTACGCATTGCCCGAAAGCAACAAAAAAATTATTGTACGGCTCCACGAACCCAAGACCATCCGCGAAGGTCGTTTGAGACGGCTCAGCGATGCCTCGCGTGGGAGTACCCAGGACCTGGTCAACGTTGCTCGGGGTCTGACTTTGTCGGTCACCTCCTCGGCTTCCTCGTCCTATTCGGTGAGACGCATCGTCGCGGGGGGTCAGGGAAGAGACGCTGACCGAGCTCCCTTGGGTTAATGTGTGCAGGACTGTGGTCGCTCCCCATCCCCCAGTAGGATCGCTCCAGAGTTTTCCTTCTCAAGCGCCGACACTTCGCCCGACCCGCCGCCGACGGAGGTCTTTCCACGTGCGATCGCTGAAGCAGCAACTCCTTCAAAGCTTTCCGACCCCGAGCGACTGCGTGTGGCAGTCTCTCGCCTCTTGCCCGCAAATCAGGTGGAAGATGTGGTCTCATTAATTCTGGAGGTGCGGCGGGACCTACAAACTGTATCGCCCTGTGACGAAGCGACTGACGCCCACACCACCCTTCGTGAACTGCGCAGCTGCCCAAGAAGGAGCAGAAGCTCTGCCTGTTCAACACCGCAATCCTCAAGGATAAAGTCGCGGATGCATGCGAGGTTTTGGCTGCGTGTGGAGAAGAAGAGTCTGTGCAGGACGGACCTTCTCGCCCTCAGCCGTCGACGCCCTCGGGAACCCCAAAGCCGTCGATGACGGTTCCAGGCTCCTTGGAAGCTCTCGCCCGACTGCCGGTTGCCAGCATCATCCCGCTCCTGCCCTATTGCAACTCTCTAGGCATCGACGTCGCCGCCAAAGCGGCGCAGGAGGAGACAAACACTTTCATGGACGGTCTCGAAGGCAAGCCCGTTCATGAGATGAAGCAAAAGCTCGGTGAGCGCGTGTTCAAGGCGATCAAGGCGACGGGGGTCAAGGGGGCAGTGAGTCACAGCGAATGGCAGCGGCCATCGCGACCCGCAGGACAAGGGTGGTGGCTGACCTGAGCTCGTACAATACCAGCCGCGATACACGATCTATCTGCTGGACACGGAAGAGCTGCGACCGTTAGCGCACCTGCTGGCCTACCCGTCGATTCTTCGGGAGAAGGTCTTGTCGATAGGAGCCTCCCCACCCAAGTAGCGCTATGAGAGTGCTGTTCCCTCGTACACGTAGACAGTCTGTCCCTAATCCTTTCTTTTTCAATTGGTACATGCTTATATATCCGTGTACGGCACCCTCGTTATGCAATCCTATGTGAGAAGTATGGAGGACTGGATCCCGACTCAAGGGGTTGAGTACGAGCGCAAGATCGAGGATGGAAGATGGATGAAGAAGGAAGAGAGACGAGTGCCCGCGAGGCGCGCGACTTCAACCCAAGCCAACGTGTCAACCGAGTCTCGATCAGGCGCTGGGATCCGGCGTAGAGGGTAATAGGCTAAAGAAGGAGTGCAAAGTAGGAGTGGAATAGTGGCATGAGAAGTAAATAGAATTAGAAGAGAATCAGTATGATTGGGTTCTGACATCCTATGCGTCTCTTGCCCCAAGGGGAGTAGCCGAGCCCTCTGTGTGACAGGTCAATCGGGCTTCGGCGATCTCTCGCGGACTCGGAGGCGAAAACCCAACCGACCGAAACCGCCGAATATGCGGTGGCCGTCGCTACATCTCGAGGGTATCAAAATTTCTCTTGAATCACGCTTTCATGCACCGTCATCGATTCGTCTCGATGCGATGACCAGTGATCGGAAGAAGACTTTGCCCGAGCAGAGCAGTGCGAATTGCCACCGCCGTCAGCGATATAGCCCGGGGCCACCGCCGGGCGGGGCCGCTTCGGGGGAGTAGACGTCGAAAAGGTGTTTTGATCCTCGATTCCGACACAAGGCTAACCAGTGACGGCTAAGTACGATACGACAATCCCATGCGAGTCACCAGTGTGAGAGTGCAAATTGAAAACACTCGGAAAATGATAGTGGAGACGCGCGCGACTCCGAGCCAACGCGCTGCGTCGATTTCACATGCCAGACCATCCCTGCGGGCGAGGGTCCAGCGAGGGTTCATGGGCTCGCGACGGGCTGGCTGCTGTCGAGGTGCTCCTCGACCTCTAGCTCTCTCCTCCGCCTCTGTCTTCCTCTCCCGATTCTCCCGATCAATCCTCAGCCCATACCATCGTACGTCAACGTGCATGCATGCTTGTGCACCCGAAGACATCAGACATGGTTCACCCCCCAGCTGCCAGCTGGATCGATCGACGCCAGTCTCCGAGCTGACTCTGGCATCGCTATCACGACCATTCCACAGGTTCAACCATGTCCGCCGCCACCGCCCCCGTTGAACAATCCGCCGCCGGTGCCGTCCACGAGACTTCGATCCAGCGTGTGAGTACCTGCTCTCTTGGTGTGTGGGCTACCAGGCCTTGTACAGCATAATGCATTCGGCTACTACGACGTCGCCGCCAGCAACCCTGTCTGGCCGCGTCTGCTGAGCTGAAGAGCTATGCGCCGAGAGATAGCGCATGCGCGATTGCGCGTGCTCCTCCGATGTTCTCGGCAGCGGCGGCGCACGTCATTGTCGGCGCCGACGTTCTGGTTCCAGCGGGCTTCTTAAGATCCTTGCCTCCTCCGCACGCACTCAGTCTCCACCTCGAGGGGATAGGAGCTGACACTTGTCACCTCGACATGTTTTGTTGCAATCACAGGTCTCCGGGTACCCCGTTGTCAAAGACTCGCTCGCCCAGGCCCATGCGCTCGTCACGTCCAACACGTACTCGGATGCCCTTTACCAACGCGCGTCGGGCCTGTCGCAGCAGATTCTCGAACAGCTCAAGCCTCTGCAAGATCGTCTCCCGCTCCAGACCGTCGACAGCTATGCCAACGCCACTCTCGACTTTGTCGAGCAGCGCTTCCCACTGGTCAAGAGTGAGACCGGCGAGCTCCTCAAGACGGCCCGTCGACCCGCAGACGATGCCGCCGGTCTCGCAAAGTCGTACGCCGACGGCATCCAGTCGCGCCTCTCCCCTGTCACGCACGAATTCTCGACCCGCATCGCCCAGGGTCAAGACACTCTCCACGCCCTCCAAGAGAAGCTGTCGTCGACCATTGCTTCTCGTGAGCTCTCGTGAAGCCCCCGATGTTTTCCTCTTTCCCGTCAAACGTGAGCTGACGGACAACGCCTCGACTCTTCACAGTGCCTCGCGACAAGCAGTCCGCAACCGATGCCGTCAACTCCATCTTCAAGGAAATCGAGTCCCTCTCCAGCTACGTCAAGACCAACGTCTCTGAGCTCGTGAGTCCAAGGTATCGCGGCGCTCACACTCGTCAAAGATTTTCGCTGATCAACTTGCTCGGTGCCCGTCCTTCGTCACAGCCCGCCCACGCCCAAGCCCGTGCTCAACCCTTGATCGACGAGGTCGCTAAGGCCACGTCCCACATCCGCGAAGAGTTGAACAAACCTGGTGAGTTTCGCCGAGCACTCTCTGACCAGACGTGCTCATTTTTCGGTTCCCGTGCTTGCTGCTGCTGACACGACGCACTGCGTTCCCCCGCAGATACCAACTTGTCGACCAAGGCGTCCAACATCCTCTCCTACACCCAGAGCCAAGTCTCGCCGCTCTTGAACTCGCTCAAGGAGATCGTTATCAAGAAGAAGGAGCAGGCCGTCGAAGTCGCCGAGAAGTCTGCCGAGGCGACCACAGACAAGGCCGACGAGGTCTCCTCGACCGTCTCGCAGAAGGCCGACAAGGTCTCGTCCAAGACCTCAAAGAAGGCGGGCGACGCCTCTTCCAAGGTATCGAAGAAGACGGACGAGGCCACAGCCAAGGTCAACGGTTCGCAATGAGTGTGCAAGCTCCTCCTTTCTGTTTTCTTCTTCTCCCACTCGCATCCCTATACAGTTTCCGATGGCTTTTCCGTCAATGTGACAATATTATTTAGACAGGGCGCCCGCAGTAACCAACTTCCAGTTCTACGTCCGCCTTTCTGCTTTTTTGCAATTCCAGACCACCAAGCAGCTATGCCTTCTGCCATTCTGGGAATCTGTCCCCAAGGAGAGACGCATCGACCATTGTTCCTCATGATAAGTGCGAGGGGTTTAGCAAGAAGCCCTCTTCACAACGACCAACAGATGGCGCACGTCTCGCGGCATATTCATCTGCTGCGCACTTCGGCATCCATATTCGAGTGGCGGGAAAATGAGCTTGAGTTGTTGGCACATTGCAAAATACACACTGAGGCCTTAGATACAATATACAAATCTCAAGGTGAACAAGGTGACGCAACCATACTTTCGATCTCGCCCACGCAAGACCGTCGTTACCTCAAAATCCTTGCTCGGACATCCTGCACGAGGGATCGCACGTCTTGACTATGCAGGCGCGCTTCGACCAGATCTTCGATGTCATCCGACGAATCGACCAGCGACGCGCCTCGCATCCGACCGTCTGGGCCATATTCGATCTTAAGGGCCCGGACATCGCCTTCCGTCGTTTCGAGTTCGAGAATCATCTCTGTTGGCGGTGCACCGACGGAGTAGGCTGATCGAATCCCCATCAAGGAGGAGTAGAGCGCAGTGGTGTTTGTGATCCTGCAGATGGTGGACCGTTCAGCGCGCTGGTGGGATGTCGTGGGCCTGGTCGAACGTGCTGACTCACCATCGGCATCCTTCCTCGGCCCTTTCGTCTCGAGTCCCTTTGGCTTGCCTCTCCTCCAACTCCTTGCTCATCTCTCGGTTCACCATCTTCAACTGGTCCAGTTTCCCTTTCGCCGTCTTGATCGCGGACTTTGTCCGCGGCAGTTTCGCCTCGGCGTCCCTGATCTTGGTTCCAATCTCCACGATCTCGCCGTCGTGAGCCTCCAACTGGGCAAAGGCTTCGTCGATCGTGATGCGCTGAGAGTAATTTTGGACAGTTCACAACAATTCAATTTCCCACGCAAGGGGACCGATTCACTTACGTCGGCTTCGGATCGTTTGTTTTTTAGGAAAGCGATCTCTCGCTCCATCTCTTCACATTCTCGCAACAGCTTGGACGCGACCATCGCGTCCTCTTCCGTCTGGCGAAGACCTGTATACGATATTGAGCGACGATCACGGTGTCAGCTCCACCCACCTTGAGAAGAATGCATTCATCGAGCGGCGCAAGCCCGATCAGACTGACGACCGTCCAATACGTCCGCTTCGGAACGAATCTGTTCCTCCAATTCAATCGCTCGCGTCTTTCTTTGTTTGAGCTCAATTTTGGATTGAAGCCTTTGTTGCTCTGTCAGGTTCAAGATTTAAAACTCAGCATTGGAATGCAGCTATCAGCGGACCTGGTAGTCCAGTTCTGGTGAATAGCGGCTTGAAAACATCGATGCTCGGAAAACATTGAGCGTGAAGGACTTTGCTTACCCAGCGCATCGTTCTCTTCGAGCGAGACAAATTTGGGTCCCTGGGGGTCGAGCACGTTCTCGACGAAGAAGACCTTGGTGTTTGATTCGAGGCAAGCGAATTTGAGCGCCGAAACGGAATCCTGCGCGTGGGCGAATAGTCATGGCGGTCAGTTCCCCAGCATGACTGGTATACCATCCCACAATGCGCGGCGTAGATCGGTGCGCTTTACCTTGAACGCCTTGAGGTCTCTGACCGCACTGAGCTTGTCGTCGGGGTCCATAACGAGGCCGAGGTCGTCGTCGCCGTAACCCGTGAGGTTGGTCGCGTCGAGCAAGGACGTGGCATCTCGTTGGGTCGACGATCGCAGCACGACCGACGCCTTGAGTTCGTGGGCTTTGAAGGCATGTTCGTTGAGGAGGTTCAGGGCACTGTTTGGGCGATAGGTCAAGAGGAAAATGCGGGGCGGTCAGCGTGGGTGTATGCTCTTTCAGGAGGCCCGACACGGGCCGATCGACCGCTTATAGTTGAGTGAACCCGCGTCGGCGAGGGCGATGGCGGCGAGCGGTCGGTATGTGTGGGGCTATTTGGGCACACCGCGTCTTGTTAAGTCACTCACGCATTCGTTCGGTCGACCAAGACGTTTTCAGACATATTGGCCAAAAGATCGTGTAGTTTGCAGAGGTGCGGAACGAGATGATGCGTCAAAGACTGCAGTGAGGAAACACGCGCGTCGCGTCGAGGTGACCGGAGCTGAGCCGAGTACTCAACTCTACTATATAAGACTCTACCCTGGCACCGTCGCGCGAACTCGCACGGACCCACCAAAAGCTCGCGAAACCTCCGCGGGTCGGCACTGATCGGTAATATTGCCATCTTCGATCGGCACCCGCGGCAAACACTGGACTCTGTCTGGAAGAAAAAACGGTTTTGCATGAGCCGTCGTCAGTCACCCTCGCCGTGTCAAAGAAAGCGATGAGACATGGTTCTCCGGCGAAGTAAACGGTCCAAATGGCTCCAAGGATCCGATACATCAGGGCTAGTGGGTTGGATTTCATGGCAGTGATGATTCTACGATCGATCCCACGGCTCATAACCGCTCTTCATACGCCTTCCACCCCGCTTGCTGGTACACCTGACAACTCTTGACAATCTCTTCGTCGGGTTTGCCTTCCCCACCACCATAGATCCCTCGCCCGACGATGATGACGTCGCACCCGCTTTGCTTGATCACCTCGTCCGGAGTTCGGTACTGCTGGCCCATGCCATCCCCCTTGGACTCGAGCCCGACGCCGGGGGTCATGATGATGAAATCGGCGCCGGTGCCGACCTCGACCGCACCCGAGGAGGCCTCGTCCTCGTCGACACGATGCATGGCGACGAAGCCCATCACGAAATCAGTATGCCGCCTCGCCATGGCCACGGTCGTGGCGGTGTAGTCACCCGTCGCGAGATTACTCGCGGACGACATCTCCGCGAGCAGAAGCAGTCCACGGTCGAGGGGGAGTCCGACCTGGGCCAGACCGGAAACGATGCCATCACCGGGGATAGGGTGCGCGTTCGTCAGATGTGCCCATGAGGCGATCTTGTAGATGCCCGAAGAGTACTGCAATTTGACCGTGTTGCCTGTCGATCACATACCAGGGGGCGGACCCACGCGTTAAGACACTCTTGAGCATGGTGCGAAGCGAGCGAAAGACGACACGGCCTCAGCGGGGAATAAACGAACCAATGTCGGCAAACTTGCGGTCCTCCCAGATCAAGAAATCATGCTTTTTGGCCAAGGCTTGCAGTTGCTGGACGAGGTCGTCGTCAAAGTCCGAGACGATATCGATATGGGTCTGCGGAAATCGAGCCGTCGTCGACCGGCGTAGGATGGGGTGAGACGGGCGAAGCAGGCGAAGCGATCAATACTCTGCAGGGTGAAGATTTCATCTAACTCGAGTGGGTGTGCTTCTCACCTTGACGCAGCAACAGTAGGGTCCGGCGGCGTTGGCGATGCGCAGCAGGCTCGACTTGGTCGTGACATCGACCGAGACACACAGGTTCGACTTCTTGCGCTCGATGCACGACAAGAGCTGTTGGGCCACTTTGATCGGATGCGACGCAGCTCGTTGGGCGTAGGTGAGCTTGGTGATGGACGAGGGCATCGTGCGCGTAGGGTGGGGTGGGACTGTGGATGAGGTCGAGCTCGCCGAAGCACCAAGCGCGGACTCGGAGCAGAAGCTGAGCCATTGGTGCCGAGTCCGGCCTTTCAAGAAACGAAACGGGAATTGCGAGTTAGCACCCTGTTATAACCCGCGCATTTGTTCGCGCTTGCCGGCCCAGTGCAGGCCCAGGCCCAGACCCTTCCCGGGCGCGATATCGAACCACTTCACTACCACTTCCCCGACTCGGGGGAAGCTTCGTTTTGCTCCCAACAGCATCGCCCCTCGGCCACCGGCCACTGCCCCACTGGCTGCATCCCCTTTGGTCCGTTCCGGCTAAGCGGCTAGTAGTGCTATCTGAATGCTGACCTTAGCCGTTACTCGTTCCTTCAACTTCGATCGATCGATCCGCCCCGGCTGCTCGGTTCGCTTTGCTCGGCCGACCACCCACTAGCCTCTCGGGTCACGTATCACACGCACCATCGAGCCCCACCATGGCGACTCAAGAGTTTGATTCGAGCTCGGATCCCAGCGAGGCCGCTCTGGCCACGGCACTCGCGGCAGCCATCAAGGACCACAATGGCGCCGACGTCAGCTTTGGCTCGCTCCTCTCGGCCGAGGATGGCCACAAGACGATCGTCATCTTCATCCGTCATTTCGTAAGCTAGCGATTTTACCGTGATTTGCGGTCCAAAGGGTGTGATTGGCCGAAACTGACGAATCCAATCCCTCCCTGCCGCCTCTTTCCGGCGACGTCACGTCACGTGCTTCTCGGCCATTGATCTCCTCGGCCCGCCCCTGGCACCCTCAACCTGGACTGTACAATGGCGTTCCAGTACTGCGGACTGTGCCAAGATTTTCTGTCTTTCCTCACGTCCAAAGTCAAGCCCGATCTACTGCAATCCCACAACACGAAGCTCATCATCATAGGCTGCGGCGAATTTGGTCTACTCGACGGCTACAAGGCACTTATCGACAGCCCGTACGATATTTACGCTGACCCGGATCTCAGCGTGTACACCCCGCTCGGAATGACGCGACGGACGCTCGACCAGGGCAAATTTGGCGCGAACAACAAGCCCGAGTACTTGGTCCGCTCAGGTAAGTCGTGCGTTGCTACCTGCTCGCTCTAGCAGGCTCCTGCGGTCGATGCTCAAAAGTCAACGTCGTACCCACAGCGTTTAGCAATATCGTCACGTCGATACGCAACGTCTTCAAGATGGGCAAGCCCATGGCCAACTCGGGTGACATCAGGCAGCTCGGCGGCGAGTTTGTGTTTGATTCACAGAAGCGGGCGGTGTTTGTGCATCGCATGGAGAATACGAGGGGCCACGCTAAGCTCGCCGAGATTCTCGGTGCGGCCGGGGTCCCCTATGAAAGTGCATGAGCCCAAGTACCTAGGGGTTGGGAATAGCTCCCTCACCCCACGATTCTCCCATAATCTTCTCACCACATAGATCATGTTAGATTGTTGCCAATTGTCATCTACTAATTCACGTCTCCCAGTCTGCCAAGACCCGCCGCTCCCGATGCGATTCGGTGATTACGAGCTCAGTCCTGCACGTGAGCACGGGAAATGAGTCAAATGACTCGATCCTGCTCACTGGAACACGCGGGCAGAAAAGTAAAGGGGTAAGTATGAACCTTACCTGGGAACCTAAGTAGACTTACTATGTCGGTAGGTAAGTACTGTGTAGGCACTGCCCGCTCACAATGCTCAGCTTCAAAGTCCAAACAACAGTGCTTACCTACTGCGCAAGCCCTCGCGCCGAGGGTGAATCTTGCTGCGCTTGCCACCAGGAACAACGCGGCAGAACGCGGCCTTGTTGGCTGCCGCTGCACCCCCGATCGGCGGGCGCGGCTCGCCTCGTTCTGTCCCCTTCGCACGCACGTTGGGTCCTCTGCAACCCTCCGTCCTTCTACGACGTATCCCAGCATGAAGTCCCTCTTCATTACGACCGCACTCCTCGCGAGTCGTGTCGCACTCACGATTCCGGCCTCGTTCCTGATACAAACGCCAGGCAACTCGGCGTTGTTGAACTCGCCCGGGCCTCCCTCGGACCAGCAGCAGCCGCCCCAGCAGGGCGGCGCATCGAAGGTCAGGGTCTCGTTCGAACACTCGGTCGAATCCATCATTGACCAGCTCAAGGATTCAATCGACGTGGCCAAGGACGAGCTCGCCGACATTGCGCACCCGCACCCGCACCCGCACCCGCACTCGTATCCACAGCACTCGCCACAAGACGCCGCGGACTCGGAGTCCGCAGCAAGCCCGCCCTGGCGCAAGTTGCCGCCCCACCACCCACCCGCGTACCTAGACTTTTCCAACTACACCATCATCGAGATCCTGAACGCAACTTTGCATCATCACCACGACGACCACGACGGCCACGACGACCCCGAGGGCCGCCACGGAAGCGACTCGGACTCGCAGCGCCGTGGCGCCGAATCCGATGACGGCAGTGAATCCGGCGGGGCACCGCATGCGCATTCTCGTCACGACGATCCCGCGTTTTTGCCCCTGCAACGATTGGCCTGGTTGGTGAACCGCTCCTCCGAGGCTCTGGCCTCGCTTGACAAGAGTGAGTGGGACCGAGATGGGATCACACCCTGGAGGAATCTTGTACGCTGACTTTTTGTTCTGTGATACTTTTTCGTACTGCGGATCTGCCTCTGTCTCACAGAGGGCATCACTCTACTCGCTCCTGACGATCGCGCGCTGACGCCCCCCCATCGCCGAGGTGGCGCCGAGCATCCCCCTCGCCGCCGTGGCCCCCGTCGACAAAACGATAAGGCCCAAGCGCAGAGCGAAGCGGCCGAGTCGGCCGATCGGCCCGAAGACGACGACGAGTTGATGGCCCAGCCTCTCGTTCACCCCATCTACCACGTCCAACGTTCGCTGCGCCAACTCGATCTCGCTACCGAGTGGAACCACCGCGTCGGCGAGAGCGGCAACGGAGACAACAGCGACGAGGACGACGAAAAGCGCCGCAAACGCTTCGAGCACATCGTTGCGTATATTCTCAAGTACCACACCCTGCCCTCGGAATTGAGCGGACGGGAGCTCGCGTCGTCGTCGACGGTCGAAACGGATCTCAACACCAGCCGGGTCAAGGTCGAGCCGAGCTTTGCTCTATTCCCGCACCCGTACCGCACGATCAAGTTCAACGGGTATGCGAGCAAGAAACTCACCGTCAAGGCCAAGAACGGCCTGATCCACCTCATCGGCGCCCCCCTGCTGCCGCCCCTGTCCCCCCTTAATGGCCTTTTCCTGTTCCCGCAAGCGTTCTCAACCCTGACCTCGGATTTGCAAAAAGTCGACCTCGCCGAGTCATTGCTGCCTCACTATCACCACTCTGCTGCCGACGCTGACGTCGAGGAGCAAGAGTCGTCGTCGCCGTCGTCGTTGCTGATGGACCAGCTCGTCGACGAGATCGTCAAGGAGAACAACCTGACCTCGTTCACAGTCTTTGCGCCAACGAATTGGGCGTTCACGCAGCTCGGCCCCAAGATCGTGGCGCTGTTGCACTCCCCCTTCCCCATCTCGAAACGCGTTCTCAAGTACATCTTGTCGTACCACGTTGTTCCCGATGTTGTCTTTTACAGCGACTTTGTCCGCGGTGCCAGGCCGTCCGCGGGTCTTGACCGCTTCATCGTCTCGGAGAGCCACGACGTCGACGTTCCCCTCGAGTGGGTGATGGACGAACCCCGCCACTGGATCGCTCCCAGATCCGATGTGAACGCCCTACCCGATTTGCCCAAGTTCCCCTTTCCCAAGATGCCCGAGCACCGAGGACCCCCAGGAGCCCCTGGACGCGGGCCGCTCCCGCCTCCTCGACGTGGTGGGGAGCACGATGATCCTCACCACCCGCCCCCGCACCATAAGGCCAGCGTCACGCGTTACGAGCTACCGACGCTGCTGACGGGCGAGAACAAGAACGCGACGCTCAAGGTGCTCAGTGTGGCCTTCCGCCGCTTTGGCCGGGGCCCCGTTCGTCGCGCCGTGATCGTGTTGCCCAACCACTCGTCGGAACACGGGCATGGTCAAGACGGTGTCGATGAATTCACCGTCTACACCAGCGACACGGATTCGAAGCCAAACCACATCGACTGCCCCCATCGCCGTGGCCCGCCTCCTGCCCACCCGGTCAAGGTTTTCCGCACCGATGTGCCGGCCCGCAATGGCGCGGTCCAGGTCGTCAACAAGCTTCTACGACCTCCCATGCCTCACCACGATTCGCCTTCGTTCGGTAAGCCTGCGACCCAGCACCGTCGATTCCTCGGAAGTGGCATGGCCGCGCTCTTTGATTAGGCCTGCTTATCTCGTGGCGATCGTGGCGCCCATGCGAGCCCAAGAGCTCGTGTAACCGCGTTCGCATCGAGCTTGCGTCGTGGCTGCTTCGTTCCTTTCCCTCTTTCCTGCCTCGATCCCTTTGGGTTGTCGTGTTTCCGTTGCTGCCCTGCGTGCGCCGGTTCATATGAGCAGCCCAAGCACTGAACGCAAAGTTTTTGTCGGATCCAGTTTCTGTTTGACCTCTTCTCCTTCTTTGATGCCTGTAAATAGCTCATTATCTCAATTAAGACGTTCCTCCCGGCATCGCACAAGTCAGCTATGAAAGCCGATCCATCGTGAAGAGAAAAAATGACGTGCTTCTTTGGGCTAGATCGTGCGCTTTCCAACGGTTTGTCGCAACAGCTCGGGACACGAGACCTCTCGACACTGAGGGCTGTTGAGAGCGGGGAATTCCACCCTCAGAGGGGAATACCCGAGGTCTCGTCTGGTATTTACAAAAGCGCGCCTGGGTAATACCCGACAGCCTGGTATTTCCAGGGTGCCTGGTTTTACCATGCACCTGGGTATTTCCAGGGCGCAGGGTGATATTTCCACGCGCGCGCTGATTTTACCCAAGCGCGTGGTTATTCCAGCCGTCACTTGGAAATACCAGGCCGTCGGGTATTACCCAGACGCCTGGGTATTTCCAGGTCGCGAGGTGATATCGCCCAGGCCGAAGGAGATTCTGCCCAGGCGCGTGGTAATACCAGCCGGCACTGTTATTACCCTCGCCCGGTGATTTTCCCAGCCAGGTATGGTATTGTCCACTTATATATTGGGTCTAGATCCTAGTCATACCGCTACTCTCAGCTGTCTCAGCATGACCCAAATGACTTCTAGCCTAGCAGATGGAAAACAGCTGGGAATGGATTACAAGTCCGAAATTGGGCAGAGCTTCGTCCTCCAATCGGTCAAAGATATACTCGCGAAGCTCCTCTCGACCCACCCTCCGATAGATGCAACCAGCTGAGCCTAAGATGCAGCGCAGATCTATAATCTCGATCGCTCCCAGAGTTCCTTGACCTCGAGTGGAAAACAAGTTTTGGTGCCTCTGCGCACTGACAACAGATGCAGCCTTTCTTTTTTGCCGCCTTTGCGTTGGCTTGGCCACCGGAGTCCGCTCGATAGCGTCGACGGCTTCCAATCGACTTAATTAAGAGACCTGACCTTCCCTACCAGGAAAGTCTGTGAGAGGCACAGATTAGCGTTTGTACGAGCGGGTTTCACGACTGTGTGGCGCCTGAAAGGGTATGCGCACCTGTCCCCGATTCCCCAATTAAATGCCGCGTCAAACTGTTGTGTCTCGCAAAAATCTTCTTTGTCCAATCCTAGCGCTTGGTCCTCACTTGACCCCATTGATCCCCCGACCGAAGAAGCTCGCTCGGACTCGTGATCTCCTTGAGGAGAGTAGGGACCCTTGGGGACTGGTGGGCACTCCATATTGCGCTTCATTTGTGGCTGATTGTGGTGGCGAGCGACTTGCAAGCCAACCAGGAGTTGATAAAGGGGGCTGGAACGATTGGGCCTGAGGAGCAAGCAAGGTTGGAGGTTCCGATGGCTGCCGCGAGAACTCGAGGATAGCAGTTGCGTCGGCTCTGGAAGAGTCAACAGATTGATTGTAGGCGTTTGTGGCGGTAGAACGTCGCTCTTGATACCATTGCATCGTTGCACAACGAACAATGGCATAGGCGAGAAGACTGATTGCGTGTCATGGTGGCCAATCGAATGGTTGATTACGGTGAGACGTGAGACTTAAGAGCAACGAACGACGCTTAGTCCGGCAGGCCATCGGGGACATTCGGGCTACAGTAATGCGCAATACGAACAGCGATTAGGCAGATTTGATTATGTGCGAGATCCTCTCCGTAAAGAATGGCGCCATGTGTCCGCGCGCGTCTTTCCTTCTTTCGCCTTCGATCCACTTGTGCCCACGTCGAGACTCAACCCTCCCCGCCTACGTCTTCCTACCATGACACGAACATCGTCGACTACCGGCAAGACGTACAACAAGGATGGACAAGGAGAACGAACCACCGCATGAACGACGTCCACGTGTGTACAGAGAGCTGAAATCTTCGCGGTCTGCGTCTGCACCGCCACAGTTGAGGCAATTTGCTGACGTGTTCTTTTTCAACCCCGCCGCCGTCCTTCACCATCGGCCCACTGCGGCTACCTGTCTTCTTATTTTCATCCTATTTTTTTAACCAGAACAACGTTGATGGTGATGGTCTTTTCGTACGAACAGACAAGGGTTCTATGAGCTTGCGCGAGTATACTTGTCTCCGCGGGCGAATCAAGTTCGCGTGAGTACCGGCGGCTCAACGATCGGGGCGCGACGCCATCTCGTCGATCTGACTCCTCAGTGCTCACCATCTGTGTGATGTCCTTCGAGCAGTCGGTTGTGCGGGATGCACTAGTAAAGGCAGGAATCACCACACCTGACCCCATCAGTCGGCATGCCGAGGTCAACCAGACGTGGACTCCGGAGTACCACACGCCTAAGGAATTCAACCTCAAGGACGCGTTCAGGCTCATTCAAGCCAAAACGCAAAGCAACACTACTGTGTGGGGACGTCTTGGACCTGCAAAACAACGAGATATTGTCAAATATGTGAGTTGCGCGGAACCTGCCAGTCTTGTACGGAGCGTGCGCTTGCTCGGGCACTCACTCGTCACTCTCGTTCAGATTCGTGAGCGCACGGCTTTCTTAAGGGTCACATCGGGCGACTGGCTCTATGAAGAACTTGTTATTGATGTGTTGGCGAATGTCCGAGCCGCGTATAGACTGCAGTACGACCGTGAAGCCTGTCGGTTGGCGGGAATCATGTGACGGCTTTCCAGGGCGGACATCACAAGATTGCGCAACGAGTTAGGCGTAGGATCTGCTCTGAAGGTTAGTCACTACTCCCGGTTGAACAAGACTGAAAGGCCCGGGGCTCTGATAATCTTTTGATGTGCTTCAGACAAGCGAGACTGTCTACTCCGAATCTGACCAGGACCCGGACGATCTCAGTGAGGAAGAAGTGCCGGGGAGTAGGAATCGGGTGCTCTTGTCCGTGCTCCCGAAGCGAGCGCCGCAAGCATCAACATCGCAACAGATCAGTGCCTCATCGCAACAGTCCCAGCAAGCCAACTCTCGTGCAGACGCTCGGCATGCAGACACCGAATGCAGGGGCGATTTCAAGTCCCGCAGCCCGCGGTCTAACACCATCGACGAAGGAGGCGAACGCTAAACAATCATCTCGCATCAGCCAGAAGACCATCACCAGGTGGGTCCGCCGCAGAGAAGAAAGCGAGGAAGAGCAGTCTCGGGTAGAGGAAGAGGAGGAGGAAGAGGAAGAGGAGGAGGAAGAGGAAGAGGAAGAATCAGAGCCGACTAAAGGGTATAAGAAACGGGCAAGAGGAGCGGCAGCCGGAGCTTCGGGCGGTTTAGATATTGATCAATCTGACAATCCAGACGAATGGGACGAGCCTGTGACGGACGTGGACACTCAGTTTGCTGCTTTGTAGTGTATCTATATCATAATACCAGTAGAAACCCTGCATTGAGAAACTACAATTCGAATATGAGCATTAGTAAATTCGAATATGAGCATCGAAAATGAGCATTAGTACTACAAAGGTGACACCCATTACAAAAAAACCTAATGCTAATTGCGCCCGGTCGTGCTCCGCACAAGAGCCCCTATTGAGACTTTTCGGGTGGAAATACCATCTGAGAAGGTTAATACCCAACCGACAGAAAAACCAGCGGCTTGGGTAATACCCCTCGTGAAGTGGTAATACCCGCGCGGCTGGAAATACCAGTGGGTCGGGTATTACCACCTCACGAGGGTATTACCCAAGCCGCTGGAAAAACCAGGCGAAAAAGCCCCTCAGTGCGAGACTCTGTCGATTGGTAATGCACGGTGATGTGAGCGCGCGAAGCCTTCGTCGAGCACCTTGCCCTCTCGTGACGTGAACACCCACTCGTCAACATCGCCACCGCCATCGCCCACCCGAGCCCCCGAGGTCGAAGACTGTCGCGCAACGTTCCTCGCGTCACCGACCTTGGATCCTGTACTGAGTGGTCTTGAAGTGCACGTGGCGGCCGGGTTGTCTCGGCGCGCCCGACTCGACTCTCGGTCACTCAACGCCCTCGCTCCCGGTCCGTACTGTGAGCGCCTTCAACCTGACCGTGTTCGCCTTCTGATGATGCCCCAACTTGGTAACCGCAGTCAGTTATTAAAGAACCAGAGCGTACACTTTGCCTCCCACCAGGATGCGCCGCTTCCCCCCCCCTCCAGGCGGCCACCAGTCGACGCCGGCGCGGCAGCCGTTGAGCGCGACGACGAATGAACGTCGCAGCACCGAGGCCCCGATGGAGTACGAATGGCAGCAGCCCCGGGCGATCCCTCCCAATTCGCCCTTTAGGAACCCTCTCGGTGGGAACGACGACGGCGAACGAGCCAAGAAACGTGTGTCCCTTTCCCGAGCTCTTGTCGTGGACTCGGGCTCTCGCCCCCTGAATGTCAGGGCTTGTTCTATTCCGTTCGAGATCGCTCAGATCTGATGTACAGGGTCCCTGCAAATCTTCGTGCACAGGAACACACTATGAAGCTATGGATATCGATACACCACCCCGAGCCCTGCAGGCCAGTTTCCCACCCGAAGCGACCGCGTCGGCGAACCCATTCGGCTTTGGCCACAACGAAACACCTCGACCCCTGCCCGAAGCCCCGGGCGTCGAGTTTGACGCGCAGACCTTCGACGCCAAGCGAGCACTGGGGCTGGATGCCGCGGATGATGCGAGTGGTGTGGCCGATATGTCGATCGAGGAGTCGGCCGCCTCGACGAGCAAGGAGCTGAGCTTGCTCGGTGCCTCAGCTTCGAGCTCGACCTCGACCTCGACCTCGACCAGCGATGGCACCTCGGCGAGACGGCGAAAAGTCGGCACATCCAACTCACGAACTTCGGCACGGAAAGCTTCGGGACCTCGAATCGAGAGTGACGAAGGAGAAGACGAGCGGGAGGGCGACGAAGACGACCGGACGACGTCAAGATGGAAGGCTCCGACGAAGTCCAACTTTAGCTTCCAGGTCCATCACCACCATTCGCAGAACCCGACAAACCCTCAGTTTGACCACCTCGGGGTCGTGCCGTCGACGGCAGGGAAATGGCTTAATTCCAACACCCCCTACGTCCTCTTGGGGTGAGTTTTCGATGGGCTCGGGCGATCGAGTTTTTGGTGACATTTCAGGGCTAACCGAGTGGTCCCTTCGAGCGGCACTTTTAGCTACCTGCAGTTTTTGTCGCTCGCCCTTCTCGCCGTCCTCTTTCTATCACTTTCAGTAATCTTCCTTTACACGCTCTACGTCGACATTCAGTCGCACCTCCGATCATTGACGTCCGAGCTGCGCGCCGAGATCCTTGCCTGCGCCAAGATGTACGTTGATAACCGCTGCGAGCCCACGACGCGGCTGCCGGCTCTGGAAAGGAAGTGCGCGGGATGGGAAGTGTGCATGGGCAGGGAGATCGTCGTCGTGGGCAAGACACGTGTCGTTGCCGAGACTCTGGCCGAGGTCGTCAATGGCTTTGTCGATGTTATCAGTTTCAAGACCATGGTGAGCGCGCTCGAGCCGTGCGCGATTGCTAATACGTAGCTATACCCTCGCTCGATTTCTGACTCAATAGTCCCGGCTATGACTACAGTCTTTTGTTATTCTGACGCTTGGGCTCTGCATCTACGGATCCTCGGTGGCGCTGTCCCTACTTCCCTCCCGTCCCGCACCGACGAATCCATCCTCCGCCCCGAGCCACGCGCCCTCCTACCCTCCGCTCGGATACTACCCCTCGCACCCGCCAGGGTACGGGTACTTGCCGACTTCAGGAACTCTCTCCGCACCATGGATGCAGATGGGTATGGGCACAGGGGAAGACAAAGGCGGTATAGGGGCCAAGGGAGGACTGGAAGCGCCGCGGTGAGGGAGGAGGCGCAGACGACAAGAGTTTTCTTAAATGGGATTCGTCTTTTCTGCTTTGTGTTCGACTGCAATCGCGAGGCTCGTTGTCGCCGCCCCACTGGACTCGATAGAGACAGAGAGCTTTCGGTCGAGGGCATGTCGAGTCGGATTAAGACGATTCGATCATTGGCACCAAGTGCTTTGCGCTCTACAATGAGGAAAAGGAAGTTGAAACGGGAAGACAAAAGACAAGCAAAAAAAGACTGCTACCCCTTTCAAGCCAAAAGCATGCGACGCGGGTCCTCGATATACTCTTTGATGCGAACCAAGAATGTGACGGCTTCCCGGCCGTCGAGCAGTCGGTGGTCGTACGTCAGCGCAACGATCATGATGGGTCGGATGACGATCTGGCCATCGACGACAACGGCGCGATCCTTGATTGCGTGCATGCCTAAGACCGCGGCCTGCGGCAAGTTGATGATGGGTGTACCGTACATAGAGCCAAAGACACCGCCGTTGGAGATGGTGAACGATCCGCCGGCCATATCCTCGAGGGTGAGCTTGTTGTCACGGGCCTACCGATGTCACCCAACGGAAGAAGTATTGAGGGATCAGGCTGTCAATGCCGGTCGCTTCTCTCAACAAGCCGATGCCAGCTCACCTTCTTGCCCAAGTCGGCGATGCCCTGCTCAATACCAAGGAAGTCGAGGCTCTCGGCGTTCCTCAACACCGGCGTGACGAGACCCTTAGGGGTCGCAACGGCGACGCTCAGATCGACGTAGTCGCGGTAGATGATTTGATCGTCTTCGATCGAGGCGTTGGCGGCAGGAATCTCCTTGAGGGCCAGGCACGCAGCTTTGGCAAAGGCGGACATGAAGCCCAGCTTGACGCCCGTATTTTTTAGCACGCTATCCTTGTAGGCCGATCGCATCGCCATGAGCGACGACATGTCAATTTCGTTGAACGTCGTCAACGACGCAGCCGCGTTCTGGGACTGCTTCAATCGCTCGGCGATGCGGAGGCGCATGCGCGACATCTTGACCTACGGTCGAAATGGAGCTCAGCATCGTCAGTTACTTCCAGCCCGAACCGGAATTTTGAAGAAAATATCAGCTTTCGTTGAAAACGGACCCTCGTCTCCTCGCGCGAGCCAGGCGCCGACGGTTTTCTCGGCTCCGGCGCGGCCTTCTCCTCCTTCTTGGGCTCGGGCTTTTTATCCGACTCTTGATCAGGCGACGACTTGGTCGGTTTCGGGGGTGGTGCGGGAGTCTCCTTCTTTTCGGTCTGCTTGGCCTCTTGTGTCGGCTCGGGCTTCTTCTCCTCCTTCTTGGGCGTCTCCTTGGCTTTGGCACCTGCCGGCCAGGACACGCCAAGGTCAGTTATTACAGTTCGTGTTTATTTTGGTGATCAACGAGCTTGGATCGCTCCTTGAAAGGACGTACCTCCTTCCGGTGCTTCGCCAGCCTCGAGCTTGAACAGATCCTGGCCGACGGTGACCGTGTCCTCCTCCTGGGCCAACAGTTCGCGGATGTAGCCCGATTTGGGAGCGTTCACGGCGACATCGATCTATGGGGTAGACCAGCACACGCATCAGTACTCCCAGGCACGTGTCGGTAGAGCGTCCAGAGACAGGTCCCGGGTCAGCGGCGCACCTTGTCGGTCTCGATCGTGGCGACCTCCTCATCGACCTGGACGTAGTCGCCTTCTTTCTTGAGCCACTGCTTGAGCGTACCCTCGGTGATGGACTCGGCCATGGACGGTACCTTGACCGTCTCGGCATCTGTCGAAGGGCAATTGAATGGCGCGGGCCGGAGGTGAGCGGGAGCGGAAGCGTCAGTCACGAGTACGGAGAGACCTCGGGTCCACGCTGATGGGCACTCCTGGCCTCGAGAAAGCGCAAGGGCGGGGTGGGGGGACTGACCGAGCTGCAGCGACGTCGCATGGAAGGACCGGAAGCACGATCTGCAGAGTTGGACCAGGGGTGTGTGAGTGATGCGCTTCCCAGCGTAGGCAAGCGCTGCGGCTACTCACACCGAGTGTCGAAGCGAGTCCGATGCCGCGGCGGAGCGGGGCACAGCGCACGCCAATGCAGCCGGTGCAACACGAGCGACACCGCGGGGCAGCGAGGTGCGGATCGTTCGGGACGCAAGGGAGCTCAAGGCTCGACGGGTAGGAATCATGGCGGCGCGGTCGGGTGGAAGGCGATTGAAGCGATGGGAGCAAGGCAGGAGCGGGCTGGGCGACTTTCCGTCCACCCGACGAGACCCGCTACCAGCAGGGCAGCAGTGTGCAGCGCTCTAGCTGTGCCGAAATGCTCGCTCGCGCCGCCCGAGGCCAACGATTGCAATCCGAGAAGGTCGGCATCGGCCGGAAGAAAATCGCGAGCCCACACTCCCATTGCAAAATTTCGGAAAAACTCTAACAAGCTGCCTTTCTGTGCGCTTTAAGCGAGCAGATACTATCATGATCATATTTAGGTTCTGCTCGGAGTCGGAACCACCACTTGATCTACTTGGGAATCTGGTGTGCAGCCGGGCACCCGGTTCGGGCCGACAGATCACAGATTGCACCAATCGGCTTGCCGGGACATAGCGGCCTGTTCGATGTTACATACCCAACAAATTATGCGGGTCTTCTGTCGGTTGAACTTGATGATGGCGTCCAGGAAAAATAAAAACGAATCGTACAGGTTCATGGCTGTGCGACTCGCCGCCGACTCTTGAAGTTCGTACCGACGGTTGTGCCGCGCCGCGCGCGAACAGCACGTAGGCCCACTGCCGCTATGCCACCCGTATTTATCCTTTCCCGTAGAGATGTGACGATGGAACAAAGGAAGAATGTTTTTGCGGGCTTTGCGTCGGAGTAAAAATCACGAGGATTGAAATGCGTAGGAAGCAGGTTCAGTACCCGGGTTTACAGTGCTCGCGGCGCACCCTTACCCTTGTGAAAGATCACGAGCAAAGTCCGACAGCAGTTCCACCACAAGCGCGTCCAGCTACGAGTACGCCTGACCCCTATTCTTTACGTACCTCATTGTCTGAGGCATACTTACCTTGAGCTCGGCGATCCCTCTCATGAATAGAGATTGTCTTTAGTATGGTCTTCGCATTGCACAGCGACACATTTGTTTCACGATGACCGTGCTTCAGGCTTCGGCCATTGGCTGAAGCCCGCTCTCAATGTCTTGGATTGGCCCGCGTTGTTGCTCGTCAGCATGCGGGCCTTGTTTATCCTTTTTCTTTTTTGACACTAGGTTCGGTGGCGCGCGGAGGAGCCGTTGACCCGTTGCAAGACGATCAAATATACAGAGCCTTCATTTCATCACTGAACTACTTTTTGGTTCTCTGAGAGCCCGATGATGGGCTCAGACCGTCGTCGAGACCCGCGTCGAGTGTGGAGCAACGCCATCCCGGCGATGTTGAGATTCTGAAGGTACTCGATCGAGAACAGTGATTCGTCTTCATTGTCGACCGAATCCGCGCTGTAGAACGTTTGAGCGTCAACCGGCAGCAGGTCGAGCACCATGTCGTTGATCTGGTCCACCTGCGAATTTTTGGGCGCCAGAATTGCTCGATCTCGGAAGTATTCGACTTTTTCGCCTACTGACATATTGTCCAGTTCGAGCGCGGGGCCGGGATAAACGTGTCTGATCAGCCCGGAGCTGTTCCTCGTGGTCGTCGGCAGGAGAAGCTCACGTGGGAGCGCGATAGAGTCTTCTGTTTCGTTCGCCGACCCGTCTTCCTAAGAGCCAATCTGCAAAGCCCTGTGCCTTTGCCCGTTCCGTTTCGGTTATGCGATCTGCAGCGGCCAGAAGACGCATGTTTGTCTGCGCTCGCACCGTGCCGCTGTTAGTATAGGGTCTAAAAGTCAGGCAAGGACTACTACTCACAGAGAGATCCCCCCAGAAGTCAGCATTCATGATGCAAGCGTCGACGATTTGTGCAGGCAATGACTTGGGAATAACGTTCGGATCCCCTGTGATGTTACAGTCCAATCGGTCAGTTAGTCATGCTGCCCTGCGCTTTGCTTTTGAAAGATTGGCACACACCTGCCAACATGACGGTCACTCCACACACCACCGAACCGAGCCGTTGATCATCTGCCACGGGATCATGGTGAGCCGCAATTCACGGAACCAGAGCCTGTTTTTATACGTGATTCGTTTATTACAACTATCAGTATTCTTGCTGTTGTCCATCTCTGGCAATGACAGTGAAGACTCACATTTAGTGTCCAATGGACCCGGATTCTCAACCGTACAAAGTCAATTCTTCCGCTGTGTCACTGATGTCCAATGTCTGTTTTTCATATCAGTTACCGTCATGCCTAACCATGTCAAGTCATAACTCACGCATGCAGTGTCACCAGCTGATGGTGAAGAAAAACAACTCGAGGGTTGACATTCAAAGAAGACGTGTTGAAGGGAATTGCTGCTTGGTAGTTTTCCATTAGCTCCTCAACACTCCCACACCAAGAGCACAGTTCATGAAGTTACTTACTCGAATCCGTAGCTATACTGCATGCTGCAGCCAGTTTTTGAAAAAATTTGTCCCGTATTCGTTGCAGAGCTTCCACGACGACCGCTTCGGGTGTCGCGAGCTCGAGGCCGATTTGTCTCGAGCACAGTTCGGATCGGTCCACCCGTTCGATATCTGCGTCTAAGGCTGAATGGATAATTGGTTGACATCATGAACGTACATCAACGGGCTGCTCCCCTAAACGTTTTGTTGTTTGCGTTACTTACTACACGGAAGCATCCCTGTTGAGGGATCAATCAATCGACACAATCTTCCCAAGCATTGTGACAACTACTTGAGCCGTTTCGTGGGCCAGGACCGCGTGGCCATGGTTACCTTCGGGTAACTTCATGGCCGTCGGCCTTCAGGGAACAGACGGTCGTACATTGTTTTGCGTATAGTGCGGCAAGTCGATCAATGTCATCGACTGACAGAGCTGTTTGTTCGCCATCCGCGAGTTGTGTTGGGGCTTCTTTCGTGAGTGGCGATGGGATGAGTGGCGTTGGGATGAGGTGCGATGGGTAAGGTGTGAAGAGCAGGAGGGAGAAAGATGGAGAAGGCTGCGCCCCAGTTAAATCGAGTTCATAGAATGTCGCGGAAGGCCGCGGAACGACGTGGAGTGAAGCCCAGTGTCGGCAAGCCGTGACACGCTGGCGGGCCCCTAACGGCGGAATTGGCGCACTGGCCGACACTACCCGAGGTCTGGAGCTGCTTCAAAGCGTGGACGAACGAATCTCAAGCCCGGAGGTCACTTGAAGGACTGCGGGCCCGTCGCACTTGCCGTGCGACTTGAGACTGCCTGCTGCCGGTGCAGATTGACTTGACGAACCAGTTTGCGCGACGTCGTGTTGATCGATTGGCGGCGGCGACTGTGCGATTAGAGCAGGAGTCGGGGTGTGCCGAGGGCTCGCTCAGCTCGCTCACGTTGCCGACGTCTCTGCTGCCCCTCTGCTCTCCGTGCGGCGTGAAGATTGTCGTACAGGAGACGGGACGTAAAAGTTTTGCAGATGACATTTCGGCAGTGGCAGGAACTGGATGATTGAAGGAACTACGCTACGATGTGGTAGACACGCAAAACAGGTCGTCTCAGTCTGCTTCGGGAAGCAGAGAGTCACGTGCCAGGCTGCTTTGTTGGAAAATGGAACCTCGGCGAACGTAGACGAAACGGTCTGTCGCTGGCCGACCCATGCTGAAACAGCGCTACAGTACCTAGCTGGGAAGCGCTGGACCGAGAGCTGCTTATGACGTCACGCCACGTGGTTTGTCTTTCGTTCTTTGACGTTCTTTGTGTAGACAACAGTTGATTTTAGTAGTTTGTTGTAGGATTGTAGGATAGGATAGGATAGTTTAAGGATTTTATAGATCTCAACAACAACAACAACAGTCTAATTGTCTTAGGGCCGAGGCCACTGGAAAAGTCGGGTCGTCACTTTTGATGTAGACTTTTGATCGTCTTTGGAAAAAAGAAACCCCCTTGTTACGGCTCCTGTGCTAACACATATTTCTTTCCAGGGACCGTGGACACTGAAAAGGGCTGCAAAACCCCGGCGTTGGGCTCGGTGCGCAGGATCAATACTGTAAGGCGTCGCTCCGCCTACGCCTCACGCTTGCCCTCGCGCGCGGCGCCACAGCGTCTCTTGACCTTAGTCCTTTTAGTAGTCTTTCTTCGCCTGCGAATACACCGTTTGACCCTTTCTGTTTGGACTCGGAACCAGTGAGGCTCGAGAGCGATCTCGTGCCTTTCAAATACCTGCCTCGATGTAACTTAAGGCGCCCCTCCGCTTATGCCTCACGACGACCTCGAGCCAACCTCTGCGGCCTCACGCTTGCCATCGCGCGCGGCGCCGCCGCGTCTCTTGACCTTAGCCCTTTTAGTAGTCTTTCTTCGCCTGCGAATTACACCGTTTGATCCTTTCAGTTTGGACTCGGAATCAGTGAGGCTCGAGAGCGATCTCGTGCCTTTCACTCGACTTCATTTGCAAAATTTGCTGATTGAATCGTCGCCGCAGGGTGCTGGCCCGGAAACTGAATACGAAAAGCGCATGGGACACGCACAGGGGAGAGAGAGGGATCTCCTCATACTTCAGTCTCACTGATGCTCCTGCAGATGCATTATCATATGGAGGCTGCCTTTGGCGCCGTCTGACTCTGCTGCGCACGACGCCGGCGCCGATCGAGCAAGCTCATAACGCCAAAAAACTCAACTGCCAGTCGGAGAATGGAGCAGTAGCCTGTTTCATTCTCAAGTTTAACAGCGGGTGAATTAGACCTCTTTGGTCAACTCTGCAAGTGATAAATTCTTGCTACTCCAGTGACGCCCCGACAGGAATAAGGATCGCGCGGGCGCTCGGTCGAGAACAACCCAGCCAAAAACCAAGAAGAACGGATGAGAGTTGGGCGATAGTCGGATCGGGAGACAAGGCAGAGCAGTAGTGAGAGCAACTAAAGAGATGTGTACGCGCAAGATAGAGACGAGACGAGTCGGCCCAACCACTACTTCACTTTGCCAAGGACGCCGATCGGTTGATCCGACAAAAAGATCGATTGCGGCAGGATTCGAACCTGCGCCCTCAAAGAGGATGTGATGATTAGATGATTCGAATCACACTCCTTAGACCACTCGGACACACAACCGTCAAACGCTGATGAAATTCGGGCCCATCAAAGCGTACTCACAGTGTCACACTACAAGATTGCAACAGAAAAAAAATAAAAAAAAAAAAAAACAAAAAAAAAAAAAAAAAGAAAAAAAAACAAAAAAAAAAAAAAAAAGTGGCTCGGTTCCGAGGGCGCGGCTAGGGGCCACAACCTCGGAAGCGTCGTTGTCGGTGTTGTTGGTGTTGGTGGTGTCGTTGTTGTTGTTGTTGGTGTTGGTTGGGTTGTTGTGGTACTTGTTGTGCCTTCCGGTGTTGTTGTTCGCTTCCTTCTGCCTCCTCTCCTGTTCCAGCGCGCAGGTCTCCACATGCCCCACAAAGTGGCACCGAGCACAGGCCGCTTCTCGTTCGTAGTCGTGACGAACCGCCGTATGCATGTTGCCTCTAGTGGCTAGAGAGACCTTCGACGGTAGGAGCTCCTTCAGCGTGTTGTTAGGGGCTTTGAAAAGGGCGTCGTCGTCGAAGCGGATAAAGGCCGAAAACTCGCCGGCCAAGTGCGCATAGGCCGAGTCGTTATCGACGTGGATCACGCGCAAGACTTGTACCAGCTCGCAACGGTGTCCCTTGGCTGTGATTTTGGTGACAATTGATTTAAAAGAGTCAACAATGGCATCCCTGGATGGGACCGCTGCGACACCGACGTTGATACGCAGCTCGACCATGTTGTGGTAGAAGTGGTGGGCCTTTGCGAAGTGAGCCTTTGCAGAGTGCCAAGTAAGCGCCAGTGGGGCCGTAAGCGCCGAGTCACGTGCCTTCGCCGAAACGAATCCCACGGAGATACGGTGGTTGACCACACCGGCCCTGACGAAAGACGAGTGTTGGATACCCCTAATCTGGGGCGCAAACGCCGCAAGGTGCTCGGGAAGGGTGACCTCGGCGTCGAAGCACAGGGGCGATTGCGGGGAGAGCAGTCTCGTGACGCAACCGAGCAGATCGGCCTTGTCCGCGGGAGAGGCCTTCGAGGCGCCTTGGACGGTCAAAGTGACGTCGAGAGCAAAGTCGAAGATGTTTCGAATGGATCGATTGGCGTTGAGAGCCGAATACTTGAGCGATGTAGCGGTAGCGACAGGGTACTCGTCGGTGGCGAAGGTGGTTTGCAACCACCGGTCGGTGCGATTGCCCGGTACAGCACCCATGACTTCGAACATTTGGGTCAAAGCCTTGGCACGGTGTTGTTGTTGGGTCTGCTGCTCGGGAGTCTGCTTGGTCTTTTGAATCGCGGCGGTGGCGTAGGTCGCGGCGGCGATAGGGACTTGCGTCTCCTTTGTCCCAATCGGGACGCTCGTCGCCGCGGACGCCGATGGTGGGGGTGGGCCGGTCTCGCCGGTCTCCATGCTAATGTAGGCTGATGTATCACTTGTAGCTTCGAAGGTGGTGGGTGGCGCGATTTCGAAAGTGAAAGTGAAAGTGAAAGTGAAAGTGAAAGAAGGCGGGAGGCGACGACAAGGACGACGACAAGGACGAACAGGACGACAGCTCGGAGGGAAGCGAACAAAGGGAGGACGAAGGAAACGATGGGGATGACGTGATGAAAGATGGAGCAGAGGAGGAGGACGAAGGGACGGAGACGGAGGTGGAAGAAGAGGTCGAGCAGGAACAGGGGGTACAGGACGACAGCATCATGATCATCGACGACGACCAAACGACGATCACCACGGTTTCCCGCGAGTCGACTCCTCGGAGTCCCTCGTGGCCTCCACTATCTCCTGAGACGTTGGCAAAGTCGCTGCGCGAGGGTGCGGAGTGGGACCGAGCTAACGCCGAAGCTGCTGCACGTGTCCAAGCAGAAAAGGAGGCGATCATCAACGCCCAACTCGACGCGGAGGAACCGCTCGTTCGCCACCAATTTGCAGAGTGGGGTCAGGAAGATGGACAACTGCGATTCATCAACATTCGTGGCACCGGCTCCGGGTCGAACAAGAAGATGAAGAGGTCGCAAACGGTGGCCGATCTCAGCGATCCGAGCGACGACCCGGTCGATATCAAGCGCGTTCTGAACAGGGTCAAAGGTCGAGCAGGAAAGGAGGTAGCGGGTCAGGGGAAGAGGGTGACGAGGTCGATGTCGGCGGCGGCGGCGATGCAGGTCGAGGGGGCCAAGGCGAAAGCGGAGAAGGGTAAAGGGGTGGAGGAGGAGAAGCGCTGGTCCGACCACGAGCCCGAGGATGACATTCTCCCCGAATTCCCACTCTTTGAGGACGACACTACCGCCAAGAGCACGTCTACATCGTCTATCCAATAATGATCAAGCACACCATCACCAGCTGGAACGTGAGGAGGTGCATGGGGATCCCGGAAAAGCGACGCAACATTTACACCTATTTATCAACATTCAAAGCATCCGCCATTCTACTACAAGAACACTTCATCAAACCGGAACTCTGGCAATGTATCAAGGACGAGTACGAGGGCAAGGTCTTCATCAGCAAACACTGTCTGACTCTGATCCCCGCCGACTCGCCCCTGATCGACGCCGAGATTTTGCGCACCCACTCGGCACTCGACGGACGAATCCTGGTCACCTCCTTTCGACTTCGAGGCGACATCCGGATACTCGAGATCAACAACATTTACGCACCAGTCGATACAAAACAACGACTCACATTCTTTGACAAACTACATTTCCACAGGACGCAGAGCACCCACCTTCGACTCCTCGGCGGCGATCTCAACGACTGCCCGCTGCCGGCGATCGATCGGCGGAACCAAGGTCGGCACGGCCATCACTGGCCGATCCTGATCGGCAAGCTCGACTCGCCCTACACCGACTGCATACGATTCAAACACCCGCTCACACCATCTTTCACTCGACCCAACATCGTCCGCAAGCGACCAAAGTCCTTTTCACGACTTGACTACTTCCTTCTGCAGCGCACCCACCAAAAGCGACTCGTCCAAGCCTCGACGATCTACGACCACCCCAAGGACCTTTCGGATCACCGACCGGTCTCGATCGTCCTAGTTCTCTCGGACGAGCGAGGAGACGCGGCTCAACCCAACAATAGTTTACCAACGACATCAAACCAATTACATCGTATCAACGCGGCGACCTTCAAGACGGCGGAGTTCCAGGGGATGTTGGAAGGATGGTTGGAAGGAGCGAGTGGGGAGGAACCGGTGGGGGAGCTCGAGGTGGTGCTGGGGAACTGCGCGAAGGAGGGTCGGGAGCTGGCGAGGAGGGAGCATCGGGAGCGGGTGGAGCGGATGGCGGTCTTGGTGGGAAGGGTGCAGGATCTGGAGGCGTTGCCGGTGATGGGGGACGAGGAGACGGCCGAATGGACGCGGACGACGAAGGAACTTAGGCGAGCGGTCAACGAGCGCGCGCGCCAACTTCGGATCCGAGCCCACGTACCCGAAATCGCTACCGAGGAACGACTGTCGCGGCCGGTCCACGCCAAGCTCGCGGCACGGAGTTCGGATTCCAAGATCACAGCACTGCGATTGCCCAACGGAGAGCTGACACATGACATTGACGTCGCGCTTGACCACACACAGGCGCACTTTCAGCGCCTCTACGATCTCGAGCCGCGCGATCGGGACCACGTCGAGCGACTTAGGGACGATTTCTTGGCGCCGATCAGGTCGGCGCGCACTTGCGATGACCCGAGCTCGGACCCGCTCTTTCTGCGACGACTCTCGGAAGCGCACATCGAGCTGCTGCAGCAACCCATCACCGAGGACGAGGTCGTAGCCGCAATCGCAACAACACACCCCGGTCGATCGCCGGGTCCATCTGGCGTGCCCTACGAGCTCTATCACACAGCGCCGCGGGCGTGGGCCAAGGCGCTGAGCAGGGCCTTCAACGCGATGACCGAGCGCGGCTCGCTTTCACCGAAGCAGGGGCAAGGACTCGCTCGCCTGCTCTTCAAGCACCACAAGATCGGGGCCGATCGCGCCGAGCTCTCGTCGTACCGGCCCATCACCTTGCGCGAGTGCGACTACAAGCTCTTCACCAAGGTCTACGTTGCGCGACTCAACCACGTGCTGCCGGACCTGCTCCCACCGCAACAGCACGGCTTCGTCAAGGGCCGCCGATCGGCGGACGCGTCATTCCACCTGCGACTCTTGATCGAGGAGCTGGGCGCGCGCGGCACCGAGTTCCCTGACGCGGCGCTCTTGTCTCTTGACCAATCGTCGGCTTACGACCTCGTCGAGCACGAATGGATCTTCGCCATCTTCGACGCTCTCGGCGCTCCTGCCGCCTTCCAACGCGTTCTGAGGATGCTCTACTCGGGTGACTCAACCACGGCGCGATATATCATCAACGGCTTCTTGACTCCGCCGGTGCGGCTGACGTGTGGGCTCGGCCAAGGGGACCCGGCGTCGTCGTCGGTCTGGGATGTCGTGTTCCAGCCGTTCCTGGATGCTCTGCACCGTCGAGGCATCGCGCTGAACCTCTCGCTTCCTACCATTCACCCCTACCCACAGAGCCGCGCCATTACATCCCTTGCGTTTGCCGATGACGTCGTCGTCGCCGTCGCGGGCTCGGAGTCACTCAACTTGCTCGACGACCTGGCGCTCGACTGGAGGCTCGCAACCAATGGCCGGCTCAACACCGACAAGACCGTCGTACTACCCATCGGGTGTCGCTGGGAGGCTGGCGATCGTCCGCTCGTCGTCAAGGCCGAGGGCGAGTCGCTCGAGTGGATCGGCCTATCTTTCGACCCCACCGGCAACACCGAACTCGCCAACGTGAATCTCGTCGCACGGCTCGAAGCGGTGCTCGATTCGGCACGGGACCGAGGGCTCACACACCACACCCGAGCGTTCTACGTCAACCGATACGCCATTCCCAAGATTCTGCACATCCTCTCCGCCGACATCCCACCGCTCGAGGTCGTCAAGGAGCTTGATCGCATTCTCGCCGACTTTGTCCGCGGCGGCAAGAGGAGGTCGTGCTATGGCAAGGACGTCGTCTTCACACCGAGGTTCAAGGGGGGTCTTGGGGTCATGCGGATGCAGGACGTCGTCGACTCGGTTGCGGCACGCGTCTGGGACGTGCTTCTTGGCGGTTCGGATGCGATCTGGCAGGGACTTGCGCGCGCGGCGATTGTACGAGCCCATCCCGCCCCCGACTTTGACTTGGCAACCGATGCGTGGCCTTGCGACTACACTCCGATCCGAACCGATCTACACCCAAGATGGCAGGCCGTGCTGAAGGTACCATCGACGCACAATGCGCAAGTCAAGCCGAGGACGTTGACGCTCGCGAACCTTCTCGCTCTTCCGATCAAGTTGCACACCCTTCACTACCTACCGGGAGCACCAGCTGTGTCGCGACCACCCTACGACGCCGACTATGCTGCGTTTGCCATTTACGCCAAGGTAGCGGACCTGTTTCGACGCGAGCTGTACCCGGGCGGGGGCTTTCATCTCTGGACGCCGCCGACGGATGTGGTCGTCAGCAACAGCGAATACGATCAACGGGGCCGCCCACAACGAGAGCACATCGTGGCATGGTACCGACATGCGATCAATCGATTGAGGTTCACACCAATAGCTCAACCGGTGGCGGCAGTACGAATCAACGGGCCTCCCCGAGTCCGCCCCACCACGCCGCTCGAGTCGATCCTGCCCCATCCGATCGACCCGCCGCAGCGCCTTCCGAGACCGGCTCTCCCAGACCAATCAACACAATACAACTTGCTCAGCATGGATCGGCCATACACCATCCGTCGCGTCCGCCGAGTCTTGAATGCAAAGGCCTTCACCGACACGATCGGTTTCAGGGACTCGCTGCAGCCCGACGATCTCAAGGGATTCTGGAAGGGGGTCAACTCGAAGGCATTGACGGCGAGGGAACGCGAGGTGTGGTTCAAGCTCGTCAGGAACTTCACCCCGACTCGGAGTCTGCAGTTTCATCAAAAGCACGACGACTCGCCCGCGTGCCTCGTCTGTGGAGCGCCCAAGGACGATCGGGAGCACTACTTCTTCGACTGCGTTGACTCTAGGAACGTTTGGATCGCGGCAAGGGGCGTGCTCTGCGACGCACTGGGGCTCGACACGATCGACAACACGCATTACACGGCCGTTCAACGCATGTTCGGACTTCCGAAGCTCAAGGCCAGTCTGCGCGATCAGGAAGGAGCGGGGAGGACGATCGAAATATTCACCGGGCTGGTCTTGGAGATGATCAGCAGCGGGAGGTGGGGGACGCAGAAGTGGGGGACGAGGCTGGAGGGTGTTGGGAGGAGGAGGATCATCTTGGAGGAGAGGTTGAAGCTGAGGGCGGGAGGAGCTTGGGGGAGGAGAGGGCAGTAGAGGCTGGGTTCGACTTTCCCCCCACCACCACACACACACACACCAAATTCTCGTGACATCATTTTCTCCTACTGTACACTAAATAGCTCGCTTTCCTCTTTCTTTTGTTACAGGTTCACCGTTGCGGATCATGGACCATCTCGCGATTTGGCGTCGACTCGGTGTGGCTCGCGCTCTTCGGCTTCGGGGTTCTGAGTCAAGGGAGGGATCAGCGGACACAGGCAGAAAGTCGGCTTTGAGGGGCCAGGGACTGCCGAGGGGTAGGTTTTGAGGGACCTTCACCGCGTCTTGTTGTGACTGAGCAGAGACTTGGAGCGTCGAGGGTCGTGGTGGTTGCGCAGTTGTGCTCTTGTCTTCGTCTCGACCGAGTGGGAAGTGGCTGTGGGGTGGGCCTTCTGTCGTTAGTACATTTCTTTTCTTTCTCTTTCTCTTTCTCTTCATCTCTCTTTCTCTCTCTCATTCGTCTCCTGGGGGGGAGCAACCGCTTGGCTAGGGCATTTGAATCCGAATCTCGGATTGGTGGACTTGGCTCGTTTCTCGCACTTTTGCGGGCGGTTTGTGTTATCATCGTAGTCTTCCATCTAGTTTTTCCGTAGGCCGAAACAGGGGGAACAGGAACTGGGGGCAATATGATGAACGTTTTCTACAAAAAAAAAGCTCGAGCGGGCTTTGTGCCTGGGGCTCGAGATTGGGAGGTGTGATGACCGAGTTAAGTCCTTCCTTCCCATTTTCCTCCCCTGCTCTCTCTCCCCTCCTTTCCTCCCTTCCTTTTCGGAGGTCGACTTTTCTTTCAGAAGCTGACTGTCTTGAAACTTGTTGCGCAGTGGAAGGCTGCGCACCTCTCCCTCTCTCTACTTTGTGCAGTAGCGGTTTTCGTTCTTGGATGGATCGGCAAGCCGGGTCGATCGTCGTTGCGTTGGAGGCTTTGTGAAGTTCTCCCCTCTCTTTCCCCCCCTTTCTCCCTTCTCTTCCTCATCTCGTTCCTGTTGCTCGGTTGTTGACTACGCTTCAGCCACTTCTCCTTTTATTCCTAAGCCGTGTGTTGGATTCCGTCGAATAGATCGTTCGTTCGCGTTGGTCAAGATCTACGGCATGGATCGGGAAGAAAGGTCGCTCGTTTTTTTGGTCAATATCCTCGCGTCAAGGCGAGGCTCGTTTCGTTGTATTGGATCGTTTTCGTTCGGCCCCGACGGCTCAACAGCCAGCACTCGAGACTCAGCCAAGGGAGGACATCAGGCGCTGTCGGGGTGACGAGTAGCTGGGGCTTGGCTGCGGCCTGTCAGTCCCTGGGGACCTCTAGCTCTGGCTTCGACCCCCTCCCTTGGCCCCTCGGGTGTGTTCCCCTCCTCCTCCCCTCCTCTCTGTCTTAGTATTCCTGGTTCTCCGTGTTTCCAGTCGTGAATGTTTGTATATTCTCCCCTTTTCTTTCTCTAGGCGCTCTTGCCTGGTTTTCGAGTATCTTCGCTCCCGCTCTTGGGACGTGAAGCGGCAGCAGTACTCACCGCCCGTTGGAGTCCGCGTTAGGTGCTCGGCGGGTTTTGATCTGCGCAGCGCTCTTTGCGCGCAGGGGTTTGACTTTCACCCAATTGCTTGCCGTCGTTGCTTTATAACCTCTTTTAGCTCTTTTTCTAGCGGTCCCAGCCAACCCGAAGGATTGCAATTTATGAGCCCCAGTAAAATAAATAAAAAACTGATGAAGAAGACCTTCCAAGTGCTCGGGATTGTTCCCTCCAGCAAGTCGACCCGCCGACTGATGGTCCTGATGCACGACGCCTCGACCCCGCCTTCGCAGGCGCCAGCGCTCGCACGAGCCGCCCAAAGAGCGGTGCGAAACGACGCAGCCCCGGCCTCCAATGTGATTCGAGTCATTATGGATGGTCCTGGATCACCCAGAGGTCCTGTACAGACCGCGCTGCGCAAGCACTTTGGATTGGCCGAGACGCCGTTCATGTTCGCGCGGCCCGAGGGCGTCGTGCTTGACCCCGAGGTCGAGAAGCTTTTCTCGAAATGCGTGAAGCTGAACCCGATTGTGACGAAAGCCACGAAGAGGTTCCCGATCGCTCGTCACATGTACGAGCTTGTATTCGAATCCGAGCAAGCTTGTCTTGAAGCCGCTTCAGCGGGCCCATTCCCCTACCACGGCAAGGAGATGGTTACCGAGCTCCCCAGCGCCTCTCCCCTTAACCACGTCGTGCAGGTGCGATTCACCTTGCCCTCCTCCTCCAGCGCGATCCCCGCTTCCGTGCTCCGAAAATCTCTCGATGATGCTATCACCCTTTCGTTCGGCCGCGCAGGTCGCACGCAAGGTTATACCCTGATGCAATTACAGCGGGGCCTCGCGGTCGATCCGAATGGCGATCCGATGGCCATGACCGAAGACGGGTTCCACTGCGCGTACCTTCGCTTACATGCTGATCTTTTCCAAGGCTCCATCGAGACGCAGAAGGGTGCGCTCAACGCCGCTTTGCCACAAGAGATCGAGATCCTGGGCGCCAAGTACGGCTTGCGACACGAATTCGAGACGCACTACTGCGCGGTGTGCGATCGCGCCGGACACCAGTGGGGCGCTTGCAGGAAGCCGGTTTCGACTCCGGCCACCGCCGCCCCTGTTCCGGGGGCCTCGACCTCGACTTCGACTTCGACCACCGGCTTCCGAGTTGCTGGAAAGAATGGGAAGCACGGTGGGCCTGCCGCATTGAACTCTCGTGTCTCTGGCGCGAACATGATCCAGCTGGGACCTCGTGCTAACCCCGCAGGTGCAGTAACCGCCAACAAGGACGACGCGAACGACGGCGACGACGAGTCGGTCGTTTCGACCGAACCGGAGGGCGGCGACACTGGGGAAGAGACGTCGACGCGTGCGACCCTGGGCTCAACAAAGGAGACGCAGACGACGACGGCGGCGCCCGTTTCGACCCCGACCTCTCCTTCGCCTTTGTCCGGTGGCACGTCGGGATCATCGGCAACCTCGACAACCTCGATAGCCTCGACGAGTCCTCGACGCCTTCGTTCGAGCTCGGCACCCGGCAACCGACGTGTCACCCGGGCGGGATCCGCCATGATCCTCGGTGCATCAGGGGGTGATGGCTCAGGGGGCAACAGTTCAGGGGGTCACAGGTCCGAGGTGACCGAATTCGAGGGGGGCGGCGCTGAACTGATTTAATCATGATTGAGTCACTCACCGTGTTGACGTTCAACGTCCGATCGATGAAGAACGCAGTCAACCAAGTCAAAATCATCCGTTATCTCAAAACCCTTCGGCCGGCCCCTGCGGCCATCCTCCTGCAAGAGCACCACCTCAGCTACAACGCGTCGCGCGAAGACTTCGAGAGTGCTTGGCCGGGGGCTTGTATTCGTTTCACTCCTCATGTCCTTACCCTCATACCCGATGGCTCACCTTTGGCGGGCCATCTCCTTTCCTCTACCCCGGTCGTCTTTGCAGGAGCTCCTCGTTTCGACGGTCGGATTCTGCGCTCGGTGTTTCGTCTTGAGGAGCTCGATGTCGAGATCATCAACATGTACGCGCCGGTGCAGGAGGACGATCGTCGCGACTTTTTCGGGCTTCTGCACTTCAACGCCCCGAGACCCAAAACTCTTCGGATCTTGGCCGGCGATCTCAACGATTGTCCGGATGTATCGGTCGACCGAGTGTCCATCACCGATCGCGCTTGGACTCCTGTATCGCACTGGCAGACCTTGCTGTCAAAGATCGCGTTCAAGGCACTCGACACGGTCCGACATGTCCATCCTTGCACCCCTGCATTCACTCGTCCTCACTACCGTGGTAGAGGGGAAAAGCGAAAGATTTGCTCGTGGTCGCGGATCGACTATATTCTTGTCCAATGCAGTTGGGCGAACCGGTTGTTGAGCGCTTCTACGCTCTTCGATGCGCCCTGTTCGGACCACAGACCTGTAGTTGCGACTTTTGCTTTGCCTACATCGAACGCTGATGCCGAACCCCCCCTTTCTCTTCCCTCCACGAGCGATTTCATTTCGAGGCTCAACCCAATGGTCTTTGACGATCAAGACTTTGTCGCATCGATTCCCGGGGTCGTCGACGAGGTCTATCGAAGGCTCGAGGGGACCGCTCCGCTCGGCGACGTCTATGACGCCGCTCTGCGGGCGGTTGCAGTCGCTGGCCATGCACGATACCGCTCGACTCGTGCCGACATGCGCCGACTGCGGGCCGAGAGCCAATCCGTCATGGAGGCTTTGGAGGCACGCGGTGAGCACATGAATGAGGCCGAGCGCGATGCGTATGCTCTTGCCAAGTCGCGGTTGGACCAGTTGGCGGTAAAGGAGGCTCAGTGGCTGCGCATTCGTGCGCATGTGCCGTCAGTCGACTCGAGGGAAGGTCAATCGGCAAGCATTCGCACGCGCCTCAACCGCCGGAGTCGCCAGACGAGCATCGTCTCGCTGGAGGATGTGGATGGCACCGAGACCGTTGACATGCAGGAGGCGCTGGGTATTGCTTCACGGCACGCGCAGTCGCTCTTCACGCCGGACCCAGCTCGTGGCGACCCGACGAACGCACGCCGGTCCCTGCTCGACCCTATTCGCGCAGCGAAATGCTACGATGACGACCGCTCGGACCCTACGTTCGGTCGTCGGCTGCCTCGTCAAGCGAGAGTGGCGCTTGACGAGCCCTTCACCCTCCTCGAGGTTGAAGCGGCGTTGAAGAAGACGGATTCGGGGCGATCACCGGGGCCCTCGGGCATTCCGTACGAGCTCTTCAAGGCGCTGCCAACCTACTTTGCTCCCAAGCTGTTGGACTTGTTCAACTCGATTTGGGAGGGCGGCAAAATGACGGCGTCCTTGGCAGAGGGGCTGGTGCGGCTCTTGCCCAAGAATAAACCGGGGGCCAATCTGAAATCACTGGGGGCATACCGACCGATCACATTGCGCGAGACGACCTACAAGGTCCTCAGCAAGGTCTTGGTGGCGCGACTCAATGGGGTGCTCGGCGAGCTTTTACCGCCGGCGCAACACGGTTTCATGCCATCAAGACGTTCAGCGGACGCGGGAAGTCATCTCACTCTCCTTCTCGAAAAACTCAAGTCGCTAGGCACTGATGTTTTCCCCGAGGGCGCCCTCTTGTCTTTGGATCAGCAGAGCGCGTACGATCGGGTCGATCACGCCTGGATCTTCGAGGTCTTTGAGGCCTTTGGGTTCGGTGAGCGTTTCATCTCGCTGCTGCGCGCTCTCTACGATCCCGAGACTCTGGGGGTGCGCTACCTTGTCAATGGGTTCCCCACGGACTTGGTGCGGTTGCTGTGTGGTCTCGGTCAAGGGGATCCCCTCTCGTGCCCGGTTTGGAACATCACGTTCCAGCCCTTCCTCGACGCCCTCGTTCGGCGCGGGATCGCGCTCGACCTGCAGAAGGTGTGGCCAGGGGGGCCGCGTGCGCAGCTTACGCATCTGGCGTTTGCCGACGATGCTGTGGTGGTGGTGGAGTCACCGGCGGCATTGTCGAAGCTGCAAACGCTGTCGCAGACGTGGTACGAGGCTACCAACGGGAAGACCAACACGGACAAGACGCTGGTGCTACCACTCGGACCGAACTGGCTTCGGGACGAGACTGCGCAGGCGCTGCCAACGGTGCAGGAGGGGGAGAGCTTCAAGTGGTGCGGCTATGCCTTCTTTCGCCACGGTGACTCGAAACTGTTTTGGACCCATGTTCTTGACAGGATCAAGGCCAAGGCCCGCGCCGCTCGAGACCGGACACTTTCGCCGAGTGGGAAGGTTTTCTATGCCAACGCTCACATCATCTCGACGGTCCTCCACGTGCTGTCCTTCGACATACCGCCTCAATGGTTCATTAAGGCGGCGGAGACGGCACTTACGGACTTTGTCTGGGGAGGAGCAGGGCGAAATACCGTCGCTCGCGATTTCGTGTTCCAGGCTCGGGAGGACGGTGGCTTGGGTTTGATTTCGATTGGCGACATCGTTCATTCGGTGGCGCTTCGATTTTGGGATGCTGTGGCGGGCTCGGACGAGGCGATCTGGGCGCCCCTAGCTCGCGAGAGCTGGAGGTCCCTCGTCGCTGCGACCCGCGATTTCAGTCCGTGGGGGTTCTTCAGCAGCACGGCTCGGGTCGAGAAGCTGTATCGCGACTCGACGCGCTGGGGGGCAGTCGTTGCAGCGGCCAGGGTCACAGTTCCAATCATCAAGTCCGAACTCCTTACGCTTCCCAAATTGCTCTCGCTTCCGCCTCGCCTCCCTTCACTCTATGCTGAAGGTGCCCAGCACGCATATGACGATGCGGACGCGGTGGCGAAGTTTGCGCAGATCGCGGACCTGTACTGGAGGGACGAAGGGAAGGGATGGGCTCTGGTTGGTCATCGACGCGGGTTCTGGCAGCACTCTAAGGAACCCGCCCTACAGCACGAGCACGTGTGGTCGCGCGTGGGTCAGTTGCTCAAGGCGAAAGCGTTGCTGCCCAAGACCGCGTTGCGACCTGCTCGGATACCTCTCAAGGAGGCCCCCCGTCCTCGGTGCTTCAACTTCTTTGGGCTCTCCCGACCTTTTACGATTCGCAAGCTTCGTCGGCTTGTGAACAAGGTGCGGTTCCCAGGGAGGGAGGACCGTGTCAAGCGTTTCCCTGATGGGACTTCTCAGAGCGATAGGAAGCGCTTCTGGAGATGGCTTCATGACCGGTTCGCGTCTGCTGTCGAGCAGGACACCCATTGGCGGCTCATGTACGACGTGACGCCGACGCGCAAGAGGCAGCATACTCAGGGTCATGCCTCTTCGCCGACGTGTCTGTTCTGTGGCAACGATGCAGCGGTCATCGAGACGGTGTCCCACTACTTTTTCGAGTGCGCGTACTCGACCAGCTTCTGGGGTGGGGTGCTACGCATTCTGCTTGACAAGCTCGGCATCGAGGATACCGACGTCGATCCGTCGACGTTCACTCCGGAGCAGCTGACTATGGGGCTCCCCCTTTTGCGGGGTCGTGGGAGAACGACCTCGAAATGGATGTGGGTTCGGCTGGCCTGCGCGATCGGCTTCCAGCGGCTGCACCTGCTCCGCTGGCGCGTTCATCAGCGGTTCGAGCTGGACAACGTCGTGGCCCCTCCCTCGCTTCCCAGTGCGCTCAGAGCGTTCGAGCGAGATTTTCTCTCTCGAGCGGGTTTTGTGCCTGGGGTTCGAGATTGGGAGGTGTGATGACCGAGTTAAGTCCTTCCTTCCCATTTTCCTCCCTTCCTTTTCGGTCAGAAGCTGACTGTCTTGAAACTTGTTGCGCAGTGGAAGGCTGCGCACCTCTCCCTCTCTCTACTTTGTGCAGTAGCGGTTTTCGTTCTTGGATGGATCGGCAAGCCGGGTCGATCGTCGTTGCGTTGGAGGCTTTGTGAAGTTCTCCCCTCTCTTTCCCCTTTCTCCCTTCCCTTCCTCTTCTCGTTCCTGTTGCTCGGTTGTTGACTACGCTTCAGCCACTTCTCCTTTTATTCCTAAGCCGTGTGTTGGATTCCGTCGAATAGATCGTTTGTTCGCGTTGGTCAAGATCTACGGCATGGATCGGGAAGAAAGGTCGCTCGTTTTTTTGGTCAATATCCTCGCGTCAAGGCGAGGCTTGTTTCGTTGTATTGGATCGTTTTTGCTCGGCCCCGACGGCTCAACAGCCAGCACTCGAGACTCAGCCAAGGGAGGACATCAGGCGCTGTCGGGGTGACGAGTAGCTGGGGCTTGGCTGCGGCCTGTCAGTCCCTGGGGACCTCTAGCTCTGGCTTCGACCCCCTCCCTTGGCCCCTCGGGTGTGTTCCCCTCCTCCTCCCGTCCTCTCTGTCTTAGTATTCCTGGTTCTCCGTGTTTCCAGTCGTGAATTTTTGTATATTCTCCCCTTTTCTTTCTCTAGGCGCTCTTGCCTGGTTTTCGAGTATCTTCGCTCCCGCTCTTGGGACGTGAAGCGGCAGCACCTCACCGAGGTGCTCGGCGGGTTTTGATCTGCGCAGCGCTCTTTGCGCGCAGGGGTTTGACTTTCACCCAATTGCTTGCCGTCGTTGCTTTACAACCTCGTTTAGCTCTTTTTGTAGCGGTCCCAGCCAACCCGAAGGATTGCAATTTATGAGCCCTAGTAAAAAAAAGAAGCTCGGACGAGGCGATCTGGGCGCCCCTAGCTCGCGAGAGCTGGAGGTCCCTCGTCGCTGCGACCCACAATTTCATGTCAAGGATAGCTGCTTTCACCGCCCGTCTAAGTTGGTTTTTGGGCCTGAGCCCAACGTGCCTTCATTTGGCCCGTTGGTATCTCAATCTCCATGGCAGCTCTAATTGTCTCCTTAGTTCTCTATTATCTCAGTGCTTTGCCAGTTAGCTTTCCATGAGGATGCCTCTTTAGTCTCTGACCACACTGTTCTCGTCCCTGTTCATTGGACTGAGTCGTGGTCATCATCAGAGAACGAACCGTAAATTTCAGTCCGTAAAAGTTCTTCAGCAGCACGGCTTGGGTCGAAAAGCTGGGGGACGGTCGTTGCCGCGTCCAGGCTCACAGGTCTAACCATCTGTAAGGCGCCGCTCCGGTTACGTCTCACAACGACCTCGAGCCCGGCTTGTATACATGTAAGGATGTATCCTTACACATGAGTTAAGGTCAATACACAACCAAATCTGTTCATCTTGATATTGTAACATCAACATATAACTATTTCTGAATGGTGTCTGCAAGGACTACATGATAGCATGTGTATTGCAAGACTTGTAGTGATTCAAAATTTCTGTGTCCTTACCGCACCTCCCGAGTACTTACCGCACCCTCGTATCCTTACATGTGTCGACATGTGTAAGAACACGCCCGCGCGCGCACGTGCCATGTGGAACGACAGGAGGCGCACTCAGCTCGAAGCCTTTGTTCACATTTGTTCACCTAATTGTCCCCACACCGCCCATTGAAGTCAACACCGTGGCACTGTTTGACTTTTGCGAACCAGCCAATTGCGACCTCCAGCTTTGTGCCAGCAGGCACGGACTCAAATCTTTCATCAATGAGATTGCGGAACCGCCAACTTCCCGACCGTGACGCCGGGCCCTGGGCTCGGACTCGTTCTGGAGCTGAAGAGGGGGCCCAACGGCGGACTCCCAAGTCGAGATTCAAAGTCCCAAGCATCAAACGCCGATCAACGGTAGGAACCAATCGTCGAATCAGGAAAGGAAACGGCCAGTCGGTCCCCGAGTCGGCAAACTCAGCGCATCCTCAGGACGATTCTGGCGACCTTCAAGCTGAAGCATTGACCTGCACGGTGTCCGTGCCGCGGCTATCGAAATCCCCGACTCCAACAGGAGATTCTCCTATCTCCGATCGTACAAGCGACTTGCCTAATCGCATCAAGTCCGCAGAGGACTGCGAGGAGAACTATGACAATTATGTGGACGATAAGCACAACGATCACAAGGACGACCGTGACAATGACTCACCTTGTTCCACTCGGCTCGCCCACGACACTCCCTTCCACCACACCATCAAGCACGAGAAGTCAACAATGCCCCTCCTGTGCTCCCAGAACAGCGATCCCGGTTGGCCGTCGCTGCGCAGTCAAAGCAGTGTTGAGAGTGTGAATTCCGCTTCTACCCTCCAAGTCGGCTCGCTTTCACCAGCATTAGCTCCGAACCTCTCCCGTCTAAGCGTTTCACAACCCAAGGCTATTCCAAAGGACAGCTCCATTCTTCCCAAGCATCAACATACGACTCTTAAGCTTGAAGGTACGCCACATGTGTTGTCTAGGTGGTAGGCCATCGGTAACGAGGCGAGGCGCGCGCCCGGAGGCTCGATTGGTTTTAAGGCAGTGGATTAAACTTAGTGTCTGAGTGGATTATATTCTTGCGCGTGGGCCTATGCCTTCGCAATGCGGACTCCCTTGTTTATCTTTTCTTTAATCACTTGTTCCTCGACTATCGGTTCTGACACTGCGCTGCGTATCATCCTACCGCTGCCACCTGTATAGGTTAGTTGCAATACTTCAATCACTTGTTCCTCAACTATCGGTTCTGACACTGCGCTGCGTATCATCCTACCGCTGCCACCTCTATAGGTGGTGCACTTTTACATCAACATGCGCTCTCCCAGCCTGCTTAACAAACGGCTTCACTGAAAATTGATATTGTCCGCTTGGCTTTCTTAGTGTTGATGGTCAACTCTGAGGTTTCCTTGAAACCTCTCTTGGCGACTAACGTGCCGATGATATTTACGCTGTTGGTGCCCGTCAACTTCACGGAGACAGGACATCGTTTCGTCTATCTACGAGATATTTTGGAAGAGGTTGCTGAGCTAACTGGCCTGGCTCTCCAAGGTATGCAAGACAAGATTAGATCAGTTCCCAAGCAGTGTTGACAGGCCACTCAGCCAGTTGCTAACCGTTTAATTCGGCGACTTATCTGTGCCTTTGTACAGAGGACTCCTGCTTCGACTACTGGGTGGTCGACGACGCGGCTACGTCATCTACTCGCTCGACTCCATGTCTTGCCTCCTGCCGGTACGACCAACTCGCAGCATTTACTGCTGCGACCGACTCTTCGGACAAGGTTCTCGGATTGACCGGCTTCGTACTCGACATCGACTCGTTGCCAGCAGAAGCAACCATTACCTTGAGAGTGCGTATAGCTTCATGAGTTGACGGATTCTACGTCGTTGAGCTTTAGTCGCTGAGCTGACTCTTGATTGCAAATGTCACAGGTCTACGAGCACATCAAGGCTCGACTCCCATTCGTAAATATCACTGCAAGACCTACGGATGATTTCCACTGTGGTTGGGATGTCGAAAGAGCGCGGAAGCCATTTTACAACTCCATTTAAGCGGGGGAGTTATAGTAGCCCAGTAGTCAGTCAATCACTTAGCGAACCCCGCCCTCCCAAGACGATTAAAACTAGACGCTGATCATCACTTTTTTCGGCAGACCTGGCTCGAGACACTTCACTCGTTCACCGTCGATCATCCGGTTCTGCCAAGCGCTGTCACGTTGAATGATTCCGACCGAACTCTCGTCGAATTACATCTTCAACGAGCCGGGTATTGCACTGCCTGCAACTGCATTCAGATTGAGGTGTCCCCAAGACGACAGTTTGTGGTTGACTGGCCCCTTCTCATCTCAAGTCTCCACCTGCCTTCGCATTCGCTGGAAACGTTGTCGGACGTCCTCGCTTCAATCGTTGGGCAACCGTTGAAATTGTACAGAAAGGCCAAGAACTCCGGCCGTCGGCATCACAAGCGCAATTGCCCCGGAGGCTCTTACGTGCAATTCGTTTCAATCACCTCGCTCCCCCGTGTGATTGTGATCAACATCAACAATATGTACCCGGAACATTCACTGGCCCCAGCTGAGCTACGCTTCGGTGTTTCGGACCAAATGCCAGAGATGGTCTGGCGCCTTCGGTCAGGAGTGTACAACATCAACAATTCACATTTCGTTACGAACGCGACGGTTGGATACGGGCAAGAGGCCACACGCTATCATTTCGACGCAATCAAAGGCTCTCTCGCTAGGCCGATAGGGGACAGGAACGCTGGCGGATTAGTTTCCGTGCTTTTCTACGAGCTAGAAGAGGAGTCATTTGACTTCTTGCAAGCCTTCAACCTAATTCTAACACGGCAGTGGCACGAAATGTGGAGTCTATACCATGAGCCCTCCGATCCTACTGATATCGGCATCAAAGTGCAAAGGGACTCTTGAAGAAGGACAAGGTGTCTGGAAGATGGAAGATGGAAGATACGTCGGCTTTTTTTCATGAATGCGAGACAGTGAGTGTCAGGAACGCCAAGAAAGCAGATCAATACAACTGACGAAGCTCTCCTCTTACAATATTTTCCAGCGGTGCAGTGTTCCTGGAGGAAATTACAGTGGGGAACATTCATGTTGATGGCAAGTTTGACTCACGAAGTTGTGCCCCAGTGGTCCAGTGAAGTTTTGGCCTTGTCAATCACTAATGTAGTGTACAGTAGGGGCTATGATAGCGGTCAGCAATAGTATGTATAACTAAACTTAGTGCAAAAATGGGCATGGCGATACGTTGACAACCACTGGTGTGCGGAAAGAGTCAATTATTCACCAGCAGCAGCCAGTGCTCTTTGCGCGCGGGCGTATCCTTACGCATGGCACGTGCGCGCGCGGGCGTGTTCTTACACATGTCGACACATGTCGACTCCTCCATAGTGCGCGCTGTTTGTGGCGTTTGTTTTAGGATGGAAGAGTCGAGTTGCAGTGATAAGAGAAAAACCCGCACTCCGTAACAAACGGAGGGTTTTCTAAACAGGAGTTATGAACAAGTAGGGTGGGAGGGAGGAGCTCAAAAAAATGGTCGATCGGCTTTGCTCAAAGAGCGCAGGTCCGATTAGTAACTAAAACACTGCAACTGACTTGGGGGATAGGGCATACCTTTGCTCGAAAAGCGCAGGGCGATGGCAGGGGAGGAAGGCGACGCGGTAGGTAGACGCGGCCAAACGAGGTCTGTATACAAGGTAGCCCCATGAGTCAACTTGCCCAACAAGGACAAGGAATTTGGCAACATGCCCAACAAGGACAGTCGTGATCCGGAATGCGAACCTTAGCTAGAAACAGCGAGCCGCGATAGTGCGAGTCTCGAAAAGTTCGCCCTTGCTCTAAGCAGTGGGTGCGATACGACCTTGCAAAGCAGCGGGTACGGCGGCTGCTTACAACGTAGTGGCAGGCTAGCTCATCAGTCCAACTGTCCAACAAGGGCAGAGGGCTTACGAGGGATGTTACCCACTTTGAGTGAGTAGAGACTGGCTGGGGGGGTGCCGGAACCACAACACGAAACGCTAAGGCGTGCGGGACGACGAGGGAGAGGGAAAGGAAGGGCCCGCGCGCGCCAGCGGGTGAGCAAGGCGGGAGGCCCGAGGGGGCCGAGAAGAGTGCGTGCTGGCACACGGTCCAAAGAATGCGTGTTCGAAGAGTGGAGCGCGAGCGGGCCCCGTTAGGCCGAGACCAGCGCGCTTGAGCTGTCCGCGTCAAAATCTTGCAGCAAAGGCCGAAAAGACTATACGCCTCACGACGACCTGGAGCCAACCGGCCTCACGCTTGTCCTCGCGCGCGGCGCCGCCGCGTCTCTTGGCCTTAGTCCTTTTAGTAGTCTTTCTTCGCCTGCGAATACACCGTTTGATCCTTTCAGTTTGGACTCGGAATCAGTGAGGCTCGAGAGCGATCTCGTGCCTTTCACTGGGGGCCCCTAGCTCGCGAGAGCTGGAGGTCCCTCGTCGCTGCGACCCGAATTTCAGTCCGTCACACACGTCCCCCACCCTTGAAATGGTGTGCATGTACAGCTTAACATGCCCGTCAACGTTTACAGGTAGCGGCGTAGCGTAAGACTTTGCTACTTTTCGGCCATTGCAGCTTCCTTCGCGAGCCTTGTTGTAGAACATGTGGTATTTGTTGGAATCGATGTCGTTTTCCCAGGCAGGCCACGGTGGGTGCCCCCCCCCCCCCCCCCCCCCCCCCCTTTTGGGGATAGGGTCACCTATTGTCACCGACGTCCAATGTCTGTTTTTCATACCACTGCACAGCCATGTCAAGTGAAAACTCACGCATGCAGTGTCACCAGCTGATGGTGAAGAACTCGAGGGTTGACATTCAAAGAAGACCGTGTTGAAGGGAATTGCTGCTTGGTAGTTTTCCATTAGCTCCTCAACAATCCCACACCACGAGCACAGTTCATGAAGTTACTCACTCGAATCCGTAGCTATGCTGCATGCGGCAGCCATTTCTTGAGAAAATTTGCTGCGTCGATTGACATACCTTTCCAAAGACTCCCGGCGCACGACAAACGCCTCATACATCCGCAAGAAGAGCTTTCAATTTACCGTGAAAGATCCGTGTTACTATGTCGGGACGGTCGGATGCAGTTTGGCCAGGAAGCAACGCGTTGACAATTTCCGACCAGGCAAGGTTGCATGTCATCGTGATGAATATGTCCGGAGCACTAAAAACCCGAACGATGGCCATAGCATCTTGGTAAAGTTGGACCATTTGGCGTGGCGATCCCTGTGACGACGGTGAAATGACCCTTTTGCCAATCTGCGCGGGATCGAGTCCTTCAGCCAGACTTACTTGAAGGGAGGAATAGTACTGTTCGGCTCTGAGCTTTTGCTGATTCGTTCTCATCCAAAATAGCCGTTCTTGTTCAGTTACTGCCCAGGCGTCGGCGACAAAATTCTGGAACAACGTCGGGTAACTGATATTGTGAGGACGAATATGGAAGTACTACATGGCACTCACTGAGGCAGGGTGGCCATCGTGAATGAGTTGAATTCCGCGGCTGTTCTTGTTTGGCGACTGAGGTAACCGAACGACGATATCTCTTGTTGAAGACCGGTACTCGGTCTCCTCTCCGGGTAGAATGGCGGCCACCTCGTCTTGGGTCGGCAAGTTGTAGGTTCTCGGATCTCGATTGCGCGGTGCAAGTAAACGCAGCTGGTACGTGTGAGACGCATCACTGTCCATGACCTCTTGTGCTGTCAAGAACAGTTTAACGCGCCTGTTGTGATGTCGTAGCATGCCGTCGAGTAGAGGAACAATCTGTTGATCTGCTGTGTCCAGACGTCGTACTTTTTCAGGCGGTCCATTGAATCCAGGCTCGTCGGGCTTCAATGCATTCCGTCGGAGCCAGGAATACTAGAATCTACGCAAAGACGGGGTCGTTCGCTGGGGCTGGTGCTAGGGTGCCGATATGGCGAGTTACCATTCCGCTCAGGTAGAAAGATTGTGGCCCGGAGCCGCTGAGGTGGCCATGGCCTTTGCTCGTGCCGAATGATGCCATAGCAAGGATTTCATTGAACGCAAATATGCGCTCCCGGAAGATCTTCTCGACTGTTTCACGGATAGTCAGCAAGGCTGTTAGTCTGCTGTACTCAATCTAGCAGGTCGAACGAATCGACGTGTACTAACCTGGGCCCTCGCCAGTCAGAAGCGCGAGCAGCTCGGGGGGGGGGGGGGGGGGGGAGGTTTCGATCCCGGGCAATCGAACTTTGCCGTGCGACATTGAGAACGTGACTGCCTGTGCAGATTGACTTGACGATCCATTTTGCGCGACGTCGTGTTGATCGATTTTGCGCTGCTGCTTCTCGCGAAGGCGTCTTTGCCCCTGAGCTTCGGATCTGCGATTGTTCGAGGTTGTTGTTGGCGGCGTCTGTGCGATTAGAGAGAGCGGGAGTCAGGTTGTGTGGAGGAGGTGCGCGAGCAGCCTCGCGGGTGGCGCGCTCAGAGCTCAGCTCGCCCACGTTGCCGACGTTTCTGCTGCCCCTCTGCTCTCCGTGAAGATTGTTGTACAGGAGACGGGACGTGAAAGTTGACAGATGACATTTCGGCAGTGGCAGGAACTGGTTGATTGAAGGAACTACGCTACGATGTGGTAGACACGCAAAACAGGTCGTCTCAGTCTGCTTCGGGAAGCAGAGTCATGTGGTCTGCTTTGATTGAAAATGGACATTTCGTCCAATAAAACCTCAGAAGTGCATCATTTTCAAGGCTGGGACCCCCCCATTTTTCAAAACGAAACCTTCAGCTCTAACGAGCTTCAGGGTCGGGTGTGAGGCGACTCTCTTCTGTATCGGTAGGAACGCCTACTAGTGTGCATTATCTTAGGACACCACTACATCCGCAAACAAGATGTAGAAAACCCTCTCCACTCCCGTGCGCCTTCCCCAGCCGCTCCCGCTCAAGCTGAGAAGATGAACAGAAAATGCGCTGGCGGCGAATAAAAGTCGAGGAGCGCCGCCGTCGTGAGGCTGGGTCCATGATGGCAATCTCTCGTGGCCGCTTCATCTTGTTCCGCTCTCACTCCAACATTAATACAATAACAGCTGCGTATGCTACATAGTGCACTGACCGGGGAGGCTACAATCTGGTCCAGCACATTCATGAACACCTCCCCCCACCCCCTCTGTCCCCTCAAACACTAATCCTCGTCGCCGGTCGATAGGTCGAAAACTCGCGCTCGACGTCTTCTGGGATCTCATCGTAGTAGTCCTCCTCGTCTTTCTCCACGACACTGTTCCTTCCTGCAGACTTGCTCGAACCTATCGCCTCCTTCATCGCTTCGTCATGGACCTCGCGCATCCACGCCTCCCGATCGATCGTTGCGTTCGGCGTGGCCCGCTTTGCTGCGCCCCTCGTCGACGGCGACGAGATATGCTGTCCCGCGGCGGTCGTCTTCCACAACTGCGTAATGCGATTAGAGTCCTTGGTCGTCTGAGCGACCAGAAACCCGATCTGATCGACGCGGTGCACCTCCCCCTTCCAATCTTCCTCTGGCAACTCCCTCCCCAACACCCACCGCGGCAAGCGAGCTTCTTCTTCTTGCGTCATGGGGCGTCCGTCGGCGTACAGCGAACCCCCGTGGGTGCTCGAGAGGGTCGCGGATATGTCGAGCGACTCGCCGAAGGGAATCGCATCTGGGTTCGAAGGGGTGATGCAGGTCATGTTGACTTCCTTGCGGAAGCACGTGTCGACGTCGACGGCAGAGAAAAAGGCACAGCCCTGCGAGAGAGTGCGCTGACGCATCAGCACAGTATTGATAGGTCTGGGTACTCCATAAAAACCGCGGCAGTACTGACCTGAGGCAGATCGGGCATCTGCAACCGGTACGCAAACAGCGACCGCGTCCACAGGTTCGCGACCTGCAACGCCAGCGCCGCGCGGTACTTGTCCTCTTCCTTGACGAGGTAGCGGATCTCGTCATGTACCGAGATCATGTACCGCGCGTCAATCTCGTAACGCTTGGTGAGATACTCCATCGCCACGAGCAAGAGGTGGAGGTAGTCGACGCCAGAGGACTGAACGACCCAGTTGATGCGCGAAGGCATGAACCCTGAACCTTTGCTCGCACGACCCGCCTCGGCGGGGAGATAGGCCTTGGTCAGCGCATCGGTGAGACCACAGCCCAGGGCGGGCGTGCGCGGGCGTTCGGACTGCGCGATCCCTTCGAGCTTGTTGAAGACAAAGGACTCGGTCCCGCCGTGCCAAAAATTGCGCCGGAAGGCGGGGGAACGATCGACGACCCCCTTGGTCTGCGCGTACAAGTTCTTGGCCAGTTCGGTCGCCTTGTCCGCCGCGAGCGTCGGATTCGCCTTGAGCAACAACTGCACGGCGTGCTTGACGCCGGCACCGTAGATGCGGGAATAGTTGAAAACCTTGGCGTCGTCGCGCGAAATGCCCAAGATGCTCGCCGTCTTGGAGTGCAGATCCGTGCCCGCGGATTTGGTCCCTTCAAGCGTCATCCACCCGATCGCCGTCGCGCCGTGGAGACCGAATTGCGCGTCGCCCATGACGCTGCAGATCCATAACTCCTCGGAATCGACGTCGGCGCCGACGATGGCGTACCCCGGAGGTGCACGGACCATGGACTTGAGTTCGGACCCGACGCGGTTCTTTTTGGCGTTCGAGGCCGTCAACCACGTGCGTTCGACCGCGCGACGGGTAACGGTGCCCATGGGGATAACCTGGGGCAGGATCAGCCCCTGCGTGGCTCGGAGCGCCGGGTCCTCGGCGACACGCGCAGGCGTCGGCGTCTCGACATTGGCCTGGCCCCTCCAGACGACGAACTGGTTCGTGATCCGTTCCCTCGCCGAGGCCCAGTACGAACACGAAGCGTTGAGCGAGAGCGCGTCCTGGGCAATCTCGTAGTCCGAGGTCAGCACCTTGTCCTCGAACGCCTGCACGAACGACTTGGACAGCGGACTGCCGACGTTCTTGTCCTCGCCGTCGGGGTGAGGCAACTTGAAGTAGGTCGCTTCGGCGTCTTCGGCGAGCGTCGTGTCGTCGAGACTCTTGAACTCGAGGGGCTTGAGCGCCCGGTCCGAGGCCATCAGCGCGTCGACCTCTTGCCGCGGCACGCGGTAGATCCATCCGTGCTGCTTCGAATGCACGGTCGGGAACCCGCGCCATTTGAGGCGCAACAGCAAGGGAACGGCACGTTTGCGCACCGAGACATCGAGTCCGAGCCCGGGGAGGTCGAGCTCCCAGTACCACTTCGGCCACAGCAGCGTCTGCAGCAAGGAGCCGTCCCGCGCGCTCGAGGAAGCTTCGTCAACGTCGTCAATCAGAGTCGTCCCCTTCGTGGTCCGGATCGTCGTTTTCGATGCCGAGTCGCCGGTTGCCTGCGGCCGAAGAGGTACGGGCGTCCAGTCCAACGGGCGCAACCACATCGACTGCGATCGCTCCTCCGCGCTCTTGGTTGACGCGACACGGGCGGCCGCGTCGAGGATCGCGGCGATGTCTTTCGTGCCGGACGTCGTCGAGCGCAGCGCTTCGAGGAGCTGGTCGGCCCCCAGATCGCACTCGAGCAACTTCTTCTTGACGCGCGTGATGGCCCCCTTGGAAAAGAGCGTGAGGCAGCGACGACTCCCGGCTCCCGGAACGGCGTAGAGGCGCACGTCTTGGATTTGGGCGAGGGCCGCGTCCTTGGGCCCGAGTTCTGCGGGGTCGATGGGCGTCTCGGTCGAATGCGCTTCGAAGGCGGTCACATCGTCGGGTACGACGAAGAGAAATCCGTGCGAATGCGAGTAGACGACGGGGTGGCCTCTCCAAGTCGTGCGCAGTAGAGCAGCCGCGAGCGGCGACTGCAGCCCAATCTCGAGCGACTCTTGCCCGTTCTCCGCGACGTGGTCGAACCACCTCGGCCGCGAATTCGTCGCATCGAGCTCTTCGTGCTCCTCCGCCTCTGGCTTTTGGTGCTCCACCACAGCGGTTTTCCCACCACCGTTCGCGACCCTGGACGGCGTCTGACCGGGCAACCGCCTCGCCTTTTTCAGATTCCAATCCAACTGCCTCAACCAGACGTCGCGTTGCCACACGAACTCGCCCGATTCGGGATCGACGACGTCGACCTTGGCTCGTGCCTCTTCGGCGAGGGCTTTGAGCGCATCCTTGACGCGCGTCAGGCGTTCGACGTAGGTCGCTTCGGCGCGTTCAATGTACTGCGGCCATCTCGAGTCGACGGGCAGGACGGGTTGGGACATGAGGAGGACGCCGGCGAACGAGACGGGGTGGGGGCACGTCGCGAGGAATTTGGGGAGCAGGACTTGGTACACTTTCGCGGTCGTGACGACGTCGCGGGCGCAATAGTCGATCAGATCATCGAACGAGGAGCGCACGTCGTCGATCGTCGTCTCGGGGTCGATGAGAACGTTGCGCACCGTCTTGTCCATCGTGATGCCGCAGTGGAGACGGGCGACCTCGGCGAGCGAATTCATCGAAGCGACCTGTTCCCACGTCTTGCGACCCGGTGGACCGTCCTTCGCCGTCGTCGCCCCCTTCTTGCCCTTGGCGGCCGTGCCTCGTCGAGGTGGGGCGACGAGCAAGGTCCCCGTCTCTTCTTCCTGCTCCGCCTCGACGGTCCCACATTCGAGCTCTGCCTCCGCCGCCGCGGCGAGCGCCGCAGCATCCTTCTTCTTCTCGTTCGATCGCCACGCCATCCACTGCGGTCGTTGCGGGTTCGTCAGTCCACTGACGGCGACGTGGAGGGACAGGGTGTCGATGTACCGCGTCGAGGGGCGACGCAAGGATTCGTACTCGGTCGAGACGCGCGCACGGTCAAAGAGGACGTTGTGGCCGATGATGAGGCGCGGCTTCGACGTCGGGCGCTCGAACAGTTCGGACCGCGACGAAAGAAAGTCGTCGGCCGCCGACGCAGGGGCTGGCTCCCCTTCGCGGGGTCCGAAGGGGATGAGTTGTCGAGGCGAAGGGTCATCGCCGGTCACCCAGGGGCTACACCAGCCGTACCAGGCCGACTTGCCGACGGCGACGGCCATGATGGGGTACGCGCCCGATTGGTGGGGCAAGGTTTCGACGTCAAAGACGAGGGCCTGGTCGTCGAGGTCGGGGTATTCGACGCTCTCCCAGCACCGGTCTTCGGCCGAGTACCGTGCCCACCCAGGAACGCAGGCCCAGGATCCCTTTTCCGGCATCGGGGGCAGTTCCGTTTCGGCAAAGGAGCGGGCGAGGGAGAGGTACGGTTCGGCGGTGCCTGTGCCGAGGGCGTGGAAGTGGTGCGACATGGTCGGTCCTTGGGTCGCGGGGAGGGAGAAGGAGATCGCTGGATCGAGCGAACGCTTCGAGGTGGAGGTCAGATCGTTTTTCAAGAGGCCGTTCTCGACCAGGTGGTTCAGGGAGGTCTTGATGGCTTCGGGGGAGGGAGGGGGAGGGGTAAAGGGCGATCGCCGAGGGGGAAAGAGCTGGGCCCGGAGGTGGGGGGAAATGAGCGGCACCTGGGCTTCGTTCAGTGGGGCTACAGTTGCGGCACGAATTTTTTGGATGAGCTTGTGAGCTTAGGCCACAACGAGACCTGTTCCGATGGGGACGTACGTGGAGCGGCGGGGGCGGTCTCAGCCGATTCTGACGATCTCGACTCGGATACGGACATGGCATAGGGTGCGCTCGACGACAGCATCCTCGTCGAGGGTATCCGGGCTGTTTTGGGATACAGGCGTTTGATGTTCAGCAGTGTGCAGTGCGATTCGAGGACGAGTGCGACTGACGTGGATGGAACGAGGTGGCCTTCGCACGGGCCGAAGCAAGGCTGCGCGTTGTCCGCGCTGATTCCACCGCGGTCCTACACGATGCTGCGGAGGAGCGTGGTACTGCGATCGATCTCCGAGTTTCATGTACCTGTGCGTGATGATGCGTTGCTGTCGGCGATGTGCTGGAGATGGATCGGGTGGTCGCGAGATGGATCGCCCACCCTGCGCAGGCGATCGACCACGGTGTAGGCAGGGAGACTGTCCGGACTGTCCGGGTGCGCCTCCTCTGGAGCGGTCGGGACAGTATCGAGGCCATCCGGTCCTTCGCTCGCAGTGGCGGGGTCCGAAAGCCCCGAATGCCAATGAGCGAGCAGTGTGAGTGAGCTCGGGCCGTCGAGCGCGGTGAACTGGCCTGCAGCTGGCGCGGCGTAGGCGAGCGTAGTAGGCGTGAGTAGGCGTGCGGCAAGCAGGCGCAAGCAAGCAGGGGCCCGAGCGCGGGGAAGGCGGCGACGAGGCGCGTGCCTGCTCGTGCCTGCGCGTGGCGTGTCGTGACTCGTCTCGCTGCCTGCGCGTGTCGTGGCGTTGGTCGATCCTCGCAGCCGGCACTCGGTCGCGTACGCTTCCTGCGTTCTTGCCGACTCGATATCCCATCCTCCGCGACTGCATCTATACCCACCTCTCCTATCGTCGGAGAACCCCCACCCGACTCTCTGGCTCTTGACGGCGTGGAATCGTGCAGACTGTGCTCCCCATCTGATCCATCTGATCTCGTCCGTGGCACCCAACTCGCCTCGACCGTGCGACACGTCAATCCGACACTGGCGGCCACACCTCGCGCAAGCTCGAACAAGAACGCCGTTCTCCGCACCGCACCGCACCGCCACCATGTCTCCGTCTACCACAATTCCCTCCACCCCAACACGGCCACCTACACGACCACCTACACGGTCACCGGCACCGACACGGACACCACGACGCGCGCTGTCCCCGTTCATGCCGACCGTCGTCCTGACGCTCGTCGCCTTCGTTGCCTTTCTGCCCCTCCCGCTCGTCTCGGCCGTCAAGTTCCAGGTCGAAGCCCACCACGACCCGCCACAAAAATGTCTATGGAACTACGCCATGACCGACACCCTCGTCGTCATCTCCGTCTCGGCCCCGATGGCCAGCTCGATGCAACGCCTCGACATGGAGGTCGTCGACGGCTCCGGCAGCAGGAACATCTACCAGAGCAAGAAGGGCCTCAAGGGCGAGACGAGGATGGCGGTCACGACCCATGCCGATGCTGATTTGGGCGTCTGCTTCAGGAACGTGCTCGACCCTTGTGAGTGTCCTCAGACCCGGACAGCGCGCCGCTGTGGACGTGGACGTAGCTCTTCGAGAGCTCGAGCCCGCTCGACGACACCACGCCGGATCTTTCCACTCGGGACACCGCGCACTGACTCGCCCCTTCACCTCACACAGCCGTTCCGGAGGGTGACGCGCACAAGCACGTACGCGCGATCGACCTCGACGTCGACATCGGCGCCGACGCGGTCGACTACAACGCCATCGCCAAGCAGGAATCCCTCTCCGGTCTCGAGGTCGAGATGCGCAAGCTCGAAGGCGTCGTCAAGGAGATTGTCGAAGAACTCAACTACCTCAAGAGGAGGGAGGCCCGAATGCGGGATACGAACGGTCAGTTCAACCGACGCCACCGTGAGCTCACGCATGGACTTTTCGAACGCTGACGAAATTTCTTCTTTTGCGCTTCTGGCTTGGGGTTTTCCAGAGTCGACCAACGACCGAGTGCGCAACTTCTTCTTCATGACCTTCACGCTCCTCATCCTGTTGGGCATCTGGCAAATCTTGCACTTGCGAAGCTACTTCAAAAAGAGTGAGTCGGGAGCGGAACTAGGACCGAGAACCTAATCTCTCAAGCTGACATGCTCTCTGTCTTGCGGGTGTAATCTGCAGAATATCTCATCGACTAGTTGTTCGCGCGGTGTGTATAGTCCAGGGAATTTGTCATTTGCAATGCAATGCTGGAAGATGACGCAATAGAGCGAAGAATTGAAGAATCAAGTAGCCTCCGAGGCCTCTTCTCTTCAAAGACCGTGACCCTGCTAGAAGACGTAGCAATTTTGCATTCCGCTTTCTACCGGGGTCTTCTCGTACCACTCCGCGCCGGTGCTCCGCGTTGCTCATTCCTTGGACGACCAACCCCTGTCATCCTCTCCTCGTCCCTCTTGACCCTCCTCTTCTCCTCAAAGCCGGCCTCCAAGACCGCGTTTTTTTGCCTCAACTCTTGAATCTCCTTGACCTCGCCGACCAAATCCCCCCTCCACCCCGTTTCGACCCCACCTGTACCCTCCCCCATCGTGCCCGCCTGAACGGCCTTACTCCTCTCCAAAGCCTTGGTTTCCTTCCTCTTCTTCTCCCTCCTCTCCCTCTCCTCGACGTCCAACGAGAACCGACTCTTCAAGATCCTCCTCACTGCCTCGGGGGAGATCTTGAAATGATCACTCAGCACGCGCGTCGAGTAACGTAGGGGATCGGAGGCGTGCATCGTGCGGACGAGGTCCATGGCTTCGCGCGAGATTCGTTTGGGAGGCGCCCAGCCGAGGGGGAACCGCTCGCGCATCGCTTGACGGTGTTTGAGCCAGAGTGGGGGATCTTTGGGGCCGGTTTCAGCGGTGCTTGGGGTAGGAGTTGGAGGCGCGGGTGAACGAGCTCCAGAGGGAGATCGAGGTGGTGCTGATGTGTTCCAAGTCGACGAGCGGTCAAACGGTTTCCGTACCGCAGCGGACGGCGTCCCTCCTGTTGTCCTGGCACCCAGTCTTGATCGTGTTCCATTCAGAGGCTTGGTCCATCTCTGACGCTGTCCACCCTCATCATCAGATGGGCGCTGTCGGTCTCCATCCCTGGCTTTCCACGGGCTTGCGAAGGTCGAGAAAGAGGTCGCCGACGTTCGCGCTTGATGGCATGTGCAGACGATCCTAGTGGAAGACGAGCATGGGAGGCTTGATGATGTGGCTAGTATGCGCTGGGTCAAGAGTCGGGGTAGGTGCGACATGGCGCTTCGGAGCGGGGTGGGTTCTGGGTTCAGGGTTTCGAAGGACCGAAGGAGGCGAACCGCGAAGGCGACGGCGACAAGCGCTCAAATTCGTCGCGGGGACCACGAGTGTCGACCGACGCTGTGAATGAAGTCGAGTGCACATGCACGTGCAGATTCAGTGGGATCAAGATCGGGAAGTATTCCAACACGAAACTACAAGAAGAACGCACACAGAATAAGAAAGGAAACGGGGATACAGTATACAAGCAAGCCAGCCGGTTCCCGAGCTAAGCGGAAAAAAAGGAGAAAACACACTTCCCAAACCTCTGACGTTCCCCACCCCGACCATCAGCATTCAAGCCTTGAGCTTGTTGACCGCGAACCATAACCTCCTGAACCACTCGGAGCATAGATCGGCGTCGAACCTCATGTACCTCTGCATCTCCGCGGGCAAAAGATCGGCGAGCACGGCGTCGCGTTCAGGCTCCACGTCCGGGTTGTAACCGCACGTGCCGTCATCGTAGAACGCCAACTTGAACGTCAGACCTGTGGCAAGTTTCACGGGTCAGTTCCGAGTTCTTCTCGCAGACGTGCCGAGTTCGTATCGACTCACCTCCGGTTTGAGTGAGGTAATCGTTCAGGATCGCCGAATAGACGCTATACCCATCCTCCTGCTTGACCGAAACGACGCTGAAGCCCGTCAAGTCCTCGGAAAGCGCGACTTGCCTCTTGATCGTCGCCAGCTCGTCCGCCGTTCGACTGAGTTCCGCGGCAGAGGAGGAAGAGGCCGTAGTTGCGGCGGAGGCGGCGACGTTCTTGGCTCGGGCTTGCAACGTCTTGGAATGCTCGACTTCGGCTTCGAGTTCCTGTCGGGCTTGCTTGACTGCAGGCCGTGAGATCCAATAGGAGGTCAGCTCCGCAAATAGTCGGGATCCTCCATGCGTGCTTGAGGTACTCACGTTCCATCTTGAGCTGACCGTTCAACCGATGCGCCTCGTCGTCCTTGGCTTTGACGATCCGGTCCATCTCCTTCTGCCACTTGTGGTCACGTTCTTGCAATTTCCTCCTCTCCTCCAGCTGCGCCGCCGCGCTGTACTCCTCCAACTCGCTGATCCGGGCTTGGAGGGCCTGCTTCTCCTCGGCGTGGCCTTCGATGACGTGCAAGAGCTCCTCGACGCGTTCGCCGTCGCTGACGTTGATCCCTGCTGCTCGGCGGGCGCGCAGGGAGGCGAGTTCATTACGCAGGGAGTCGTTCTCGTGCTTGTAGTTGTCGATCATGGACATGGCGGCTGATATTGGGGGAACGGCACCGTGTCAGTTCAATGAAGTGACGTTTGCCGGAAGGTGTTTGGACGGACCTGATTGTCGCTCCGAGGCGAGCTGGGTCAAGGCCGCCTCAGATTCCTCGGCTTTGGTCGTGCGCAGTTCCGACAATTGTGCGAACGCCTCCTGGGTCTGCTTGAGGTTCTTCTGGGTCTGCAGGGTACAACATCATTTTCAGTAATGTTCTTGCCTTCTGGAGCAGCACGGTGAATCCTTACCAATTCCAACTTGGCCAACATCCTCTTCTCCCTCGCGGACAACCTCGGCTCGTCGTCGTCCTCGTCGTTGTCCTCGACTTGTTCGATCACAGCGGCCTTGCCTCTTTTGCCCGTCGTTACCTTTTTGCCCCCTTTCTGAGCAGCCGATTTCTTTCTAGGATCCACATCGACATCCATCTCGTCCTCATCGTCATCCTGCGCCTGAGTCTCAAGCACGACCTGGTCGTCCTCCTCGTCCTCTGCTACTTCGGACTCGGACTGCGAGCGACCTTTCCTATTCGCGTTGTTGTTCTTGTTCGCTCCTCTCTGTTGCGCGGTCGCCTGTTGGGGCTTGCGTTTGGTCGCCGTCGTCGTGTTGGACGCGCGTTGTTCGCCCATCGCGTTCGATTTGGCTGCCAAGGGAGCAGCACGGTACAGGGTGTGAGCTGGATGGTACGGGCCTTGCTATAAATGTGCCCGAAAGTTACCGTTGGCATTCATCAGCGGCTGTCGATTCTCCTGTGAGAAGGGAAGATGGCGCCTCGCAACGTCAGACTCGGGCCAGTGGTGGAATTGTTGAGCGATGTCGCCAGCCGCGAGAAACGCGAGACCACTTCGGGCGCCGAGAAGGAGACCAACGAACACGGAACGCATGACAATGGGCACTGACCTTGGGTGGTTTGAGAGCAGGATCCTCGTCCGAGTCGTAGTGGTGACGATGCGAAGGCTGACGGGCCATGTTCGTGGTAATGTTCGGGTGCGGGTGGTGAAGAGGACCGTGTATGCACCCGACGGAGGAACGTCCACGCGCGCGCGCCGAGAGAAAGAGCCGAAAAGAAAAGCGGATTTAGGACATTTAGGACCACATTTTTGTAATGCGGGCTCATTATTACGCCTTGTCACAAATGGAAGCGCTGACGTCGTTGGAACTCTTTCGCAAGCCACGCCCGCCGCTGCCCCTCGGGTACAGCCAACAGCTTTGTCTTCTGCAAAGCCAAATACTTCGACCACCAGAACTCTTCACGTCGAGATGCCCCCTCATCACCCTCCCGGCTGTTCGTGCGGCGACGACGATGCCCACGTCCTCCTCGAAGGCGTACAGGACTATCTCTACGACAAGGTCGATCGCGACCACGTCGTCGCATTGAATGCTGAAGAAGGGCAGGAGGGGAAAAGTGTCATCCGGACTTGGGACGAGCGGGAACAGGAGGAGCAGGTCAGTTCATAGGCTCCGCTCGGACAGACAAGTGGGGCCCTTGATCGGTCTTTTGACGGGCTGACGGTGAGCTAGAGCGCCGCGTCTTGCGTGCTGCAACCCTTGACAGTTCTTGGAAAGCGATGCGGACGACCAACTCATAATACACATACCCTTCACGGCGTCCATCAAACGTCCGTGGTCTTCGGTACACCTTCTCATCGCGCTGCGAAAAATCCTGACCTTCCTCGTCCGCCCATAGTAAAATCGATCCTCATCAAAGCTGGACCGCACGGCTGGACACCCGACAAGGTCAAAGTTGTGAGTGTTCTGAATGCCCCCCCACACTCAATTGGTGCATCACACGGATGCTCATTTCGGGGGGGCTGTCAATTTCGCCTGGCATGAAAGTTTTCCAACCGAACGCTTGATTTTGACGAGGCGACCTCAACGGCGTGCACACAAGAGTTCGACCTCGCCGCAACTCGAGGCGTCACCGAATACGCGGTCAAGTAAGCATTCTACTCCGACTGCTTCACTTCGCACGCCGATGAACATTCCTTGTCGTCTCGTAGACCAGCCAAATTTCCTTCCGTTTCTTCCTTGACGCTCTTCTTCCCTGCTTCAACGGGCGAAGACACTGTCCGAATATGCTTCGTCGGCTTCAAGGGCGAATACAAACCTTTCACTGTAAGTTCAGATGGGATGAAAGTGAGCCGTCGCGCCACGAATTGATCCGTTCCCTCTCGATACGTAGCGCGATCCCGTGATCACCGTCTACGAGGCGCAAGCGAACCCGGCCGACCACCTCAAGCTCCCAGGGATCGGGTCCCACGTCCATTCCAGAATCGGCTGAACGAATCTTCTGACGCTAGCATTTCTGCACGAGTGTCCTGTAAGTACATAGCTTGCTGTACTCGCACCTTGGATGTCGAGCGGGGGTGGCAAAACTTAGGAGATGCTGCGCTTGTCCACATCGAATGTGGTACGAACAGGGGAAACCAGTTTTGATATCATTGCAAGACGTGGAAGCATAGAAAGGAGAGGAAACAAGGAGTAAAGAAGGACTGAACAAACAGACGAGGTAGAAAGTATTATATCAGGATGCTCGGTAATCCTCGACTAAGCTCCCTAGAAAACCGGTGAAAGAAGATTTCATTCGAGCCCGTGGGCCTTCTTGGCTTCCGGACTGGACCAGTACGACCCGTGCGGGAAGATGTACTGCGCCTTGGACTCGTCCTTGATGTGGATCGAATACCCTTCGTCCGGGTTCGACGGGACGTTGTAGTGGCCGTTCGAGTTGATCGTGCACGGGTCCGTGAAGTGCTCGTGCAAGTGGTCGACGTACTCGAGCACGTTGGTGTCGATCGAACCCGAGACGCACACGTAGTCGATCAAGGACAGGTGGATCACATATTCGCACAACCCGACACCACCGGCGTGGGGGCAGACGGGGACCCCTCGCTTCGCGGCCATGAGCAGCACCATGAGGATCTCGTTCACACCAGACATGCGGCACGAGTCGATCTGGCACACGTCGATCGCTTCGGCTTGCAGGAGCTGCTTGAAGACCATTCGGTTGTGCGCGTGCTCGCCCGTTGCGACACCCATGACGCCCTTGAGTTGCTTGCGGATAGAGGCGTGGCCGAGGACATCATCCTAGAGAGCGAGAGAGCAGGGAGAGGATCGTCAGCAAGCCAAGCTTCGTACACGATCAGAAGGGTCCGAAGTAATACACCCACGGGTGCTGTCGGCTCTTCGATAAACCAAGGTTTGTGTACTGCCAAGCGCTTGCAGTAGTCGACGGCCTGCTGCACATCCCAGACCTGGTTTGCGTCGATCATCAAGACCGAACCGGTCGGCCCGGCGTTCTTGCCCTTGATCGTCTCGGGGGCGGGCGTTTTGCGACCGGCGCACTCCTTCGGGTCGTCGATGATGGAGCGGACGAGCGCGAGGCGGCGCAAGTCGTCTTCGACGTTGTTTCCGACCTTGACCTTTAAGTGGTTCCAGCCCGAGGCGATGGCCTCGCGAGTCAAGCGCGCGACCTTTTCGTCCGAGTAACCGTACCATCCCTGGAAATTGCGAACAAGGCAGATAGTGTCGATCAAAGTACACCTAAGCACCAGTGTTTTCACAAAGACGACTCACAACCGAGGTCGTGTAACTCGGGTAACCTTCCTTCTTGACGCGCGCGATCCTCTCCTCCTTGCCGACCTGCTTCTTCTTGAGCCACTCGAGCGCCTCCTCGGGTGTGATCTCGTCCGTGCAGTATCGGAACGCGACGGCCGACACGAACTGCTCGGGAGTGAAGTCGGCGATCAACTGCCACAAGGGCTTGCGCTCGTGACGGGCGTACACTGGAGGTGGGGGAGGTGGGGCAGGAAAAGTCAGCCGGGCTAATCCCGACGCAGGCGCGAGGTACCGAGTTCGATGTGCTACAACTCACTGTCCCAAAGAGCGTTACCAACGGCAGCCGTGGCAAGGGCGATGACGCCCTTCTCGGGGCCGATCCATCGCAACTGCGGGTCGGCGACGAGGTGGGACCAGGCTTGCCCCATGTTGGCGAAGAGGTCGGCCGTCTTCTTGCCGACGAGCTTCTCGGCGACTTGCTCAACAGCACTGCAGCAACGAAGACGAAGACGAAGATGAAGACATGGTTCAGAATACTAATACAAAAAGGTACCGTCCTCCCCACTGAGGTTGCCCGATCATAAGCTTTCCGAGCTCGGAAAAGGGGTACTCACGAGCAGACGATGTCGTTGCCTCGGCCGATGGTGAAGGTCATGCCGTAGCCGATATCCTTGCCATCGGTTTCGAGCGTGACGTAAGCAGCACTGTAATCGCATCTGTGTTTTGTGAAAGGAACGGAGCATGGCGTAGCAAGAAGATTGGCACCGAGCGGGATCGGGAGATAGCCGAGCGAGAAAACGAGCGTGAGCGGAAATGTACGAATCTCGATCATAGAAAGGGGGGACAGGGCGAGCGAACGGAGGGCAGAGCCGCTCTCGCCGGAACCGATGAGAATCAGCGAGAAAGGGAACTTACGTCTTGTTCATCGCATCCGTACCATCTCCCGAGAGGGAGGTGGGAAAGCGGAGATCCTCGACTTTGAAACCGGTGATGGTCGTCATGTTGAGACGAAGGTGCGAGAGTTTCTGCTGGCGTGGGGCGGTTTCAGGGTATAAGCAGTGGTGGTATCAGTGGAATGTTCCGCACAGAGCAGTACCCAGTCACAGGCATATGTGGTACGCCGCGTAACCATCGCAACTTCCATCGCAGCAAGTGCTACAGCTCCGCAAGCGGCCACGACTGTCCTTCGCCGGGACACGAACACGGGAAGCTCGAGAACAGAGGGCATAGGAAGATCACGTACGGATGAGGTAGTGTTTGAGTGAGTAGTGACAAGCTCGAATGCGCTGGCACAAGAAAAACACGAGATGGTGGTGAGAGGAGAGACAAGGAGGGAGGGCTCTTCAGCAAGACTCTGCCCAAAAGTACACCGAGGCCGGGCGCGCGGCCACGCCGCTCACGAGCACTCGCGGCGTTGGACCGGGCCGTCGTCCCGTCCGCGACCACTCGGCCTGTGGCGGCAACGGCGCCGGTCCGGGGCGCGGCGCACCAATCAAAGCGCCATGCGCTCTCTCGCTTTTGGACACCATGGTTGGTGCTGTCGAGCTCGGACCTACGAAGTATCCGATTCGTCGTGCCGACTTGGTCACCCAACGCTGTGGCTCACGCCCGCGGTGGCTGGCCGCGCTAGCTCTCAGCTCCCCAGAATATCTCGCACAGGGGCTCTCCCAAGGGCCCTCGGGACGGGACAGCTTCCCGCCCCGGGGCCCCTCAGATTCAGCGAGCACGCTGGTAATGCGCATATTCAAGCAAGTCCAACCTTCTCGTCTGGTTCATCTTTGGCAATTCAGCATAATAATAATTCTCTGACCTTCTTTGGCATCGACCCATCTTCGTCATGCCCCGAAGCGGCGGCCGCGCGCTTGCCCCAGCCTCTATCGGGCCCACGACTCATGGCGGACCCCTCTTCCCGTCGCGGGTGACCGTCGTGATCGCCTCCACCGCGACCGCCACCGCCTCTACGACCTCGCCCGCTCGTATTCCCAAAGCCTCGCTGACTCGGTCCTCCCCTTCCTCGCCCGCCCCTCCCGCCTCTCCCTCGGCCTCCGCCTCGGCCTCGACCCCTCTCCCATCGGCCACCCGAGTCGGGTTGTTGCACCCCTTCCAGTGATCGCGGTTGGTCAACAACTCGGATCTTGCCTTGCAACCGGGCCCTGAGGAAAGCTTCGCGACTCCACAGCTCGAAGCACGGGCATTCGAGGATCGTGGCGCCGACGAGCGCACTCTGCAGCGAGGGGAGGTGGGGGGGAATGACAAAGACTCGGCGAGGCGTCGCCTTGATCAAGGCGCTGACTGCGGGCGTCGGATGATTCGTTTGCGGAGGAGCATGGCCATCGCGGTCTTCTTCGAACGGAGACCCGGAGGGTTCGGGGGGTCGCGTGAACAGGGAGAGGAGCAGGATGAAAGGGGATTCATCGACCTCGTCGGCTTCGTCCTCGTCGTCATCCTCGCCCACCGCGTCCGCGGCGGCATCTTCTTCGAGCATGGATAGTACTACGTCGTCTGTCTGCCTGCCGCTTGTTGTGAATGGTGCCAAAGTAACGCTTTCTTCCTCCCCATCCACTTGTGTAGTAGGCCCTGGCGCGACTTGGGAGGAAGTAGCTTCGATCGCAGCTCCAGCGGGCGGCGGCTCGCATGATGGCGCGGATTCGATCTCGATGGGTCGGAACGACTCAAGCCACTTCTTTTGCAATGCTATCCAATCTTGGGCCTCCTGGTTCAGCTTTTTATTCTTGCTCTTCTTGTCGCGTTGTGCGAATGCGGCCGAGAGCGCGGCGTGCAACGTCGAGGTCGAGGGTTGAGGCCCGGTCGTGTAGGTCGTCGGAGGTGCAGGTGCAGGCGAAGAGCTGGACGGAGATGCAGCAGGGTTGGCCTGAAAGACCATGTCGAGAACCCATTCCATCCTCAGCGTCCTGTTGATTGTGGGGCCGGACCGACTCTATTGGGTGAGCAGAGCTCTTCACGGGGACGTTACCCGCGTGCCTTGAGTGAACTTACTTGGGATCCCACCTTGAAGCATTTTTGACCCTCCTGGTCATCCCCTTAGGCAAGAGCACCAGTTCAACGCCTTGCTTCCTCGCTTCATAGACCATCTTGTTCTCGCGGTCATTGCGATCGTCGAGTCGCTCGTCGCCGTCGTTCGCACGCAGCGAAGGGATGAGCTTGTCCTTGACCAACTGGCGGCCGATGTCTTCGGACTTTCTGCTGACCGAGGCGATGTAGGACTGGTCACGCATCAACGGTCCCCAGGACATGTCGCTGGCCTTGAGGGGCAACGACCACACAGGCGGCGCGATGCCCGAGCAATCGAGGCGGACCTTGTGCGAAGTCGAGCAGCCCAGCGAACACGAAGGGAACTGGCACGCGGGGCAGCTGTAACGAGCCGCGGTGACGTTACACGTCTGGCATGTCCCCAACCGCGACGACGACGACGACGAAGCCATGATGATCGCGATGACCTCGATCCGTCGTTTCAAGGCGCCGTGGATGGGGGCCGGATCGGCACTGTGACGCTGCGAGGGCTGCCGAAAGGCCCTGCCGGCGCTCGTCAGTCCCCTTCAATGCCGTTGTTTTGGACCAGAGGTCCGAGCGCGCTGCCGCGAACCGGCGTGGGGAGTGCATACATGCAGCCCCTCCAGCCTTTACGCGCGCCTCACGGCCGGCTCCGATGCCGAGCGTGCCGTCGCTCGGCGTTGCTCCAACATTGGTCCGACGCGGCGCCGGCTGCTCAGCAGTGGTGCCCCCTTGCCAACCAGGCTCAGCTTTTTCAGTGGAGCCCTCGGCAAGAGAGGCGTGCGTACGATCGCCTCAGGCGAGCCCACGGCAGTATCGGCGCTTTTTTAATTCGAGCGACGCCCGAACCCGACCTTTGACCCCGTACTTTTGGCCGGAGCCTCTCTCTCTTTCCTTTGCGTCCGTCTTCCCAAGAATCTTGTCCTCACTTTCTACGAAAGTCAACTTGCACGCCATGCCTCACGGTGAGTACCCACTACCTACCGTGCCCATATCAACTTACCGACCTCGCTGACCACTCCCTGGCACATTCAGCTACGATCAAGTCCTTCCCCCGAGGCGTGTACGCCCCGCTCAACACCTTCTTCCTGCCCGACTCCCAGGACCTCGACATTCCTACCTTCAAAAAGCATGCCGTCAACATCGCCAGTGCCGGTGGTACGTGTTGCATCACTTGCTCCCTCTGCGCCAGCCCCTGCCGTTCCCTTGGCTCCACTGCCCCGGCTCGCGCGCTGGGCGCTTGCCCGGCCCGTTGCTGCCGGGATGCCCACGTCGCTTCCGCTTTCGAGCCCAGAAGTCCGGCTGACCATGTTGCCGGGGCCGATATGATGATCTTGCACAGTTGGACTCGTTGCTTTGGGCTCTATGGGTGAAGGTGAGTCGTTCAGCATAATCCTATCGACCTTTCTGTGCGATGTATCGAGTGACTGAGCCGGCAGGCGGAGCGGTCGGCTCGTTCGCGCTGTCTCTGTTGCCCAGAAAGGAGCGGGGGCTGCCGTAACTGACCTTTATGACCTGGCTCGCGTTCTTCCCAGCCGTCCACCTGGACCATGCCGAACGCAACACCATCGTCAAGGCCGCCAGGGAGGCTTTGGACGAGAACAACCTCTCGTCGGTGCCCCTCATCATCGGCACCGCCGCTTCCTCGACTCGAGAGACGATCGAGTTGACCCGCGAGGCCGCCGAGGCCGGCGCCGACTACGCCATGGTCATCAGCCCTGGTCAGTGTTTGAGCAGAGTTCAATCTCCCCTGCTTTCTGACGCTGACAAAGGGCGCCTTTCATTGTGTTGCACGTGCTCAGGATACTTTGTCGGTGCCCTTAGCAAGGATGCCCTCAAGACCTACTTCGCCGAGGTCGCTGCCGCAAGTCCTATTCCCGTGAGTTGGTGCGGGGGAAGAAAAATTTCACGTATCTGCGGTATCATGCTCATCCGCAATTCTCAACCCTTATAAAAGATCATCATCTACAACTACCCCGGTTCCTCGGCCGGTATCGATCTCGACACCGACACCATCATTGCCAGTGAGTGCTCATGATTCAGAAGCGTCGGACCCCCAGCCCCACAAAACTGACCCCATCGATGTCTACCCCCTTCGATAGTGGCCAAGGATTCCCCCAACATCGTCGGCATCAAACTCACATGCGGAAGCGTCGGCAAGCTCACCCGATTGGTGAACCTCCGCCCCGACTTCCTAGTCCTCGGTGGTTTCGTCGACTTCCTTGCCCCCGCCATGTTGCTCAACGGTGCCGGTTGCATCACCGGTCTTGGCAACGTCGCTCCTGTAAGTTCTGGGATTGAAAGCCTCCGAGTCTGCACCGCGGACCTCCTGTTTGACGTAGACGCTTTTTCTTCTCTGCTCCCAGAAATCGTGCATGAAGCTTTTCAACCTTACCCAGTCAGGTTTAAACGGATCTGCCAAGGACCTCGCCGCTGCCAAGGAGCTCCAGGTGATCGTCTCGAACGGTGACTGGACCATGTGCAAGGTCAGCCTTCTTCCCGTCGCCCGGCCGTTCAAAGCGTTCCGAGCTAACTCGAACGTTGGCACTTCTTCTAACACAGGTTGGAATCGCTGGATCCAAATACGTCTTGAGCAAGCTCCACGGCTACGGTGGCGAGCCCCGTCGCCCGATCCTTCCTTTCTCCGGTGACGGCGAGAAGTTGTTGGCCGACCTCAAGCCCCTCCTCGACTACGAGAACTCGCTCCCGTGAAGGAAAAACAGCAAAAGCGGGAGTTTTCTTGTGTCTTGACATCCGTGAATCGAACGTGGTTCTTTTCTATCGATCATGGTCATCTTTTTCTTGGGTTTTTCCGTTGCAGTCGTTGAATCGTTCTATCCTTCCTGTTTCTTCTTCTTTTGGCGCGTTTCTTTCTCGAGCTTCCGCTTGAATTGGTATAGTGTGTGTGGTGGGCGTGTCCCTTTGTTTCCTCAAGCCCAACTTGCAAATCACCGAGCAGATTTCACAATATACTCGAGGGAGAGAAGCGGCCCTAAGGGTTCTCAGCTCGAAAAGTCCGATCCTCTTTTGGGACCTGGACACGGCCTTTGCCCTTGCTGCCAATCGTGCTGCTTCTAAAACTGGAGAAAACGTTCAAAACCCTTTGAAAGATAAAGGACGAAGAACTCAAAAATTTCCTCGCTACTTTTCATACAGAGGCACATAGCTTACAGTTCCACGGCTCGAGTACCGGGGGCTTTGCAAATTGCAAGCGGAAGGGCAGGAAAGCTCTGGCGAGGTGGTGGAGGCTGGGCCGAAGAAGAGGAAACCCTCCTCAGGGTTTGGACAAACAAGGCTTTGGTACGGGATATGTGAACTGACTTATGGGTCGCGGTGCGCTGCGCTCGAGCTTCCTCGACGCGTGCGGCGCGAGCTGAACAGGCTCCTGAGTTTGACCGTGTCACCGTCGCGCGACCGCGTCAGCCGGGCAGAAACCCTCTCCGATGCACTTCCTTCCCCAGTGACCCAAGGGTCCTTTTTTTCCCGTCGGCGCCTCCACGCCCACACCCACACCCTATCCTTGGGCCCCGCCGCGGCATGGTCTTCCCCTTGCGATGACTCGAAATAGCCAATCATTGTCCGACTTCGCAAGCGCGCGCCAGATACCCGTCGAGGTCGTTAATACGATCGCATCGTGTGTTTCGGACGGAATCGACCTCAAATTCGTAAGGTCTGGCCCGATCTTTGTCACGGTGCATTGGTCTGCCGTGTGTGGCGTGCTCGTTCCAACGCCGGCCGTGGGACATCGTACGCCTCAAGGACGAGCCCCAGGTATACGCCTGTTCTCGGGCTCGGCGGTGCTATACCTTGTCAGGGATCTATATTACTTGCCCCTTGGCCATCTGGAACGCTCAACTCGCCAGAAAGTAGAAGGAACCCTGCGCTAGCTGCCTCAGCACCATCGAGGTTGTCGAGGCCTCAAGACACTCCGAGGTTCACCGTGCTTCTTCCCTGGGAAGAGAGTAGAAGTTAATGTGGCCGCGCACCAGTCCGCCCGCCGCGGCTCCCAATGGTTTTTTTTTTGTAGAAAACGTTCATCATATTGCCCCCAATTCCTGTTCCCCCTGTTTCGGCCTACGGAAAAACTAGATGGAAGACTACGATGATAACACAAACCGCCCGCAAAAGTGCGAGAAACGAGCCAAGTCCACCAATCCGAGATTCGGATTCAAATGCCCTAGCCAAGCGGTTGCTCCCCCCCAGGAGACGAATGAGAGAGAGAAAGAGAGATGAAGAGAAAGAGAAAGAGAAAGAAAAGAAATGTACTAACGACAGAAGGCCCACCCCACAGCCACTTCCCACTCGGTCGAGACGAAGACAAGAGCACGACTGCGCAACCACCACGACCCTCGATTTTTTTTTTGTTTTTTGGGGCTCATAAATTGCAATCCTTCGGGTTGGCTGGGACCGCTACAAAAAGAGCTAAAAGAGGTTATAAAGCAACGACGGCAAGCAATTGGGTGAAAGTCAAACCCCTGCGCGCAAAGAGCGCTGCGCAGATCAAAACCCGCCGAGCACCTAACGCGGATTCCAACGGGCGGTGAGTACTGCTGCCGCTTCACGTCCCAAGAGCGGGAGCGAAGATACTCGAAAACCAGGCAAGAGCGCCTAGAGAAAGAAAAGGGGAGAATATACAAACATTCACGACTGGAAACACGGAGAACCAGGAATACTAAGACAGAGAGGAGGGGAGGAGGAGGGGAACACACCCGAGGGGCCAAGGGAGGGGGTCGAAGCCAGAGCTAGAGGTCCCCAGGGACTGACAGGCCGCAGCCAAGCCCCAGCTACTCGTCACCCCGACAGCGCCTGATGTCCTCCCTTGGCTGAGTCTCGAGTGCTGGCTGTTGAGCCGTCGGGGCCGAACGAAAACGATCCAATACAACGAAACGAGCCTCGCCTTGACGCGAGGATATTGACCAAAAAAACGAGCGACCTTTCTTCCCGATCCATGCCGTAGATCTTGACCAACGCGAACGAACGATCTATTCGACGGAATCCAACACACGGCTTAGGAATAAAAGGAGAAGTGGCTGAAGCGTAGTCAACAACCGAGCAACAGGAACGAGATGAGGAAGAGAAGGGAGAAAGGGGGGGAAAGAGAGGGGAGAACTTCACAAAGCCTCCAACGCAACGACGATCGACCCGGCTTGCCGATCCATCCAAGAACGAAAACCGCTACTGCACAAAGTAGAGAGAGGGAGAGGTGCGCAGCCTTCCACTGCGCAACAAGTTTCAAGACAGTCAGCTTCTGAAAGAAAAGTCGACCTCCGAAAAGGAAGGGAGGAAAGGAGGGGAGAGAGAGCAGGGGAGGAAAATGGGAAGGAAGGACTTAACTCGGTCATCACACCTCCCAATCTCGAGCCCCAGGCACAAAGCCCGCTCGAGAGAGAAAATCTCGCTCGAACGCTCTGAGCGCACTGGGAAGCGAGGGAGAGGCCATGACTTTGTCCAGCTCGAACCGCTGATGAACGCGCCAGCGGAGCAGGTGCAGCCGCTGGAAGCCGATCGCGCAGGCCAGCCGAACCCACATCCATTTCGAGGTCGTTCTCCCACGACCCCGCAAAAGGGGGAGCCCCATAGTCAGCTGCTCCGGAGTGAACGTCGACGGATCGACGTCGGTATCCTCGATGCCGAGCTTGTCAAGCAGAATGCGTAGCACCCCACCCCAGAAGCTGGTCGAGTACGCGCACTCGAAAAAGTAGTGGGACACCGTCTCGATGACCGCTGCATCGTTGCCACAGAACAGACACGTCGGCGAAGAGGCATGACCCTGAGTATGCTGCCTCTTGCGCGTCGGCGTCACGTCGTACATGAGCCGCCAGTGGGTGTCCTGCTCGACAGCAGACGCGAACCGGTCATGAAGCCATCTCCAGAAGCGCTTCCTATCGCTCTGAGAAGTCCCATCAGGGAAACGCTTGACACGGTCCTCCCTCCCTGGGAACCGCACCTTGTTCACAAGCCGACGAAGCTTGCGAATCGTAAAAGGTCGGGAGAGCCCAAAGAAGTTGAAGCACCGAGGACGGGGGGCCTCCTTGAGAGGTATCCGAGCAGGTCGCAACGCGGTCTTGGGCAGCAACGCTTTCGCCTTGAGCAACTGACCCACGCGCGACCACACGTGCTCGTGCTGTAGGGCGGGTTCCTTAGAGTGCTGCCAGAACCCGCGTCGATGACCAACCAGAGCCCATCCCTTCCCTTCGTCCCTCCAGTACAGGTCCGCGATCTGCGCAAACTTCGCCACCGCGTCCGCATCGTCATATGCGTGCTGGGCACCTTCAGCATAGAGTGAAGGGAGGCGAGGCGGAAGCGAGAGCAATTTGGGAAGCGTAAGGAGTTCGGACTTGATGATTGGAACTGTGACCCTGGCCGCTGCAACGACTGCCCCCCAGCGCGTCGAGTCGCGATACAGCTTCTCGACCCGAGCCGTGCTGCTGAAGAACCCCCACGGACTGAAATCGCGGGTCGCAGCGACGAGGGACCTCCAGCTCTCGCGAGCTAGGGGCGCCCAGATCGCCTCGTCCGAGCCCGCCACAGCATCCCAAAATCGAAGCGCCACCGAATGAACGATGTCGCCAATCGAAATCAAACCCAAGCCACCGTCCTCCCGAGCCTGGAACACGAAATCGCGAGCGACGGTATTTCGCCCTGCTCCTCCCCAGACAAAGTCCGTAAGTGCCGTCTCCGCCGCCTTAATGAACCATTGAGGCGGTATGTCGAAGGACAGCACGTGGAGGACCGTCGAGATGATGTGAGCGTTGGCATAGAAAACCTTCCCACTCGGCGAAAGTGTCCGGTCTCGAGCGGCGCGGGCCTTGGCCTTGATCCTGTCAAGAACATGGGTCCAAAACAGTTTCGAGTCACCGTGGCGAAAGAAGGCATAGCCGCACCACTTGAAGCTCTCCCCCTCCTGCACCGTTGGCAGCGCCTGCGCAGTCTCGTCCCGAAGCCAGTTCGGTCCGAGTGGTAGCACCAGCGTCTTGTCCGTGTTGGTCTTCCCGTTGGTAGCCTCGTACCACGTCTGCGACAGCGTTTGCAGCTTCGACAATGCCGCCGGTGACTCCACCACCACCACAGCATCGTCGGCAAACGCCAGATGCGTAAGCTGCGCACGCGGCCCCCCTGGCCACACCTTCTGCAGGTCGAGCGCGATCCCGCGCCGAACGAGGGCGTCGAGGAAGGGCTGGTACGTGATGTTCCAAACCGGGCACGAGAGGGGATCCCCCTGACCGAGACCACACAGCAACCGCACCAAGTCCGTGGGGAACCCATTGACAAGGTAGCGCACCCCCAGAGTCTCGGGATCGTAGAGAGCGCGCAGCAGCGAGATGAAACGCTCACCGAACCCAAAGGCCTCAAAGACCTCGAAGATCCAGGCGTGATCGACCCGATCGTACGCGCTCTGCTGATCCAAAGACAAGAGGGCGCCCTCGGGGAAAACATCAGTGCCTAGCGACTTGAGTTTTTCGAGAAGGAGAGTGAGATGACTTCCCGCGTCCGCTGAACGTCTTGATGGCATGAAGCCGTGTTGCGCCGGCGGCAAAAGCTCGCCGAGCACCCCATTGAGTCGCGCCACCAAGACCTTGCTGAGGACCTTGTAGGTCGTCTCGCGCAATGTGATCGGTCGGTATGCCCCCAGTGATTTCAGATTGGCCCCCGGTTTATTCTTGGGCAAGAGCCGCACCAGCCCCTCTGCCAAGGACGCCGTCATTTTGCCGCCCTCCCAAATCGAGTTGAACAAGTCCAACAGCTTGGGAGCAAAGTAGGTTGGCAGCGCCTTGAAGAGCTCGTACGGAATGCCCGAGGGCCCCGGTGATCGCCCCGAATCCGTCTTCTTCAACGCCGCTTCAACCTCGAGGAGGGTGAAGGGCTCGTCAAGCGCCACTCTCGCTTGACGAGGCAGCCGACGACCGAACGTAGGGTCCGAGCGGTCGTCATCGTAGCATTTCGCTGCGCGAATAGGGTCGAGCAGGGACCGGCGTGCGTTCGTCGGGTCGCCACGAGCTGGGTCCGGCGTGAAGAGCGACTGCGCGTGCCGTGAAGCAATACCCAGCGCCTCCTGCATGTCAACGGTCTCGGTGCCATCCACATCCTCCAGCGAGACGATGCTCGTCTGGCGACTCCGGCGGTTGAGGCGCGTGCGAATGCTTGCCGATTGACCTTCCCTCGAGTCGACTGACGGCACATGCGCACGAATGCGCAGCCACTGAGCCTCCTTTACCGCCAACTGGTCCAACCGCGACTTGGCAAGAGCATACGCATCGCGCTCGGCCTCATTCATGTGCTCACCGCGTGCCTCCAAAGCCTCCATGACGGATTGGCTCTCGGCCCGCAGTCGGCGCATGTCGGCACGAGTCGAGCGGTATCGTGCATGGCCAGCGACTGCAACCGCCCGCAGAGCGGCGTCATAGACGTCGCCGAGCGGAGCGGTCCCCTCGAGCCTTCGATAGACCTCGTCGACGACCCCGGGAATCGATGCGACAAAGTCTTGATCGTCAAAGACCATTGGGTTGAGCCTCGAAATGAAATCGCTCGTGGAGGGAAGAGAAAGGGGGGGTTCGGCATCAGCGTTCGATGTAGGCAAAGCAAAAGTCGCAACTACAGGTCTGTGGTCCGAACAGGGCGCATCGAAGAGCGTAGAAGCGCTCAACAACCGGTTCGCCCAACTGCATTGGACAAGAATATAGTCGATCCGCGACCACGAGCAAATCTTTCGCTTTTCCCCTCTACCACGGTAGTGAGGACGAGTGAATGCAGGGGTGCAAGGATGGACATGTCGGACCGTGTCGAGTGCCTTGAACGCGATCTTTGACAGCAAGGTCTGCCAGTGCGATACAGGAGTCCAAGCGCGATCGGTGATGGACACTCGGTCGACCGATACATCCGGACAATCGTTGAGATCGCCGGCCAAGATCCGAAGAGTCTTGGGTCTCGGGGCGCTGAAGTGCAGAAGCCCGAAAAAGTCGCGACGATCGTCCTCCTGCACCGGCGCGTACATGTTGATGATCTCGACATCGAGCTCCTCAAGACGAAACACCGAGCGCAGAATCCGACCGTCGAAACGAGGAGCTCCTGCAAAGACGACCGGGGTAGAGGAAAGGAGATGGCCCGCCAAAGGTGAGCCATCGGGTATGAGGGTAAGGACATGAGGAGTGAAACGAATACAAGCCCCCGGCCAAGCACTCTCGAAGCCTTCGCGCGACGCGTTGTAGCTGAGGTGGTGCTCTTGCAGGAGGATGGCCGCAGGGGCCGGCCGAAGGGTTTTGAGATAACGGATGATTTTGACTTGGTTGACTGCGTTCTTCATCGATCGGACGTTGAACGTCAACACGGTGAGTGACTCAATCATGATTAAATCAGTTCAGCGCCGCCCCCCTCGAATTCGGTCACCTCGGACCTGTGACCCCCTGAACTGTTGCCCCCTGAGCCATCACCCCCTGATGCACCGAGGATCATGGCGGATCCCGCCCGGGTGACACGTCGGTTGCCGGGTGCCGAGCTCGAACGAAGGCGTCGAGGACTCGTCGAGGCTATCGAGGTTGTCGAGGTTGCCGATGATCCCGACGTGCCACCGGACAAAGGCGAAGGAGAGGTCGGGGTCGAAACGGGCGCCGCCGTCGTCGTCTGCGTCTCCTTTGTTGAGCCCAGGGTCGCACGCGTCGACGTCTCTTCCCCAGTGTCGCCGCCCTCCGGTTCGGTCGAAACGACCGACTCGTCGTCGCCGTCGTTCGCGTCGTCCTTGTTGGCGGTTACTGCACCTGCGGGGTTAGCACGAGGTCCCAGCTGGATCATGTTCGCGCCAGAGACACGAGAGTTCAATGCGGCAGGCCCACCGTGCTTCCCATTCTTTCCAGCAACTCGGAAGCCGGTGGTCGAAGTCGAAGTCGAGGTCGAGGCCCCCGGAACAGGGGCGGCGGTGGCCGGAGTCGAAACCGGCTTCCTGCAAGCGCCCCACTGGTGTCCGGCGCGATCGCACACCGCGCAGTAGTGCGTCTCGAATTCGTGTCGCAAGCCGTACTTGGCGCCCAGGATCTCGATCTCTTGTGGCAAAGCGGCGTTGAGCGCACCCTTCTGCGTCTCGATGGAGCCTTGGAAAAGATCAGCATGTAAGCGAAGGTACGCGCAGTGGAACCCGTCTTCGGTCATGGCCATCGGATCGCCATTCGGATCGACCGCGAGGCCCCGCTGTAATTGCATCAGGGTATAACCTTGCGTGCGACCTGCGCGGCCGAACGAAAGGGTGATAGCATCATCGAGAGATTTTCGGAGCACGGAAGCGGGGATCGCGCTGGAGGAGGAGGGCAAGGTGAATCGCACCTGCACGACGTGGTTAAGGGGAGAGGCGCTGGGGAGCTCGGTAACCATCTCCTTGCCGTGGTAGGGGAATGGGCCCGCTGAAGCGGCTTCAAGACAAGCTTGCTCGGATTCGAATACAAGCTCGTACATGTGACGAGCGATCGGGAACCTCTTCGTGGCTTTCGTCACAATCGGGTTCAGCTTCACGCATTTCGAGAAAAGCTTCTCGACCTCGGGGTCAAGCACGACGCCCTCGGGCCGCGCGAACATGAACGGCGTCTCGGCCAATCCAAAGTGCTTGCGCAGCGCGGTCTGTACAGGACCTCTGGGTGATCCAGGACCATCCATAATGACTCGAATCACATTGGAGGCCGGGGCTGCGTCGTTTCGCACCGCTCTTTGGGCGGCTCGTGCGAGCGCTGGCGCCTGCGAAGGCGGGGTCGAGGCGTCGTGGATCAGGACCATCAGTCGGCGGGTCGACTTGCTGGAGGGAACAATCCCGAGCACTTGGAAGGTCTTCTTCATCAGCTTCTCATGGTCCAACCGGACCTGAGTTGCCTCGGGCGACCAAGCTGGAGGATTCGCGGTTCCTCCAGTGACCGCTTCACGCGTTTGCGTGTTGAGTGATGAATCACTCGCGCCATTACCACCCAATAGGTCCTCGGGCGGGGGCGCATCGGCGCCGGGCGGATCCGGCATCGCGTGTTTGTGTTGACCTGTAAAGCTTAACGGGCTTGGAGGTCAACTACTCACTCTACACCACAGAAACTCACTTGTGCCTCGACGCTCCAAGTCTCTGCTCAGTCACATAAGAGGGAGAACCGCCGCCGGCTTGACTTGGGTGCGCCGCTGCTTTGACCTATTCCCGCTGGTTGAGTAGCTCAGAGGTCAGAGCAACTCTAATTAATGGAGTGGACCTGAGTTCGACTCTCAGTTCAGCCAAATCTTCTTTTGTTCTTCGTAACACTCAGTTCCGGGAATTCCCATTTCCCAACTAAGAGGAAGTGGTCGGCGAGCTCAATTGTATGTCAACAGGAATGGGGTGATCTGAATTATGTGATACCTTAAGCGGGGTGAGCTCACGTAAACTCTTACCTTCGTGGCGCAGGTCTGGAAAAGCTCTTCGATAGGTTTGGTCCGTCCGACCACGAGGATGGGCCTCTCCTGATAGCCTTGGCCAAGCGGATCCACTTGTGTAGTCAGCTTCCCAAGCTCAGCCTGAATTCGCTCGGAGGCTTTCGTAGATCGGCTCGACGTCACTTCTAAGGCTGTCCCGACTCTCAAGCACCTGTACGTTCACATCGCCGTCCGGTCCGAGGCCCACGAACTCGCCGTCGCCCATGAGTTAAAGACGGCCATCGGCGCGGCGGAGGAAGCCCGTCTCAATTCCTACCACCTCTGCATAGCTGGTCTATGCTTCCAAATTCGACATCTGGCCCAATGTCAGGGAGTTATCGCAGGAACCCGAGGACGGGGGTACTGAGACCCAGGAGGAGAGGAAGCGGCGGGCCATCTTAGCTTTCCTCGAAGGGTCTATGTGGGATGACCTTTAGATTGTGTGCGATGCACGAGGGATCGAGTGCCATCTCGAGTCGTCAATTAATCCTATCCAGGAAGTCGAACCGACTCTATGAGTAGCATCTTCACCAGTCGGAATTGTGCTTGAGGCTTGGAGTGGGGATTTTGACATGATATCTGTGCATGATCCTCTGTGGCAAAGGTGACTCGAGATTTTAGGTCGGTGCAGTGCCTGCATCGAGCATGTTGGCATCATTATGGCTGATCTGAGTGGGTCCAAACATTACTTTCGTAGCGTGGGAGCGCAAGCGTTTGATGGCTCGAGCGGAGAGCAGGGTTCCCTTTCTTTGAGCCGACGTCTCGCCGCTTTGCTCCCGCTGTCGCTCCCGATCGCCGAGCGTCGGCCGAGTAATTGAGACTTGCTGACAATGGAGCTATCGCCGAGATGAATTGAACTTCGACTTTTGTCGTTCTTGAAAGTCCTCCTAGATCCCAGATCTTGTAGATAGCGAGTAAGCAAAAACGCATGCTTCATCGAGAATGTTCTCCGACGCGGGTGCTCGTCCCGGCCCCCACATCGAGAATCTTCCGAGATGAGCGCGACTTGGATGTCTCAGACCTCGTCGACGGCTGCTGGCGGGTAAAACCTTGCTTTGGCCGCATGGCGTGCAGTTAAAAGGAGTGAATGGCGATAGATGGGACAACATACGAAACAAAACAAAAAAAATAAAAAAGATAAAAAAGTTCACGACCGGACGTTAGTGGTCACTAGTGCTGCGATGCTCATCAACGTGTTGTGGCGACGCGTCTCACTCTCACCCGGACCCGACGCTCGAGCCTCCTGACGAACCTGGACGTGGAGCGGTTGAACAAGGGGGAGCCTGAGCGCAGCACCAGCGGCGGCGCTTGTGGAGCGACCATTGATGAGCAGCGACTCTCGACTCGAGGGTGCGGGCGGTGATTTCGAAACGCAACGCTCGTTGCTGTGCAGCTTCTTCCCTTACTCTGCCCTCTTAAGTGCTCCTACCACAGCTCGTCGACCCCACGGGTACTTATTATTTCGCCGCCAAGCCTATTGACGTCACTAGATCATTTGCTCGCTTAGCTGCCCTGCGACGCCTCACCACGCCGACCCGGACCCGTCGCGCCACGACCCAGCGGTGAGAACCGAACGACACGATGGCGTCTGCAGCCGTAGCACGTGCCTCTGTGCCCCAGCCCGCTTCGACATCGAACCCTTGTGAGCATCCCTCTTCAGATTTTGGGTGTTGTGGCATTGGCAACACAGATGGGTGTTCACCTCCTGACACGCTCGACGAGCTTAAACTGACGACCCCCTTTCGTCCGCCCTGTCGCTGCTTCCCCCGTGCATCACTTCCGCTCCCCACATCCTCGCAGCCTCCAATCCATCACAGTCGACACGGACAACGACTGGGTCCTCCAGTCAAGCCGGCAAGGAAAATGCTCCACAACAGAATGCCACCTCCACCAAGCCGGACCAACCCAAACCAGCTGCCGAGGAACCGCGCAAGATTCGTTTCAGCGTCGGGTCAAAGTATGCGGTCAGTCCCTCGATCAATCTCCATTGTCTTCTATTTGACACCTGAACCCCAAAGTTGACTTTAAGTTTAAATTAAAATCAGGTTCAAGATGTCATTGGAGAAGGGGCGTATGGTGTCGTGTGCAGTGCGATCCATCGACCGACAGGACAAAAGGTTCGTTCGCGTGCCCTTTCCCCCCGATTCGGTCTGGACTCGACGTGGCCGATTGGACTCGTTTACGTCTGCTGGCCTTCGAGGAGTGCAGCAGATGGACCGCATAGCTGAAGTAGGCTCGATAACCCAACCAACAGGTTGCCATCAAAAAGATTGCCCCTTTCGACCATTCAAGTCAGTCGGTTCCGATCGATCCTTTGTTCGCGTCGAGTCAGCAGGACTGACGCCAATGCATGCATCCAGTGTTTTGCCTCCGGACATTGCGCGAGCTCAAGTTGCTGCGCTACTTTTCAGAGCAGAACGTTTCGGAAAATGTGGGTGTGCTTTGGTGTTGCTGGCGAACCACTGAGAGCTCGTGTACTGACTGTTGGGTGCCTGGACACGACCCGCAGATCATCTCAATCGTCGACATCATCAAGCCAACTTCCTTCGATGGATTCAAAGAGGTCAGATTAACCGTCCATAGCATTCTGGTATTTCGCTCAGGACTTATGCTCGTCGCTTTGTACACAGGTCTACCTCATCCAAGAATTAATGGAAACCGACCTTCACCGTGTGATCCGTACCCAGAACCTCTCCGATGACCACGTACAATACTTTGCCTACCAAACCCTACGAGCGATCAAAGCGTTGCACTCGGCCGACGTCATCCACCGAGATCTCAAACCTTCGAACCTCTTGCTCAACGCCAACTGTGATCTCAAGGTGTGCGATTTCGGTTTGGCGAGGAGCGTGACGACGGCCGAACCGAATGGAGGAGAGACGGGGTTCATGACGGAGTACGTGGCCACGAGGTGGTACAGGGCACCGGAGATCATGTTGACGTGAGTGTGATTCCGATCGTTTTTGTCGACCGTCGCGTACGGAAGTTTACTCTGCCCCACGGCACCACAGATTCAAGCAATACACGAAGGCGATCGACATTTGGTCTGTCGGATGTAGTGAGTACTCCTACGGACCTGTAATCTCACCTCGTGGGTGTTTTGTGACTTATACCGCACATTTTTAAATCCGCAGTCATCGGAGAGATGATCTCAGGTCGACCCCTGTTCCCGGGCCGAGATTGTCAGTGCCGACGAGGTACTCGCTCCCAGCTTCGCTTTATCACACTGACAACATATGCTTTCCTTATGACCTCAGATCATCATCAACTCACCCTGATCCTCGACGCCCTCGGAACACCCACCCTCGATGAATTCTACGCCATCAACTCGCGTCGCTCGCGCGATTACCTCCGCGCGATGCCGTTCAGGGCGAAGAAGCCTCTTTCGCAAATCTACCCGACCGCTACGCCCGAGGCATTGGATTTGATGGAGAAGTGAGTCGGACTACTGATTGTGATGTAATAGTATGAAGCTGATTTGGTTTCCATTGCTTGTGACAGGTGTTTGACTTTTGATCCCAAGAAGCGAATCACGGTCGAGCAAGCGCTCGCCCATCCCTATTTAGCAAACTACCGTGAGTATTGATGGCTAATCGAGGAGTCACGCTGCACTGGCGAGGATCAAAGAGAGTCTGATTCGCCCCGTTTCATAAACTAGACGACCCCGATGACGAGCCCGTCGCCCCTCCCCTCGAACCGAGTTTCTTCGACTTCGACCACCAGAAGGACTCGATCAGTCGCGAAGCGCTCAAGAAGCTGCTCTACGACGAAGTGATGGCGTTCCAACCTCTGGTTTGATGTTGCTCCTGCGAACGCGTCTTTATCTTTCGCTCTTCGTCAGAATGGTCATCCTGGCTCGGCTGTCTTCAAGTTTGGTCCTATCGGCTTGTGCTTTTTGACTTGTTTTAATTCTCTCAGCTTTGCTTGATCTCGCATCTTCCATTTTCCTCACCTTTGGCTACCTCTTTCGTCTCTCGTCGTTTCATTTGGTCATTTTCTCAACGCATCGGTCTCATTCTCGTCTTCGCCTGGGGAGAGTCAAGAGACACGTAGAAGGGTTCGTTTGATCTTCTGGGTTTTTGGTTATTGATTTTGGGTCTGTTTGGTTGCAATACTATTCTCCGTATACGGTGTTTTGTGGATCATAGGTTGTCATTGGCGAATAAGGGGCCGAACATGTCCTCGTCGAGCACGAGGAAACGTTGTCGATCGGTCTGTCGGGATCAAGAAACAAAACACCGCGGCAATCAGCTGCCTGAACGTGGACGCGGCGGAAGGATGATCGCTTCGGGAACCGACCTCATCACCAATCAGTGCCATTAGTTCCCTCAGCAACGTTTCCAGCTCCTCACGCTTGTGCCCCTGCCCCTCCTCATCCTCCCTTACGACGACCCAAGTCTTCCCCAGCTGCACCAACACCATCCCCTTCCACTTTGCACTCTCCCTTATCCGTTCCTCGGCATTCCTCACCACCTCCTTCAGCCCCCTCAAAGCATACTCGATGACCTCCCGATTCCCTTCGCCCAAACCTCTTCCTGTCCGAATGCCAGCTCCGATCATCGTCCTACAACTCGTCTCCAAGACCCCGACCAGATGCGGCACCAGCACACCCAAGAACCTGATTGTCCCCATCCCTCCAAATCCCTTGGACCGCAACAAAGGCCCCAATCCCTCGATCGTGGCTTTGAATAAAGCGATGTGGGAGGGGTGGAATTCCCATACCCTGATGATACCTAGTTGGAGGAGGGGGAGATGGGCTTGGGAGGATGCTTGGGTGGGGGAAGGGGCAGGGTAGATTTGGTGTAGGAGGCTGAGGTAGACTTGGTGCGTCTTGAGAAGGAGGAAAGGGGAGTAAGGGGAGGAGAGGGAGGAGAGACAGGCGTCGAGGGACTGGAGGACCGAGCCGATCTTTGCATCAGCTCGCGGGTGCTTCGCAGCGCGCCAAGTTCTTTTTACGCACCGTCGAAAACACTTTGCCGACACCGGTCTTGGTCAAAAGTGGACCGCTCGTACGTTCGAGTAAGGCGGAGAGGAGATCGACACCCAAGAGTTTGTTGAGGGGCGAGTAGTCGCCGAGGTAGGTCAGGAGAGGAGGGAGGACGAGATGCCATCGTGATTCGATGTCTTCCTTCTGCAAACGCAATGCGCCGAAGGTAGGATGATGAGTAGTCGTCCAAAAGTCAGAACACGGTTTAGTAACGTACCTCCAGGGATGCGACCACGAACCGCACGACATTGTGCAACCCCACTTCGATGCGCCAGTCCGAAGCGCCAGCGCCATCGCCAGTGGAATGATTCCGATTCGAATCGAACCAGTCTAGTAGAGCATTGGCGCCTCCTGCAGGTCGAGCGACGGCTCTTCCAGTTGTGGGGTTAATATGAGGATGGGGCTTGAATATCGGCGGCAATAGTTTGGAGAGGAGGTGGTCGAGGATGGGGAGTCGGAGTGTGGGTGGGTTCAGGAGGAGGTGGCTCAAGCTTGCTGAGAATGGGCCAAAGACGAGGGAGGTCTCAGACTCGGGTCAAGATGGGTTCGAGGCTCTAGAGAGCAAGAAAACTTACCAGTAGCATACTCGACAGCTTGTGCCGTACATAGCCTCGGTGCCGCCGGGTCTTGATGGCTGAACTTTGCGAAAACCATGATCAAGCGAGCCCGGACAGCGATTGTCTCGGAGAGGCTTGAGTCAATCCGATCCTCGGTGTGTATTAAACATGCGGCTATTGATGATGAGATGCGCAAGAGAGGTTCATGGTGCCGATTGACCTTCGTCAAGGTCACATCCGCTGTGACAAATGGAAGGAGAGGTCCCACATGAGTTCTCGCGCCGTCGGACTTGGGCAGCAAGTCGCCAGGGACAGACCTTGCGCGTCTTGGTCCTGTTCCTCGGAAGGTGGGAACCTTAACAGGGCGGAAATGGCGATCAAAAGCTCATACGGCAGTCGAGATTGGACCAGAGTCGCTGCAGAGTCGGGCAAGGCCTGGTCGACTTGGTCGGCGAGCGAGACGAGCAAGGAGCGGTCCTGCGAGAGAAGAGGCGGGCTCAGCTGGGGGGACAAGTTGGAGAAGGGCGCAAGATGACCTCACCGAGGTCGGTGCCGTGGTCGTGGGATCATATGTCGCCAGCAGTGGCTTGATGCGGTCCTTGAGCACCGAATCGACGGCGACGGCGGCTGCGGAGGCGAGTGGTGTCGTCATGTTCGCAGCTGATGCCTCTTCTTCGGCTTGAGCGGCGGTCATGAGCTGAGGGCACAGTGAGCGGTGTCGCAGGCAAGGAGGAGTCTGGGAGGAGTCGCCCCGCGAGTGCCTGCGAGTGCAGCCCGACCGTGGATCGTGGCGGTCTGTCCTAATCGGACAGTCGCCGACTCAATCCAACTCAAAATCGACAAATCGTCACACAAAGTATCGTCATTTCGCTTCCACGCGCTCGGCTGTCACGCGCTTCCGACGCGTCGACGCTCCCCTCGTCCCTCCCTGTCCCCACTCACACCTCCTCCCGCTCCCAATCATGCCACGCAAGGCATCCGTCCCTGGAGCAGCCGCCGTTGCTGCCGCGGCCACGTCGAACCCCACGACGACGACGACCGACGATGCTGCTGCTAATGCTTCGAGCGCCGACACGCTCGGACTCGCTCAGTTTGAACTGCCCAAAGCACTTGGTCTGTACTTGAGCATGCACTCGGTCCCTTCAACTGCTCACCCACCGCATCCCCTATCTCGCAGTCACTCGGATAGCCAAAGCTTCGGTATGACCAGTTCAGACATCGAGCTCAACACGAAGCAGCTCTGATACCCTGGCGTATGATTACCCTCATCCAGGTCCCCGCGGGGGTTCAGCTACAACGGGAGATGCCCTTGGCCCTCGTCAAATCCAGTACTATATTCATAAATTACCTCGCAGCTCTGTACGTCCGAGAGCTAGCCCTGATCGACTGACCCCCCCACCCCCCACCCCAAGCTGTTCTTTGACGCCGGCGAGAGCTTCAAACCTCCAAATCTTTACTAACCTCACCTTGGATCCTCTTCAATCCCCGCGCAGCTCCCACGACGCGGCGCACGAAAAGAACCAAAAAACCATCAGCGCGACGCACGTCCTCGAAGCGATCAAGGAACTCGGCTGGGACGACCAGCAGGCGCTCAACAAGTATCTAGCCGTGCACCTGCGCGCCTTCCGCAAGAACGTCGAGGACAAGAAGAATGGCGTCGTCAGACCTACAACTTCCAAACCTAGCTCAGCTGCAGCAGGGCCGATCGCGGTGCCGGGCGGGGGAGGGTCCGAGGAACCAGCTCGAAAGACAAGGACGACGAGAAAGACGGTCGCCGCGGCTCAACAGGCCGAGAACGAGGTCGAAGCTGCCGCTGCTCTGCAGGTCGTCGAACCCAATGGTGTTAGATCTTTGGGAGAGGACGAGGAAGGTGCCGAACAGGACCCGTATCAGACCGAGGACGAGGACGAGGATCAGATTGACTTGGGACCGGAGGACGAAGAGGACGAAGTCGTCGATGACGAGGAAGAGCTCGACGAAGACGCCGACGATGGGCCAGGCTTGGAGGATGATCCGATGCAGGATGAAGATTGAAGGAGGTCAATGGCCCTGTAGTCGGGGTCTAAATCGAAGGATGAGCGAGCCTTGAAGGCGAGCACATTGCATGCATCTAGACAAGTGCGAGGGGGTTACAACAGTGTACGAATGACCAACAACCAGATATAAAACTTGACAAGTGAAACGAGGTAAACCAAAAGCGAATCACAACGGGATTCACCGAAGAGAGGGGAGCCAACTTTCATGCATCCTCTTGTTGCTCGATCGGATGCTGGCCCGAGGGACGATTTCCTCTCACCGCGCCTTGAAATCTCCACTTGAGGAGCGACGGGTTCGTGATCATCACCGGCGACGACGACTTGTGCTCAAATTGGAACGTCGACGCCGATACTGAGGTCGTCAGAGTCGAGCTTCCGGATGACAGAGCCTTGGGCAGAGCAGGTGAGGACGACAAGGAAAACGGAGCAGGGACTCGGTTCATCTTGCGCGGCGAAAGCGGGACACGCGCCGGTGTGGGCGTCGATCTGGACATCGAAGAGGTCTGCTTGACGGTCGTCGAGGACGTGGCACCCTTGGATGACGACGATACCTTCTTGTTGACACTTGTGAACGTACGCGAGATCGGCTTGGGTCCCGAAAGCGCAGCAATCGGCGTCGACATCTTCATCGCCTTGTTGTTGCCCACGGGCAACATGTACTTGGACCTCCACATGGACCCAATCACCGCCGCAACGGTCGTTTGCTCGTTCTCGATCTCTTCGTCGACGCGCTCTTGGGATGGTCGTTTCTTCTTGTTCAAAGGCCCGACGAGGGTCGGTTTGACGTCCTCGTAAATCTTGAACCCTGTGTTCGCGCGCGGGCGAGGCGTCGCTTCCTCGTCGAGCTCGGACGACGGACCGATCGGATCCGAAGAGAGATCAAACGTCTTGTCAATCGAATTCACCATCTTCTTGCTCGGTACTGTCTCGACCTTCGGTGCGAAGCGAGAGGGTGGCCTCGAGATGACCTTGGTGTGAACCGGCGAGGTGACGGGACTGGACATAAAGTCCGCATCGTCGTCGTCGTCTTCATGCATCGTGTCGTCATCAGAAAGGGCAGGGAGGGGCGGGAGTAGGTCGTCGTCGTTCTCATCATCTTGATGAGGGGTTTCGATCTCTTCCTTCTCGTCGATGGGAGGGCTGCTCACGCCGACATCCCTTGGTGGCGAAGAGATATCGCGCGCTTTGTCCTGGGCCTGCGCTGGCGTCGGGGCGGGACTGGACATGCAATCAGGGGTCGAAGGAGGTAGAGGCAGTGGCTCGTCTTGGCGTGGTGCCGGGAGCGACTCCGTCTGCGCACCGGACTCCATCTCGCATTCGCGCATCGCCGCCATGCCTTCCTTGTCATCGTCGTCGGAACCGTCGCCTCTTGCTACCTTCTCAAACTCCGCCTCCTGCGCCTCGTCAATGATCATGACTTCTTCATCCTCATCGATCTCGACCGCCTTCTCCTTGCCCTTCTTGCTACCTCCACCAAAGAACCGACTGACTTTACCGCCGAGCGTCTTTTCCTCGGTCACGGCCGTTTCTACCGTCGCAGTCACTGACCTGTTCCCGAGCTTGGGCTTTGCACCGTCCGTCTTGGACGTCGAGGGGACAACTTCCTTCTTGAAAAAGTTGAGAATCGAGCTCTTGCCTCTCGCAACTGAGACCGGAGCCGCCGCCTTGCGCTGGTATGAGAACTCCGTCTTGCCCTTGCTTCCACCCTGCAGCATATCGGGGTCAAAGTCGGCGGGGACTTGGCTCGGATTGAGGTCGACGATCGGTTCCTTGGTGATGGGGTCGATCTCCCCTTCGGCCAATCGCTGCGCCACATCTTCGTCCAAGGGAGCTCCGACAAAGGGCATTTCGGTCGCGGCGTCGGTAATGCCCGGAGGAAGAGGGGTGAAATGGACGAGCGCGCGAGCTATCGGGCAGAAGACTCGTTGGTGCAGGAAGGTCATTTCGGCACGCTTGAACTGTTCGAGGTAGTCGCGAGGGACGGTGAGGTTGCCCTCGAGTCGCACGAATTGAATGACCTGCGTCGTCACACTCAGAGGTCAGTATCGACACCTCCAACAAATGACCGCGGCGGAAGACGGACCTTTTCGGGAGTCTTGTACCTTTTCAGCAGCCTGTACGCCGTCTTTAGCCCGAGTCCAACGACGCTGTGAAGGTAGTCGCACCCGCTGAGAATGGCCATGTGGCGGAAGTCGTCGTCGCCCCACCCGGCAAAATTGTACTCTCGGCACTGCGAGAAGCGGGCGCGCTCGATCGCGACGCAGTGTCCGTCGCCGTCGAGCTTGAACAGGACCGTGCGGCAGCCAAAGATGAGCAGATCCGAGTCCTCGGTGATGATGCCGTCGACGATGCCTTCACGTTCGAGGTAGGCGAGTTGGGGATCCGCTTCGTAAGGTGCGACAATGTACTGTTGGTTAAGCAATATGCACGTGTCAATCTCTCCAGTCTGACTTGCTACGTGAGGACGACGCCAAAACCAACCTCGACTCCTTCGCGTCGGAGAGCCTACCCAGAGGTCACGTGAGCAGATGCCCGGATCGAGATCGCGACGGAAGGAAGCAAGACTCAGCAAGTGCACCGGCTGAATGAGCCCACATCAAGCAGCGAAATGCTGGGACTGACCTTGATGAGTTGATAGGCCATGGCCGGTGTGACGTCGACGGCCTTGACGAACGCTTCTCGAGCTTGGGCGAGCTTGCCCTCGGCAAGACACGCGTTGGCCTTGGCGAGAGCTTCGTTTCGACGACTGCGAGGGTGGCAACCACGTTCATGAGTGTTATTGAATGCCGTAAGGCTCCATATTCATCGTTGACCCACCTCTCTCGCTCTTCCTCTGTGCCCATCTTGCTCGGGAGGTAGCCGCCGTCAAAGACGATCAGGGGCGTGACGCCGTAATGCTTGAGCATGCGCACACGGTGCATCGCGTAGTTGACGTATCTGCGGAAAGAGGGCGATCAGAATGAGCTGAGACAGTCGCCTTCACATCCCCAGCAGAGGTACTTGATGCTCACTTGAGTGTGGTGACGCCGGTCGCGAGCTCTTGAGCGCACCCGTACGCGCCGCGATGGAGCCACACCTGCGAACCGAACCGAACCGAACCGAACCGAACCGGAACGGACAAACAAGCTCGACGCCGTCATCAGTTGCCCGAGCATCCCACCTACTCCCCGCGCGACGCGACCGTCACCCGCAGCCAGCTCCAGTGCTTACATAGGCATCCACGGCCAAGGTCTTGTCCTTGTACTCGCTGACATGGGTCGGCGTCTGGATCTCCTTGAGCATGCCCAGCAAGCCCTGCACGAACGCCGACGACGAGCCGAGCACGGCGAGGTAATGCCAAGCACCACATGCGCAAACACGCCATCAGCAGCTTGACAGTGACATGAGCCGTGTAGCGCATCGAGGACGGACTCACCTGGATACCCATCTTGCCAAGATACCTGGGAGAAACGCGTCAAGAGCTCACGAGCTGCAAGGATTCGATCTCAGGTGCAGCACTCGGTGCGTGGACGCGATAATGTCAACGCGACTCGAAGCGGAGTCAAGCGCGCGTCCTCTTGGGCCCCATATCGCCGAACGAAAGACCGGTCCGTGCGCCCCGCATTCGGGTCTCAGCGAGAGCTGATAGAGGAACGACCACTAGGATTAAAACGTTGATTCATGACAAAAAGGGCAATACAACTAAGGCGCATAAAACAAAGAGGCTATCTCGCAATAAGATGCAAGGCGTGGCGTTCCACGGGTCGGCAGGATCACGTGATCGGCCTTACTGCTCAACCGTGCACGGCGCGGGGCCTTACAACTTGGCGCCCATGATTTGAGCAATCTTGATCGATTGTCGGATACCGAGGTCTTGCATGATCTGCACGTCAGGGAAAATTGTTCCAGTCAGCATCTGCGTCGCGCAGCACACGATCGCTCGCAAAAACTCACCTCGGTCGATCCACCCGGAATCGTGTATGCACGAACCTCACGGTACAAGCGCTCGATCTTCTCGCCTTGCCCACCCCGCGTGTACGCGAGCCCTCCAAATATCTGCGTCGCCTCTTGCGCGCAGTAGGCGAACACGTCGGCCGAATGCGCCTTGAGCAACGCGATCGGTCCTCCCCCTCGCATCGTCAGCGTGTCGGCGTCGTACTGCGTCGACTGGTAGATGAGCGCTTCCATCCACGCCTGCGTCGATTCAATCCTCGAGGCCATGTTGGCCAGCTTGGCTCGAATCACGGGGTGGTCGCGCAGCAGGACACCAAATGTCTTGCGCTTCGAGGCGTACTTGATCGACTCCTCGAGGCACACACGTGCGAAACGCGTGCACTGAATGGCAATACCGATTCGCTCAGGGTTGAAGCTGAAGCAAAGCGCGTGTACGTGTTAGCGTTCCAACCTCTCAATTCATCTTGATTCAGCCGGACCTACTTGGACATAATGAGGATGAAACCCTTATTCTCCTGACCGAGCAGGTTTTCGACGGGGACCTTGACGTCCTCAAAGGTGACATAGGTCGTACCCGAGCTCCAGACACCCTGACAATTCATCTTGGTCGTCTTGACGCCCTCGGTTCGTTCGATAACGAGTAGCGAGATGCCACCCATGCCCGGGCCACCCGTGCGGACGGCTCTGTTGGAGAAGAGTTGAGCACGTCGATCAGCATGCGGATCCACGACGCTCGTTGTGCCACACCGTGCGTGGAAGAACTCACGTCACAAAGTAGTCGGCATAGATACCACCGGTGATCCACTTCTTGGAGCCGTTGACAATGTAGTGCTTGCCGTCGGCCGTCTTCTTGGCCGTTGTGACGAGGTTTGCAACATCGGATCCCCCCTCCGGCTCGGTGATGGCCAAGCAGATTCGCTTCTCGCCGGTCAGGCAGCCAGGAATGACCCGCTCCTTGAGCTCGTCCGAACCAAAATGCTTGACGGGGGGGAGACCGATACCGAAGCCACCGATGAGGCCATACAAGATACCACCGGAGCCGCAGCGGCACAGCTCATCGACGGTGACGTAGTTGTGGAATGCGTCCCACTTCTCCTTACTCAGGTCGAGACCACCAGGGATCGGCAAGTTGCCGGCGTAGTCTGTGGGCCACCCATCTCCGCCCGAGGCGATGGCAGCGAGGATACCTGTGGAATCACTCGAGACCTGACCAGTCAATAAACCGCGGGGGTTGGCTAACAAGGATAACTGAGGTCGCACCTGATCGTGCGACATGCTTGAAGGCCGAAAGCGGGATCTCCTTGTTCTCGTCCCATTCAAAGGCGTTCGGCGTCAAGTACTTGTCGGTGTAATTGCGGATCGCAGTTCGGACCTTCCGATGCGAGTCGGTGAAGTACGGACTGCAAGGCGAAAGCATTCATGGTCAGTCACAGTGCCTCATAATCTATACCGTGACATGGGAGTCCCCACTCACGAGCTCCAATCCTGGTACCACATTGGGTCGCCGAAACTGTGAAGGACCCGAGCGCCAAGGTGCAAAGTCAGCCACTGAGATACCCTTTCCCCTTGCGAATCGGTACGAATTCACTCACGGAACGAGATCACCAAAGTAAGTCGTGTCCTCATCGTCGGCCTTGGTGATGAAGGCGGCGCAATCCTCGTCGTCCAATGAGGACGAGGCTTGGGCAGATTCGGCCGGTTCGGCGCCTTCGATCGCGCCGATCAGGAACTTCTTCGCGACCTTGTCGAGCACAGATTGGTTGTGGAACGCCCAGAACTTGTCAGTCGCGTCCTTGCCTATTATTTCAAACGTGGGATGGCGGGTGAGGGGTCAGAGTTCCGCTCTTGTACGAGGTTTGTGCTCGGCGTGTATTTGGGTGACGCTTCGATTTCGCCGAGCTCGCGCCGCCCGAGGCCGGCGGCAACCTTTGGCGCGTGGCCGTGGCTGGCATTGGGCCCGGCGACGGCGCCCCCCCTCATCGTCGTGTCGAATCCGAGTGGAGTAGGGCCCATGCAGACATCACCCCGACTTGAAACTGCAACTCACCGGACCAATTCTTCAAAATCTTGGCTCCACCGGGGTGATCATCCAAGAACTTTGAACTGTTGACACGTCACGACAGGAGCCAAAGGACAACTCGCGGTTGGCTCAGCTTCGCCCTCGACAAGATCGCCAGGGGTTTTGCAGCACTTGCACATCGTAGACTTTACTTTCGATCAAGAGCCAGTAGCCGGCTGGATCGGAGTTGTGCTTCTCGAGCTCGGACTTAGTGATGGTCTGTGTCAGGCGGGATAAAGATAGCACGGGTGGCGACGGTCAACCCCGAGTGCTTCGAAATGCCCGTTGCCGGAGCCTGCCCGGTGGTGGTGGGGAGCACCTATGTGCTCCGGCCAGTGCAAGACTTACCTTGGACATGGCGTGTGATCCGTAGCTGTGAAAGGAGACGTGTGTATGTGCGTGGACGGCTGCAGGGAAAGCAGATGGTGAGTGGGCTGCCTCGTAGACGTGGACGAATGGGACGAAAGGCAACAAATAGCCAACCACCGAGAGAATCTGGGGCCCCCCGTTGTTGCGCGTGTCAACTCTAGAGAGGTCGCCGAGTGCAATGCCGATGACCGAAATGCAGGCAGGCACGGCCGGGCTCGGCCGACACGAGGGCCATACAGACAGCACGTCTAGCAGTCATCGAGTTGTACCTTCTCTCCTCACGCTTCTAATCTGGTCGAGATTTGTCTTACACTGTGCTAAGTACCACTCGCCAGGAAGTCAATCGCAGAGCTGAAGACGAAGGAATCCGTGGTGAGTTGGAAACTTTTGTGTTTTCAAATTCAGCATCAGGCAGCGAAAGCTTTTCATTGGACTACAACAGCAAGAAGGAGCACCAGAAGAAACCGCACATATAGCTAGGCAGAAGGGAGGGGTCGGAGAAGAGGAAGCGGAGTAGCCTCGATGGCGTAGAGGCGTGGGTGGTAGGGTGGAGTTGTAGATCCGACAGAGGGAGCAAAAGAAAACAAGGGTTCCCACAAAAAGGGGCCGGCGTCCAAAAGCTTATCCCGGGTGTGTTGGAGCGAGCCAGGAGACGGATGCTCACACGCAAAAGATTGTGTAAGTCAACAGGAAAAAAAGCACAGACGATGGAGATAGGTACAACCGCGTGGTCGAGGCGAAATCGAAAACAGGGTGAAATCCTAACGAGTCGTGGTCGTGCCGAGGCGTAGAAAGGACGAACCCGTGTGTTGGCGTAGACTTGGTGACGTGGCAGAAAGAAGAAAATTGCGAGCGAGCGGAAACAAACACACACACACCAAACACACACACACCAAACACACACACACCAAACACACAGCGAGTTTGTTGAGATCCCATGAAGAACGATGTGCGAGTGAGAACAGAGAAAGGCCGAGCCGAGCCGATGCCGTTTTGTGGGTGCACATATAAGACGAAAGGTATTATACAGTGATCATCAGACGTTTGAAGTTGCGAGAGTGCCGGGGGGGACGGGTTTACGAGTCGACGCGATCGGACAAGTTTAGAAGCAGGGTAGCGAGGCATCTGATAGGGGAGCAAGCACAGCACCAGCGTGGTGAGTATGAGTCCCTCGAATCGACTGGGGTTCAAAATGACTGACCTCTTGGTGACCATGTCGCCCTTGAGCAATGGAGAGAACGTCGCGTCGCGCAAGGGTTCCGGCAAGCACGCGCGAAGGGCCTCGCGGGCTCTGTGAAGAGAGAAGAATTCAGTCTGGTCAACGACAGGGCCAGAACGACACGAGTCACCTCAAGTGCTTACCTGAGGTTGTCACTAAGACGGAGGTAGCATCGCACGACGTGTTTGAGCAGCCGCACGGCTTGCGATTCGACGAGCTGCTGCACCATGTTGCTCAGGACGGTGCCGACAGCGTAAAACCGCTCGTACGTCTGGCAGATGTAGCCCAGCCCCATCTCATCGAGCAAGATCTTTTGCACGATAAAGATGGCGACCGTCTTGCTCAATTCGGAACCCGTCTCCATGATGCGCAAGCACAGCGGGATGATCTCAGTCGAAAGTAGGAAGTTGATCACGTCCGAGTTGTCGTTCTGTTTGACCAAGGCGCCGATAACACCGAGTGAGGTCAGACGCAAGTACTCGAACGGCCTCGTCTTGGACGTCGTGTTGAGGAACGGGTACAGGAACAGCGGGATGTGGGCCGACAAGAAGAGCGAGCGCGTGTCATTGTGCGAGGCGACGCACTGCAGCAAGGCGAGCGCGTTGCAGACGCGATTAGAGGCGTGGGCCGTCAAAGAGGGCGGTGCGAGTAGAGGGTAGACGGAAACAATTTCTTGCAACAGCGCCGACATGACGCCTGTGGGGAATCATACGTGGCGCACGTGCGAGACGAAGACGAGCGACAGGAGAGGGGGAGGGAGACGCGGGGGAAAAAGCAGACAGCGAGTCAGCCGATCGCCCTATCATGACCGAAGAGGAGAGAAGCCAATACCTACCAAACGAATGCCACAGAACAAGTGCGAGGTCGTCCCACTGTTCACGTTTTTTGCTGAGCTCGAGCAACGCGCCTTCGCGGGTCGTGGGGGACATGAGGTCAACGATGAGGTAGTAGACCTTCTCATTCTCACTCTGCGCACCGTTACCCGGGAGACTCCCGGGTTGAACGAGGGACAAGAGCTTTCCCCCACCTCCCTGATGGTGCAGTTGCGAGGGCTGACCGCCTGGGGTCTCGGCTCTGGACCCCGCCGCAGAACCGCCCAGCGCCGAGCCCGCGCTGGCTCCGCTGATGCCGTTCATCGCGTTGACGGCCGCAGATGAGACGATGACGCCCGATGGTAGACCAGGGTTGTTGATCGACTGCGAGATAGACAGGGGGAGGTGCGAGGCGCCGTTCGACGAGACCGACCACGGATCGAGCTGGGCTGCGGAGGTCGGCGACGCGGGGCGACCGTTGCCGTTGTCGTTGCGACTACCGTGCAGAGTGTTGCTACTGCTGTTGTTGTTGTACGACGATGCACCCGAGAGCAGGTTGCTGGCCGCGGAGACGCCATTGAGCGAGGCGAGCAGTGCGCTGGTGTTCGGGTTCGAGTTGGAGGTCGCACCGAGGCTCGAATGCGACGGGGTACCGTTCAGCGCGCTCAGCAGCTTGCTCTTCTGCGTCGGGCCAGGCGTGAAGGCCGCCGAGTTGGCCAGGGACGAGTTGAAGGCGTTGTACATGTTGTGGTGAGGCGCGGCGTGGCCAGCGTCGTGGTGCTGACCGCCGTGACTTAGCATTCACCTGCTGCTCTGGCTCGCGGGCTCGCCGGTCGTTGCTTCCGCTGATGATGCGACAAGAACTGGCAGCCGGTCGAGTGCGGTGCCGAGTCCTCTGCGGTGGTTTGGCCAGCCGAAGCGCACTAGGGCTGGGTTCTTGAGCGTATCGGATGGGTTGTAGCGGCTACAGGGGGGCGAGCGTGGTAGCCGTAGAGGAAGAGGGGTGAGTCGCACCCGCCGCCTATGGACCGTGCCAGCCAGACGACGGGCCAGACGACGGGCCAGACGACGGGCCAGACGACGGGCCAGACGACGGGCCAGACGACGGGCCAGACGATCGTGCGGCGCGGGCGACTCCCGGAGATGAACTAGTCAGCAGGCTCGGTCAACCCTGATGTAGAGCTTACTCGACAGAATCGCCTGCAGGTACGGACCGCAACATATCGCCTGAAAGCTATCTCGAGCTCAAGGCACAATATCACGTGCAACATAGAGATACCTGAAACCGTCGATTGCATGAGGGCGCGGCTAGTAATCGTTTTCACCTCGAGTTTCAAGCAGCCAAGTTGGACCCGCCAAGCGACCAGAACGTAGCCCCAACATGCTGAGGAAGGGTCCAGGTACACAACCCTTTTTCTGGCGGCCAACTGGAATGGTGTAACATGTGGTGTGGACAACAAGGGTGTATTGACAAACCAACAAAGTAGGGGTAGGTGAGAAAAAAGAGGGATGTAAAACAGGACGATTCCCGGGAAGCGCCGTCCGAACGGAACGAATAAGTACTTCATCGCTCCAGTGCCGTCGCAGCATCCCAACGGATCGGTTGAAAGTCGAAAAAGAGTGTAAACCCGCAGATGAGTGCGTTTACTTGGATCCCGAGGAGAACTTGGTGACGGCCTTGGTTCCTTCCGAGATGGCGTGCTTGGACAACTCTCCGGGGAGGATGAGGCGGACCGAGGTCTGGATCTCTCGCGAAGAGATGGTCGACTTGCGGTTGTACGACGCGAGCTTGGAGGCCTCAGTGGCGATGCGCTCGAAGCTGGAAAAGATAATGGGAATTAGCCCCAGGTCTCACGTGACTTTGGAGGAGGATCGCGTCGAAGAGGGTCGGCGAGAAAGTAGTCGACTTACATATCGTTGACGAACGAGTTGAGGATGAGCATGGCCTTGTTGGAGATACCAGTGTCGGGGTGGACCTGCTTCAGCACCTTGCTATATGAACGGGCGAAACATCAGTGACGCGACGCGTGCATTGATCAGACGACGATCAGCTCTCGGCCCGATGAGCTCCCGAAACACCCCAGGTGAGGGTAACGCACTAGATGTACGAAGAGTAGGTCTCCTTTCGGACCTTGCGCTTCTTCTTCTTGTCACCATCGGCGGCGGGGGCCTTCTTGACGGCCTTCTTGGCGGGGGCTTTGCCAGCGGGCGCCTTGGACGCCGGTGCCTTGCCGGCGGTCGAGGCGGGCTTCTTCTCAGCAGCTTTGGGGGCCATTATGAATGATAGAGGTTGGGGTTGGAGGTTGGGTCGGGTTGGTAAAAGCGGGATGGGGAGGGAGGAAGACAAGAACCAGAAGCACTGAAGTGAGTGAGGCAACTCGCGAGCGCCGGCGTTTGTTTTGGTCGGTTGTTTGTGAAGCTCCTCGACTTTGGCGCGCGAGATGTCGCAACCTAGCCCGAGTCAGTTCCTCATTTCGTCACCCAAGGTGCAAATGTGCGCCTAGTGTGGCTCAGGCCCTATCCCGAGTCGCTGCTTACGTTCGCCACCAGTCATCAAAGGTCACCAAATTTCAATATAGTAATTTCGAGTGGCCCTCGCTCCTCGGCGCGTCTGCCTTTCTCTCTTCTTTTCTTCACCCCGCATTCATCCAACTCAACTTCAACCCACCCAAACTCTTCCACCCCAACCCACTTTACATCAACATGTCTTCAGGCGGCAAATCAGGTCAGTTATCAACGAGGCACGAACCTACATTGATGTGAATCACTGAACCCACGTCGTGCTCTCTTCTGGCAAACACAGGAGGCAAGGCCAAGGCCGGAGCTGACTCCAAGACTCAATCGCGCTCGTCCAAGGCCGGATTGCAGTTCCCCGTCGGTCGTATCCATCGTTTGTTGCGCCGAGGCAACTACGCCCAGCGTGTCGGTGAGTCTTTACAGGCAGAAGCTCTAGAGAGCCATCGCGTGATCCAAGGAAGTGAGATTGACCTCGCCTCACTTCTCTATCTCTTCCTCTCAGGTGCCGGTGCGCCCGTATACCTCGCCGCCGTCCTCGAATACCTGGCCGCCGAGATCCTCGAGTTGGCTGGTAACGCCGCCCGTGACAACAAGAAGTCGCGTATTATCCCCCGTCACTTGCAGCTCGCGATCCGCAACGACGAGGAGTTGAACCGCCTCCTCGGCGCCGTCGTCATCTCCCAGGGTGGTGTCTTGCCCAACATCCACTCGGAGCTCTTGCCCACCAAGTCCAAGAAGCTCGAGAAGGCCGAGTAAAGCGGAAGTCTCTTTGCTCCGATTATGCTCCCCATTTCGATTTTCATCCCTCGCTCCAACGAGCACAAGCTTTTCCGCGCCGCCTCGTCCTCTTCACGCAGTAGGCAAACGGTTTGTCGCAAGATGTTTGTGTCTTCGTTCTGGCTCCCTTATGACTCTTGTCTCATCAGACACAACTTTTGGCTTAGCTCGTCCACTCTGTTGAAACTCTGTAATGATCCATTCGACTTGCGGCCTCCCTTACCAAACAAGATTCGAACGTATTCGCGTGAGAGGACTCGATGCCCATCAGTTTCTGTCAACCGCGTTCATACTGCCAAAATAGATCTAGATGAGGGATCACAGCTTTTGTGATAAGCTCTATGGTTCCAGAGGCCCAGACAACCTCGTTTTCAGTCCCAGTTGGCGAACTTGAGATCGATGCCCCAGTCAGGCTGATGGTCACCGAAACAAAGCTGGTCAGCGTCGGTCCCGGTTGTCCCAGTCCGCCATTGCTATTCGGACTGACCTTGATAAACCTCTTTCCCTTGGTCTTGTGCATGCTGTTGAGCGTCTCGAGGTCCTCGCTGCTGAGCTTGACGAGTTGGAAGTTGTCGATGATGCGCTTGGGGGTGACCGACTTGGGCAGCACGACGACGTTGCGAGCGACTGCGATTCCGCGCCGAGAGACACGGGGAGTAAGCTCAGGTCTTCCCACTTGTTGTGGAAGTAGCGCGATACCCTGGCTCACCTTGGTAAGAGATGAGGATCGTGCCGACCGAGACACCATGAGCCTCGGCGATCTTGACAATCTCCTCGTCCTTGAGCAGGGGTGAATCGGTCGATCCCAAAGGCGAGTAGGCCTCGACGGCGATGTTTTTGCTCTGGCAGTACTTGACGAGATCGTGTTGGGGGAGGTAAGGGTGGAGCTCGATCTGGTTCGCCGCGGGTACGACCTTGGCCGTCTTGAGCAGGTCCTCGATGAAGGCCTCGGAGAAGTTGGAGATGCCGATCGCCTTGGCCTTGCCGCTCTTGTACACCTTCTCCATACCTTCCCACGTTTTGGCGACGGACCACTCCTCGAGATCGAGGTCGCGTCTGCCGTCCTCCTTTTTGGGGAACTTGGGGTCGTTGCCATTAGGGTTCATCGGCACGGGCCAGTGAATAAGGTAAAGGTCGACATAGTCCACGCCGAGCAACTTGAGCGATTTCTCGATCGCGGCTTCGGCATCGCGTTGGTGCGTGCACCACAACTTGGTGGTGATGAAGATTTCGGAACGATCAACCCCACTGGCCTTGATGCCCTCGCCAACCTCTTGCTCGTTGCCGTCTGCCAGAGCGAAGTTGCGGTCCATCAGCCCTCCGTGAGTGCATGCGGAGCTGCCGGGCCGGAGCAACCGAAGCTTTCGACTGATCATCTCCTTGGAGGCAAAGGTGATCTTGTGATGTTGGGGGCGTTGAAGCGACTGGTAGACTTACAGATCCAAGCTCCATCGATGTGGCGATAACCGTTCTGTAGATCGGGGCAAGAGAGGATACGGGTGAGCTGTAGCTTAGGAACGGAAGGAACATCTTACGTCATCCTCGCACCATCGCCAACGAGGACCCACCTTGAGAGCTGTCTCGACAGCAGCCGCCACTTCTCCGGGCTGGGATTGCCAGGTACCAAGACCGATGGCGGGGATTGAAGCGCCCGTGTTGAGCTTGATCGATGGAACAGGGATAGTGTTGACCATGGTTGCCTTGGGACTGTGGAGGCAAGCAGCCGCGTGGGTGGGCATGCAGTGAGGGAGGGCATGATGCTGTCAGCTCAAAGAAAGGTACAAGAAAACCAAATAGGACGCAAAGTACGGGCGAGAACCCGAAGAGACTCACTACTGTGTTTGCTTCTTCTCGGGCTGGAAAGCACTTATTGTGGGGTGTGGGTAGGAACTCGATCGAGGCTGTGCCTCTGGCCCTGGGCCTACAGTCGCGATGAGCACGGCTCAGAGCGATCGGACCCGATACAGTTGCATTCCCGCTTCCGACCCCGCCGGAGTCGACATCAATTACAGCTCCAATTTCGTAGATCGATTCATGCCAGAGTCTAAAGCACCAAACTAGTAGCTGCTAGTATAGTATTGATGCTCGTATCAGCTCTCCGAGTCCCAGCTCCAGCAGGTATTACATTCGACCTCGTGATTGATGGGCCGGGTCATAGTGACTCCGTATTTTCGAACGATTTTTTTGAAGAATATAATTTCACTCAGGTATAAGAGCAAGCCTATCAGATGCCACGTGGGCTGCTTCTCGCATGAAAATCGGGCTGAAAGATTCCTGGGGCGTCCGGCGCCAGTGTTCGAGCGCTCCAAACACAACAGGGGGTCCGAGCCACGTACGAGCAGCTGGACCGCGTCCAAAGCCAAATTTGATCACCCACCTCCTTTCGCCGGCTAGCACTGGTGACATCGACGTGTGTCGTCGCGCACTCACTCGACACGCACCTCGTGAGCATGGCATATACGAGGCCTTGCAGCACTCGGTTGCTGACCTGCTGTTCCCTGTTGTCACCTTTTTCTCTCCGCCGTCTGGTGCCCCCGGCCCCCCCCCCTGTCTGACTGACGACAACGTCTCCCGCACTCGCCCTGCCGACTCGCACTCGCACCGTTGCTCAGCCCGATAGCACCCACCCACTCACCGCACCGCGACACTCGACCTATGGTTGGTTGGTTTAGGAGCCCCAGGGTAGCATCTCCCGAGAAACCCGACCCCACCGGGTGGCCGAGTGATTGGGACGATCTCGTGCCCCCCACCACCACCACCTCGAACTCGACCACCGCTCATGACAGTTGGGGCGGGACGTATCCGACTCCGGCTCCAGCTCGTACCTCAACTCCACCCGCTCACACTCGCCGTCCTGACTATCCTCCTCCCCCTCCCACTGCCCCACATGGTCATCGCTATGAGCGCTACGAGTTGTACGAGTCCTCTGAGCGTCACCAGTCCGCGCCCGCCCGTCGTCGTGAGCGCTCGCGCGAGGGTAGTTGGCAGTTGACGCCGTCCACCCCCGCTGCGACGGGCACGAACGACGTCCCCCTCGGTCGCCGATCCCGATACCCTTCCGGTGTCTCGCATCCTGCGGCGACTTCGTACGTCTCCAACGCCTTTGACCGGCCTTCCGATCGTGTCGACACGACCAACACCAACACTAGGAGCTCCCCCGATGATCGTCGAGCGGCTCCCAAGTGCGCATCGGAGGCTCATTATGTCCGACCTCAGCGATCTGACCACCAGAGTGAGATCCCGAGCCGCTGTCCTTGGGGCGAGCCGACTCCCCACCCCAAGCACTCCTCTACCTCGACTCAACGCAGGCACAGAACTCCTGAAAGCCAAGCTCGATACGCACGCGACGCACGCGACGCACGCGACGCACGCGACAGCTCGGTCCAGGCCCCACGGTTCGGTAACGATCAAAGGGGTTACCACGACGGCTCGGCTGCAGACTCACCCACTGCTCGATCGGAACATCGTCGTCGAGAGAATAGTCGTCCCGGCGGGTCTCACTCTTTGGCGTCGAGGAACGACACTTCCAGTCACATTCGCCGCCCCGAGTCCATCACGGGCACCAACATGATACCCTTGGCGTACAGTCGCTACCGAGCCACGTCAGGCGTGAACGACACCGTCGCACCGAAGCCGAGTTCGGCATCCCGAGATGAAAGCAGGCCCGACCCCGACACGTCTTCGCATGACGCTAGCGCTGCACCCCTCCGTGCCAGCATTTCGTCTCCTGTCAAGGTCCAAGACAAGGATGCAAGTGCCCCTCAAGACCTCGTGGCGATCGAAGCGTCGCTTCAAGCGGTGCTGACCAGGCGCAAGATTCGACTCGGCTCTCCATCGACTCGCAAGTTGTTCGGCAGCGCGCTCCGATCGGTCGCTTACCAGTCCAACGCCACTGCTTCGCCTTATACTGCGTATTCCCAGAATCTCAAGAGACAGCAAACCCAAGACGCTCAAGATGCTCAGGTGTCCACGACCGGTTCCGGTGCGGTAGGCGTTGAGGCCTCGGCCACGACCATGGTATCTACGCCGTCGGCCGCCGCCGACGACTGGTGGAACGGTCCACAAGGACCTCCTGCAGTCCCTGCGGACGCCATCTCCGACTCCTTCGGGGCCGCAGATGCCTCCTCCAGCAAGAAGCGTTCTCGAGAAGAACACCAGAATTCTGGACAGGATGATGCCAAGAAAAACAAGAAGAGCAAAATTGACGGAGTAGGCGAAATTGAAGGAGTAAGCAAAGTTGAAGGAGTAAGCGAGCTCGATGTGCCGAGGTGAGCTGCAAACACCCTTCACCCACTGCTTCGAAGTTCTTCGCCTTGATACTCATTATGCTCCGCAAGCAGCGAGTCTACGGTGGCCGTCGACCCTTGGAGCAACTGGGCTTCCCCAGAGAGCCAAGATCGAAAGACGCCGCTGAGTGCCTCGCCGTCGTCCAAAGACACGGCTGAGACGTCGCAGGCCACGACCGAGACTCGAGCCACGACGGTTCGAGTTGAATCCGAGCCGGAGAACGTCGAACCTGCTACGAACATGTAAGTTCTTCACTTTCTATTTTTCATTTCCGTTTATTCCTGACAGCCTTATAACACGTGCCACCGCTTCTCACCTCGCAGGACGCCACCCATGAGCCCCCGTGTCGTAGCTTGCAAGTCGGGTCACTTGCTGAGTTGTCCCGTCCCGCGCGCTCCGCCGTCAGTCGAGCATAAAGCCGTTCAGCAACTCGAAATCGAGGCCAAACAGCTTGGTAGTGGATGGTTCTGATCCTAAAAACGTATCGTACATCTCTTGAGCCACTTGACGCGACCTCATCTTTTCAAACATGTCTTCGGTCGCGTCTCTTCCTTCTCTCGCTTTTCGCCTCATTTTGACCTCATTCTTTGTGTGATTCCAGCTTGTGTAGTGTCCTCTGACGTGTACCTCAGTGCTCGAAGAACCACAATAACGACCCAGACTTTGATATTCCAATACAAATAACCTTCGCCTGGTAAATCGGCTCGGTCTCGCGCAGATATCCCCGCAGCGCAGCGATAACGTCGGCGGCGGCTGGGCGTGTGCTCTTCTTCTTTCCCTCGCTCAGCAGGCTCTCGTCTCCTTTGCCCCGATCGATTCCAGGCAAACATCATTCTCTCGGATAGCGAGCCTGGATTGCCCAAGATGCAAAAAGTCAAGGAGACACTCCATTCGGACCATCGTAGGTTGGGAGATCGACAAGTTGGATCGGCTGGTGGTGGTACGACTGGGGTCCTCTGAGTAACAGGCGCCGACGTCACCCGCGGCGGGACAGGTGTGACTCGCAGCGCTTCCACTGCCACCACTTCTCGCACATACGGCATGACGACCGGTGCACCTACTTCTGTACGGGACTCGACCACGTCCAGCCCCATGCTGCAACGTCCGCTGAGCTCGAGGTACGGGCCTGCCAATGGTGCAACCTCCATCGCGGGCTCGTCTGGCGGGCAGCACGCTGGTGTGACCGCTCTTCAAGCTGGCCGTGGTACGACCGAATCGAGGAGCAAGTCGATCCCTATGGCTCAACTCGATGGTTCGAACTCTCACACGCAGCAGATTTCCCCACATCACTACACTCGTACCCTTCGTGAGACCCACCTCGAATAGATCCCCTCCCCTCTCCTGCTCACACCCACCAGCTCCCGACCGACGCGACGATCCTCAGCGAGGCGGAGCTCGTCGGGGCCAAGCACGACCACAAGGATTCCGCAACCGACGTTCGCAAAGAGGACCAAAAGCACGAGTTTGAAGAGGTCGAGCGCGAGCGAGCTGGGAGCACTTGTTTCACAACGTCCAACTAGATGTCCAGCCCCTCGAGGACAAGGTGCACCTCCCAGAGATCGACCACGAGACGGCGAATGAGCCAACGCAATTTTTGGTCGGTGCTTTGATAGTGGCCGCCAGATGTCCAGCTTGGACTCGACTGACTGGTACTTGATCGTACTCACTGTTCATAGCGCGCTACATCAACACCCCGGACGATGTCGAGATGCTTCGTCGCCTGGCTCAAGCCGAGAGGGACGAGTACGTCAAGCGTCATGCCGAGCCCGAAGTCATCGACCGCGGCAAAAAAGGGTCAGTACAAGAACAGCTGAATAAAGTGCTGAAGTTGGTGAAGTGGGTCGAGCCCTAAATTTACTGACTCGCCTGTCTAGTCACGACCAACGTTCAACACTTTGTGCACCACGTCGTCTTGCCTCGCATCGAAAAGACCACGCACCACGTCAGGTCCAGATGAGCAGCACCCCTTGGACATACCCAAATTGACAAACCCGTCCCACTCGGCCCAGATCTACCACACCAAGATCCCGATCTATGCACAGGTCGAACAAGCTCCCACCATCCATCAGACCGTCAAACATCAAATAAGGCTGCTCAGCGAGTTGAATTCTAGCTCTCCCAGTCTTGCCTCTCACCTCCCGTCGAAAACGACGGTGTGCCGATCAGCTGACAATCCGGCACACGCCCCACTTTGGCGCACCTTCTTGGTGGATGGCGGCAATCTCACCAGCAATCTGACTCACAACATGGAGAGTATACTTCACAGCGATGAACAATCGTGCGAATGCGTCGCCGATGGACCAGTACCAGAGTCGATTCAGATGTACCACCCGAGGCGGTCGGGGCATCGACGACCCCTGAGACGACCGGACGACCAGCACAAAACGGCAAGCATCTGAAGCACTGCGCCTCTACTTCGTCGGGTCTATTCATTTGACAAACCTACTAACTATCGCCCGTAACGACGGCCCGCTCGTAACCTTCCTTCCTTCCGTTGACCCGACGCCACTCTGATCACGTGATCCCCTGGCCGCGCTTCGTCACCGCAGGTATACACTACCATATTCTGTAGCAGTTCTATAACATTCAGTCGTAGTTCCAAGTTTCATGTCAGAATACTAGCGTTGTTGAACAGACCCAGTCGTATTGCAATGCACCGAACCCGATGGCCGTCAAAAGGGCTGGCGACGTCGACTTCCTGAGAAATCTTCCACGAGCTTCGAGCGGGTTCCAACGCATTCCAGCGCCTTCTGGCACCTTCGGCCAGAAAGCTCGGGCAGCTCTTCGTCCGCGCGCGCGCGCGTCAAAAGCGCCTCTCTCGATGCGAACTCTTCCTCCTCCTTTCCATCACTCCCATCACTTCCACCATTCGCACTAAGCATTAACCTCGCACTCTTCACCAACTCTTCTACACAATGTTCCACTTTGTGCAACCCGCTGCGTTCGAGTCGACAGCTGTCCCCTTCTCGGCGATGCCCTGCGAGTTTGACCCCCGCCGCCACCACCGCTCGGCGACCAGCGCCTCCTCCCCCTTCGGTGCCACCCTCGCCACGTCAGCGCCCGCCGGCTTTGACTCGTTCGAAGAGTACGACGAATATCGCTCCCGACAAGAGCTCGAAGCGCTGATCCGTGGTCAAGAACAACGTCGTCAACGTGAGGCCGCAGTCTTGCTCGCTCGTCGTCGTCAAGAGGCGGAGCAGATTCGTCAGCAAGCCCTCCTCCGCGCCCAGCAGGAGCAGCAGCAGCGTGCAAAGTATCAGGCTTTATTGGAGCAACAGGTGGGTTTTCTAACCTTTTATCTTGCTCATCGCTGTCTAGAAATCATCTCGAATGTCGTGTAAACTGACTCGAGTCTCGCGTCACGTGATGTCTTGCTACAGGCCGCGCAGCTCGAACACCTTCGCCAGCAAGAAGAGATGAAGCTGCGCACTAAACGCGAGATCGAGCGACGTCAAGCAATCCAAAAGGCTCAACAACTGCAACAAAAGCAACAAAAGCAGCAGCAGCAGCAGCACCCCCTACTCAACTCGTTAGACTCGACTACACCGCCTGGCTGCCCTGCCCGTCGTCGTCGTCAGCCGCTCGAGCACTCCACCGGACTCCGTCGCAACCACCAGGCCGAGGTCCAGCATCCTTTCGCACCTTTGTTCCGCATGCTCTTCGACTCAGGAGAAGATGAACAAGACCAAGACCAGAACCCTTCTTCCACCCCATCTGCTCAAACTCCCGAGTCGACCAAGCAGCAGGTCGAGACCACTCAAGCTCCTCCCGCCGCCTCAGCTCCCGTCGCTCAGCCTCTTGCCTCGACCGAGCCTCAAGTTGCGGTGTCTGCCGACAAGGACCAAGAAGCTCCAGTTGATTCCCTCGAGGATGTTCTTGGTTCACTCTTCAAGTCGCTCTTTGGCGTCGACGTGAAGGCGAACGAACAGAGGGAAGCCAAAGCCGCTCTCGAAACTCAAGCACCGACGGCCAAGAGGGAGTCGTCCTCGACTGCTCCCATGGCCGCCGCCGAAAAGAACATTCAAGTCCCTATCGAGTCCTCCTCCGTCGACGCTCAAACTCTCGACCCGGTCGAGGTCCGGATCGAGGCTACCCAGGAAAATTTGGTCGCATCGGCTGAGCAGGAATCGGCGGCAGAGAAGCTACAGCGTCACTACCAGGCTCATCTACAACGTCGCAAGGCCCTCGCAACACTCTCAAGCCTCTCGGCCCAATTCGAGGCTCGTCGCTCCTCGTTTGCCGTGCCGCAAGCGCTCGAGTTTCAACCTTCGCCTCCCCCATCGGAGCATCCCGACTCGACTTCGAACGAGGTAGCCCCCAAACTGGCGTACAAGTCTTCGAACGCTCCCTTCCTCGCCTACGAAGACTTCTTGGTGAACCTGCTATCCAAGATTGACGAGGTGCAAAGTGGTGGCGATCGTACAATCAAGTCGGCTCGCAAGAGCTTGGTCAAGGATGTTGAAGCTGAGCTCAAGACACTCGATCAAGCTCGTGACGAGGCGTGGGAGAAGGTCTCGTCGCAGCACCAACATGAGAAGATCTCGGACGGTGACGATCATGAGAACGAAACCCTCAAGTCTCTGATTCCTGCTTCTGAGGAGACTACCGCCACCGGCGCCGCTGCTCGACCTACCGAAGTCGCCACTGCTACCTCCGAGATCGCGCACGCCGAGGCAAGTAGTATTGCCGAGGATGCTCCGGCCCCCACCCCGGCATCTGCACCCGAAACCGAACCAGCTCAATCCAACGAGGACAAGCCCAAGGTCGAGCAAGACGACGAAGCTACTACTTCGACCGAAAAGGCCGCCCAAGTCACCGACTCCGAACCTGTATTTGAAGTCGCTGCCCAACCTCCAGTCGTTTCGACCCCGACCCCTGAGCCTGTCCCCCTCACACCCGAAGCACTAGCCAAATTATCTTCGCATGCCGAGCGACGCAGGCGGCATCCGGAAGACGACGACAACTCTTCGTCCTCGACGACAACCCTCTTGGAATCGTCACTTGAGATCGAGGAAGCACTTGGCGCCATCTTGGCTCAGGCCCGGAAGTTGGGCGAGCAAGTGGAGCGCATGGAGCATGCGGAGGTCTGATACGTTTGGAATCAAGGAATCTGGATGACATCTGTGAATGTGTTCCTCCTTTGCAATACTTCTGTATATTTTTTTCACTCTGAGATCTAGCTGTAATACTCTATTCATTCACTTATGAGAGCAATATTATTTCGAGCCCGTGACTTGGAGGCGATGGGAGAGTAAGCCACGGGAAAAAAAAATGTGTTTACCAGTCATCATCAACGGGCGTGTGCTTTGATCGCACGAGCTCTTCATCCCCTCCTTCTTTCGCGGACTATTCAAATAGGAAAAGAGGTTACATATCAACCGAGTGATTCCACCCATCGAACTCCGGTGGAACCGGTACTGACCTGGAACAGTCGATCCATGTAAGCGTCGGTCTTTTGCGTTTCAGTCATCCCGTCTTCCATGATCTGAGGAACCCAGCATCGTTGTCAGCGTTCGTATTGTACAGGTCATAACGATCTCGATCTGAAACGTACCATCGAACGGGTGCTGACTTTGGCAGCAGCAGGGGGTGCTTCCGACAGCGGCATCATGCCTTCGGGACGGAGGTCCAGTCGCTTCGACAGCACATCACGCCCTTGTATCCATTCTTGCGCATTCAAAGAGGGCGTCTCGACATCCCTCGTGGGGATGAATATGTCGTCCTGGAAGTACTCGGTCTTGCTCCTTGGGATGGTGAACGTCACGACCTCGACCGTCGAAGCCGTCAAGCGCAGAGCGCGGGCGATTTCCACGAGTTTAACATCGTTCATCCGCTTGGGCATGAACGCGTACCCGTTCTGCAGGGTCGTCGTTTCAAACGAAGGTAGCTTGGTAAAGGGCGACGGTTTTTGCGCGGGTTGGATCTCGTACGCGTGGCAGGAGCGATCGCCACGCGAGTAGAGAAAGACGACGTTTGTGTCGAGATCGACATGCGGGAACAAGGGTGCGGGCGAGACGTCCAACATTTGTTTGCCCACAACAGAGAGTGCTCCATCCGCGATCGAGTAGAGGATGATCTCACGAGAGGCGGAGCGCGAGAAGCCTGTCGAGAGCAGATGTGAATCGTCGGTCCAGCAGACTCGCACAGGTCGGATCGAATCGTGCGCCGCGGTCGTCATCATCGAGCTTGGGGATCGCAGATCGAGAACGAGAACGGTTTTAGTTTTTGTCGCGAGCGCCAATCGGGAACCATCAGGCGACCAAGCTGCCGAGGACACCTGAAAGCCGCGGCGTAGAGTGAGCTATACGATGCACTCGAGCGAGCGCCATTCACTCTACTTACCCCGCCCTTGGGAAGTGCCACGGACGTCAAGACGCTGCCCGCAGAGTGGTCCCAAATACGCGCGCTGGGGTGGCCGTGATCATCCGAAATTGAGAGCAGGGTATTCCTTGCGGTCGGGTGGTGTTTGAGCTCGACAATTCGATCCAGCCCAGGATCTATGCGGCGCACAAACGAAGGCTTAGCAATACTCAATCGGAGTCGTAAGGCGGGTCTGCTTACCTTGAAGGACGGCGGCTATTTCGCCACAATCTGCTTCGAGTCCACCTTCTGGAAGCTCAAAGACACGAATCTTAGAATCGTCGCTCGCGATGAACACGCGTCTCGGATCGAAAGGATCTAGCTCGAAGCTGATGATCGTCGCCCCACAAACTAAAGACGGAATGCTGGTCGGTAGCCGCCCTGAGGCTGCTAGAGGGTGGACTCCAAGACGTCCTCCAGCGCCAGACAAGGGGAAAAACATATGGAACGAGTTGGCCTACGCGGGAAGCAAGTATTCCTATGTTCAACTGGGAGGCTAAAGCCCTTGAGATCACCCGTAAAAACTCACCTTCAGCATCTGTGTGTCGGCGCCCACGGTTGCATTCAGCCCGTGGACAACGTGATAAGTCGGTTTCATAGGTGTTTTTCCCAGCAGGTACGCGCGACTCCATTTGACGTTTGCGGGCTTCTCCGCAGGCGAGGCCTTTGCCCCGGCAACTCGCGCCGGCTGTAGCTTTAATTGCTCGGTCCGAGCGGCCGTCGTTTCCGTGGGCGCATGTAATGGTGTCGGTGCTTGACCTGTAGCATCCTGTACTTTCTGCTCTAAATCAAGCTTCAGCGTGTCAAGCGCGGGCGTGAGGGGCGCAACCGGCGCAGTGGATGGAGTCGGCTTCGCTTTTTGGCCAAACGTGGGGCGCGATGAGGTCGTCGTCTTCGCTTTCGACCTAGGTGGGCTGGCGGTTAGCGACGGGGACTTAGCCGCAGGTGAAGGCGGTCGCGGTCGGGGTGTAGTTTGAGCTCGTGGCTCCAAAGTAGGGATTGGAAAATCCGACTCTGCCGACACCGAAATTTCCGTCTTATCCGCGACGGTTTCTTGCTCCGCACGCGATTGCTCGGCCGAAACCGGTGTTAAAGCGAGAGCTTCCGCGACGTTTTTTTGTCGATTAGAGCGATTTTGGTGATTGGGGTTCTGCGTTTCCAACTTGATTGCGGTGTCGCCACCCTTTCGCCAGGCTCTAGCATCCTGAGCTGGAACGCGCGCAGCAACCGGCGGAAATAAGTCTTGGTGGAAATCAATGTACTGTCTGCGGGGCACCTCGATTGGGACCGGAAGTACTGCGTCATTGCTCAAGATTACCAAATGATTGATCTCGGCCTTCATGAGGTTCAGTCTCGACGGTTGGACGAGCGCGGCCGATGCCATGGCTACCGGGAGGGGCGAGGCTCCGGCGGTGAACATGGCCGGCCCACCGACTTCGACCCAATGCAACGTCATGTCGCCCTTCCCAGCGAGGTAGACAATGTTGCGCGAACTGTCCAGTATGGGTATCAGCGCGCCCATGTTGTTGTCCAGACGTTGTGACTTGATCGGTGTGCCGAGTGATCTGGCGTCGTGGAGGGCGAACTCGCGCTCGCGCATGCGGTTGAAGCCCGTCGTGAAGACTCGATCATCGTCGAGCCACACATGCCTGGAGCATTTGAGAGCGGCATGGATACTTGTCTCCGCTGAGCTCTTGCCCGTCTTGTCTCGGACGTCGAAGACTCTCAAGATACCGTCCTTGCCGGTCGTGGTGATGGTCCGTCCGTCCGAGCTCCACTTGGCCGACCACACCGACTTGGGCTGCTCCAGAGTGAAGACCGGAGTTGCGGACTGGGCTTGAATATCGTATATGGCCACAACAGAGCCGGATCCGGCCAACAACAAGCTCGATGTCGTCGGGTGAAACGACAGTGTATCGATATTGCGACCCGACGGATGAGTCACCGAAAGTGCCGGTTGCGGAGCAAGGGCAGATCCTGATCCATCGCCAAATTCGTCCCAACCGGGCAGATGGTGTACCAATATCTGCGCGTCCAGAAAAGGACTAGTTGCAGCGGGGAAAGTTGCTGCGATAGTGCAAATCGCTCAGGGCGGGAACTCACCTGGCCATTGTCGGTACCGGCAGCGAGCAAGTCGTCGAAGCGGGAAAGGTCAAAGTCGGTGATCCCGCGAGGGGCGACTTGGAGGCTTGGTGCGCGTTGATTGAATTTTCCCGGCTGGTCGTAGGGTAAGCACACAAGAGAGCCTGTGGTCCAGAACGTGGGCAGATCAGACCGGCCAGGAGGTGAAGGCGGCGATTTCAGGGCCGTCCTCGCTGGGCAGCCGAACCCGCTGGTTGCAGTGTGCGACGCTTGCACAGACGTGGCTCTCACCGGATGTTTTCCCTTGAGCGAGCCAGTACTCTGAGCACGTCTTGATGAGATTGGCACTGTCCGAAGCCGCGGCGGTCGAGACAGGAAGTTCGGACCACCACGTATCAATCTGTCCAGACGTTAAACGCAGGACGATGTAGCGTCAGCCCTGACCATTCCCAGCCGACAGCAGAGTTAAGCCCGACTCACTTTGCCTACTTGGGCGACAGCATTCTTGTAAGGCGAGGCGAAGAAGCGCGGAGCCATGGTGAACTACTCAGCTGTGTTCAAAGCTGGCGGGGAGGATGCTGCGGTGCGGTCGCGATCACGAGCGCGGAGCCTTAAAGTGCATAAAGGCGATGAGCTGAGCTGATTAGACGCTCGGCGATAGGTGAGCTCGCGTTGGCTTGCTAGTCAGTGCTGGACTAGGCTGGACTGGCGGACACGCGACGGGGCGCAGAGCAAGCGCGGGAGAGACGGGCGCCACCGGTTGCCGGTTACCCCTTACCCCACAGAGCCGTACTGAGCGCGCACGTGACCTGAGAAAGAAGCGAATCCAAGTCGTGCCGCCCACTTGTCACATAGACATGCATTGTTCAGGGCTGGTAGTCACGGCATTATCTAGAACTCTAGAACGCTCCCGAAGCAGAAGGGAGTCGTACCTCTAGGCTCGCTTCTAGAGACAGGAGCATTTTAGCCGGCAGAAATCTCCAAAAGATTAAGTGTGCGAGAGCTTAATGGAGGCCTTTGCTGCATTAAATAAAACCTGTATTGCTGTTGCCTACCACGCGGAGTTGGTTATACTTTCCCTTATACCTATGGCTGCTTCCTTGGTGCTCGTGAAAATCATGACAGACTTCACAAGACCATGAGGGGAGGGGGAGCCGGCGGGGCCCGAATTCCGTTCACAAGGCGTGGGTAGCCACGAGTAACCGAAACCTATCTATTGACTGATTGATTCTGATCGATGCGGAAGTGGACGCGACTACCGTCCGATCCACGCGCTGGCATGAGAGCGAGCTTTTGCATAGCTACGATCTAACGCGCGACCATGGGCGAGCGGTCCACTTTGAGTTCGCCGGGCCTAGCTTCTTAGCGAGACCTCAGATCGCTTTCTCTGGGGTAAGCAAAGCGCATGTGTAGGGTAGTCTATCATGACGTGCTTCACAAATAAAGCTGCCTTGGTGGGCAAGAGGACACCTACCGGAGACGAAGTCTACGCACTGGACTCGTTCTGCGGGCGTGAGCATGTGTGCCTACATGGGTACCGATTCTCCTACCTGATTTGGTAAGGCCATGGTTCACTACTCTGGAACACTTCTCGGCCAAGTGAGTAGCTAGCCAAGTAAACGAATGTAAGGGTATGTATTCAGTCTTTTATTTAAAGCTAGTTCGGTAGATATCCAACAGTGGTCTCTCAAATGCTCGATCTGCCAATGGGCTGCTTCGAAACTTCTCTCATGGGCGCGCGCCGGCGGAGTCCGTAGGTAGACAGTGGACAAACGGGGATCGACGATAGGAAGCTACACAGGTATCTCGTGAAGCGTAGAGCTGACCAAGGACATGCCTTTCTTTGAAACACCGGTGCTGTGCACTAGAGCATAGCGTGCGCGACCCTTACGTTGACTAGGGTTGCGCATGTTCTTTGGAAGCCCGCGCGGTCGGCCTCAAGATCTCCTGTGATTCGATCTCGGACCTGACGCGTCAGGCGTAATTCAGCCTCTGAGAGGTTTACTTCCTGGTATGGTAGCCACCTCGGGTTTGAACTTCATTAAGCAAACTGTGCGGCAATTTGTATATCCTATCGGTATAGGTATGGGGTGTCCGTCCGTCTGTGAATCGAACTACTTCGACGCGCTCCCGCCTGAATCAGAGACAGACTAATTTGCCAGCGTTGTCTAGGCCTAATTACTAAGTATGAAGTCATGAAGGGTCTGACGACTTGTTGCTGCTGCTCACCCTTCGTGAAACCTCGTTCAAGCTCTTAACAGCACCTCCCCCAGCACTTGAAGTGTCAGAATGAAATACTTGCGAAAGGTGAAACCTAGAGAGCTTGAGATCTGCGATCGAGCGCGGTGGGCCAGATAAGCTCTAAAACTTGTCTTGAATTATTTGTCTTGAATCGAATCGAGTGCGTCGGTGACCTACCTACCTCGTCCTTTGTAGGCAGCACATCACTTTGTGACGCAGAAAGCAGGTGAAGCAGATACCGGCAAACCTTCGAGGACAGCTACTTTAAACCGTCCAACACGCAGCATATGAGGCAGATGCTACCCAGAGCCCTGAGCCCTGAGCTCCTGAGTCCTAGAACGCCATAGTCCAAGTTACTGTAGGTGCGGTGGTCTCGTGGCGAGTAGATACTACCTGGATAGGTACATGTCTACCGTTCTTCAGCGGCTACCTGAGTTCTTACCTGCGCACCTACCATACCCATGTCACACCTGCAGATGGTGCAACGTCCTGGGCTACTTTCGGAATTGAACGGCGGTTCGGGCGGCGCGCTCACCGATCACCGCGCGTCGGCCTAATCGTAGATCCGTGACGACGGCGCAGTCCAATCCACTTCGACTTCGCCACAGCCTTACGGGACTAATCCCGATGCGACTTTGTCTTTGCTGCATTTCTTTGGGCTAGGCCTTGAATATTGAGTGACGCGGGCCCTTCTTGCCTCGCAACGAGCCATGAGCACTCGGAGATGCGGGGTGAAGCGCGCGCGCAGTCCTGGCAGCACGCGCGATCGGGCCGTGCTGCCGCCGGCACTTTCTCAGCCTTTTCTCGGAGAAAACTTGGCTCCCGAGTCCAGATTTACAACAGCCTGGACGTGACATGATTCTTCTCGCACTGATCATTGACTTAAGGCCAGCACTGGTGCATTGACTCTCAGATCAGAGCACAAAGGAAGGTCGATTTTCCTCTCGGAGTCCTTTTTTAATCGTCGGCTCGTCGAGTTCGGATCTACGGAAACACGCCGGGTATATCGGATCTATGATCACTAGATCTCGACTTTAGAAGATGAGAGCGAAAAAAAAGTGGGCCGGGTACGCGTGTGCTAGCTCGTCGTAGGGACCTATTACCTGCCCACCTGGACACGACACAGCTTCTAAAGTACTGATTTGTGGATTTTGATCTAGATCAGCCGGTGGCATACGGCCGAGGATCACATACCTACGTAGAGCCCACGCAAATGACCACTCACGGACCGAGGTGTGTAGATCTGACATACCGCAATGTTGAGCTACTATATCCCTCACCGCTTTCTGTTAGCAAACTGTGCCATGTGTCAACGGTGCAGATTCTCAATGGCAGGCGCTCCTAGACGCCAAATTCACACAGCGCCGCCTCACCAGCAGCAGAGGCTACTGCCCATGGTCCGCAAACTCGTTGTCCCTGACGCAATGAACTGCAATCCGAGCTGAAGATCTCAGTATTCCCCACACTCATCCATGGTATATATCAAAAGTCTCACCCGTCTCATCCCCGTTAGGTTTTAATCCCGAAGTCCGCTTAGTCCGAGCTCAGGCACGGGTCGGATCGAGCTTGACGAAAACTCCGAAGGAGGGTTGGGTCGACAATTGCTTGGCCATGGCAACAATTACCGCCGGTCGCAAGGTCCCTGTCAACAATTTCACTGCTGAGATCCGAGGTTGTCCACAATCAACAACCCCTAAAGGATGGCATAATGTCAAGAAACCCAAAAAGCTGCTAAAATCTGTTAACAATGTCAAGCACGTAAAACAGCGCAGTGGCAGCATGAAGCATAGCATAACATTGCAATATACATAGGAGTCCTGAAGTTCGTGTATAAAGAAGTCATGACATTCCCATGTCATCTTCAAGCGTCCACGTGACCAACGCTGTATCGGGGTGAGCTCCATAGATGGCAACTGGAACGCGGGACACCATGACTTATAGCTCTGCCGGAAACTAACGCAACTTGGGGGTCGAAACGATTTCGGCAAGCGGCGCTCTGTACCTTTTTCTGACCGGATTTGGCTCTGTAGCGAACATTTTTTCCTCGGCACCAGCCATTAGATTGTTGACATTGTTAACATCACTTCTCAGACCCTCATGTCAACAATGTATCAGCAATGTGTCAACAATTGATTTGTCAACAATGTCAGTAGTCATTGTTGACCCAGCCCTACTCCGACGGGAATACCCACGTTTCGTCAATTTTGAGACAATCATGTGGGCGATCTCCCAGGGTTCTCAATTGAAGGAAGTCCGCTCCATTTCTACCGGCAAAAAGGGCGGATTTTGGCCCAAATTTACAGTACTAGGGCTCCTCAAAAACTCCGTTCAAAAAGTTGGGCGCACCATTTTCTGAAAGTTTAAAAAAAAAATGAAATCTGAAATCTGAAAAGTCTGGAAAGTCCGTCGCGCGCGCGACCTCAACGCACGCAAAAACCAGACCCGGCGTCAAATCATTTTTTGCTAGCTGGTCCGTGCACGCTCCGTCGTGAGGACCCTCACGCGTGACAAGGCGCGTCGCCAATAATAATACCACGCGAGGCAGCGCGAGGCAGGCGAGCTGAGCAGAGCACAGTAGTTTGAGCTCGGGGGCCCGTCACACATTCTTTCTGTCTCCTTGCCGTATCTATCCAATACACACGATCTCATCTGGATCCTCGACTTCACGTATCTTCACACCTACCCAGTACTCTATTTCATTCATCTCACGATGTCATCTACGAACAACATGGCGTCAGTAGCTTGGGCTTGGTCAGGCTCAGGTGCGTATTCGTCGGGTGTTCAGGCGCGTCTCGCCGTTTGCGATCCCCCCGACTCTCCTCGATCACATCGCGTTCAGTAGTGATCCGAGCTCTGAAACAATACCTTTGCTGTGCAGACATGAGCGGACGCTCAAGCTCGCCTACTTTACCCGAGTCGATCGGCGGGGCATTGCTCGTTGCGTCGCGTCAGGCTTGAGAAGAGTTGAGAATCGCTGCTCAACGCGACGTGTGGAGCGGAGTCGGGACGCGACGTTTCATTTAGCGAGTTGGGAGGGCACGTGACTTTCAAAAAAAAAATGAAAAGTGGACGGGATCCTCCAAAAAAGTCCCAACTTCGTGACTTTTTTGTGGACGCTTCAAAAACGAGAATTTTTGAAAAAGTGCGTCGGTCTTCCTCGATCGCGATCGAGCCTAGCCCAAATAGGAAGGCGCGCGCGTTTTTATAAAGTCTAAATTACAGAAATTGGAGCGCTCGAACGGTGGTTTGGGGTTTTTGAGGAGCCCTACTGTTCTAGCGAGTTACGACCCCTCTTTATCAAGCTAATAGGTACCCATAATTTTATCCGTCGGCAAACTGAGGTAGCATGCTGACCATTTAAGTTTGAGATGTCAGATAGAGACGACCGATAGAGATACCTACCTGTCTGATTTGCTGTGACTGTAAACAGCAGAGGACGACGTGTCGACCTGTTAATAAAACTGAACCACCTTGCGAGGGGAAAGCTTTTCATGCTACGAGGTGTGTGGACGATACTGATGAAACAGCGGGACAGAGTCCGAAAACTCGAAAACTCGCGTGAGACGAGGAATGCGAAGGATAGCGCGGTACGCTAACGTTAGGGAGCAGGGTCGAGAAAGGGCGGGAGGGATCGGGATGTGCGAGAATACCGCGCACAGACTGACAGAGAATCATAAATTATGGTTGCTCGGACTACCAAGGTAGGTGGGTGGGGTGGGGCATCAATAGGTTGTCGCGGCGTGCCTCGATATTGCGCGCCGGACTGCCGGAGAATAATCACCGGCCGTCCGTCTCATCGGCTCGGTGCGTGTGCCTAAGAGCCCATCGAGCTTTCAACGTCTCAGACCGACGGTCCTTCGTTTGTGTCGGCTCTGCTTTCTGCTGTCATCACACCTTCCTCCCCCCAGCCACCTTGCATCTACCTCTTGGAACCAGTGTAGGGTGTCACACCCGATCCGCCGTCACGATCCCCTGCAGTCGAGGTAAGCCCAGTGCGCGGAGCGCGACTGTACGGTGGACCTGTCGGGAACACTCGACCCGTCATCTGGCCTGGTACGTCGGACTTAGCTCACTCGACTTGGGGCCGGCGGTCCGACTTTATTGTGCAGATGGACTCAGCAGCGAACTCGTACTCGAGGGGGCCTTCCAACTCGTATACCGCTCGCCAAGCCGACTACCTACAAGAAGAGTATCGTCCCAGCCTTCTACTCGACTTGTCGCGCGACACCCTATCTCATCCCTCCGCGTTCGCCGCAGCCCACCCCTCTCGGCTCGACGCGCAGCCCCCCGCTGGGCCGCACGCTGTGCCGTCTTCGTCGAACTCGATGCGCTCGCCGATATTGGAGCCCCATCCGCCCCTATCGCACTATGCGCCTCGATCCGCGGTCGAAGCGACTTTCGACCACAGGTTGCGCACTCTGTCGGCTCCTCTCACTTCGAATGCTCAACCACAGTGGTCGCATGGCGCGCAAGTTGATCTCCCAGGAGGAGACGACCAGCTCGGCGCCGGGTCGACGTCGAACTACAAGGGCCCCACAGCACACTGGTCTCCCGGCACCTCTCCGATGGCCATAACTCATAGGAGACTCCTCAGCGCCTCTATGATCATGGACTCGTCTCCTCCTTCGTTTCACGCGATGCCGATAGGGGCCGGGGCGGCCAACGTCGCAACCGGTTATCAACCTCAGACCACTCATCACATTGAGCAAGCCCAGTCTACTGGCCCCGCCCACCAGGCACCGTCAGCGAGATCGTCTGCGTATCAAATTTACTCCAATTTGACCTCGCTACCTCCACACGTCGCCTCGTACAGTGCCGTGAGTGGCAACCCGCTCTCCACGCTCTACCCCGAGCTCGACCCTGGCGAAGGGCACCGGCCTTCTTCCCTTAGCTACCCCCCCACGGGGTGCGGCGGCTTCACCTTACCGAGCAACGCGATTGAAAGCACTCGGTCAAATCGTTGGCATCCGAGATCGTCCCGTATTCCTTCCACTGCGAGGCACTCACCAACGCCCCCACTCCCGCCGCATGCGCAAGCCAGCTACACGTTCCCCGCCGACCCGACCGCCGGCGCGTCGAACGCGATCCCAATGTCGCTTCATTACTCGCTCCAACCGTCCGAGTATCACTCTGAATCTTTCGCTTCCGAATCGAATGGTCGGGGCGGTCAAAGTGTATCCACGCAAGGGCGACCGCCGCCGCCCACTTCGAACTCGTCGTCAACCTCACACGGCGATGAGCCCTCGCTAGGGGTCTCGCGCGACGCGTACAAGGGTACCCGTGCTGCACGCGAGACCGCCTCGGGGCAGACCGCATTCCACCCTGCCCCTCTTCAAGGCGTTTTCATCAAGCGTTCGCCCTCGTGGAGTACGTCGGACCACTCGGACGAGGAAACTTCGGTCGGCGAGGACGGCGTCAAGAAACGTCGTCGCCGTCGGCGTGCGAATGAACCGCCGAGGGACGCCGCCACGCGCCGTTTCCCGTGCCCTCAGTGCGGCAAGATGTTTGCCAGGTACGTTGCGCTCCAGCCACGTGGAGTCATTACGAGATGAATTACAATTGACTAAATCGAATATTATTTGTGTTTGGTCACGCTCATCACAGGCCTTCTGCGCTTAGCACTCATGAGGTACGTTCCCCCTTCCCTTGCCAGCGTTCGTGCCGGTGACCGGCGTGCTCAGACTACGCGCGCGCTCATTCTCCGTCCTCTACTAGCGCTCACATTCGAAAGAAAAGCCGCACCTCTGTCCCAACCCGAAGTGTCAGCGTCCGTTTGCTGTACCTTCCAACCTACGTCGGTATGTCTGCCTTAGATTTGCATTCGATGTAGTGACTTTCCTCAGGAGACTGACACTTCCACCCTTTCCCCCCCCCCCCCCCCCCTATCCCACCCCATTTCTAGGCACCAAAAAGTCTATGTGAGTGCAGGCACCACTCGTTCGGAAACGAGCCACATCTAACCACGTTTCATTCTCTTACAACAGAACCACTTTGGTCCCGAAGGCGAGGACGGCAAGTCGAGCAGCATCAGCAGCGTCAAATCCCACTCGCGCGCCGCATGGCAAGAAGACGACGACGATGAGCTCGATCACGCCCAGGACGATTCGGACGAGGTCATTCGTCAATCGCCGTCGCGCACTCGGCGACGCACCGAGCTGTCCTGACGGACATTCGTCGTGTATCAGATCCAAGCATGGACAGATGGACAGAAGACTTCATAGTCATTGTCTGCTTGTATATCGGCCCCTGTCTTTTCCTTGGCTTGCATTGCCATCTCTTTAACAAGGGGGGGGGGGGGTGGGGGGGTATCTTGCTATCCCCCTTCCATGGCACCTCTCCTACCGTGCTTGACTTTGTCGATCCAAATTTTTGCGGCCGATCTGTCCTCGAGTCCATTGTATCATTCCGCACTTGCCGCCAAGCACCTGTTCCTGTACCTCCTCTCTCTCCCTCTCACTCTGTGTATGTCACTCGTCCGTGCTCCTGTTGATTTTTGTTTGTCGTTCTGTTGTGTTGGAATCAAGAGCGTCATTCCCGTTCTTTACACCTTCGTACATCGCAAAAGCTTGGGACTTTCTGTTCCGATGCCTCTTCAGTCACTTCAATCGACGCGAGTCCTTGGCCCAGCGATCGGCCGAGCGTTTGAGCAACCATAAAGACGCGACTGTGAAGGAGAAGCATGGCGCAAGAGCAAGAATCTTGGAATCACGTCACTCCCCGAACCAAAAAACAACAACAACTCAGGCTTGGATGGGTACGTACTCTGACCGGTACCCCAGAGCAGACTCCTGAAAGCTCCAATCAAAGTGAAGCGCCGATCAGCCCCGGGTCAACGGCGCTCCATCCTCCTCCCCGTCTTGACTCGATGACGGGTCGAGAGCTCACCTCAAGAGAGCAATCTTGGCCGAAGTACCGTAGATGTAGATGGGGTTGTAGAGGAAGCGAGTGATAAGGCTGTTTGTTGGGGTCGGCCCGTCCATCGTGGTGGCGTGAGCGCTGTTCTCTCAAGGAGAAGGCCGCTTCGAATGTCAAGCTTGAGCTTACTAGAGGAACGAGACAATGTTGATCGACTCGACCGGAACACCCGTCAAGTTCGCGGAAAGCTGGATGAAGAGGGTGAGCGTAGCGAACTGGGTAAGTCGCATGATCAACGAGATAGGAGCGTCTGCGGTTTAGCCTCGGGATGAAAACTTGCGATCGCGAGGCCAAAAAGCGGTAGGGATTCGAGCCCGTTGATATGAGCGCCCTGGGCTATTTCACGTCATTGGAAAGGAACAGAAATTTGATTTCAGTCATCGGGCGGTGTACGTCCGGGTGACGGGACAGCGCACCTCGCTTGAATCTGGCGAGCATCTGCTCGGACAAACGAGCCGAGGCTTTGTCGACGTTGACCCTGATGGCGATCATACGACATGATACCAGTTGCGGTCAGTAGAGGCCGATGCTCACGCGAGATATTTGAAGTGGAGACTAACCTTGGCGAGACGTTACCCCATTGACCGACGGCTTTGGTCATCGAAGCCTAAGGGGCTCATCCACGGAACAGAGTGAGAGGAGGCGAGGTCTCAGGATGAGATAGCCGGACGGACACCGGTTCGAGGATGGCCGAGCTCGTGAGCGCAGATGGACTGGACCTACCTCGAGGTAGACATGGGGTACGAACGCCAGTAAGTAGGCCGTTGAAATCGAGTAGAGCGAATAGTTGGTGACTCGACCCACGGTGGATGTGCGAAGGGCAGAGTGGGATTGTGTTCTGTGGGGGCACTGCAGCGTGTGAGGGAGGCCCGGACTCATCCGGAGATGCCCGCTCTGCGGCCAGCTCAGTCCGGCTCAGCCTGTCCGGCAACTTCTTCAACCTTCAAGGCCCGATGACTAGCAAAGCTCTTCGTTCGCCAGTAAATAATACAGGATTTTCTTGACTTCGAAGTTATGTAAATACTTGTAGACTCGCTTCTGTCCGATGACTCTACGCGATGGCCATCGTGATAGTAGGTCGAGGGAGCTGAGCCTACGAAATTTGCATGAGCAAACCGCGCCGAACATCTCTGTATGCTTCCAATGTCGCGCTTGCTTGAATTGGGTCGCATTTTCCGACGCGTCTCGTCTCGGCGCTTTCGGCTTGGCTCGCGCTCAACTTGACCGCATCCACATCCCCTCATCGCTCTTTCGACCTCGAACTTCGAGACACGGACGACACAGCGAATCCTCTTCGCTACTTACGCCCCCATCTCCAGCAGCGGACCTTTGCCCTTTGCGAGTCCTAGCGTCATCGCCGTGAACTCGTCGGCGCGTATTCGATTCTCGCCTCTCGCTCCTTCAACATCCTCGATCGGGACCGCACCCTCGCTGTATCCCCCCTCCCACCATGTCCCTGGAAAAGTACGAAAGGCTCGAAAAAGTAGGAGAAGGTACGTCCAAATCATCCAGGCTCGAGTGACGCCCGAAAGTCTCGTGTAGGGACCTGCAGCGAGACGCGCCGCGCTCGACGACCAAGCAGCCTGCGCCGGGCCAGGGGGCGTCATCGCGCGACGCAGCCGGGGCTGTGGACGGAGCACGACTCGCCGCGTCCCAGTATGGGTGCATACCGGGGGTTTCACTTTCAACCACTGACCAACTTGATATGTCTTTGCTCTCACAGGAACGTATGGTGTTGTCGTACGTTGAACCTTCCACTTTGCAGGGGCACGCGTCCCCTTGCACGCGTCCACAGAGACCTGACCAGCGCGCCACTCTTTGCCCTCTCCTTCTTCCTACAATGCGTTTCCGCCTCGCGATGTCGCATCTTCACCTCAACTAGTACCGATCCCGTAACAAGGAAACGGGCGAGATCGTCGCGTTGAAGAAGATTCGTCTCGAGGCAGAGGACGAAGGCGTGCCCTCGACCGCGATCCGAGAGATCTCGCTCCTCAAAGAGGCCAAGGATGACAATGTGGTAAAGTGCGTGTCGCGACCGTTCAGCGCCATCAGTGTCGCCTTCGTCGCAGGAGATGGGAAGATTGAACTGACGAGGCCCAAACGTACAGGTTGTTGGATATCGTGCACAACGACACAAAACTCTACCTCGTCTTTGAATACCTCGACCTCGATCTCAAGCGGTACATGGACAAGGTCGGCGACGGCGAGGGCATGGGTCCCGATATCGTAAAGGTGAGTCAGACGTCCCTACTCGTGGATCTGTTGCATTCTTCACTGACACTGAATTCGGACCCCTGGAATTGCAATCGCGATGCAGAAATTCGTACGTAAAACGCTGCTGGCGACGGCAGATTCATTTCCGGAACTGACCATGGACGTCCACTGTTGCGCTTCTTCTCACCCATCCACAGACATATCAACTCGTAAAAGGCGTGTACTATCTCCACGCCCACCGCATCTTGCACCGCGATCTTAAGCCGCAGAACTTGCTCATCAACAAGGAGGGAAACCTGAAGCTTGCCGATTTCGGTCTGGCGCGAGCGTTCGGTATCCCTCTGCGGACGTACACCCACGAGGTTAGTCACGGAAATCGGTTGAGATAACTCCGTTGTCAATCCTAACGCACCTTGGATATCACAGATTGTGACGTTGTGGTACCGTGCGCCTGAGGTGCTGCTCGGGTCAAGACACTACTCGACCGGCGTCGACATGTGGTCCGTCGGCTGCATCTTTGCCGAGATGATCATGCGTCAACCCCTATTCCCCGGCGATTCAGAGATCGACGAGATCTTCCGAATCTTCAGGTTAGTCCCGGCATGTAATCCACAAGCGAAACGGCGGAGACTGACCCCCTTACGTGTCGAACCAGGCTACTCGGCACTCCGACGGAAGAAGTATGGCCCGGTGTGACGACATTACCCGATTACAAGACCTCGTTCCCCTGCTGGCACGCCAAAAACCTCTCTGAACACGTCTCTGGAGCGACCCCTGAATCGGCCGAGATCTTGCAAGGGATGCTTATGTACGACCCGGCCAAGAGGATGAGCGCGAAGACCGCGCTCAAGTGCGACTACTTCAAGTTGCCCGGTGGGGTTAAGCTTTGAGCGTTATTTTCATCCTTATTGCTTTAACTTTTGGTCGTCCCTTTCTTCGTCTTTCTCCTTCTTGCTTTCGTTCGTCCTTGCTCGCACAACCCACCATCACCCTTGTTCGTTCCTTTGTCCCTTTTCAATGCCTGCTTCATCAAGGTCTCAGCCTTTTTTATTGCTTCTTCTGCTTACATGAGCTCGATGGAACCCTTCTCTGTCCCTCTTTCTCTTCGCTTTCATCCTTTGCCCCCTTTTTCATAGCCCGACGGGCTACCTCTTGTAACACACACATATATACTTCTTAAATTCGCGCTTTGTGTTGAAGGTCACATTTCCAGGCCTAGCTACTCGACGCGGCCCCGTGAGAGCACGAGCTCCCAAGATTTCGTTGGATTTGGGTTGAATAAGTCATGCGTATTTCCAAGACGATACTACATCTAAGATTACACATTCATCTCACCCCGTCCGCCTCTTTCCGATCCTCCCTCATCACTTTTCTCCTAAAATCGCCAAACACAACTCGATTGACCAACGAGACAGGCAAATCATGAATCGGGGGCACCGCGTCCGGCGGCAGCAAGACTGAATTCGTGATCAATGGATGGGGATCTTCTTCACCGGGGACGAGAATGAAGGCGAACGGATCGGTGAGGGTGTCGAGGGAGTTTATGGGAGGTGTGATGAAGAGGTTGATGGAGATGTAGGAGAAGTAGATGAAGGCGGCGAGCATGATGGTCCAGGCGGGAACGAGGAGGGCCCATTCACTGATTTTTTGTTGGGTTGGATGAAGTGGTTAGTTGGAAGAAAGCAGGGAGTAGAAGGAAAGGGCTGACCGAGATGGATACCATGCGACTCCGATCGCTTCCAAGTGTCGATCGGGTACTAAGGACCACACAAGGTACAGGATCCAAGCGACGCCTGAACCGATGTAGAGGACGAACCCTTGTGATTCGACCGTCGGTCCGGGGTCCGTAGAAGCACGAGGCGGAAATTGGGCGGGTAGGGACGAGGCGGATCGGTCGGGAATCTCGGTCGAAGGAGGGGCCAAGGTCGACGTGGCAAATGTCGTTGGTGAGGAGAAGACGGGTGTCGATTTTCTCGTCGATGTCATCGTAGGGTGGTCCACGAGACTCACAGGCGATGAACGAGTTGGCGGCATTGCGAGAGAGGGTGAAGGTGGACGGGAAAGAGATAGGAGCGGTTGCAGAAGGGTGGTGAAGAGGTCGGGGGAGGGTTGGGGTCCCGGTCGACCGTACAGGGGTGGGTGCAGGATCGCGCTCTGGGGTGGGTCGTTCCTCCATTGCATCATATCCCTCCAATCCTCGTTGGCGTCATCATCGTCTCCAGCGTCCTCTTCACCGTGATCGTCGTCGTTGTGCCCATCGCCGTGATCTTGTCCGTCCTGATCTTCGCCTTGGTGTGCTTTGTGGTGAAAGCCGTTCGTGCGCCTTCCTGTGGACGATGTCGCCGATCGCGACCTATGCCTTCCCAACGCGATCGCGCTATTTGTTCTCCTGAGCTGTTCCCTCTGCAACTTCCTCTGCTCGACCAGCATCAACGCTGCAAGCGATGGCTGGCGCTCCGTCGTGGCCCAACGCGCGTTCGAGCTGCTGCACCTCCGCGCCGACGCCAGGCTGGGACGCGCGAGATGGCCATTGGCTGTGATGACCGATGCGGACAGGAGTGAAGAGGACGAGGACGATGTGCGCAAGTGGTGGTGTCGTGTGTGTGCGTCGCTGCTTGTGCGCACGGTCGTGCTTGTGCTTGTGCTTGTGCTCGTTTTCGTGCTCTTGTTTGTGCTCGTGCTCGTGCCGGCGTCGGACGAGGCAGTCGATGAAGGCAACACGTCCAACGAGCGAGAGGGCGCCCTTCGAAGGTGGCCACGACTGCTGGTGCGTGAAGACGAGGTCGAGCTACTGGTCGATGCGGGGCCATAGTCGTCGCCCACCCGCGCCGGCATGCTGGGTCGCCTCGACTCGCGGAAAGCTGGCTGAACTCGAGTGCCAAGAAGTAAAGTCGACAGCGTGGCGTGGGGGAGAGGGACGCCCAGCCGCCCGCCCGCCCGCCCGCCAGCATGACCCGAGGCCACCTGAAGCCACGCGGCACGCCGATCGCACTCATAGAGCAAGCAGGATGGGCCAACTGATCGGTGCCTATAGTATCGACCGTTTAAAACGATCAGAATTGCAATGCACAACATCAAGAGAGGGCCAAACTATAAGGGAATAACGGATCGCAGCCAAAACAATTCTCGTACACATGAAAAATCGAAGTCTTGAAAAACACATCGCTCGAAATCGCTCGAAAATCACGAAACATTCTCTCACCGCTCGGGCGAAGAGGGAGGCGTCTCGGTCGCGGCCTTGCGTCTCGCTACGAGTCAGCGTAAACGAAAGGCGAGTCAGCGATCCAGGTGATCAAGCTCAAGCGCGAACCCGACAACAAAACACTTACGTCGTGCCTTGGTTTTCGTCGCAGCGGCCTTGCGCTTCGACTTTTGTACCTTCCTCGCCACCTCTTGGTCCTCACTGCCTTTGGCGCGGTGCTCCTCGAGCGCGTTCGCAAACTCTTGCAAGTCTTGTTCGTTCTTGGTCGCCTTGTTGTTCGTAGCCTGTTGGAATCAAACAATTGGGCACTTTCAGAACGGTTTGTCCTCTCATGAGCTGGATATCTTCATCGACTCACCTTGGTCAAGATCTCGCCGAACCTCTTGTACACGGTCTCCTCGTGCAACTTGTCCTGATAGAACGGCAACCCCTCGACCAACTTCTTGACCGCGACTTCAGAGTTGAACGGTAAGAGCGAGAGGCAAAAGGCGATGTCGCGCCATTGACGAGCATCGGTCGCCATTTGGAAGCGTTGGCAGAGCTTCTCGACGATCGTTTCGGCCTCTCGTTTCTGTGGAGCGGACAGGAGAGTGCGAAAAGGTCAGCAGAGGAATCTTGTGCATGGAGGCGAAGGAAACGGACTGACCTTGTCCACAAAGGTAAAGATGAACCTCATCGATTTGCAGAACACCTCCTCGGTGGCCGACGCCGACAGATGACTGATGATGTCGGGCAAGTTGTTGTAGATGGCCTTCTCCTTGGCCGACAACTCGGTGAAGAACAAGTGCGCCAGATCGCTGATCCTCTTGTCCTCGTCCTCGAGGCACTTCGCCATCTCGCCCAATTGCCCTTTGACTTTGATCATCCCGTTGAGGATCAAGTGCGTCAAGACCATCAACGTATTTTTCTTGACCGTTAGATCCTTGTCGTTCAAACCAGCGTACAAACGATCACTGTTCTCGTCCATGATGGTGGAGAAACAGACGGCAATATCACCGAGCGCGATGACGATGTTGGATCGAACGGCCGGTTCCCTCGACGTCTCGAACACCTTGAGCAACATCATCAGATGTTCCTCGCAGAACTGCGCCGAGACGCACATGAACTTGCTCAACGCCAACGTTGCGGCCGTCTTGAGCATCGAGTTGCGATACACCTTAGGTTGTGAGACGATCGTCGCCGCCATTGGACCAAAGACGGCCAAGAGCGAACGAGGACCATAGAGCAATTCCTTCTCCTTCGTCGAAGCGATCACATCACCAATCTCATCCTCGACTGAACCGGCGACTTGATCGAGTTCGTCCTGACCCGCTGATTTGGCTGCGCCTTTCTTGTCCTCGTCGGCTTTCCGTCGTTTCAAGTCACGTTCGACGAGCTCGATGTGCACGAGTTGCTTGATCGCGCAATGACCTGCGACGAAGATGAGTTGACTCAGGTGGAACGCATTGCCGTTCATTGGAGCACCTGCATCCGGCGCGGGCGTCGACGATCGGGTTGCGGGAGCAGCTTCATCGTCTCCTCTACCATCGAGGGCGGATTCATCCTCTGCAGCCGCAGCATCGCCGGCGGGTGTAGTCTCGCGGGACGGGACCGCTGCTTTGGGACCAAAGACACGCGTCGTCATCTCGCGCAGAATGAGCGAGCACAAAGCATCGGGTTGGTCACCGAGAGAGTAGATCGTGTTGAGCGCCTGCTCGGCCATCGAGAACCTGAAGAGCCATCAAGAAGAACGTGAGAGATCGGCACCGTGTTCTCCATAGATCAGAAGCTGGAACGTACCATTCCTTGTCCGAAGAAGGATGCTGGATGATGCCGGCCAATCGAGCAAAGACCGGACTGTCCATCGGCAGTCTGATCGAAACATCGTCGAGCGACCCTTTGACCTTCTTGACGCTTCCCGCGACTCGACTGAGCGCGATGCACGTGTACTTAGCCAAGACGAGGTCGAGCTTCCCGTGCGCGCCGAGACCGATGCGCAAGAGGGTCTCGACGTGCTCCGAGATGATTTCGGGACGAGGGGCGGCGAACATGCCCAGGACGATGATGGCGCCTCGGCGTTGGAACTTGGGGATGGACTTGTCGGTGCCTGGTGGAAAATGAAGCTCGCCCGCTCAGTTACAGCTTTTTCGATGCAAGTCGAACGCGTTACCACGACTCACTGTAGACCTGCCACAGCTTGGCAATGACCTCGTCCTCGACGACACCCTTGGACATCATGACCCCCAATAACTGTTCGAGCGAGGTCAACTCGGCGAGCGTGGCGTCCCTCGTGAACTCGATCACGTTTTGCGTCACGCGATTCACATGTTCCTTGGGCGTCATGTCCGGCCTCGCCTCAAAGTAGAGCTGTGAATAGCATTCGATCAACCTCGATCGAATGCCCTTCAACTCCTTGCCGTCCTCTTCCGATGTCGTCGTCGCGTCGTCCTTGCTCCAAATCAAGTGCAGCATCCTCTTCACTCCTTTCTCAGCGGTCTCGACCTTGTACTGCGACGCCGTCTTGAAGAACTCCATCGCTTCCAATACCTCGGACTTGACCGTCGAAGCCAGTAGATCAGCGACGGTGTCCATGGCTCGGTCGAGTTGCTCGATAAAGGTGATCGCGTCGGAGTAGTAGCGTTTGGTCAGGCGCAAACGTGTGAGCGTCTCCTCGTCGACGCGTTGCAGAATCTCGGATTGATCGGCAGCTGCGAGATCGATCCCGTCGGACTTCCGGGGTCGAGCTCGAACCGCCTCTTTCGCATGCTTCTCTTTCCTGGGCTTTGGTGGTCCATCACTGTCCGAAGACTCGCCATCGTCGTCGCCGCTCGCTTCCTCGCCCTCTTCACCCGCCTGTGCGTCCTCCTCATTCTCATTCTCTTGCTCATCATCCGAATCAGCCATCAACTCCCTCGCCTCAGCCAAAGCAGCCGCTTCCTCGACCCCCGGCAAATCCAAGACCTTCAACTCCTTCTCAAGCGCCTCGTACCTGGCCCTCCACTCGCTCATCTCCAACTCCCCACCATGCATCCTCCCATAAGGATGGGTCAAGATCAACTTGGTCAAAAGAGCAATACAGTTCTTCCTGACTTGACTCGACTTGTCCTCCAACGAACGGATCGTCAATTCGGTCAGACGCGTACGGATCTTGGGTTGTTTGGTCGGCAAGTCGCACGTCTTGATGAGGATCGTGGCGACTTTGGAGCGCACGTACGAGTTGAGGTCGAGCAGGCGTTCGAACAAGACGTCGTAAAAGGCTTCGAGTTGTCGTTTCTGCACCTCGGGTTCCATGTCCAACCCTTCGGTAATGGACAGTTCCTTGACGAGCAGACCGATGACTTCCAAGATGGCGTTCCTCATCGGGTACGACTCCGAATCGAGGTGGGTTTGCAACAATGCGATCTGCTTCAAGATCAACCGAGGGGAGATCTCGGCCAATCGGATCAGGAACTTGGAGAACGAGCGGGGACCCTTGGAATCGGCGCCGTTGAAATGTCGATTCGCGATCTCCCTCAAGACGTCTTCACCCAATTGCGAGTAGTCGAATTCCTTCATGAGCAAGTGGACGAGTTCGGCCATGGTCTCGGAGAGATGTTCGTGGTATTGGAGGTTCTGCATGATCGTCATTTGGACGCTCAACGCCTGGCCATGCGATTTGGCGGCGACGCAGAGCACTTTGAAGAGGCCCGTTTTGATCTCGCCGACTTTGACGTAGGTCTCGTTTTCGGCGATCAGGTTGACCGGTTTCAGGAAGCAGTTCCTATCATGGAGAGAGAGAGGAAAGTCGGTCTTGGATTCTCACCGACGTAGATTCTAGAGCGGGGCCACTTACGAGACGAGGGTATCGCGTTCGGCGGTCGTTTGCCAAATCCTCTCGGTCCTCAAACGCAAGGCCTTGGACATGACCCCGAGCGCTTCGGGGATGGATTCGATCCAGGAAAAGTCGTCGCGTCGTTTCCTGGCCGAGGCCTTGGTCACCTTCTTCTGCTCGGTGCGACAAGAGTACCACGTCAGTCTTGCCCCAAACTCACGGGTCGTTAGTCTATGCAAACGTGCCCTCTTGCCCGCGGCTGTCAAAGCGACGTCTTCTCCGGCATGCTGGGATTGGGCCAGCTTCTCGGCGGTCGAGACGAACCACTGCAACAGGAAGGCGTACATCTCGAGCGCTTGTTTGTGGGATCGATACGCGGCGTGGTCGGTGGGGTCATTGTCCTTGGAGGTGGATTCGATCTCGGCCGAGAAGCCTGGGATCGCGAGTGTCGAGGGTCAGTCAACATCCTCCGGCGCGCTCTCTCCGACGGAGTGCGGTACCACTACTGCGACTGACCCGAGCATATCGAGTCGAGCAATTTGTTGAGGGTTGGTCCTTGGAGGTGTTCGGCGTATCTACGTGTGTGTGTGTGTGGGTGGGTGTGGGTGGGTGTTCAGTGGTGGTCTCCTCTAGGCTGAGCTGGCATGACTCGGGGGGACAGAACCTACTTGAGCATGGACCTGAACGTATCAAACACCTCGGCCTCCTGGATCGTCGAGCAATCGCCCGTAATAGTATCGACAATACCTGTGGAGATACAAGGAAGGGGGGGGGTCAGCGGGTGTCACACTCGCTCTTCGCAAGGCGCCGTAGATGGACAGAGTTGACTGACCGTTCAACGTCGCGTTGACCAGGGCCGGTTCCATCACCTCAAAGTCGATCGAGGGGAACACATAGTCGTTGAGATCGCTCGAAGCGCTCAACTCGTCTTGGAGTGAAAACTCCATCACGGGGACGCGGGGCGAGGGGCGAGGGGCGAGGGGCGAGTGGACCGGGGACAGGGGGAGGGAGGCGCAGTGAGGGAGTCGAGACGCTCCGAGACGCTCCGAGACGCGTCCATCGGCGCGCGCCCTCGCGCGCGGGTTGCAGTTTGGAATCACGTGCACTCGCGCTCGGACCGCGCTCCTCGTCCAGAGCCCATATTCCACTCTTCGAGTCTTCGGCTTCCTTCCCACGCACCATCCCTTCACTTCGGTTCAGCCCAAATTAAACGTGGAGCTTTGTCCCGGAGGAATGTCCGAGTACTGTGACAGTACCACATGCTGGCTAAAGCGGTGCTCACTAAAGTGCTGGGGGATGCAAACTGTGATTAGCAATCGAGCTAATTGCATTCAAAGTGAGAGTGATCGACACGCACCCTGCTGCGATCTGCTGCCATACGCACGGCCCGTGTGCGTACGTGTGCGCCCCGACGCGGTTCGCACTCGCACTCGTCCTCGTGCCAGTGCCATACGCGACCTTTACCCCGCCGCCCCTCGACCTGCCCACGATGGAGGAAGCTCAAGCTAAAGCGCCTCGTAAGTACTCCAACACCACACACTGCTCCCTCCCTCCTCGTACCCCAGCTGGACGCGCCAACACCCCAGTACTGACGCCACGCCTCATCCCCCTTTCTCCTCTCGCGCTGTGCTCGTCCGTCCCTCGTCACCCGCTCACTCGGTCTCTGGGCCCGCTGCTGCGACCACCTACAGCCGAAATGAAGGCTGTCGCCGACTTCCTTCGCAACAAGTCGGGGATGAAGGTGCGCACGGGGGCCTTGTCGGGCAAGCGCGCCGACTACTTCAAGGGTGAGCACACGTCGGGACAAGGACGGACCACTTTGTCCACCTCCATACGGCCTGCATCCATCAACACTGACTCGCATATCAACCAACCACGCCAACAACCCTCCAGGTCGATCGGCCATCAAAGTGTTGCTCTCCCCAGCCTACGCCAAGCTCAAGACGGTGCCCAAAGTCAAGGACGAAGCCGCCGCGATCGCTCTGCTGCACCAACTGATCCCTCACACCTTCTACCTCCGAGTCGAGCGCGGTCAATCCGTATCCGGCCAATCAGGAGGACCTCGTCTGATCCAAATCGTGCCCCAACAACTCTTCGCCCCGGACGAGTACTACGTCTGGTTGATGGACGCCAACCCGATCCGTCAATTGCTCCTCGCCGCGGCCATGGTCGCCGTCGTCCTCGGTGCGGTCATGTTCCCCTTGTGGCCGGCCAAGTTGAGGGTCGGCGTCTGGTATCTCAGTGTCGGACTGTTGGGCTTGATCGGCGTCTTCATCGCTTTGGCCGTCGTGAGGTTGATCTTTTGGATCATCACCATCGTCGTCGCCAAGCCCGGCATTTGGATCTTTCCCAATCTCTTTGCCGACGTCGGATTCGTAAGTACTTTCTTTCCGAGGAACGTCTCTACGGATGGATTGTGTCGAGGCTTAACTTTGCACTCGCGTCTTTGCGCAGGTCGACTCATTCATCCCCCTGTGGAGCTGGGACCTCCCCCCACCCAAGAAGCAAAAGAGCGAAAAGAAGAAGGCCAAGCGTGACGCTCGTGAGAAAGCAGGGCGGGAGAACGACCATGGCCATTCCCACGACGGACCTGATGGAGGACATGGTGGTGGGGGTGGGCATAGTCATGGAGGGGTACCTTGTGGTGGGCATGGTCAGGGACCCGAGGTCGAATTGCAGTTCGAGGATCGACCGAGGATCGAGGAGATTGTAGAGGATTGAGTGGGATTGTCATAGGGGAGCTACCGAGTTGAGCAGAGGTATTGAGAATAAATTCAGGGTTTTGTGAAGGTGTGCAATGATGAGCAGAGAGACCTCTGCGATGGTAAAGAGGGACATCGCTCGTTGCGGCGCTGCTTGAGTGACGGGCACGCGGCCACCTGACACCCACGCCAGGTGGGCAAGCCAATGCGCTAATGTGTAAGGTTCCCTGATAAAGGGATACATCGGAAAGGGTATCGAGCTTCGGTTGAAGGGGGCTCGCGTCCAGGACGAACGCGCCAACGTGCGATCTGTCCTTCTTCTCGCTACCTTCGAACTCTCTCGACTTTTCATCTGATGCGAATAGGTTCGATGAAGCTGTCTACTGTTCTCTTTGCCGCGGGTGTCGTCTCAGGTCCTAGGCCGTTTTTTTCTTTCACCTCAGACGGTGCCCATTCTCGTGATGAGTGCTTTCCCGACCTTTTGGCCCCTGTGGAGTCCACGCGACGATTGTTGAAAGGCGAGGCGCTGAACACTGCGTTCCTTCTCGTCCCTCTCGCGCCGCGGTTTGAGCACAAGATCCTCTTCTTGATGACGATGCTCCACTCAGCTGGGGTTTGCGCAACTTGGGATGCGTTATGCGTTGAAGTGCCAAGACAAGAACGACGCGCTTTCGCCTTGTCCGAAAGCGAGGCCAGAGGGGCAGAGCTCGGTGATAGCCGAGTTTCAAACTTGGATTTGGTCGATGATCGCTTACCCCTTCGTGTGCTCCGGTTTTCGCAATAAAGTTGGGGGCGACGAGTCCCTGAACCTCTGACGTTTGGAAATGAACTCGTCTGAGATTATATTGGACGCCATGGTCGGAATGCGCCGCACGAGCGTGGCTATTGAGAACCAACAGGAGAGTCCGGTTTAGACCCCCGGTGAAGACTCGTGCAGTGTTTGCCATTGAACGTGTCGAGCCGACTCGAGGGAGTTGCTGATAGAGTGAAGTAAAACTTCTGTCATGTTACGGGTCGAGAATGAGGCCCAACTTGTTTGAACGCGTGCAATCGGATCAGTCACATTGGCCCGGGTGTCGAGGCTCGATCGGTGCCGTTGACTGCGCAAGACTGCTTATGACGCGCCCCTTTTTTACTCTAAAGCATCTAATGACTGAATTAGTATGGTGATGCCTAGGATGCTCCGGAAAGGTGGAAGGAGATGCATTTGAGCACACTGACTGGGCCAGTAGTGTAGGGCTTATCGACTCTGCAACATAGTCGACTATCATTATTCTTAAACCCCGTTTGGTCGTGTCACAGAACATGAAGGCGGGGGCGAGCGTGAGTGTGCGCAGTGTGTGCGAGTTGTGTGCGCCATTCGACTGGCGCAGACTGGCGCTGGCCCAGCCGCCGCGCCGACTCCGGCCTGCTGGCTTGCTCCGCTCCCTTCGTGCGCGCGTGTGACCCCATCGTCGAAGGAGAGCGAGAGAGAGCCGATCGCAGCAGCAGCAGACGAGATGCAACGCAACCCATCGCAGTCGTTACCTCACCCGCCTTTACCGCCTGGATGGACCGCGCAGTGGTGAGTTGCAGTGTAGCGATAGGGCCAGGGCCAGGGCCAGGCCCAGAGTGCGATTTGGGTGTTGTGTGGATCCACGTTGCGGGTGAAGCGGGGGAGGCGTGGTGCGGTGACGGCGCAGCCAGCTGCTGTATGTGTACTGACTCGGTTGGATCCACGATCGTCTACCAGGGATCCTACGGTGGGGCGGCATGCGTTCATTGGTGAGTGCCCGGTCATGTTGTGTCCTCTCCGTCGTCCTGGCGCGCTGCTGGGTGGTGGGCGATCCGGCCAGGTGTGACCGTGACGTGGTCCGACAGCCCCCCCCCCCCCCCCCCCCCCCGAAGAACCCGTTCGGCGATCATCCTCGGTCGACACAGCTCCTATGGTCACCTGGGTCGTCACGTGCACGAACCAGGAAATACGAGCTGACACGTGGATGCACCAACTCCCGTGCGATGAACCGCACCCGACAGAGGCAGCTACAGGTCGATCACAGTTCAACTTCCCGTTCGGCGCGCCCCTGCCCCCGGCCCAGGGTCGACCGATGGGAGCCCACCACGGTTCAAGAGCCTCCATTTCGGGACCGATGTCCTCCTACTCGCCCCCTGTGCACGGCGGCGGCCCCGGCGGTCCCTTCAATGGCATGCAGCGAGGGCACATGAGAGCCGGTTCGGTCGCGAATGCGGGCGCCCCTAGACTCCCCGGTGCGGTGCCGATGCCCCAGTTTTCGCCTCATCGACAGACACCTCCCGTCCCTGAACATCAGGCTTCCCCCGGAGCAGGACCAGGTGGTGCAGCAGCAGCTCAAGCGGTCCGATCGCCGCCCCCTCCCCAGCCGCAACTAGGCGTGATCCCACCCCAGCCGCAACAGCAGCAGCAGCCACCGCCACCTCAACCACGAGTAGGGCGTCGTCAATATGCGGCCAACACGGCGGCCTACATCGCCGGTGATCCCAACTTGAGCGCCCCTTCGACTGGCGCCGCCGGTGGATCGTCTCATTCCCACAGCCAGAGCCAGTCCTTCTTCTCGCCCGCAACCGGTTTCCAAGACCCTTCGGCCAACAACAACTCTGCTGGAGGCGGCGGCAATTTCTTCTCGCCCGGCGCACCTGGTGCCCAGCCGGATCAGTACGGTGCTGGAGCAGGAGGAGCTGCGGCAGCGCAAGGGTATGGCAGGGGAGGAGCAGCCCCGGGTCCCGGTGGACCAGGCTTTGCAGGTGCGGGTGCAGGCGCAGCGCAGGCGATGTCGAATCAGTTTGGGCAAATGAACTTGGGCGGCGGGCAAAAGGTGCAAGCATCCGTCTCGACGATGAACCTGATCGGACTGCCCCTCCACCCGGCCGAATTGATGAGCATGCCCCCTCCTCCGGTCAATCTGCCTCCCCACGTCAGTCCCAGCGTCGAATCTGTCACCTCCTCCTCCCTAGTCACAAGTGCGAACCACTGACTTCATAGCTACCCGGTAACCTACAGGCCTCCTTCTCGACGAGCGAGACGCGCAATGCCGACCCATCCTACCAGCGCGCAACGATCAATGCCGTCCCGACGACCAATTCTTTGCTCAACAAATCCAAATTGCCTCTCGCGCTCGTCTTGACGCCTTACCGCTCGCTCAAACCCAACGACCCCGAAGTGCCCGTCGTCTCCGACACCGTCATCGCGCGATGCCGACGTTGCCGAACCTACATCAACCCATTCGTCACCTTCATCGAAGGAGGACAGCGGTGGAAATGCTGCATGTGCAACCTCTCGAATGAGGTGCCGCAGCTCTTTGACTGGGACCAAGAGAAGAACGCGCCTGCCGACCGATACGCTCGAGCCGAACTCAATTCGTCCGTCGTCGAGTTCATCGCCCCGACAGAATACATGGTCCGCCCGCCGCAACCGCCCTTGTACATATTCCTCATCGACGTGTCCTACTCGGCCGTGACCACGGGTATGGTCGCAACCGCGGCGAGGACCTTGCTCGAGTCGCTCGATCGACTGCCCAACGACGATGGCCGGACAAAGATCGCCATCATCGGTGTCGACTCGTGCCTGCACTTCTTCTCTCTTCCCGCCGGTGCGACCGAACCGTCGATGCTCGTCGTCGGTGACCTCGACGAGGTCTTCCTCCCCAAGCCGAGCGACATCCTCGTCAACCTCGTCGAGGCGCGTTCGGCGCTCGAGTCGCTGCTTTCCCGCTTGAGCGACATGTTCAAAGACACGCACAACGTCGGCAATGCACTTGGTGCGGGACTGCAAGCCGCCTTCAAACTCGTCTCGCAAGTCGGGGGCAAGGTCATTGCTTTGACCTCGTCGTTGCCCAACATTGGGCCCGGGGCGCTCAAGAACCGAGAAGACTCCAAGGTCCTGGGCACAACAAAAGAGTCGGCGCTGCTGCAACCTCAGACGGGCTTCTACAAATCGTTCGCTATTGAGTGTTCGCGCTCGCAGGTCTCGGTCGACATGTGGCTCTTTGCTTCGGCCTACACCGACGTCGCCACGTTGTCTGGCCTGCCTCGATACACCGGTGGGCAAACGTATTTCTACCCCTCCTTCAACGCCGCTCGCTCAGAGGACGCCCTCAAGTTCGCGCACGAGTTTGGCACCGTCATTGCCGATCCGATCGCGCTCGAGGCCGTCATGCGTGTGCGCGCCAGTAAGGGTATCCGCATGTCGGCTTTCCACGGCAACTTTTTCGTGCGGTCGACCGACTTGCTCTCCCTCGCCGCCGTGCCAATGGACCAATCGTACGCGATCGAGATCCAGATTGAGGACCCCATTTCGGCACCTTTCGTCGTCTTCCAGACCGCGGTCCTGCACACGACGTGCTACGGCGAACGAAGGATCCGAGTCGTCACCCAGGCGCTGCCGACGACGTCGAGTTTGAGCGAACTATATGCCAACGTTGATACGGTCGCAATGGCGACCTTGTTGGCCGACAAGGCCGTTGAGCGGTGCATGCAAGCCAAGCTCGAGGATGCCCGCGACGCCATCATGAACAAGCTGATCGACATCTTGGGCACGTACAAAGCGACGATGACGTCCTCCGGATCCGGGGCCTCGCCTCAGCTGGTGTGCGCCGAGAACATGAAGTTCTTGCCATTGTTGATGTTGGGTCTGATCAAGCACATAGGCTTGCGTCAATCGGCGATGATCCCTTCGGATTTACGAGCCTACGCCCAGGCCTTATTGACGACCTTGCCGTCGCAACTCCTGATCCCTTACCTCCACCCCGTCTTTTACTCGCTGCACAACATGCCCAAGGAATGTGGCACGATCGGCGACCAGGGCGTCGTGTTGCCCATCCCTTTGCCGCTTTCGAGCGAAAGGTTGGAAAGGCACGGCTTATTCTTGATCGAGGATGGGCAGAACGTCTTCCTTTGGTTAGGTAGGGACGCCGTCCCGCAGTTGGTGTTGGACGTCTTTGACGTGCCGAGTTATGCCGAGTTGAGAGGGGGCAAGGTAAGAAGCTGAATTACCCGTGTGGTTGCATGGTCGCATGATCGAGTAGAGACTGACTTTTGTGACTACGCGTGTGCTCTAAGATGACGTTGCCCGTCTTGGACAACGCGTTCTCGCAACGGGTCAATGCTATCATTGGCAAGGTTAGGGAAGCCCGACGGGGACCCTACTATGTACGTACCACCCGCACTCACTTGGGTCTTTGGCGTCCCAACATCTGACCACTCCTTCGTTTTTCGTTCCAACATAGGCGCACCTCTACGTCGTCAAAGAGGATGGCGATCCGGCGTTGCGTCAATGGGCCCTGTCGTTGTTGATCGAGGACAGGATGGAAGGTCTGCCGAGTTACCAACAGTTTTTGGGGCAGTTGAAGGATCGCATCAACGACAAGAGCTTCTGAGAATACCCAAAATCCAAACCGACTCAAGAGGAGCATTCTTATTCCTCTCCTCGTTTTTGCTCCTTGTCAATCTCTGCTCACACCCCTTGCCATCACTGCGTTCCTTCTGGTCTCGTCAAATGTTAGGCGTCACGAATATAGTCCTTTCTCTCTTTCTTTCTTCACCGCCACCCATTTCGCTTCCCTTCTTCTGTAAACGCACCCTGCTGAGCCACTTTCCCGTTTTTGACAATAATGAGACCCGCTTTCTCTCTCGGATTTGGTCGGCTTGTCCAGGTCTTTTGCTTCCCATCTCTTCGTATTTATTCAGCCAAGCTGCCACAAAGACGGGAAAAGGCAAAACGTAAACAATGGGGTAGTAAGGCACAGATCGGCCCCCAAAACAGCGCGACAACCATGAAAGCAAAGCAAACACACGCGGTAGAGAGAAAAAGAGCTGTTTCAGGATCGCTCGGGCCTCTTGTGGTGTATATCTTCTTTCAAAAACACGGATCCTCTTTCTTTCTTTCTATAAACTCGAATACGTCCAGATCTTGGCACTGTGATCGCCAGAACCGGTACTGAAGAACCCGCCGACGGGGGAGACGGCGACGGAGATGACGGAGTTCTTGGCGCCTTGGAGCATGAACTGCGCTTTGAAGGTCTTGACGTCCCAGAATTGCACGCCGCGGTCTTTGGAACCCGAGACGATCCAGAGGCCGTCCGGGGTTGTGTCGACCTGGATTGAATCCAAGATTATCGCAGAACCGGATCAGCTCACAGCATCCAGGTTGCGTCAGGAGGACATAAGCACAAGCATACTCACCGACAAAACGTAATCCTTGTGCCCGACCAAAGTCGTCACACATGCCGTCTTCCCCCCTTCCCCACCTTGCGCAATCGACCCCGGTTCCTTGTTGTTCAACGCCTTGAACGAGTTCATATCCCAAATCTTCAACGTCTTGTCCAGACTACCCGAAACGAGATACTTCCCATCGGGGGAGAAGGCGACGGAGTAGACGCTGTCCTTGTGCGATTTAAGCTTGTCCAACAACTTGCCCGTATGGGCGTCCCACAAGCGGACGACGGTGTCGAGCGAACCGGCGGCGATGTAGTGCCCATCGGGGGAAAGCACGACCGAGGTGACGCCCGCGTCGACAGGTCCGTTCTCCGCGATCGTCACGTCGTCGATCTGCAATGTGAACAAGCATGTCCCCGAATCCATATCCCACATCTTGGCACTGCGATCGCCCGAACCACTGACGAGGCGTCGTCCATCCGGCGAGAACGCAAGCGAATAAATTTCAGACTTGTGGCCCGAGAAGATCTTGGCGACGCGCTTCTGAGCAAGGTTCCAAATCCGTACTATGCAATCCTCGGACCCGGTCGCGAGGAACCGCCCGTCGGGGGAGAAGCACGCCGATCGGATGTAGTTGTCCTGCTTGCTGTTGGACGCGTCGTCGTTGAGGATCGAGAGCTTAGCCCCCGTCTTGGTGTCGTATAGGGTCGTGTTGCGGTTGCAACCCGTCGCGAGCACCTTGCCGTCGGGGGAGAAGCGAACGCAGCACACGACCGAATCGTGGACGAGCGTGTGGACAAGCCCGACATCGAGCACCCGCTTGACGTTGGGGTTGTACACCGTCAACCAGTCGCTGCCTTCCTTTTTGAACCCTGTCGTATCGGGGTCGAAAGCCTCGTTCTCCTTCAGACCGCCTACCATCTCGGAACCGGGGTGCGGACGCGGGGAGGCGGCGTGGTCGCGGCTTGGCCCACCATTCGGTGCCGTCGAAGAAGGTCGAGACCCTGGTTGTTGAGGGTATGGCGACATGTTGGACACATTCGGACTCGGTTTCGACGAGTAGCCTAAGGTAAGAGCGCACGCGCACCAGGAAATTCAGGTCAGCAAGCATTCTCTCGCAAGCTTCGCATTCCGTGCTGTTCCAGTGTCGGGTCTCACCTTTCCCTTTCGCGCCGATGGGTGTCATTGCGCCCCCATACCGCTCATCCTCATCCCTCGATCGCTTGGTGTGCTCCGCATCCCTGTCGATCGGTCGGTCACGTAGGCCCTGGACCTGAATCCCTCCCCCTGGCGGTCCGTACCGATCCCTATCCGCATACTCGCTCGGCGGGAACCCCGATGACCCCGGTCGACCACCCGAACTCGATCCTGGAGGACCACCAACACCCCCTCCAGCCATGATGGAAGGCAGAACGGGTCGGGACGATGCAGACGATTGTGGCAGTCCACCGAGGGGTAGCGAGGACGAGCCTGGCGGCGGTCGCTGGTCGAGCTGTTGGCGCAGACGAATCGTTTCTTCCTGTAACCTCATATTCTCCTCTTGCAATCTGTTCAAAAGGATGCCGTAAACCCAACGGGGGAAATTGCGCGCAAGTCAGTATAGATGAAGAACGTCGAGCTAGCAGGCGGCCTACGGATTCGAGCGGCTTACACTCGCTTGTCGTCGTGGTGTTTGCGCTCCAAGTCGTACGACATGGACCGCATCGCATTCAATTCGTTTGCATGGAGTTGGACTGTTCAAAACGCGCGCGGGGGAGCGCCAATACAGTCGGTCAGCACACATCCCTCTGTTTGTTGCTATTTTCGAGGCCGATCGGCGTTCAATCCTGGCAGGTAGGTGCTTGACAGCGACGACGACGAGGAGAACCAGGGCCGGGCACGGGGGCGGCCGTCGACGTGGTCGATGCCCGGCGCTCTCCCTCGGCCACGGATACGGATAGCGGCTGTGTGGGCTGCGCCTCGGTCGGTGCAGGTCGAGGGCAACGAGATTGGAGCGGTCGGACAACTTCGATGTATGCGTGCACCACGTCCTCGGGGCGAGCAGAGAGGGGGTCGCGCATCGACGAGGGCCGGGATGCGGAGACGGACTCGACTCGACACAGACACACGACGACGATCATCGATCACTCACTCATGGCTTCGTACTCTTCCCTCGCGGCCCTGAGCATGCCCATCTCCCCCGTGGCCTGGTCGAACTCTGACCGCACAAAGTCGAGCAGGTCGTTAAGTCGACTCGGAGCATAGACGACGGTTGCACCGGCGCCACCGCCTGCGCCTGCGCCGCCGCCCATGGTCGAGGCTAGTGGTGGTGGCAGGCCCGTGGACCCTCCGACCCCTCCTCCGCCTGCACCTCCGACCCGGTCACCTGCACCAGGACCTGGTCCACCGACGCCGAGATGCGAAGCGTGCAAAGGTCCACCGCCACCGACGCCCTGTCGCCCGTCACCGTTGGCGTTGGCGTTGAGGTTGTTGCTCGACATGATCGAAGGGAGTGAAGCGTTGAGCGCCGAGGACGAAGCGCGGTCACCTCCCCGGTCCCGCTCTCGTTCCCGCTGGTCCCGCTGCTGCTCACGCTCTCGCTCACGTTCACGCCCTGAATCGCGCCCTGAATCACGCTCGCTGATTACACCGCCGCCGCTGCCGTGCCCGCCGCCCGCGCCCGCGCCCGCTGATGATGCTGCGACCGTCGATCCAGCGCCGGCTCCACCACCACCACCACCACCACCACTCCCTGAATGCGTTCCCAAAGGTCGGTGGTCGTACACTCGATTCGACATGACTCGTCCCGCGAGATGTGATCAAAGCCAGAGAGTCGTCAAAGCTCTGATCTATCCTCCCACGAAATGCAGGGTCGATGATCGCGTGCGGACGTGTCGTGGTCGTGAGAGAGAGACGAGAGGTAGCACGAGAACGTTGAGGGGGGTGGAAACTGCACTCGAGTGCTCTCGAGTGCTCCAAGTGGGTGGTGGGGCTGGCGGGGTGAACTTAAGGACCCGCGCCGCATGAGCTCATGAGGGCTGATCGGGGGCCAAACGAGCTCGGGTGGGGCCGTCAGAAAGTCTACGACAAGAAGATGATTTATTCGAGTTTCAATAAAGCTTCCTCTAAACCTAGGGGGATGTCGCTAAAAACGTGAGAGAAATCGCCATAAAGTTGACTAGTAAAGTTGAAATACTCGAGGTTGTAAAACGGACAAAAAAAGAGACACAGGCGCGCCAGTTGCTTCTGCCAGCTCTGGACAAAAAGAACCAGGATTCAGGAATGGCTCCCAGGCGCGCGCGCGTGAGGCAACGGATCGGGCAGCGCCAGGCTGAGGTGAGACCTTCGAAAAGTGATCGAGCTCGAGGATTCTTCGTGAGAAAATCCCCGCATGACCGCAATAGTCAGCACGACGATGCATGGTGAGGAATGACGACGACGCTGGCGAGGACGATGATGACCGACGACGACGATTATGGTGATGCTGGTGATGATGGTGGTGATGGTCGTGAACATGGCCGAGCGCGCGGCGGATCTGAAGCGAACTCATGGACAGGGGACCACGCATCCCACATCGAGGTCGGCGATCCACCAGTTGGAGAGACCGAACACCTTGTGGATCAAGCTGGTTCGAGTCTCGGACAGCAGATTGAGCCTTGAGTATCACCCCCGAGTTGAGATCGCCGTGATTGACCAGTGATTGTTGCTCCAACAGCTTGGCCTGAGCAGGAGCTGGGACGATCTAGCTTTCACCTCGGTTTACCGCGGTTTCCAACGCGGAGCTTGGTCGATGGGCCGCTTCACGCGAGAGGTCCGACGCGACGAGTCGAGGCGAGGAAAAAACAGTAAAAATTAATTTATGTGTACTCCCAAGACAAGTAATAGATAGCAAGTAGGAGTGTTCACGCTCGGATGTAAATTAGCTGCTCGCGGTTGAGGGCTACGAAATCGTAGCTCGTTTTTCGAGCACACCATGCATGGGCATAGGCATGCATGACTATGCGTCTAGGTTTCCTGGGTCATCTCATTGAGCTGCACGCAGGTACACTGTCATGCACTGTTATGCACGGGGATGCTTACGCTTTGGAATCGGCTCTGAGTGTCTCGCGCTCGATCCATGCCGGTTCGAATGGTTCGCAGCCAATTGCCGAGACTGCGAATGGGCGCATACCCCTGCATCGCTATACATTGAGTTGCACAATTAAGGAGTGTGATGTAGAGTTCTATATGCGTATGGACTGGATCTGACTTATCTCAGCCTGCTCCGAAGGCGTTTGGTCGCCCGGAGAGCCTGTGCCACACTTCAATCGATTTATTGCGCCATCGCACATTCCTGTTATGTCTCCCACAGGTATTCTCATTCCGTCGCTGACAGTCATACGGCTTACTTCTCCGCTGTTAATTCCTTATGCAACACTTGATAATGGGTTGAAGTCCTCGCCCTGCTCCTCTTCTCCACATGGCTCGATGTGCACTCGGCGGGGGGGGTTTCCCAACGAATCAGGTTGCGCGAAACCGATTCGATCCGCCGAGCGTGCACAGAGAGTGCCAAACTGTGTCATATCGTTAAGAGACGCTTGACTGAGAAAGAGAAGAGTATGCACGGGTATGCAATCATGTTCACATGCATGCAACCGTATGCAGTCGTATGTATGCAGCGTCGACAGACTCGGACTCCCGGTACGGCACGCGACGGCTGCTCCGCGATCCGGACCGGTCTCGCACCGAGTGGGGGTGGGGGCTGCAAGAGTCAAGAGTGAAGCGTCGGCGTGCCTGCTTGAAGCAAGGAGAGGGTGCAAACCCCATCAAGTTCAGGGGATTTGATCAATAATCCCTAGATCACTCGAGTATCACGGCCACCAGCCTGGGAGGACTGAGAGACCTCGTCAAGGCCGCCATTACTCATCCTGAAAGCTTTTTTGGCGCGGCCAAAAACTGGCGAAACTGGCGACCTTCGCTCGCTTTTGCGCTTGCGGCGCCGCTTAGTTCGTCGGGCGTCGCCGAGCCCGCTCAGGCTGTGTCTCGCGAGTAAATGTCGCTTTGGAAGGGGAAAGCTTCTAAAGTTGCCTTGCTTACACCTTGCAGCTGTAAACTGATGTCCAGAAAGGCGGGTGTAGCTGAGTGATGTGGATAGGAGAAGAGGTGGCACTGGATAAAGTTCACGAGGGCTTTCGTAGTATGTCAAGCCATGGCGAGAGAGAAAAGAAATAAAAACCGGCGTTGGACTTCGGCTCACCACTGCAAGACCGTTATAGTTGCTCCTCCTCTAGCTTGACCTCCTGGTCAATTTTGTCCTCAAGTTTGTCGTCCTCATCATTGTCGTGCTGGGCCCAAGCGATCAGTGGTCCCAGCCTCCTCGCACCTCGTCCCCGATAGTCTCGTCTCAGCCTAGACCTCTCTCCTGCCGTGAGGACCGTCATACATTGGCCTTCTCTCGCTCATGGTCCAGTAATGACCAGCGCCAAGGTTTTGCTGCGCGCCAAAATCAAACATTTGTGGCTGACATTCGTCAGGGGTCGAGGGACGGCTTCGTTTCACCCCATTTACAAACGTGTCAGGGGCTTAAGCTTGCGGCGAAGATAGAACACTCGCCCTCTCTTGATCTAGAACAACGACGACGCCGACGACGAGATTAGCCGCGATCGAGTTTAGGTGCGATCGAGTTTGGGCGCAATCGCGCAAATTGCCATTTTGTGTTGATGGCGTTGCAAGAGGTATCACAGCAGGCGAACCTCTTCAATTATTTTTTAACTTAATCCTTTTTTCAGAGGAGAAGGTGAGAGAGTCAGGTTGTCTTGTGAAGAGCCGATATTCGCTTCTGCTGTGACGATCATGAGCCGGTTTCAAAAGCAAGGTGGAGCACCGCTGGACCTCGACACGGCGCCTCGTTCGTTAGGGACCTCTCCTCTTCCCGAACCGAGGCACCTCCCAAGCTCAATCACTATGGTACCGATGGGTGGTTTCTACTCCCCTTCCTCGACCTTACTCATCTCGACGGCGTTCACGACCGCGTACGTGTCCTCAATCTACCTCTTTCCCGCCAGTCGAGTCTCGTCCGGTTCTTCTCGGCCTGTCGCACCTTCAACACCATTATCTACAAGCAGCACGCATGCATCGATCCCACCTACCGCCATTCCACGAGATCGTAACTGCCCCTCCGTCATCAGAGCCCGCCTCTTGGCGGTGACCATCGTATCCTCCCTCGCATGCCTCTCCATCCGCTCCCTCCTTCAACGCTACCCCCTTCCCCCGTTCATCCCCCCGCCTCCACCCTCCTGGGGCTCGACCTTCCGACCTCCGCCTCAAAACTCTTCAAGCTCATTACCTATCCTCTAGGACTTACCGCGTCCTTGTTCTTGGGCTCGTTGTACGTCGCTTTTCTTGATGGGAGCTTGTTGCCTGGACAAAGAGGCTTCAGGTGGCGGGAAGTGAGGGATCAGTTCACGTCGCTGCAGGGGATCAGGAATTACATCGTCGTGAGTTGCTTTTTGTTCGAGATACTATTCTGGATCCATCATCCTTCTGTCATCAGGGGTTTGGTGGAGAGCACTCCCAACCCGCGAAGATTTTCGCTTTCCCTTTGTGCTCACCCAGACCCCCCACATCGTCTCCTCCTTTCATTGCCTCGAACCAGGGTCCCTGGACCGAAGAACTCGTCTTCCGCTCGGCCATCATCTCCATCTCCGCATTGGGAGGCTGGTCCAAGAAACAACTCGTGTTCCTCACACCTCTATACTTTGGGATAGGTCAGTCAACAGCAGTGCCGAGGGAAAGTACCGAGAGGCTGATCACGCGCTTGATGGGCTTGCGCTCTGGGATAGCGCATGTGCATCATGCTTATGAGGTGTATATCGGACATGGGAGGACGAAACAAGCCTTGGTGAATGGTGTGCTTGGTTCAGGTAAGGGTTATCCTGCGAGTCAGCTGCCTGCTCGGTCGAGCATAGCTCGATTCGACGTAGCTGATTTGAGCTTTTTTTTTCTATGGTCCGACAGCCTTCCAATTCGCGTACACGACCTTGTTCGGGTGGTACGCCACGTTCTTGTTCGTGCGAACCGGTGCGTTCTTTTCTCCCTTCTCGTTCGACGAGTTTCATCCCGTGTTCGGTCAAGCTCCGAGCCAACCCCGTCATGCTTGCACAGGTTCGATCCTCCCTCCGATCTTGGTTCACACCTTCTGCAACTGGTGGGGCTTACCTCCCATCGTGGGTGCGTTGAGGGTCTATCCGGAGAAGAAGATTCGTACGTTCTTCGTTTATTCTTGTTTGGGGGGATTCTATCGGCGATGTGCTGATTCAGCACTTTTTACGGCAGCTATCATTGCGAGTTATGTACTCGGGATCGCAACTTTCAGTTATGGTTTGTTCAGATGGACAGAGCCGAGGTTGTTTGGAGGGAGTTGGTATTGGAATTAAAGGGTGCCAAGCTATAGATTGCAATTCTCCAAAACCAGCAAAAAAAAAGGAAAGATAGAAGAGTGAAGGGTGTTCACCCGATGGTTTAACCCAGCGCAACGATCCAATGGACCGACGAAGACTCATGCAGCACCCCGGGAGGATGCGTGGTGAGCAACGCCTTTACGACCAAGTAGAGGAATATCGGGAGCGGACGCAGGCCCCCTCCAAGAACCGTCCTTGCGGAATCCCAAGGCCTCTCGACGCCCGTAATTGAGGCGGAAAGTCCATACAGGATCAGAAGGACGAGACAGGAATAAGCGGGGGTCTGGTCATTGATGATGAATCCCGTTCGACGGGGGACGGGACAGGCCACTCGATGGGGGAGGAAGAACGTCAACGCTCTCGCATACCCGAGCTGCTCCCCATGATTGGTTGTCGAAGATGTGAAGGAAACCTAAACGACCTATTGAGAAAGGAACGCTTACACCGAGGTGCGAGCGTCAATCCGCAAAGGGAGGTTCCGAGCACCGGGACACGTGAGGAGAAGGAAGAAAAGAGCGAGCTAACCGGGCGGCTGCGAAGTCGTTCGTTCAACGCGCGTCGTTGCGCTATTAGGTTGCGCTTGGACCCATTCGGCGTTTGGCTTATTAGTACTGTAGTGGGGACTTTGGAATGCGAACTACATAGGGAGTGGGGCTGGTCTGTGAAAGTCGATATAACTCATGGTTTCCTCGAGTGGATAATTTTGATCAAGTCGAGCAGGGCATGTCAACGCTGGCAGTTAAGTATTCAGCCTTCGAGCTCCCCTAATTATAAGCCGGCGGAGCGGGGCGGGTCGTGTAATTATAAGCCAACACGAACGTCGACGGAGACAAGACACGACCTGCCCACAATACGATCAGCCCGTCAGTAGCCCGTCGACCTGTGAGACATCTCTGCCCGCATCCCGCTCGCGGGAGCACTATGTCGTCTTCTTCTACTACGGATGTCCACGATGCACCGTCTCCCCCTGCACAAGATGACGGCACCTTGAGGTCGATGGACGCCGTGCGCCACGCGCTGCCATCGCTCGATCACGACCAAACCCGACACGAGCACGAGCACGAACACGAGCACGTACGCAGTCACCACCCATCTACTAGCACGGAAACGATTCCCAATCCATGGGCAGAGATAGGATTGACGACCGTGTCGGCTGTCAAACCCTATCTGGACGATTTGGATCCATTGCAGCCCCAGTCGCAGCACCCGTCCTCGTCCTCGAACGCGGTCGTGCCACCGTCCACGTCCGCGACCTCGACAAGCTCAACCAGTACGCCTCTTGCACCTCTTGCGCGTCCTCTACCGCGTTCATCGGCTTCGTACGTCGCCGAAATTCAAACCTTAGGTCACTACGTCGCTCCGGGATCCAAGCTCGAGCTCATGTCGGACGACTCGGAGGAAGAGGACGACTCGCCGACCATGGCTTGCTCGCCCACTCGGAGACCCTTTTCGACCTCCGAGACGACCCCGAAGCCCTCCACGTCTGCGGAGTTGTCTTTGTCGAACGCGCCTTCGACTCCCCAGGGCAGACCGGCTCCCACGCCGGGATCCTCGGGCTTCTTTGGGGGCATGTTGAGGTCCTTCTCCGGATCAGGATCCGCACCGGGATCAGCTTCGGGTTCAGCACCAGGATCGGTCCACACCAGTCCTACCTCCCAGACTCACTACTCGAAACGGCAAGAAATCAATGATGAAAAGGCCGCACTACAACAAAGGGACAACGACGCCGGGCATGCTGTTCGACCCCGATCAGAGTCTACGACACCCGTGCCCAACACGACTTCGGTGTCTGGGCTCAGTAGCTCAAGTTCAACGACGGCACCACCACCGCCGCTGCCACCGCACCAACAGCAGCAACAGCACCACTCGGCCATGTCCAAGCCACTCGCTTCCATCGCATCCGTCTTCCGATCCAGCCCATCCAATTCTCGACCGTCAAGTTCCTCCGGCCCAGCACCGCCGCATCCCCCTCCCTCCGAAATGAGCTCCAAGCAACGTGAAAAGGCACCCGAAGCAGCTCCCACGACCTCTCTCCCCGAACCTCAATTCGACTTCAACAAGTTCCTCGAACAAATGCGCTCGCGCTCAGCCGACCCCATCGCGAAATACCTTCGCTCGTTCCTCAAGGAATTTTCACGCAAACCCCCCGTTGCGACCAATGACCAGATTCGGGTCATCAACGATTTCCTCGATTTCATCGCCAACAAGATGAAGGGCGTTGATCCTTGGAGAAAGTTGTTCGTCGAATTCGAACCCGAGAGGGCCGAGATGGAGTTCGATTTGGCCGTGGAAGCGATGGAGAAATTGGTCATGAATCGGGTGTGGCACTTGTGAGTCGAGGAAGGCATCCTGCGGTCGAGGGAGGAACAATGACTTATTCGAAAACGGCTTTTGTCAACTCGCAGAACGTTCACACCTGCGATCGATCTATCGGCACTACCGGGGGAAATGTCCCCGACTGGCGATATTGAAAGGGATCATGTACTCTCGCAGAGGATTCGACTCTTTGCTTGGGTCAAGCCGAGCCATCTCGACCTGCCCCTACCTGATCCCGAGGACGTCTCCCCTTCGGTCTCAAGGACGGATTCTCCCCTCCCTCCAGTCGACCTCCTCGCCGACGACGATCAACAAGCCCTCGCCGAGTCATCGACAACAGGCGGGACGAACTCCGCCCCGACCTCGGAGGACCCCATCCTCTCCGCCGCCGAACTTCGCGAAAGGAACCGCCAAGCGCAAGCCTTCCTCGATTTCTCCCGTCGCGAACTGTGCAAGATCAACTCGTACAAAGCCCCTCGGGACAAACTCATCTGCTTGCTCAATTGCTGCAAGATCTTGTTCGGTCTGATCCGTCAGGTGTCCAAGGATCAAGGCGCGGATTCGTTCATTCCTTTCTTGATCTATGTAGTGCTCAAGTCGAACCCGGAACATTTGGTCTCGAATATTCAGTACATTCAGAGGTTTAGAAATCCGGACAAGTTGACGGGGGAAGGGGGTTATTATCTGTCGAGTTTGGTGAGTGGGTCGTTCGAGCTTGGGGCCAAACTATTGACCGGCAAAAGCTGACTTGCGTGCAATGCGAGGCTTTGTTAGAACGGTGCGATTTCTTTCATCGAACACATGGACGCCTCATCGCTATCCAACATGACCCAAGCCGAATTCGAACGCAACATCGAACGAGCCGTCCTCAGCTTCCCCACCGATCGGGACGAGCTCCCCGCCGCCCAACGAAGGTCCTCCTCAAGCGCCTCTCCGATGCCTCGATCCCGCGAAGTCTCCTCCTCCCAACCCGCGCGATCCCCTCTCCCCCCTCCCAAACCCATCCGACTCCCCCTCCCTCATCAATCAGACGAACCAACGCACCAATCCAACATCGACGTCGAATCCGCTTCCGTACTCCCCGGTCCCTCACCCAACAACGCCTTGGAGTCGACGCGTAATTTCCTCGTTCGTTCATCGGATTCGGTCGAGAGGATCGTGTCGAAGCCTTTAGGGGCGATAGGGAGGATCTTGGATCAGTTGGAACAGGTCGCTTCGAGTGGGGCCAGTGGGATCGCTGGTGGTGCAGCTTATCAGCATCCTTTACCACCCTCACCATTCCATCATCAACAACAGCAGCAGCCACCGCAATCGGAGTTCTATCACCCTTCAATGCCTCAACAAGCCCCACCTCAAGGATGGCTACAAGGGCCCTATCAAAGCCCAACGGCGCCGGGGGCTCAGACCCTATCCTCCCCCATATCCCGTACCCGATCAGTTTCCCCGAGCCCCTCCATTCGTTCCACAACAAGTAGTGTACGACGCTACCCCCGTTCAAGAGGGAGCAGTACAGGAGCGCCTAGAGGTATGGGACCTCAACAGGGTTTTGTCGACCCGGGCTTGTTCGCGAGGAACGACCAGACGACGGAAGAGGTGACGAGGGAGATTGATCGGCAGTTCGAGGAACAGAGGTTGGCGGCGCTTGAGGTGAGTTTTCGTATTTCTTCTCTCTTTCTTTTCTTTCGTTCGTCAAAGAAGGTGGTGTTTGGACTGATGGTTGACTTTCAATGCCCTTCTTTCTCTGCGATCTAGACGTTGCGGAACGTCTTCCCCGACGTCGAACAAGAGGTACTTGAAGTGGTGAGTTATTCAAGCACCACAAAACCTTTTGCTCTGCCCTGCCCTTTCAACAGAATCTCAATCCTCTTCTTCATTTTATCAGGTTTTGCTTAGTCACAACAACGACGTCGGGAAGACGATCGACGTGTTGTTGGAGATGGCTTGAGGGGAGGGTTTATTGAGCTGATCAGAAACAGAGGGGGCCAGTGCGCACACATATTTTTGCTTGTAATTCTAATCTATTTAAGTAGATGGAGACGTGTTAGAAACGAACGTTGTAAGAGTCGTCCGTCGTCCGCTGAAAGTCTTCCGTATCTCGAACCAGGAAACGGTCACAGAAAATGAGTCGAGCACACTTTTGGACGTCTCAGTTTCTCAACACGAGGTAGTTGCAACACAGTTGACCAAAAGCAAACGAGAACCTTGTTCTCTCGTAGAAAACACACGAAAGAGACACAAAGAAAATAAACGCAAGATTAGATGGGAACACAACTGGAGGAGAGTACTCGGAAATCCTCGGTGACTAGTAGCGCAAGGAAGAAGGACATTGGACTAGGAAGACGGACATGATCGGTAATTCGGGGAGGTGGATGGGATAGGAAAGAAACAGATTCGTGGGGGTGGTAGCTCAACAAGAGGTCAAGATTCAGCCAGACAAAGAGGAGAGTAAAGGGGGCAAGATGGGAGGCGCGGGATCGACAGCGGCCGTAGAATTGACCTTGCCCACCGAAGAAGGCGAGGAAGAGGATTGTTGGGTGCGTGGGACGACGCCAGACTCTATGGTCGATGCGAAGGTCGACAGGCTGGAGCTCGTGGGACTGTTCGTCGCCGCTGCTGCAGCGACGGCGGCGGCATGTCGGTGAGGGTTGTACGGTGGGATCGCGGGGATCGACATGAAGGGTGTAGCGCGTTTCTGGCTGTTCGGGTTCGGTGTCGAATGCGTTGAACTTGATGCGGAGACGTCGGATGACATGCCGTTATTGTGGTGCTGATTGGCGAGTTTGTTCGCTGACGTGGAGAACGTCGATGACGAAGTGGATGTTTTTGGTGATCGTACGTACTTCATGTGGTCATCCAATGAATACCCATTCGCTCCGCTGCCTCCGGATGACGTGGGGACAGAGTTGGAGTGCGATGCGTCGTCGTAAGATTGGCGCAATCGCTGAATCTCAACAGAAGCGGAGAGCTCGCCGAGTCCGCCCGTACCAGGTACGCTCGGCGCTCGTCGACGATTCTCCTCGAGCTTGAACTGCGATGCCGGCGTCTTCGATGACCAAGGCGTGCGATCTCCTTCGGCATTGGAAGCCCCAAAGCCTGGGTAGGACGATGTTCGACCAACACCTTGGTAATTTGGCTCGTGAGGAAAGGGGTTCGACAGCGGATTCGAAGGTGGTCGGGGCAAGCTCGCCTCACGACGAGGCGTAGGCAGAGGGGGCAAAGGCGCAGCAATCGAAGGGCTATAGTTCAACGTCATCGCCGGTTGTGGTGGTGGAGCGACCATGGCCGCGCCGTAAATTTGCGCCGACGGGACCCCTAGCGCTGTTTCGTAAGCCAAGGCCGCGTAGCCGTATGGCGACATCATGGGTGCACCGGTGTTGGGATCAGCGTAGGCAGCGACACCGGGCGGTGCACCGTATATCGGATCGTACGCGTAGGCGGTCGAATGCACGCTCGGTTGCCGCAGTCCCATCCGCTCGAGGTCGCTCAGCGCGGCATCCTCTTCGAGCCCGCTGACCGAGGGATCGGCTTGGACGTCTCGATGTCGCAAAGCCCAGGCGATATCGTTCTCGGACAGCGTCTCGCCATCGAGCCCTAACCGTCTTCGATGGTGGAGCGGAACCACTGGTGTGAGCTTGGGAGCTAGCGCACTTAAGAGAGTGTCTGAGCGAAGAAACCAAGTCAGCACAGGTGTTCACCAATGATTTTCATCCAACCCATGAACAACTCACTATCCTGAGGCCGATCAAGATTCCGTTTCTCCCGTTCCAACCTCCTTCGCTTCGAATTGGCCTCATCAAGCATCGTCGACCTCAACTCAGCTCGGGCATCAGCCCACCAAACCCACGTCTTATGCTCCGCCATTTCGCGCTGCTTCTCATACCCAAGGTAAACGCTATTGAACTGGTTGCGCGCCAATTCGAGTTTCCTCGCGCGACGTAACTCGATCAAGTTGGTGAGGTGGATCAATTCGGGGTGAGCGCCTGTATCGACAGCAAGGCGATCGCGCTCGACTTCGGCCATGCGTTCGACGTAGAGACGATCCCTTAATCGAGCGAAGGCAATTTCGATCTTGGTCAAGGCCTCCATCGCCTCAGCCCGCTTGCGCATGAAGGCATCGTCGGACACCTGTTCGTCCTCGTGTTCGCTCACCGCCGCACTCTCGGCCTCACTGCCACGATCCTCGTCGTCCTCGTCGTCCTCGTCGTGCTTGCTCTTGCCGTTCGTTCGCCTCTTACTCCGCTTGACCGAGATTGCCTTGCGGCCTGCCACCCCTCTAGGCTTGGGGGACTCGAGCACTTCCTCGTCAGCCTCGACTTCCGGTTCGGGTTCCTCGTCCTCTGCTTCCTCTGCCCCATCAACATCCATCGCCGCCTCGTCGTTCGTCGGACCGTGTGTATCGGCCTCCTCTTCCTCATGCAGTTCTCCTCCTTCCCCAGCGCCCGAGAAAACACCTTCATTCGCATCCTCGGCATCCTCGGCATCTTCGGCACCTTCGACCTCCTCCGACCCATTGCGTTCCTGGTCGACTTCCACCCCTTCCTCTTCCTCTTCGACGTCAGCTCCGGGTAAAGGCGGCAAAGCATCGCCGGAAAGCAACCCTTCCAGCACTTCCGCGGCTTGCGCATCATCGGTTATCAACGCACCCAAAGATACTTCCCCCTGTTCCGGTTCCTCGGACTCGCGCCGCCTTTTATTGGGGTTGTTGTTCGAAGACGAAGGCGTGAAATTAGGGGAAGTCGCATCAAGAGGTGTCAAAGCATCCTGACTAGGATCTTCCTCTTCCGTCGATGACCGTTTCCTTGCACGAGCGGCAGCAGCAGCGGCTCCTCCTCGTCCTCCTCGACCCCCTCGACCGCGCTTTCCTCGTCCACCCCGTCCGCTTATGGAGGTCGACTTGCGTGCCGGTTCGATACCTTGCGAAGCGGAATCCCCCTCTTCTCCGGGTACGGGTGTTAAAAGTGCTTCAGAGTCGAGATGAGCCGTTGAAGCATCTACCACATCGACGTCCATCGCTCCATTAGACGACGACTCGTATGCGAGGCCATCGTCCTGCCGGACGACCTTGGAGGATCCACCACGCCCTCCCCTCCCTGATCCTCGTCCTCGTTTGGTTGCCCCTCTTCGTCCGCCTCGCCCGCCACGTCCTCTACCACCACCTGTCTTGTACTTGGGCTCCATCACGACATCGGCCTCATCGTCCTCATCGTCTTGCTCGGCGCGCTCATCCTGGGCCTGCTCATTAAGATCACTCAAGACGCTCCCCGCACTCGAAGTGCTCGCATTCGCGTCCCTCGTCATGCTCGACGACACGTTCCGTAGCAAATGCTGCTCCGCATCAACCTCCTCAACATCCGCCTCATCTTCATCGTCCCGGTCCTCGTCGTCCTCGTCGTCATCGTGCCCCTCAGTGTCCTGCGAAGGCTGATTCACCCTCGGAGCACGAGGCGTGACCTCCGCATCCTCGTCCATCTCCCCTTCCTCCCTCTCGTCCTCCTCCTCAGAATTTCCTTCCCGTTCCCCGTCCCCTTCGCCTTCAGAAGAGCTCTGCTCCGTTAACGAACTATCACTCCCCGGCGCGGCCCCACTCTTCCGCCGTCGAGCATGAACGGTCGGTATCCGATTCGGTCGTTCGCTCGAGTCCAGTCGAAGGCGCGCATTCGCAGGTGCTGCATCCTGTTCCTCTTCTTCCGCTTCATCCACGTCACCCGGATCTTCTTCTTCGTCTACACCGTAGTCGTCATACTCGTCCGGGTCCCGAGGCCCATCCTCATCTTCCGCCTCGTCGTCGTCGTCGTCATCCTCATCTCGCAAGCGCTGCGAAGCTGAAGGGAAAGGGGAGGGGGACTCATCGAGCGGTCCCGGACCCTCGGAAGCGGGCAAAGGTTCGGTCGAAGCTCCGATCGAGGATAACGAGTCGGACGATGCGGAGGGGGAGGACATGGTATGGTCGCTGGTAAGGGCTGTTCTTCGAGAGGTGGGAGGAGGTGGAGGTGGGCTACGCGCGGGCGATGCGATCGGGTGGGGTAAGGGGTCCGAGAGGTAGTGATCCCTGTGTTGTTGCGATCAGGTTGAGCGCTCCATTCAGGTGGATCCAAAGACCACGTACGCAGGTTGATTACTCACGCGACGAGGCGGCTGTTCCGGGCTCGATCACAAGGCCAGGAATAGGCACTCGCGCGAGGGCTGGCCTGGGCTACACCGTCACCGTCACCGTCGCCGTCGCCGGAAACTGGTGCGCTAAACTGGTGCGCTAATCGCTGGGGAGCAGCGTACTCGAGACGATTCGTGCGATGGGCCACTAGGGGTAAGCAACCACCGACGCCAAAGTAGAATCGTCGGCCACCAATGTTGAGCCACGGTCGACACACAGCTACGGCTGGCGGGTGAGAAGGCGCTGGAGCGGATGAGCGCGCGCAGATCACCCGCACCCGGGGCGATCGCTGCGAGACGACGGCGACCACACGATGTCTGCGCCACCCACAACTGCTTCATGGATCAGTTCAGTTGGTTCGACAGAGTAGCTGCAGCGAGGTCGAGTGGGCGTCGCAGGGCTGGCTCGCCCCGGCGATCGTGCAGCGTTGGGGCCAGAGGTGTGCCTCGAAGGGTCGATTCCACAGCTCCAAGGAGCGACTGCACGCCCATCGGAGCGCAGCCACCTCTCGGGCCATGTTGCTTAACCATGTCTTGGCCATTCGCAAGCCACGAAGAAGCTCCCAGTCCCCCCGGTAGGACCGGCCGAGCTACCTCGCCGCCGCACAGGACTGACTGGACGAGAGCGACCCGTCAACTCACCGTGGTCAAGCCTGAAGCGAAGGGTCGCACGACCTAGGGTCAGCTGCGTTGGTGCTGGTTCCACGAGGATGAGAGTTCCTCCCACTTGGGGCGAAAGCGGCAAGGGATGAACGAGGTGCGGTCGGGTGATACAAACGCAAGCAGAGAGCGAGCCGGAGACGGGCGCGCCAGCCAACGGGACCGCGCAGCCGCCAGCTGGAACTTGCAGCTGCAGGGAGTATTAGGCTCTGGAGTGAGGCCAGCTGAGGCCAGCTGATGGGCTTCGTTTGCCTGGCTCGACGTCAGCAATTCACCAAGCCAGATCCGTTCATCACTGCAGCGTCGGGCGCGATGGCCCAAAATGGGTGTAGCGTCTGATAAATTATAATAGCCAACTTCGACAGCGCCTACTACTTCGAATGGGCTGGGGAAAGACGTCGGTTTGAGACGCGCGATTTTCAGTTTAGGAGGGTAGCGTCAGAGTTGGCTCAGGCTGCAACGCCCTTCACGAATCCCACTCTCTGCACCTCAGTCACCGAGATGGAAGCTCACTACCATCCGACAATCAATGACACGGGCAGATCGTCCTACACATCTCCGAGTCGTTCTGCCCGAAACGAGAGGAATCTCCGAAGGCCAGTACATACAGTTTAAAGTCTAAAGCCATAAATTCCAGCTAGTCTTATTCAAAGACAGAATCTAACAAACGCTAGATCCGCTGGGCCACCATAACATGTAGTTGGTGTGTTGGGAATGAGGGTTAGGAACGGCGCGTTCTTTGGTAATCTGTTTAGAAGCGCTCGTCTGTTTAGTGAAGCCTGGCGATGCGCACCAACCGTTGTCTTCTCTCCACGTGTAATCCAACCGGGCGTGTAATCCAACCGTGGAGAGAAGACAACGGTTGGTGCGCATCGCCAGGCTTCACTAAACAGACGAGCGCTTCTAAACAGATTACCAAAGAACGCGCCGTTCCTAACCCTCATTCCCAACACACCAACTCACCCGTCGTCCCCGCATCGATCGTGTCAAAACCTGGGGCTGCGCCGCCCAGGTACCGTTTGCTCCCGAACAGCGTTCCAACAAGTTGGCTCCGCGTTCGCGCCTGTGCTACTTTGTCGGGTACTCTTTGCGCTCTAAGGCCTGGCGCTTCTACGACCCGGTTGGCAACAAGGTCTTCGAGTCGTCTCAGGCCAAGTTCTTCGAAGATCGCTTCTTCCCCGCCGCGGCAAACCCTGTACCTACTGTTGTTGCGCCCGCCGTTCTGTCCTATCCGTCCGCCCCGCGCAGGGTTCCTCCTCCCGACCTTCCCCCTGACGACGACGATACTGTCAATCCTGCGGGCGTCGCACCTGCCGTCGCTGCCGCTCCCGCTGTTGCCCCCGCCGCTGCCGTCCCGCCCGCGGCTGGTCCGGTCGACGTTGTGGCCCCACCTGTTCCGCCCTCCCTCGTGTTCTCCAACCCGGGTCCGGCGAACGCCCCTCCTGTGGGTGATCGTTCCACTCGTGCTCGTCGCCCCCCTGACTACCTGGGTTTCGCCCGCGCGGCTCACGACTTGGAGTTCGCCGCGCACGCCTCCGTCTCGATCGAGGACTTTGACGAGGACGATCCCGAAGTCCAGCTGTACTCGTACGAGGAAGCAACTGCCTTTCTTGCCAAAGTCGACAAGGACGACGCCCCTTCCGTTCGCGCGGCACTCGCTGGTCCGTTCCGCGACTACTGGCTGGCGGCCATGGCGACCGAGGAGGGCGCACTGGCGGCGAAGCAAACATTTTCCAAGCCGCTTCGGCCCCCTCACGGGGCTATCATAATCGGCAGCATGTGGGTCCTCATGGTGAAGCGCGACGCCGAGGGCAAAATCGTAAAGTACAAAGCTCGCCTCGTTGCGCGTGGGGACATGCAGAGGCGTCGTGGTGAGCAAATTGACTCGTTCTCGCCTACTGGCCGCGCCGCCTCCCATCGCCTGCTGCTCGCCCTTGCCGTTGAGAACGAGTGGGAGACCCGGCAATTCGACGTCTCGTCGGCATACCTCAACGGCAATCTCGGTGGGACGGAGATCTACATGCGCCTGCCCAGTGGGCAAGTCGTGCGCCTTCAGCGCGCGCTGTACGGACTCGTCCAGGCGGGTAGGGAGTGGTACAAGGTCTTCACCGAGTGGATTTTGTCGATCGGCTTCACGCGTACCGACAGCGATCATGCCGTCTTCATTCGCAGGGAAGGGGACAAGCGCTGTTTCCTTTCCATCCATGTCGACGACGGACTGCTCACGGGTGACGGCGACCTCGACGGCGTTCTCACTCAGCTCAAGGCGCGTTTTGAGGCTCGCAGCACGGACGAGGCGTCTTTCTTCCTGGGTCAGAGTATAATCCGTGAGGGCAAAACGGGTGCGGCCATCGTTACTCAATCTCATTTTGTGGATGCGATTCTCGAGGAATACAACATGGCCAACGCCTCCCCGCGCCCCACCCCGCTTGCGGCACCGTCGACGCTGAGGAACCGTGTGAACTCTGATTTCGACCCCGCTTCCATACCGTACCGTGCCATTGTCGGCAAGCTTCTGTATCTGTCCGGCACTACTCGGCCCGACATCGCTTTCGCCGTGTCCAAGGCTGCTCGTTTCTGTAACAACTTCGAGGCGGAACATTGGGAGGTGCTCAAGCACATTCTCCGGTACCTCGTCGGCACTCGTAACTTTGGCATTCGATACCAGAAAACCCATCAGCCGATGTCAGCCATTTTGGAGGGTTTTGTGGACGCGGACCATGGTGCCGACCCTGTGACCCGCCGCAGCGTCTCGGGTTACGTCTTCACGTGCGCTGGCGGGGCAATCTCCTGGATCACCAAATGTCAGACTCTTGTCACTCTTGTCACTCTGTTGAGCACCGAGGCCGAATATGTGGCCATGTCGTATGCTGCTCGTGAGGGGATCTGGTTGCGTCGGCTGCTGGCCGATCTTGGTTTTGAGCAGACATCGCCGACTCGTCTGAGGGGTGACAATCAATCGGCTATCACTCTGGCCAAGCACCCGGCTTTCCATGCTCGCACCAAACACATTGGGATCCATTTCCACTTCATCCGAGATCACATTGCGGAGGGCACAATCGAGATGGTCTGGGTGCCCACGGGCACCATGGCTGCGGACGTCCTCACCAAAGGGCTCGGGACTCAGAAGCACTATCAGTTTGTACACGCGATGGGGCTTATCGATTCATCGCGTGAAGGGGTGAGTTGGTGTGTTGGGAATGAGGGTTAGGAACGGCGCGTTCTTTGGTAATCTGTTTAGAAGCGCTCGTCTGTTTAGTGAAGCCTGGCGATGCGCACCAACCGTTGTCTTCTCTCCACGGTTGGATTACACGCTCGTCAGTCTCTTATTGGGTGGACGTAACAGGACCCGCAGCGGCGTGAAGAACGGCATCAGGGGTGCGCTGCTGCAGAGGCGACGACGGGAGGAGGTTGATAACGTAGATGGCCGCCTGCGCAGCCTCTTCCCACAGCGATGACGGCAGTCCCGAACGATGAAGCCACGCCCGAACAGAGTTGAAAATTGTACGCCAACTCCGCTCCTGTATGCCCATCTGACCGTGCTCGTATGCCGTGGATAGCTCGTGAAAAATGCCCCGCTCAGCAAGCCAATCCCGGAGGTCGTTGTTGACGAACTCACCCCCCCTATCTGTGCGCAAGGTCGCCACTCCCGGGCCAGTGTACTGGATCTTCGACATCGCAACGAAGCCCTTGAGTACGGACGAAGCCTCGCTCTTGAGCCGAATGCCGCGAACCCAGCGAAAACGTGAGTATTCATCCGTGATACCGCACAGATATCGGACGCCGGAGAGAGCAGGGACAGGGGAAGGCCTCCACACGTCGGCGAAGACCCGAGCGAAAGGTGCGTCGGCGGGGTGGTGGGCAGCCTCACGACTGGGGGCAGACACGGCCTTGCCGGAGCAGCAGGCATCGCACTGATCAAGGAGACGAAGTTGATCCCGGGTTACAGCAGAGATGTCGAGGGAAATGTCGCCCGACTTAGCAAGTTCTACCAAATGACCCCAGGACAGATGACCCAAACGCTGATGCCAAAGCACTACATCTGTAGGCAAGGAGGTGGCTGTCAGCGCTTGGTGATCCGCCAGAGGAGGTGAGGCCGGACGCGCCTGGAGAACGTAGTGGTTGCGATCGAGAGCGAAGGTGAGGTTCGAAGCCGGACCCGAGACGGTGAGACCAGAATGTTCGCCCGCGGCGTCGCAAATCCCAGACAGCTGGTACCCGTCCTTCATGAGACTGGCAAGAGAGACGAGCTCGGCGGACAGACCCGGGACGAGAAGGACGTCGCGGAGCTCGAGAGGCACCCCATTGGCGTCAAAGCGAAGGGTGCCCTTGCCGACAGCCATGGCGCTGGACTTGAATGCGCCGACTACGCGCACACGCTCCGTCGTGAAAGGCTGGAAATCGACCAAGAGATCCCGACGAGTGGTCATGTGGCGCGTCGCCCCCGAGTCGAGGAGGTAGCGGGGACCGTCGTGCAAGTACAGCGCAGAGACTTCGGTGTCAAGGGCGACGTCGGCAAAAAAAATCTCGTAAGAGTCGTCGTCAACCGATGGGTCGGGACCGTACTCAGCCACGAGCGCCATCGCGTCGGCCGCGCCGATGGAGATGTTGTGCTTGGCTAAGACGGCAACCCGACGACGGGACAGTTCGGTCGCGGGGACGGTACATTCGTCGCCAAGATGACCCTGCTCGTAGCATTTCCGACACTGCAACGGGCCCAGCCTCAGGCGACCGTTCTGCGCAACCCCGTGCGGCCACTTGTCCACGAGACCCGGTACCTTTGAAGCCGGGAGAAAACTGGACTTCGGTTTGCCGGACGAACGAGCGGGGCGCCTGCGACGACCCTGAGTCTTCGCCGCGAGGGCTTCGGCGACGTCGGTGCCGGAAGAGCGAGACATCGCCGCGCGACGAATCGCGCCCTCCACATCACTGAGCGACGGGAGAGGGCCGAGGGCGTCGATAACCGTGACAATAGGCCGTGGCATCCTCGCCTTCAAGAGGTCCATGCGGATGCCTTCCGACAACGCAGGCGGCGGAACCCATTTGTCAAACTCAGCTTGCGTGTACTTGACCCCGTCGATCTTGGCGCGCTGGTAAGCCTTGTCGCGGGAAACGTGCGCGGCGTTGAGATCGGTGAACAACCGGTTGAAGTGCGACAACCAAGGGTCGAGAGGGTCTCCGTCGACGTAGGCTTGGTACGAAAACAGGGCATCGAGTTTCTCCGACCGTGCGAAGTCGTGGGATGCGGCGCCGAGATCCTTATCGAGGGCCGCCCACAGCTCGTGCGTTGGCTGATCTGCAATGCGCGCGAACGTGGCCTCCCCCAGGCACACGAACAAGATGTTGCGGGCCTGCGCCAAGGCTTGATCGAGGTCGTCGACGTCATGACGGTAGATCCGATGTTGTGTACGGAACGTGGCTACGTCGGCCACTGTGGAGCCACCTTGCGTACGGGTGAACTCGGACTGTTCGGGCTCTGGGCCAACGCTGAGTTCGGTGGTGACGTGCTTGAACCGGCCATCGCCCTCCAACACCCGTTGGAGTCGATCCTTGGCCGTTCCCCAATTCGTGGCGTCGACGTTGCCATACAAGTCGCCCATAAGGCCGCGATGAATGGCGGACCCGGAATCCACCGTGGTCGTAGCCATCTTGGATATGCGCTGCGTCTTTTCTGCGTGCGGATCTGTGCCTTGCGGCAATACAGACGCTACCAAATAAGAGACTGACGAGCGTGTAATCCAACCGTGGAGAGAAGACAACGGTTGGTGCGCATCGCCAGGCTTCACTAAACAGACGAGCGCTTCTAAACAGATTACCAAAGAACGCGCCGTTCCTAACCCTCATTCCCAACACACCAACTGAAAGCAAGGCACAGATCCGCACGCAGAAAAGACGAGCGTGTAATCCAACCGTGGAGAGAAGACAACGGTTGGTGCGCATCGCCAGGCTTCACTAAACAGACGAGCGCTTCTAAACAGATTACCAAAGAACGCGCCGTTCCTAACCCTCATTCCCAACACACCAACTCATGTGTCATATATCATACACCCATATTGTATACGGGCCGGTGCCTCGCTGGGATTAGGACTGATGCCCCCATTTCTCAGGGCTTACATCAGTTTTCCCTCCTCCCCCTCAGCTCCCGGCTCCTGAGGGTAGATGGGGCAAAGTTGCCACCATCGCCTCCACCAGTGAGGTATGCTACTCCAAACTCGAATCGCCTCGTCCACCCGAAGCCCCTGAGCTTTTTCGGAGTGCCCGCCGCGCTAAAGTCAGGAGGTCGAGATCATTGGCAACTGGTCTGCGCACTGCGCAGCTCAGCGGGAGCCTTCTCCCAGAGGTAAACGTGTTTGGCGACTACTGACTATCCTCAACACCAGAACACACCAACACACTGGCCACGCTGAACGCACGCACTGCATGATAGTACCGCGGAGGGCATCCGCCGGTGATGGTCCGAGCGCTCGAAGCGGCGATACCCGGAAACACTCTTTGCGCATGAAGTAACGGACGATGCGGCCATGTGATGCGGTGAATCGAGGACAAATGAGACCCCGAGCAGTAGATCCGGCCCTAAGGCAACCCTCCACCGAACGATTTGATTCGTTCCAGCCACGTGACGTCGGTCGGGTCGTCAGGGACGTCGTCGCGCGTCGCCGAATTGCTTCACAACTTACAAGCTTTCAGCAGTGCTGCGCCTGCATCAACAGAGGCCATTTCGGGCCGGCCCCGCGCTCGCGCCGAAGGGCGATTGCACTCGATCACTCACAAGCTTGCCGCGCTTATTCGGCCCCGCAAATGCCACGAGAGAGAAACCTCGTCGAGAACTGTCGAGAACTCAAGCTGGTCATCCGTGATCGACCTTTCTTTGACTGGAGCCCTTTTCCCCTTTCCTCATCCCGCTCAAAAACATCTACCCGACCTTTCGGCTTTAAAGAGGCATGATTCACACCTCACCTCATCCACCTGTCGAGCTCCCCGTTTGTTCGGTCTGGGACAAAGGTGAGTAGCAACCACCTCGCACACCCTTTCGATGCCTAATTCCGCAGAGGAGGAGCCGGCCGACCAAGTCGGGCCGCTCCGACCGGACCTTCTGACCCTCACGAGCGAGCACTGACCCTCTTTCGGTCCCCGGCCTTGAACCCTCTATTACAGTCTGGTCGAACCCTGCTGGACTTGCTGATTCCGAAGTGGCCGTCATCGATGGTCCTTCAGGCCGAACTCACACGTCGGTCCCATTAGGAGTGCCCAGGCACCCCTGTTCAAGCAAGAACACCGCCGAGCTCGACAAGTCCGGTCGGCTGACGTTTCGCCCTTTCCCGCTGCCCCCCTCTCTCTCTCCTCAATAGCCGAGGTGACCTGAAGAAGAAATCACAACAGCTTGCGTATGGGTACCGACAACTTGGTCTGACCCCAGGCCAAGTAGTGTGCATCTTCTCCCCCAACTCGTTCTATTACCGTCAGTTTCTTTGTTGTCGGCCTCTTCATTTCTTGAGCCCCCATATCCTTTACCCCGGGATCGTCTGACGCGTCTCGACGCTTACGCTCCGTTTTCGTCTTCGTCCTGCACAGACATGATCGTCTTGGCCGCTCAATGCGCTGGATGTGTACTCAGTGGCGCCAATGCGGCTTATACATCCCAAGAGATGGCACACCAGTTGTCGGACAGTTCAACCGAGTTGGTGAGTCGACCGAACTGAGCAGCGGCGGTCGGAAATTCGGTTCTGGAGTTAAGCACTCAAGGTTTTATATCCTGAATCGTTGGTTAATATAGTTGATGTGCCACCCGAGCAACCTCGATGTGGCTCTCAAAGCTACAAAGGCCGTCGGCTGGTCCGAGCACAAGCAAAAGGAACGTATTGTCCTCGCCGTCATGACTGACGAAGCAGGTCCTGCAGGAAACAGTGAGCCACGGATCATGGTTGCATTGCACCCTCTTTCTGACCTTTCGACGCTCATCTTCTCGTCCACCTTCCTTTGCACAGCTTACAAATCCATCTCGGACCTGGTCAAGAGCAAACACGAGTTGACCCCTTTCCGTGTCGAGGATCCCAAATCGACCGTCGCCTACCTCGGTTACTCATCCGGTACCTCGGGCAAGGCCAAGGGCGTACGTACGTCGCATTACAACATGACGTCGGTGTTGAGTATTCTCAAACCTTTTGTCGTCACTAAAGACGGTGAGTTCACTTCGTCCGTGGTGGTCCGTGCGGCCGGGAGGGGAAGGAGCTGAAACCTCAACTTTTGACATCCATGTGAAGACGTCCACCTCGCCGTCCTGCCCCTGAACCACATCTACGGCCTGACTAAACTACTCCACTGGCCTTTGATCACGGGCAGCAAAGTGGTCGTCATGCCCAAATTTGACCTCGAGCCGTTCTGCGCGATCGTGCAAAAGTACAAATGCAGCGTATGCATGCTCGTACCCCCGATAGCTTTACTCCTCGCTCGGGAACCCATCGTCGATTCCTACGATTTCTCCTCGATGCGTTTGATCGTTTCAGGGGCAGCACCCTTGAGTGGTGAATTGGCGGAAGAGGTTTCGAAACAATTAGGAGCGGCGGTGTGTCAGGCCTATGGATTGACGGAGACGTCGCCGACGACGCATTATTGTCCGATCGAGACGCCAACGCCGGGGAGTATTGGACCTCTTTTACCGATGATGAGGGGGAGGATCGTCGATCCCGAGACGGGGAGGGATGTCGAACCTGGGGAACAAGGGGAGATGTGGTTGCAAGGACCTAATGTTATGGTACGTAGCAGAAAGCTCGGAAACGGAAGAACAAATCCTGACTTTACGGTCTCTTCCTCCAGCTCGGCTACCTGAATCGACCCGAAGCGAATGCCGAAACTCTCGTTGAAGACGCCCATGGCCGTTGGCTCAAAACAGGTGACATTGCCTGGGTCGATCAAAAAGGCTACTACTTCATAACGGACCGTCTAAAGGAACTGATCAAATACAAAGGCTTCCAAGTCGCCCCTGCCGAACTCGAAGGTACATGTCTCGAATGCCCTTACGTGGCTGATGTTGCGGTGATTGGTGTATGGGACGATGATCAAGCGTCGGAATTGCCGAGGGCTTATGTGGTGCTTAGTGCGGAGGGGAAGAAGCAGAGTGATGGTGCGAAGGCGGTGAGGGAGTGGGTTGATCAGAGGGTTAGTGCGCATAAGAAGCTGAGGGGTGGGGTCAAGATTGTGGATATGGTGCCCAAGAGTCCGTCGGGTAAATTATTGAGGAGGATCTTGAGGGAGGAGGCTAAGGCCGAGGCGGCGCAGGCGAAAGCGGCCAAGCAGAAGGCCAAGTTGTAAAGGAGGAACAGGGGTTTGAAGTTCATCTCGCTTGGAGGATCCTTTCCTTTCATTCTTGTAGATCAGATTGCGCAGAGACTGAAGTGGAATTACAAAGAAGAGACGGAACACGGAATACAAATCCCCATACACGCTGCTCGATTCCTCTCTCTAAAACTCCATAGACACGCCCTGTTCCTCCTTCCTCGTCTTGTTCTTCGCCTTAATGATGCCATCGATATGTCGTTCGAACAACTCGACATAAGGGCGTAGACTCGTCTTATCCCAACTGGCCGAATCGTCACCCGCGACGGTGACGTGTTCGAGTTCCATCAGCAATTGACCGACGGTGGGGACCGCTTCGGGGTCGAAGGCATCGACTTGTTCGGCGAGCAACGGGATACAGACGCGGCCTGAAAACGAGCGACGATCAACACGGGGTCAGTAACGCAGAAACATAAAAGCTGCGCCCGAAACACTGTTTCAGAACTGACCCGTGCCAGGATGCACACAAAACGGCGCCTTGAGCAAATGGTTCAACTTCTTCGACACCTCCGTATCGATCCTCGGGTACGTGTACTGCAGGATCAAGTCTTCCACCGCATCGAGGTACTTTGCCTCGGCAATGTGCGTTTTCGAAGGTGGCGCTATCCTCAACGCGCCCCAACGTTCAGTCGACGTTTTCGCATTCACGTTCTCGCTCTCCGCGGGGAAACGCTGTGATAGTTTGGAGGCGTGATCCTTGTCGGGTAAGGTGGCTAGAGCGGCTTCCCATTGTTCCGGTTGGGCGAAACAGTTTTGGTCTTGCAGGACAACGTTCGCAAAGTAAGGTTTGAGGAGGTCGAGGGAGCGTCTGTGCATAGCACAATTCAGGGCTAGGATCTGGTCAATATAAGGTTCCATTTCCCGGAGATATAGTCCGTCCAACGCACTGCATGCTAGGGTGAAGCGGTCGTCGGAGCTCCAACTTTTTGCCCTTGATCACCTCGAGGTAATTGACAATTGCCCGTCGTTGCTCATCGTTCATGTTGACGGCGGCAGCGTCCGAGATCCAGCAATGGATACCACGACGACCCGAGTAAACCCATAAAAGATGTTGGAAGCCAAAGTCCGCTGTGGGTCGGAACAAATGAGCACGATGGTCGGGATTTGTCGGACAATGACGACGCACTTCTCAATGTCTTGTCGAGGACTTTGACGGCCATGGCGATGAACCTCCAGCACCTCTTGCACATCGCCTTGTCCTTGCAGCACGTTCGAACGTTGTCGTCTGCACGAGAGTGAAATGGCCGCGCTCAGCATACGTCCTTACCCGAGGCGAAGATTCTGTACCGACTCACAATCCGTCATATCGATATCGAAAACGAGTTCTCGTGATGTCGGTCGGAACGCGTGCTTCATCAACGTTTTACGGTCCTTTGGCTAATCGAGTGATGATGCATGGCATGGAAGGTGAGCTGTCGGCCCCCCGCCCCGAGGTGGAGCAAGGAGCGAATCCGAAGACTCACTCGTCCGGAGTAAGTGGGTCCAATCTCGAAACGCGCCGGGTTTAACCTGACGATCTCTTTCTTCATCTCATCCGTGTTGGCGTACGACTGGTAACGTAGGTAGACTTCGTTGGAAAGCGTGAGTGCAAATTCGCGATGGGTGAATTGCTTCGTCGGGACTGCGTCGGGAAGGGTTCCACAACATCTTGTCAGGTGCTGTACGCTTTAAGAAGTGAGTACGACGTACCATGGGCTTGATTGAGCCATAAGAACATTTGCTTGAAGGGCAACACGCGTCGATAGTAGGTGAGCATGACGTAAGGATTTGACAGGTCGCTCATCGTCTCGAGCGTCGCGGTCGACGAACTGCGCGATGGAGGCTGAGGGTCAGTTGGATTTGCCCGTTCACACACGTAGATTCAGGTACTCACGGAAGTTTGGGCTTGGAAGGCTCATCATCAAAGAGGTTCTCGAGCGCTGTGAGTGGTATCATAAAGTGGGCGAATTGTCAGCGACGCGTCTCGACCGCTCCGATGCTTCGTGCGCTCGAGACGCGACTGACCAACACCATTAACGGCACCGGAGGATGTGATGTCGTTCATCGCATTCGTCCGAGGCTTGACGTCAACAGCAGTGGCCATCTTGGGAGCGGGGAGCGGGCAGTGGAGCTGGCGGTGAGGGTAAAGTACGCGACGCGTCGGAGCCAATTTGACCTCGCCGACGCGCGCGCCGCCGCCAACGCGCCAGAACATGGGTCCGAGCTCAAATCGGCCGTAAAGCTGGGTCAAAGCTCAAGTCCAAGAGCCCCTCGCAATCGGTGCGCTGCGCTTAGTGGCGTACTAGCAGCACTAGCAGCCTTTGACTCGGACTATGTATAATCGTGGTAATCGGAATCTTTTGTCTGTTCTGAGTCACTGAGAGTCTGAGACTCGCTGACTCCTGAGCTTGACCCGATCACCGATTGGCGATCGACGATCGTGGTGCAGCCTTGGCTGGCCTATAAAACAAACCGCAGATCATACCTGTCCTGCAGGTTCTACCACAGCTTCCCGTGAGGTACCGAGCGGTCACAAAAATTAAAGCCCTATTTCCGTCAGAAGCTTCAAGCCGGCAAAGCGCCAACGTCCTCCAACGTCAGCCGCTGCCGTGTGCGTTCAGTCAACATTGCGCACGCCCTCGCCCTCGGCATTGCAGGCGTCTGCGCTCGATCCTCTCCCTGCTTCCCGCGTCTCTCTGTCACGAAGCCCCCCCGGTCGTCCCCTCATCGTCGTACTGCGTTAGCTAACGTTCTGGACTGCGACGCTTGGCACCTCCGATCGGGTTTTTGTACCTGTCGCCCGTCGTGAGTTGCTCGCTGTGTCCTCAAGCAGGCTGCGCGTGTCGCTAACGTATGCTTTGCGCGCGTGCGGACGATGTAGCCCGAGCAGCGCAAGACGCGTTGATCGACTCGTGTGTGTCACGACTCTTTTGACGCCTCAAGACGACACTCCACCAACACACCCCTTTGGTCAGTTGACACAGCCAAGCTGGGCCTTACCCCGCCTGCTTGCTTGGATCGCTCGCGGCCTCGCTGCGTGTTGACCCAAGCAGCCAGCAGCAGCAGCAGCGGCAGCCCCGGCGAACGACCTCGCGCTGATCGAGCCACTGATTCGCCTCCTGTCCACCTCGCTCGCTTCCGTGCTTTGTTCCCCCCATTCCACGTCCACGCTCATTCTGCAGGCTCATCATCTCACGTTCTTTCAGCTCCTACGACTTACGACCCTGAGCCGCTGGTCTTGTTCACAACCGAGATTCCACGACCCCACCGAGACGACTGCGACTGCGACAGCGATTGACACGAGCACCGTCGCCCACGAACATCGTCTGGTGTGCCATCGACGCCCACGAACATCGTCTGGTGTGCCATCGATCATCGACGTTCATCCTCGATCATCGCCTAACATTCTCAGCCGCTGGGAAACTATTAACAGCACAGTTAAGATGGAGGAGCCGATTGCTGCTCAAGTCACGGGGCCCAACACCAACCCGACCTCATCCATCGCCGCGGCGGCCTTGCTCAACAAGCTCGAAACGCTTCTACGCGACAAGGCGAACGAGATTCACCTCGCCGGTCAACTCGGCTCGAACCTCTTGGCGCAACAGACCGAACTCGAAGCTCGCGTCAGGGAGATCGCTGAATTGCACCAATCGCTCGTTCGATCACCTTCCTCGCTTGATGCTTCGACGGGGGGGACGAGAAGGGCTCGAGGAGGGGTCACGTCGAATGGCGCTGACGATTCGAGCGACGGCGAGGACAAGGCCGTTGGGGCGGAGACCAAGAAACGACTCGACGCCCTCGAGAATGAATTGCGACAATGGGATGAAAGCAATCAACCTCTCTACCAAACGGTCGGGATGGCCGCAGCACGAGGGATCCCCGATATCGACTCGAACGACATAGACCCGACCGCCAACGCCAACGCCAACGACGAGGCCGAGCGGGACGTCTTCATGTCCCCACCGCGGACGACGACCTCGATGCAACAAAAGGTCGCACCACCTGCTTCGGCACCCAATCGTGGGCGAGGACTGGCCCACACCAGCTCTGCCTCCATCCCACCCGTCCCGAGTCTATCTCAATCCACCACCGTGGCAAGCGCAGCCACTGCTGCAGCTAGCGGTCACACCGATACCGCTTCGTCCCGTCGCGCTCGCAACAACGCCCAACACCGCAACAACGACATTGAACTCGCGACCGAGATTGGACAAAGTCTTTTGGGCGAGGTCAGACGGTTGCAGGCTTTGCTGTCGGAAAAGGAGGAGCACATGCGCGATGGGCTGAGGGAACGGGATGCGCTGGAATCCGAGTTGGAGAATGAGAGGTCGATTAGGCGCACGGTCGAGGAAAGCGTTGGTGAGTCCACAAAAGCTGATGGGGATGTTTGAGATGATCAATGATGCGACCTTGTGGAATTTGACCGGCTCACAGAGAAATACAAGGAAGAAAACTGGAACCTCGAACTCGTGACCCAGGACCTCCGCACAAATCTCACGGACTCGCAAAGTTTGTTGCAAAAAGCCGACCTCGAACGCCAACGTGCTCTCCGGGATCTCGCGACAACGCGTGAAACGCTCGATACGCAACGCTCCGAAGCCGAGAAGCTGGCGCAACAACTCGAGGCGTTCAAGCAAAAGCACGAGACGGATCTTGCGACAATGCGCAAGCAGACCGCAGGCTTGCAACGCGACAAGAGCGATCTACAAGGCACACTTGAAGGGCTCAAGACCGAATTGGCCACCCGCGCTCGTGGCATCAAGCGAGCGGGATCCGGGCACAACCTTGACCGATCCCCTGGCGCCGACGATAGCTTCGAGGAGAGGCGGGACGATCTGTACGACGACGAGGAAGGCGACGTCTTCCGAGGCGCCGCGCGTCGCAAGACCGGCGATGGCTTCCCTCCTGGATCACCGGCCGACCTCTTCTCCGAATACGGCGACGATTCGGTCGCGGGCTCTCCCGTGCAACGCGGTGGCTTCCTTTCGACGCCCGACGACTCGCACAAGGCTGGTCTTGCGCATGCCCAGAGGACGATCGCGACGTTGCGTGCTTCGTTGGCTCGCGAAAAGGCCACCAAGATGGAGTTGCGACGACAGCTCGCCGACAGTGGTATTGCTTGGGAGGAGGAGACCGACGCGGGTGAGGGCCGCAGCACTCGCCACAGTACACCAGCACGCAACGCGCCTGGAAGCGCACGCGGCAGTGTGCGCGGCAGCGCCCGGGGCCGAGGTGCGGCTCGACGACGCGGTGGTGTCGCCGTCGGTATACCTTCTCGTCTTCGTCAAGACGCCGGTGACAGCTCGATCGACGAGAGTGAAGAGAATGACAGCGTCGGCGGTGAGGCAATGGGGAGCTTCGATCGTGCCTCGCTGTTTGAGCATCAATTCCCGAGCGTCGAGGACGAGTACTCCGAGGTCGACTCGCCAATTCGCCACAACCGTGATTTCAGCCTCGACGATGCTAACCCCTTGTCAGAAGACGACGCCAGTATTCGATCACGTCGCTCCTCGTTGAGACAAACGACGAACCTCGGTGACGTCTTGGGCGGCCTCAGCAACGACAACTCGCATCGTCGAACCAGTCTCATGAGCCTCTCATCGACCGTGAGCGCTGCGCGCGACTCGATGCGGGCCCTTTCACCCGAGCCGGAGATGACGGCCATCGCACCCGTCGAGCCGGCCAAGCATCAGATCGTATGGACCGACTGCTCAACGATGACCGACCCCTTAGCCGAACCTATCGCACCCGAGCCAGTGACGGTCACGGTTTACGTCCCCGCTCCTATCCCCGACTCGGCCGAGATCGGCGTGCAAACCGAGCCACTCCCCGTCCCCGCCCCTGTGACTGTCGTCGAATACGTCGAGGTCCCTGCGCCGGTCGCTCATTCCGCTGTCATGGTCGACATGTCCGGACAAACGGACCCTGCGCCTGTCGCACCTACGAAGGAGATGGCGGTGACGACGGATCCGATCACAATGACCGAGGCCAGCACCTCGACCGATCGTGTGGGCTTGTCCGAGATGCAAGTCCAGACGGACCCGGTCCTCACCCCTGCAGCAACGGTCGCGGTCGCTCCTTCCTCTGTTGCGTCACCGCAAGACATGGAAGACAAGGCGCTCGCTTCGCAGGCTTCTTTGACGAGCCTCAACATTGGCAAGATCTTCAGCGCTTTCAGTCGAAGTGGCAGCACCCCCTCGGCGCCCGCCTCGATCACCCGATCTGCGACCGAGTCGACTATTGACGGCTTCCGCACCGCCAACGAAGCGACCGAGGACGAAACCGAGACTGAGACCGAGACCGAGACCGACAGCGATTTCGAGGACGCACGAGAGACGATCGGTGCCACCTCTCCGTTCCCGTCGACGACGCATTCGCGTTCCGAATCGGTCAACGACTTTGTCTCGATCCGTTCTTCGACCTCGGCTTCCTTCAACGCCGTTGGTCCTTACAATGCCGTCAAGTCGACCGAGGACAGCGATTACGACGACAACATTGAGATTTTGAGAACGCCACTCACTCCCAAGAATGGTCGTGAATGGACGGCAAGTCGCGAGACGTTCGGTAACTTCACCGTCAAGATGCCCATCAAAGTCACGGTGCACGAGGTCGGCGTCCAGACCGAGGCTTATGCGCCGCCCATCGTCGAGACGCCGCGACCCAGGACTCCGATCACGCCCATGTACGGCATGAGCAATCGCGATCGAGATTCGATAAACACCTTTGGTCGCGCCGATACCCCCGACAACCTTAGCGATGCAGCCGCGAGGGCGTCCTCTTTTGTGCAAGGCACCTACACCGATGGTGCGTCTCGACCCGAGTCGGCCATGTCGGGCTTCTCGCAGTACACGACCGATGCTGGATCGGCACCGCCCCTGTCCCCCGTCGGTCTCAAGCCAATGCGGCTCGTTCCCGAGGTAGCAGCATCGAGGATGGGCCCGCCTCCGACCCCCGTACGACGCAGCCATACACCCGCTGGTACACCTGGTCGTCCTGCTGCCGCCGGGCCTCGTCACAGCAACCTGTCGAGCACGTCTCATTCTTCGCTTCGAGCTCCCCCTCGCCCTACTTCGCCTCCTCCCGCCGACCTCTTGCACCGTGCTCAGAGCCCCGCCTTTGACGAGGATTATGCGCGGCGCTCCTCGACACTGCTCGTCCCTGGTACAGTGCGCTCGACGCCCTCGCGGGGTAGCTCGTTGCAGAACTTGCGCCCTCAACAATCTATGACCCAAGTCATGGACCGCAAGAGCATCAGTAACAAGTCGCGCAGCAGCACGATCAGTCGTGCCGAAGGAGCGGGTCACGTGCCACCTCTTCCCAGCGGTCCCCCTCTTTCTTCGTCCGCACGATCCATTTCAGAGATGAGCATGCACAGCGAGATGTCACGCCGACCCTCGATGGCATCCTCCAGGACGAGTGAAGGCGGCCTCTTCGACGCGCACAACCCGTCGCGCGGTGACGAGCCCCTACGCAACGGCGACGATTCGACGGACCCAGCAGTGATCCATGCTATTACGCAAACGATGATTGGCGAGTTCCTGTACAAGTACACGCGACGCGCGATCGGGAAGGGCATCTCAGAGAAGCGACACAAGCGCTTCTTTTGGGTGCACCCGTACACCAAAACGTTGTACTGGAGCACTTCGGATCCTGGAGGAGCCAATACGAATCAGTCGAGCGCCAAAAGTGGTGAGTCTGCTTGATCTGAGAAGCCTTTGTGCTTGGTTCGCGTTGCTGACCACTCTATGCCCTTCCCTGTAGTCTGCATCGAGGGTGTCCGTCAAGTCCTCGACGCCAACCCGCTGCCACCCGGTCTCCACCAAGGCAGCATCATCGTACAAACGCCGAACCGCGAGATGAAGATCACAGCGAGTACGCGCGAGCGCCACGACATGTGGTTCGCCGCGATCAGCTACCTCCTCGCTCGACCCGACCCCGTCGAAGGGGACACCACGGCCGTGAGCGGTGCATCGAACGTGTCTCCCTATGGTAAACGGTCCATGTCGCACCTCCGACGCAGCGAGAACGAACAATCTATGACTCCGAACGCCAGGATGTACAACCTCGGTGGATCGGCTTCCGAATCGCGCTTGACGCCCAAAGCGACCACTCATTCCCGCTTGGGAGGGACAAGCACGACGCGTAGTCACAAGCTTTCGTCGACAACGTTCAACTCAACCTACAAGCGGTCTGGAACGCCCGCGAATGATTATCAACGCTACAATGAGTTTGGGAGTCCTCGTAGTGCGCGGACGTTGTCGTTCTTGGGGGACGAGAGCGTCGAATTTATTGATCGACGGGATATCCCTGCGGGTCTTGGGGATGAGGAAGTGGACGAGACGTGGGAAGGTCTGGAGAATGTGAGGGCGTGTTGTGATGGCAAACATGATGGTGAGTTGACCCTTTCGAAGATGATTGAGCGAGTACTTGCTTTGTTGCGACGCTGATAAAGTTCTACTTGGGTGCCTGGTTCGATCTCACAGTCGGTAGCCTGAGTCGACGAAGCGGATCTAGCGCCCACCACCCCCATCACCAGTGAGTTCACTTGCCGCTTCGGTCGAATCACATATCCCTCGAAACTAAGCACAGTCCTTATCTCTTGCAGTCACCACTCGCACTCCAGTCGTCGATCGGGTCTGCTCTCGGACGCCGAATCACGTTCGATGCCCCCCTCCCCAGGCCACGGTCAACGCTCGCGCAGCAAATCCGCGCTCGGAACAGTCGGGTCGAACTTCTCCCGTCGGTTCAACGACTCGTCCTCGACTTCCCTTGGCTCAAACTCGAGATCAGGGTCCAAGACGACTGCGACTGCGATTGCGAAAGCGGGTCCGCCCGTTTTGGCACCTGCGACTCCGTTGGCGCCTATTACGATGAATGTCGCACCTAGGTGACGCTGATGATTATGTATATCCTTCTCTATGACTTGATGTGGTAGCATCATAATGCTTTCGTTCAATTTTCGATCTTTCTTCTATGTTGGCCCTTACGCCAAGCTAGCGTCTTCTTTGTCGGGTAATCTTGTCAATCTTTTGATTCGGTACACTCTCTTCCGCTTCTTTTCAATCACTCATCTTCGCTTGTTTCTTCTATATAATTTACTATGGTGATGCGTACACTTGATGAGCCAGGACCGCGGGGAGGTGTTCGAACCAGCGCAGAAGACGAGAGGATAGCCCGTCTTGTTATAGCTTCGCTTTCATCGGATCACGCGAGCGCGGTCGCCGATCAGCAACTATCCAGCAATTTAGCACAAGTTAGCGCTCGACGTCCCGGCTGGAGCCTCTTGGCACGTTGACTCCGTCCCACCCATCTCAGTCTCCACCACTGCTTACACTCCACACGATGGCTACTGACACCCCCGTCAAGGTAAGCGACGGCACAACTCTCCTCCGTGATCGCCGTGGTCGCCGGTCAGGCCGGTCAGGTCAGGTGTCGGCTGCTGCTACTGGCATGAGGATCCCCACTTGCGTCATCGGTCGAGCGATTCCCGCCGGGATGAGCAGTCCGCTGCTACAGCACACCTCGGACCCGGACGCCGACAATTGGTGGCATACAACCTCCTCTCCACCTCTGGGAACCACTGCTGACTGTTCATGTACCACTCTTGCAGAGCGAAGCCTCCTCCTCCGAGCGGCGCCGACGACGACGACCGCAACAAATGCCCGCCTCGGCCTCGTTCTTTGGCCAGACCGTCAAATGGTCGCTCATCACCTTGGTGCTGAGCGTATTGTTGAGCAAATCGCTCACGTCGACTTATTCGTGGGGTTACAAGGGGAAATGGATCGAACCTTCCCATGTAGGTCCCACCATCAGACTTGTCACGGCTAGCAACCCCCACCTCGTCATGCGGTTGCTGATGCTGAGCTCCGTCTGGTGCTGCAGTACCTCGACACCTGGCACTCCTTCACCAAGAGCGCCCCCGCGATCCCCAAGGAACGTCTCTTCACCGAAGCCGAACTCAGCAAGCACACGGGCAAGGACCCAAAGTACCCGACCTACATCGCGATCGATGGTGATGGCAAGTCCCCAGGTTGTCTGATGCATAACGTAGCGATGGTCAAGCTGATCGTAGCGGGATCTTGAGGCTATGCAGTCTATGATGTTTCTTCGAGCAAGGCGTAGGTCCAGCGGTCCCCTGTTGATCGTTCTGGCATCACTCCAGGCTCACCCGAATCTGGGTTCTCTCCCAGGTACTCGCCCGGTGGATCGTACGACTTTTTCGCCGGGATCGATGCCGCTCGAGCTTACGTCACCGGTACGTGACATGCCCGTGCTTCTGGACGACTGAGATCAGGACACCCTTAACTGATTTCGCGAACCCTTCCTTCTCGCTCTGCCCAGGCTGCTTCGACACGCACTTGACCCACGATCTTCGTGGTCTGACCGAAAAACAATTGGGCGGCTTGACGCACTGGAAAGAGTTTTTCAGTGGACATGGTCAGTACACGTGAACGTTCGCCGGTGAAAGGGGTTTTTTTTGAGCCTCCGCCGACTGATCTCGACCTAATCCCGCGTTCGATGGAACAGAGACCTACAAGAAGGTTGGACGGGTACTTCATGCCGCGATCGATCCTACTAGTCCTGAACCGGCTGCTCATTGCTAGATGTTGGAAAAGAGGGAAAAGGTCTCGGGTTGAGAGGCAGTGGTGAAAGGAGGGACTTGGTTGTAGAACCGGAGAGTTGAACGAGAATTTTGAGACCACTTGCCTGATTTGAAATTGCTGCCCAAGCGCTTGAGGGTGAACACGAGCCAGAAAGAAAGGAGATACGTTCCCTGTTTTTTGCCAAGAATTATCCAAGAGTGTGAGATGGTTAGTGCACCGATCGATTCACAGGGACCCAAAGGAGCCCAAAGGCCGCCGCGGCCCGCTACCGACCGATCGCCAGCCAGTCCATCAGCGCTCCGGCTCTCGCTCCTCTCACACACTGCCCACATTCCGATCCGGGACAAGACCTACACCATGCAGCGCACCACAACACTAGCCAAGACGACCCTTAGCCGTCGAGTGGTTGCCTCCTCGCCGCAACTGTGGAGGTCCTACAGCTGCACTCGTGCCCTGCAGCACTCGACGTCATCCTCATCCACTTCGGCCGCCTACGCTGCCCCCTACTCGACCACCTCCTCCTCAAACAGCAAGACCAACACCATCTCCGCCTCCGAGATCGCCCATTTCTCCTCCCTCGCTCAACACTGGTGGGACCCCACCGGCGAGTTCAAGCTGCTCCATCGCATGAACCCCAGTCGGATCCGGTTCCTGCGTGATCGCGTGCAGAGGGTGCAGGAGATCGATATCGCGGGTGGCAAGTGGTTGGACGGCTTCAGTGTGTTGGACGTGGGCTGTGGTGGCGGAATCTTTGCCGAGGTGGGTCTTGGGTGCCAGGGCAAAGCTGCGTAGTTCGTGTGGCCTGATCCAGGACGTTCCAATCAATTGCTTTCAGCCCCTCGCTCGATTGGGAGCCACAACCACAGCAATCGATGCGAGCGAAATCAACATCAAGACAGCGACACTGCACGCCTCCTTGGACGATCACCTCACGCACCGGTCCAAATTGGAGTATCGGCATTGCGCCGCCGAGGATCTCGTTCACGAGGGCAAACAGTTCGATATCGTCTGCGCGATGGAAGTCGTCGAACACGTCGAGGATCCGAGAGCGTTCTTGAGATGTTTGGCCCAGTTGACCAAGGTACGAGTGAAGAAGATGTGGTATTGTGCAAAAGGGAACCTGCGGGATTTGCAAACGCTGACGCGAATTCTGCTCTCTGCGCTCCTCCCCAATTCTCGCCCTCCATTTCTCCCGACAGCCCGGCGGTCATCTTCTCCTCTCGACCATATCCCGCACCCCCCTAGCCCACTTGCTCACCATCACCCTAGCCGAAGATCTTCTGCGCTTCGTCACTCCCGGCACACACACCTACTCGAAATACATAAAACCTTCCGAACTCGAACACTTTTTCGAAGCCGACCTCGGATGGCCAAGGGGGACTATGGAGAGGAGAGGCTGCGTTTATGATCCGTTGAAAGGCGATTGGAGGTTGTTTGGGATGGGGGAATGGGGTGGCTTGGCGGAGGGGGTGAATTATTTCGCGGGGATAAGGAAACCGCTGGAATGAGGGAGGGCGGTGTGGGGCGAGATGGGATTCAGATGAGGGCTTTTGTACGATACTCGTCAACAGGTGGAAACGAGCCGATTTTACATATTGAGCACCGTCGAGCACCCCGCGCTGGCTTTCGGACATCGGTGAAAACCGAATCCGCATCAATGCGTCTGCGGCCTACGTTCGTGGCTGTTCAGCCGCCAAATTTATCCACGACGTCAAAGTTCAACCAGCCCTCGAGCTATCCGGGCCACCGAATGGTCTTCACGTTCGATAGTCCGAGCTTTAGGTGAATCATCGTCGGCGGTTTAACCATCGCCCGGATACACACGCACAGACAAATCGATTACCACGCGACCGAAAGTGAACACACGTTGCTCTACACGAGGCTGCATAGTTCGATCGTTTGAACGTCCCCCAGTTCGCGCACTCGGGCGCAAGGATAGTCACTCAGACCAGTAATCCCCCAGATTGGAATATCAGCTCTGCGCCTCGGGTGAAGTTCCGAGCGTCCGCATTTCCTCGCGGAGGAAAGGACTTTGTCCCTAAAGGACGAGCAGGCTGGTCCCTTGAGTCGCTCGCATCCTCACCAGACCAGGTGCCGGAACTCGATTTCTTTAAAGAAAGGCGCTTGCCCGCCCAAAGCACCTCCACTCAAACTTCTGCCGCACGAACCCATGCATGTGTCTATAGGATCGCCTTCCCCGGCCCAGGAGCAGTCGCTTCTCCGCTTCCGTCTTGATTCGCTCCTTCGGGTCGTTCCGCAGTCGTTTCCCGCTCCACGGTCGTAAGATCATTGAGTCCCTCCTCCTTCGCGCCCTCTTCCTTTGTGCCATCAACCTCCACTTTCTCCAACCTCTCCGTCAACTGCTCGATATCCTCCTTAGAACCCCCCCGCCCGCGTTCCATCGGCGCCTCTCTAACCTCCTCCACCGTTGTCTCCACGTCCCCATCCTCCTTCTCCGTCCCTTTCCCTTTCTCCCCCATCTCCCACGTCTCTCTCAACTCCTCCAACTCCCTCTCCCACCCCAACTCCTTGACCAACTCCAACACCCCCTCATCACTCTCCCCCAACCACCTAACATCCTTCACCCCCCTTTCCTGCCCAACACATCCTCAAAATCGAACCCGTCCGGTCGACTGCCCAAGAACCGACTCGAATGTGGGCTCAGCTCACCCACGGATTCTAGGTTGATGAGCAGTCGGGGAGTTTGGGACGGAACGCGGTTCATGAGGGATGCGAAGGGTTGAACGGAGAGGGACGTGCCGAGCACGATGAGGAGGTCACAGCTGGTGAAATCCTGAAGGAGGTGGGGTCGGACGGCAGCAGCTGGTCAGCGCCAGCCGACTCAACGTGGGATTTAGGGTGGTGCGGTTTGGATCTTATAACTCACGTTGATCCGATCAAAGAATCGTTTTGGTAACCCTTCGCCGAAAAAGACAATGTTGGGCTTGACCTACAACTCGATCGAAAAACCGTACTCCGAATCAGCTCAACCCCCTCTTTCAAACCGAACCCGACATGCACAAGACTCCAAACTCACCAAAGCCTTCTTATCACCCTTACAGCTCTTCAACGAGCAATACACGACCTCACCTTTTTCGATCTGGGGCTTGATCGCTTCCTTCGAATACTCCTTCTTGCACGCGAGGCATTGCGCGGATTCGAACGAGCCTGCGCACATCCAAACCCTTATGAGCAAACCTCCCTTCCCTCCCTTTACTACGAACCACGTACCATGCGCCTCGATTAACTTGTCATCCTCGACTCCGGCAATCCTTTCAAGCGTATCAATGTTCTGCGTAGATACGGCCTTGAGCAAACCCTTGTCCTGCAAGAGGCGAAAGAAATGATGCGTCATCGTGGGTCGAAAGTTGCCGGGGTAGAGTTCCTTGGCGAGGGTGTAGAAGGCTTGAGGTTTCTCGAGGAAGTAATCAATGTCGAAAATGGCTTCGGGACTGGGGGTTTGGAAGCGGAGGGGGGATCAGTGGCGGCGTGCAGCGAAAGGTTTTTCTTGTCTGGATGAAGTTCTCTTGGACGTACTAGGGTAAATCGTACTTTTCCAAATTGGCGTAGAGGCCCGTTTCGGGTGATCGAAAATCAGGTCTGGGAGCGTGGGGAACAGGGGAAGGGGTCAGTTTAGGGGCGTGCCGTAAGGGACCCTAAGCAGAAAGGGTGGAGATGACGAACATCCCCGCGGCGGTACTGATCCCTGCCCCGGCCTGTTGAGCGGGGACACGAATCAGGGTCAGCACCTCCAACCCGACCAAAAGGACACGAGCGGTCTGTACGCACCATTACAATAACATTCTTTGCCCTGCCCTGCTTGATCAACTGCGCGACATCCTTCACACCCGGTTTCTTGCCCGGTGCGAGGTCGGGGAACGTCCTCGAGAAAGTCCCCGATGTTGCGCTAGTCGGCGAAGATCCCATGACGATTTGAGAAGCGCGTTTACACCAGTCTGCTATTCTCCGTGGTGGATGTCTCACCCGTCGTCGTAGAGGGGGTCGTACTGTGGCTGGCTACTTTCGCTCGTCAAGCGCGTTTGATCGGGCGCGAGTCCTGACGGAAAACTTCTTACCCGCGGCTGTAGGGGAGTGGTGGTTGGGGACAAGGTCGAGGTGGGATAGGTTCAATGTCGAGCGACGTGGGAATCCAGCGTAAGGAAGGGAGGGTCGCCGTGTTGGGCGGTGGGGAACGCGCGCGGACGGACCGGCCAGCAAGTGACTGCTTCGGGTTCCCTTGCCGACTCGGCCGAGCCAGTCGCGGGCCAGCGTCGGTTGCCAAATCAGACTTGGCATCAGTGCGTTCATGATATTATGTTCGTGATCAAATATCTTTGGTGGTTCAAGGTTTATTTTTCTCGGCTTGAGTTGAGGCCATGTGAAAAAGCCAGCCTGACTCGACGCGGTTGAGTTTCACGGTGCCGCTGAGGCCGTCGTCTGGTCCAATGTGGGGGCGGCGACTGCACGGCCGAACAGGAGAACGGAAGCGCTTCGCAAGCGATCTCCGCCTCTCTCCCTCCCCACTTTTTTCCCCTCCCCACCTCCGCACCCTCACCTCCACCTCCCAAACTATGGCAGCCACGCTTGCTCCCCCTCCCCCTCCCCCAGCCACCCCAAGCCTGCTCGCCACGCTCAAACTCTACCGGACGTCCCTGCGTTCCCGCCACTCGCTTCTCTCCGAACTCGAAGCTGCGCTGACCTCGTTCTTCACCAAAACACCGACGCCCCTCTCGACCCTGAACATCGACGCCGACAACCTCAACCGAACGCCAACCTCAACCTGCGCGACCGAATCGATCCGACCTCCCAACGTTGAAGAACTACAAGAGATCCTCCGCATCGGCTTTGAAGGCGTGTTGGAAGCCAAGCAGGAGCATCGGCTCATCGCGGACAGTCTCGAGCATCGATTCCAACGAGCCGATTTGAAGAATGTGGTCGAGAGGATCGAAACGATGGAAGAGGAGAGGTTCAAGCTGGTCCGTTTCGTTTTCACTGGAACGGAGAGCGGAGAGCGGAGCTGGACAGAGCTGATCCCGATCGACTGGCTGTTGACAGATGATTGAGAGGGATCAACTGAGGAGACTGGATATGATCACACAAGTAGGAGAGGGAGAGTTCCAGTCCTCTCTGGACGGGTTTGAGAAACGGTACGTCCACCTGAGCAAAAGTCACTTAGTCACTTCGGCCGCTGACCCCACCTCGAACTGGCCCCACGACGACTAGCCGGCGAGAACTGACCCAAAAGATCCACGACGAAGAGCGCGAGATCGACGCCGAGATTGTCGATCTCGGTGCGGCAGAGACAATAGACACGACAGAACAAGTTTGATGATGCAACACATTCACTCTCTCTGCGAACGCAAGCGATCGACCGAGTCTTTTCCGAGGAAATTCCTGCTTCAGGTATTCGCAGCTTCGGACCGCTTATGGGCGCCACTAGATTCCTGTATCGTACCCTGCTCGTTCTCAGGCCCCTTTGCACTTTCCTCCCGTTTCCCTTCCCCCTTTCTCCCCTCCCCCTCCTCCACCCACGTCCCCTCCTTCCACCTCTTCCACACCTCCAAACTCTCCGTCAGCTCTTCATCGACCCCGATCCTCGCCAATCGCGCTCTATACTCCATCTCCTCCCTCTCCGTCTCCCTCTCCGCCAAGGGCAACTTTAACCTAAAAGCATCCTTGGCATTCAGATAAAACCGAAACAACCTTTTATCGCGGAAGAAACCGAGCCTCTCGTAAAAGGTCAAAGCGGCGACGTTATCGAATTCGGTTTCGAGCATGACTTCTTGCGCTTGGTAAGCGACCATCTCGGTGATCGATAACTGAACCAATCTCGTCGCTGCGGACCGGACCACACACGAACGCACCACATGAATTAGATCGGTTAGGTGGTTCATCTATCTCCGCCGCCCTCCCCCCCTTCTGCAACCACTCACCGACTCCTCGCCCCCTACAACTCTTCACCACTGCGAGCATGGCGATGTAACCCCTCTCGAGGCCCTTCTTGTGCAGGTCTTGCTTGCACACGATCGTGCCTATCGGGGCATCACCCATGTAGGCCTGTGTTGAGAGCGTCTCTTTGATGAGATCAGGGGCAACTTTGAGGCTAGGAGGGTTGGGGGTTACGTACGAAGAAACATAGATGAGGCCTGAGGACGTCGGCGCGAAAACTTGAAATAGTCAGCCACAAGGGGTAACGCCCACTCAAGACCTCTGCAAAAGCTCGGTAGCTCGACTGACCAATCTTGTAAGAAATAACGGTACGTGTACCAATTGTACGGCTCGGACAACTCGGTCTCGACCAGCGCGATGATGAGCGGAATGTCCTGTAGGATCCCAGGTCAGATGAACGGAGCACCCAGATGGGAACCTTCTTAGTTCGTGACTGACTTCTTCCCCGGTGTATCTCCGATAGGTAATGGGAGGACCTCTGCGGACCTGCCCCTTCGCCTTTGATGACGAAGCAGTTGGTGGTGCAGGTGGTGGTGCAGTCGACGTCGAAGCGATCGGTGGGTCGTCCTCACGCTCGTTCAATGAGAGATGCTCGATGGCCGGAACAGGACAAGATGATGGTCTGCTTGGTAACGGCGGCAATGGTGGTGGTGGTGGTGGTGGTGTAGCCATCGTTGTTCGTAGGCTGCGCGGACGGGATCCAAGAGGGACGTGTCTCAACGCGAGGCAGATCGTCGACGCGCGTCGGGTTCGGCCCGCAGCCGTCCGGAAAACCTTCGCACGTGATTTTCTTGACCATTCACAATTCCAATTCTACCAAAACCCTCGAGTGCAAATCTCAGCCAGCACTGACACCGCCACCAACTCCCATCGCTCAGGCACCTCCCAAAAAATTCCGTCGAATGATCATTCCATCCTCACCGTCCCCAATCTCCTCCCAACCCCATTCCACCACTCCCCGCTCCTCACCCACTTCCCCCCGGCACCCTTAACTTTTTCCACACCCACGACCCCTGCCGCACATCTTACGAACAACGTCTTGGTTCGTGGATCAAAGGCCGTTGATCCGGGTGGGAGGGAGGTCAGTTCGGCGATGGGGACGGAGTCGGGTACGGAAAACGCTGGGTTATCGAGGAGTTGGATTTGAATTGTTTTAGAGGGCTGGGAGGGTTCGGTGGGGTTGGAAGGGAAGGTTTTGAGGGTTGTCCAGAGTGGGAACTGGGCAGGTATAGCCGGGACATGGAGGATTGATCAGTTTCCACCAGCGAGCGCTAGCCTCCACCCCCTTATGAGTGTGGTTCTAGATCCTCACCTGATGTCCAATTCCCCTCTGCAACCTCTTCAATTCGTCCGACCCCATCCTATCCCAGACGATCCTCGCATGATCTCTCACGATCTTGGACGCATGGGAGACGACCCCTGTTTGGGCGACGGCATTGGCCTTTTCCCCCGGATCAAACGGGACAAGTCAGCTTCTTCTCTTGACAAAGTTGTGGTCGGGGACCCGGTTCTGATGTCGACGCACCTGAGCTTTCTCAAGATTACGCAACACCTCGACGAGCAAGTTCGCTCCTTCCCTAGCCAAGATCGGTTCGAGTGTCTTGAAATCCGCCATGGGTGGCATGCTCTGTTTTTCAACAAAACAAAAACCCGTCGGGTGCACCAAAAGTCCGGACCAGTATCAGCCCAGCTTGTTACCCTATCCGATCATGCTGACCATCTCAAAAGATAGAAAAACGCTCACGACATGCTTTTGGCCCAAGAGCCTCCCCTGATCGAATTTACCCCTACTCAACTCTTGCACGCTCACGCCCGTGCTCTGCTCCCCGTGAGCAATCGCCCATTGAATAGGAGACGCTCCTCGATACTTTGGGAGCAGGGAAGGATGGACGTTGAGCGTGTTCAAGGGTGGGAATAGGGATAAGAGGGTGGTGGGTATGAGGTGGCCGAAGGAGGCGGTCAGGAGCAGGGTTCGGGAAGGGTCGAGCAGCGAGGGGGTGCTCGATGTGGGGTCGAGGAAGGAGGTGGGGGGCTGAGTGGTGGGTTGAGAAGCGGAGGAAGGTGGTATGTGGGTGAGGGTGAGGGTGAGGGTGGGAGCAGGTGAGGGGAGTGTGAGTGCACCTTGCTGGGCCACAAAGGATTTGAAGATCCCTCACCTTGTATGCTCTGAGGGGTGTGGTCGGAGGTAGCGCGATCGAGGTGAGGTTCAACGACTCGGCCATCTCTCGAAGTGGGGCTGCGAAGTGCGGAGGAAGAGTCGGGAGGGGCACAGCAGGGGAAGCGCAAGGTTCAGACTTGTAGGAATCCAAGATGCACTTCATTGCGGGAGTGGTAGCCGGTGAGAAGGGAAAGCAGTGAACGTACGCCTGTGTATGGTCTTGAGCCCTCTGCCCGTCCTCGCCTCGGGTGGAGTGACCACGACGAGCTCCTCGACCAAATCTGTGCCCAGGTAAGGACCTCAGCTGCTGCGAGCGAGTAGACGGTGCAACCCCCAATCTGCGCGCTCCGACTCACCTTCTCTAGCGTCATGTATCGCCGCGAGCGTCGCACAGCTGAACTCGTCTGCCCCAAAGAGCAGGATACGGTACGGTGCACGAGGCGCAGCGGCGTAACGATCCGAGCTGAGCAGTCGTCGTTTCTTGAGCGGTCGTGTGGTGAGTTCGACCTGCTTCCATACCGGTCTGAACACGTGGAACGACATGGAGGAATTCGGGTAGCAGCGCACGAGTAAAGTGAGCGCAAGAGGAAAGTGATCGACCAGAGTTGGAGGCGCGCTTGCCGCTCTTCCTCCGCTGTCCTCCTCGATCCATTCGTCATCCCTGATCCACGTTGGAATTGATCACCATGTCACGACGCGTCATGACTCGGTTGAGACCCTGGCCCAGACCCGCAACATCACTGATCGCGTTGGCATCAACGAGGTCGCTCAGCTCGCAGTCGACGGGTGCCGCCCCACTCTGTCCTCCCCGTCGAGCGACCACTCCATTACGCCGGACGCCTCAACCAATAACCCGCTCCAAATGTTTATCCTCCTCAATCCGCACCCAGCACCCCGATGCACCTCCACCGCAACGAACCGTCGCGATCCTCGGCGGCGGTCTTTCGGGCCTCTCCTCGGCCTTCTACTTTCTTCGCGCCTTGCCTCCCCACCTACGCCAATCGACACGCATCGTCGTGTGTGAAAAACAAGATCGAGTTGGAGGCTGGTGTCGAGCGATCAAGGTGCCTCTCAACGGTGGGAAGCAGGGAGACCAACTTGTTTTCGAGACGGGTCCGAGAAGTATTCGACCGGTCGGCTTGATGGGCTGGTTGACGATCGAGATGGTGAGCCTGCAGACGGTGAACCCCTCCTACTCACTATCCCAAATTGATATTGGGTTCCCCTTGGCATTCATCACAGGCCCACACGATCGGTCTCACCCCCCGAATCGTCACCGTCTCCAAATCGGCCCCCTCCGCGAAAAACCGCTACCTCTTCATTGACCGTTCGCTCTTCCTCCTCCCCTCCTCCCTCTGGTCCGCTTTCAAATCTCTCTTCTCCCTCCAAACGAACCTCATGCGTCGAGTTATCCCCTCGATCCTTCTCGAGCCTTTCCGACCTCGTTCCCCACTCCATGCAACACCCGACGGAGGGGACGAAACCGTCGACGCCTTCTTCTCGCGTCGCTTCGGCCCCGTCTTGGCTTCCAATATGATCAGTGCCATGATCCATGGTATCTACGCGGGTGATACGAGGCGGTTGAGCGTGAGGGCCATATTCCCTGGGTTATGGGAGGCGGAAAGGGAATGGGGGAGCGTCATCCTCGCTGCGTTGTTTGGTGGGATATGGAGGAAAAGGGGTTGGAAACCCAAGAGTGCTTATAGGCTAGGCGTCGAGCGCGAAGCGGTGGTGATGGAGGAAATCAAAGAACGCTTGGTGCAGAGTGGTGAGGAAGGTAAAGACTTGGTGGATAGGATGTTAGGGGCCAGTGTTTGGGGTATTAAAGGGGGTTTAGAAGAGTTGACGTTTGGGCTGGAAAGGTGGTTGAGGGAGCAAGGCGTCGAGTTTCGATTGGGGGAAGAGAGTCAGGTCGAACGGACCAAGGAGGGGGAGTGGACGGTAAGCAACCATAAAGCACTTTGTTGGGAGAGAGCTTCCGGACTCATGTATCTTTGGGCTGCAGATCAAGACCCCAACCACGACCCTTCACCCGACCCACCTCATTACAACCCTCCCCTCACTCCTCCCCGATCCCATCTCCCCTCCCCCGATACCCGCCACCACAGTCTCCGTGATCAACCTCGCATTCCCCACCTCACCTACGACCCCTCGTCTCCTCCCTCCAGGTTTCGGCTACCTCATCCCTCGGACAGTCCCGAGGAGCGAGAACCCACATCAAGCGCTAGGGATAATCTTTGATTCGGACGTTATGCCCCATGTCGACGCATGCTCTACATCTTCTACGACGTCGGAAGGTCTCGAAAAGCTCTCCCTCCTCATCGGTGGTTCCTACTGGCTAGACCATCACCCACCGCCTGAGCCGAGCCACTCGGACCTCGTCAAGCAAGCCCTACAAACCCTGCAGTTGCACTTCCCCTCCACCTCCTTCCCTACCCCCTCCTACGCATTCTCCACAACTCACCAGCACTGCATTCCCCAAATTCCGCCCTACCACTTCCTCGCCTTCCGTCAAATGGGCCAAAGACTTCGTCAAGAACGTCGTGTCAGAGTCGCTGTAGTAGGCGGCGGTTTCGCGAGCGTGGGAGTGAACGGGGCCGTGAAGGCGGCTTGGGAGGTTGGCGAAGGGATGGCGAAGGATGTCAGGGGGGAAGGGGGTTATAGAACCGGTACGGAGATGTGGGATTTATAGAGGGTTTTGGGCGGAGATGATGGATTGGGTTGGGTTTGTGGTCGAGAGTGTCGAAGTAAAGGACATGTTTGGTGACCGAAGATGACAGGTGCAAGTTATATGGATTACAACTAGCTTCTCGAGTCAGCTCGATGAGGAGAGAGCTGAAGAAGCTAGGCCTTGGCTTACACGGACTTCCCAAAGTAGCCTCAAATTGCTCCGCTTCGAGAGATTCCTTCCCTAGGGGTGTTACAGCCGATGTAAATATATCACTGTGTCGATCCAATGAGTCGCATGCACACTTTCATTTCACGGATCCCGGTTGACCACTCAAGCTTCACACATGCCGCTCCGTAGATGCTCTCCGAGCAGACCATTTCTGTTTTCTGAAACCGGAACGAAAAAAGCTAGGGATAGGGAGAAATGACTACCGATTTGACGACGCAGTTGATCGCCACTGAATCGCAAAGAGTCCTCAAGTCGTCCCACAGAGACCCCTCGATGACTGACGTGAGTTTTGACACTATCGACGCGTCGTCGAGCGATTCCTTCGAACTGCCCAAAACTTCGAATTCCGTCGATTTGACATGAGCCACAATACGGACGCAGAGGGAGTCAAGTCGGGGTATATTCTCATTTTGAATAAGGTGCTTCATCATCACCACGATTGAACGAATGTGATACTCGGATTCGACCGCAAAACAGATGCGCAGGCACTTGATAGGGGCGGTAGTGGGCAAAGCGGCGAGCAAGCTTTGGCACGATTTGAGGTGTCCGGGCAATTCCGCGTAGACAAGGTTTAGATCGAGCTCCTTGAGTTTGGGACAGAGGTGGATATTGGTCCGCAAGGCGGATACAAAGCCAAAGTCACGAACGCCCCAATCCATCACCGAGATCGTCAAGACCTCGAGGTTGGCCCCGTTTTCCCTGAGAAGCGGCTTGAGCGCAAGGTCGAAGTCATAATCGTCATCATCGACTGAATCGAGGTCGTGTAGACCAAGTGAGGTGAGCTTGGGACTCGATAAGGCCCAAGCGAAATGGAAGAAAAACTGGTAACTCTCATTTCCATTGATATCGAGCGTTTGTAGATCCTACCAACGTACTCGACCGCGCCGACTCGGCGTTCCAGCCGCTTTTGTGCCGAGATGGTTGGACATTTGAACGAAGAGCCTTTTGAGATCTGTGAAGTACAAAATACAGTGAGGTAAGATGGGCACTCACGAGGAAATGCATTGATTTTGTATTCGGATGGCGACGGACTCACTTTTGAGCTTGTCGACCACCTCCTCGTCCCACGGGAGATAGCAAGGCAAACCTCGGAGCGTTTGGAGGCCTCGGACCGTGTTGACAATGTCGACGCAGCTTCTGCAGACTCTCTTGTTGCGTCCTGTGGTTTTATGTTCCGCTTCATGACCGGGAGATAAGAGGCAAAGGTCTTTGATGGGGTATCGCTCTACCAGGCCTGACTTGAGGAAACGGCACACTTGGGACTCATTCTCGAGGCGAACGACGTCGCACAGACGACGTTGGAACGCTTCACGCCACGCACGGCATACCAAAGCACCGTGACGAAGACTAGGGTATGCCTCCCGAATCTTCTTGGGGTCGAGATCGGCAACGACGTAGGATGCAATGAGGTCGATGACCTCGCGAAGGACCTGTGGAGCCCCGTCGGTCGAGGCGAAAGTGTCCCTGACACACTGGGTCGTATTATCACCGCTCATGACGAACACGAGGTGATTTGACTGGAGATGATCAAGGTGGGGAATTCTGAGTACCCAGCGAGGTGAAGCGTACGAGAGAGCAAGCGCGCGTCGTGTTGCGTGCTCAGGGTGTCATCGCCGCGGCGCGCGATGACCGGTGACCTACGAAAGGAGGTGCGTCTCCTATCCAAAATCAAAAGCTTGAGCATCTTCGAAGCCGCGAACCTTGTCCATCACCTCCAGGAACAATTTGCGTGGTCTAGCTTGGTGGCGTCCGGCTTTCGCTTTCTTTACGCCGATCGAGAAATAATCTTCACGTCCTATGAGGAGCACGACGAGGTGGGAAATGGGATGCGCTGCGCCAAGGCCGAGTCGAGAAATCTGCGAGCACGGAGTAGAATCGGCATGCGTTTTGCATAATTATTCTTAACAGCAAGTTTCCCAGCTGCGACATACCAGCGCAGCGTTACACAGCTGGACCTCCTTCCATGTTCTCTACGCGGAAAGCGGCCTCTCCGGTCTCCCATGCAAGTCCGGTACGTCCCTCGCACTGTCGCACAGGCCTCTGAACAGTACAACCCAAAGCTGACTTCGAGTACTTCAGTCAAGGTCTAGCAAACACTCGATCTGTTCCTGTTGGGACATCATGCTCTATATTCCTCGCGTTGCTGCATCGTCGTCTACATCATTCGGTGCCAGTGGTGCTAAAAGATACCGTCCGAGTCGGCCCGCGGCTCTCCGTGAAAGCTGATACGATGTCATACAGCTCCGAGCTGATCGATTGCAAAATTGATGACGTGGCGATTACCCGACGGCTTCCCGGTGGGCATTGCAGCATGCAATCTGGCGAGATTTGGCGCGCCGCGTACTGCCGCGTACTGCCCGAGTATTAATCTCGAGATGAGCGGATTGCTTATTCTTAAACCTAACTTCTCTAGACAAATTTCTGTTAAAGCTCGTAATACTAAAAATGAAAATGAAAATGAAAATGAAAATGAGTCATTAGCACTAATTCCTACTGGTAACGTTATTGATTTACCTAGTATCGGAACCTGTCAACTTAAAATGGTTGAAAGAATTTTTTACCCATTAGAATATATTACAGATGGAAGAAAATTTGTACTATGTTCTAATGTTGTTCTTGATGAAGGTGGGGTAGGTGGTTTACCATACTGAAATAAATGAATTGACAGACCATTATTTACAAATGATAGATATACCTGCTGGGCCGGCATGGCACACTGGCACCGCTCGCTCGCTCCCAATCACGCTCCACCCAGACCCTCGTCGAACACGACTTCGACCTCCCTCAGCGCGTCACCACCACAAAGCAAACACTCAAGCACAAAGACCCATGTCGGAACCTTTGCTCTCGGATGCGCGCCTGGCGAGCGAGTTGGACTTCTTCAAGCACCACGCCGACTCGATCGCGCAGAACAAGATCAAGCTGCCGTCGAGTTACGTGCCAGCGGTCAAGGACCGACCGAGGAAGCCGACGCTCGTCAATGTAAGCGCCCACATCCTGACCCAGACGTGTCTTCGTCCTTTCTGGGTCCTTTCTGGGTCCGGCTGGGACGTGTCGCTGTCCAGTGCAAGACCGCACTGGCCCCCACCGCCCGTGCGCACTGCACGACCAGCTCGCACGGCGCGGACACGGAGACCACTGGCTACGAACCCGCGTACCGTCCCTCCTTTTGTACTCGCTAGCGGTACTTGTCCCACACAGGGATAACGATTGTCCGTTTGATTTGACAACTGACCAGTTCCTCGTCCCCCTTCCGACATCATCGTCGATCTACAGGTGCCCGTCGTCGAACCCCCCACCCCTTCGATCGAAGACGACTCAACCCTTACGAACGACGAGATCAAGCTGACCATCAAGTCGCTCAAACCGGCCCTGTCCTTCTCGCTCAAGGCCTCGCCGACATCGACGATCCAGACGTGCAAGATGCTGCTCGTACAGCAGAACCCGACCGCGCCCGCTCCCGAGCAACAGCGATGGATCCTCAAGGGCAAGTCGATGGGCGACACCAAGCTCCTGCGCGAGTTTGCGGTCGAGAACGGTTCGGTCGTCAACCTCATGATCACCAAAGCTGTCGCACAAGCCCAGGTCGCCGATCCTGAACCGACCGAAGCATCCGTGGCGTCGACGGGAGCATCAACGACGCTGGCTTCGACCTCGACCGCACTCTCCCCACCTTCTACCCCGGCTCATGGAGGGACCGCATCCGGTCGACATTCTCGCGTCCCCTCCCTCACCCTGTCCGAACCACCGGAACCCTACACCCCATCAAGACGAGGCTCCAGCGCAGGCTCGCACCGTTCCGTCCCTTCCCTAAGCATCACGACCGACCTCCTCTCCTCCCCCTTGTCGCTCGATGCGCACCAGCCCGCCTCGGCACGTTCAGCCGGATCAGACGAGTTCATCGCCGGTGTCTCGAACCCTGACTTGTGGACCGAGGCGTTTGAATTGTTGAAACGACACTTTGAGGGGGACGAGTCCAAGGCGCAGAGCGTGTGGGAGAGTTGGCTGTCCGGGTCGAGGGATTGGATCTCGCCAGGAGACAAGGCCTTGATTAGAAGTAAAGCTGGCGTTAGTGCGATGGGTGGGTACTAGAGTCGTCTTATCTTCTCGACTGTGTTTTCTTTGCAGGGTTCGGCCCCGTTTGTATTGCATACCACTGTCTTCTCTCCTCATTCCTGTTGGCCTGCCGGGCTGGTCGGCGCACGGGGTGTTTCGGATGGTACCTTTCGACCACTTGACCTCCTATGGCTCTCAAGCTCATCCAAAGACTATTCATATTGCCCTGGAGCACCTCGTCCCCTCGATTTCCTTCGCACAAGTCGTGACTGCTGCCGCGTAACATGCGAAATGGTTTCGTCGCGATAGAGGAATTTCCGTCTGACGATCGACAAATGCTCCAATCCTCTCTCAGCCACACGGATCATGGGTCTCAAAGTGCATGGTAATTATCCCTTCTATATATGTATTACAGTCCTCGTTCTACAGCCCCAACTTGCGTCCTCCTGCCGAGCGATAATCGCCTACCCCGCTACTAGTCAAACGTCCGCACCCGGTCCCTCTAAGCCTTGAGTACGGTCTCCTCTGCGGGTAACGGGTCCTTGGGGTGCTGTGAGAGCAGAGAGCAATCGTTCTCTCGAGTCAGTCGTCGATTGCGCGTGAATGAATTCAATCGGGCCAAGTTGGTGTGCACTGTGCACTTACCTTGGCCTCGAAGTGTTGCTTGAACGTCTGTGTGGCCGATCATAGGAGCTGTCAGCTTTCTATCGAAAGAAAGGTCGGATCAGGATTATATGTTCTTACCTTGTAGTCGACCAAGCCGATCATGCACTGCAATTCCGAGGCAGGTTCGGCGCATTCCGTGTCGGACACGAGGCAGAGAGAGGACCACACGTGATCAGTCATCGGCTGCGCAGCCCACCTCCGCATCAGTGAGAGCCTCGGTCCACCTTACCCTGGGGCACGAGATCTAATCAAGACAAGATGAAGAAAATCAGCTCTCGGATCTCCGAAGAACGACGCAAAGATAGTGCAGGGACCGACCTTGAACGCGGCGGACCTCTCCTTGAGGTTGGATTTCCCTCCCGCCTTCTTGGCCGCGGCTTCCTGCGCCTTCTTCTGCGATTCGACCTTTTGTAATCCGCGAGCCATGGTCGATGTTAGAAGAGGGTTGAGGGTGAGGAGGATCGAGGTTGCGGTGGTACGGGTGACAGCGTCAAGGCGTCAAGGCGTCAAGGCGTCAAGGCTTCAAGGCGTTGATTGATACGGAGGCGCTCGGGGCAGCGCGCCTCGTGCGAAGTCCCGAAGTCGTTCCACTGTCGTTCTAGACTGCTCCACTCGCACGGTCCTCGTCGCCGGGGACTCGGAACACGGCGTCGCGCTCGGCACCTCGGTGTGCACCCAAGTCGCCGTGATTCCACAGTCGAGGAGGCCCCACCTCCCTCCTTCTCGCCTCTCGCCATCCCCCGGGTACCTTACCCCATCCCAGCAGTGACAAGTATGACAACGACCAAGTCCGCCCTCCCTGTCAAAGCACCCCCCTGGGACCTGACCGGATCAGGCTACATCTTTGTCATAGAACCGCAGCCGTTCTCGCCGACCGAAGCGGTCCCACTTCCATCCGGCAGTTACGACCCGTTCGAACAGGGGACGTCTTTTGATCAGTCATCCAACTTTCATGGTGGTGTTGGCGCCATCTTGGTCGTACGGTATACTACTTCGGATGTGGGTTAGTCTTGGCTACGTGTCTCGTGTCTGGGCTAGATGTCACGGTGGAGGCTGCCCCCAGTGACCGGCCTCGGGCTCCTCTTTGTCAAGAGAGGTGGGGCTCCTCCGCACCCCGTCGTCCCACGGAACGTTAACGCCGGCGACTTTTTCTCTTGTTTTGCGACTTCCACAGGTCCCTATGACGAACTCATGATCATCCCTGGCAACTTCAAGAACAAACTCAAAGATGGCACGACTTCGTTCGACCTCGCCATCACTCGTATCTATGTCTCGACCAAGGAGAGCGTGTACAATGGTCGGCAGAACTGGGGGATCCCGAGTACGTCCCTCACCGAAGCTGGCCGGGTGCCCCATCTTGACCATTCCCATGTCCCGGACTTTTGGGTGAGATCATGAACTCAAAATATATCTTCTCTCTTGCCCAGAGCACCAGTCCGACTTTTCCTTCACTCCCGTCCAAGACCGACCCGGATCGACATTGTTGACGGTCTCATCACCAGGCGCCGAAGACTCTTTCTTCTCTGCGATCCTGACTCGTAGCCGCTGGACCCCTTTCGCAATCCCCGTCTCGACCAAGCTTGCTTCCACTTCATTCATGCGCTCCATATTGCGAGGCTACCGACCGACTCTCGTCCAACCCGCCTTATCGACCCAGATCGATCCTTCTAAACTCAAGTCCGTCACCTCGGAAGATGCCTCAACCCTCGTTGGCTCAAGCGCCAAATTCGCCGTCACCCCTACGTCTACAGGATGGAGTAAAGCGTGTACGATCTCCCCCGTTTCGGGGGCAAGGAAGGGGTACGGAAATGGGGTCGGGTTCCCCGAGTTCAAGCCTTGGTGGGGTGGTTTAGGCGTCGAGTTGACAGAGTTCAATATGGTGTTTCCTGTGCCCGAGGTCGTCGAGTAGATGAGTTCACGGTTGTTTTTGAAGACAATTACTATCAGTAGGAAGTTCTCTGGTTTGTGAGTAGTTTGTGTAATGTATCGCGTCCTTCAGTGCAGAGGTGCAGGCACTCGAAATACGCACGGCAAGTACTACGGCAAGGATCACTCAGATCACGGATCTCCGACAATCTCCGACATGACTCATCCAACTCAAGCGAGCGGTATCCCTTTATCCCCCTTCCCTTCCTGATACGTTCTTGACAAATCATTATAAGCCTCCTTGACGGACTTGACCTTGGCTTCAAGGATTGTTCGTTGCTCCGACCCTTCGGGTAATGCTTGGACAAGGTCGCTTATGGATTGCGAGGTGAAGAATTTGTTGACCTTGTTGTACAACGGTCGGTTCGCTAGTTCGGTAGCCGTTTCGGAAGAGCACAGAGAGGGTACTTTAAAGACTTGTTCGACTGCGGAGGTGGAAGAAGAATAGAATATCGATGCCAGTCGGTTAGTTGGATATCTTATAGGGCTTTCAGACGAGGAAGTGTACGCACGGATGTCGATGTCGTGAGGGATCGCGAACGTATCACGCGTTTCTTCGTAGCTGAAAAGGTAGGTGAAGTTGTCCCAGCCGCCCCAGGTGATACCACTGCAAGAAACGGCAAAGTGAATTTAATGGTATGCCCAAAACGTAAGGCTTTCAGGAGGAGCCTCCTCACGATAAGCCTAGGAACGGGGAACGCAAAGCAGGACAAGTCTGATTAAGTCAGCATATTACAAAACAACGGAAGAGAAAACGATGCTTTACGCTTTGAATCACGACGTACATAAAGAGCAGGGCTCATGGGTCGCGAAAAAGATAGTGTCTTTGGCCTTCGGTCGTGATTCGGCCGAGATTTGGGTGTAGAAGTTTTGTACTGGCACCAGGCAAATTCGGATACGTCAGTCGATTTAATTTGAGCACACTTGAATCTTGGAACACGACTCACTGCAGGTAATCTCGCCGTGCTTCGGGACCGATTTGAGAAATCAATCGGAGAGATGCCAGGGAGCAAGCGGAATCCGTTATCAGGTTGAGCTGCGCCGAAGAAGCTCACTCTCGGTGGCCTCGGGGCTCATTTGTACATAGGTTCCACCCATTTAAACGACGCAGAAATATACATGAACCTTATGGACTGACCATCAGAGGTGAGTCAGTTTCGGTGTTCGTGGCGACCATACAAGGTTCCAACGTGTCCTTGCGCAAGATCGCGGCCCCAAAGACCTTGGCACCCGAATCGACGCCGGCTCGAGTCAAAGGAATGATCGAGTTCAATGTGGTGTCGAGTAGGGTATGGACGAGTTTGACGTCTGCCATGGGTTTTGTTTGGAGGATGGACTGGGTGATGCGGGTAGGGTTGAGCGTTGACCCGCGGCGTCCGACGGGGAAAGCGGAGGTCGATCGAATCGCCAAGCTTCGCCGGAGGGCGTCGGCACGTGACCTAAAAAATATCAAGACCGATGGCACTGATGCAAGTATTTTCTTCCCGGTAGAACTTGTTCTGAACTTCTAACCCATTCTCGCCTGATGAAACGGTACCAATTTACGACGCGTCGCAGAGGTCCAAGTCACATGACCGCTCGGATGATACTTGTCGTGGGCTTTGACTTTGGCCGGCGACTTGCTTGACGACGCCTCCGAGTCTTGACGGCTAGTCGAAATTGCGACCGTTGACATCGCATCCGGGACATCAACCACCGCCTCAAGGGGCCTCTGCGGTGCTTGTCACCTATTCTGAGGCTTTTCTGAGGCTCCCATTATGGGCCAAGCAGCTCGTGCATCATCACCAGCTGCACAGCCAGCGGATCTGGCGTTGCGCACGGTCCATGTCGACGACTCGGATGAGAACATCTCACCCAGCTGGTCACGCCGGATCGTGCTCGTTCAAGCCGAGGAGACCGAAGAGGGCGAGTGGGAGGAGGGTGAAATGGTCAGTAAGGTCTCAGTTGTACTTCTGTAAAAGATCTCGCCGTAGCTGATGGTTGTTGTACAGGCATCGCAACCGTCGCTGTCGCCCGTCGGTGCACGGCCGATCGAACTACCCAATCGGGACGGCCCTCGAGTGTTGTCGTCGGATCGTGGCAACATGCCATCACAAGGTGGAGCTACCCACCAGCACAAGTCTCGACCCAATTCACCTGTGAAGATACTGCCACCAGGCCCAACCCAAACTGAGGCTCGCTCATCGCCTCCAAGGCCTCAATCTGGACCTTCGAGCTCCGCGGCGCCGGCAGCGATCTCGCCGCCTATCAGCCCGATTACCGTGACTTTCCCGACCCCGCAACCCCGCTCATTCCAACCCATCGCTCGGCGCGTGCCCCTGAACTTTCTCGAGCGGTCTCCGTCTCCCGGCGCGCCCTCACTTTCTCCATCACAACCACCTCAAATGGTGCCTCATTCTCCTCCAATTTTTAAAAAGAGAGTACCGGCTTTCTTGCCGACGACGACACGACCCGAAATAGAGACTAGCAAGTCGATTTGGCCTACGCGAGGTCGACCAGGCGACCCGAGGTCCAAGCTTCAACGCGCCAATAGCAACAGTAGCAGCTCAGCACTGTCTGCGACACCTCGAGACACTCGCCCAGCGTCGCCCCCTTCACGGCACGGTCTTCTGACCCAAGGTCGTACTTTCCCTTCACCATCTCCCTCACGTCACTCGAAAGGATCACTCTACATACCGGACGAACGTTGCCTGCCCAGGCCGGCCACGACTTTGACATCGTCGTCGTCGAATCGCCGCATAGCCCCATCGTCCTCTCTTCCTCGAATGAGATCGCTTTCGCCATCTCGGCCGCCTTCGCTAACAGCAGTCCCACAAAGGTCCTTCACGTCCTCGCGATACAAGCCTCCAGCCGAGCAGCAGCAAGACGGAATTCCCGCTTCGAAGCCTTCGCGCGGAGCGCTGGCCCCTGGACGCACGCACCTGTGTCAGCCAGTGCGGGGAAAATCAACCAGCCCTCCACGTCGTGGTGGCTCGCTTTCGCGTAGCATCAAACACCCACCACCCCGTGAAGCCTATGATGCAGGTCACCGCCAAGATCGTTCGCCAACTGCGGGAACGAAGACAGACCTGGGCCGACGATGGAAGCAAAACCGCAAGTGCGACCCTGGCCGTCACTACGGCTTTGCCCATGCCCCCCACGAGCTGGGCAAGCGGTGCCCCCGTACAATGGAGGAGGAGGAGGAACGAGTTGTCGAGCTGGCTCGTCGAGCTGCGGTCGCGCCACCCACGCGGTCGCCCGTGAAGAGTGTGTCGCCGCCCGAGTCTAGGGCATGCGAACGACTATCCCGTGCTCGCTCGGTCCACGGATTTGTGCTGTACAAAACCGTCATCTGCAAGTACTGGGAACTGAAAATGGCGTGTCCGAAAGGGACGCGCTGTACCTACGCACACGGCCCCAAGGAATTGCGCCCGCCGCATGTGTCTTCCCACGCGAAGCAAACCTCGCCCAGGTGGAAGGATCGCGGCGAGCTCGTCGCAGTATCGGAGCATACACATCAAGAACAGCGAGTATCTGGGGCCCGAAACAAGTCTATTCGATCTCTGTCACCAACGGAGACGAGGTCTCATGATGGAGAACGCCGTCACCTTGAAGAGGCTTTGATAACGCACTCCAGTGCGGCACCCGCAACGATCAGAAAGCGACGTCGATCGATGGATCTGCCATGGGGGCGAGGTCTCCGCAATATTTCAAAGAAGCGACGCAAGCGTCGACTCTCGGCGAGTTCGACCGGATCAGGGTCCTCGGGGCTTGATGATCCGGACCCAAGGCGTCGCGATCGTTCGTTGAACCCGTCGATACCGCCCCGGGTGAAGCGGGATGACTCGAACGATGACGACTTTGATGAGGATGACCACATCTTGTTGTCATTCGTGGAGCCTATCGCCGAAGACGACGATGATTCGATAGCGGGTGATCAAGACGAGGATCCGTACTCGCCACTTTACTCACCCTTTTCGATCATTGAGACCGATTCGGAGCCGACCCCTCAATCTCGAGAGCGATCGACCGTTTCGCCCTGCTTGGAAAAGGTTTGTCGGCCAGGATCACCGCTCGCACCGATGTCTTCAGTGGCGCCAGTACAGATTCAACCACTCTTTCCACCCCTCGCGCCAACGGCAACTGCGTCTGCATCTGCACCCGCGCCAGCGCCAGCGCCCGCGCCCGCACTTCCGTTTCCACCGGCGCCGACACCCCAACCTCGACCCGCCAGCCCTGTCGTCATCGGGGATAGGCTCGTGCCTTCGGACCGCGACTACTTCCGCACTTACTTTACCGAGCTCGCGCGTCGCAAAAAGACCGTCCGACCCATCCCTTGATCCCTCATCTTGGTACGCTCGATTTGTCCGTCAAATCAATTCTGCGATTTGACGATGCTCTCGTCGTGCGTGCGATTCGACTTATCGTCCCTGTACCACCACTTCAAGTTTTGTTGTGATTTGTACTCTCGATCTACATGCAATTGTACCTGTGAGCATGTTTTTCGGCCCTGCATCGACTATGATACACGTACTGACCGCGAAGTACAGTGGGTGAACACTGAACAGGAGCTCCGAATTGCAGAGGCGCCGCGGTAACTCACGCGATGTCTGTGATGGACATGTCCAAAAGGAGAAGCTTGAACTAAAATGGATGTTTAACAACCGATCATGCATTGCTGCCGGCATGTTTTGGAACTTGGGATCCCTTGATCACGTGATGTTCCGGACGCGCCGGGACAATCCCCGGACATCCGTTGCGGAGTTCGCTGAACGCGTCAAGGCTTCAGAATTCTAACCTAACCTGCGGGCGACACTTCATGGGCATCCCAATCGGGAAGACATCAAGCGCTAGGATTGCTACTATGTACGATGATGTTACAGCTTCTATCTCCGGTCAGAGACAGATATATCGCTCGGAGGCCACTGCCGCCGGAGCCAGGCAGATGGCAGACGGGACGAGGGACGATGGCAGAATGGTCAGTTCGATTTCATGCACGCAGTGAATCCGGTTGTATTGATGCTGATACTGCCACCTTCACCTTCAGCCCTCGCGAAACCGTCCTTCGCCCCAAAAGGTGTGGGGCACAGTGGGCTATCCAAACCACGCCCTCCGTATGGAATTGAATGGTGTGGGATATCCGCGGAGTGGCTATGGGGACGCGTCAACGATCGCGCCACCTCGTCACGGTGACCACGGTCGCGCTGGGGCAGAAAGGAGGGTCGCGAGGGAAGTCGTACCCCCACCATCATCGCGCAATATCCCCCGTCCTCATCCATCAATACCGCTGCCCCCGAATCACGCTCGCGCTCGTTATCACGATCTTCCAGTTCGCCCGGCAGGCCCAATCGCCGAGCCCAGCAGGGCGCGGAAGCGTGAGTTTCCTCAAGGCTGGCGATGGGAAGAACGTCAAGCTCAACTCCCGCCTCTACATCTTTCGCCACCATCCCGAATACGACGAAGAGCTCGCTCGCCACCGCGGCAGTCATACGAGCTGGTATCGCGACCCTTTAGCTACGATCGCCCGCCGTTGCGTCGATTTTACGCATCGGACGACCGAATCACTTCCAGCTCAACTTCGTACCCCCAATCGTACGCGCCACAACATTCGTACCCTCCGCGCCGGAGAAGGTCCCTTTCTCCTGATGTTCGTCCGGTTTCAAGACCGCCCCCACGGATCCCCGCAACGTTGAAGAAGCCATCTCCTGCTGAGCCAATAGGCAACCGCGTGTCGCAAAAATCTCACGTCCCGATAGTGGGCGCGACAACGCTGTCCCAACCGGCTCGGGTACCATTCGATCAATCGGACATCCCTGCGAAGAGCAAATCTCAACAGGACCTGAGTATACCCGTCGGGGAAACACGGTCCGAACCGCCGACCGACGGCCCTTCGTCGACCAAGATGACGGTGACGATGGCGCCGAAAACCAAGACCAAGGCCAAATGGATTCCGAGAACGAAGGCGAACGTGTTGCTGGGATTGTGCGAACCCAAGCCGGTGAAGGAACCGGTCATATCCGATCTGAACGATCAACGACCACCGAGGCTTCCTTGGGGAACAGGTCTCAGCCAAGGCGCTCGCAAGCGGCGACGAGCGAGGGAAGCTGTGCAAGTGGCACGTGCGAAGAGGTTGGAGGCGCGAGGGGTCACGGACAAGGAGAAGGTGGACAAGAACCGAGGTCGTCGTTCGATGAGCCCTTCTTTACCGTTTAATGTGAAGCAGGACGATTCTGGTGATGAGGGGGTGGCCGCAGAATCCTTGCTGCAGCCTGCCTTGGATTCACTGGAGGAGGAAATGCAGGAAAACATTTCGGCGGATCGCGGCGACACTCCTGACTCGCCCCTCTACTCGCCGTCGTCACCATCGATCCCTCTCAAAACCTTCGAAATGGTAGATAGGCTCGTACCTTCTGACCGCGACTACTTCCGCGCCTACTTTGCCGAGCTCGCTCGTCGAAACGTGACCGTGCGATCGATCCTCTGACTCTCGTCGCCTCGGTCCGCTCAGTTGGCACATCGAATTTATTCGACGATTCGACTTGGCTCTCGTTACCCATCCTGTCAGACTCGTGGTACCTATTCAGTTGTGTAAGTTTGTGTTGTGTTTTTATTCCTGTCCGTCATCTTCGCAATTTTAGGCCCTTGACTGCGCAGCAATTCAACCTCCCATCGACGTGCGATGAGAAGATCTGTGAAGACTTCCTTTTTGGTCTTCATTTCAAGTCGGCACAAATACATGCAGTGAATCAACACTGCAGAAGATTGGAAAAGAAGAGGCGCAAGAAGCTGAGAGGGGATTGTAGAGGAGGCGTTGAGGGTGGGCAGAGATGTGTGAGGGGGACTATTCTATGCGGGTCGGTTGTAGGGCGTCGTTGACTCTTTCGAGGCATTTTAAGAGGGCTAATGGGAGCTTTGGGAGAGAATAGGGTAAGGGCGGGTGAAATAATGCGAGTGCAACAAAACAGGGGACATATCAAACGGGGTGGGAAGGCGCGAGAGGAGGGAGGGGTGAGGGCGTGAGGAAACGTCGGGGGTCCGTGTGATCACTCCTTCTTGGGCTCCTCGGGCTTGGAGGGCTCTTCGGAAGAAGGTGCGGCCTGACCGTCCTGCTGTTGCTTGCGCTCGTACACCTTCTGGAACAAGGACAACGAGGCCTGCTGGGTCTCCGAGATCTTGTCCTTGAGCTGTTGAGGTGTGACGGCATCGTCGCCTTGCGACTTGATGGCGAGCTCGCGCAACTCGGCAATCAACGCCTCGACCTTCTTGGCCTCCTCGGCGTCAACCTGCTCCTTGTGCTCCTTCAAAGCCTTGTCGGTCTCGGCGGCGACCGAGTCAGCAGAGTTGGCGGCCTCGATCAACTCGCGGCGGGCCTTGTCGACCTCGGCGTGTTGCTCGGCTTGCTCGATCATAGACTCAATCTCCTTGTCCGAAAGACCGGAAGAGGCGGCGATCGTGATCGACTGGTCCTTGTTCGTCGCCTTGTCCTTGGCCGAGACGTTGACGATACCATCGGCGTCAATGTCGAAGGTGACCTCGATCTGGGGGATACCCTTGGGTGCGGGGGGGATGCCGACGAGCTGGAAGTTACCGAGAATCTTGTTATCGCGGACGAGCTCACGCTCTCCCTGGAAGACCTTGATCTCGACGGCGGTCTGGCCATCGGCGGCGGTCGAGAAAGTCTGCGACTTCTTGGTCGGGATCGTCGTGTTGCGGTTGATCAGGCGGGTGAAGACACCACCAAGAGTCTCGATACCGAGCGAGAGAGGGGTAACATCGAGCAAGAGGACGTCGGTGACGGAACCGGCGAGGACACCACCCTGGATCGAGGCGCCGACGGCGACGGCCTCATCGGGATTGACACCCTTGGAAGGGTCACGACCAAAGACGGCCTTGACGGTGTCGATGACGCGGGGCATGCGCGACATACCACCCACGAGAATGACCTCGTTGATCTCCGAAACCTTGACGCCGGCGTCCGAGATGGCCTTCTTGCAAGGGTCGACGGTCTTGGCGATGAGGGGGGAGACGAGCTGCTCGAACTGGGATCGCGAGAGCTTGAGGTTAATGTGCTTGGGTCCCGAAGCATCAGCGGTGATGTAGGGCAAGTTGACGTCGGTCTGTGTCGTCGACGACAGCTCGATCTTGGCCTTCTCGGCGGCCTCACGGATACGCTGGATCGCCATGCGGTCCTTGGAGAGGTCGAGGCCGGACTCCTTCTTGAACTCCTCGACGAAGTAGTTGACGAGCGTGATGTCAAAGTCCTCACCACCGAGATGGGTGTTACCGTTGGTCGACTTGACCTCGAAGACACCCTTTTGCATCTCGAGGATCGAGACATCGAACGTTCCTCCTCCAAGATCGTAGACGGCGATCTGTCGCGAGTCGTTGCGGTCGAGACCATACGCGAGGGCCGCGGCGGTGGGCTCGTTGATGACACGGAGCACGTCAAGACCAGCGATCGTACCGGCGTCCTTGGTCGCTTGTCGCTGCGAGTCGTTGAAGTAGGCGGGAACGGTGACGACGGCGTGCTTGACCGACTTTCCGAGGTAGCCCTCGGCGGTCTCCTTCATCTTGCCGACGACGAAGGCACCGATCTGCGAGGGCGAGTACTTTTGCCCTCGGGCCTCGAGCCATGCGTCACCGTTGGTGTGCTTGATGATCTTGAAGGGGACGTTGTCGAGATCCTTCTGCACCTCGGCGTCGGTGAATTTTCGGCCGATGAGACGCTTGGTCGCGAAGAAAGTGTTCTGTGGGAAACAACGATGCATCACGTAAGTACGATGGACGACTTGGAAGTCACTGAACGGACGCACCTCAAAGTTGACGACGGCCTGTCGCTTGGCGGGCAGACCGACGAGTCGCTCGCCGTCCTTGGTGAAGGCGACGACGGAGGGTGTTGTTCGACCACCTTCGGCGTTCTCCAACACTCGCGGTGTCTTTCCTTCCATCAAAGCGACGCCTGTAACACATGAGGAATGTCGTGTTGTGATAGATTGGTAGGATGGAGGTAAGATGGTGGGCGGACGCGGGACGAGACGTGGACGAAGGGACGAGGATGGGGGGGGGGGGGGGGTAAATGGATCGCCATGGAACGTCAGCGAAGGCTGTGGACGACGGGCTGCCTTTCGCAAGTCGCTGGGCTGGGCTCGGCTCGGAGCGCATCGGCGCCGCCACGCGCGCCAATGACGACGCCCAAACGAAAGCCCGCCGCTGTGCTACTACTACTGCTTACAAGAGTTGGTTGTGCCGAGATCGATACCGATCACGGGGCCATTGACGCCACCCGAGTTGAAGCGAGCTTGCATCACCGCCGGTGACTGGTCGCAAACACAAACACGACTCGGTCCAAATCAGCACACGGAAAGTTGGCGATGGCGGAGGCACCACCCAGGAAAAAGAACGAGCTCCGACCCGCGATCGCCACTGGTATCCAGTACCGGGCATCCGCGCACATAGGTGGACTTACTCGGACAGCCGATGCCAAAGGGGAGCGCGCAGAGCGCAGTGTTGTGAGTCGTGCAGCGGACAGCATGATGGGTCGTGCGAGCTGAGGAAGTTGTGGTTGCGATCAAAGGGTAAGAGCGCCCCGGTGCGACTCTGCCGAGCCACGCCCCGCGCCGTCGGCCAGCTTCTGCCAGCTTGCGAATAGCGTTACTTACTAACTTACTATCCCGCTGTGGCGCGCGGGCCTGCTGGGAAGCATGGAGACCAAACTGGCAATGCCGCCCCGGCCCGCCGCAGGCTGCAGTGAAGTATGCACGGAGAAGAGATACAACAATCATTCTCCGGGTCGGGTTTCCCCAGCATTGCATGGCTACTTCCGCTAATTTTTCGACTAGTAGTACGTCACTTTGCCGCCCGACTGATTTTTCCCGCCGATGGGCAGGCCTGCAGTGAGCCGGGACCAGACCGGACGGCTCACGCAATGCGGACTGACTGCGCAAGCTCTCCCACAGCCCTCGTGTACCCAGCCGGCACAAGTTCGTTTTCCTACAGTGGTCATTACGAACGCTTTAAGATGCAACTCAGGCTGTTCATGCCTTCACCATCTCGACCTTGGTAAGCAAGCCCCTCCCAAGTCGTTCAATCTGCCTCAGCATATTCGCCTTGTCCAACTCGACCTTGGGCTTGGATGTATCGGACCCATCCTTGATCACGAGAGGTTTGAGAGGTACGCCGAGGCCGACTTTGAAAGTTTTGGGTGCGACGATGGAAGGGTTCCAGATCCCTCCGATTGCTGATTCGGAAGGGGAGTGAAATAGCTTGAAGATGCCGGGGAAATCAAACTGGGAAAACATCGTATTCGTCAGGACCAAAATGTTCTGACGGGTTGTCCCGTTGCGCGACTCACCTCGAGTTCCCGAACGAAATCAGTGACAGGGTCAAAACCAAGTCGGATCGTCGAATCATCTTCGTCCTCATCGTTAACATGGCTCATGACTGATCCCGCGAGGATCGAGCCCTTTGCCTTAGACCACGACAAGGCCTTGGCCTCAGGTGCGATCGATTGAAAATGCCGCGGGTTGACTGACGAGTCGATATGGAGCAAGAAGTCGTAGTCTTGCAAGGGCGGGAGGAAAAGCGTCTGCGGATACGAGCGGGTGCTGGGGGTCAGCATTCGTTCCTATGCTCACATCGCCGCGTCCGTCTCACTGACCTCGACGATGAGCACATCGTTCAGCACACCCTCATGCATCGTCTGCAGCGTCGCCTTGGCCAGACCCTTGACTCTCGCCGCAACAAGTTTACCCATACCCTGACCCCAGACCTTGCCCGTCAGATCCTCCTCCGTCGCGATAACCCACGCATGCTCGTCCCTGCCTAGATCGATGACTCGGTTCGCTTCAAAAAGCGCTTTGACTTTGACGGCTTCAGCGGGAGGGAAGTACGGTCTTCGTTGCGACGTCGTTGCGAGTTGAAAGGTGTATAAAGGGACGCAGAGGGGCTCGTCTTTCCATTTCCATTCCGAAAGAAGGGTCATGACCCTTGCAAAACCCGCGGACGAGCTTTGCGGGGCTTCAAAGGGAGACGCAGCATCGATGAAGACGCTCGCGGAAAGCAACTCGAGTAGCTCGGGTGCGATGTAATGCGACAAGAGGTGGGCCGAGCACCATCGCTTGACGAGACGTACCGTCGGTGAGTAGGAAGGAAAATGGTGCTGTAGTGTCGAGATGGCAGCGTGGTGTCGTGGCGAATGGACGAACCGATCCTCGTACGCGAGGAGCAAGGGTTCCTTGATCGACAAATCACCCATCTTGGCCTGACGTTCCTTCAATAGCAGCAACGATCGATCGTAGTGTATCCGAGCTCTGAAAGCATATCCCGCGGCGGTGAGTATTTCGAGCGAAACATTGTCGTCCATGGGTCGAGCACCAGTATCGAATACGACGTTCGTCGTGAGCACCGCACGCGTCTGTTCGAGTTGTTCGCCGATCTTGGTCAAGAACGCAGCTTTGATCTTTTGGATCCCTTCGAGGTCATCGGGCCATCGACCAGAGCTCTCGAGAGTCAGGTGGATATCGTGAAGCTCGATGTAGCGCGTCGAGGCTGGCGTTTGCTCAAAGTCTTTGAGTCGGCGAGAGGAAGGGACAAAGACCGACGAGTAGCGCAAGCCCGGCGAGGACGGCTGCACCGATGCGATTCCGAGCGGTAGCTCGGGCAACTCTTTGAGTTCCTTGGACAAGTCATCGAATGCGCCAATCAAACTGGAAAAGCCTTTTCCCGTCGCGACCGCGTCTTCGAGGTAGAGTGCCCTGCGCAACGCCTCTGGCTCAACCAGCAGATGGTCCATCGGCCCCGCGAAAACTTTGGCTTCCAGGCCATGACGGTGTCGCACGATGTATTCGATGATGCGACTGACGACCTTGTTGCGTTGAGAGCCCAGACCTTGCTTGCTCGGTTCGTCCCACACGACGGACTCGACGATCGCACCGTCCTTGAAGCGGCGCAATTCGGCTTTGGGGCCCCAGAAGGCCGCGAATTCTGCACAGCCGGCCTCGTCTTCTGCCGAAGGCCCTTGGTCGACGAGACGACCCGACTCGGTAGCATCGAGGAGGATACCCAAGTCAAGCGAAACGGTCTTGGGGGAGCTTGTCCCTCCCTTGACGGGTATCGTACTCGGTGCTGTCCGCATCAGCTGGAACGCCTTGGCCCTGTTCCCCAGCGCTCGCGAAAGCGTGGCCGAGATCGACGTGACCAAATATGACAGGCCATCTACGTGATCGAGGGCATCCGCATCATCGGGCTTGGCCAGCCTCGACGATGGAACGACGATCCGAGCCAAATTGTCGAAGCGCGCCACAGGCCGTATCGGTCGAACGAAGGCCGCGTCGAACTTTTTCTCGTCCTCGCCGGGGGCCAGCAAGAGCGATATTGTCGTTTTGGCGTCTTGCTTGAGCTGATCGATCAAAAGAGATGTATTATCAGCAGACGGAATCGTAGCACATAGATCAGCCTCTGCGCTGGAGACTCGCCATCTCCAGCATCGACAACTCGATTCCAGCAGCGAGGTTCACCGTCCCCGTCGGGTCGATGAACAATGCCCTCCCTTTGAAAGCATTCCTCCATTGCTCCTTGTCGTATGATGCATCACCTTCGGCCCTGAACCAGATCCCATCAATCCAGTTGATACCGGCGAGCCATTCCATGACTTTGCGCCACATCGCCCAGGCGTCGCCGCCTGTCGACAGGGTCGACGGGTCGGTTGCTCGTCTTGTGCTTCCCCAACCGAGCGTTCGAGCGACACACCATGCCCAAAACTCAGAGGCGAATCCGAGCGATGTGCCGTAGGATCTTTTCTGCGCCCATGCCTGGAGGAGCCGGACCGCGGAGGGGTACGACGAGTGAGAGCTCGCCAGCGCGTGGTGGTACTTGAGATGGGCGGTCAAGACGGATAGGGAGGAGAGGTGGAGAGCTGTCGTGTGCAGGGGCGTGGCGGGGAAGATGATTGTCGAGCTCGATGATTCGGGTGCATCCGCAGTAGCGGGTCGAACGACGTTGCTGGTCGGCGAAAGCTTCGAGTGCGCGATGGCCTCGCCGGGCCAGACGATTCGGATACGCAGCACTGCGCCTCGAACAGTCGACAGGCCCCTCCTCTCCGTCCCCTTGACGTGGGCGGACCTAAGTTCGAGCGCGTAGCCCTGTGCACCGCCCAGCGGAACGTAGGAACAACTGATCGGCCCAAGAGACTCGGGAAGAGAGCTCGCGAGCACGACGAGGTAGTGGCTTGACTTGACGACGAAACGTGGCGAGAGATAGTCGCGAGGTTCCATCAAAGTCTGCGACAAACACCCCGTTGTCAGCTCGGCGGAGCTGGCAAAAGGAGAGTTATTACTCACCTCGGGAATCCCCACAGCCAGCTCGACGACATATTCGCCACCGACCTTGGATGCTCCACCCCAGGCCCAGCTCCCCACGATGCGCACATCCTCAGCTCTCGGTGGTGCCCAAGCAAGATCGATTTTGCCCCACTTGCCGTCCACGCCTTCGACTGGTGGAATGTTCCACCCTCGTCGCTTGAGGCTCTCGAGACTGGCAGGTTTCTTGGACGTCAGGGCGACAAAGTGTGAGTGGAGTGACTTGAGCAGTGGCTGCAAAGGCGAAGTCGGAGCGGCAGGTGGGGTGAGAGTTGCGAGGACCGAACTGACTTGGGTCGAGATGAGGTTCGAGATGGGTGATGCGGTCAATTCGGCAAAAGCGAGAGCGCGCAGTTCGGATGCGGTGAGTGCTTTGGGGCCTTTGGAGTTGCGAGCTTTCCGAGTCGTTGCTGGAGCGGAAGTAGTTGCCAAGGAGGTCGGGACCGTGCTCCATCCTTCGCCGTCCTCGTCGCCGTCGTCCTCATCGTCATCAGGATCGTCTTCAGAATCATCATCAAGCGGCGCCTTGTCGAGATCGGCATATAGATCCTGAGCATCATCATTCATCATATCGTCGTCGTCGTTATCCTCGTCGTCTTCCTCGTCTTCCTCGTCTTCCTCATCGGGTTGTGTAGCGCGGCGACGGTTGGCGAGTTGTTGTTCTAGTTCAAACTCGTTCACTTCATCGTCTTGTTCGTCATAGTCTTCCGAGTCAATGTCTTGGTCGTCGTTCTCGTCTTCATCGTCGTCCTGATCGTCGTCGGAGCCAGCAACGTCGCTCGAGACGGAAGGTCGGGGGAGGATCTCCCTCGAAGCGACCTCGCTGTTAGTCTTGACTTTCTTGTTCCCATGAGCTGCCGTCGGTTTATCAGATGCTCGATGTGTGGTGGTGGCTTTCCGTTTAGCCATGACGATCGTGAAGGCTGGGCGGTGCAGTGCGATACGCCAGAGTTCCAAGCTGATCGAAGCCGGGTGTGTCTGTCGGTTGCGAAGGGCGCCATCGCCCGCCATCCTCCGCCATTGCGCTGCGGAGCGACACCGGACGGCGCCGGGCCGCGTGCCCAGTCCTGCCAAGTCGCGCCAGGTCGCGCCTCAGATCCTCAGAGCAGTCTCAGAGCCGGTCGCGCCACAGGCTGCAGTGTCGCGCCTCGGCCCCACTCTCTCTCTCTACACGCTGCCGTGCCCGATCGTCAATTACAGCCCAGCACACAGCACACGCGTCATCCCATCATGGCCGCCGCCACACCTCGTCGGTCCTCGACCTCCCCAGCCAAACCCAAGTCATCTTCAACCAAATCCAAAGCAGCACCCGTCAAGACTAAGACGACTCCGACACGCAACGCCTCGGTTAGAGCCAAGGCCGTACCGAAAAAAGCCAGTACCGCGGGCAAGGGCAAGGGCAGGGGCAAGGGCCGGAAACGTCTCGACTCTCGGGAGCTCGATGAACCGACCGAGACGGAGAGCAGTGACGACGACGACGACGACGAAGACGAAGAAGATGACGATGGGTCTGATTTCGCTGGGGAGGACTCGGAGCAATCGTCACTTAGCGCTGCAGGCGACTCGGATCGAGGGGACAGCGATGACGATGATGAGGACGAGGACGAAGAGTCCGAGGACGATGCCGCGAATGGCAAGAAGCGACGCAAGAGTGGGGGTGGATCAGCTAGCAAAAAGAACAAGAGGAACGGGAAGGGTGGCGATGATCTCAATTTGCGTGTCATCAAGAAGCAAAAGGCCATTCCCGGATCAACGGAGGATCGTGAGTCGTCGCCGGGCCGCCACCCCTCCCCCACTCGACCTCAATTTGACATCACACCCCCGCGCGACATGCCCGGACTGACTTTCCTACCTTTCTCGCTCGTCGCATAGCCGAGACGCACATCGTCTTGCCCTCAACGATGGATTTCCTCACTCGACTCAAAGAGAACAACGATCGGGATTGGTTCAAGGCAAGAGGTGCGCTCTTTCGCATCGGCTCACACTCCACACATCGGGGCCGACAATTGAATTTTTAGTACCGGTGCCCTGGCAGATGCACAATACCGACATGCACTAAAAAATGTAGGTCATCTCTAGAGCGATTCTCCATCATTTCATGCCTCACTCTTGGCACGTGCTGCCACAGATCCAATCCTTATGCCAAGCCTGGGTCCCGCGAGCAGCGCAAGCAGACTGGTCCTTGCCCGAAATGCCCGTCAAGGACCTCATGCAACGCATCCATCGCGATGTCCGCTTCAGCAAGAGCAAGATCCCCTACCGCACCTGCCTCGCCTTCAGCCACAGTCGCACGGGTCGCAAAGGACCCTTCGCGATCTACTACCTCCAGATCGGCCCGCATGGTCAATCCCTACTCGCAGGTGGGCTGTGGGCCCCCGATGGCGATCAAGTCAAGATGATCCGCAACGGCGTACTGCGCGACGCGGCGCCTTTGCGAAAGATTCTCAACAATCCCAAGTTCATCAAGTACTTTGGTAAACCCGATCACAAGTCCGGCAAGCGGACGAGCATCTACGGTCATGAGGACCAGCTGAAGAACTGCCCCAAGATGGACGGCGTGACCAAAGATCATCCCGAGATTGATTTGCTCAAGTTGAGGTCCAATGCGGTGACGCATTATTTTACGGACGATGAGGTACTAAGTGAGGGCTTTTTGGACAAGGTCATTGATATCATGGAGGTGATGGCGCCTTTTGTCCAGTTGCTCAATGATGTGAGTGAAGTGAATTTCCCTCTTGCGCGTTTGTGAGTGCCGACGTGCGCATTTTCTGATCGTCCTTCATCACAGTGGCTTGTCCCCCCTCCCTCGGACGACGAAGATGAAGATGAAGATCAAGATCAAGATCAAGGCAACAATGAAGACGAGCAAGAGGAGGAAGGAGAAGAAAAAGAAGACGAGGACGAAGAATGAGCGCAGAGAACCACTTTCTTTCAACTCGACGGGGATCCTCGCCGCAGCTCTCTTCTAGAATTTCTGGGGCGATTTTCGATAGGAGTAATATAGTATATGATGATCTCAAAGTAATGAAGTTGTTGTGCAGCTTGATGACGTCGTCCTCATGATGTCGCCCCTTTCGAGCGCGAGTGCCCAAGCCGACTGACGCCAGGCGCAACCGCGGGGAGCGCTAACAAGCTCGTCGATAGGCCAACCACAAGCCAGGGCCCGATCCGCGTGAAGTCCATACGTAGTATCTTCAACTACGACTCGTCGAATCTCGTACGCTGCCCATTTTTGTTCCAACGACGCCCGATCTCACTCAGCACTGTCGACTTGTCCCCGACCGCCGTCGCAACCATCAAAACGTTCGAGCTTGAAGCCTCAGTGGGTGCCTGTCCCCGTTTATCTCAGCACGGCAGCATCACGACACTGTCTTTCTGAAGGTTGAATTCGAGTGCACTCCACAATCACAGCACTCGGGATGCCAATTCGATTCTCGGAAACGACTCGTGGTTGGATCGCCGCGGTCGCGGGAGGGCTTTCAGCTGCGACGGCCGGCGTGAGTCCCTGGGTTTCGTACGGCCTGGGCAGCGGCAGTGTCTCGGCGCAACTGGATGATACGGATACTATCTTGTCTTTTTGCCTCAAACAGTGGATGGTGGACAGACGGATGAAGGCCGCAACGATTCGCCTCAAGAAGGAGTACGTTGAGCTGAAGGTAGCGAACTGGAAGGCGGATAGGGAGTTCCTCAAGGCGCTGAAAGACCGATCCCAGGCAAGTACCGCGATACATTCTCAACCCGAGCCAATCCCTATCAAAAGTCAGAACTGTTGTCGAGTGAGGTCGTGCAATCAGACTGCGGGCGCTGGTCCTCGGGGTTGGTCGAACCCGGCCCCGAGCTCTGTGGCCACGGGTCGTCGTCGTGTTCAGCACTTGACAAACCATATCACATGAATCGGACATCTCTTCGCCTCCCAGACCCAGACGTTCTAGCTTCAACATGCTCCACAAGTCGTCCTTGTCGTCCTGTGCGCTTGTCGACCCTGCTCGGTGCTTGCTAAGAGTAGACGGTGGTTCATCAGTCTGGCAAGTTGCCCTCCCTGCTTCTCGTGTGGTTGTAGTGTCTTGCCCCCATTTTCATGCCGAGCATCGTCTGTCAAATGTTACATCTGTCCCAACATCTCGAGCTCGGCCGCGCAACACACAAGACTTGGCAGTAGTGCTTAGCTTTTCTGATGAGCTGCACTTGGCAACCGCCCGAGGCGACCACGTGACCGACGGAGAGGCAAAGTAGTGGCAAAGTGGGGGTGGGGGAGGGCGCTGGATGCCGGCGCGATTTGGATGTAACGACATCGTGTTGTGGTCACAAGCCCTCTGTTCTTTGTAAGATCGACGAATGAGGTATCGGGGTAAGTTTATATATGCACAAACTCCTTTAGCAAGCTGCTGGCGTGTAGCGACGAGTGACTCCCTCTTGCGATCGAGCAGCCGGAGTAGCCTCTTTTGCGATCGAGTCTTGCCTCGCCCCATGTTCTTTCTCGGCTTCTGCCCCTTCACTGCACTGGCATCTTGAACTTCATCGCCTCATCGCCGACATTCCTCGCAAGCCTGCCGACCACTGACAAGCAACACCAGATATCGACCTTGGATTTGTGAGTGACGACACCACATTCTTCTTATCCTCTCGACTCTGTGCGCCGTCGGTCAGTTCGGAACGGCCGAACGACACGCGTCGTCCCGGCGCCGGAGTGGAGTGGTTAGCATCCAGCATAGCATCCAGCATAGCATCGTGATGACCAAACTCTGCTGACGCTGTTCTCTGCCGTCTTGCACTCGAACGATCTTGGCTTGTTCGCCAGTGTCACCCCATCAACTCTCATCACGTGCGTAGCTGCTACTCAGCATCCGGGCGAGTCGGCTGGTCCGCCGATCGGCGTGGTCGGGTACTGACCGCCCGAACGGCTTCCCCATCCCCCACCCCCTTCCACTCATCATTCACTGATGCCCAGCGTACGCCTGCATGAGGAGGGATCGGTCCGCACGCCGAACGCGCCTTGCAGGAACCCCAGCGCGGTAGTCGTCGCCCCTGTTGGCGCGTTTGCGAGTGACCGCCCAGCAATGGCGCGTCCCCTTGCTCGCGTTCTACACCGGTGCCATGTCGGTCTACACGATCTGTGTGCGTTCGCGAGTCGGTACCTACGTGTTCGGTGTCAAACGTTCCCCAGACCCTGATCTGGCGTCCCTCCCCCCAAGACTGTAGATTGTAGCGTCTGGCCGCGACTACATGGATTACCGAGCTGCGAAAGTGCAAGTCGATGCCGCGCGGGAGGGAGGGGAGAGCAAGCGTGATCTGAATCGCTGGCAGCTGGCTGTGTTGGACGAAGAGAACGAGCAGGAACGAATGCGTCGATCGGCGTAGCGCGGGTAAACGGGTAGACGTATCAAGGAACGCGGCGGACGGAAGAAGCTTCAAGCAGTGCAAGGCGACGCCGGATCGCGTGTCTCGAACTTTTCAACTTTCAAGAGCCGTACCATCTGGGAATTTACAACCTGCAATACGTCCCCGCCGAGGTTTAGCTCGTTCTCTGGGACTGCTCTTCGCATGAGATGAAGGAGTAGTGCTCGTCGACGCTCACCGTCTGACAGCAATGGTCTGTCACCCCGGACCGAAATTGACTACAGCACTGCGATACACCGGGCTCATCCGCGTGCAGCGCCTTGTTCGTACAGCACCCCGTGCTTGTGTCTGCTTGCAATGTCAACAAGTAACTTTGGAACTACGCTGATCCGAGGTCGACCAAAATGTGATTCTTCGGTCGCACGCGAAAGGGGTGATCGGCAACAATAGTATACGATTGCAACAGCCCAACAAGCTCGACGGCTCCTGTACAGCTGAGGATCACCCTGTCCAACTCGCTTTCAGATGAGCCGCTCCTCGCCTCCCGTCATCTTCACCAATCGGGCTGTAAATCCAGAAAGAGAGGTTCTAATCAGCCACGGGAGTGACACCTGACAGACGCTCGTGCCTCCACTGAAGGGGTCTGTGGCGCATGCCTACCTTTCGAGAGCTGGTCAAGCATCCCTTCGACGCGCTCCTGGAATTCGGTCTGCTTCTTGATCCCTTCGTCGATCTTGTCGAGACCTTGGAGCATTTGCACCCCTAGGCGGCTGAAATCCACCAACAACTCCTCCGCCCTTTCGACCATCGACTCCGTTCGCTTCTCCTGGCAGTGGCCGATCACGTACGGGATTCATACCCATCATTCATCGTCCACCAGAGCGCTGTCACACTGAATCCTACGCCGGCGATCGAAGCGGCAGCGGAGACTCAGTGGGATGGTGCCCTGGTGGACGCTGAGGGATGCGTGTGAATCCCGTACGTGATCGGCCACTGCCAGGAGAAGCGAACGGAGTCGATGGTCGAAAGGGCGGAGGAGTTGTTGGCGGATCTCGGCGGCGTGCTGGAGATGGAAATACGCCAAAGCTTCGAGAAGATCGACGAAGGGATGAAGAAGCAGACCGAATTCCAGGAGCGCGTCGAAGGGATGCTTGACCAGCTCTCGAAAGGTAGGCATGCGCCACAGACCCCTTCAGTGGAGGCACGAGCGTCTGTCAGGTGTCACTCCCGTGGCTGATTAGAACCTCTCTTTCTGGATTTACAGCCCGATTGGTGAAGATGACGGGAGGCGAGGAGCGGCTCATCTGAAAGCGAGTTGGACAGGGTGATCCTCAGCTGTACAGGAGCCGTCGAGCTTGTTGGGCTGTTGCAATCGTATACTATTGTTGCCGATCACCCCTTTCGCGTGCGACCGAAGAATCACATTTTGGTCGACCTCGGATCAGCGTAGTTCCAAAGTTACTTGTTGACATTGCAAGCAGACACAAGCACGGGGTGCTGTACGAACAAGGCGCTGCACGCGGATGAGCCCGGTGTATCGCAGTGCTGTAGTCAATTTCGGTCCGGGGTGACAGACCATTGCTGTCAGACGGTGAGCGTCGACGAGCACTACTCCTTCATCTCATGCGAAGAGCAGTCCCAGAGAACGAGCTAAACCTCGGCGGGGACGTATTGCAGGTTGTAAATTCCCAGATGGTACGGCTCTTGAAAGTTGAAAAGTTCGAGACACGCGATCCGGCGTCGCCTTGCACTGCTTGAAGCTTCTTCCGTCCGCCGCGTTCCTTGATACGTCTACCCGTTTACCCGCGCTACGCCGATCGACGCATTCGTTCCTGCTCGTTCTCTTCGTCCAACACAGCCAGCTGCCAGCGATTCAGATCACGGTTGTCCTCCCCGATCTCCCGCACGGCATCGACTCGCACTTTCGCAGCTCGGTAATCCATGTAGTCGCGGCCAGACGCTACAATCTACAGTCTTGGGGGGAGGGACGCCAGATCAGGGTCTGGGGAACGTTTGACACCGAACACGTAGGTACCGACTCGCGAACGCACACAGATCGTGTAGACCGACATGGCACCGGTGTAGAACGCGAGCAAGGGGACGCGCCATTGCTGGGCGGTCACTCGCAAACGCGCCAACAGGGGCGACGACTGGCGACGACTGCGACATCGCCGGCACCTATCCGGCCTCTATCGCCCCTGCATACGTGCGCATACGTGCGCATACGTGCGCATACGTGCGCATACGTGCGCATGCATGTGCACATTGGTGCATACCCATATGTACTCGGTTTTCTCTCAGTCAAAAGTTCTGCACGACATTGCATAGCTATGCGTCTTCGTGCAAGCTCGAACCGAATCAACCTCCCGCAACCTGCTTCGTTGCGAAATCCCTTCCTTCGCCCACCGCCGAGTGCACGTCGATTCGAGGCGGAGTAGGAGCAGGGCGAGGACCACAATCCACGAGGAGTGATTATTGGGACAGTACCCGGTATAAAGAGTCAGCGACAGCGTGAGAATACCACAGGAACGTGCAAGGGGGCAATGAATCGATTGAAGGCCTCGGAGGCTCAGGCTCCGGGCGGCCAAACACCTTCGGCGCAGGCTGAGATGCAGTTGGATTCTGTCCATATTCGTGTCGAGGCCTACTCCACACTCTGAATTCACACGTCTGCACATTGATGCATAGCGATGTACCCCTATGCACCGGCATGCAGTCTCGGCGCCGTTGTCTGCGAACCATGAGTCGAACCACCGTGGATCGAGCGTGAGACACTTGGCAGATCCGGTTTCCTGCGCATGCAACCCCGTGCATGACAGTGCATGATAGTGCACATCCGTGCAATTCAATGAGGTGAACCGCGAGAGCCACACCCCCAGACATGCATGCGCATGCACAAGTATGGTGTACTCGAAAAAAATCGAGTTACTAATTGTGCAGCCCGTGACCGATTTTCTCCCAAGCAGCTGATGTACCTCCGAGTATGAGAACGCCTAGTTGATAGTGGTTCCTTCTCTTGGAGTACACTGCAATTACTCTTCATTTGGTTTTCCGTTGACCCGCCTCGTCGGGGCTCTCGAGTTACGGTGAGCGGGCCGCACCGCAAGCTACTCCGAAACACGTTTCGGAGTTCGCAGTAAATCGCAGTAGTGGAAGCTAGTGGAAGCGAGGTCGCCCCAGCGCCTTGGATTCCCCTCCGACACTCCCAACGAACAAGCAAGAACCTACGTACATGTCCCCTTCCGTGGAAGGTCTCAACCTCCACCCTTACCTCCTCTTACCAGGGGATTCCAAACGACTGGCCACGCTCCTCGAGTCCTTAATCAGAAGCTCCAGCTCATCCGCTCCCCCGTCCACCTCAACCAGCCCAACCGAAACCACCACCACCACCACCACCACCACCACCAGCAGCAGCCCCTCCTTAACCCCTTCTCCCGAACTCAAGCTCTATTCCGACATCCTCTACGCGAACCACCATTCCCTCGGCCTGTCCCTCTCCTACAAACCCAATTCCAAAACGTCCAAACTGCCCAAAGTCATCGACGAGATCAACTGGGCCAAACTCAAGTTGGTCGGAGTGGATGTGTACAACCCTGAAACGTGGAAGGGTCAGGAATCGAAGGGAACTGAGAATAAGAAGAAGTTAGAGTATAGGCCGTTTCCGCGATACCCGATCGTCATTTCGGTACCTGCTTCAGCGGTGGCCGACGCGCCCACTTCCACCACCACCAAGAACACTACCACCGCCACCTCGGACCCATCCAGCCCTACCACCGTCCTCGTCCATCCCACAACTCAAGCCCACGATTTCACCTCTTCCTTAGGCGAACCCGATCGAAAAGGAGGAGGAGCAGGCTCGATGGGGATTTGGTGCGAATGGACTCAATTGGGAGTGATGGTTGAATTTGCCAGTGCTGGATTGGAGGCTTGGGATAAGGGGAGGGATGTGAGGTGGATGGTGCTTAGTTTGTTTGAGAGGGGCGATGAGGTGGTCGTGGAGGGTGCAGAGGCGAAGGACCGGTGAGGGTTCCGATCTAGATCAGATGTCACGTGATGAAACGGATGGTCACGTGATGGGATTATGAAGGTGCGAGTTGCGAGCGGTGTAGTGATATCAACAAGTGGACGGGAAGTGTAACAAAAGAAAGAACGCTATACAGACTCGTCATCGATCTCGATCTCATCGACTATCCTCGCCATCACCTCTTCCTGATCCTGCCCTACTACTGAAAGGCACGCTGTCTAGGACAGCGGAGCCTCACTGGTGACCGAAGATGACAGGTGCAAGTTATATGGATTACAACTAGCTTCTGGTGTCAGCTCGATGAGATACGATAGTGCTGAGATAGGGAACACCAGTACTCACCTAGCTTCTGGTGTCAGCTCGATGAAGAGAGAGCTGAAGAAGCTAGGCGCGCGCAAGCTCTATTTCTAATGCCTGTGGCCCGTCGTAAGGCCTTGCCTTACAACTACCGGCACCTCCTCCCCCACGTCCCCATCCACCTCCACCTCTTCTTCGTTCACCTCCCAATCACCTTCCTCGAATGCAACGACCTCCCCATCCTCCTCCCACAAGAACCATTCCCCCTCCCCTTCAGCCTCTCTGTCATTCACTTCCTCAACAGTAGGCCACCCCATTCCATCGAACTTCAAGACCCCACCTTTGATCCCCCACTTTTGCAGCACCTCGTTCTCTCCATCATCCAACGTCGCGTCCAAAGTCGCGTCTCGACCGATAAGGGTGAGATAATCTTCGGATGTGAGGGGGGGTATGTCGTTGAATATCTGACGAGCGGCGGCGACGGAGAGGAGATAGGTTGATGGGTCTGATGGGAGGTAGCGCGTTTGGGAATTGAGGATTGCTTCGATCGAGCCGTATTTTCTGGAAAGGGAAGGGGTACCGTTACTGTGATTTCAGCGGGAAATCTCGTTTCGTATGGTAAGGGAATGGCTTGGACTCACCTGATCAATTCGAGCGCTCTTGCCGGTCCCAACCTGTCCAAGGAAGACCGCGAACCGACGCCCACGACCCGTCAAAGAACGCTCTGACACCGTGCCACGCTGCCTCCCTCCACAACTCACTGGGGTATCCTCTCCGTAAAATCGCTACCACACAATAGCGCGAAATCAATCATCTCCTCCCTACTCAGTCCCAAACCCTCTCTCGCTTTCTCAGCGTCCCAAACACTCATCCCCTTACTGCTCGCGACTTCCCCATCCCCGTCCGTATTCGCAGGATTCTGTCCCGCTGAATTGACCCTCCGCAATAAAGGGGCTTGGTATACAATGACGTCGGTGTCTTCGGAGATGACGAGAGATGCGATGCGGGCGTGGTATAGCGAGGCGCACAGAGCTTCGGCTTCGTACGGTGAGGTTGGGGAGGGTTTGAGATAGGGGATCCCGAGGGAACGGATTAGGTCCTGGCATGTTCAAAGCATGGCGTTGGATTATCAGTCGTGATGCAGGTCTCGTTTGAGTACCCAGAGCAAAAGCACTGACCAACACATCCTCTGAAGCCTGCCAAGGTACGGCCTCTGCGCGAGTCCGATGCGACCGCTCCAACTCGTTGCTCTGCCTCAAGATTGACTCCAGCACGTCCGTATCGACGCCCGTCGAACGGTGCGGCAGTACTTCTTCATCGACGACGTCGACGTCTTCCGCATTACGCTCTTCGACCAGTATCGAATCGTACCACCTCCTCTCGGCCTCGGTGACGAGTGTCTGGTTCTTGGAGTAGAGCGTATTGGTCGCGTCGGCTTGGAAGCGCGCGTGCAACTCGGCCAAGGAGAGCACGGTCGTGAGCACCGCATCGGGAAGGGGTGGGGGTGGGGGTCTGAGTAGTGTTGATGGATGGTCGGATGTTGGGTGAGGTGCCGACTTCAGAATACCGGTTGAAAGGGGATTGGAAGCCGCCGAGTCCGACACTGAAGAAGATTCTTCTTCCTCTTCGAACTCGACGTCGTCTTCCTGTGGGAGCTCGACGTCATCTTCCTGAACGTCGACGACAGTCCTCTCAGCCTCTGTCTGGACCGTCTCCCGGGGGGGTGGAGGTGGGGTTACAAGAAGAGTTGCTAGGGGTTCGGCTGCTGGCTGTGGCGGCTCCAGAGCTCCAGTCGAGAGCGGATCGGAAGCCGAGTCCGACACCCAGGCAGCTTGCTCCGTCACGACGACTCGTCCCTGCCCAACCCCCTTCAACACGGTCTCCCTGAACCTCTTCCTAATCTCTTGCCAGTCCCGCTCCCCAACACTCCTCCACCCTTCCAACGTCTCCCTCAACCTCTCCCCTCGATTCCACTCGACCCCACTCCTCCCCTTTTGCAACTCCCTCGCTTCGAGGCGGCGTTTGTTCTCGTTCGCTTTGGCGGGTAACCTCGTCGGACCATCGAACACGACGATGGGTTTGATCCCGGCTTTAGATAAAGCCCGAAGGAAGGTGTACCATCCTTGAACGATGCGCGTACGGGACACGGTTTCGGCTTCGGATGGGGAAGGGGAGGATTGGGGAGGATGGGCTTGGGTCGGGCGGGAGAAGTGCAACTTGCTGGTGAGGACCGAGGCGTCGATCGCTACTGTTTGACCTTGAAGATGCGAGAGGGAGCGCAGGGGGGTGATGGCTTGGGGTGCATGTTTGGTCAGGGTCGTGGCGAGGTCTTTGATGCCCCTGGTGGATGAGGGGAGGGGAGAGAATGTCAGTAGGAGGCGAGTCGTCGAGGTCGGGTCCTCAGGACGGGCCAAATCGAGTGGGAATTCAAGTGCGCAACAAGAGGAGGGTGCGTTGACACGGGCACAGTGGACTGACATTTTTGCACGTGAACGCGCCTGTTACTATGTCGTTCGCCTCGTCCCTGTCGACAGAAGCTGCGAAGCGCGAGATCACCAGCAAGGCAGACTGGCAGCGAGCGAGTGAGCGCTCTGATTAGCGAATGGAGTGGAGTGGGTCCGAGTGGGTGCAAGGCGACGCGCGTATCGGCTGCTGGGGCAACTGGCAACTGACAGCCGTGCTCGACAGCGGTGCTCGACTGGAAGTGTGTCGGGATCCGGGCAAGACGAGGCAGAGGAGGGATGAGGGTTTGGTCGAGTTGGATTTCGAGGCGACGCAAAGGGCTGTGAAGGAGACGAGGAACGTGGGGGAGTTGGATGGGTTTGAGGATGAGGAAAGGGAACGGAATGGAGGGGGGGGGGGGAGAGGGGGAGGGAGAGGGGTTGGAAGAAGGGGAGGAGGAGGCTAGGGCAGTGGTCCCTGTCCGGGCATGTCGAGAAGGGTTCAGGACCGCGGCGGTGGAGCTCGAGCGCAACGAGAAGGTGAGGGAGCCGAGTAGCTCGCCACCGTCGGTAACCATGGCGGAAGTCAGGGAGCGGGAACAAAAGGTAAAAGAGGGACCTGCTGTGGAAGCAGAAGTGGAAGCGGAGGCCGAAGTAGAAGCCCCTTCACCGTGTCCCGAGAAGATGGAAGTCGACGAGGAGGATGAGGATGAAGCTGAAGAAGATGAGGAGACAGATGCCGACACAGTCGCTTCGGATGCCGAGAGCCAGCCTGATTCGTCGGCCGCCAGTGTGATCGATGATGACGACAATGATGACGATGATAGCAAAAAAGACATGGACAACAACGACGACCACGATGACTTCCCACCTCGACGAGTGTCTCTCGCGATTGGGTCGAAGCGCCGTCGACCCCTAGTCATCAGCGACGAAGATGAAGAGCCGGACGAAGTGGACGAGCCGCAGGAAGAAGACGAGAATACTCTTCCGACTCCTATTGGACTACCCAAGGCATTGTCGAAGAGCGTCCTGGGAGCGATAGGCAGGGACCGACCAGTTCCAACGACGGCAGTGGCTAGACCGCAGCTCTGTGGAGGCGGAGGTGAGTTGCCTGGAATGTGAGATTACAATTTTCTTTGGCTCGGTATTGACCGATCAATTTGTTTGCAATCCAGGTTCGTCTACCGGCCCGGCCTCGAAGCATCTTCCCAAGTTCATACCCCCTTTTGACGATGCTCAACGTCGCCCAAAAGAAGCCGTAACCCCCCTCAGCGCCACTGCCGGTCGTGCTCCTTTGATCGAGGTCGATCGACCCGAAGACTTCGAGGTCGTTCCTCAGACGTACGAGAAGAAACTCTCGCATACAATGAGACGTGAGGCTGTTGTCCAACTTGATCAAGACTTGCAGCGGGCTTTGTTGTCCAAGTTCGGGCAGTGTTCGGCGACGATTGAGGACAAGGCCTGGAGAGAGTTGGCCGGAAAGAAGATTATGTATGAGCAAAGGTGAGTCATTGACTTGATCGAGCGTTCGATGGGAAACAGACCTAATCCTGACATCAAATCGCCCCTTATTATTCGAACAGGCGAGACATCATCCTTCTCACTGCAGTCTCGCTCGAATCGGATCTCTTCTGGCTCGCGCTCACAAGCAAAGGCTATCGCTCAATGCTAGGACCACGAACAAAAGCAATCGCAAACCTCAAACTGAGCGAAAAGGCACCTCTTGAGTTCGAGAACAACGCTCGATTAATCGAGGAGGTCTTTGACGCATTGAAGAGAGCCGCCGCATCGTTGTTACCGAGTCGATCAAGGAGGAGCGAGAGTGGAGGAAAACCAGGCGAAACTTTGAGCTTGGCTGGTGGGTTGCTTTGGTGAGCTGTCCTAATATTCTACCGCTGTACTTCTTGGGTCAATTTATCTTCGTACAACGCACTTGACGAGGATGAGCGGTTCTCCGCCGGCAAACCGCTCTTGCAGATGACCCAGCACGAGATTTTTCAGACACTCGAGTAGAGACCAAGCTCTAAAAACCACGGTACAGAGGTATATCATACGATGCCCTGATAAAATTGAGAATCCTGGCAAGCGGTGCTACGGGGGCCCTCCTAAAGACGAGAGCGAAAAATAATATAACTGCACACCTGCTCAAGCCTTCAACGAAATTGAGCCGTCCCAGCGCGACGAGTTGCCTGTCTTCACCATCTCTCGAGAGCGAGGGTCAGTTCTAGACTGCTCTCTGATCTGATGTTTTGCGCAGAGTGTCCGTGTGACGTGGAGCTGTTTGGCTGACGATCTTGGTTCCGGCTCGGCATTGTTCGGCATCGCCCCTTTCGCTTATCTTGCCCGTTTCCTGATCTCCCGCTCCTCCATCCCCTCTCTCCCCCACGTCGACTCCTCATCAACCCCGGCCAAATTTCATCACACCACGGTTTACTATGAGTCTACAACAGTTTCCTCCCCCGAGTCGCTCCGTTGACCCACCTCCCCGCCGAGTTCGCTCCCCTCGAGTCGTTGCTGCAGCGCATGACGATCCGTCAACCGAACGGCGGCGTCGGCTTGCTCGGCCACGGCCAATTCGCCGATGCGTGCGAGACCGAACTCAAGAAGGTCGACTTGGAGAGCAAGGTCGATCAAGTCATCGAGAGTGGTACGTTCTTCCTACATTGCCCGTGAACAGATCCAATGCTCGTCAATGGACGTTCGCTAATGTTATGACCGCGGTTGGACCTGTCTCCCTTCTGTCTTTTGGCACTGCAGGCAACCAGCAGCTTCTCTCGGCGCTGTTCCGTGATTACTGCTACGCCACCTCGGGTGAGTGGCGTCGTGAGGGCTCTGAACTGTACCGAGATCTGGAAAACTGAAGCACTGTCACTTTTTCGCCAGCCTTCCTCCTTGAGCCGGTCGACCAACGCTTCCGACACACCGCAGTCTACGGCGAAGGCAACAACCGCCTCCCTCGCGAGCTCGCGGTCCCGTTGAAGAAGCTCGCCGATAAGCTCGGTCACTTTCCCTTCAGTGCGTCGTGCATCTGCCTCTATTTTATGTCTTCGATATTGCGACTGATATCATGGACACTCCTGTACAGTGGAGTACTCCTCTTCGTACGCTCTCCAGAACTACGTCAAGATCCAGTCCAAGGCCAAGCCAGGCAAGCTCGGCCCTCTTTCCGAATGGGCTACGGACAACCTCAACATCCTCCGTGCGTTCGAGGATGCCAGCGGCTCCGAAGCCGGCTTCATTCTCGTGCACGTCACCATGGTGGCCCACACCGGTCGAGTCGTCGCTGCGGCCGAGGATGTGCTCGAGGCGTCTCAAATGGGCGACCACAAGGCGTTCCAAAACGCGATGGGTGACCTCCTCGCGACGTACGAAAAGATCCAAGTCGCGATGGAGTCGATGTGGTCGTGGTCGAGGCCGGTCGACTACTTGCGCTTCAGGTCATTCATCTTTGGCACGGGCCCCAAAAAGTCCAACTCGATGTTCCCCAACGGCGTCGTCTACGAGGGCATCGGCACTGACGAGCCCCAATACTTCCGTGGTGAGAGTGGAGCCAACGACGTGAGTCTTCAGTCTAGGTTCGGACAGTGAGCTTTCCGTGATCCGATCCAGCTGACCTTCCTGTTTTTGTATGTTCTTTCAGTCCATCATCCCCCTTGCGGACAACTTGCTCGAGATCACTCGTGCACACCCCAAGAATGAGCTCACATCGACCTTGCGCGAGTTCCGTGAATACCGTCCTTCGGCGCAACGTGTATACCTCGAAGCGCTCGAGCGTCGTGCGTCCGAGACGGGCGTTTTCAAGTTTGCGCAGCAGAACCCCGAGAGCTTGGCCTTGTACATCCTCATGGTCGACCAAGTGCGCGAGTTCAGGGACCGCCACTGGAAGTTCACCAAGGTAAGTGTTGAGAAGGAGATGGCAGCGCTGTCGGATGAGCCTGACTGATCTCGCTATCTTTTGTCTGTGCACCAGAGCTACATCATTCGTTACTCGGACCACGCTATCGCCACAGGTGGATCGCCGATCCTGCGCTACTTGCCTCAGAACCTGACGACCGTGCTCAACTGCATGGCCGATGCGTTCACCTTGTTGCCCAACTCGCACGGCTTGACCCCTACGACGGCGGCCAAGATCGAGGCGTGCCGCGGTCGCGCCGAGAGGGAACTCGCGGCGTTGAAGGTCGAGTTGGGCGAGTTGAGGGGCGGGGTCAAGGGTGTCGATGATAAGCGCGTGCACACTCGTGGATCCGTTGGCTGCGACGGCATCGGCTGAGTGGGGTGATGCTTAGGTCGATGCGATTGAAATCTGTTCTCGCGTTGACATTCAGGAGGAGGGGAGAGGGGTCGCCAGAGGGGACCCAGCGGTTTTAGCGTGGTGGTCGGCGATTGGCTCTATGAATATACTTTGTCATAGGAAAATAGCTTGAACCTTGATCAAATTCTCGTCTCGGAGATTTCTAGCAAGCGATGTAGTAGTGAGGTGTCTGCCTCAATGCAACGCACGACCTTCTTTACTGGAGTCCTTGTGCAAATCGGGCGGATTGAAATGTCGGCCTGAACTGCCGATCAGTGAACTCCACCGGAAATGCTGCACTGTGACGTTCCACTTTCATTTATTAATAGCCTCGGAATCATTAGCGGATGCCGTGAGCTCCGAGTCGGCACCCGAAAATAAAAGAATGTGTTCACGACACTGTGCCGAATTTGCAAACTTTGATTGCTAACGTATTAGTACAGGAGCAAGTCTCATTAATGGTACTGCTTGAAGGGGTGGTGGTCGGAGAAGAGGCAATGGAGGCCCGCGAACCTGATATTCTTGGCTGCGACCAAATCGCGATGGACGGGGGGTTGACATCCGCGTTCGCATTGTAAAACGCGGAACAGCGGCTTCGCGCTGCCCTCGACGGTTCCCTCGTCGTTGAGCCTGTAGAGGGTAGGGCGACGAAGGAGAACAACGTTGGTGATCAGACCAGCAAACATGACCTCGACTCGGCCCTGTCCGAACTCGGAGACTGACCTCGACCGGTGGCCGTGCTCGTTCCGGCAGTCTTGGTTACTGCACAACGACGACGTCAAATCTTCATCGACGTAGTAAACCAGAATATCCAACCCGACGCGCTTCAGACGCTCGATCTCTGCAACGAGTGCCCGCAGGAAGACGTTGGTGCAGTAGGTCGCGTGAACCGTGCCACGGCTCGAGCCACCCGCGCCGATGAAGAAAATGAAGAGGCGTGGCTCCGACGACAGGATGTCGTCTCGAAGCGCCAACTCGGGCGAGCGCAGGCTGTCGAGGGCTTGCTGCTGGCGAGTTCCATTCAAGGCTCGTTCTGAGTGAGGAAGGGAAAGACCAAAATAAAAGAGAAAACCCCGCGATCCGGGCCAGATTTACGCAGTGGTCAGTCACCGGGGGTGGGGTTTAGGCATGCCACCAGAAGCTCGACCGGCGCCGGGAGGGCCCCTGTCAACTTGGTGCACTCACCGACGACGCGGACACCCGTCGCGCTCATCACTTGGTCGACGAGGCGCTGAACGGTCGCTTTGGCGTGGACCCGGGAATTGTGCACTGCTGCCTGGCGTTCTGGCTCGGACTGCAGCCACTCGGTCGAGGGTGCGTCGTCCGATATGCCAGCGTGCGACCGATGGGCGTCGGTGGCAGCTACTGCGAGCGCGTCGGTAGGGGCGATTGGGGCCGGGGCGCGAGGAGCGGGGCCAGGAGTGGCGGTAGCGGGCACGACACGAGGCATTCCGGCGGTGTCCGGCCCCGACGAAATCTGCAAGCCGAACCTAAATTCGGCGCCGAGCTCGGCGTCGATTAACCGTGTGCGCTCTTGCGTCGAATGGAGGGCCTGATCTACGGAGGACGCGTACAAGACCAGCTCGTCTTCCATTTGGCATCCGTTCCGATCGTACAATCGGGAGGAGATGGCCACGGGGCACTTGGTACCCGGGTCGATGCCGACACTGACTACATCGCGGTTGACACCGGCTTCGAGCTCACTCGCCAACTCGTTGCAGCCCGGAATGCAGGTGGAAATTGGGGGGAGCTCGTAATCGCCCCACGACTACCCGGTCGATATGAGGTGCAAGGAGGAAAGGCACCACACGAGGTTAGCAAACTTGGGTTTACAAAGGATCAATGCCCCCCGCTCAGCTCGCGTAGGAGTGGAACGTACCTCCCCAGTCGCCTTTTGAAAGATGGCCTGCAGCGCCTCTTCCCTCCCGTTCTCAACCCTCTGGATCATTGGCATGCCCCCGGGGAGGGTGGGAAGTAGCTTGACCGCACGTTTGGGGACCCAGCGCACCGACTGCTCTTCGTGTCCCACTCCCTTTGGGTTTGTGGCGGTCTTTGGGACGGAGGGGATCTTTCGAAGACTCTGAATCAGCTTGCGGAAGATGGGACCCGCGTTCTTGGACGAATGCCACGTCGGGTAGTGCTCGGTGACGAGGTCGAACGTTTCGTAGACCGTTTGGCGAGGAACAATCGCAGCTTCAGAATCAGGCGACGAGCGAGCTTCGAGAACGGCCTCTGCGACATCGAGCGTGAGGATCTGGACCGAATGGCCGTTGGTTTGCAACTGACCATGTGGCACTCGGTGGGGACCAAAGAGCTCGACGTTGAAGAGCTGCAAGATGACGAGCGGTCCCTTGCCGGTCAGGTAACGCGGAACGCCATCCGAGTTGGGCTTGAAGAGGCCTCGGTCGGACTGGGCGGCGGTCACCTTGCGCACCTGGGTGGGTGGGCCGAGGTCGGCGTCGTCACTGTCGGAGTCGCTGCCAGGAGCTTCCGACCGGGGTGGGGTTGTGACGGAAAAGATGCCATGAATCGTGGCTTCGCAAAATGTAAACCACTGGGCCTCCCATTCGGGACGAATTACCCATTCCTCGCCTCCGCCTCCCCCTCCCAGCAGCACACCCTTCGAGTCGACTTGTCGCCTCAACATCTCGCGAACCCTTTGACCGGCGCCGGCGAATTCCTCGTTCGTTGTCTGCGCATCGGCACGCTGCGCAGCCCACGGGATCCAGACCCCATCGAGCCATTTGACAAGCACTCGGGCAACCTCCGGTCCCTTCCAGAGGATGATTGCGGTACGGCGCAAGGACATCGTTATGAATTCCGGCGCAAAGTCCTGTGAAGTATCGGGGAGCGGGTCGAGCCTCGGTCAGTACGAAGCGCTCACTTGGCTATACCAATGCAGTGGCAATTCCGCCCAAAGGTGTCAAGGGGTGCTCACCGGTCCGATGCCTAAGCTACGATCACTTTTGATCTTGAGCGCGTGCAGTGCCGGAAGCAGGACCTGGGTCGGCAAGAACTTGAACTTCCCCTTCACCAGGTCGCCGAGCGTGTGCTGGCGGCGGAGTTGATCGCGCTCAATCGGACCGACCATTTTGTCGAGGTGTTCTTCGACGACTTGGATTGCGTCGAAGATCACTTGGCGGGCGGATGCGTAGATCGGGTCGAACGTCGCGGCATCGGGGATGATCTTGTGGGCTTTCTTGTACAAGGCACGGAGAGCGGCCTCGAGCTTGGGGTCTGCAGTGGCCGGGTGGGTCGCCCTGTCGCGTAGCAGGGGAACCAAGAGCATCGCCTCGACAATGCGCTTGAGGCTCTGGTTCCGAAAATTCGCTTCGGCCACCTTGAGCTCGTAGACTTGGTGGCGACCCCCGGCGGAGGGGGTCACAAAGCCGGCCGAGGCGAACACGCGAAGGACCGCAGGTACCCGATCCTTCCACCCAAAGAGCCCGACGATCAGCATCATCACACGGTCCTCCCACCAATCCGCCGAATGAACGAGCTTTGGCACGAAGACCCTGTGCATCTTGGTGTCGATTGTTGCTCGTATGACGCTTGTCCAGGCCTGCGAAGTGAGACAGGGGGGGAGGCGTGCGCAGTGCAGGGCACGCGTCAGGTCCACACGTCCACGTTCAACGGCAACGAGACCACGTTACGCATACTCACATACGAAAAGCAAATGACGTCCTTACCACCCGAGACGCGACGAAAGAGGGCTCGCTCTTCTTCGTATGCGTCCGACCCGACTGACGCTTCATCGGGGAGCGTGAGAGGGTCGTCCAGCCGAGTGCGACCTTTCCCGCCCGTTCCGGCCCTCCGTCCTCGCGCAGCAGGTAGAGTATGGACATGAACAACGCGCGCCAGCGGCTTGGGTTCAAGCCAAGCTCCTTCCACTGCGCGCGCGTCAAGAGCCCGAGGCATCGACCGAGCGCATCGGCGACGACGCTCTCGATCTCACGGTGGGAGATCGCCAGGAGGCGGAGGAATGGTTCCAGGGCCTGTAGGGCAGGCCTAGGGCGTTCGGGTGTGTCAGAAGGGCGGGGAGGCATAGTGTCTACCTTTTTAACCCTGTCGAGAGCACTTGTGGGCGAATGTTGATGGTCAGGAACCGAGAGATGGGTGGGCGATTGGGTCCGTGTGCCCACCCCGCCCCAGCGCTGGCGCACCCTGTCCGAAATTGATTTCGGACGCACACCTATGCGAGACGACGATCGCATCCACGCGCGAGTGGAAAAGACCTAAGATCTGATTCTCGGCCCACGATCACGTCCATTCACGCAAGGTGCACTTGTGTAGTAGATCATTCCAGCGTATCGAACACAACGAGAGATCTTGGCATGATCTCAATCACTACGAGGTATCATCTGACCAGATCAACTCTTGCGCCATTTTGAGGGTCAAGCCGATCAAACTCGTGAAGGACGTGAACGCCCGGAACCGCCGGCCGAAACCGGTCCGTTTCTCATTCTCTAGGCGCCCAGGAGTGATCTCGTAGAATACCTATCTCGGAGTGTAGTTTGCCCATCGTACGACCTGTCTTCATGGGGTTCATTCATGTGAGGCTAACAAGTTCTACGATTCTGATCCGGAACGACACCTGGGAAACATCATGAGGCTACCTTAAAGTGCGAGTGGCGACTCCTACCTACGAAAGAAGGCGGTCGACTCCGAGTCGACGGCGCAAGAAAACCCCGAGAGCTGCGACGACGCATCGACCTTCTTTGTCTTTATACGGCTTCACCTATCAATCTCTATTGCTGCAATGCTGTAGCTGCGCGAATCGGATTCGTTGACGACCAAAGCCGCATCCGAGTCCACGTCCATCAGCCCGAGCGAGCTTGCTCGGTTTCGAGTTGCCGCCGGTGGTGCACTTGCCTCAGCCTGACGTGCCGTCCTGGCCGGGGTCTTCGAACCCGATGTGCGCCTTGTGTCAATTCTCCGGACACCATGCATCCTCGGACCAGATCGTCGAGCGTACCCGTCATTGTTGACATCCTGTAGATAACTCCGCCAGGAGATTTTCCGCCACCGCCGCCGCTGCTGCCCGAGTCCGATTGCTTCGAGAACAGGGCACGTACTTCGGCCGCCGTGGTCGCCTTGTTCCTTTCGATCGACTTTGAATTATTGGACTTGCGAGTGCGCTGTTCTGCGCTGTCCCCGAATTCGGGATCGACCAAGCGGTAGTCCGACGCCCTGACGGTTCCTTGCACAGCGAGCTTGTGCGTCGAGACCATGCGGGCCGGCTGCTCGGCTTGACGTCGTCGAGCCTTGGCAAGGTCACGTCGGAGTTCAGGATCTTGAACGGTCGAGAGACTCGAAAGAGAGGGCAGAGGTCCGGTGGAGGCGACCCCGGGTTGGTGGACGAGAGGGGGGTTGCGGCGAATCGGCGCATAGGCATATCGTGAGACTGCCGACGGGCCTTCATGTGGCGTTCCCTTGAACCGCCCCCTGGTCCCCTTTGTGACTGTGGTGATGGACTCCGCGGTTGCTTTTGCGAACGTCTTGTCCTTGTAGTGGTGCAGCAGATTTTGGATAGGATCGATCGCGGCGCAAAGGGACTTGACCTCCTTAATCTTTTCCTCCGTCGGCGCCGGCCCCGAGTCGACGTTCCTGATCAACGCCCCCGCGGCGCCATCCCAGCCACTCTGCCACGTCGCCTCGTCCAACCACTGCCCAGGCAGGTCTCTAAGTCCTCCAGGCCCGACCCCTTTGATGCCCCTGAAATAGTCGCACCCGAGGATGAGGCTCGCGACGAATCGCTGACGAGAATTCCACACCGCGGGGTGAGCGTCGAGTACGGCAAGGTCCACCAAGCTAATGTTTTGGTCCTTGCCCGATAGCACGGCGCGATAGCGGGCTTGGTCGGCGCCGAGAAGCATGAAAAAGTCGCTGTCGGCGCTCACGAGGACGACGCGGTTGGGTTCTGTGGTACTCGGGATCCCGTCGTGTGCAGCAAAGTCGGAAATGAGGCTCCTGTTGTCGGAAATGAGATGGGACTCCCGATCTTGTCGGCTGCATTAGGGTAGTCGACTCACGCGGGCGTCGGCTAATTCGGTGGTCTCGGAAATCGGGCTGGAGTCGCTTAGTCGGGAAGCGCAGATTCGGCTAACTCGGCCTAGCGTCACATGAGCGGATAAAAGTTCAGAGCAAGGGACCGTGTGACAGGAGCAAGGAATGGCGTGATCAGGACGAAGTATGGCGTGATCAGAAGGCCGAGTGTCGGAAAAGAGGAGGAAGCTGGCCCGGGGGGAATGGAGTGTCCTGGCGTTGGAGGGAAGACTCGCTTCTTGTTCGGAGACAGACTAGACTAGACTAGACACGACTCAGACCGACTTTGGAGGGAGGCGACTTTCGGAGGGGAGGACCGCTTGGAAGAGGACATTTCTGCGAATCTATCATTCTCGGTTTCATTATCTGCGTGTTTCTCGGTTTCGGCATCTCGGTCTCTGCGCTTCGATAGCAATCGCCCCCCCCCCCCTTTCTCTGATCGTCCGCTCACTATTACCATAGTTCGAGCGCAACGTCGCAGATCTGGCCAAACTTGGTCGACGCCGAGACGAGGGGATCGGCCTCGTGGGCCGCGACGACGAGCAAGCCTTGCTCGGACCAGCGAACAAAGGTGGCGACTCGGGTTGGCTCGTCACCGTGGCGAAAAGCGACCTCCCATTCTTTGCTCGATCGTCCGTGAACGCACGCGGCGAGGGTGTCGTTCGTGATGAAGGGGACGGGGTGGGTGACAGGGGTCGATTTATCGGAAGGCTCTTGCGGTTTCTGGCGATCTAGGCGATCGAGCACGGTGTCCTGCTTGAGCTTGGGCCGAAGGATGGGATGATCAAATACCACGACCACTTGGATCCGCCTTGCCGTCGCTGCAATGACTACCTCGAGGTGTCGAATGATCGCATTGAGGAACAGCCGGCCTCGCTTCGGCTCGTTGTGTTGCGCCCGGTCCGTCGCGGCATGGCGCTGACGTGCGAACGCGGTAGCGCCGTCGATGATGGCGACTGAGTGGAGCACAGTGATGGACAGCGTAGACGGTCAGCTAAGGTTTGCTCGGAAAATCGGGGCGGAGCAGTTACGGGCTGCGAAGGGGCTCTGAGGAAGCAACTGGCCATCGATCTTGCCGACGAGGGAAGCCAGCGCGCTGCTCAGGTTGCTCTCGCGAGAGAGCAGGGCGTCTGGAACGATTTCCAAAGCGCCACCGAGGCAGTCGTGACCGTGTTTGACCGTCATCGAGGGAGATATGAGCTGTGTAAGTGCAAGGCGCAAGGCACAGGATGCAGGGTGCAGGGTGCAGGAAGAATCAACGGTGGTTGAGAAGGCTGCGCTGCCCATCGCTCCCAGCCGAAAAGCAAACGGGGGCAGGTCCAACAAAAGGTCGTTCGAGCTCAGAGTAGTGTGAGAAGATGCATCATAATATCTCGAATTGTACCGTAAAATAGCCTGTACCCCATATTCGTTAGTTTTGCTCTCAATCTTAGTCTGGTCAAGGCGGCAGCCTCCTTTCGGAAGATCGCAGTGGGGAGCTTGACCGTCCACGATCTAGGCCGCGAGAATCCGCCAATTTTCTGATGAACAATGGTCCGACGTACATGTAAAAAAGGCAAAAAATCTTCTTTCAATATGATTTTGTATTTGGGTGCCACCCTACTTGCATGACGGCCTCGACTCGCTGCGTCGGAGCTCTCGCGTGAAGCCGACCCCGCAACTCTGCTCCGCGGCGGACTCGGAGTTCGGGGTCGTCCCAACTCGGACCAAGCTACAGGAGCGACCACCGCTGTATCGATCGCGGCGATCTCAACTCTGGGGTGATCCCTGGAGCTCAACCTACTTGCTGAGACTTGACCGAGCTTGATCGACAAGGTATTCGGTCTTTCCGAGGGATGGATCGTTGGCCTCGATGTCGGGTGCACGGTCCCCTCTCCGTTCAGATCTTCGGCGCTCTCGGCCGCCCTCGGCCGAGGTGGAGAAGATCGAAAGCTTAAATTCACAGCGTGGCGTCATATCGATGAGATGACTCATTCTACCAAGCGCACACCCCGCACCCAAGTCAGCAACCACCTCGAGCTCGTCGCCTCTCTCTCTTTTCTCCTTCCTTCTCCTCGTCGACGCGCTCTGCACTTCTCGCACCACTTAATCTTGCCGACATCGCCCCCCTTTTCAGGAGGATACGAAACGGTGGCCTTTGTGGTGTGGTAGAGTCTGTCGTTCGATCCCTCCCACCGTCAAAAGTGTGAGTAACCACCTAGCTGTGATCGTGTTCGTGTGGCGTAGGGTCGGACTGACTCTCGTGTTTACCCGTCTCGCGTCCGTCTTTCACCACCCCACCTCCATCATCTTACCCCACCCCACTCCTCCCCTCTCCCCTCTCCCCTCTCACCGTGATCTCTCGCTTCCCACCTTGCCACTCGGACCTTACCGTCTGTCACTGCGTCACGGCTTGCCATCAGCCTATCCACTCGTCGACGAGTGTTGAATGGCGCCTACGGCATGTCACCGAGGTTGTTCCTGGTCCACAAGACCGCTTGCATTTGATCGTACCCCGTGAGTCTTTGCTTTGACCCTTGATGATCGATCGATGGATCGATCGTGCTCGCCGGCCCTTGACGACGGGCGAGGCGGGACTGACGATTCGATCCTCGCCTACACTCTCCAGACAAGCAGCCTCCACTGCGTTCCCGAATCGACCGATCTCCCCTGCTCGGATCGAAGGAGGTTCACGGTACCCCTAACATCAGTGAGTAGCAGGTACCCTAATCCTGTGGCACCAGGTAGCTTACTTCTAGTGTACGCATCAACCTCCAGCTGCACACGGTCTTCAAGCCATCTCCACCTCGGTCGACAAGGTCCTCTTCTGTTTCTGTTGCTTCTGAATTGGTTTCACTTCGGAACTCTATGTTGGCGGTGCCAAGTGGCAGGCGACTTGTCCTTGTTTAGCCTAGCCAGATCCAACTCCTACATTGAGCCTCCCTCGTGAACCCTTTTCGTTTTTTAGTAGTTTTTGAGTGCACGTATCGAGATGCGCATGCACCACGGATTTGAAATTCGAATCGACCACCACCACCATAGCCGGCCGACACTCCACAACGGTCAACACCCGCACCAACAGCAACAACAGCAACAACAGCAGAATCAGCAGCAACAACAGCAACAACACCCGTAACCTTACCACGACGAACCCCCACCCCACCCCCTCCTCCCTCCTCCTCCTCCTCGGACCCCATCACCCAAGCCCATTCGAGCCTCACCGCCGTCCAAACCCAACTCGACCATCTCTCCACGCACTTTGACCTCAACCCTTCCACCTTGCACTTCTCCCCTCCCTCCAGCTCCAACACCGACCCAAAACTCCCCTTTGTCCCCCAAAACGCCTCTTACCATTCCTACATCGAGGACCTGACCAAACTCTTGCTCAAACTCGACGGCATCGACTCGAATGGGGATCAAGGCGTCAGGCAAAGGAGGAAAGGCTTGGTCGCCGCGATCGAGAGAGAGTCGGAAAAGGTTGAAGCGATCAAGAAGGGGGAATGGCAGAGGAGGCAACAGGTCGAGCAAGAACTGAGCGAAAGAAGGGGCAAGGTCGATGAGATGATGAGGGGATTCAGAGGCGGTGAGCCGGCCACGACTAGTCGGTGATACTATGGCTTGGAGGGTCGCTCTTTTTGTGTCGGTCATAGATGGTTCAGGCTGTTTTATTAGACTAGACGCTGTGTGTATATCACTTCTCACCTTTCTCCCTGGAGAGAACCCACTCGCGAGCGAGCCAAGCTTCAGATGCCACACTCCCGAACCCGTCGGTGTCAATTACAAAAGATGAGGGGGAACACGACCGCACCAGCGAACGCACCAGCGAACGCACACAAAAGAAGATCGCCCCCCTTTCACTCGCTCTTGCTCTTCTCATGCCCACCCGCCACCGTCCCACTCGACGTCGACTCCATCGACTTCAATTCAAACACCTCCGCATCCTCCTGAGCCGCAACTTTGCTCGCCGGAACAGCGACGCGTTGTTGACGTTGATGCTGACGATGCGCATGCGCCTCGGGCGTTTGGTTGACAAAGTAGTTGTGCAACTGATCATTGACCGTCTTGGCGACTTCGTTCGACACACCTTTGGCCAAAGCGAAAACAGGCCCGGTCATCCCGAGATGGATGGTCACGTACGCCGCACTGGCTGCGAGCAGAAGCATGGTAAAGTAGACGGGACTTCGAAGCACGGCGATGAATTCGTTCCATCCCAAGACAGCGAGGACGGCGTACATCCATACGGGGATCTGTGAGATCGACGACACCATCGAGCGTTTGGCTTCGAGGTAATACGCGTCTGCTTCCCTTCTGAAGCGAGATGACAAAGCCTCGGCTTGGGCGTCACGAAGGATCGTCAACGAACTTTCGAAATCAAACTCTTCGTCCCCTGCGTTATTGAGAGGCGTCGAGTCCGAAGGAAGTACGAACGCGTTCTTCTCGTCCAAAGGAGAGATCTTGGTGTACAAAGGGATCAACCCCAGGACCTCGTCTTTGGCTCGCTTGAAGATGCTATCGATGTCATCCTCGGGTTTCCAAACGCGCGGTGTGCCTTCGTCGTCGTAGCGGAAACGCTCTTCAAAGACGAGCTTGAGCTTGACGAGAAGGACCGATTCGGCGGTCTGTTCGTCGATCTTGGCTCGAAGGGCGAGCCACGCACGTTGGCGGAGGAGCGTCAGCGCTGTCTCGTTCTCTTCGGGGGTGCAGTTGAAGCCTAGGTAGAAGAGAAGGGGTTGGACGCGTCAGTTCCGGCTCTCTATAGTCACAAAAAAATCCATGAAGCATGACTCACTCGTGGCTTTGCGGGTATACGTCCCCTCGGCCTTATCGAGCGCCTTCCTGAATGCGGACAAGACCTTGTCCCACATGTCCGGCGAAGGCTTGTTCAAGCTCATCTCGACCGTCTCCGAGATCTGGCTCTTGAACTTGCGCTAACAGTTCGATCGAGAGTGTATATCACACCAGCTCAGTCCCCGAGAAGCAACTAGGACCCGCAGTAGTCGCTCGCACTGACCTCGATGTTGGCAATCATCTTCTTGGTTTCTTCGGCCCTCAACAGATCCGCGATCGCGACCATATCCTCCTTCAACTGCATCTCCGTCTCCGTCGCGGACCACTCCGTCTCCTCCAACAAGACCTCCTTCGAACCCTTCTCAAAGTCATTCTCCGCCTCCTTTGTCGTCCCTTCAACGACCTTTGCGAAATCGTAGCCTTCGACTTTAAGTCGTTCTTGGACCTTCTTCCTGAAATCCTTCAGGACGATCTTGTGCAAATTCTTGAGGTGCGCTTGAACGAAGGGTAATAAAGCGGTGTTGAGTTTGTCCAATAATTCGGCGCGCTTGCGGCCGTACACCCCCGCATGGTACCTCGAAGCAGCGGTATCGAAACTCTCCAACGCGACCGAACGAACCGTCTGCATCCCTTTACCCAAGCCAGGGACCAGTGTCCCCGGCGCACTCGAGACGAAGACCTTTGAAGCATCGACAAAGACGACGAATGCGCCGTTCGCGATTTCGTCGCATCGGAATTGAGCGAGCAACTCTTGTTGCGTCGGCAGATCGAGGTCCTTGTTCGTTACGACCGCGTCCCAGATCGTCGACATGTACTGCGACACACCGTCCGCGGGGATGCGTTTGTGGTATTTGGGGTGGAAGACGTAGTCCGGATGCGAAGGGTCGACGAACCGTTTGCGCAGGTTTTTGACTTCCGCTTCGAACACTTCAGGTTGTAAGAGTTTGTGAGGCAAGGTCACGAAAGCGAGGTCGAAAAAGTGTGTGATTTGCGACGATTCCAGGCCTTCGGGTTTGGAGAGCCCGTCCCAGAGCCGGTTCAAGTCGGCGGTGAGCGTGTTGCGCAGATTCTCGAGTGGGGTCGCTCCGATGTGGTCGCGGATGACGAAGAGAAGGAGGGTCTTGTCTTGAGAGCTGTGATTCAAAAAAAAACCCGCTCAATTGGATCACGAGTTCGTGGTGCGAGAATCTTCGTTTGAACCACTCACGCTCCGGCGGTCTTGCCCTTCTCCTTGGCGGCGAGGAACAAGCCGAGGTTGACCTCAAAGACGGTCTTGAGCAAACCCATGTTGGCGCCTTGGTACAACCCAACCTGGTGCTCCCAAATGTTGACGATCAAGACCTCGGTCACGGCCATGGAGAAAAGTGCCGATTTGCGTTCAAAGTCCTAAGGGGATTCGGGCGATGTTCGGAGATTGGGTCAGAACATGGTTCAGATTGACTTGGCCCCGATGTCTGTCACTGACCTGATCCTCTCCACGTTCTCGTCCATCTGTGCCTTCGACGTCCATCACCAGCACGGGCATGTCTTGGCCCTTGGACATCCAAATCCCTGTCGGCCAGCTCGAAACACTTTCAGAACCCCGCGGCGAAGCTAAGCTGCCTAGTAATCAAATGAGCCCGCACGAGCCTACCTTTGGTCGTCTGTCGTCGTTCCGACTCGTTCATGACGTCGAACTTGGTGCCGAACAAGCGATTGAGCAAAGTACCTGAGAACAAGATCGGGATCATCGTCAGGGATGAGGTCCGTTCCGGAACCTGAATCACCCCGTCTCGGACTAACTCTTGCCCGTCGATTGACTACCAAAGACGGCGACGACATCGTAGGCGAAACCTTTGTCGGCCAATTCCCAGTCCGCCATGTGGGAGTTGAGGTGGTCGCTGTCGTTACGATCATCGAGGAAGAGCTCAGTTTGCGTTGCTCCGGGCCGGGGGAGGGTTCTTCGCGCTGAGAACGGCCTTGGCCATAAGAGAATGAGTGTACGTACGTAAAGTTCTGGTTCTCGTCGACTGTGAACACGGAATCAAGGACGGCGGAGGGTCAGCAAGAGAAAGCTTTGCTCGGTAGGTCTGTGGACCGACGGCGACGTGGCGCCATCTCGCGGGGAGGCGAGGTCTACGTCGGCGGGGTGACGAACTGCCACCGTCCGGAAGAGCAAGGGCAGCTTCATACTGTAGCGCAGGTGAGGCTCGGCGACCCTGCTCCTGCTCTCCACGCCCCAAGCTGCGCAACCCATTGTCCCTCCCGATCAGGGCTCGTTGACTGACTGAACCGCCACCGAATCGCCGCTCCTGGACCTCAACGTACCAACCTGCAGCTTGGCATCCATAGCCGCGTTCCCGTTCGACTTGGTCTTCGATACCGTAACACCTGTAGCAGGCGCGGATGCGGACGGAGAAGTAGTCGCCCCCGTATCCGTGCTCAGCACCTCCTTCCTGACCTCGCTCGAGGACCCCGCCAAAGCCGACTTGAGCGGCTCCTGATCCGGATTCATCAGAGCATCTGCGACGATATCAAGCGTTTGGTTCATAGTCGGTTGGATTTGCGCTCTGAAAGGGGTGGAGAGAAGAGCAATCCCAAGGACGGCGCCGGCACAAGCAAGCTGAGGTGGGTCGATCGTCGGTCTGGGAAACGGCAATGACGCGCGTCACCAAAAAGTCACATGTCAGACCGCCCGAGTTGAGCTCGGACCCCCCCCCCCCCCTCCCCCAGTTTGCCACAGGCTCCGTGGTGGGTTTTGCCAGTTGCTCACGGGGATGGGTCTTATCTTGATGAGAATGGTCTCACAGCTGACGATACTGTATGATTATATAACTCCTATGTTTAAAGATCTAGTAATGGTACAGTGCTCCGTTCTTTGTCCTGCGCCATCCGGTGTCTCCTCATTTTGCAAATTCTTTCTTCGGGCCCGGTGGGCTCGACCAGATTCTTTACGCAACGACCTTAACGACGACCTTGCCCTTGGCCCTGATCAGATTGAGAGGAAAAAAACTGGTCAGTACACGGGCTTCGTTGGCGGGCTCAGCGTGAGTTTGGGGCTCACCTCAAACTCATCTGTCTCTCGTAGGCCTTGAGCGCCTCGTCGAACGAGTGCACGGAATCGACCATCGGCTTGAGCGAGCCTGTCAAACACGGTCAGATAAAACATAGTCAGCAACTGTTTCGGGTAGACAATTCCGCCCTTCGCCTCATACTCACCATCCTTGAAGAGCTCGGCTGCCTGCTTCAGCTCGGGCACCATCTTCTCCACGGGCAACCGGGCGAAGCGGTACTTCCTCGGTGTGCCACCCAAGAGCCTCGGCCACGCCGTACGGTATAAGATGCTCGAAAGGCTACCGATCGTGCTCATGACCGTTCCTGTCATATGAGGTCCGGCGATGTCGATGTAACCCGGTCCGTCGGCTTTGAGGAATTTGGGGCTATCCTTGTGCAAGTCGATGCCGACGGTATCAAAGATGAGGTCGAACGGTCGCGACGAGTAGCGCTTAGTCAGTTCTTGCGCGAGGTCGACTTGGCGGTAGTTGATCACTTCGTTGGGCTTGAGCGACTCGACGTAAGACCAGGAGGCATCCGAACAGGTCGTGACGACGAAAGCGCCGAGGAGACGAGCGATCTGCACGGCGTAGCCGCCGACTCCACCCGATCCACCGTTGATGAAGACGCGCTTCTGTTCGCCATCTTGATCCTTCTTGAGACCACCCAGATGACCAAGGACGTACCACGCCGTCAACCCGGCAAGAGGGAACGAAGCAGCTTCTTCGAACGAGATGTTGTCCGGCTTCTTGACGAGCAAGTCATGGTCGATGACGGCATATTCGGCCAAGACACCTCCGCCGGTCTTGAAGATGTCGCCATAAGGAATTTGACCAAAGACGGCGTCGCCCAAGGCGAATCCGCTGCCTTCGAGGTTGCCTCCCGCGATTGTACCGGCGAGGTCGGCTTCAGGGACCGAAGGTACTTTTTGTAGAGCCGAGATGGGGAAGACACCCATCCCTTTCCATCCGATGGCTGTGAGATAGGAAACAATACCACGAGGGTTAATATATGCAGCGTCCGCCGGCACATGCTCCTCCAGGTCAGGCGGACGACCAAGACGTCATCTACGTTGAAGCGCTTCCCCAGGACTTTCCGCGGAGTCCGGCTTGGTGATCGTAGCCTTCGATCCACGACTTATCACACTGGATAGTACGCGCAGGAGGTAAAACTCACGATTGAGAGACGCGGCATGGATCTTGATGAGCACTTGCTTGCCCCTGGGGACCGGTTTGGGCCAATCCTCGACCTTGCGCAGGACGTCCGAGGGTGCTCCCTTCTTTTTGAAGACCCATGCTTGCATCGTTTCAGAAGACATGGTCAAGTGGAAAGAGTTTGATGGGCGAGATGGGGTCTGTAGCTAGGGCGGGAGGTAATGCTTGGGGAGGAGCTGCGACGAGTACGAGTTATGAAGGGGAGAAGAGAGAAAGACAAGGACTCGAGCTTGGTGAACGATTCGTCATTCGAGCCAGCGAGATTCGCGCTTGCGCCTGGCGATCACGGCCAACGCCGAAAAACCTCGGACATCCGTGCGCGCGGGCTGGCGCGGGTGAGTCAGCCCTCGGAGACAACGACGGGCCCGGGTCAGCCCGATAGCCGAAGTTGATTACTTCCAATGCGAGTTCGTCATTTGGCAATTCACCGGTGTATTCTTTCCAGAGAGCGAGCCCTCCTTGCTCACGCAACCTGAAAGCCTTCCCCATGTGCCTGCTCGGACCTCAGTTGGCAGTGGCAGTGGCAGAGGGCACGGCGTGGTTTCTCAGGGAGCAGCACTCGTTTTGAACGTCCGATCAAGAGTCGCTTGTACTACTTGATCACGATGGAGTGCCAGCGTATAAGTCTGGAGTATCAGATCCGACTCCTCTCCAGCTTTTAGATCTGAGGCAGGCCGGTCTCTTGCTTCAATTCCAAGTCCGATGTAGTACCCGCCTGGAGATCCGCATCAGCTTTTGAAGACACAATTTTTCACTCGCGCGAATTCGCTGGGCTCTTTGGTCCACCGCAACATATGTTGTAGACAAGGACGAGGATTATTGAATGTGCAGTAGGAACCACATGAGGCGATCGCTTGCCGTTGACCGGCCCTGTCAAGCAGATTCGGCCGCCACATTAACTTCAAGTTGAACTTGCTTGAAGTCCCGCAGCCGCCACTGAAGGCAGCCCTGAGCGCCTGAGCCGCCGCCTGGCCGTCGCCCGCCAGCCTGCCTCAGCCTGCTGCCGCCGCGGGCTACGAAAGTCCGAGCGGCGCCATGCCCGCCGGTTCATTCTCGACCACACCACCCTCGCATCCTACGGTTATTGTTCCATCGGCTCGCTCGACAAAGAGTAGCTGAAACCAGGAGTGCATCGAAAGCACCATAGCACCATCCCACTTTCTAACCCGACTGCCTGCGTGACCTCGCTCCTTCCGTACCTCCCCACGCTGAGCGCTGATCACCCTCCTCGCACTCACTCATCTCTGCACACGCCACATCTTCCCTCCAACGACTGGTAACGATGGCTGAAGCATCAGGAGATAAGCAATGGAAAGAGTCCATCTCTCTCGAAGAGACAAAGTGAGTCTACCCTACCCTGCACGAGCGCTGCTCCACCGGGATGAGTGAACGACAGCTCGCTGACTTGGGGATCCCGACCTCCACTCTTGTTCCTGATTCCCCACTTGGCTTCGACTCGTCCGCAGTAAGATTCGTATCTCCCTCGGGCTGAAACCCATCTCGGATGCCCCCTCCAAAGCCGCAACGGCGGACAAGCTCGCCGCGGACAACTTCGCCTCTGCTCAATCCGCTTTGGCCCAACAACGCGATGCCAAAGCCCAGCAAGACCGCATCGACAAAGCACGCAACACTCGAGAACGAGCGAAGCGACTCGTGGGGATGGGTTTGGGGGAGGTCGAACCCAAGATTGAGGGGGAGAGTAGCTCGTCGAGCGGTGGGGCCAAAGATTGGGTCAAGTTGCAGAAGAAGAGGGCAAAGGAGTTGGCGGCCAAGAGGGAGAAGGACTTGTTGGAGGAGGAGAAGAGGGCTACGGAGGAGAGCAAGAGGAATAGGTATGGCGAGGAGGACCTCAAGGGGCTCAAGGTCGCGCATGGGATGGATGACTTGGAGGAGGGCGACGAGGCTGTATTAACGCTTGTCGATCGGGGCGTGCTCGAGGACGATGGTGAGTTGGCAAGTTGATTCATCGCGTTGATTTTAGAGCTGACGGATCAGGTATACGCAAACAACAGACGACGAGCTGCAAAACGTCAACATGGCCGAGAACCTCAAAACGGCCGAGGCGCTCAAACTCAAAAAGAAAGGCAAGCAGGCCGGCCAATACACGGGCTATGATGACGACGAGTTCAACGAGAACGCTGCCAGTGGGCCGAGCAAGAAGAGCGTGCTGGCCAAGTATGACGATGAGGAGCAGGAGGAAGGGTTCCGGCTCGGTTCGGCCCCGGCCCCTCGAGCTGCAAAAGGCGATGGGATGGAAGGTGCGAGTGGGTCCGGTGCCGGCGAGGCAGACGAGAAGGAGAGGGTCAAGTTGTCGATGGACTACACCAAGTCTTTCAACTCGGACTATTTGCAAGAAGGCGAGGTCGGGTTCAAGGTCAAGAAGAAGAAGAAGCGACCGCAGGCGACCCGAACAACGGGCGCGTTGCTTGGTGCCGAAGAGACGGCAACGAATGGTGACGCGACGGGTATGGACGTTGATCAGCCTTCAATTCAGACTCGGGAGGTAGAGCGACAGAACCTTGATTCGACGAACTTGATTGATGACGACGATTTGCAAGCATCGCTGGCGAGGCAACGACGCGAAGCCAACAAGAAACGGATTCAGGAACTGAAGAAACGCGCGGCCGACAGGGCACTTGTAAAGGAAGAAGAAAGGGAGGAAGAGATGGATGTCAAGGCCGAGAGTGGCGATGAGGGGATGGGTGGGGGTGGTGGAGGAGGAGGAGCCGATGAGCTTGTCCTCGACGACACGAGCACTTTTGTCCGCAACATCATTCTGGCGGCGGCCGAACGTGCCTTATCGACGAACGGCGCGGTCAAGAAGGAACCAAACGCGACTTCGACTGCGCCGGCCGCTGCGAGGGCCGCCTCACCTGCTGGCCCTCAAGTCAAAGCTGAACCCGTCGACGAGCCCCTCTCGCTACTCGATACGGCGCCGCCCCGAGCCGGACCTTCATCCAGTCGATTGACGGCGGCGCAAATGAGCGGATGGGGAGAAGCACGTGAAGACGGCGAAGAGTCGGACGATGGCGAGGACGCGCAGATGCGCGATCCCTACGACGATCGCGAAAACCGTGGACGATCGACCTCGATCAAGGCTGAAAGTGAGGTCGGTCACGACGACGACGACTTCGGAACCTCGGGCGAAAAGCTCTACTCGCAAGGTCTGGCGGGGACGTTGGCTATCTTGAAAAAGACGGGTGCGATCGTGCCTCGGACACCGGAGGAGATCGAGCGGGATCGGAAAGTCAAAGCCGATGCGTTGTGGATTGCCAAGTTACGTCAGAGGGATGCCGAACGCGAGGCGGAGAAGCTAGCTTCCAAAGCTGCAGGCTCGAGCAAGACGCAACAGCAGCGCGAGTACGAAAACAGATTGAGGGATCAGCGCGAGGCGCAGGAGACGCTCGATCGCTTCAAGGAGTACAAGCCTAATGTCAAGCTGACGTATCACGATGAGTTTGGTCGCGATCAGACTAAGAAGGAGGTGAGCTCGTGTATTTGTCTGACTGAAAAAGAATTGGGAGACTGACTAAGGTGGCTGTCCTACCCCTCAGGCATGGAAGCAATTGTCGCACTCATTTCATGGCAAGACGAACGGTGCCAAGAACACGGAGCGGAGGCTGCGCAAGATCGAGAACGAGCGCAAGGCCGCGGCTATGGCCGCAGGCGATACTCCAACTGGATCAGCATCGGCATTCGCTGCTCGAGCAGAACGTACAGGATCTGCGACGATGATCCTCTCGGTCGGTAACAAGGGTTCAGCGCCGATGCAGGAGGAGATGCTTGGACCCAACTCGCTGACCAAGAAGCGGAAACCGACGACCACAAACGGCAAGGCCGCTGCTGCTGGTTCCAGCTCGTCCACCAAAAGTGCTCGAGGCTCGACGCCGAGTGGGTCGGATGCGGTCATCAACGACATTCCGATGCGGGCGATCCCGATCGGGAGGGACGAGTCGCCGAGACCTCGGGCTGGGTTTGCCCCAGTACGTGGGTTCACCACTGGATCGAACGTGGAAGGTGGAGCAGGTGGCGCGGAGAGGTTCTTGCCTATTGCGGTCAAGAGGAAAGCACAACAGGACGCGGCGGGGCCTCCGAATGGAAAAAGTCAGAGGACGGAGTAGATGCTTTCAGGGGTGAGGAACTAGCGGGGCTGCTGAGGAGCTAGGACGGCTTTGCAATTCCATTGCGACGTCATGAACCGTCCACATCAGCAGATGAAGAGTCGCAGTGTCTCCTAATTTTCGCAAACATTAAAACTATGTAAGCTGAATCGGAGGTCAAACTGCCTGTTGATCCCCGCTGAAGAGACGCTCGTCGCCCGTCGCACTTCGCCCGTCGCCCGCGTTATCAGGCTATAGCCTAGTGGGCATTTCACGTCACGTATTCCTGGTGTTACTGTTTGGTGTGGCTTCCTCACGCTTGAGACGATACAACTGTTGCTGGACTAAGAAAGACATTCCTGCCAACAAGTTATTCTGGCTCTCACTGCCCATCTGGCCCCTTTAAGATCGGTCAGCCTGCCGTTCACTGACGGCGTTCGAAGCTCGATTGCGTCTGCTGTGCAGGAGTGTGCAGGCTGGTGAATAGTAGCCAGGACAACAGGAACGTGCGCTCTTGCCTCCTCGTCTCTTCCCTCCGACTTCGGGTCTCGCCTGACACCTGCACGATCCTGAAACTCCCCCGACCCACCATTATCACACGCATCTGAATCTCTCCTGCACGGAACGGACGAGACGCACGGAGGAGCTGCCATCGCCCCTCGTGGCATGGGCGCGACTCGGCGAAGTCCGGCGCGCCGGGGCGTTGATGACTCGGACTTCTCGGTCAGTCCCCAACTGCCCAACAGGTGGCGCCGACGCACGGCGTGCTGCGCCTGCCTGCTGCAGTGCTCGTCCGGGCCGGCTGACGCGTTGTGCGTTACCCGCCTTGTAGATCACCATGACTCACCCAAGTGTAAGATCGGTGCAGCCACGACTCGTCAAGTCAGTACAACGCGTCCCGAAACTATAATGACTCTCATGTTCTTCGTGCTGATCGAATGGCCTGCGCTTCTACCGCCAACTGGATCCCGGCTTGGCTTATCACGTGTGCCCACCCCCACCACCCCGTCGATCGTTGCCCTTCGCGTCCTACAAAGGGATCCGACCGCGCTCGAATTGCTCTCATCGCATTGGAAGACGTGGGCACGCTCCGATTCGAAATCGTTGCCTGAAACCAGCACCTCAAAGTCTACCGCACAGGGCGGGGCATCGGCGGCGGAAGCGACGAAGGGCGAGGAAGCCGAGGACGGGGACGGCCGAACCTGTGCAGCTGACGTCGAAGAGGTGTCGTTAAAGGCTGTGCTGCCGATAGGTGACCGCATCACCTGGTCAGGATGGGACGAGATTGCTTCAGAAACATCAACGAGGTCAGTTGGAGCTGTCTATACGCCACGTACGCCACGAGCCTCACCCGTCCTTGTGACTTGGATCTCTTGCCCCTGCCCCTGCCCCTGCCCGGTGCCACCCCACCTCCCCACCTCGCTCGGGCCCCCCTACCTGGCCCCTGGCTGACGCGATTTCCGGCCTTGACGTGATCGCAGACGGCTCCTCATCATCGCATATGCTTCACTTGGACTTGTCATATGGGACTGCTCGGTCCTCGACGCGTGGCATGAGATGGCCAATATCCGATCGATTGTAGACGCCCCCACAAGTGGTGCCGTCCAGGCCGAGGTAGCCGACACCAAGCCCGGCGCAATCGTCAGCGCATGCATCATCCCTCCCGCATTCTCACCAGTCTCGAACGATAGTCCTCTTTTAGCGGTCGTCACCAGAGCCTCTGATGCCCCGCCAGGATCGTCAGCGCGGTTTGGACTCGCACCAAACGCGTTCGTTTTCATCTACTCTCTGGCTTCGGGTACGGTTGTACATTCTTGGTCACTTCCCGGGACTCCACATCGTGTCTCGGCAAATCATCGACAGGTCGTCGTGTCGACGTCATCACCTCTTGCCTTGCACGTTCATTCCTCCTCCGATTTCAAGGCCTTGACATTTTCGCCCATCCGCGAGCTCGCCCCGAGTCCAGTTGACGGCTCACCCGTATTTGACCTCGGCCGAGGCGGACGGGCACTCGCCTACGCGACCGATCGTAAGGTTATTTCCGGTTCATCCTCTGCGGCTCGATTCGACGAACGCAGCGTCGCTCGGCCCGGAGCTGGGATCCTCGCTCAGCGTGGCTTCTTTGACACCGACGAAGCAAGTTCTACTCGGCGATCAAGTGCCTCGACATCCTATGACCGTGCCGCGTTTTTTGAAGATGCGAGAGTAGCTGGAGCCGTCGGTGGTGAAGTTGCCAAGCGAGTAGGAGGCGGTATGCTCAACGGGGCGAAGGCGATCGGCCATTTCGGCTACAACTACTGGACAAGCTCGACGGGATCCTCCGCCGACCTCGGGGCCAATACCGCGGGATTTGGAGAAGGCGATTCTTCGGCCAAAGCTCTATCCAGATCCTCCCCATTGCCTTCTCTATTGCGCCCTGGGAATCGGTCACCAGTTGCTCCCACCTCCAATGCGACCTTCGCAACCGCTCGACAGTCGAACGACGCGCAATCGTCATCGACTTCTGGCGCCGTGCTCATCATCGACCTAAGGGCCCTTTCGAAGACAAAAGCCAGTCATCGCACCCCTGATGGTCGTACGCAGTCTCCCCCCGTCTTGGCTCATTTCCGAGCGCACCAATCTCCAATCGCTGCGCTGTCGCTGACACCTTCGAGCGGCTCGATCCTGGTCGCACCTTCGAATGGCCACTACTTTGACGTGTTTGAGCTCAAACCCAACAGACGGACTGGGGGATCATCTAATGACGGAGACCGCGCTGACAAAGTGTGGCACCGATACCGACTCAATCGTGGACTGACGGCAGCTCGAACGACGACTGTGTTCTGGTCCGAGGATGCGAGACTGGTCGCGATTGGAACGGGCAAAGGGACGACCCACGTGTATGCCCTCAACCCGACAGGGGGTAGACCGGATCTTTCGAGTCACTTGCAGCCACGAGTCGTCAATGAGCAGGATTTGGCCCCGTTGTCGACTTCCCTTTCTACGATCGCCAGGATCAGAAGAGGGCTGACTCCCGAACAAATCAAGGAGGAATCGAGCGTCGATGCGTTGCTGGCACTCGCTCCGCGGAGCGTGTTCGTGCCCAAGGCGACCTCGGCAGCGAGTAGTCTTAGGCCGGAGCCACTTTCGCCGAAGACAGCATCGTCGACAAGTTCGCTCACTCAGGATCTCCTACTATTCTGTCCTGCTTCTGCAACCTGTGTGCTCGAACGCTTGCAAGCCTCTCCCGCCCCAGCGACCACGACCGAGGCAGCTTCACGGGGTGACGTTGGCCGACTAGCCTCCACCGCAGTGTCGGGTCTGACGCAACTCATGAAGTCTCGTGGAGGTGCTACTTCGATTGCTACATCGTCGACTATATCGGTGCGTTCGGACAAGAAGGACTGGCAGATTCGTTCTTCGGCCAAGGCCGAGTGGTCCCTCGCCAGGGATGCGCAGCAGCTGGTAGGCGAAGGAGACCCACTCGAGGTGAACGCTCTTGCAAGTGGCCAAACAAAGAAGCACTATACTCGGTCAGATTATTTCACCTCCAGCCCGTGCATTTTGCGCTTTTTTACTGACTCTGACCCCTTGGCGCCATTCCCCAGCTGTTCGGCCCAAGCCGAAATCGAAACTTTCTCCCGGTCTCCAAGGGTCCTACCTCGGTCGCTGTACGCGTCCCAGCAGTTCAACTTCTTCGCCCTTCCTCGCGATTATGCGACACAAGAGGCTTCTGGTATGGTCCCTCGGCCGCTCAAACGACTCGAGATGCGCTCCGAGGTCGAGGTCAGGGAAGGTCGATCGCCACTCAGCGTCGACCGTGACGAGGGGTCTTCCTCTTCGCCCGAACGAGCGGCTGCAGCGACTGCAGCGACATTCGACCAGCCGATCAAATCGGCGATGCAAACGATACTCGATGATCCGATGGTTGCTCTGCCTTCGTCGTCACCCTCTGGAGTTGTCGATGCGTTCGCACACCATCCCGGGTTCCCGAACGGCGTTGCGGGGAAGCAAGGTCGGCACGCGCACAGCGGCCTGGCGATCCCGATCCGAGTCGGCGCGACCGTTCGTCAAGGCCTCGTCAGTACCGTCCGGGGTGTCGTCGCCATGTCGGTTCCTGCAGGTCAACACCTGAGACGACGCACGAGTGGTTCGACGAGCGCGACGAGCGGCGAGTATTGTTCGTCGAGCGTCTCGTTCGAAGACGACGCGGTCTTTGCCACGAGGGACGATGAGAGCGCCTCTACGACGTGCACGAGCGAGGTGGACGAGGAGGATGACGACCGCAAGCTTGATCGAGAGGAGGAAGACGGCGGGGATGAGGAGGGGGACGAGCTCGATGAAGCGGCATGGGGCTGGGGCGATGATGATATTCGTTTCGATTCATCGACAACGACAACCACGCCCAAAGACTCTTCACGGACGAGGCGCAGATCGGACTCGATTGCTGAAGTACCGTTCGAAGAGGATTTTGACGACTTTGTACCACAAGTTCAACTCGTCGTTCCTACCGCCAAAGCCAAAGGTCGAGGTCGCCAGTCTGCAGCGAAGGCCAAGGCGGCGGGGCCGGTGACAACGTTGTCGACAACGACGACGGTCGCGAGTGGAGATGATACGCAGTAGTGGTGCGTCGCGGATGTTCTTTTAGGATTCCATGTTGGCGTTTAGGACATGTTTCGTCTTCTGGTTGCGTCTGTAGGATTATTCTTCAAATGATTGCTTCCGATCGTCTATCGGCTTTGCTCGGCCAAGGGCACACACTTTTATTTTTTGGACTGGGCCCACCGCAACATAGTGTGTCAGTTGTAGTTTTAAAGCTCAGAGCAAACTGTGATTGTTATGATATCCGAAAGATGAGACATCGGGCGGGAAGTTCCGAGACGCAGTGTCGGTAATGTGTTTATTCACTGGTCTTTGCCGCGTAAGCGCTTCGGCCGGCGGTCGATCGCCGGGTGGGATCGGCATTGGCCCGCAGTTGGCTGTGGCAGGCTGTGGCAGGCTGTGGCAGCTTGCGGCGGCAGCTGGAAGGTCGGGGAAGCAGAGCTCGCGCCTGTTTCGACGGTTGTGTTTCGCCACATACGACGCACGCTCGCGCAGACACAGACACAGACTCTACACTCAAACACACCTTCCAACCTCAACCACATCAACATGCCTCGCTCATCTCGCTCTTCGGGAGGTCGACCTGCTGCTCGACCCGCTGCACCGGCTCCTTCGCACCAACAGAGCCGTGGCGCGCACACCCAGTAAGCTCCCATGCCCCTCGTCACCACCTCCATCTCCACATGCGGATGCTGACCATTCCAGTCTTCTCCCTCATAGAGCTGCACCACCGGCACGTACCACTCCCGCTGGTGTCCCCGCTCCCCATGCCGGCCAGCCCCAACAACCGGGCATGCTCGCTAACGTGAGTCAGCGCGCCCATCTCGCACGGACTGCCTCCAAGCGTGCCCCCACCCGGACAGCTGACCTCTGATCTCATCAACTCCGATCCGACAGATCGCCTCGACCGCCGCTGGTGTCGGTATGGGTTCCGTCATCGGCCACGGTGTCAGCAACATGCTCTTTGGCGGTCGATCGTCCGAGGCCGCCCCCGTTGCGGAGCCGCAACAACAGTCGTACGACGAGAGGAGGATGGGTGGAAGCTGTGACATTCAGGCCAAAGGTGAGGATCGGATGAGATGGGATAGGTTGTGTGGGCAGTTCGCGCGGTGTGGCAATTGCAGCTTAGCTGACACGACCGTCCTCTACCTGTCCCCAGACTTTACTCAATGCCTCAACGCGACCGGATCCGATATGAACGCGTGCCACTTTTACCTTGAGCAACTCAAGCAATGCCAGCAAGCCGCTAGTCAATACTAGACGGGTCTCCGGTCGCACCGGAAGGAGGTCGCTTTCTCTCGCGCACGGATCTTTTCTTGGGGTGAAAGATTGTCGAACTGCAATGAACACTGGACTGGCTTTGAACTGACATGCTTCGAGTGTGGAGAGACGTTGTTAGTTGATCGTTGGACCAGGTCAATCATCGAAAGACTCGAGCACACCCGGTTATGGGCTCGGTATGATTATGCGAGAAAGTCTTCGCCTGCACCGGGAGGGTTGCCTCAGCGTGTAACTTTGATACCGAGCTAGTGCACAAAGTTCGTCAGGAATCCAACCTCCTTTTCCCTACCCGTGCCTCTTGAAAAAAAAAAATCACACTCTGCCCTACCGGTCTACCTCCGGTACCTAGCTGAATTTTCGAGAGGCTTCAGGTGCCGGATCGGCGGCGGTTGCGGATGTGGGCCGGTCCGATTCGGTGATGATCGATGATCCTCGGTCCGAAGTTCATTGCGGTAGAATGTGTGATGAATACCAACGGCGGTCCCTTCGGACCGGTAGTCAGCAACAAAATGTTCTACTTTAGTTCGGGCCGCTCCCCTGAGCACGAACTGAAAGTGTGATGTCCCGCCCTGCGGATCGGACACGGACAAGAAAATCGAGAGCGAATTGACCGAGAAAGTTGCGCAGAAGAATCCCTGGCAAAGGGGTTCGCCCGCCACTTGCTGGCATCAGACACATCAAGTTGAAATGAACTGGCTAGTAAATGGTGAGTTATCCCGAGTCATAGGTCTTTGTGCTGTCGCCGACTGGGCATCGAAAGTGGCTGCAGCCTGCTGCGTGCAACGTTGCAGACGTGCCATGCGCGATCGAACTTGTGGCAGGCGGAGCTGACCTCTGTCGGCAAAGTTGCCCGATCAGCCGCGGCGAGCTACCGCTGCCGTTGTCCCGACTCCATCATCGACCGGCGCCGAGGACGAGGTGAGCCTCGAAGCGCCACAATCGTCGTCGGTCTCGCGGGCATCCTACGACTTGAAAGTTCCTAATCGCTAGGTCTCTTCCTTATCTCGATCAGTAGCAGCGGAAGTAAGACCCAGTCGAATGCGGTCGTCTACACCAGGCGACGAAGGGGCGAGCTCGACGGGCACGGGCACGGGCACAGGAACGGGCACGTCGAACCCAAGCAGCTCTGGCAAGCTGTCTCGCAATACCTCGCCCTCGGCCGCTCGATCTCGATCACCGGCAGGGTACTGGGGTCGACCTGGCGCAGCTGGATCGAGGTCGTCGTCGACCGGCTCGTTCTTGTCGCGTCTCGTCGATACACCCTCCCTCAAGGTCAGTTCCGCCTGTTCCGGTGCCTCCTTTCGCAGTCGTGCTGAGCCCGAATCGGGGACACGTCGCCGCGAGAGGCCGAGCCGCCAGGGGTCAAAGAACATGAGCTGACGAGGCCATTTTCCCGTTCATAGGTTAATTTCACGGAGGACCTGCTCTTCCTCCATCCGGCCCCACCCGATCAGCCGACGTACGACCCCAGCGTCGAGGGCACGTGAGTCGCTTCTTTCTGTGGCCAGTCGCGCTCGCTTCGGTCATCGCGCTCGACAACGGGATATCCGTCCGGAGTTGTCGTCTTTGGACGGGTGAAGGCGCAATATCCACCCCCTATCATGACTGATCCGCGTCCACACCTTACATTGGACTGTTCTCCTTTCCAGCGTGACCCTGTATCTCCCCAAAGGCCGTACCTTGCGTCACCTCTCGGTCAAGCTCCAAGGCATCTGCTCGATCGGGTTCCAGCACCGACCGTACGAAACCTTCACCTGCCTCGAGAAGGAGTTGACGCTCGTGCGCGACATCGAAGGCGGCGCCGACACCTATCTTGAGCGTGGCGAGCACGTCTTCTCGTTCTCCATCTTGGTCCCGTCCAATACGGCGCCTTATGAACGCAATGCGTACGGAAGGGTGCGCCATTTCGTATCGGCCAAGGCCAAAGGTCTCGGCAACTTTGGCGATCTCAAGAGCGAGGACAAGAACCTCTACCTCGTCGTCAATGTAGGTGTTTTACATCGACCGACTTAGAGCCCGAAGTGGAGTTTTCCGGAGACTGACTCGTATCCCACGGTTGCCTTGGATAGCCTGGTGGCGCCGGAGAATCTCAACCCCCACCACCTCTGGACTACAAGTTCGAAGGCGCGTCCGACGATCTTGGACCCTACACGCTCGCATTGCAGTCGCAATTCATCATAATTGCTGGTACGTGGAGCGTCTGACCTTCCGGATCGCAGTTTGCTAATGTTTTACCACCCCAACGCGACTAGGTCTGATCCTCTTCCGCTTCCGTCTTCTCGGGCCTCCGTCGCCAATTGCCATCTACTCGATCCGGCTCAAGGTGCTTCAGTACTTCACCCTCACCGCACCGTCCGACCCCAACTACGTCGAGAAACCCCCACCCGAATCACGTACCGTGTTCCTCCTCGACCTGGCCCACCAACCCAACGGAGGCGATCCGGAGGTGGCCATCGAGGCCGAAGCTCTAGCCGGCGGCGGCGTTCGTTCAGGTTCGCAGACGCCTCGATCGGGGCCTTGGTTCGTCTTGAAGGCCGGCGAAGAGTACAAGGTCGCGCATTTGGCCAGGTTCTTGAATGACAACATCTTGCGTGGCTCGACCGTCGAAGGCATCGAGACGGGCATTCATATCCGTCACGAGATCGCGGTCGAGGTGACGTATTCGGCTTGGGACGAGGATGAAAGGTCGACAGCGGCGGCGGCGGCGGAAAGAGAACGAAGCTCGAGTCGGAAGGGGAAGAATAAGGAGGTCCCCAAGGAGTACGAGAAAAAGGTGTTCTTGGTGACCAAACCGATCGACATCTTTTCGGTGAGTAGCGCAAATCGACATGCTCGAGCTTCGATCCTGGAGCTAACGGTTTGGCCTTTGCGACAGTGCTGCTCGTGGTTGGACTCGTTGACGTTGCCCGAGTACTCGGTCGATGATCCGATCCCTCCACCTGACCCGGATCAAGAGATTCCTTGCACGTGCGGTTACTCGATGGCCAGGTGAGTTGGCTCACACTCTTTAGCAGAAGCGTCGATTCGGGAATTTGACTGATGGAAGTCCTCCGCCCTGCTGCGTCTCAGGATCGTCGGGCGACACGGCGATTTCTTAAAAGAGGTTGGATGGGAAGGCGAAAGGAGTGGGTTGACGTTCGCTACTCAGTACAAACACGATGAAGGGACGTCGAGCCATCCGGGAAGCGGGGCGAACAGCCCGGCACTCTCGGATGAGAGGAGGGGCCGACCGCCGGTCCGACGAGGGGTTCCAATCGTTGTCGCTGAATTAGAATAAGTGCTTGAATACTGTAGAACTTAGAGGCCGTGATGAATTTTTGGGGGGTCGCTTGTCAGAGACCTAGATTGTAACATTTTTGCATCTGCAACACATACACCGCAGGAGTGTGGCTTCTGATACTGAAGACCTTCGTGCGTGTGGGGTAAAAATAGGTCCGGCCGCGGGATCTGCGCGGGCGGCGGAGGAAGGTGCCAGAAGAAGGAACCAAGTCATAAATGAAGCGGACGCGCGCCTATGCGGTGGGACTATTGGCTGGCTCGGAAGAAAGCGCGTGCTGCACCACTTTCTTCCCGTTTTTTAACCGAGCGCACGAGCTCTCGCGGGTGCCTCGACTTGGTCAGCCGCGTTCTCGTTATCGCTCTGACTCTCTCCCTTACTCCCGTTCTACTGGACTGCTGGCGTGCGGGCAAGGACCATGCCCACGGCTTTCGGAGGCCATGGTCGGGGCACGGCCTCGTCCCGGTTCACGCGAGAGGCAGGGGGAGCCAGCACGTCGAGTCAAGGCAGCGGAGGCGCGACGCCCAATTCACCCCCGAGTTCGACTTCGCCCTCGCTCCCCGGTGGCTCCAACATGATGTGGAGCGGCGCGTTGAGTCAACGCTCGAACGGGAGCGGGGTCCGAAACTCCATCGCGAGTACGAACTCGTTCGACGCCACCAAGGCCAAGAGTGGGGGTGCACCCGGGTTGTTCTCGTTGGTTGGGTTGGCTCAGCCGACTTTGGAGGTGAGTTCCGAGGACGTCACGAGAGCCTCCGAATTGGACGGCTCGGCGAATTTGAAACGGATAAAGTTGGGGAAGGGCTGTGTGGAATGTCGACCACATTCCTCTAGGGGAACGAGAAGCTGAAGGCCTGACAAAAAATACTCTGGTACGCTCCATATTCGATGTCTAGGTCCACCTCGCCGAAGACCTCCTGTTCCTTCACCCCGCCGCACCGGACGAAATCTCCGATGACCCCGTCGTGCAAGGCACCGTAACCCTGTATCTCTCCAAGAAACGCAACCTCACCCATCTGGCGGTCAAGTTGATCGGGCGTCAGGACATCTCGTGGGGTGATTCGTCGCCGTATGAGAGCTCCATCACGTTGGATAAGGAGGTGCAGCTGCTCGCTAAAGGGCAAGAGCTCGTTTTGGAAAAGGGGTGCGTGGGACCGCTCGTGGTGCTTCTTTCAAGGCAATACGGGTCAAATGCTGACGTTTTTTGGCGCCTTGATATGTACAGGTACCACAAATTCGAGTTCGAGTTTTTGGTACCGAGTTCGACACCGCCATCGTGAGTGCAAGCTGCCCACGGAGATGGCTTGACTTATACCCGTGCTGACCGTCACCGAGGTGGATAGTGAGCGGTCCGTATTTGGTCGCGTGCGGTACACGATTGTAGCCAAATCAAAAGGTCTCGGTCAACTCAACGGTGATATTTCGTCGCACGAGAAGCTGTTATTCCTAGCCACCAACGCAAGTACAAATCCGACACTTTCTGTAGGCCGAGATGACACTCTGACCTTGCCAATTCTTGACGATTCATCGTATATCTAGCCCGGTGGCGCTGGCCCATCTCGACCGCCTCCTCCCTTGGATCATCGTCATGAAGGTCTTGTCGATGACCTCGGCTTGTACACGATGGCGTGCCAGTCGACCTACAGCATGGTCAGCGGACTCGTCCTCCTCCGCTTCGAGCTTGTCGCACCCCCGTCCCATGTCGTCCTCTACGCTATCAAGGTCAAGATCAATCAATACTTCCACCTCATTTCCCCTTCGGACCCCAACAAGAGGTCATCACCACCCGTCGACGTCAAGACCGTCATGCATCTCGACGGTACGCGTCCGCCGAACTTTGGCAAGGTTGACGAAGCAGTGTTGGCTTCGTATGCGGCGGCGAGGAACGATCCGACCAAGGCGTCGTCGCCGCTCAAAGTGCTCCAACCGGGCGAAGGCTACAAGATTCACCACTTGGCTCGGTTCCCGAACGACACAGTTTTGAGACCATCGACCCCAACATGGAGCAATGCCTCGATTCGCGTCCGACACGTCGTCGCGCTTGAATTGACCTATCGCGTCCTGAGTCCCGAGGAAATTCGCGATGGTCAGCTGGTGAACAAGGTCAAGGAAAGGGACGACAAGGGCAAAGAGAAGATCAAGGATCGCAAGAAGCTCGTCGTGTCGAGACCGTTCGAGATCTTTTCGTGCATGTGCTTTGTCGATTCCTTGTCCTTGCCGGCGTACACTCGGGTCGATCCCAACTTGTCGCCGACGGGTCCGTTGCCGAGGGTCACTTCTTCAGATGGCTTGTTGCAGAGGTTCGATGTCGGGACGGATGAGCCGGAGAAGCCACCTCCTTGTGTTTGCGGATACCAGTTCAGGCAGTGAGTCTTCACAAAATGCTTCTGTTTCGCTTCCGATTAGTCCGCGATGCTGACCCTCTGCGATTCTTCGATAGGGTGATCAAATTCCACGGTGCCGATCTCTTGCGCGAGCCAGGCGAAGAGGGCCTTACCTACCCCATCGTCAAGGACTCTGACAGCCCCGTCACCTCGCCCAGTGCGACCTATCGAGAAACGCGATCCAACCCCTTCTTCCGTCGCGAGGCCTCCTACAAGGATCGCTTGGGGCTCGGCTCAATGAGCCCGACGAGCCCATCCCTCGGTGCTGCTTCGAGTAGTCCTTCCATCTCGCCGCCTGTGCAAGATGCGAGTCGCTCGAACAGCGCCTGAGGCAGCTCAGTCTACCTTCCCTGTGTCCCTGTGTCTTTGTTTCGGACTGTGATCAGTCTTTGTCCTATATTTTGGTACCAAGTGAAAAAGATCGTGAAAGGCGGCTCTCGCGCGAGTGAAATACCAGTGTCATCCTGTCATGTCACTCTGGCCCATCAGTCACATACTCCCGTTCGCCACAGTAGATCATTGATCGATTTTCCCATTACATATATCGCAAATCAAATCCAAGATGTTTACGCATGATGGTCCAAAAGAATTAGGCCTCGACGTTGTAGAAGACGATGCCAGGTTTGCCCGGTTCAGCAGCCTCAACGATCGGCGCGACCATTCCTGGTTCGTCTTCCTTGATCTCGGTGATGGCGACGACGTCGATCTTGTCCATACCGAGCTGTCGCTTGATGTAGGCCATCGCACGATCGAGCACAGCCTTTTCGTCGTACAGGACCTGGCGGTTGAACGCGATCTCGGGGCCGAACTGCGCGATCTTCTTCTTGAAGATGGCGATGAAGGGGTTCACCTTCTTGTCTTTGGCCAGACCCTTCTCGGTCAAGAGCGCCCTCAATTTTTGTTCGTCGACGGTGTTGGTCGCGTCGTTGAACGCTTCGCGAACCAAAGCGACGGCGCTGTCCTGCCATTCCGGGTACCCTTTGGCGACCCAGACCTTAACGGCCTTGGGCTTGGTCGGGTCGTAGGAACCTGTGCCCTTACCTTTGGCCTTCTTCTTGGCAAAACCGAGTTCGGCATCGCGAATCTCCTTCAGGGTTGAACGGATGTAGACGGCCGAGTCGAGGACGATGCGATCGACGGGGCCGGTCATTTCGGGCCATTGTGCCTCTTGGATCGACTTTTTCTCCCCGCAGATCGTGGACCACAGGTGTTCGGCGACGTGGGGGGCGATCGGCGTGATAAGCAAGGCCTGGACGCGGACGAAGCGCTCGATGAGGTCACGGCGCATGCCACCTTCACCGGCGGTCGCGTCACGGTAGCTATCGCGGGCGGCGAGGAGTTGGTAGAAGCCGTACTTCAACGCCTCCTTGTAGAGCGATCTGGTGAGTGAGAAAGGGAAGGAGGAATGTCAGTCATTCTCGTACTGATCCAAATCGCATCTTGATGAGCCAACCCTCACTTCTCATAAGCCTCGAGGGTCAATTCGATCGCCTCGTTGATCTCATTCGCAAAGATCTTGTCCCAAATCGACTCCTCGGACGAGCTCTCGCGAATGTTCTCGCCCATTTTGATCGACTCCTCGGACCAATCGGTCAGCGTCTTCAAGCGCAAGATGGCTGCGTTCGCGGTCGCTTCCTCAAAGTTCGCGTCCTCGATCGAATCACCTGCATCGGCGAGGGTGAGACGGGTTGCATCGGCACCGAATTTGAGCAAGGCGTCGCGGAGCGTCAACGAATTACCCGTCGACTTGGACATCTTTTCGCCGTTCAACATCAAGTGACCGTTGGCGCGCATCGACAGGGGCCAGTTCTCTTCGGCAAAGAGGGCCGAGTGGACGTAGATGCAGAAGGAGAGGTGGTTCGGGATCAAATCCTTACCCGAGGATCGGATGTCCATTGGGTAAAAGTAAGAGAACTCGGCTTTGAGAATGTTGAGCTTTTCGGTCGGGATCGGTGCATCGGCCGGCAGGGTACCGTTTGCGTAGATGTAGTCCCACATCTGGTCGGTCATCTGCTCGGCCGTGATGCCCAGGGGCCCGACGACGCTACCGTCGATGGGAGGGCCGTGGAGCAAGTGGGCGATGGTGTAGTAAGCCATGTAGATGGTCGAATCCGACAGCGACTCGACGAGGAATTGCGGGTCCCAAGGGAGCCTGGAGCCTAGACCGTACGACCTCGCGCAGGCCCATTGACGCAGCCACCCCAGTGTCCTCTCAAAGCTGTGCCTCGTCTCGCTGTTGTACGTGTTCATGCGCGACAAGAGCTTCTCGGCCTTCTTGAGCCATCCTGGCTCTCCGTAATCGAGATACCACTGGTCGCACAGCGCGACGATGCACTCGTCAGCCGAACGACTCATAACGAGGTTCTCGGGTTCCGAGTAGGCGAAAGCGAGACCTCGCTCGATCATGTCGTCGCGGACCTTGGTCTTGGCGTCCTCGACCTTGGAGCCCTTGAAGGGTCCGACGACCATCGTGCCCTGGTAAAAGCCTTCCTTGTAGGCGATCTCCTTGGCCTCGGCGAGCTGCTTCGTGTCCTTGGGCGACTGGATGCGAAGCTTCTCAACAAGCGCCTTAGCCGTCAAGTCACCATACGTGGGCGTTGACAGGACGGAAACGGGTTCAAGCGAAGCCCATGCAGGGTCGATCTTGTAGTACTCGGCCTTCTTTTGCAGATCGAGCTGGGTGATCCAATCGTCGGGCGAGTCCGAGGGAACGCAGGACACAACGGCTGTTCCTTTGGTTGCCGACACTGTCTCCATCGGCAAAACGTAAACCTCGCCGTGGATCGCATTGGGGGCAGCGACCTTGGTCCCGATCATCTCGGAACCTTGGAGCTTGCCGACGCACGCCGTCGCATCATCGAACGAGTCCTCGACCTTGAGCAGGCCCTGGTAAGCCATATTCCTCGCCGCTCGCCTCGAGACGAGGTAGAGGACCTCTTCGTCTGAGCCCTTGGTGGAAGAGGACGGGTAGAGACCGTACTCGATCGTAGGGCCAACGAAGCACGATGTCTGACCGTACATCGTCTCGGGCCGGAGCGTGGCTGCGACGAGCACAACCTTGCGACCGGCCGCGAGTTCCTTGACACGCTGGGCACGTTCGCCAAAGGTTGTGACGGGCATCTTAAGACCCGTGTACTCTTGGGGTCCGACACCTTCTCCGGACTGTCGGTCGTGGTCCATGCAGGGTTGGCCATCCTTGGGCGAGAAGATGGTGTAACGCTTGCCGAATTCTGTTGACGATGAAAGATCTGTCAGCGGTGAGATAGATCGGTGGACACCCACAGTTTCGAACGCACTGATGTAACCAAGCGCCTTGAGCTTGTTCATCTGCCACCTGACGAACGAGTCATAGTATGGGTTCGCCGGGGTCGTGATGAAGGATCGTCGCCAATCGACACGACCACCTAGGTCTGTGATATCGGCTTGGGCGATGGGAGGGAAGTAGGTGAGCCAGTATTGCGGGTCGGCAAACTTTTGGATCTCCTCGAGGGGTACGCCGATCGATCGCATGATTTGAAACTGATAGGTGAGGCCGGTCGACTTGGCGGCGAGCTTGCCCTTCTTTGCCTTTGACGGGTCGGACGAGACGACGGCCGCGGCGGCGGCACCGTTGATGGGTGCTGGGGGTTCGACCTGCTTTGCGTTGGAAAAGACCATCAGTCGCTGAGCGTGACAAGCGATGAGCCGGCTGTGTAGTGCTCACACCGGCTTCGTCGACGGTCGAAGGGTCCTTGTAGCCCTCAAAAGTGGGGCCAAACATTTCCATTTCTCGGATGATCTTGTCGGCGGCAGATTTGATCGGCATGCCCGTCTGTGGAAATCACCAGAGCCCGAAGTCAGCCCTTCGAGAAGACTGACTCGAGAGACCTGCTACGGCTTCGGCGACACCCACGCAGTGAAATCCGACCGGCCAAAGAACCCTTTTGCCGCGCATTCGCTCGAATCCGGCGGCAAACTCGATCTTGGAGATGGTGAAGGCATGACCAAGATGGAGCGAGCCGTTCATGTACTGTGCGGTTGCGAGAGGGTCAGCTCATTCTGACTGGTGACCCGCTCGCCGGCTGGCAGGGGCTGCTCAGGGGCTCCACTTGACCAGCGGCATGACTTACGGGGTAAGGGAAGGTGCCCATCCACTTGGGTCGCTCCTTCCTCGCTTCCTGAGCCAGCTTGACAAAGTCGACGTCGGTGCCATCGGGTACTTTGAGCGTGCCGTCGGTGAAGGGACTGTCGGTCTCGAACTGTTTCTCGTGCTGCCATCGCTTCTGCGCGTCGTGCTCGAGCTGGATCAGGTAGTCACGCTTCGAGGTGTTGGCGGCGGGAGGAGCAACTGTAGACGCCGACATTTTCGTTCGCAGCTGGTGCTGGTGGTGCTGCTGATGTGGGAGAGTCGGGGAGAAGGTGCGAGCGGTGCGAGCGGTGCGAAGAGCGGTGTCACGAGCAGCTGGCGAAAAGAGGGTGCGCGGACAAAGATACGTCACGCTTGGCGGACGAATGGTGGGTCCCTAGTTATTGGTCGGTGCTGGTTGACCGGTCTCGTCGCTAAGGGTTCGAGGTGGTGCGGTGCGGAAGCCAAGAGATGCCGCGCTGCTCCGTCGTCGACGCCGCCTCCGCGCGCTCTGACCTTTTATGAATCAAAATCGCAAGTGTTAGTTTCACCCCCCTTCAGCTCGGCACCGACTGCTGCTCGGAAAGCCGCAAATGCTGCGGCATACGTCGGCAATATCTCATCATGGGCCAGGGATCTTGAATGGCATCCAGACGTGGCCATCATCCTTAGCAAGGCCATCATGCTTAGCAAGCAGTTTCTCCAGGCAGTGCCAAGGTTTCTCATAGGATCAGATCTGATCTGATCCTGATCCTAGCTGGGCAGGATCAAGATAAGATAGATCAAGCCTCGGAGAAAAAAAAAAAAAAAAAAAAAAAAAAAAAAAGGGTGGGGGGGGGGGGGGGGGGGGGGGGGAGGCGATGTAGCGTCGTTACTTGGTGGAGATAGCCCTTTAATTGATACCTACCTGCATCAGGTCAGGTAAAGGCAACAAAGACCAAAACGAAATATGTTGTATGTTGGAGCACGGTTGACGTGCGTTTTGGTTACGATTGCATAATTGTAACAGGTACGAGAGAGCGAGAAAAGGCGGGGGAGAAGAGAAAAATGCCGCGTCGGGTTGTTGTTACTACACATCTTGTGGTTTTTGGTTTCACACACGATCTTGCTCTTGCGAAAAAAAAGACATGCAGTGGGATGGGCGGGAGTGAGGGGTTTCGGAGGGGGTTCGAGGGTATGTAGGATAGGGAGGGAGGAAAGGTCGGAGGACGAACGTGTATAGTGGAAGGATGTCGATGTAAGGAGTCGACGAGGAAGCGAGGGTCTGAAATGGAGGGGGGGAATGAGGGGACGAAGAAAATAACACAGAGTGCGAGGTTGAACCGCCAGAGCGCTTCGTGCGGAGCGACACGACTCAAGGAGAACCGAGAGAAACAAGAACCAAGAAGAGGCGTCCGAGCACCCACTCAGGTAGAACGTGTGCGTGTTTACTTGGAAAGGTCGAGCTTCTTGGGCTTTTCCCAGGGGTAAGCGGGGTTACCGAAGTGACCGTAGCACGCCGTCTGGGCGTAGATGGGGGCCTGGAGACCGAGCTCCTTGACGATGACTCCCGGTCGGAGATCCCAGTTCTTGAGGATGATCTTGGTCAAGTCGGCGTCGGTGTAGCCCTCCTTGACGGTTCCATACGAGTCGACGAAGATGGACAAGGGCTCGGCGACCCCGATGGCGTACGAGAGCTGGACGAGGGCACGCTCGGCGAGGCCGGCGGCGATCAAGGACTTGGCAATCCATCGAGCACTGTTTGGTTGAGGGCAGTTTTAAGAGTCGGGGTCAGCGAGGCTGATGGGGGCAGGAGTGCGGCCAGAGAGCTTACCTGTAGGCGGACGATCGGTCGACCTTAGACCAATCCTTGCCCGAGAAGGCTCCACCACCGTGGGCACCCCATCCTCCGTACGAATCGACGATGATCTTGCGACCGGTCAAACCGGCATCACCCTGAGGGCCACCGATGACGAAGCGTCCGGAGGGCTGGATGTGGTAGACGGTCTTGTCAGTGAGCAACTTGGGGTCGATGACGGCCTTGACGACCTTCTCGATCAACTCCTTGCGCAAGTCCTCAGTCGAGATCTCCTCGGCGTGCTGGGTCGAGATGACGACGGTGTCGACGCGCAGGGGCTTGACGGCTCCGTTGGGGAGCTTCTCGTACTCGATCGTGACCTGGGTCTTGGAGTCGGGGCGGAGCCATCCGAGCTCGCCGGAGCGGCGGAGGTCGGCCATCTTCTTGTTCAGCTTGTGCGAGAGCATCAAAGTCAAGGGCATCATCTCCTCGGTCTCGTTGGTGGCGTAGCCGAACATGATACCCTGGTCACCGGCACCATGGTTCTCGAGGTTGCCGTGGTCGAGACCCTGGGCGATATCGGGTGATTGTTGCTCGATCGCGACGAGAACGTTGCAGGTCTTGTAGTCGAAACCCTTCTCCGAGTCGTCGTAGCCGATCCTCTTGATCGTGTCACGGATGATCTTCTGGTAGTCGAGAGGGGACTTGGTGGTGATCTCACCGAAGACCATGATCTGAGGGTCACAAAGATTGCCCGCATGTCAATTTCCGCCCAGTGTCGTGCACACCGGATCCTGCCGGGGTCTGCGAAGTGGTGATCGCGTCAAAGTCACTCACCAAACCAGTCTTGGCAGCGGTCTCACACGCGACTTTGGACCAAGGGTCGTCCTTGAGGCAGGCATCAAGGATGGCATCCGAGATCTGGTCGCAGATCTTGTCTGATGGTGCGAAACAGCACGAGCGAAGGTCACAAAACGGTCGAGGGGGTCAGCGTCGCACGTTCGCTCGAAGCCACATGCAATCGGCAGTGATGATGCAGGCGCGATCGGAGGCGTCGACATACGGATCGAATACTACGTGGGTGTACCGGGGGACAGAACCCGTAGACAGGAGCGCCACCGACCGACACAGCTCATCTCACGGGCTTCGCCAAATGGATTCAGCCGACCCGGGCGCGCGTGGTCGATCCCCCAACCGTTCCTCGACTCGACGCTGGTACACGTGGACCCGCACCCTGGATCGTGCAGAGCCAGAGACCATGCATTGGGCAAGTGGCACCGGAAGGGAGTGAAACCATGTCGCAAAGTCATTCCCCGTTGCAGGAGCGGGACCAGATACGATTTTTTGTTCAGGCCGGTCGCACGTCGCTCCTCGTGTGAAAACGGGCATGCAGCACCGATGTCGCCATCGCGGCGGCTGTCCGCTATCCGCTATCCACCGGGCCCGCTTGGACCGACCTCCGCACACCACCCACACCCAGCACGCTCAGCCGATTCACTTACCAGGGTGACCTTCTCCGACGGATTCGGCTATATGACACGAAACACACAGAGTCAGTCTCACGAAAGAAGGCGCCGAAACCACAAGAAATGCGCACGTACAGGTGAAGAGGAATTTGGAGGACATTTTGCGAAGGGGAAATGGGTTGATCTATGCACGTGTGCCCATCGCGAACCAGCGCCGCAGCCCAGTTGACCCATGAAAGCGGAGCGGAGGGGAGGAGCAAGCAACAAGGTAGAGGAAAGGAAGTGTAGAGTAGTATGGGTCAGTTCGGAGAGGTCCAATGATGTAAAAGTCGCCCGATAACGTACATGAGCAGGGAAAGTTAGGGGGGCAAAGTGATGGGGAAGAAGCGAAGCCGTCAAGCTCAGCGACGCTTCGATCACGTTTGCCTTACGCGCGGTAAGAGCGCATTAGCTCCTCTCACAATTGCGCCTTACGGACCGCAGGCACCCCTGATTAGCAAGGCGACCTTGGCTCGAATGATCCACCCTGGCCGACCCTAAGATTCGCTGTAACGTAAGTCTGCTCTCAAAACCCGAGCGATCACCAAATCCAGCTGAACCATTCTTTTCAATCAAAGCTGACGTATAATCTGACGAAAATGCTCTCCGCCATTCCGTCGGCTTTGGCCCGTGCCGATGAATTTTCGGCTCACGGGGTATCCATTTTCGTCTGGAAGTTTGCCCGACGCAACTTTCGGATTGACGTAAGATCTGCCCTCGAGGCTGGATCGTCAGCTGCAGCGAGCTCGTACTGTGACCGTAGTGGACGAGGAGCACGCACCCCGGCCTGGGGGAGGATCGCGCATTGTCGTCGCATGCGATCTTCCCAGGAAAACAAATCACCCAGTTTTGATGAAGATTTGGTTCGCGGCGGCTTGATCTTCATTCAGATTGAGTGCGGGGACGAGGTGCGTAGTAAGAGATATTGGCGCAGACCCAGTCTGTATGACGAACACGGGGGTCGACCACGAGATCTTTGAGCAATTCACGGAGTATACCTCGCGAATACGCAGAGCGGCACCTCAGTCAAGTCTCAATTGAACATTGTTTCGTCGGAGATTGTCTGTCAAATCCCCGTGTTCTGTGGGATCGGATTTGGACCCGCAACGCATTGGCGTCGACGCCGCCGTCGAACCCCTCTCCGAGTTCGACGACTGCCGTGGGGCGATTCACTCGGGGCGTACGCGCTCAGTCACATTTGCCTCGGACTCTTTGCAGCGCGTCCCGGGGAGGATGCACACGTTATCTATGAGTATTGCGGGATGCGGGCGATGTTGGAGAGGCGAAGGGGTTCGGCCCATGGGGCGAAAATCCGAGGGATTCATGTCACGGAGAGGAGGTGCGATCGCGGCGGGATGAGGGTGCGCAGTGCGATCATGGCGTGCATTCGCTGGTCCAGCCTGCCTGATACGTCCAAACCAAGTTGGGGTCGTAAGAGACATGGTCTCAATCTGATCGACGCTTTACCTGATCTCAGCACTGCATCTATTCATGTCGATGGGCACAGACTGCAGGACAGTGAAGCGAGCCGTGGGACTCATTCGAGGCAGAGCCTGATGAGATGTATTGGAAGCACACTCGTGTACAGTGGCGTGGCCTTTACCAGAAGTATTCGAGAAGTCTAACTTTAGGCTGCGTGAACCAGGGAATGATTGCTTCCGCAAGGTGGGAGCCGGCGAGGTGACAACAAGAATCGGCACAGACACGCATCTCATCCACTCCGATCCAAGAAGGCGCAGTCGCTCTGCAAGGAACAGGATTCTTGATCCAAACATGATCATTACAATAACTCGTCTGACCTTTACACAGCCGCGAATTCGGCGTCAAGAAGATTTGTCCCGGATACAACGACTCTAGCCAAGTGATGTAACGACTATACAAACAGCGTCTCGAACACTCCACCTCACTGATGCTTCTCCAATTCCTGCTGCGAGACCAACTCAAAGTAGATGCCCTTCTTGGACAACAACTCGAAGTGTCGGCCCTGTTCGGCGACGCGGCCGTCCTTCAAAACATAGATGATGTCCGCGGCTTGGATTGTCGACAGACGATGCGCGACGGCGATCGTCGATCGACCTTTTGCGGCTTGGTCGAGTGCCCTCTGTACGACCTTCTCGGATTCAGAGTCGAGTGCAGAGGTCGCTTCGTCCAACAACAGGATCTTGGGGTTGCGGATCAAGGCACGAGCAATGGCGATGCGTTGCTTCTGACCACCCGAGAGCTGCGTTCCTTTGCCACCGACCTCGGTCGCGTATCCATCGGGCAGGGACATGACAAAGTCGTGAATGTTGGCATCCTTGCAAGCTCGCTCGACTTGCTCCTGCGACACCTGGTCGGCGGGAACGGTCGCTCCCAGGGTGATGTTGAACTTGACCGATCCGGCGTACAGAGTTGGCTCTTGCGAGACAAGCGATACGTGATCACGGTACGAGTTGACATTGAAGCGCGAGATGTCTTGACCATCGACCATGACGTGGCCGGCCAGGGGATCGTAGAATCTTTCAACAAGCTGGATCAAAGTCGATTTACCGCAACCGGAGGGGCCGACGATGGCCACGAACTGTCCTGGCTTGACCTCGAGATCGAGGCCACGGAGTACGCGGACGTGCGGTCGGGTAGGGTAACGGAAATGGACGTCCTGGAACTTGATGTGGCCGTCGCACTTGGTCAGCTTCTCGCCGCTGGGATCCTCGGCGTCGATATCGGGGCGCGAGTCCATCAGGTCAACAGCATCGGATGCGGCACCTCGGGCCTTGGACATGTCGGGGACATAGTTGAAGACATTGCCAGCTTGGATGGAACCAAACACAATCGAGATCATGGCGACGAAGAAGGTGCGCGTCGACAATGCGCCGTCGACGAGCTGGTGCGAACCGTACCAGAAGATCAAGCCGATGACGAGGAAGGTGAGCGATTGCGAGATCGAATACCACATGTTGGCCCAAAGCGCGGTGCGGTTCGAGACACGCATCGGCTCGTCGAGGTACTCGGAGTAGATGCGGCAGCAGTCCGCTTCCCGGGTCAAGGAAGCAACTGTTCGGATCGCACTCGCTGCCTCGCAGGCCATCTGAGCGGACTTTTCGTGGCTCTTCTTGTTTTTGACGTCCTTGAGCACAACGACCCTGAGTCGGACGACACCGGCGGCGATTGTGATAGGCATACACGCAATACCCACGAGAGCAAGCTTCCATGCGTAGGAAAGACCGACGATCGCACCAGCGAGCAGAGTGACTGAGAGGCAAGCAGCATGAACCGTCAGTGCGGGAAGCCGGCATCCGACGGCGGCCACACCACGAAAGCAACTCACAGCAGGACTGAATAATAACACCGGCGGTGAGACCAAACAAACCGTTGATCTTTTGAGCATAGTCCGCAATCGTAGCAGTCAAATGACCCGTCGAATTTTCATCTCGATCGAAGAAGGCGATCTGGCGCAGGTCGCGGGGAACAGGTTAGTGATCTGAGGGCAACACCCGGGGCAGTGGGCGAGCCAACTCACGTCTTGACGAAGAATCGAAGCGAAAGTATTCTTACGGAGCTTGCGCGACAGGCGTTCAGCCGAGGCCCCTGCAAGAGTGATCAAAGCCTTCGATGAGTATACTGCGCGCGGAGAAAGGCCCGGCGCAACATGTAAACGACGGACCAAAGTAGTAGTTCTGGACGGCGATGCCGACAGTCGCGACGAGAGCGATGATGAAACAGTACAAGGCAAAGCGATTACCACCGGCCCTCAACTCGGCCCGCTGCGTTTGAGCATCAAGTGAGAAGATGCCGAGGACGCCACCGAAGACGATACCAAAAATGGGGTACACGCAGCCCGAAAGGATGGCAGCCACGAGACCGAGGAAATAGTCCATCTTTCGATCGCTGTTGAGCTTGAGCATGCGACCAATGAGGTAGATGAACGAGTGCTTCTGCTTCTTAGTGCGGCCCTTCTCGAGGTCCTCCTTGTTGCGCTGTGACAGGGCCTCGGAGGCTGCGGAGCGACCGGTGCCGACACGCTTGAGCGTCTCAAACTGAGGCTTCTCGTTCCTAGCCATCTCATCGACCTGTTCGCGCGTCAAGTTGCCGATCGCGGTGGACTTCTCGCGCTCATCGACGGAAGCCGAGTCAGATCCAGACTCAGCATCCTCCTCTTCGGCCTCGCGGAACTTTTGCGCGTTGACGAGGCGAGAGTATGCGCCCTCGGGGTTGCGCAACAGGATCTCGTGGGCGGAGGAGCCATCAGTGGACATGGCTGACTCGAGAATATGGCCAGCGGTGAGAACGATGATCTGATCGGCATCCTTAATTGTCGACAGGCGATGGGCGATCGTAATCGTGGTGCGACCAGCCGATGCGCGGTCCAAGGCGTCCTGCACGACCACTTCGGAGGCAGTGTCGAGCGCCGATGTAGCCTCATCGAGTAACAGGATCTGAGGGTCACTGATAATGGCGCGCGCGATAGCAATGCGCTGTTTCTGGCCTCCCGAAAGGAGCATACCACGTTCTCCAATGAGCGTATCGTAGCTTTCGGGGAGGGCCGAGATAAATCCATCGGCGTTGGCTTGCTTGGCAGCGGCAATTACTCGCTCGCGCTTCGCATCCTTCGATTTGTTCTCGTACTTGGAGCCGATGAGACCCATCTCGATGTTGCCGGCGACGGTCGCCGCAAACAGGGTGGGCTCTTGCGAGACGAGGCCGATTTGGTTGCGCAGCCATCTGACGTTGAGCTCCTTCAATTCGATGCCGTCCAACTTGACCGAGCCCCCGACGGGGTCGTAGAAGCGCTCGCACAGACCAACGATGGTCGACTTGCCCGAACCGGAACCTCCGACGAGTGCCGTAGTCTTGCCGCGAGGGAACACAGCACTGAACTTGTAGAGAACCTGAACGGAGGGACGAGACGGATAAATAAAGTCGACGTCCCTGAGCTCGATGAATCCATCAACCTTTTCGGGCTTGAGACCTTCATCCGACGACGAATCAATGACGGGCTGACGGTCGATCGTGGCAAAGATCGCGGTCGCGGCGCCGCGCGCATACCCGACGGCTTGCAAGTTGGGTGCGATTTGGGCGAGCGAGAAGGCACCGATCAGGATCGAAAAGAAGACATTGACGATCTGACCTGCGTTGGCGCGGCCTTGGAGCAAAAGGGTCGTTCCGTAGTAGAAGGCCAGTGCGTACGAACTGTAGATGATGAAAAAGAAGACCGAGAGCCCGAGACCGTTGAAGAGCGATGACTTGATGCCGAGGTCCATAGTCGTCACATTGCGCACATCGTACATTGCTACGAGCTTATTTTGGGTGCTGAAAGCATGGGTGTTACGAACACTTGAAATGACCTCCTCGGCGAGCGTCGAAGCGTGGCCGACCTCCTCGAGTTGCTGGGTCTTGTAGGCCGAGAGATATTTGTTCATCACGGCGCCAGAGACTGCAATGGCTGGGATGATTGTCGATAGAACCAATGCAAGACGCCAATTGCGAACGAAAGCAACGATGAAACCAGTGAAGAAGGTCGCGAGAAACATGACCGTAATCGAGATCTTGTCCGAGATGCCCTCCTGAATGAGATGGGTGTCGGTCTCGATTCTTGTTGTCACCTCGCCAGCTCCCAACTTGTCAAAGTACGCTACATTTTGTTTCATCACCCCATGAAGGTAAGCCTCTCGGATCCTCCTTGTAGATGCCTCGCCAGTGTACACAAATGTGCTCTGGTACGCCCACGTCGCGACGAACATTCCGATGGCGATGTAAACCAGATAGAGAACATCCTTGTTGACCTCTTTGAAGAGGTCCTCCCTAGCTCGAGCGAGGACGGCATCACCGTTGGGAAGACTCGGTGCCTGATCCTTGGCCAACTGGAAGGCCGTGAACGAGGTTGTGAGGGCACCGAAGACGACCGTCATGAGGGGCTGCGGAGAAGCGCTCGCACGCGGGTCAGCTTTCCAATCCGGAGGCCACAGGCATGTCTTCTGCTGGAACTGACCTGTGCAGCTCCTGCTACGATTGCGCCCAAAATACCAATAAAGTTGAGGAACATCTCAAACTTGGTCGTGTAACGGAACAGGCCCCAAAATGAGACCGTTGGGGTCATGACCAATTGTCTGGATGTTCAAGCCGTGACAAAGGAATCAGAGACCGTGAATGACATCGATAAACCCTAAAAGATTTGTTGTAAAGAGATGGGAAATGTTCCTCTCAAGGCCGGACGTACACTTGTTCTGCCACGATCCTGCGCTGCTCGTCCGTCAGGTGAGCCATCTCCGGATCCTCGAGGACCTCTTCACCGGGAGTGTGAGACCCATCACCCGAATTGCCATCCTGGTTCGACTTGGATTTCTTGCCCGGTGAAGAAGGGGTGATGCCGGTGGCGGTCTTGCCGGAGCCCGTCGAGGCGTGGTTGACGATTTCCGGTCGGGAACGGTCTTGGCCGTCCTGGGGCGCGACCGCCGCTGAAGGGTTCATCGATTCGACCACGGGCAATGCGGTGGTGACGGGGATGTGCGTGGCGGCGTCATTCGACGGGTTCCCAGCAAAGGCCACATCCGCGTTGCCGGTGTCGCCGTCCGTGGCAGGGTGGCCTCGTACGGTCGACGTATGCGAGGCGTAACCGCCTTGTTGATCGAGCGCGGCGGGCGGCAGGATCGAGGCCGGGCCACCAACCGTGGGCGTCGCCTGCTGCGATTCGTGTGGCTGCGCGGCATAGGTGTGCGTACGGTCGTCGATCGTCGAGGCCTGGGATTCGGACCGAGTAATCGAGCTCATGTCCGCGTCCCTGGCGTCGGCGTAAGTGGTCGAATGCCCCGATTCGGAATTGGCGGTATAGAACGACGGCGCGGCCGTGCCTCCGGCAACAGAGTACTCGCTCTGGGTCGACGGCGCGTAGGACGGCCTTCCTTGACCGGCGCGCAGATTGTTCGATGACTCATTCGAGTATTGGGGTTGTTGTTGTGAAAGCACTTCGACACCTTCTTGGCCCGCGCGGCTAAGAGCGCCGCTGTTGGCACTCGAGGAGGCGGCCATGGAACTCAGTGATCGAAAAATGGGGTCGAGAGGCGGCGGAGAACTGCAGAGACCGTCGATCGCGGGCGTCCCACAGGAGATACGGTATGGTGCGGGGAAGGTCTAGGTCCGTAGTCGAGGGCCAGAGCAGCGGAAGTCGAGAGGGGGGGGAAAGAGAGGCGAAGGAAAGCAGGTTGGAGGAGAAGGGAGAGGGTATCTTCGAGCGACGTAGATGCTTGGCACCGGTTTTCCTCCTGCCAGATACAATCAGGCAGACACCGCCTTTGCGTTTACTACTAGGACTCGTTTGCCTTTATTTTGACGGCGTGGCGCACTGGCGCACTGGCGGCGTGCTGCCCGCGCGCGCGGCGCGCTGACTCGCGAAGTCACTTCCGGTTTCGCTTCCGGAGTCCGGAACTTTTCCTTGGATGACAGTGAGATCCCCGCCGCAGTCGCGAGGAGCGGCCGCCGACCGGCAACGAAGGCGACAGTCGTCATTTCGGGTCGAAAAGTAGAAGGAACGGTTCTCCCTATAGTCCACTTCCACAGTCGTTCCCCGACGCTCTACCTCCTTTCTGCACCCTAGGCGCATAAGCCGCCAAACGTGCTCCAATCATGGCGTACCGACGGGGCCGTACGCTGCGATCACGGCCGCCCTGCAATTTATTCCGGCCTCAGGGATCCTGTTGCCGCTTTCATTTTGCGACATCGACACCGCAATTCAATGAACAAGAGAATTCAAGCTATTATTGTCTGGCTAGGCAACCTGGCTGTTCACAGAGCAATCAATCGGAATGCTGCCTACGTATCGACCGCGTACTGGCTCCGGCGACGGTCAGCTTGAAAGATTAACCGAACTAAAACCATCGGACGGTGGAGGAGATGCAATCGCAAGCGCGCGCGCGCCTCCCCATCGCTGCTCGTGACCGGGACCAGCTCGGTTGCGAACGATATCGGCGCGCTCTTCATTTTCGCCGCGCCTACCGGTTCGCCGGTCGGAAGCGATTCGTCGTGCGCCCAGACAAGATTGAATTGAGCGGCCCCCGAACTGCGAGCGCACAACTAGAATGTGTTTCTCCCTCACAAGCTTCACCAAGAGGTGCTCGACGTCATCCGAGACTACCTAGCTAGTCGTGCACTCCACAATTTTCGCAGATGCTGGGCTGCAATTTCGTCACTTCAAGCACGCGGCGACGTGCCAGGTGCCTTCGCGAAGAGCCTGGCAATTCGCCACCGGGCCCCCGCGTGCACACGCTTTGGTGTTTACATGCGGACGCGTACTTCTGACTTGCTCTTTAATTGCAATGTCAACCGGCTCGGAGAATCTAGAAAAAGAGCCCCTCTCCCTTCTTCCCCAAAGAAGTTCCTTCCCCTGTCTAATAACTCCTGCCAAACAGAGTCCACCTCTTGGCCTCCTCGCCACATTGCGGGCACTTCTTGCCCTTGACATCACCGAACCTCGCCTGGTCGTAGGGGATGCACAAGCTCTTGGCCCCGGCCGAAGGGGCCTTTTCGTCCTCTGCACCTTCGACCGATTCCTGCGCGGACCGCTTCTTGATCTCGTCCTCGCACGCCTCGATCTCGCACCACGGCAACACGACGACGTGGTTCTTGTTCAGCGTCGGCACGATCTGCTCCCATCGTTCGATGACGGTGATGTGATCGTTGAACTCTCCGCGCGCCTTGTTGAGCATGTCGTCGTGGATCGTGTCAAGCAGATCGGGGATCGACTGGGTGAGGTCCTTGATGACGAGTTTGGACTTGTTGCCCGTGTCCCTGCGGACGGCAACGACGGACTTCTCCTTCAGATCCTTGGGGCCCAACTCCAAACGCACGGGGACACCCTTCAACTCCCAGTCGTTGTACTTGAAAGCCGGGGTGTAGCCTTCTCGGTCATCGTAGCGGACCTTGATGCCCTTGGCCTTCAGCTCCTTCTCAACGGACTGGCACGCCTCGTAGACCTGGCCTCGTTCCTCGTCTGTCGTCTTGGCCGTGATACCCACGGGAACGATGACGACCTGTAGTTGCGCGACGCGCGGGGGCAAGACCAAGCCCTTGTCGTCACCATGAACCATGACCATGACACCGATCGTGCGCGTCGACAGACCCCACGAGTTTTGCCACACGTGCAGCTTGTCCCCCTTGTTCTCCGGGTCCTCGACCGAGATGTTGAACATTTTAGAGAAGTTCTGGCCCAAACAATGCGACGTTCCTCCCTGAATACCGCGACCGGTAGTCGGGATGAAGCCCTCTACCGTGGTCGTGTAGAGACCACCGGCGAACTTTTCCTTCTCAGACTTGACACCGGGGATGACGGGCACGGCCAAAAGCTCCTCGTACACGCGTCGGTAGAGGTCCAAAATCTGCAGCACCTCGGTGTCGGCCTCGGGCTTGGTCAGGAAAGCCGTGTGGCCCTCCTGCCAGAGGAACTCGCGCGTGCGCAAGAACGGTTGGGGGTTCTTGAACTCCCAGCGCACGACCGAGTTCCACTGGTTCAGCTTGAGCGGGAGATCTCGGTGCGAGCGGATCCATTTGGCATAGTAAGGGTACATGACGGTCTCCGAAGTGGGGCGGATGGCAATCGGCTCCTCGAGGTCGGATTGGCCACTGCGCGGAAAATTTGGTCAGCTTTAGAAGCTTCGTGCATCCAGCGAGGCGAAAGCAACTTACGCCCTAGTAACCCAAGCGACTTCGGGAGCGAAGCCTTCAATGTGATCCTTCTCCCTCTCCAATACTTTGCTCGAAACGAACATCGGGAAGTAGGCATTTTGCACGCCGAGCTCCTTGATGCCGGCATCGAAAAAGTTTTGGATCGTCTGCCAGATGCCGTACGACCAAGGCTTGAGGATGTAGCAGCCCGAGATGTCGTAGTAGTCGAGCATGTCACCTTTGATCAAGGTCTGGGAGTACCAGTCGCCAAAGACGGCTTGCTCCTTGCGGATGGTCAACCCGAGTTGGACACCTGACTTGCCCTCAAGGTCCTTCTTGCCCTGCAGTGCGGCGGCTTCCTTTTCGGCGATTGTCGACCCTCCACGAGCCGGGGTCGACTTGGCAGCAGGAGCAGCAGGAGTCCTGTTCGTCATGGCGACGAAACATTGTGTCAGTCACCAAAAACATCTACCTGGGTCGCGGCCCCGAGTCTGGACTAACGCAGCTTGGGCCGCCTTGGCCTGGAAATCGACCGCCTTGACCGCAGCACCCTCCTCCTCGAGCTGTTTGATGAGTTGCTGGACCTGTTGCGCCGATACGGACAAGGTCGTGGCCGGGTCGATGGGTGACAGCACCGAGAAGGTCTCGCTCGAGCTTGTGAGTGAGGACGAGGTGATCAGGAGCGTTGAGGCGACCAACTGGGGCGGCACCGAGAGCGGCGAGGCTGTCACACACGTGGAATGCGTTCAGTAGTGATGCTGTATATCTCACAACTGAGACTTGAGTGGAATAGTCGCAAGAACGTACCCTGCTCCCTTTTGCGGCCCAAGAGCTTCTCGAGGTCGGCGGCTGCGATGGCCCTCATGTCCTTGAGTCCGACCTGGGTCGCGAGCGCCTTGGCGGGACCGAGGTTCTGTTCGGGTTCGAGCGTGACAACGACGAGCTTGAGATCCTGGTCGGCGTGGGACGGGTGCTTGGAGCCGGACTTGGGCGTGAAGAAGTAGGTCTGCAGCCCGGACGAAGCAGCCGCAGCGGCGGGCTTGTTCTCGCCGCTGAGCAGCCGCAGCGCCTCGAGGCGACCTGTTAACGAAGTGAGATCCATCGCGAGTTGTTGTGGGGTGGGGAAGGGTAGAGGGAAGCGGCGGCGAGCTGATGTGGGCTGGATGTGCGACTGACGACGACCAGCAAGAGGAGGTAAGAATCGGGTCGGCGAGGACGCGAGCGTGAGTAGGGGAAGAGCGGTGGAGGAGGCTTTCTTGGCGGGTAGTACGTTCGCACGAAGAACTCGAAGGAACGACGTCGTGGGCAATCGCAAGCGTGTGCGGGTAGAGATGCGACACAGGGGATAGCAGTGGGCTGCAAAGGCGCCTGTTTTATAGGCTCCGGCGCGGACCAGCAAGCGTGCTGATGCCGGTCCCCGTGCCACTGCATGATTGCAGTGAGTCATCGCCGCGACTCGGACGCACTGCACCAGAGTCGGCGTGCATCGGTGTGCCTTGAAGTGCGCACACCCAAAATTGTCTTTCTATGTTTCAGTTTACGGCAAATTCGCACTGATGGCACACAACGTCACGCTCGTGCGTACGCCTCCGAATCGCGGATACTTATTACTTGCACTCCACAAGCTACCCGAATCCAGCCTGAGGCCCTGTGCCACCAACTGGAAGAGGCGGTCCAGCTGCAGGCGGTACTACCAAAATTGACGGGGCACTGCAGTGGTATAGTCGGCGTCGACGTGCGGGAAAGAAAAAGATGTCTCATTCCTCTTCTTTTTAGGACCCCTGTTCTTGCCTTTGCCATGTGACTCATCGGGGCGGTTAAATTAGGCTCGAAGCGGGTGAGCGCCAAGCGGCAGCGCATCGCTGTCGGGCTCGCGATCGGCAGGGACAATTGCCTACCTCGTCGACTGAAAGACGGAAGGAAGTTGGAACCCTCATTGACAAATGCGCATTCTCTGGCAAGCAGTGCAGTGGCCCTTTCTACTCCCGGTGCTTTCCCTCAACCCGACATCTTCATCGGCTCACACTCCACACCAAGACCGTGTTGTACGCTGAGCGGTGGTTACACTATTGAAACCGGCGGCGTAGATACGAAAGCATGCGGATCATGCGTACGCTGATTCAGGGGCCGCTCGTAGTGGCCTCGCTCGCCGTAGGGCTGGCTTCGGCCGCGGCGCTGCTGTCACCGTCGGCGAACGACTTGAGCTTGGCCAGACGCAACAAGTCGAATTTTGAGGCAGAAATCAAAAAAAGAGATTCGTAAGTACTATATGCTTCCAGTGGCACCAACCTGAAAGGCCACTAACTGACGTGGACTGTGCCAAAATGTGCCACCACTGCAGCTGCACCACGAGTTCGTGCCCACAGGTCGCCAATGCGGTCAGCACTTGCGACTCGTCTGGGGCGTGCGACTTCACGTGCGGCCCTAATCTCCTCAAGGACAGGGACGAGGGCAAGTGCGAATGCATTTTGGAAGGTTGCCCGGCCGTCGGTAATAGTACCAGGTTCTGCAACGCTTCCGGCACATGTGACTTCACTTGCAACGGCGGCCGGAAGAAGGTCGGCGACCAGTGCGTGTGCGACACCGAAGGGGGATGCCCGTCGTGTACCCCAAGCATGTGTCCCATCGTCCCCAATGCGATCTCCTCGTGCACCTCCTCCGGCATGTGCAACTTCAACTGCACTCGAGGTCTTATCAGGTTCGCCGGGAAGTGTAACTGCAACGAATACTTTTGTACGACAAGCGCCTTCGACAATGCGTCTAATGCGTGGTGCAATAACGACACGGGTTCATGTGATTTTGCTTGCAACTCCGGCACCAAGAAGGTCGGCGACAATTGTGTGTGCGACGTCGCGCAATGCTCCTCAATGACCAACGTCGCTTCGAGCTCTTGCCCATCCGCAAATGCGCCGTGTGACTTCGACTGCGCTGCTGGATTCAAACGAGACGGTCGTCGATGCGTGTGCGATGACGATCAATGCCCCCGGGTGCCCCACGCCGCCTTCAACTTCTGCAACGATTCGGGTACTTGTGACTTTGATTGCGCCGATCGATTCATCCAAAAGGATCGCCAGTGCGTTTGCGACCCCGCTCGCTGCACCGATGTCGTCCCCAACGGCGCGAGCGTCTGCAACTCCGACGGGTCCGGATGCCACACGACTTGCAACGTCGGCTTCAAATTGGCCTTTGACCAGTGTGTGTGCGATGTGGCCCAGTGTCCCTACATTACGAACTCTATCGTATTCTGCGATCACTCGGAAGCGTGCGCATTCGAGTGCTATCCGGGTTACCGGAAGGAAAATGGTCAATGCGTTCAGGGCTCGTGAGTGTTTCGAGTTTCGGTTTCAAAAGAAGGTTACGGTGAGCTCCTCGCTAACCACGTCCGGCTCAGTAACGTCGGGGCAACGCTGTGCCGCGTGAACAAGTGACCCGTCATCGCAAATGGAAGGCGCATCTGCAACAGCTCTGGAAAGTGCGACTTTACCTGTCTGGACGACTTCACCAAGTCGAACGGGAGATGTGTGCGCACGGCGTGCACTAAAGCGTCTCAGTGCCCGGCGGTAGCCAATGCGTCGTCAATCTGCTCCAGACGTGCGTGCAGCTTCGAGTGCAAGAAGGGGTTCAGGAACGTTAATGGGGCATGTGTACCCAAGCCGTGAGTACCAAACTTTCCCGCTGTGCATTTCTACTAGCTTGGACGCAAACTGAGTCTTTGTTAGTCCTTGTAGTGCACCCTGCACCAAGAAGTCAATCGCCCTCTACCAGGGCTACCAAAGTGGGAAACGCGGCCAGCGACCCGTGACGGTTACCTCGGTTGAGGCGTGCGCAGCATACTGCGTCTCGCGCAAGTGCGTCTCGTTCGACTTTTACCACACGAACCAGTGCGAGATCCAGATGGGGGGAGGTAGCTTCGACCGGTTCGGGTCGGCCAAGCGTGTAGTGCATGGGGTCCCGGGCAAGTGTTCAGATTTCACCGGATCGATTCCGATCAAGGCAGCTGGAAAGGCATGCTCCAATCTGCAGGTGTGGTGAGTGCGAAGACCTTCTGAAGATGCATTGCAAGTGTTCCGCGTATGTGCTCGCTGATTTTGTGCGCCTTTCCATCACCTGTAATCTATCGATAGCCCTGCCACGACTGCACCACGGTGAAAACTGCCCTTGCCCTGCGCAGCCAATGACTCTGCTTGAGACGAGTCACCGCTTTCTTCCGGCACTAAGTTTACGTGATGCGGATGTATAATTCTAAACTGGATCTACAATCCAATGTCTGGCTAGTACTCAATGCTCGAACGCAAGCAGTGTTCACTCCTTTCCATTTTTGTCTCCAACGTAACAATCTTGATCGCATCCTATTTAACATCTGAACGTCCTTATCGCAATGCATGGCCGTATTTGGTCATGTCTTTGAAGAGTTGACAGTGTTTCGTTTTTGGGCCGCACTTGTAAGACCACCTGTGAGGCACGGGGGAACACCCCATGAGAGCCCGGGCCTATTCGAGACTCATTAGTTCTGGCCAGGGTATGCTAATGCCGGAATATGGGTCTAATGCGCTTGGACCTTGGACGGGTTCGCAATCACGCCGTGCGACGCGCTTCACTTCGCGCTCCTTTCCCCAACCACTCCCACGCACACACGCACACCCAAGTCACACACACCGCGTTCGTTCAAGCAGAACACACTCGGACCCTCGACCAACTTACCTTGCGACCATCTCGCTCGCCCTGCCACGATGATCATCCCCGTGCGCTGCTTCTCGTGCGGCAAAGTCGTCGGCGATCGATGGACACAGTACCTCGCCCTGTTGGAATCAGGCCATACCGAAGGGTGCGTACAGGTTCACGGTGTAGATGGGTGCTTCCGAGCTCGACGCTGATGTACGAGTGTCCTACGTCTGTCTCGCTCAGTGACGCTCTGGACGGCTTGGGCTTGAAGCGATACTGCTGCCGAAGGATGGTCTTGACCCACGTCGATCTGATCGAGAAGTTGTTGCACTGTGAGTTGTACCTGTTGGTGAGTGTGTGCACTCGCGGGTGCTGACTCGTCTTCTTTGTCGCCTCCGCTCTCGCCGCTTTGCCCCCGCTACTCACCTTGAATAGACAACCGTAAGTCCATTTCGGAGCCCACAGGACGGCAATCTTTCTAACCTTCCATTATCGTGTTCCCACAGCGCTGGAACGAAGAGCAGCCGGCGCACGCTAAACCGCTTCGCCTCTTTCGGCCGACATTCTTCGGCTCTCCTTCTCCACCCCATTTCAGTACTTTCCCCTACTCGCTTTGTACCAACATCCCCTCATTTAACAAATTGCAATACACAACCCAACGCTCACTACAACTTGATCTCCAAGCTCTCGTCCCCACCGTTCTCCAACCTCCACTTTTTGATACCCCCTTCCAGGACCACCGCTCTCGAGCTCTGGATGCAACGTTCGTTCAGGAGGTCTTGATACCAACCTGCGCAACGGGGACCTCGTCCGGAAGAGGACTGGCAGTGGAAGATCACGAGAGGGTATCTAGCAGGAAGCGGACCGATGGGATTGAGCTCGGTGCGGACTCAATCTTGGGCGTGATCTGGTGAGAAGGGTCTAGTGTGCCCCTGGTCGCACTTCAAGGCATGTGTAGATGCACGATCCTCTTTGTCTGTGCTCGACACGCTACTTACTGTGAAAGGATGGGCAATAGACTCGGCAAGGTCGGGTGAAAGGAATGCGCGGGAAGGTTGATCGCGCCTTTGATGAACGAGTCCTGGTGAACGACGTAGATCAACTTCAATAAAGTGAGAACTTTGGAATCATAAAAGCCTCTTGGGAAAGCGTAACGATAGCCGAAGGGCTGCCCGCTCGGACCATCGAAGCAAACCCCCGAGCGGGAGTGTCCAAGGCAATCCTCGCCTCTACGTACCTCGAAATCCGTCCTCCTCACATCGACGACCAAGAAACGCTTCTCCGTCCCTTCCCCCCCTTCCTTCGCAGCATCCAACATCATCTCCTTCAGCTCATGCGTGGTCATCTTGTCCGCTTGAGCGAGCGGCGACGGGAACGCTTCCCACCAGTTTGCAGGCGCTTGCGAGGGCAGGGTCAGGGCGTCGGTCGTCATTTTTTGGGAGCTGGGGATGGTTAGGGCTGGGAAGGAAAAGTAGGGAGACTTCCGTGAGAGAGAGACAGGCACGGAAGGCAAAGCGCGGCGAGATGCGAAGGCCCCGACGACCTCGTGGAGGTGGTGGTGGGGGGAGACCAATTTAAAATTAAAATCGGGCTCAGAAATCCTCCATTCTCGCATCTCTCATCGCGAGCAAGACCACTCTCAACAAATACAACTCTTTATCACCCCCACATTGCAGGTTCCCAGAGCAAAACACACACACACACACACACACACACACACACACACACCCTCCTTTAGAAACCCCACCCATCCTCGTCCAACTCATCCCCTTCTAAACCTCCTTCCAAATCTTCCTCCACCTCTTCCTGCGCCCTTCCTACCACAGGCTGCATCAACCCCATTTTGACGACCCCATCCTCAATAATAGGCCGAGGCGCACGCGAGAAATAACTTTCTTCATCATTCGCGCTCGTATCAATCCCCAATTCGGCCGCCGAGTCATCAAAGCCCCAACCTCCATCTTCTTCCTCTTCTTCAGCAGCAGCAGCAGCAGCAGCACCTCCTTCCTCCTCCCTCGAAAGCGACGATCGTTCGTTCGTCGGTGTGGGAGGGAAGATGTCGTATTTACCTGTACCCGTAAGTTGCCGTGGGATCGCATGTCCCATATGAGCGACGATATCAGGTCGATGCGCCGTAGGGAGAGGGGAGTAGAGCGCTGTCGGCATGTGAGAGGTCGAGGGCACGAGCGGAGCGGGTGGGGGGGCCGTCTCGGCGGGGAGGGGGGAACGGATCGTTGGGGAGAGAGCAGAGGTCGAGGACAGGTTCAGGTTCTTCATCGCCAGTCGCGAGAGAGGAGGTGGTGCGAACATGCGGGACGGAGCAGCCACTGGAACAGGAGCAGGTGCCGCAGCAGCCGGGGAAGCTGGAGAAGGTGAAGATTGAGGCGGGGACGGAGGTGAGAAGATGTGCTCCTGCGTCGGTGAAGGGATCGAGAGGTTGTCCGAAAAGCCCCAGCCGTCATCCTCGATCACTTGGTCCATCTCGTCCTCCTCTTGGACGGGTTCGTCCTTCGACTCGGGCTCTTCGACCTCCGGCTCGGGCTCAGGCTCGACGCGTTCCTCTTCTTCCTCCTGCTCGACCTCGGACTCGGGCTCGAAGACCTCCTCGACCGCAGGCTGAGGATACTCCACCTCGACAATCGAAGGGTGCTGCGAAGCGTTCGACGAAGTCGGTGGCGAAACGAGGATCGGCGACTCGGTCGAAGACGAGAAAGCACGGACTTCAGATTGTTCTTCAAAGTGCGTTGGACCGTGCTCGATCGGTTCTTGAGGGGTTTGAGCTTCCAGATCCGCTTCCTCGTCAATGCCCAAAGGCGTATCATCGATCGGCCACCCCTCTTCTTCATCTTCAAGATCGTGATCGGGGACCTGCTCCATCGACTCGTCATGCACGACGATCGAATTCTCCGCCGACGTAGCATCGTGCTCGAACGAAGCCCCCCCACTCTCAGACTGGTCGAACGACCAACCGATTTCTTCCTCCTCCACCTCGGGCTGCGTTTCCTCCCTCACCCTCTCCGGCTCCGTCGCCTCATCCCGTTCTCTCGCCAACACGTTCCGCATCGAAGGTGGAGGCGAATACGACAACACCTTCGGCACCGCTGCAACCGTAAGTGACGAAGCGACCAATTGGTCGAATTCGAACGGGTCCGAATGATGCTTCGAATGCTGGGCCGTCATCGGTGGTGCAGCCAGAGGGGTTTGAGGGGAGGTGAAGGTCGATGGCGGCATCGATGTCGTCGTCGTCGATGCTTCAGCGGCGGCGCGAGCTGCTTCAGCTTCGTCAAGAGAGGTGGTCGTCGCAACTGCGGATTCGAGATCGTCCAATATCGCTGTGGGCATCGGATCACTAGCAACGAACCCCTGTGTCGAGAACACGGGGTTGATCAATATCGATCCTCGACGAGGTCGTTGGCGATCGTGATCGTCGAACAAGGACGCGTTCGAGGGGATTGGGGAAGGAAATCCGATGGATTCTTCCTCGGATAAAGCGACGCGTTCGACTTCCAACACGATCGATTCCTCTTCGTCGACCGCTTGCTCATCCGTGGGCTCCACCTCGGGTTCAGGAGCAAGCTCCGCAGGCTGCGCTTCCTCGGGAAGAGGAGACGAAGGTCCATTCTCCAACTCCAACTCGATACCCCAATCGTCCTCGCCTCCCGATACAGATCCGGATCCTAAGATTCCGCCCGTTCGAGCACCCGATGCACTGCTGTACGAACCCGTACGTGGTCGACCCAGTGATGTCGTCTCTACGGCCCCCGACCCTTCCTCGTCCTCGGGTTGTGGTTCGGTTTCTTCCTCTTCGCGAGAAAATTTCAGCGTCGGCAGAGGTGGGGAGAATATCTTCGGCGACGGCGAGGAACGAGCTAAGGTCGTGGGCGGCTGAACGGGCTGGGTGACGGGTACAACGGTCGGTGGTGGTGAGAAGCTAGAGATCGGTGTACTTTGTTGAGGCGAAATGACACCTGATCTACGAAGCGGTTGGGGCATCGAAGGTGGGGAGACGACGTTCCTCATGGGAGGGGGCGAAACGACACTTCTCAAAGGAGGGGGCGAGATGACATTCCTATTCGACGGAGGCGGAGGAGGTGGTGAAGCGAACCCCCTCAAAGGGGGTGACGCCAACTCATGCATCGAAGGCGAAGGCGAAGGCGACGGTGAACCCCTTCCGATCGGTTGTGAAGGAGGTGACGACATCCCACTAAGCGCAGGCGACCCTCGCATCTGAGGAGGCGGGGAGACGACCCCTCGACTCGCGAAGGGAGGTGGAGGGGGTGAAATCACTCCACGACTACTGAACGCGGGGGACGCGGTCCGAGCGCTAGGGGATGTACTTCGTCCAGGAGATTGGATGGGGGAGATCGTCCCTGCTCTGATGCGGGGTGAAGCACCTGCTCGAGAGCCCGAGGCGGCACTGAATGCGCTTGATGCCCGAGGTGGGGGAGGCACGCCTCCTGACGAACTCGATGAGGACGGCGTCGGTGACAAGACGCGAGCAGCAGCTGGCATCGCTTTGGGCGGAGGTGAAACGACAGCACGAGATGCTAGGACTCGAGGAGGTGACGCAACGGTGATCGGTCGGGCGGGAGCTAAAGCGATCTTGGGCTTGGGAGCCGCCGGAGGAGGTGAAGCGGCAACGACGGTGGGTGAGGCAGGCTTCAGTACGCGTTGCTGCACCGGCACAGGCACTCTTTTCGCGCCGAGTCGAGACGTCCGAGGAGGTGCGATTTGAACGACCGGCTTGGGCTTGTCCTCCACGACAGTGGGTTTCGCGACCGGTTTCACCACTGGTTCATCGTCGTCCAAAAGACCCCAAGGATCATCCACGACCTTCTCCTCGGTCTTGATCGATGATACCAGCTCCTCCTTCTTCACCTCGGGAATGACGACATGGGTATCGAAGCTCGCGTCCAGTCCCGGATCGATGACGGGAGGTTTGGCATCTTCAAGGACCTCTGGCTCCGGCGGCGGAACGACGATCTCGTCCTTGGTCTCGTCCTCCTCATCAAACCCCCAAGCCTCTGTCGAAGCGCTCGGAGGCGAAGGTGGTAAAAGAGGTTCAGGCCGCGAAATTCTCGCCGCTCCAAGGCTGATCTTGCCCGACCTGACCACAGGTGGTGCCGTGACAGGCGAGGCAGGCGGCGAAGCTTCCCTAGCCGAAGGCTGGACCCTATTCGGAGTCGAATTGAACGCACCCCCTCTTCGAGCAGGAGAACCTAACCCTGCTGATCCACTACCCATGATGACGTTTCTCGATCGACTGGATCCCGAAGGTGGTGTCGAAGGTCTCGAGTACCCACCGTCGGTGGTGGTCGTTTCGTCATCGTCGTTGGGAACGTTCGTAGGGTGACCGTTGAGAATGTGCTCGAGGTTGCGGTTGCGTAGGGGCGAGTCGGAGAATAGGGCTCGGACGAGCTTTGCGATCGCGGACGGTTCGAAATCGACCAGATGGCCGTTGTCGAAGAGGAAGAGGATGTCGGCCTGTGGATGATGACTTCCGCCCAGTTAGTTGACTCTGCAGCATTGCGAGGTTGGACGGCATCGGGTAACTCACCATCGATGCCTCGAGCAACTCGGACAAGAACACGAATTTGAACCAGACAGGCACCTCTCTTCCCACAGAAGTCTGTGCGATCGACGCCGAACAACTTCATTTGTCAGATTTCTCCGGCCCTCAAAACATTTGTCGCACGGAGAATCACTCACAACACCCTCGTCGAACAAGTCCTCCAACCCATGCAACATCTTGCAGAGTTTGTTGAGTCGGGTCGACTCTTCCTCCGAGATGTCCAACTGCCCCTCTATCTCGTCTAATACGCGTAAGAGGACGTCGTTGACCAATGAACCGAGGGTCGTGTAGAGGAAGGTCGGGTTCGTTACGGGCTGTTGAAGTAAAAGAATCAGTGTCAGTTTCAGAGTCGCATACTTGGATCCCCATGCCTAACTCATGCGACGGACCTTCCACTCCTCAACCACGCTCCTCAATTCATCCATCACCTTCCGCACGGCTTCCTCACAAGCCTTATACACCGCATCATCAGCCGTATACAAGAACGCTCCCGCCTCATCTAAGTGATCCATCAACTCTTCCTTCTTCTTCATCACCCAACGATCCTGCATCTCCTTACTCATCCTTCGGGTAGCGGCAATCGCTTGTTGGACGTCTTTCGATTGCTCGGGGGTGAAGGACGACTCGATTTGGGTCCAGGTTGAGGCGATTTGCGTGGCGATGTAGTCGAGGTCGTTCGAGAACTGTAAAGTAAGTGCTGACGAGGAGGAGAGTTTCGAATGATGGTGCACGGGTGCTGTTGCTCGATAGAGGGTCAGGATCGAAACGAAGGCCTTCAGCAACAAGTTCGACGAGTTGGCAAAAGTCGGGAAGGGGAACGAAGGCGAGGCGACTTTGACGGCTTCGTCCAGGATCCTCCGAGCGACTTGTAGTATCGCTTCGCACCGCTTCGACACAAGGTATTGTTCGATCCGTGTAGGAGGAACCCCACCTGCCTCTACCGGCCCTTCGTCCACTTGAACCTCCACATCCCGTTTCGCCCCCTCCCATTCCTCATCACCGACAATCGCCTTCCTCGCATCGACCAGCGCCTGATCACCTACGAATTTCGCCCAATGGCGATCGACACGCTCGATCCACTCACGTATGACGCGACGTTCTTCGACTTCGGGTCCGGCGGTGGAGGGGAGGAAGCTGAAGTAGCCGTTCGAGTCGAGGAAGTCGGCTTCGAAGGTGCGCGCGGCGTCGAGGATGGAGAGGTAGGATTCGAGGTGGTCCGAGCTGGAGGGGAGGGAGGGCAAGAGGTGCGACGAGACGACGAGTGATTGCAGGGTCGGTGTCAGGTGTTGGGTGAAGGTTGATGCATAAGGTGAAGGTGGCAAGAGCGAGGCGTGTTGACCAAAGAAAGCCAAAAAGGCGCCGAGATCCTTCAGGCACTCCTCGACGGAGGGAACCTCCTCCTGCCCATCGACGACAGGCTGCAACGATATCGTGATCGCTCCATCGAGTTCTCCAACTTCAGAATAGATGATCTCGGTCTTTCTTTTGCCCGCACCATTGCTCTCAAGGTAAGGTGCGACGATGTACTTGATCGTTTGCTTGGCGATGCGCGTCAGATGGGTATCGACTGTGCGCTTGATGGGTTCGCCTTCCCTGCCCATGGCGTAGACGTGTTCGAGCGCGGCCCACAACTCCTCTACGGCAATGTGATCCCCTTTGGGTGCGGCCGAGATGGCGTTGCGGAGATTGAGGGTCCATGCGGTGTTCGTGGTCGTGGTCGTCGGATCGGCTTCCGTTGTCGAAGGGGACAAGAATTCAAAGCACGCCTCCAAGGATCCTGCCAATGCTCCCTCGAGGCGGACCTGCTCGTCCAAGGACCATCGCCGGAGTACGATGTAGGCTTCCGTCGAAGCGATCCACGGCTCGACACCTCTCGAGACATGGGATCGCAATGCCCTTAGGGCAGGTACGGCCGAGGGCAGCGCCCCGTGGGTGATGAGGTCCGAGAGGGCGGCGACGGCGGTGTGCAGTTCGAGCAGGGTCGTGACGAGTTGGATCGTGTAGAGGTTCAGCTGGTGGGCTTGTGCGAGCTTGGAGTGCGAGGTCAGTTGCTCGATCAAGCCGGGCAAGAAGGCGTCCTGTGGCAGCGTGGACGGTCGGCGTGGGGTCAGGAAGGGAAGGACTAATGCGCTCATGCGCTCATGCGCTAATGCGCTAATGCGCTCATGCGCTACTAATGCGCTACTGCGAGTCGTAGAGCGTGTGCTCACCTCCCCATCGAGCTGTTGTTGCAACGCGCCGAGTTCGAGCTCCTGCTCTTCTATCCTCGCCAGCAACTCTTTACCATCGGCGACCTGTTCTTGGAAGGGACCCCAGTGGTGCTCCAACAATTCTCGGGTTTGGTTCTGAAGAGCGAATGCTGGTCGTCAGCTGTGCCTCTGCCTACCCGAGCAGCTATGCATCTGCATGCACGCCTGACTGACGTTGACCTGCGCAATCTCGTGCTGTATCCTCCTCTGCAAGGCCATGAGCGGTGGGGGAGCGCCTAGACTCGCTCTCCTCGCGCTGCTCGCTGCCGTCGAGGGCGCGCCCGCCGCGCCGGGTGGAGGCCATACGAGAGCAGGTGACAAGTCGGCCGCTCCTACATCAGCCAGCCAGGTGGCGAGCGAGTGGTCGGGAGGATGCTTCGTCGTGGGGGCTGCAAGGGTCGTACTTGTCGCGGTGGCGGAGGTGGTGTCTGAGATGGTGGCGGAGCGTCGCCGGAGCGGACTGGTCGCAGCCATGACGTGTCTTGCGCGCGTGAGCGGATCGACACGTCCGATCAACCTCAACGCTGCTGCACTAACCCGCCTCGCCTTGGAGTCGGACTAGAACGTAGACCGTGAGGTGGGTGGGAGTGTGGGGGGTAAGCGGCGGGTGTAGCACGCTCGAGTGGGTGGGTGGGTGTACGCTGTTTGAAAGCCGAGAGCGCTCAGAGCCACTTGGGCCTCGCATTGGCGCAGATTAGCGCCTATTAGTCAACGGTCGCTCAGCGGTTGTAATCGCAATTCCCGTTGGTGATAAGGGTCGTCTCTTTTTGTAGACTAGCTGGAATCCAAATTAATTCTCATTCTCATCCTACCCCACATGGCGCTCTCCCTTCGCTCCCCTTCGTCCTCCCCTCCTCTTTTCAAACCACCCGCCATGAAAATCTTCATCACCTCGCACTGCTACTTCCCCTCCGCCTCCTCCGGCATCCCCGCGACGATCGAAGTCTGCTCCTCGACCGGTCTCGTCACCGCCATCCATCGCAACGTTCGCAAGAGTCGAGAAGAGTACCCTCATGTGAACGACGAGGACTTTATCCATGTAGCCGATCAGTATTGGCTCCTACCTGGGGTGAGTCTCGTCAATGAAGGAGGTAGGAGGAAATCTCCGCTTACTCCGCTCTCTTTCTCCTGGCCCAGCTCGTCGACGCTCATGTACACCTCAACGAACCCGGACGGACCGAATGGGAAGGCTTCGCGACTGGAACGGCCGTGGGTCCACTCATCAATCCCTCTCATTCAGTCCTCCAACTCACATTTTCCCCTCCTCGGAATAGGCCGCCGCGTCCGGAGGCGTGACCACCGTCGTCGACATGCCTCTCAACGCGATCCCACCCACCACCACCGTCGATCATCTACTTCAAAAGGTGGAGGCCGCAAAGGGGCAATGTAGAGTCGATTGCGCATTCTATGGAGGCGTCATTCCGGGCAATCAGGTTGGTCCCCCGATCAAGTTCCCGGAAAACAGTTTTTTTTTTTTTTTTTTTTCGGTTGCTGAATCCTTCGTCCCCAACCGGACAGGGCGATCTTGTCCCCTTGGCAAACGGAGGAGTCAAAGGCTTCAAGTGCTTCCTCATCGAATCGGGCGTCGACGAATTCCCTTGCGTCAATGAGGAACAGGTCCTACTCGCCATGCCTAAACTGGTCGTCAGTCCTCTCTCATCTCCGACCAAATTCCCCGCGTTCCCCGCTCGTAAACCTGACCGTTGCATTCCCTCCCCGCCTCGTGACCCCCAGGAAGCGAATTCGCTCTTCCTATTCCACGCCGAACTCGACACCCCAACCGTCTCCCCCACCACCCCCTCATCACCCGACTCAAGATCCTACTCCACCTTTCTCTCCTCGCGTCCCCCATCCCTCGAAGAATCCGCCATATCCCTCATCCTCCGTACAGCGCGCCAACACCCTTCCCTACGCACGCACATCGTGCACCTCTCCGCAGCGTCCGCGATCCCAGCTTTAAGGAAAGCTCGTAGGGAAGAACGATTGAAGCTCAGCATCGAGACCTGTTTTCATTACCTCGTCTTGACGGCCGAACAAATTTCCAAAGGCCAGACGCTTTACAAGTGTTGTCCACCGATTAGGGAAGCGATCAATCGAGATGCGTTATGGAAAGCTTTGATTGAGGGGGATATCGATTTCGTCGTATCGGATCATTCACCTTGCGTGACCGAACTTAAACGATTGGAAGAGGGCGATTTCATGAAAGCTTGGGGAGGGATCGGGGGATTGGGTTTGGGATTGAGTTTGTTGGTGACGCAGGGGAAGAGGAGAGGGGTTGGGATGGAGAGAGTTTTGGAATGGGTTTGTGAGAGACCGGCTAGGCAGGTAGGGTTGGAAGCGAGTAAAGGGAGGATACAAGTCGGTGGTGATGCGGATTTTGTGGTGTTTGACCCGCGGAAGAAGTTTACGGTGCGTTGGACTGGTTCCCTCTTCTGGTGGATCATCATCAACCGCACTGACACCCAAACCGACTTTTTTGTCGTTTCAGGTTAACAAGTCCGAATTGCACTTCAAGAACCGTTCAAGTCCTTACGAAGGCTTGGAACTCGAAGGTGCGGTCATCAAGACCTACCTCCGCGGTCAACTCGTTTATGATCGTGAGAAAGGTTTCAAAGGGATCGAACCGAGTGGGAAGTTGTTGTTGTAGGGGAGGAAGAAATATATATACCTTGCTGGAAGGTGGTACGAACAGAATTATGTGAATCGATTGCTAGGCGGGGTGGTCGTACAACAAAACAAAATACAGGCATCGACGAAAAGACAAAGAAGAGAAAGCGCAGATCCACACCCACGCAGAGGGCTCAGGTCGAAATATACTGAAAGCACGCCGTGACCGTATCCAATCCCGTCTCGGCCCTCAACAGATCATCATGGATATTCGCGAGACAGGCGTTACTCAAATGGTTCCACCTGTGGGTGCACGACCATGGAGGTTACACATGAGCTTTTCACTGAAGGAAGTAATGGCTCAGAGGTGGCAATTGAAATGGTGTACGCACGTGCTTGTGTCGCCGTACAACATCGCGGGCGATTTGAGCATTTGTTTGCCGTTCTTGCAGCGCTTGCATTTGAAGAGCTCGTGCGTCTGAACACGGTCGTATGTCAGCCTCAAGGTCCAAATCGTTCTCCGGCCCGATGACTAGGGGACGCACCTCGCATTTCGACTCTTTGTACTGGAACAATTGACGCAAATTATCACCCGAGTAATGGCGCTCAATATCCTCGTTCGAATCAACGACGCAGGAGGAGAGGTTCTGCTTGTGCGATTGGCGTTGGAAGACTGCGATCAATGAGGGGCACTGATCAGCATCAGCGCATCGCACAATTAGACGGTGAGAACAAAATTCACTCTTCTCCTCGACCGTTCCAGTTGCGACGAAACGATAGACGAAACCTGTGAGCAGACAGGTGTGATTATGCGGTGAGCGAAGAACGACACTCGAGATCGCGAAGCATAGCGGGAGCTCACAGTTCTTCTTCTGCCCATCGCGCCACACACGAGCGAGGGCTTGCATATCCGAGGCAGGGTTCCAATCTGCCGATGCAGCGTGATGAGGACCCGTCAGTGTGGATCATCCGACGGAATCAAGGATTCTCACGCGAGACTGACCAGGATCAAACAGAATAAGTCGATTCGCGCCAATCAAGTTGATCCCACAGCCTCCCGCCTTGGACGACAGCAAAAAGACGAGTTCCTTCCCCTCCGGATCGTTGAATCGATCGACCAACTTCTGCCTCTTGTCTGTGCTCATCGTGCCATCGAGCCTCAAAAACCCATACTTTCGAGAAGAGCACAATTGACCGAGGACGTCGAGCGTTTGGGTAAAGTTACTGATGAGGACGATCTTGTCATTCGTTTCGCGACGCATCTTCTCGAGGAACCGATCGACGACGGCGAGCTTGCCCGACAACTCGGTTTCGAGGATCTTGTAGCGTGGACGTTTCTCGCGAGGGTTGTAGCCGGGCGGGAAGAGGTCGTCGACGTTGGGGACGTCTTCGTCGAAGTCGAGCAGGTCGGGGTGGTTGCACAACTTGCGGAGGATCGTGATCGCCTTGAGGGGTTGCGAGCCCTGACCGCGCAGCAATTTCTTCGTCTCTGGAGCATGCATGAAGCGTTGGTACAAGGCGAGTTGGAATGGCGACAAGGCGCAAAAGACGACGTGTTCGTACTTGACGGGAAGGTACTTGGACAAGAGGTCGTTCGTGCGTCGGATGATGAACTTGTTGACTTTGGTGCTCAGCTCTTTCAATTTCTCGCTGCCGACCTCTTGTTGCTTCTCCGTTGCTTCACCATCCCGACCGCGCAGGATCGGCATCTCGTAGCACTTGTGGAACTCTTGTTTCGTGCCGAGGTAGCCGGGGTTGCAGAATGATAGCAGACTGAAGTACTCGTTCAAGTCATTCTGTTGGGGTAGGAGCGATCCTCGTCAACGTGCTGCGGGCGGGATCGTTGTCAAGCGCACACCTGTGTACAGACCTGAATTGGTGTACCGGTGAGAATGACGCGACGCTTGCAGTTGATCGACATGAGAGCCGTATACGTTTGATTGTCTGCGGCAATGGCCCAAGAAAAGGGGTTAGAGCAGTACCACGTGCGAGTGCGATGAAGCTTCCACGTACCCGAATTTTTGAGACGATGCCCTTCATCGGCGAGCAGCAGCCCAATCTCGGTCTGCCCCAGTTCATCTGTTAACGACCGAAGACGCTCGTACGAGACAATGACAACTGTCCGGGTAGAAAACGTTGTCAGAGGGTCGAACGGTTCACGAGGAACAAGAGCATAGGTGTGACCTACTCGGCGTGACGACACTCTTGCCCTTACTCGAACACCACTGCCTAATCTGCGCCACGTTGTCCGCGGCCGAGCTCTTGCCGTCGATCGCCATGGGAGAGACGGCCCCTTCGCCAAGCCATTTCACTGTTGGAGCAGCATCACGACGTGAGAAACATCGCTAGTTAACAAAATCAAGACGAATGAACTTACCCAACTCGTTGGCCCAGTTGCGCACGAGCGAGGACGGGCACACGACGATGGCCTTGTCGATGGCCGGTCGATTCGCAGTAGGCGATTGCTTGAGCAATGTCCACATGAGCGTAATGCATTGTAGCTGTGGCGATACGGATGTAACCCTATTAGAGATCGCTTAAAGCCAATTAGGCCTTACCCAGTACATACCGTTTTGCCGAGACCCATCTCGTCGGCCATGATACAGCTGTTGTAAACATCGCGCAAGAAAAGGACCGCATCAGTTTCAGAGCGAGATACTTCTCAACTCAGCGAAAGCGCACCCATGAGCATTCTCATCCGTCATTCCTGTCACGCAGCGATACAAGAACTTGACGCCTTCAACTTGATGTGGTCGCAGGACCTTGCCGACCCTCGGATCAATGACGACCGGAACTTTCATCTTCTTCTTGGCGTCCGCGTCGAGCTTGACGATACCGAGGATCTCGGCCAGACTGCGATGGTACTTGCGGCGCTCGACTTCGGCTTCAGCTTCAGCTCGAGCCAATTCGGCGTCGTCGGCGTTGTCACGTTCAAGTTGGAGTAGGCGCTGCTTCTCGGCTTCTCTTTCAGCTTCGCGGTCGTCGATCGTAGGATCCCAGAGCACGACGGCGTGGTCTTCTAGAGGGTCGAACAAAGGTCGAGGGAGAACATCTCCGACCCGTCGTGTCCCGAGGGGAAGATTCGACGGTCGAGTCTCGACGAGTTGACCCTTGCGTTTCATCCCGGGGATCGAAAAACCCTTGTTCAAGGATTGCTCAGGTGTTTTGGGTCGAAAAACGGGGAATCGTCGCGGTGCCGAAGGGGGAACATAACGATCGACGAAGCCTCCTCTTCCTTTCTTGCCATCGTCCGAATCATCCTCCGCGGCAGCCTTGGCTTCAGCGGCGGCCTTCTTGGCCTCCTTGCGAGCTTTCTTCGCCGCGAGTGGGTCGTACTCGTTGCTGGTGGTGAGGTCGCCGTAGAAGGTGTTTTCGTCGTATTCGCGCTCGCGCTTCTGGCCCGGGGCATGGAACTTTGATCGAGATCCACCGAGCTGCCTTGAGCGCGTCGAGGTAGTCGATGCTGGAACCTTGAAGGCTGTTGGAGAAAGGCGTGTGAGCACTGAGTTTGCGGTGAAACGGCCCCCACGCACTCACGTTTCATGGTCGGGGTCCCAAAACCACCTCCCGAGGCCCTGAGGGCGGCTGCATTTTGGGGTGAGTCGGAGGTGCTAGGGTCGCCGCCCGCTTTGATGGAGGCCAGAAAGGACCTTCGCCTGATGGAATGGGACAGATGATCATATACGTTCGATATCAGGTGTGGTGCAACGGGAGAGAGGCCGGGTGAGCGATGCCGAAGCGAGTGGCGCCACCGCACCACTACGCTCCACTCGTGCGAACCCATCCCAGTGCATGACCCGTGACGGATGACTTACATCTTGATGACGCGTGAGTTGTCGAGTGGGTGCACAAAGGGGAGAAGCCAAAGTCGAAGCTGCGTGGAGCAAAGTGTCTCCTGACTGACTCGGAAGAGCTCGGAAGTTGCGCAGAGCCACCGCGAGGCGTGATGTCAACAAGCCAACGCGTCGCGCGCGCGTCTGCCGTGGGAGTCGAGTGGGTCCGTGCGCAAGCTGACTTGTGGATTCCTACACGACGCTCGTTCGCTAATCGCGCCTCGCTTATATACTCGCCTTATTCGCCTCTCCACTACTGCCATCTGCACCGCTCACCGGCCTCACCGCTCACCACTCCACCTCCCACCGCTGATGGACTCGGACGAGTGTGATCACAAGCTCATCAACAGGCTCGTGCCTCAGTGGCTTCCCACTCCGCAAGCGACTGTTCATCCAACGTCCACCACCACTACCGCTGCGCATGCCCCCGCGACGACGACCGCGCTCAAGTCACCCCCTTTCATCAACCTCAACTCGACCTCTTCTACTCTCAGCGCCCCCACCTGCACCTCACCAGCCTCCACCAAGACACTCGCCCTGGCCATGACCAAACCCGAACCCATCGCCAGCGCCGACGTCGAGGCCAAGTCGCCCCCTCCTCACCACCACCTCCACCCGTCAACTTACCAGCTCGACCCGGTCAAGTGGCAACACGACACCCAACGCATGCTCAACAAGACCCTCGGGCCCGAGTTCATCTCCACCCGTGCAGGACCGAGTGGTTCGAAATTGACCTACATCGAAGGGTGGAAGCTCATCAACCTGGCCAACGAGGTCTTTGGCTTCAATGGTCAGTCACCCAACGACTCGGACAGCGCGTGTGAGGAATTCGACGGTGCGCAGACTCATCCTTCTGATCCGACCACAGGCTGGTACTCGTCCGTCAAGGAGCTGACGATCGATTATGTACGCACATGCAAGCTTGCCCGTGGGCCCATCATTGGTCTGACGCTGGCCACCTCCCCCCGCAGATCGACTTTATCGAAAAGACCGAGCGGTACAACGTCAGCGCTTCGGCCATCGTCAACGTTCGCATGCCCGACGGCGCCTACCACGAAGATGTCGGATGCGGCAGTGCCGAGAACCAAAAGACCAAATCAGCCGCTTTGGACAAGGTGCGTCCACCATCAGATCCACTTTATCGTCTCCAACTGACCAAAGCAAAAAAATCGGCTCCTCCTCCCCTCAGGCCAAAAAGGAAGCCGTTACGGACGGACTCAAGCGTGCGCTGCGCAGCTTTGGCAAACTCATGGGCAATTGCGTCTACGACAAGCACTACGTCGTCGAGGCGGAAAAGATGACCAAGACCAAGGTAGACGCTTCACACAAATCCATCTTACCTGCAAGAGAGGGCAAATCTGATCCATGACTTGTTCAACAGCCCAAGGTCGACTTCAAGAACATCTTCCGACCCGCGTACGATGCCGAGATGGAGGAGAAGGCAAGGAAAAAGTCCCTGGAGAACGACAACGAGAATGCTCCTGCTCAGGATATCAAAAAGATCACCAAGGGAGGACCCTCCGCCGCCCCAGCTCCGATGCGAGCCCCTGCCTTGCCAGCTCGCGCCACGACGACCCTCAGCGCCACCCGAGTTCCACCTGCAGCTCCGAGTCGTGCACCCCTCGCTCCAATGCAAACAAACCAAACTCCGAAGCCGACGTCGTTGCAGCCCACAAAGCCGATGGTCAAAGGGGAGTGCCCCGCGAGTGACCCTTTCTCTGCCGACGACACCCTTGCTCTCCAGGGCATGGATCTCGACGCCTCGACTTACCTCGGTACTGGAACCAACTTCGCACATGAAGGCGACAGTGGGTTCTCGGAAGGTGGCTTGTTCGACGCTGCTGCCGAAGTCAAGTTGGGGAACAACGGTGGGCCTCAGGCGGCTCACACTTCCAACGGCCCAGATCACGGTGCACGCCGTTTGAACGAGAAGGAAGAGGCGGGGAAGAAGAGGATGAGGACCGAAGAGATGGAAATGAAACGTCAAGCCGCCTTGTTGCGCCAACAACAAAAGAGCATGAACCAACAGCAACAACACCGGTCCCCTCCCAATGCCGGATCGGCAGGTCTGCAGAGATCCAAGACGGTGGGCAACCCTTCGACCAACACGGCGAGACCTATTACTGTTCAAGCGGGGACGTTGCCGACGATTAATGTTGGAGCGGGAGGAACGAAGCTTTCACCTGGTTCGAGTGGGAAAGGTGCGCCTGTGTCCGGTCCGACGACGTTCGTTAGTGCTAGGACGATGAAGAGGACTTTGATTGACGAGTGAGTTGTTTCGTTACCGCTGCTTGTGACGAGGGGATTCTGTGTTGACTGAGGGCTATACAATTTCAGACCATACGAAACGGTCATTACACGCGGTGTGAATGGTCGACCGGACCCGATCGATCCTTCCAAGCGACCTCGTCCCGCATGATCACAAATTTTTCGCATCGATGTCATCTCTACCTAACCTCTCCTCGCTTCGTTTTCTTCCATCAGTTTTCGCTTGTTGTGTCATCATTCGTACCTTCCTTTCTCTTCCATAGCAACTATCCACGCAGTACTTCGTCTTTCCCTCGTTCAATGGTGCAAATTATGGCGCCTGCAAAAGGCTGGCGACGAGGAGAGCCGAGGAGAGAGCGGGCAGTGCCGAGAGGGTTGAGGTGTAGCTGGTGGCGAGCGCGACTCTGCCCCACTAAGCCTTATTATATAACGGAGTAACGGAGTTCCTCGCGGCACCGCGCCGTGCTCATCCCACCGTGACAATCAAACTTGTCGGCCTCGGTACGGGCGCATTTGCAAAAGCACGCCGATCGAAGGCTCGTCCGCGTTCTTCACGGCCTCTCAATAGTTCGGTTCACCCTCGTCCATTTGTGCAAATTCGAGCATTCGCATGCGATTACGTCGTTCAACACTCTCCGATAGGTCTGTGGGTCCCTTTTCAAGACTCTCGTGGTCCAATTGGTTTGAGCGGTTCGACAGTACAAACATGTGGGATCACAACCCACTCTCAAAACTACATCCCAGCATTGTTCATCTCCTCAAGAAGCTAAATCAAAGAAACACGCACCGACACGAGTCAGATGTGCGCTTTAGGTTAATGGGTGGTAAAAGCAGCGACTCACCTCATGCAATTGAGCGGCGATGACCGTATTTGGTGCCTTATTCTTCAGATCCCTGCATCGCCACACGAGCAAACACACGTTCAGTACCCATCTAACTCCGCCTCATCCAACCCGCTTAGACTCGTGCAAACTCACATCAACCGATTGCGATCATTCCTCCTCACGCACTCCTGCCCCGCCAGCACCCATTCTCCCGTCTTGATATACCAATCCACCCTCGTCCTCTGTTCACACCGTTCGATATACCCGATCGCCTGCCTCTGCGCCCCATTCTTGATCAACTCATTCACGAACGGTTCATACCCAATCGGGCTCTTTTTACTCTTCGCGAACGTTTCCAATGCCGTCCAATCGCGGGCTTCGACGAGCGCTTTGAGTTTGATGTACCAGAAGCGCTTGTCGGGGACTTTGAAGTCGGATTTGAGCTTGTCGGCTTTTTGCGGTTGCGAGAGGAGTATACATTTGTGGATCGTGCGGTTCAGGGAGAGGCCGATGAAGGAGGGGGAAGGGGAGGGTCGGGAAGGCGTTTCGGACTCGAGCGTTTGTTGGAATACGAGCAGGCGGATGTGGTCCTCCACCATCTGTTTGGAAGGAGAATAAGATGTCAGTGAACCTTCGCTCACGCCATATGGTCGTAGTTGCTGACCTTGTTCTCGAACGCGCAGTCCTTGTCCTCCCCAAACGACTTGGCCGCAACGCGTACTTTTGCCACCTTGTCGCCAAAGTCCTGAAAAGTCGACTCAGGTTCAAATCAGCAAGCATGCACCTTGGTAACCCTTGGGACACGCTTGGACGCGACCCACCTCAATCGAAAGACTCTCTTCCAAGGCCAACAAAGCCGACTCTTTTCTCCGATCGTCCTGGTAGTAAAAGTCCTTCAACAGCTCATAATCCTGCGCATCCTTCGCGAGGATTTGAAGCAACGCCGCCGCCGTCGGTTTGTGGTCGACGAAGCGAAGGAAGTCACCCAGAGCGTGCGAACGCTTGAGGTACAAAAGGACGGTGTAGACTGTAGGGAAATGATCAGGTGTTGCATGAGCGTGAGAATATCGAGCCTGATGCGTTCCGAGCAGAACTCACCCAGATTGGGATCACCACTCTCGATCGCTTTGGTCAACGCCAACTCGTCCTGCTTCATCTTGATCAACAACGGCACCTGGCGACTCCCCTTGGGTTCAAACTCCAACAACTTGGTGGCCATGGAACTCCTCCCCAACTGCCAAGCGGTATTGGCGACATCGGCGGAGGAGATATCGGCTTGGTCAGAGAGTTTAGAGACGATGAGGGAGACGAGGTGAGCTTCTTCGGTTGCGGTGAGGGAAGTGGGAGAGGAGGATATCTGCGCTTGGGCCCAGTGCTTCAAGACGGGAGCCAGGGAGAGGGCGAGGTAGGAGGAGATGCGAAGAGCGAGGAGATGGAGCGATCGGGATGTTAGGCGAGAGATCAGGTGCGAGGGTGGATGGGTTTGGTATCTGCGAGATCATCAACCAGCTACGTCAGCTGGACGAACCGTACATAACCCGTGATCCCAACAACTCACTGGTCGTACGTCATCGGGATTCCGACCTCGAAGCCTCGGACAGCGTTAAGCACCCTCAACGTCTTGGTCATGGCCACGAAATCGCTCGGGTTGTACAGTTCCAAGAAGCCTTTCCCGAACGCCGCCGCTTTGAGTAGCTTCTTCTGCCACATCGGCTCGTATTCCCTCCCAGCCGCATCGATGAGCGTATCGACGGCCCCGACGAGTTCGACGCGGATCGAACGCACGTACTCGTCCGCTTTCGGTGACCGTCGATCGAACAGCTCGGAAGCCTCATAGAGGATCGACGCGGGCGATGTTGAGCCGGGTCGAAAGACGTCTTGGGAGGACTGCGATACTATCTGCAAGAACTCGCACGACTCCGAGGAAACGATTCGTGTCCCGTCGATCTCGCCAATGAGGTGGACGGGATCCGAGTAGAAGTACCTGCAACATGCAACGGCGGACTCCTCAGCAAACTACCAGGACGAGGCCAAAGCGGATGGGGACTCACTTGAGCGTCTCGCCAAAGGGACCGACCATCACGACCGTCTTTTCCCAAGCCACAACGACGGTGTTGTTACCACACCAAACGACCTGATTCGGCGGGCCCGACTCGCCTTCGCCGGAGAGGTCGAACTCGGAAAGTGATCTCGAAAAGTCGGACGAGGTGACCCACAGTTGAGGCGATGACCCGGCGGTCAAGAGGGCGAGAAAGTGAGCATTCGGTGACGGTGTAATGGACAGGAAGGGTCCTCGGTTCAAACGCTGTGAGACGAGGCATTCCAGGTGTGACCGGCTTCAGCGCTCTGAATATGGGCGGTCAGAACAGTCAACAGATTCTTCTCACCTGGTCCTGCACTTCGATCTCATCCAAGCGCAACACGGTCGATCCGGTCCCGATCAAGACCTCGACCCCTCTTGTGTTGCTCAGTTCAGGTTCGACGACTCCCCAGCAGCTGGGTGGCTCGTTCAGACCTACAGCCGCCAGGGGAGTGACCTTGCCCCCCCCACCTCCCCCACTGCGACTCGCACAGCCAACGCCGCTCGAGCCGCTTTCGGTCAAAGAATTTGTCGCGGGCCATCCTTTGACCTCGACAAAGGAAAGATTGCCCAAGAGAGCGACGAGGCCTTGTTCGTAGATCTTGGCCTGCAGCACTCCCGAGTCCTGGGCCTCGGCACCCAGGGTGTGTTGCGAATACGTAGGGGTGGAGGAGGACGATGCAGAGGCGGAGGAGGAGGGGGACGCCGAAGTCGAGAGAGGGTAGAGGCGATAGGTACCATCTTGCACGAGAACGACGAGTGATTCGCTGGATGTCCATCCGAGTGCGACGATGCGGTTCGATGATTCCCACTGCCAAGAGAAGTACATGCCCAGATCAGCCTGCTTCGTGCGCGGGAAAGACCGCACAGCACCTTGGATCATACAGGTATTGTTTGAAGCAGCAGCCCGGCACACGAGTAGATCATGATCTTGGGCCTGGCCAGTGTAGTCTGATTGCGACCCAAGAGTACGGGCTTGCGCTCGTCCCGGCTTAGGGCTGTGGCGATGACAGAGTGGGGACATTAGTGCGTGTACCCCACGAGAGAACAGAATACACTCTACACACCTATGGGTCCAGCATTCTTGGCACTGGCGATGATGTAGTTGCTCAAGTCGCCGAGACTGTCCCGCCAAGGCAGCGCATACACCTCCTGTTTGCGGTAGAACGTCTCGCCCAACGACTCCCACGACGCCGACACAGGAGCGATAGTGGCCATCGGCAGCTCCCGTGTTGTGCAGATCTCTTGGCGTGATGTGTTGGGTGCTGCACGGCCAGGTGGGCGTTGCCGATGACGAGCGCGGGCGGATATGCAAGCCTCGATGAAATACCGCGGTCTGACTCGTATTCGACGCCTTGACGGTGTCCCAGGTGGCGCGAATGGACCCGGATGAGCCAATTTGGTATGTTGCAGTGCCAAGTGGTGTAGCGGTGCCTAGGCAACCTTTCGCTGTTCCCGACGTGTGGACGCTTGTGGACGCGCGCCGCCCCACTTCACCATCAGGCTCTCGTCGTGCCGCCGAGCTCTCCTCTGTTTTACGGCGCCGGCAAGGTCTGCGCCAAAGAAATTGTTTTGTGGGAGGCCAAGAGAGACGGATCCGGTCCTTTTTAGGCTCGTGTAGCATAATGAACAAAGGTACGACGTATGCGAAGCCTCTTGCGGAGATAGACTCCTCACGTGACTTTTATAGTAGCTGCAGGCTGGGTGACCCGGCCGGCACTCCCAGCCCCTCTCAGAAGCATCTGCGAGGTCGAAAGAGCAGAATGCAGGGGCAATGGGGCATACATCTTTAGCATCGATCGATCTCGGTGCCCCACTCACGATCGGGCCCCCACATCAGTAATGGGCTTGCGAAGCTTTCTCCCCGTGCAAACTGGCTGGCAACTCTGGCTTCGCGGTTTCTTTAGCCTGCACTCAAAACGTAAATTTTAGCACTAAAAGGCACCTCGGATTGGTACACAAAAAGAGTTTATTCCCTAAAGGGGCAATGCACTTTTTCTGTCAATCCCTAAACTCATCTCTTTGTTGGGCGAGACTTATTCCCGCTGGGCTTTGATCGATTGATGGTGGCGTACCTTCCACTGCCAGTCTCTACAGAACGTGCGATAGGCCACAACCCCAACGCTTCTACCTACCTAGCTAATTTTTCAATCTGGTCGCCAGTGGTTGTCCTCAGCTGGTACAGTGTAGAGGCTGCAATGCTAATCTGGGTTTCACTACCTACTAGACCTCACGTCATGTGCTTCTCACCGCAGTGACCGCACCAGACAAGCGGGACCGCCATCTCACCGAGAGGCTCACCGAAAGATGCTCACCGAGGTATTTCCGTAACGTTTCATCCCGTTTCGCAGTTACTAGTGGGGCCGTTCGAAGAGGCGGATGCGCTAGCCAAGTTTTCAAACTACAACCGACCCGCGCAGGCGGCTTGTCGTTCGCGCGCGCTGATTGGCTACCCCCGCCTCCACGTCCCGTGCTCCCGTGCGCCCGCCCACGCAAACAGGGCCAGTCGTAGCATATTGGCCAGTGTGGGGGGGTCCTCGCTTCCGCCCCGCCCAAAAAGTAGGCGATCTTTTTCGGATGCAGAGTCTATCCTCCGACCCCATGCCTCCCCATCCTACCCCATCAAGTTTCACTACCCCAGCCGTCGGTCGAAGTCCAACTCTCTACCCCTCTCCCCCTCTTTCTCTCTTTCACCACATTCCTGTACGATCAGACACTTTTCCGAGCCCTTTCTCCCTTTACTGTCCCCCTGACCGGCACAAATAGTAGCGCAGCCCCTTTTCCTGCTCTCCCATCTCACCACTGAACCACGCCTCAACCACTCAACCCCTCAATCACCAAAATGGCTGGCGGTGGCGCAGTTACTGGCGTCAAAGCCACTGGCAACGTGACCAAGCGACAAGAGTACTTTGCCTTTGGTCTCGTCACCTCCCTCTTCTTCCTGTAAGTTGATTCGGCGATATCCGACTGCGCTCGAGCCTACCACGCGTCGCGTCACCGCCTTTCAGCCGTTGACCGCTTCCTTCTCCCATTTACAGCTGGGGTTTCTCTTACGGTCTGCTCGATGTGTGAGTCTCACAGCTACTGGAACATACTTTAGTAGTGAGAGTTGAAGCTGACCTCGGACCCCCTCTTCATCCGACGCAGCCTGAACAAGCATTTCCAGACGTTCTTCGGCATCACCAAGCTCCAGTCGACCCTCATTCAGGTCGCCTACTTCGGTGCTTACGTCGTCTACTCGCCCGTGTGCGGCCAGTTCATCTCCAAGTTTGGTTACAAGAAGGGTATCTACATGGGTCTTTCGTTGTACTGCATCGGCGCGCTCGGCTTCTGGCCGTCGGCCAAGTTTGAAAAGTACGGTGGCTTCGTCGCTTCCGCCTTCGTCATCGCCTGCGGTCTCGCCACCCTCGAGGTCTGCGCCAACTCGTACGTCACCGTTCTTGGTTCGCCCGAACAGGCCGCGTTCCGCCTCAACTTTTCGCAATCTTTCAATGGGCTCGCATCGTTCGTCGGCCCTTTGATCGCGTCCAAGTACTTCTTCGGTGACGAGGCGACGCAACACTCGCTCGGCAACGTCCAGTGGGTCTACCTCGCGGTCGCGTGCCTCGGCGCTTCGGTTATGGTCCTCTTCTTCTTCGCTACGTTGCCCGAAATCTCCGAGGACGACATGAACGCGCAGCAGGCCGCCGCCGGTTATGTCGATGACCGTCCCCTCTACAAGCGCCGCCACGCCGTCCTTGGCTTCGTCGTCCAGTGGATGTACGTTGGTGCCCAGGTCACACTCGCGACTTTCGTGCTCAACTACCTCACCGACAAGCACGACTTTACGACCGCACGCGCGTCGCAGCTCTTCTCGTTCATGCAAATCACCTTCATGGTCGGTCGCTTCGCCTCGACCCCGCTCTTGCGCTTCTTCAACCCCGCCACGATCCTGACCGTCTACGGTGCGATGTGCTCCATCTTCACGCTCGTCGCCGCGCTCAAGGGTGGCAAGGTTGGTCTCGCGTCGCTCTTCATCGTCTTCTTCTTCGAGTCGGTCTGCTACCCTACGACGTTCACGCTCGCGACGAGCAACCTCGGCAAGTGGACCAAGCGAGGTGGTTCGCTCGTCGTCATGGGTGTCGGAGGAGGTGCCATGTTCCCTCCTATCCAAGGTGCGATGGCGGACAAGACGGGCACTCAGCTCTCTTACGCCATCCCCTTCATCGGCTTCCTGTTCGTCTTCGCCTACGGTCTCGGCATGAGGTGGTACACGGCCAAGTTCGAGCAACAGCTGCTCAACACCGAAGCCGAAGCCGGTGTCCCCACCTTGAACCGCACCGAGTCGGAAAAGGCATCGGTCGACGAGGTTGAGAAGTTTTAGAGGGTCGTAGTCCCTCACGGGTTCAAAGGGTCTTTCTAGGGGTTCATCTATGCGCTTTATCAGTTTCGGGCTCTTCTCGCATCGCAGTACATTCTTAATGTTTTTTTTCATAGACGCAATACAATGCGCGGGCTGCACATACATATACCACAGCGGTTGCCATCACACAAGAGAGCAACCTTAATGCAACAGGGTAGCTGAAGCGATATGTGATTGCCTACCATGGTAAGTCTTGCTGCTGCGATGATGCTGACAGTCCGGTGATTTGACGTTTTATGCAAGAAGACATGCTTGGTCGAATGAGTCTTGAAAAACTAGACGTGTTATGACATTCTCTGGCCTATACGGACTGCACTGCTCCGGACCCCACCCTCGTAAAAGTCGCGAGGAAATGGCCCGAATCTGACTTGCCAGGCTTTGCCTTGGTTTGCCGAGGTGGGGCGACCCCCACCTCAGCCCACCTCGTGCCTCCTCGTGCCGTGGTCTGCCGTGGTGCCTGCGGTTCCGTCTCTCCGCGCCTTTGACTCCGTCGGCTGTGAGTTCGCACGGCGGCGCGTCGTTGATCACCTTTATACACTCCGCAGCCGCCCGAGTTCGTCCGCTAGGTTCCGTAGGCATGTCGTTCTCAACGATGCAAGTGATACGGACTCTGCCTCGCGTTCGACGCTCTACAGCGTCACCAGCGACATGTGTTCTCAGGCGAATCGCATGCTGCCCCACGACGACGAAGACAGCTGTTCGACCCTTCCACACGACACTAGCCGCTCGCAAGTCCCCGTCGACAGAGCTTGTCGAGCCGGGAAGGAAGGATGTCTCGTCCAATGAGAATTCGACCCCACAGGATAAGCCGAGAGCGGAACATGCCGTCATCAGCGCGTTTGGTACGTGGACGATTGGTTCGACGCTCATGCCGACAGCAGGCGCTCTGGGGTCGAGCTGATAAGGATTTCCGCCTAGTGATATATCCCCGGATGTTTGCATGCCCGCGTGTCCGACGTGGTCTCTGACAACGTCTGTTATGATAATGCCCACACAGATTTGTTTTCCATCGGTGTCGGGCCGAGCTCCTCCCATACAGGTGGGTGCATAGGTTGATCCTCTTTCGCCCGATAGGAGCTGACCTGCTCCCCCCACTAAACCATATAACCGCTCGCCCCTAACTGCACTGTTGCTCTATCGGGTCTCAGTTGGACCTATGCGAGCAGGAAAGATTTTCGTCGAGGACCTCAAAGAGCTTGGGCTTTTGAAGGATGTGCACAAGCTCAAGATCGGGCTGTACGGGTCACTGGCCGCGACGGGCAAAGGTCACATGACACCGCAGGCCGTTGTCCTCGGTCTCGAAGGCGAGGATCCGGAAACGATCGAGTACGTGCTTCGGGGCCGGAGAGCCTGTAACCAGCTCTGACGATTCTGATGCTCATCATTCGCACCTCCTGATGGACAGGCCTTCGACGATCCAATCGCGGTACGCCTCGATTTTGAAGACACATCACTTGACCTTAGCCGGCGAGCACTCCATCGTCTACGATCAGGACAAGGATATGCTATGGCGGAATGAGCCATTGCCGACCCATCCCAACGGAATGAGGTACGCTTCGACTGTCTCGCTTGGAAATGAAGACTCGGCTAACGCACCGAAAAATCTTCACGTCGCAGGTTCTCGGTTTATGCCAAGACAGGCGACTTGCTGGCCGTGAACGAGTACTTTTCAGTTGGTGGTGGTTTCGTTGTTAACGATCAGACCAAAAGTTGGTCCAAGAGCATATGCAAGCGTGGTTGGGATCAGCCTGACAGCTGACTCTGCTTTCCCTTGCAGTCGACGAGAACCTGTACTATCGGGCCGTGAAGAAAAAATCGGCCTCGTCGGCGCGGAGGGAGCAGACCCACGGTCTGGAGACAAACAGCAAGACCCAGGCATTACCCGCCCCTGGACAAGAGCCAAGTGCCGAAGAGGATGGATCGAGACCGACGGGACCTAAGCAGCCACCATTCTTGTTCAGGAACGGGGCAGAGCTCTTGGCGATGACGAAGAGACACAACGTCCGTTTTCTCTCTTTCTCTGAGGTCGCAAGTTTCCTCGATGAGGTGTTAATTCATGGCCGTTCCAATCCAGCTGACCATCGCTCAACTGGTGTGGGAGAACGAACGGAGCGCAATGACGAGCGAGGAGATTTCCGAAGGGCTAATGAAGGTGCGGCCGAGTAATTGCGCAATGTGCCACCTGTGAACTCACACGAATTTTCTTCCCCGCGCTCAGCTATGGCGCACAATGGACGCTTCGATCGCTCAGGGCGTGGCCTCGACAGAACTCAAGCTGCCGGGAGGACTCGGTGTTCGCCGGAGAGCTCCTGGTAGCTAAGCATTTTTCCTCCTCAAACGTCTGAGCGAGCCCATCACTGACGGCCTTCCATCGATAACAGGGCTCTACAGACGTCTTTTCAAAGGCTTCTACCCTTCCCTATCCCCATCCGAGCCTTCCCAATCCGCCCTGCCACCAGCAGCTCCTTCCTCGACTCTTACCATGGCCTCCGGGTTCAATTCGGAACCGCCGCCTGAAGCCATCACTCGACTACCGTCCGGCTCGATCCGGAGGACACCGTTAGTCATCGGCTCGTTCGAACATGAATTGGCGCCCATCCCGTTCAAGAAGGCTGTGTTCCCCGGGATCGATTTCTTGAGCTGTTACGCGATTGCTGGTGAGGACCGTGATGTCATGGAAGGTCAAGGAAACGCTGCGAAGTGCTGACATTTTGCTCTTCGTGGTCCGAACAGTCAATGAGACCAACGCAAGTGGTGGTAGAGTGGTTACCAGTCCGACATTGGTAAGCCATTTGGGCCTTTCTGAGAACTGCTCCCTAGAAATCATGATACTGATGTCCAAGTTTGGTCGCGGTGCCACCAGGGTGCCGCTGGAGTGATCCCAGCCGTTGGCAAATACATTGTCGAATTCATCTCGGACGACCCCGAAGGAGATATCAAGACCTTCCTGCTGACGGCCGCGGCAGTGGGGATGCTGTACAAGCGAGGAGCAACCATTTCAGCCGCGGAAGGAGGATGCGTGAGTCTGACTGACACCCCGGCATCACGGCAGTGAGCGTCTTCGCTAATGGCAATTATCGCATACTCTGTAACCTACGTGAGCAGATGGCCGAAGTTGGCGTTGCGAGTTCAATGGCGGCCGCTGGGTTTACAGCTTGCATGGGAGGTCAGTGATCACCGCGTGTCGAAAAATTCTCGAAGCCCGTCTCAGGACCTGATAATCCTCAATCAAACTGGACCGCCGTCAGGCTCACCTCAACAAATTCTCCAAGCCGCCGAAATCGGGATCGAACACTCCTTGGGTCTCACCTGTGACCCTCACGAAGGGTTGGTCCAGGTGCCCTGCATCGAACGCAACTCGATAGGTGCTGTCAAAGCCGTCGCGGCTGCGCAGTTGGCGTTGGCTTCGGACGGGAGACATTCGGTCTCGTTGGATGAAGCGATTGAAGCGATGGTGAGTGCTACCTTCCTCATAGCCCTGTATTCATTGAGACTAATAACGATCGTGTATATTTATTCATTCAGCGGGTAACAGCAAGAGATATGGTAAATAGCCTCCCGCTGGCCGGATTCCTGGCGTGCTTAGTTGATGGGTTTTACTCGTCTCCCGCAGCACACACACTACAAGGAGACATCGATGTCGGGACTAGCCGTAGGTCGCGCTGTTCTAGCCCAGTGTGAAGACAATCATCTGATCGGGGACTTCTCTCACACGCAGACCTCTGTTCGGATTCCTCTCTCCTCGCCGGCTTGCTAATGTTTGCACTATAAGCGGAGACCTCTACGGATGGAACTGTAGAACGATGATCCTGCGCCTTGTCTATGATTGCAATAACAAATTTGTTTCTGATTGCGATAACAATGCTCCTTCCAAGTGGCACCTCCATCGAGTTCAGTTCGATCATAGCTCGTCCTTGCCCGGGCCGACGACCGTGTCTTGGACATGCTCCCCAACGGGCCTCAACTCGACCTTTTCACCCTCGTCACTCTTCTCCTTGACGAACGCGTCCAAATCCTCCTTTTGGCCCTTGGCCTGACCCAACTCATCCGCCTTACCACCGAACACTCCCACCCCTTCATCCTTCTCCATCCCACCAGTCTGTGTCTGTTCCGCCGCGACCCTCTTCGCCAACGCAGCGACCTCATCATCGTAAACGGTCCACTCGGGTATCAACCTCTTTGCCCTCCTCAACTTGGGTTCATGAGTCAATGGGTTATTACAAAGATCGATCGTCTTGGCCTGCGCGAGCGAAGCGTCCGAACACCACGTCTCGCACCATAACCAAGATTGATCGAGCGTGTAGATCGGGATTTGGTCCTGCATGTTATTGGGCAGATCTTGGTCGAGGTTCGCTAGTGAGTTGGGGTCGGCGGAGAGACCTTGGTATTGTTGACGTAGACGGTCGCCGGCGGCCATGGCGCGGAAACGATCAAGGTCGATGACGTATAAAGCTGAGATGTGGTAAGGCTTGCCGCGGAGATGGTCTGGAGTCAAGATGATCGAATTAGCATTGAGGTCTGTGTACAAGGCTCTGCGGGGGCCGATTCACCTCTCCAATAGCCTGACTTCCAGAATCGGAAGCGGTCCATCTCGGCTCGATCGTCTCCCATGGGAGTGTAAGCGTCTGTAAAGGAAGTACCACCTCGTCAGCAACGCGGTCGAACAGAAATGAAGTCGGCAAAGGATTTGGTAAAAGGACTGACAAGGTGCTCCTTGAAGATCAAGATCGACCAATTGCTTCAAGTCCGTCCGAACGATCTGCGAGAGACATCTCACAGGGTCAGACCACGAGAATGAAAACCCTTACTTACCCCTCACTCAAGCACTGACCTGATCCGAATCGACAAAGATGACCCTCTCCAACTCGAGCGGGAACAGCACGTCCAAGAATAAGATCTTGTAACCCCAAATGGTCCTCTGTTTCTCCGTCTGGGCCCTCAACCAATGCGGCCACTTGTACGTCACCAACTCGTATTCGAACCCATACTCTTTCGCGAGATGAGGGATGAAGGCTCGGAAGGAAGGTGAGAGGAAGTTTTGAATGAACCAGAACTTGACGGTCGATTGAGTGTGTCGCATGACCGAGACGACCATGAGGAAGGCCATGCGTTCGTACAAGAGCCCCGAAGCGACGGTAAAGACATTGATCTCGGCTTTTTTCTTGATCGCGAGCTCGGACTTGCGCAAGAAGGGGAACCTGCATAGTGAGAAGGGAGGCCAAAGTTCAGCGACTCCCGTCAAGATCAAGCTCCTATCGGATTGCGCACGTACAAATTCTTGACCCGATCAACAACACTCTCCTGTGGGCCCTTCGTCGCCACACCCTTGTCCGTATCATCCAAAAGCTGCGTCATCTCATGCCCCTTGTTCCTCTTGAACCTGGGGAACAACGTCACCCCTTCGAAAGTCGTCACGAGGATTTCATCACCCGCTTCTTCGACGCTTCGGGAGTTCCAGCCTTCGGCGCCGGTCGTTTCGATCGAGTAGACTTGAGAACTTTTGCCTTCCCTGATAGCGAGGCGCCAGGGTCCGGGACTGGCTTTGAATTGGAAATAGCCTAGGTTGGCCATGACGATCGTACTGCGGGTCATCGTCATCAGAACATCCATCACATGTCGATCAGCTCCGTCGTACCACCACTAGGCCCAAGAGCGAACCTATCCTAAACTCACTCGACTCGGTGTTGGTCCTCCTCCCCCGTCCCCTCCTTCACCAACTCCAGCTGCAGTCCCCTAGGCGGTGTATTGCCCGGCGTCTCCCTCGCATGCCCCTCCACCACCAAATTCTCCAGCTCGAATTCGGCGTCGACGCCTGCCTTCCTCGCCCAAAGCGGCAAGTCCTTCAACCGAATGTTATCAAGATCATGGACCGATTTCTTCGGGAACGCTAGCCAGGCTTTTGGTGTATCCATGGCGAAAGTGAAAAGGACGTCTTCGGGGAGGTCGGTGAATTGGACCTGTGGGGGTTGTTCGCGGCCCGTGGAAGGGTCGAATTGGGGTGAGGAAGCAAAGGTGAAAGCGTAGAACCTCTTGATAGGTAGATCCTGATGATTCTTCATCGTAGGGATCAGGTGAACTCTCAAATGTACCGACTCGAGTTTCGAAAGCGTTTCGATAATCGGCGCCCATCGTTGAGCCAATTCCGTCGCAGGGTCGACCACCACAGCGATTTCAAACATCGCTTCCTCCTCATTCGGACCAATGATCGCCGAATGCTCAGCTTGGAACTCGAGATAATCCCTCGATCGTTCGATCGACTCTTCGCCCGCTAGACCACCTGATGGATCGACCTCGTACGCTTGGGCAATGACCGACGTCGCGAGCGCGACCATGTGAGCCCAACTCGATCGATCGAGTGATTGGAGGTCCAAATCGACGCTACGTAACGCTTCAACGACGGCATCGATCCTTTCCTCTCGTTCGTACGAGACCAAAGCTTCCAAATCCGCGATCGTCAGATCATCCTTCCTCAATGGCCCCACCACACGACCATTGATGACGACCCCCGATTGACCCCTTTCGAACCCAAAACGTTTGGCCATCACCATCGCCGAAGTCCACCATTCCCGAGCCAAGATCGACGTCTTGTGATTCGCACCGAGTTTGACGTGCTTCTTGATGGGGTTGTCGTCGTCCCATAAGCTCAATATGAGTTGACTGACGTCGTCGATATTGGTTTGGTTGATACCGAGGCGAACGAAGCGAGAGAGTTCGGAAGGTAAGAGTTCGACCAATTCGTCGTCGGCGTGCAAGAGGTAAATCAAATTCGAGACAGCCCAACGCGAAGGGAACTCTTGCTCGTCGTCGAGTGCGGGGTTATGGAGTAGACTGACCCTCGCTTCAGGGTGAGCTTGAACGTATTCCAACGCCGTGTGAACGAGTTGGCGTCCGTCACTCGAATCTAAATCCGCCACGACATGAAGGCTGACGACTTGATCCAACTCGAGGCCCTCCCCGAGCTCTGACCCTTGCTCATCCTCCAAAGAAGGTGCCGCCTCGATCCACGTCCCTTCAACAAAACCCCTCTCAACCCCCTCGAGCACCTCCACAAGGTTCACCACCTTCAAAGGATTGGCCTCACTCGTGAACACGAACCGATTCCTCCTCTTGTGCGTTGTCGGAAGGTCATAAAAGAAATTCTCCACGTCCGTCTCCGAGGTGAGTTTTCCGAAATAGACCTCTTGTTGTTCGTATTGAACATGCGCGGATAAGGTTTGTTGCAAGTGTTGGGTCCATTCCTATTGGGAGAAGGACACGTTCAGTTCGTTTGATCAGTGAACTGAAGGTCCAAATCCGTCGTTCACAGAAGGAGAGCGATTGATTCACCTCATCAAACTCAAAGAAAGCGCCATTGATCAAGAACGCCCCAACCGAGCTCGCTTCATCGCTCCCCGCGACACCCAATCGTTTCGCATAAGCTCTTGCCTTGTTGACCCGTTCCACCCCAATCGGTAATTCAAGGACCTGTGCGAACGACGCCAACGGTCCGCCGGAAAGGTGCGTGTTCTCCAACATGAACGTTTCGTACGTCTTGCGTAGATGAGGGGTGGTAACGCGGTCTGTATGAAGGGTGTCGAGGAGCTGGTGGGAAATCACATCATAGTCAGCAAAAGAAAGGCACCTTGCACTCTCCGCTGCTTGGACCCCAACCTCACCTGTCCCAAGAGCCTCATCGTCCCCCCTCGCCCAATCGCCTCCGTCAAATACCAAAACATCTTCGCCAACGTCTCCTCCGCACTCTCTGCCCCATCCTGCCCTCCACTTTGGCCCAACTTGGGCACCAACCCAAACTTTATCGGGATTCCCCTCGAAACAAAGTTTTGAACCTGCCTCGTCAAAAGTTGCAGTGTCGCAGGTTGGGTAAGGTCGAGTATGAATACGGCTTGATTGAGGTTGAGCGCGACGTTGTTCATTTGTCCCGGGTAGGTGGGTTGTAAGAGCTGTGCCACAAAATGAATTAAAAAAAAGCAAGGTATAGATCAGCCATTTCGAAGCCCCTGCGATGATCCATACGCGCTTCCCCTCTCGCAACGCACTTTTTTCAAATCCTTGCCCCAACTCTGATACTTCTTATCCTTCTCCAAATCGTTCCACCAAAACACCACTCCCCTACCTTCGTCCCGATCACTCGCATCGAACAATTGACCTAAAACATGACTCGAAACCCTACCCGAAGGTTCGGTGATGATTTTCGCACCTCGTTTCATCGCTTTGGAAATCGAAGGGTTCATGATGAGGCCTCGAGCTTGAAATGGGGAGATTTCGAAAAGGGGAAGATCGTCTTCGTTGGCGTTCGCAAGGAGATGTTGGAGTTGGGTTAAGAACTTGCGTTCTTTTCTCATCAACCTGACTAGAACGAAGGGATCGACTTGCGCTTCGGGGATCAAGAGTCCGTTCAATTTGAAGGAGGGGTGCAGACCCGTTGGTAGAAGACTGTTCGTCTGGATCTCTTGTAATAAGTCGATTGGGACGGTCGGAACGAGGGAGGAGAGTTTGGAAGCGAGGAGGGGGAAGGAGGAGGTGAGGCGCGTGAAGGCGCTCAAGGGTGAGGGGTCGGAGAGAATGTAGGAAGTTGATCGAACGCCGAGGAGAGGGATGTCCTTTTTCTTGATGGGCTCCATCTTGATCGCTTCGGAGGAATCGATCGGTTCGTCAGTGGCGGCGTCGTGGGCCGCTTCGCCCGAAGTCAGTCGATCATCAATGGCGAGGTAGTCGGATTTCTTGATGTCCAATCCTGCTCCATAGCCACTCAACACCAACGGTTCGTCCGCAGACCCAGCGGCTGACTTCCATCTCAACGCATATTCGATCCGAGGCGGTTCTTCAATGGCGAGACGGGTGAGCAGTTCGTACCACTCGATAAAGGCCGGTGACGAGGGCGAGGCGTAAAAGATGACGAGTGGGGGTGGGGCCGAGGTCGAGGTCGAGGTAGGTGGTCGGGGTGAAAGGTGGTCGAAAGGGTACAATTTGGGTCGGTTCGAGCTGTTGCTAAAATAGGGTGGGACATGCACGCAAAGGATCAGAATCTGCGCTGCGCGGTGCCCCCCTCCCCCCCCCCCCCCCCCCCACATGGCCCCCACTTTAGACTGCGCGCGCAGACGTACCCCGTGTTGGGCAAGGACAATCCCCCTTTTGCGTGCCTTTGTTCCTCTCCTAGAACCTTCCAAAACTCTGCAACCGAACATAGCCTATATCCACCGACTTGGACCCAATTATCACATTCGGACGGCGGCGCCTCGACGAGCACAGGCGGCGTCGTCGTCGAGGCCCAAGCCCTCTTAGCCACGACCTCCATCGCCTGCAACCTTACGCTCGCCTCTTTCAAGCCCATCGCCAACCCCAACGACTCGACCAGAGCGTTCGAATGACTCGGATGCTTCTGGTCGAGAAAGTGCTGCAATTGATGCGAAAGCACGGCCCAAGCTCGGGAGGGGTCGTGCGCGGTGGCGGAGGAGGAGGAGGAGGAGGAGGATGATGATGTGGTGGGTGAGGTTGTGAGAAGGGTAGATGCGTTGGATTGGATGAGGTGGGTTAGGAAAGGGTGCAGGAGGTGTCGGTCTTCGGTGGCGAGCGATTCGCTGCGAGAAAGGGCAAAACGTCGTTTTTCACCGGTGTTCAATTTCGAGTTTCACCAGCGTGACCAGCGTCACCAGGGCCACATGCGCCAGAGGATCATAACTCACAGGTACTGTACGACCAACGACGACCCCACCCACGGCGTCTTGATCCGAGCCTGGACCGAACGAGCCCCGCCCGAGCTCGACGTCGACGACGGACTGCCAGCAAGACAGATCTGCATCACCGACACCCAACCCAGAACGAGGACAAGCATCATCAAGCGCGTTGTCGCCGTTATCCGCTGCCGGTAAACTGTGGACGAACGAGGTCCAAAAGCCATGACTGTACCGCGTGTACGAGGCGGTTGGCGCCGTTGAAGCCGAGTGTCGGAGCTGAGCGCTGGCGCTGAGCTGAGCAACGGACACCGAGTGACGCGGATCACGAGCACGCGCGAGCGAGGCAATATGCGATTAGAATACGGAAGCTAATACGCAATTGGCGGCTGGCTGTATGCGGTTGCGCGGGCGAGAGGCAGCCAGCCATCGCGCGGAGCGAACGAACGCCCCAAGTCACGCACTCAATCCTCAATCCTCCATCCCTCATCCTCGACCTATCCCCGTCACCCCGTCACCCGTCACCCCGTCACCCCGTCACCCCGTCACCCCGTCACCCCGTCACTCGGGACCCCTGGTTCACCTCAACCCGCAACGTCTCTTGGTCATCTCGCCACTGTATCACAGCTCAGGAAACGGTCACGACGGAGCAACGCCGGTAGAGTGTCTGAGCTTCGTGCGAGAGAGAGACTGTGTGTGTTTGTGAGAGGGCACGAAGGGGTGTTGATCACAAAGTGAGTAGTACAGCCTCTCCCGAATGAACCTCACCGCTTGCTCACCGAGCTGACCCTGTCCCTTCTACAGTGAGCGCCTTAACCGCCTACGTCGACAGTCCGTTGGCCATCCTCCCGCTCTCTTCCGTGCCCCCTATCCTTTAGCACCACCCCTGACCCATTCTCATTTCCCTTCTCCTCACAGAACGCGTCCTCGTCATCACCCAAGACGGTCGAACAATAGTAGTACGTCCACCCCCCACCCGACCTCTTTCCCTCCGTCTCCTCGAACCCTGAACAAACCCTCCTCTCCCTTTCTTTCCTTCCTCAGGGCACCTTCGCCGGTTTTGACCAAACGACCAACATCATCCTCTCCTCCTCAACGGAAAGGATCTACTCGCTCGAAGAAGGTGTCGATGAACAAGCATTGGGCTTGTTCGTCGTAAGAGGGGATAATATCGTACGTTACGAATACGAAACATTCTAACCCGAATAACCACCTAAAACCTGCATTTCATTCTAACCCCCCCCCCCCCCCCCCTCTTCTTCCCATCATCGTTTGTTCAATCCCCCATCTCGAATCGGATCCTCTCTTCGCACTGTTTTTCTCGTAACTTTCATATCAACGCTAACACGCGTCGTCGCCGATCGCGTAGACGTTGATCGGTGAATTGGACGAAGTAGCGGACAAAGCCGTCGACCTCTCGACCGTTCGTGCAGAACCGATACAGGAGATCGTACACTAGAAGATTCCGAATTTCGTACTCTTTCGACAATCGTTCCTGGATAGGCACGGCACCGTCGTCGGAAAGGGAGATGGGACCGAATGGAAAGGGAAGGGGAGAGCGGTGATGACTACACGGAAGATGATGAGGAACTTTCGCAAAGACTGAACTGAATTTTTTTAGTGTATAATAATTACAAATGTTTCTACAAGATTTCGCGGATGAAGGTGAAATTGATGACCATGATGGGAATTCAACAACGAGTCGAGAATGAGAGAACAGACGGTACAAAATTGCAAGTGGGGTCTCATCTCGCAACGCCCCAACAACACGGCATACCACCATCAATTGACAGATAACAACGTCATATGCAATAGATAAACAGAGCACCCAACCCGAGCAAAATATGTACACAAGAGCTGAACGACGATGCACAACCGCAACAAAGCAGAATCGTGTACAGGCATGCTTGAAGTCGTTGCGAACTATACAGAATATGTGGAGAGCCACACCCATTTTAGCCTCTGTCGTGAGCACAGGTGGACTGAGAGTTGGAATGCCACTCACCGAAGAGAGAAATAATCGTTTAGCGAGAGGAACCGGACGCCCCAGGGGCCGGGAAACGACGCGAAGCCGAAGTAGGATCGTACGTCAAGTCGCTCGCTCCCTTGGGATGACCAGCACTCGGAGGCAAGCCGCTCACTTGAACGACCGGGTGAGTGCTGATCGTCGTCGAGTGGCCACGGCCCGCAGTCACAGCTGGAGCAGGGCCGCCGCTGGCACTTTGAAGGACGGAAACGGTATCCTTGGCTGCAAGAGGCGCAGCGTAGACGGTTTCGGGGCGCTGGCTCTGGAGGTTCATCATCGAAACTGGAGCACTCGAGTGAGGATTGAAGAGGTCTTGTCCGGTGCTCGATGAGCTCGAGGTAGGGTGCTTTTGAGAGCCCACAGCGTCTCCTTGTCCGTGCATCGTGGCCGTCGTTGCCGAGCGAGTCGAGCCAGACGCAGTCTATGCAGGTCAGGAAGTCAAACCGCTTCGGTCAGATGATGTCAATAAACTTGAATCAAATTACCTCACATCAACAACCGCATCCTGGGTCGAGGGAGCGGCGCCGGAAACCTGTTGGGCAGCCGACGAGGTCGCATAGACCATCTTGTCCAAGTTGGCGTCGCGAGCAGTCTCACCCGCCTTGGTCCCCGTGGCGCTAGCCCCTTGCATCGTAGAGTAGGAGGTCATGTTGTTCTCTTCCCCTTCGTGACGTTGTTGTTGGGGTTGTGGCGGTGGACCCGAATTGCCGGAGCGACCACTGGGAAGGTAGGATTGGATCGACTCGGGGAGATAGGAGTACGCTGTGCTCGTCACGGACGAAACGAGACCAGCATCACCACCACTCTTGGACTTGTCGAGACCGTGCTGCATCGTCTCTTGGGTGCGAGTCGCCGCATCGGAAGCCATGCCAGACCCCGACTGTGCGACATTGCTCATAGCCTCACGTGAAGATTGACCGATCTCTCGGGCCTTTTGGGTAGCACCGGACGCGATCGAGCTTGCCATCTCTTGAGCCTGGCTCGCGGTCTGGGTGAGGATGGGCCCGAGTTTTTCGGCAGCGACGAGAGGAGCAGTGGCCGCCACTGCAACAAATATAGAACCATCCGACAGATTGAGCAACGAGAAGATGAACCACAGCACTATACCACGGTAAAAGAGTGGGACTTACTTCCCGCGAAACCCGTGACGACATTGGTGAGGCTCGCTTCGGTCTCGTTGAGCTGCTCGGCCGGCTTGGGCGCGACGAGCGCCTCACCCACGCGGCCAACCTTCTCCGATACTTGATCCTTGATCTCGGTCATGCGTTGAGTCGAGGACGAGCCTTGTGGTTGCGATTGATCGAGCGAGTGAGCTTGATGAGGCTTGAAGACAGGCTCGATCGTAGTGGTCGTCGTGGTGCCCAGCTTGGCTTGCTCGATCACGGCTTCGTGGTGGGCTTGGAAGGCCTTGGCCTGAACATCATCTCGGGAGAGGGACATCGCTGAAGATAGTCGAGAATATGCAAGTGGGTGAACCAATGAGTGAAGGATGAGGCGAGGGGTGCTTGCTGTGGGAATTGATAGAGCACACTACCACGACGAGGTATGAGAAGAAAGGAGCAGAGGCGACCGTCCCCAGTCAACTGAAGCGAAGCGAGCGACCGTCATCTACCGTCATGGTGACGTAGTTGGCTTCCCGCCCCAGCGTCGTCGAAGCACTGTTGCGGCTCTTCGACGCAGCATTCTTGTGCTTCTTTTTTGATCTTGAAAGCACTGATTTTCAGCGATTAGGATATGTCCTCCAAAACCTGGTCATCGCGATGGGAACGATGTTGAAACAGCTGAGCGAACAGCTTCGGAGGGAGCCAGAAGAGCTTGAATAGGGGACCCCCGCCGCCGATATCGTGTGATAAATCTAGGATAGTTTCAAAAAATCGTCCGAAGCGCTCAACTACGAGATCGAAGATGTTCGCCTCGTGTTGAATAATTTTCAAATAATTTTCTAAAATTGCAACCAACGCAGCTGATGAGGCGAGCGGAGGGTGACTCCTCGACTTGTTTCCTGATCGCGGCTCGCTTCGGCAGGCCGAGTTTAAGAATCCGCGGGGGCCGTCAGCGTCAGCCGTCTCTGCTCCCTCTCGATTTCTCGATCACCCCGGGCACGGCCATCTCGGAAACGGAGGTCTTGCGCAACCTCAGCCACCAAAAACAGCTCCTGTGGCCTTGACTGAGCGTGGCAGCCTCAGCGAGGCCTGTCGCAACCGGTCGAGATAATTGTGAGGCCGACGCTCGCTCCTCTTCAAGCTTCCCTCTCACCTTCCCAAGCCTTGGTCGCTGGCCCTCAGCCTCCCTCTTGTTTCTGCCCCCCTTCTCCTTCAGATCGAGCGTGTCGAGCTCGCGAAGAGGCCAGTCGGTCGATCAACTCTCGATACGGTGCAAGGGCCCAAGCCATAAGGAAGCAGCCGCAGGGGACGAGTTTGATCGAGCCTATAGCAACGTGACGATCCGAACTGACCTGGTAATGCCTATCAATTCGATTCGACTCAGAAACATTTTCATCATCACACAGGGTCGATACGATCTCAATGTTTCACCTCCTCGACCACCAGGTCTTCCATCGTCAGCCAGGCGCTCCGAGTTAGCGGGTTACACGCCCCTTAGTTCGCCAGACCGAGTAATAGAGCAAGTCGCGCTAGACCAACTTGACATCACCGGTCACAACCGACCTTTGTCTGTCTCAAGTATTGGTTTTGATACCTACCCCGCATCATCGTCAAGCCACTGGTCCTCCACGTGCGACACCAGTCCCGAAAGTTCGCCGCTGCTTCGATTCGGCGCCGACGGCTTTTACTGCACGAGCTTCCAATCGAGCCCCGCCACAACGATCGATATGCCCCTTCCAGGGTCTCCACCCCCCGTCAGACGTCATAGCACAGATTCACCCGAGATAGCTGCACCCGACGGCTTCTTCTCTGTCGTCGGCTCGCTGCTTGACCACCCACTCTGTCGCTCCATCGTCAAGAACTGCCGCGAGCAGTTCAAAACTTCGAACGCCATACTCGCCGTCGCCGATCATGATCGACTCGTCTACCTGGCTACCAGCAACGTCAAAGACGGTGAAGTTCTCTCCGAATCAGTGCTACCCTTTCATGCTACTATCTGTGCGCACACTGCCTTGAACCAGACCCGAGGGCTGGTCGTCCACGACACGGCGAGCGATTGGAGGTAAGTGCTGCGGCCGCCAAGGATTCTCAACACTGCTCTCCTATCGGAAGGCCCTTTTTTCACCCTCCTCCTTTGTTCTAGATTCAAGGACAGCCTGCCAGCTACCCAACTCGGGGTACCCTTCTACGCCGCCATTCCCCTCACCGTTCCGCGTCTGCTCGTGGACCCGTCATCTCGTCGAGTTGTGATTGGATCGCTTTGCCTCGTCCACCATGAGCCTCGGCCTCATTTCGCTCACCAAGATCTCGAGATTCTGTGAGTCGATCTGGGAATTCTTTCGGGTTTGTTACTAATGTGGTGCCCTCGAACAACTCGCAGACGGGGCTACGCCGACTCGGCTTCTCGAGAGATCGAAGACTGGGTTAGGAAGCGCCTTCTGTGAGAAGTATGGAGGACTGGATCCCGACTCAAGGGGTTGAGTACGAGCGCAAGATCGAGGATGGAAGATGGATGAAGAAGGAAGAGAGACGAGTGCCCGCGAGGCGCGCGACTTCAACCCAAGCCAACGTGTCAACCGAGTCTCGATCAGGCGCTGGGATCCGGCGTAGAGGGTAATAGGCTAAAGAAGGAGTGCAAAGTAGGAGTGCAATAGTGGCATGAGAAGTAAATAGAATTAAAAGAGAATCAGTATGATTGGGTTCTGACATAACACAGGTCCTTGCAACTTGATCGCTACTTCGACCACTTCAGGCACCAACTCGACCCTCTAACCACTTCTAGCATGGACACGACGGAGACGGTGATCTATGATTTCGTCGTGCACACGATCAAGTCATCACTCCGATTCGAGCTCGTCTACCTCCTATCGCTCGAAAGAATGCCCTAATGGCCCGACCTGCCGGTGAAGCAGGCCGTGCTCGCCGCGCAGCCACCCGGGTTTGCGCCTTGCAAGCTGGTCAGTCGCCAGACTCACATCGACGCCCTGCGAGGTGACGAGAATGGGTTACAGTACGATGGAGAAGATGACGATCATTCCGATCCGCCGACTTCTTCCGAGGGGTCACCCAAGCGCATCCAGGTCGCAAGGGGTTTGCTATTGCCCGTCGTGGTGAAGAGCGAGGAGACGGGCATCATTCTGGGCGCTTTCTCGTGGGATCAGCGAATGAGACTGATGACGGAAGATGTCATCTTTGTCAAGCGGGTCGTTCGAGCGGCGGTCACGTGCCTGGAGGGAAAAAAGGACCCGGCTGTTGCACCCGCCTGAATGACTGGCACGTGACGCTTCACTTGCCCGAGGGGATCAATACGATAGGGCCGATGAACGGGCCTGCGCTTGCTGATGGCTAGGTCATATATATATACCTTAATATAATTCAACCTAGACCATATCTTTTATATCGCATGAAATACACGTTACCCAGCTGACAAAAAGGTCGACGCGATTCGGATACCAGATGGAGAGAAACAAACTGAAAATTACAAGTATACACGCCACTTTTTTTTTGTGTTTATTTTGATTTGACTATACAGAATCAAACTCACGAATCACTAGATAAATAGAGATAAAAGTACTTTGAGACCAAGGAACAAACACACACAAACACACCTCTATCTTCACACTCGACACCCGATACCTCCCCGCTCTCCTTTCCCCGCCTCTCGTCTTCAAACCTCGACCTTGATAAATCGCTTCGGAGCCTCCTCCTCGTCCTCCTCCTTTCCCGCAAACAGCGAGTGGTGCGGGCATCTTTCCTTATAGCCGACGTACTCGAGCTCATCCGAGATTTGGTACCTGAGGCTTTGCGCAGCGGCGTCGATCAAATCTTGATGGCGGTCAGTGTCGTTGGTAGGACACTTGACCACGGCTTCGACTTGGATCGAAAGGCGGCGAAGGAACGTTTCGTAGCGGTGGCAACGTAGAGCGAGCGATGAATGGTCAGGATAGAAGTCGAAGACGGTGGTGAGGTCCTTGGTGAAAGGCTTGACGTGGTGGTACGATCGTCGATGGCACTCGAAGTCGTGGATGAGTCGAGCGAGTTCCGGGACAGGGGGTGGAGTCTCGGAAACGACGGAATACGTATCGTCGTCGTCCATGTCCATGACTTGCAAGTCGATGATGCTGGCTTCGAGCTTGAAGGCATCTTCTTGTTCTTCCACTTTGACGTGCCATAGCTTGTCCTCGGGGTCCGCTGGGCTCGGTGCTTGAGAGCGGAGATCCTGATCATCTTGGTGATTCATGACGGCCCCATGAATGTGGGTCACCTCAACAGGAATCTGCAAAGGCGCGCGCTCGCTTGCCTCCCTCGCTTGCATTTTGGCGCGCAGAATAGGGTTGTAGACTTCGAAGTCGGTCGTGCGCTTCTTTTTGGCGCACTTCAACATGCGATCATTACGTTCGGCGGCGGATTCGCTTCGCTTGCGCTTGGTGGGCTTGGGAGGGGTAGAATTCGACTGCGGCGGGTCGAAGATCGGTGATTCCTCTTTATCAGTTCGATGGATCGGCTTTAAGGGGACGCAAGGTTTGGCAAAGGAACCTACTCGAGTCTTCTTGGATTGGAGCGCTCGCGCTTGTTTGGTAGGCTGTTGCTGTCGAGTGGCCCGAGTTTTCTTGTTGGCTTGAAATCGCTCCAGTGGGTTGGGTGACTCGGGTGATTGCGCCGGCGGCGAAAGAATGGTTCGCTGAGAGTCACGTGATTGGGCCGAGTCAGATACCGCAGGTGCAAGATTCGAACGGTCGAAGTTCGTAGTGGAGCTCACTTGTTGGACAGCCCTGTTCGTGAGCTTGTGCTTCTCCATCAAGGCTTGCGACTCGAGGCGTTTGATCGCGTCCGCGTGCTCCTTGGCTTCGATAGCTTCGCGCCGCTTGCGACGGAGCTCTCCGATCGCAGAAAATTGGCGAGTTTTGAGCGTTGACGAGTCTGAGGGAGAGACAGAAGGAATTGTTGGTTGCGAGGCGTTGAAAAAGTGTTGATGGGTGGTCGAGGGTGGCTTACCTCTCGACGTTGGCAAAGTTGAACCAAGCCCCTCTTCGCTCGCTTGCGAGCTTGACCAGGGCGGGGGCACTAATGTGGTGCCCCGCGCCTGATCGAAGCTCGACCGAGACCGAGAGGGGACATTTGATTGACTAGACATCATGGCACCGCCTATCTTTCTTTCCGTTTCTTCTTAGGTAGAAGAAGTTTGTCAAAACGAGGGAAAGTTGTACCAACAATGCTGTTGTGCTGCACTCGACCAATCGGCCTTATTACGCTCAGGAGATGATTGTCTCGAGAGTCGAGGAACAGCGGGTGGGCTGGGTATGTCTCAAGGTGCGGCACGATGCGGCGGTCGCCGAACGTGGGACTCTGCTACTACAGCGACCAGATGCAATCTACTCCTGTCTGACCCTAGCGATGTAGTAGCGCAGGTTAACCACTCGGTACAGCTATCAAGTGAAAGTGTTCGATAAGTACCTAGATTTGAGCTGGGTACACAAGAACAATGACACTTTACGGCCTTCACAAATTGGTTATTCGGCTTCGGCGAGGACCCCGGCCCCGGCGCTTCGACTCGAGAGCAGCGATTTGACCTTTGGCACTAGACTTTGCAGCAGTTTTGGCAATGTAAAGCACTTTGGGGAGTTTTGGACAGGGTTGACCGACTGAGGCTTGAACAGTTCCTGGAGGTTCCGTGTACACCACAACAACTTGCCTCACAAGATCGTCCACTTGCGGTGAGGCTCGTGAGAGGAGGCTTGATAGGCAAGCTGCAGTAACTGAGCAAGATCCAAACGACTCGCACGGGGTCGAGGACGAGTGGATGGGGAGAGGGAAAGAGGTGCCAGAGAGGGCAAGCCGCCATTGACTCAGTTTTTGAGCTCCCGTGGTGACCTGGAGCTAATTTGAGCGCTCGTGAGACAAAGGAACGGGGGCCTGATGTGCTGCTGGCCGTTGCCAAAAGCGGTGCCCAAAAGGCGAGCAACGGCCGCGCCGATCGAGTCGATAGACAAGTGCGATGTGAATCACTGCACTCCCCTCTGCTAGAGCCAACTGCTTTCCCTCGCAGCATCCCCTGTTGCTCGCTCGGAACTTCAGAATTTTCGCTTTCCCGCCCGCCTCCCAGGGCCGTGAGACGCCGTATCGTGGGAGAATTTGCGTCCTGAAGCCCAAACCAAAAATCGTTCCGATATACTCATCATCCAAATTCATCAGTAGGTACTGGCACAAACGTCGTGTAGTCGGAGACCGCTCGAAGTATTACTTGGCGGACAATAGGCGCTCGACGAGCGACAATAACGCCTAGAAGGCGGTCCTGCAATGGGGCGTTGTCGGCGGGTCCTCAGTGTGTAAAGGCGGACGCCGGAGGGCCAATGTGGCTACTGTTAGTTATCGTAACGCTTGCCACGTCAAGACGTAGCAAGCCTAAGCTGAGATTGAGTTCCGAAGATGAGGTAAGAAGACACTCTCGAGTGACGATCAGATTCGAGGGACCGCACGGCGACTCCGAGTCGCAAGCTTGCGGGAGCACACCCGGCCTCCTGGCAGCAGGCTGCAATCGAGCACTCGAGCAGGGGCCGGACTCGGGAAAAGCTCTCGTGAGAAATCAGGTGCGGGATTGAAGTAAGCTATGAGCTCCTAAAGAGGTCAAGGACCGCGCCTTCGCAGAGTGGGTGTGCGACCGGTGTGGCTTGCAAGAAGCACAGGAGCGTCAACCCCATCACAGGGCCGCCTTTCATAAGACCCTATGGTGGGGGTGAGGCCACAGGTTTTGAAGATTTGGTAGATTTGACGTTGAATTATGGAGGCAAATCATTCCGGACTCAAGGCGTGGATTGCAGAGCGGGTCGGACGAATGCATAAATGAGCTGAAAGTCGAAAATGCCAAAGGGGCCAGAGTGATGCGTGTCACCTCTAGCACAGTCCACGTCTATTCATCAAATCGAGAGCCTCATGATCGGGCGACAAGTTGTATGAATTCAGTGGGAATTTCAGTCAGAGGCTCGCTTAGCTTACGGTTGCGCCACCAAGAGTGAAGATATTTCTCAATAGAGTTTCGCCTCTGGCACACACTCGAGCGGACTCCGCCAGGCTTCCCGATCGGGATGAAAACTCGATTCTCCGGATGATGACAGATCGTTCCCGCATTGAGTCATCGCAAATGTGTTGCTAAAAGGACGGCTAATGGTATTTACCACGTTCTTCTACCGTGAAAGTGTCATGTGGCAAGCCAAACTCTTGCACATTGATGACATGGGCATTGGCGGCGATTCAAGAAACGATCTCCTGAGTCCTCGCGCAGAGCCTGGCGCCCATCCGGCATGTGGTACTTACCGGTATCCTAAGTCTTCGTCGAATTGACCACATCACATCGTGTCCAATTATAGAAATCCCAGCTTTCGAATTTGAAACCCTGAGCGCTGATCGTTGCCGGAGCCTGGCGGAGCTGGGGGCGGCGAGCTGTCAGAAAGGAAAAGACATGGCGAACGCGCGGGCGATTGTCCGCGGCAGCAAGGCGTGAAATGACTGGATTTCGCCCCAGTGAGAACCTTAAATTAGCATGTTGGGGATAAATGGAAGGTTGTGGGAGCCTGTGGCAGACGGTTGCGGAGTCTTTTTTCTTCACGCAAAGGTGCTGAGACGCCGGGTTGTGCGAGCTCAGGAGGGTTCAAGCGCAGCCCAAATTGTAAGGCGATTGAACTCTGCAACAAATGGCAAGTCTCGTAACATTCATGAAAAAGTGCGAGGTGCAAAATAACGGCAAACAAATGCGGATACAGGTGAAAGAGCGGTATAGCGAGGATCAAAACGGGTCAGAGTTGTATTATAGCTCACTGCGCGACATTCAACGGTCAGCTGGCGTTTATTGGACGACGTTGGTCGGGGGCGCATCATGCTTGGTCGAGCCGAGATGGAGCTTATCCTTGAGCGACTCGAGGGGTCCATCGGTCGTGCGCTTGCACGACTCGTCTTGGGTGTGGAGCACACCGGCGTTCTCGTGCGTAAGCTTGGACTTGATGTCACCGCCGCCAGCGACGAAGTCGGAAAGCTTCATGGGCTGGTGCTCGACCGACTGGTGAACGATCGGTGCCTCGTGGGTCTCGTGGTGGATGGGGACCTAAGAAGAAGCGTCAGAAGCGAAAGGGTCAGCATGTGTGCATTGGTAAGTGTGGTGCGTGAGCGTTCTGTCTGAGCGTGACATACCTTGGTGTGAATGACCTGATCGACGCGAGTGGCCCAGGAGAAGGAATAGGGGCGCGCGTCAGAGCGGATCAACATGAAAGCACAGATATTGGCTACTCACATGGTGCTCGTGGGTATCACGCTCTATGACGGGCTGAATGACGTGGTGAACGTGGTGGTGGGTCTCCTCGTTCACTGCGACGGGAGGTCAAGGTCAATTGTGTCAACAGGGGACACCGACCGTTCAATCGGCCGATGGAGACCCACCTTTTTCACCCCTGTCGACGACGACGCGGTCGATGGCAGCCTCCTTGTACTGGTCCTGGTGTTTGTTGAGAGCAGCGAACTGGGTCGCGTCGGCGTCCGTGTTGACGTGCTTCTCGTGAATCTTGGTCGTCGGGACGACATTTTCACGGTGGCGCTCAGACTCGTGCTTGGAGTCAACGACGGGCTGAACGTGGTGCTGGACATGGTGGAGGTGTCGGTCGACATGTCGCTCACGCTCAACCTCCTCAACTTCGTGCTTCTGATGGGTGTGGTCTGCGAGGAAGGTGGGACAGGCAACGAGGCCAAGCACAACGTCAACGATCCGATCCCGATCCTGAGATCCTCAGCCCGACGTGATGACGAGGACGAGACATCCGGACTACCATCCAGCTTGGACGGGCTTATGTTGGGCACAGGACTCGAGCAATTAAAATCAACTTACGAGTCACCGCAGCGAGGTGCTTGTGGTCATGGTCGGCGGCATGGGCATCTTGCTGAGCGAGGTGGGTGTCGCGCTGGGGGTGGACGTGGCCTGATGAAGGGGCCGGCGCGACCTCCTCGACGTGCTGATTCGGAATGGACGAAGCCGAACCAGAGGTAGCCGAACCAGTGGCAGCCGAACCAGTGGTAGCCGAACCAGCGTTACCCGAAGAACCAGAGGTGGTCGAGTTGTGGTGGGTCGAGGGCTTGTCGGAGCTAAAAATTTCCTTGACCTTGTTCATGGTGGAGATGGAGGATGGAGAAGTGTAGGATGAGAGCTGGGTTGGAGCAGTCGTGTGTGTGGTAGGTGGATTCTTAACAAGTCTTGAAAGTTTTCAAGGTGAGTGGAGTGTATGTAAAGAGAAGAGGGTGGAGGGGAGCGAGGTGCCCAGGGCAGCAACGAGAAAAATAAGCTCAGCGCATAATTCGGCGATCGATCGGAATGACGATGTGGGCAGCTTTCATTACTTGGGGCCACTTGTCGCGATCGGAAACACACAGGGGAGCACGCTTCACCTTCTTCAATCATGAGCCACTGCGTGCACCGAACGTTCGACTACACAGGAAAATCACCCTCGGTCACGCAGGCTCACACAAAATTGACGTCAGGGAGGCCTCGTCCCGCGGTCGGTATAGACAGTGGAGATGATGTAATGTGCAGCCGCTGCAACCGGCGACGTTTGACGCCCTCGACCGCGGTGACGGAATGAAATCGTTGAGCGCGCGACCCAGGCGACCTCGGGAGTTTGGGCGACTGACGCGCTGCAGCGCTCGAGCGAGTAATCGCCGATCGTCCGGCTGGGCGGCGCCACCAGATTAAAAAAACGTGCTGCGTCGTCAACCCAGCGTGGATTGCAACTAGAGCTCCCTGACAATGAAGTCACGTTTCTCACGACACTCGAACGCCAAAAGTCGATCGTCAAATTCCAAGCCTTTGCACCGAGCGAAGTTTCGCTCAGCCCGGCCGCGAATGGTCGTCATTTTGAGCCTTGGAAGTCGCTTAATTCTCTGGTCGGCCTTGAAAAGTCATGATGAGCTCGGTCCACCAATCAAGATCAATCGTCTTGTCTTGTTTGTAGGCGATGCCCAAGCCTGAGATGAGAAAAGGAAAGTGACGCTCTAATCTGACGGGGGAAGAGAACCAGCCTCCTCGGTTCAACTTTTAAGGATTTGCCGAGTCCGTCATGACGAGGAGCGCGCCGCTCGGGTCGCCCGAGTTTGCATGCTTATGGCTGAGCGATCTTAGCGAGGAAAGGGCCAGAATGGCGAAACTTTGTCGCTGTAGTCAGTCCCTTCATACTCTTCGCGATTGGAGCTTCTATCCCGCGCTTCCATCGTCAAACTTATGAGCGTGCCGACACTGCCGAGGAGAGCACCGACGGCAGCGACCGACCTCACAATTGTCGAATTACGGCTGTCTGAACCCCGCAACCCGCAAATATTTCGAGCGATCTTGTTTTATGATCATAATATTTGTACAACAATATCAGAACCAAGGGTTAAGCTCCTTCACGCCCTACAATCCATGGCTTTCTCACACAGCCCCTTTCGCGACCGGCTCAAAGATCCGGATCAATCCAACCCCAATCCTACCGCTTCTCTGTCCCCGACTGAGTCGCCTGTAGTCTCCGCACCTCTTCATCTAATTCCTTCCACCCTTGTTCATCAAGGTCCCCAGCTCCAGCGGCCGCGTTCCTCCGCTGTTTGATCTCGCCCATCTTCCATCGCAGTAAGGACGGCAACGAGTGTTCACTCGGTCGCTCAAGTCGACTTTCGTAAACGTAGTAGGCCCAAATGCCGGAGAAGATGCCCAGGAGTGGGTCCAAGGTTCTATTGAGGTGAGAATGAACGTGGTTAGGTAGTGAGGTGGGACAAGCTTTGGGAGAGTCCATGCGAGGGTGAGAGCGGAGAGAAGAGTCGAGTAGTACTGACTTGGAGACGAGGTAGATGCGTTTAGGCATCGACATGATAAGGACGGTCTGATCTAGTTCCTGGACGATGATTGAGGAGGGTCGCGGATTGATGTTCGATTTGGCTAATGCTGGGCACCAGAAGCTCAACGAGTCGTTCGGCGCGAAGCTGAGCCGCTGTCAAGTGGGGTAAAACGACTTGGTGGTAAATGTCGGCCAGACCGCAAGTCCGACGCAAGGGATGTATCACGTCGCGAATGAGTAAATCAAGATTCGAAATACAAAATCGACAACATAATAGTATCGGAGAAAACCTGCCCAAGAACGAGTTGTCCCAACGGGACCAAGCAGACAAGCGGATGCGGTATAAATCAAGACAGTGCGAAGAAAAACGAAGTGATAAAGACAAGAATGGTAGAAATCTGTGATAATCCCAATTGGTCCAGCAAGGTGAACAGTTGCCGACCCCGACTTCAAGTGGTGCCCGATGAGGGCTCAGACACGCATCGAGCGGACACCGCGGCTCAACTCATCCGAACCACCGGAGTCGAAGCGAGACTTGGTGTTACTCTTCGTAGGAAGAAGCGAGGTCGACGTCGCCACATCGTATGGTTTTGTCGCCTGCGCGCCCTTCTTGATAGGAGATAGCCGAGAGCGGATTGGCCGCGCATTGCCGAACGTGGTCGATAGCGGCGACGGGGAGGCAGGTCGGTCGGCAAAGGCGCGATTCGTGAAACGTCCAAGTCCAGTGAACGCCTCCGTGACCTGTCGAGAGCGCGGAAGGAGCGAGGTGTCAGCTCGATCGGCGATACTGCGACCGATGTGGAAGGAGCAAGGAGCTTACCTCGGCCAGCGGCGACTCGGTCAAAGCTCTGGCTCTTCGGTCAGAATCACTGATCTCACGTGAATGCTTGGATCTACCGTCGACCTCGCTTTCTGAGGTTGGGCTAGGTGCGTATCCCGAATCGTGCGCTGGACTGTGCTCGACGAAACCGCTGTCGGAATTGATTCGTTGTGATCGGGCGTCGTCGAAGCGCACAGGTCGATTGTTGCCAACTTTTGATGGTTTTGATCTTTGAGCTGCCGAGCTCTTCCTGACGACGGGTGGCGTGGACGAGTCTTGCTCGTCGTCGGTGGACGAGAAGCCAGGGATGACCCGAGTCCTCAACGTGCCTGTGCATTCCCCATTGAGTGACGGTTGGGGGAAAGCTTTGACGGTGGTGGGTGCATCCCGGAACACCTTGAGAGACCCTTTCGACGAAAAAGCGGCTGTTGTGGTCGTCGTCGGTTTCGACTCGAGCACGGCGAGCTTCTTGCCTGCGCCGAGCCTCGACTTGACCGCGTGAGGATGGACATTCTCCTTTCCGGGTCGATGAACCATGGCAGCCGACCCATTCTCGCCACACTTGATCAGGAAAGCTGAATTGGGCGGGTGAGATGACTTTGACAGGGTCGAGGACGATGCTGGGTCATGGTGCACTCGCTTGCGTTGAGCGATTGCGGCTGCTGCTGACGAGGAGGCGCTCCTCGAGGGGAGTGCTGACGTCGACGCGGCCGGAGTGGGAGCCGGAACGTCCTGGTACACCTGGAACAGACCTCTTGCCATCTGGACAAAGTTCGTCCAAGAGATCAAGTGAGACCTGGAAGGTGAGCTTGGAGACTACTAGGTGGCGGAGGTCGGGCCAGTTGGTTCGGTCGTGTTGAGTGAACCTCGAAACTGCTGTGTTGACTGAGGAGGAGACCAAGTTAAACGACCGTCGCAGCTTCGAGGGGATGACCAAGCTGATGTGGGGTGTATGCCCGGTAAATCTGAGGGTAGAGTGGAGCACAACAGAGCAGAGAAGGGTAGAATTGAGGGGTAGGTGATCGCGCTCGCTCCCACCGAAGACGAGGCGCCATCATGCCAAATCCTGCCAAATCGTCAATTGCGCGCGTGCATCGGTTCGATTTTGGACTGATACGGCTCAACGAGCCAAAGGCCTATAGGCTAGCTGAAATTTGAATCCGCATTCTCAGTCAAGCAGCCTCACGAACTCAAGTACTAGTAGATTCAAGTTGCCAGCTGGCCGCTCCACGCTAAGCACGCTTGACCACTGCAGTCGCGCCAACGCGCTCCTTGCCTTAAGTCACACAACTCACGAGACTGACAAATCCAAAGCCATGATGGTTGGCCTCAATCACTGGTCACTCTGATTTTCACATTCGGTCATATCGGTATTTTTCAACTTGATCCACCTTTTTTTTTACCGTCTGCGATCATATCGACCTTGTACATCGATCCATCGCCTCTCATTTTACGATTGTTCCCCGGCGTACTCCGGTCTATCGTCTCCCGTCTTCGGTCTTACCCAGCACCTTTCGCTTTGGTCCACCGTTCCTCATCTTTCAATCTCAAGTCAAGTTCAACCTCGTCTTCACCTCATCATTACTGTCACCCGTGTACCTAGTCACTTCATCTTTGGACCTTCCAACCGGGGGAGTGTCATTCGTACATGGTCATATGGGTTGTCCCGTCATCTGATTATTGTTCCTAGAGAAAAGGACAAAAATGCCCTCGAAAGATAGCGAAAGGACAAAAATGCCCTCGCTTCTTTTCATGAGGACAGAAATGCCCTTCTCAAAAGGACAAAAATGCCCTCGGATTCTAGACTTCTGTAATACTCGATATATCAGCTCAGAACCAAGAGGGTAGCTTCTTGTAGTGTTTGTGATCAGCGCCGTATACTCAGAATCTCCAGAGGTGCCGTGAGAAGTCAGTTATCACGGTCGAAAAGTCAGGGGCCTCATCGATCGTCGACGCGTCGAGGCGCGCGAGTTCGCGCATCGACGTTGGTCTCCTTCCGCATCTCGCCCCCGGCCCGGACGCCGAAGTCACCACCGACTTTCGACAATGGAACATTGTTTCAAGAAGGGGGAAAATCTCTACGAAAAGAAGGAGCTCACGGATGCAGGCTATCGATATGCGCTGATGACCAGAACCAGCTCGACGTTCCGTAAGTCTGACACGCGTCGTTGGCACGTCGTGTGCAAGACACGAGGTCACGGATGATGAGGACGATAGTGACTCGACTGGCGAAGAAGAAGGTGCCATTATCATTCCGCCACGATTCCCCAGACGTACAGGACGTCCAATCAAGCGCAGGGTCCGGGGTGCGGACGAGAGGGCCAAGCGTGATACGATCTGTGGCCTCTGCAAAAGGCCCGGACACAACCGAGTTACATGCGATAGCTAGATCGACCAGTTGAATCTGAGCATAAGGTGTCAAAGGTGTCAATATTACCTACAAGTCGAAGGCGTGCTGGTCTGTTTCATATGGTAATTCACTGCGGTCTATACTGATCGCTCGCTCTCGACTTGGACTCGATGCGGCCACTGACTTTGCGACCATAATAACTGACTTCTCACGGCACCTCTGGAGATTCTGAGTATACGGCGCTGATCACAAAGACTACAAGAAGCTACCCTCTTGATTCTGAGCTGATATATCGAGTATTACAGAAGTCTGGAATCCGAGGGCATTTTTGTCCTTTCGCTATCTTTCGAGGGCATTTTTGTCCTTTTCTCTTGTTCCTATTATGGTACTTGGGATTGAGCCTAGCGGTGTGTCATTCACTCGTCACTCAATCTCCCTACTTTACTAGTCTCTATTCTCTCTCCCTATTAGCTTTACGCTTCACTTTCTAGCCTTCCGCGAGTCTGTCTCTTAGTCTCTGGCCACTCTGTTCTCGTCCCTGTTCTCGTCCCTGTTCATTGGACTGAGTCGTGGTTATCATCAGTTTCCACTTGAGAACATTTCTGCGACAACCACATGCGAACACAAACTCGTCCAGACGCGGACTGTGACATGGGCGATGTCGAGTGATCTTAACTTTTGCATTTACACCCCGGCTCTGGCTCGATCTCGTTGTCTGCAATGTTCATTAACGTTTGGCCATTTACACGCCTCATTCATGTGAACCGAACTGACTCGGGAACTCGAGTCTCGGTGCTGCATACCCGATCCATGGCACGTTCTTAGTAAAACTAGCTGACACTGTCAGTCGGTGTTATGTACTCCGTCAGAGGTTCAGGGACCCGTCGCCCCGTCCGGGGGCGCGTTAATTTCGACCACACGATCACGTGTCATCGCCGATTGGCCACGGCGTACGAGACGAGCCGGCTTTCCAACGACGTCCCATCGTAGCCGTGATCGACAGTCGAGATGGGTATCCCCTTGCGTATGCTACTCGACAAGCGCGAGCCTTTCTTCCCCTACAGTCTCGCAACCTTTTTTTGGAGAGTGCCGCTTTGCAGCCTTGACAACGTAGTGGACTCGAGGCGCAAGGAGAGCTACGACCACACGGGCGGGATTGAGTACAGAGGGTGCCCACGAGCCGGGCTTAGCCTGGCTCAGCCGCATCATCTGGACCAGCAGTATCGGCCGATTTGGAGCGTCTCCTTTACCTCAGCTTCCACTGCCACTGCACAGCAGCCAGCAGGCACCAACCTCGTCATCGCTGTCGTTCTTCGCGAGTCCGCTGACCTCCAGCAATTAACACGAGGTATCTGGTCGTCGGATTTGTGAGTGACGACACATTCTTCTAGCGACATATCCTGTTCGGCGGTCACGGACAGGCGCCAGGCCGCGCGTTACGCGTCGTCCCGGCGCCGGCCGTGTCGTTGAAATGGACTCCGTTCGGCCACCCGGATAACATCGTGGTTGCCATACTCTACTGATACTGCGCTCTCCTTTTTTGAACCGAGCTGAAAGGTCTCCTCAATAAGGACCCACCCATTGGTCCTCTCGTCACCGGGTAGTACCTATAGCAGCTCGCTGACGGGCCAGCCATCACATCACGGTCGCTCGCTTGACCTTCTCGGAGACGGCTGGTCCGCCGACCGAGATCTAGTACTAACCGACGGTTGCGTGGATGCGTGGGTACAGGTCGAAAGGGTCTTACTCTTGTGGTGACCCCAGCGTGACGATCGACGATGTCGGTGGTGACGCGTTTGCAAGTGCACGAGCGTTGGCTCGCACCCGTGCTTGGGTTCTTCGTTGGTGCCTCCTGGACCGCAAATTTCATTGTACGTACACTACTTGAAACGCAAGAGCCCGGCTTGAGAACGTTCCGGCACCTGACACCGCGCTCCCTCCACCTCTGTAGCTTGCTTCAGACCGCCACTTCCGCGTGAGCGACGAACTGCGTCGCAAGAGATACGAGGTCAACACCAAGCGCATGATTGCGGAGAGGACGCGTGCTTTCAATCGCGAGCAGCAGGCTCGATGGGAAGAACAGCAGGAACGAATACTGCGATTCGCGCAGAGCAGGTAAATCATTCTAGAGGCCGCGATGATCACGGATCACTGCGGATGGGTGGGGAGGGGGGGTACATTATCGCGGGGCTCGAGCGCTTTAAACAGTGTGCCATCGAGAATTCCAGAATGCAATACAGTTCGACCGAGCTTTCGAGTCTTTGTTGTATTTTGTGGCTCGTCAATCGCACCAAGGACTATAGTAGTGTGGGCCTTACCGTCGAGTCTGGCATCTCTAGAAAAACGCCGTCTCGGTCTTTCGCATGACACTCCCTGCGTCGAAGTGATCCGAACGTCCGGGCGGTCTTGCTTAGACCCGTTTAGCATCACATCAAAGCAAGATCTGGCATAGAGGATCCGAACGCTGTCAAGAATCACGCCGCTCAGTGGCTGTAGGCTATTATCTCGGGGTTTATGTTTCAGAATGCAATCTTGTTCTAATCGAACCGAGAGCCTGTTTGCGGTCGAATGGCCTCGTTCGGCAGTCCTCGTCCAAGATGCGGCTTGTCGCTTGAAAGAGATCAAACTGTTGGCTTCAAGAAGTGTCGACGGAAGCGAGCGCCGCAAAGCGGGTCGTCACAACGTCTTGCTGATCGGATTTGTCTCAAGATTTCATCCCACATCCGTCCCCCCCCCCCCCCCCCCCCCCCCATCGTTCCAGATGTTTTGCTTCACTCTGCCTGTCCGTTACGGGTTGGCCTTGTCAGCTCCGGCAGCTAAGCGGAACGGCAAGCTCTACTACTCATAGCAGGCACTGATCAGGGTCAATGGGCAACAGGACCGACGTACAAAGGAAGCCAAGACTTTGAATTCGGCAGGACAGCGGCGTCAGAGTCTTGTGAATAGAGCATCGGGAGTCGAGGACGAAGCTCCAGTCAGGCGGGCGACTCTACAAGTCGCTCGATCACGTTCCGGTTTGACCGGCCCTGATTGGCTAGACTCGACTTGGGTTGAGATTCCATCTGGGTCCGGGCACTAGCCTTGTGAGTAGATCCTCCGAATCTCGAGTCTTCGCGGCCTGTACGCCCTCCTCGCGCACAATCTGGTTGGCTTTCTCCAGCTCGCTCAACTCATACTCGAGGAGACTGATTTCGGCCTTGCTCCATCGCTCCTTCTTCATCTGCTTGAGAAAATGGAATGACGCAGTACCCGCATCGTCAACTTCGTCGCAGTTCGCCCACAGGCTACAAAACTCAGTGACGTACGGCGAACACCGCAACCGAAACCGCGCCCGCGAATGCTCCGATCCAAGCGCTCCTCGCTAACGGGGAGATTCGGAGCGGCATTTTGAGTGCTATGAATGTCTTTTGCCCCCGGGGATGCAGTTGAGAGACGGTGTGGTGACGATGCTGTAGTGAGATAGAAGAGGGAAAGCACCCGCCCGTCGAGCCCACACTGTGTGGCGAGCAGCGACGCCGACTCGCCGAGGCTGCCACTTGTGGCAACAGCAAGCTCCAAGCTCCAATGCTTGATGGCCGCGAAAACAGACGACGGTTGATGGCGAGACTGGTCGTTGGCGTGACAAAAATTGAGCACGATACGACGTTCGCGGAATCGTTGGTAAGGCGACAGGTATGGACTTCAGGCTGCAGTGGGGTTCGAATCGACGAGCGTCGGACTCGCACGGGCCAGGTCAAGGACTGGTTAGGAACTGGTTAGGAACTGGTCAGGACAAGCCGAGGGGACGCGCAAGCGCGTCCTCGGGCAGACATAAAAAGTACGAAATTTAAATCCGCATTCTCAGTCAAGCAGCCTCACGAACTCAAGTACTAGTAGATTCAAGTTGCCAGCTGGCCGCTCCACGCTAAGCATGCTTGACCACTGCAGTCGCGCCAACGCGCCGCTCCTTGCCTTAAGTCACACAACTCACGAGACTCAGACTATCACCTGTCCTCCCTCCCAATTGAATTTCGCCCTAACCACGGTCCACCAGCACCTCGAACGCCTGCTCCTGCCTGTCTTCTTGCGTGATTGCGCACGTGACCGGCATTCCCGTGCGGCACAGACCTCCATCCCACACTTCCATCTCAGCCTCGCCGAAACACTCAGCTCGCTGAACGAGCTCGGTCGATCTTTCTGGACTCGAACTGTAAACGCTGACCAGCCGCGCCGGGAAGCAGAAATTTCGACCACGTGATCACGTGTCATCGCCGATTGGCCACGGCGTGCCGTGGCAGGTGGAGAGGGGTGCAGTGGGGGCGTCTTGGCTTTTTCGCTGTGAAACGCGGTCGATTGTCGATGATTCTCTTGAGCTCGTTTGGGCTGAATGCCAACAGTTTGATCTCTTTCAAGCGACAAGCCGCATCTTGGACGAGGACTGCCGAACGAGGCCATTCGACCGCAAACAGGCTCTCGGTTCGATTAGAACAAGATTGCATTCTGAAACATAAACCCCGAGATAATAGCCTACAGCCACTGAGCGGCGTGATTCTTGACAGCGTTCGGATCCTCTATGCCAGATCTTGCTTTGATGTGATGCTAAACGGGTCTAAGCAAGACCGCCCGGACGTTCGGATCACTTCGACGCAGGGCAAAACCGATCGGCGCCGATCAGCGCGCTGCATTGCGACGCTCTGGGCCTTCGAGTCCCAACTCCTCCCGTCGGATTTCACTTTGCTTGTTGACTCATACGCTCTCGACGTCTACGGACTCTGACCCCATCTCACCGTCTGACAAGTGGTCGTCCACACTACGGACCAGGACACGGACCCGGCTCCGCAGAGTGCTTGCAAGCTCAAGGTGTCGGCACTCGCTCTTGTACATCCGTGGCTTACGACGGCGCACCACTCCCGGCGAAGTCACGAGCTAGAGCCCAGATTGCACCGAGTCCCCAACCGGCCATGAGCTCTACAGAAGATGAAGGCGGGCGCAAGACCAAACGACGAAAGGTTGACATCACCATCGCACCCCTCCTTGCATCTGCATCATCGCGCACCGCTGCTTCAACCTTGTCCCTGTCCGGCCGGGACGATCGGAGCCCGGGAGCCGTCTCGACCTCGAGCGGTACGACATCGTCCTCGACTGGCGCAGGCAGTGGCAGCGGCGGTGCTCCAGGTTCGTCGAGTGTATCGACGGCAGGGACCGCGTTGAAGTCACCATTCCCCGGCTCCGTTGCAACTCCCCCCGCGAGCAGGGACCGGCACAACCCACTCCTGACCAGCGACGGTGCTCCCGTGGTCGTCACCTCGACGTTTCAGTCCATCTTCTCCCCGACCTCGACCTCGGTCCCCATCTCACCTTCGGGAACACCGACGGAGGCACATCAGGACCACTACTTTGTGCCGCCGCCGGCCATTCCTCACCACCATTCGCCGGTGCCCCACCACACTCCTCCCATCCACTTTTCGGATGACATGAGCAACTCGTCCGCGTCATCGTCAACGTCGGGCACCACAACTCGTACAATGCCGGCCCCATCGTCGCAAGGAACGTCCTATTCTCTGCCTCTCGCCTCCCCGACGTCGAGTTTGAGCACTCTTATCAGCCATGCCCCACGACCACGCCTCACGAGGACCGATTCAAGCGCGATGGCGAGGGGCGGTACATTACACATCGAGGGCTATCGTGACGGTAAGCAGTCTGGAACGATCTTATGATTGATTACTATACCGGAACTTGCCGCTAACCAGACTTGCCCTCCTCCCCAGTGCGCATCATAGGAACCCCGTACGACGATGCCGTCGCCTGCCGAGCCGTATCCATTAACCGCGGCGACCAACGCGTGCTACTTAAGCTGAGCTTGTCGGCAAGCGTGTTGGTGGCGGCTCATATTCGCGCAGAGATTGCAGTTTTGACCGAATTGTGGGAGGCGGGCATACACAATTGCACGAGGGTCATCGCTCGGGAAGTCAGTCGATTAGGAGTGAGTTCGTGGCCGGTGGGAACAGTGGCTCGTCGCAGGGTGAATGACTCTTTGATTGCTGATCGCTCCGTATCTCCACTGCTTCCACTTCCCTTTTTCCACAGACAATCATGGTCTGCGTCGACGATGGGCTCACTCGGTTCAGCGAGCGGTACGAGATGGCGCCTCAACCACGACGGAAACCATACTGGTCCGATCCGGCAGATCTGCTCGACGCGATCGATATCGCCATCAAGCTGATTCGTCTCGCTGCATCCGTGCATGGAAGACAAATCGTCCACGGTTCTCTGCGCCCCGATTGCGTTTCCATCTCGGTGCTCGGCGAGGTGCAAATGCACGATTTTTCTTGTTCGTTCCGCGCCAGCGCGGAAGGCGACACGAATCCAATCCGCGAGCGCGGCCTCCACGAGGACTCGTTGCCCTATATTGCGCCCGAATGCTCTGGGCGGGTCGGAAGGTCTGCAGACTACCGCAGCGACTACTATTCAATCGGTGCGATCTTGTACGAGGTTTTCGCAGGACGAGCACCTTTTGCCGACGCCATCGACCCACTCGACGTCGTCCACGCTCACATCACGAGGAAACCATCGTTGATGACCAGTCTCGACCCTTCCATTCCAATGAACCTCTCACTCGTCATTGCCAAACTGCTCGAGAAATCGCAGGACGCGAGGTACCAAACGAGCGAGGGCATCGTCGTCGACTTGAGCGAAATTTCCAGGCAGGTCCGCAAGCAAACCACCACGCCCGATCTGGCATTGCTCCTGTCTCCGATGACGGGCGAGAAAGATCCAGCTACGCCGGGAGAAATAAGTTCGAACGGGTCGGGGTCTGGGGAGTTCGTCGTCGGTGATGTCGACACGGCTGCCCATTTTCGCTTGCCGCCATCGAACAAGATGTATGGCCGAGATGAGAGTATTGAGCAGGTGACGAGGATGTATCGACACGTTAAGGAAACGGGCGAGCACCGCTTCGTCGTCGTCAAAGGGCCTTCTGGTGTGGGCAAGACGACTCTCGTCGAGTCTGTTCGGAGGCCAGCGATCCAGGCCAAAGGTTTCTACACGAGCGTCAAATTTGGTAAGCTGGGGATAGATCTGTAGCTGCATGCGGCCGTGCTGATACCAGGGCCATGATTGATCGAACGCATAGATCAATACAAATCTCCGGTGCCATTCTTCGCCATTGTCCAATCCTTGTCGGGTCTGCTTCGGCAGGTGCTCGCCGAGCCTGAAGCTTCCCTGCTGCGATGGCGGAAACGCATCCACGCCGCGCTGGGGAAGGATGGTCGAGCCCTCGCCGACTTACTCCCCGCACTCGAGCTCATCTTTGAACCTGGCTGGGTGGAGACTCTACCGCCGCTTGTGCCTCTCGGAGCCGCTGAGAGCGAGCAACGGTTCCAAAGTCTGGTGCGATCGGTCTTGCGCACGTTTGCGCGTCCCGGCAGGCCTCTGGTCATCGTGTTTGGTCAGTTTTTGATGTGCTGCCTCTTCTCTCTCCATGGTCGAACCTACCTAATTGTGGCTTCTCATTCACATTTCGTCACTCAGATGACCTCCAGTGGTGTACACTGTCGGATCTCGCGTTCATCCGCTCCTTGCTGCCGGAGGAGAATGACACGTCTTCTCGCTCGAGCTCGCACCAAACGCCCAAGATGCTCATCGCCCTGTGGCGCGACAATGAGGTTGACAGCGAGCACATTGTGTCGACGCAACTGCTGGCCCAGGTGCCTGAGGTTCACCTCACCCTGAGTCTCGAACCTCTCTCGTTGACGGACGTGATCGACTACGTCGGCGCTGCGCTGCAGACCCCGGCAACCAAGAAGCGCTCAAAGTCGACCGCTGCTCGCGAGGACCCAAACATTCGGACATTGAGTGAGCTGATTCTTGCGACCACAAAAGGTAGCCCCCTGTTCGTTGCCCAAGTAAGTGCGATCGGCGGTAGTACCGGGGCAGCTCTAGGCCATCTGCTTACGGTACTTTGATGCACCGCTCAGCTCCTGAAATCGTTCAACACCGACGGCTTCTTCAAGTTCGACTTTGACAACGGAAAATGGATTTATGACCTGCACCTCATCGCCAATAAGACAGTCACAACGGACGTCGTCGACTTGCTGATAGCCCAGATGCGCCGCCTTCCCGAGCCGACTCGATACGCGCTGATGGTTGCCGCCTGCCTTGGAAACGAAGAGCTCAAGTCGACCACACTCGCCAAGGCAACGGGCAGGTCGCTGGCAGAGCTATCAGTGGATCTGCATGACGCCACAGAGGAAGGGTTGCTCTTCCCCGTTGGCATGATATCGCCCGATGCCGACGTCGCCGCCGCCGATCGCCCGGCCGCGCACGCGAGCGCAAGCGACGAAGTCGATTCGAGCCAAGAAAAGGAGGCTGAAGGACGAGCGCAGATGCACCTTGGATCACTCCGAGCGCGCAAAGGGCCGAGTGTACCTCAAGCTTATCGTTTTTTCCACGACCGATGCCAGCAGGCAGCATACGCGCTCGTCACGGCCGACGAGCGCAGCCAGCTTCATCACAAGATTGGCCTTCGCCTCGTGGCATCGCTGACGGAGGACCAGCTGCAAGAGCAGATCTTCGACTTGGCAAACCAGCTCAATTTCGGCATCGACTTGCTGACGACCGACGAGGCTCGAGATCGACTGGCGCGGTTCAACTTTCTGGCAGGACAAAAAGCACAAAACTCGACGGCGTTCGAAGCGGCTCGCAAATACTTGCAGACCGCATGGGATTTACTCGGCGCGGACGGGTGGACTCGGCAATACCAGCTGATGAGCGACTTGGTCGAAGCGTTCATAGACGTCGAGTACTCACTGACGGACTATGCGGCGTCGCAGCAATTCATTCGCTTGTTCCTGTCCAATTCGAGCGATGTCGTCGCCAAGCTGAGGGTCTACGCTCGTTTCGTTCGGTGCGGATCGGCGATGGGCGATTCATCGACAGCGATCAAGGCGGCGCGGGAGGGATTGGCGCAGGTCAATATGCGACTGCCGGAGACAGGGTCGGAGGCAGATGCTCTGTTCGACGAGATTCACGATCAACTCAAACTCGGAGTCGAGGAAGTTCGCGCTCTATCCAACCTAGAACAAATGACGGACCCGATCGCTCTGGGGGTGCAGAACCTCCTCGGGGCCCTCATTCCCCCGGTCTACTTCTCTCAGATCGAATTGCTTGGAGGTTTGACGTCACTGGCCCTGCGCAATACAGTCCAACATGGTCTCAGCGATGCGGGGTCCCTGTTTTTGACCCTCGATGCCGTCTACGTTCGGGCTAAGTACGACGATCTGGGCTCTGCTCTGGCGTACGGAGACGTCGCCATCGGCTACTTCGAAAAATATGGGGGAACCGCTTACGCGTGCCCGACGTACAAGGTCGTCTCGAGCCACATCACCGCATGGGCTCGCCCCATCGCCGAGACGATCCCGAACTATCGCACCGCCATCGCATATGGTCTCGAGTACCGCGACGCCGAGTACGTCGGGTTTTCCTGCGCCGAGATCTGCTCTTACTTGCTACTCAGTGGAGCACCTTTGCCCGGAATAATGTCGAGTGTTGAAGGGTATGCCGTGCTGGTTCGCAAGTTCCGACACGAGCTCTCGACACTCTACATCGGCGTCATTCACCAGACCCTGCTGTGCCTGTCGGGTCGAAGCCCCAACCCGCTCGAGATCGAGGGCGAGGCGTTCTCCCACGCCGATTACCAGATCTGCGCCGATCGACCTTACGGCACCGACTTGCATACATTCCACATGCTGCGTCTCATGATTCTGGTCTTCTTCGACCGCACGACGTCACCCGCGGCGCTGGAATCGATCAGAATCGGCCGCGAGTTCATCTCGAGCGCCGACGGCTTGCTTTATCCGACTTACTTCCAGCTGTTTGAAGCGCTCTGCTTCTACGATCGCTTCGATGAGCTGACCAAGGTGGAGCTCGACACGCTTGCTGCGACGGTCGCCCACTTCGCCAAAGTCTCGGTCGACTCGGCAATGAACTTCTTGCCCCTCAAACTTTGGCTCGACGCCGAAGCCGCTCGTGCCAAGTCGCAGCGAGAGGAGGCTCTTTCGGCGTACGACTTAGCCATCGCGCTCGCGAGCGACTCGGGCTTCGTCCACATTGCTGCTTGCATGAACGAGCGATGCGCCAAAATGCTCCAATCGCCAAAACTTTCGGCGGGCTACATCATCGAGGCACATGCGATGTGGTCGACGTGGGGCTGCACGCCCAAAACGTCGAGCATGTTGTCCGAGCATCCTCTGCTGAACCACCCGACCGCCTCGCCTATGCCATCACCAGGTCTTGCGTACACGGGCTCGGTTGCATCGCCTGCCGCAACTGCGGATAGCTCAGATCGGCGGACGTCCGCCTACACGAGCGTGACACACTCCGGCGAGGATCTAGCGATGTCTGTGACGCACAGTGAAGGTTTTGAGAGCGTCAATGGGTCGACAAGTCGAGACGAACGGTCAACGGCGATTGCGATGACGGCGTCGAAGTCCATCCTCAGACGCCGCCGGTCCATCGACTCGCAGGACTCGATCTCTTCGCGAGAGGAAGCGGAGCACTCGTCAGAGGGACTGAAAGGAAAGAGTCAGTTCGAGCATCGCTCGCTGATTGCCACCGAATTGGACCTTCGCACGGTCGTCTCGGCCTCCTCTGTGCTTTCGCAAGAGCTGACAGTCGATGGCGTGGTTTCCAAGCTGCTGTCGCTGGCACTTCGAACGGCGGGGGCGGAGATGGGCTTGCTCGTGCTCGATAAAGGCGGCTCGCTGTGTGCGGAGGCGATCGTGCGATCCGAGCTGGGCGATGTGCAGCATCTGCGCCGCCTCGAACCCATCGATGCCCAGCCCGACCGATTCCCTTGCAGCGTCATCAACTATGTCGCTCGCACCAAGGCGATGGTGGTCAATGGCCTGGATTCGCTCGGCGATAGTATTACCGACCCTTACCTCAAGGCCAACAAACCGCTTTCGCTCTTGTGCATCGCTTTGGCGAGTCAGTCACGCGTGACTGGTGAGTTGCTATGAATCGCGGTGTCCTTCTGCCGAGTCGTATCAGGGCTAACTCTTCCTATTGGTACGTAATTCCTCTCGCAGGTGTACTCTACATGGAGAACTCGCAAACAGACAGTGCCTTTACGCCCGATCGCTTGGAGATCCTCTCCCTCATCTCGGGTCAAGCCGCGTCGACGATCGAGCGAGCCCGTTTGGTGCAAGACCTCAAGTTGGCTAACACGGACTTGAAGCGCTCGCAAGCCGCTCTCGAAGGCTACAATCGCAACCTGGAGGAAACCGTCGAGGATCGAACGCTCGAGTTGCGCCACAAGAACGACTTGCTCCAGGCCGAGATCGCCCAAAAAGAGCGAGCCCAAGCCGAGATGCGCAAAGCAAAGGAGATCGCCGAAAGCGCGACCGCGATGAAATCGCAGTTCTTAGCCAACATGTCTCACGAGCTTCGGACTCCGTTCAATGCCGTCGTGTCTCTGACGACGCTGCTGCTCGATACCACGCTGACGCCGGTCCAGACCGACTATGTCGAGACGATCAAGAATTCGAGTCAAGAGCTGCTCGTGGTTATCAACGATATCTTGGACTACAGCAAAATTGAGCTGGATCATCTGGAGCTCTCAAGCGAGCCGGTGCAGCTGCGCAGCGTGCTCGAGTCGTCGATGGACATGCTGGCCGAGAGGGCAGCGACCAAATCGGTGGAACTGGCGCTCGTGATCGAGGAAACAGATATTCGAATCTTGAGCGATCTGACTCGCCTGCGGCAGATCGTCGTCAACCTGCTCTCGAATGCTGTAAAGTTCACCTCGGAAGGAGAGATCATCGTCACAGCTTCGTCGAGGAGGGTCGAAACTAAGGGTCCCGGCGGAAAGCCGATGTGTCGCGTCACCATATCCGTCCAGGACACAGGCATCGGCATTGCCAAGGAGCACTACAATAAGCTCTTCCGTGTATTCTCGCAAGTCGAAGGTAGCGAGACAACGAAACACTTTGGCGGTACCGGTCTCGGTCTCGCTATCTCGCGCAAGCTCTCGCTTCTCATGGGAGGCGACGTCACTGTCGACTCGGAGGTCGGTAAGGGTTCGACTTTCACCGTCCACATAGTTGCACCCGTGCTCGAAACGACGGAGATCGATCTCTACTCACCTAGTCAGAATCCGGATCTGGTCGGTAAGCGATGCCTCGTCGTCGACGCGAACGCGACCAGTCGCAATGTCCTGCACCAGCTCGTCTCATCGTTTGGAATTAACACCGATGTACCCGACGATCCCATGTCGGCGTTTGCTCTCGCAAGTGACGCGCTTCGCGTCGGAAAGCCTTACGACGTCCTCATTTTGGACGCTTTCCTACCGGCGTTCGGCGCTCTCATCTTGCTGCGTCGATTACGACAAGCGAACATCAACGTGCCGGCGATAGCGCTCACGCGCATGGGCTCGCCGATCTACGAGGAGATGCGGCAGCTCGATTGCAAGTTCCTCATCAAGCCCATTAAACGCAATCGATTCCACCACACGCTGCGACAGATCTTCCCGATCGGTGCGATCAAGTTGACGAGCCCTCCTCCAGCGAGCTCGCCGTTCCCGACCGGTCTTGGGGTGCGCAACCCGCTCTCCATTCTCTGCGCTGAGGACAACCCGATCAACGTCAAGGTTATCACACATTTGCTTAAACGTATGGCATACACAACCGACATCGCCGAAGACGGAGCAATCGCGCTGGAGAAAGTACAGAAGAAGAAATACGACATTGTCTTGTGAGTTCGCTTCCCCTGCGAGGGCACACGCTTTCAAAACTCTGACCAGGGCTGACATGTTCGTGGCGTGGTCTCGCGCTTGCCTTCAGCATGGACGTCAACATGCCGAAGTAAGCACTATCCGGGCAATCCTCGCAACCGCTGTCGGCGCTAACCTGAGTCCCTTTTTGATGTACTTTCTCAGCATGGACGGGCTTGAAGCAACTCGCCGTATCATCGAGTTGATGCCCAACCCAGCGACTCGGTGAGTGTTTCGAATCGAGAGACTGAGATGTACTGTGCACGAAAGTTTTCACTGATCTAAACCTCTGCATCCATATTTAGCCCCATGATCGTCTGCCTCACAGCGAATGCGATGAGCGACGATCGAGAAAAGTGCTTGGCAGCCGGTGGAGAGTAAGTCGATCGGTTGAGGTCGGGTTGTTGAGGTCGGGTTTTGGATGTCGAGGGATCGTAGCTGATGCGAGTGTTTCCTTTCGTTTGCAGTGGCTATGTGTCCAAGCCCATCCTGGTGCCCGATCTTGTCGCAGCGTGAGTCTCCCCCCACTTCCTCTATTGCCTGCAGCGCGAATCGTTCAAGCACTGACCTCGCAGTTGTGGACTCTGACATAGCCTCAATGACGCAAGCGCGAGGGTGAACCGAAGACGACTGTCACTGGTGGGCACGAGCGGGCCAAGCGACGACGCCTCTAGCGGATCCAATTCACCGTTCCCCGTCGTCAACCCTTTCGACACCGCAGCGGCCGCCGAGCGTGTGGGTCGCCTCTCGGGTGCGTTGGCCTTGCCCACTACTCGCCAGAGCCTGTCCCCTGCCCACTCCCCCAGGTCCATCATGTCTCGTCGTAATCAGAGCCGAAAGGATCGCGAGGAGCAAGCCGGCGACAGCTCTCTATCAGACTCGTCACCCTCCCCACCGGTCCCGCACTATCGTTTAAGCCCCTCACCGTCGCCTAGTTGATACTCCGACGGCCTGGTCGGCCTTGGGTTCCCCCTATTCTTTTTTGGTTGCCTTTTTGAAGAGAAGTTGTTCATTGTATTCTGTGGACTGTCCTAAACAAGGTGTTGTACTTCTCTAGCTTGGTTGTAGTCTGGCCCCGTCTGCATTTCATACGAGCAGCAGGCTCGGGGTCTCTATCGACAATATTCTGGACCGGGCGCCCCGGAGTGAATAATTTTCCGAGCGATGCCATCGCGTCATTTGACGCTCGCAACCTACGGGCGCTGTATGTCGACAGAACAACAATGTTTGATGGAGCAGCATATTGATCATTAGGCCACCATTTCACGAGAAAGGGCATAGGGGTTTGAGGACAACATGTGTTTACGGCAAGCACGCGAGTGAGAGCGAAAGATCGAGAGTAAAAAAAGGTCATGGGTGAAGCATGAACCGGTGAGGGTAGAAAATCGAAGGGGAGAACGCTGGACGGAACATAAGCAGCCTTTGTCGAGACAGGGCCTGAGCCACCGTCGACACCACGAGATAGCAAGAGTCCGCAGAAATGTAAGGCGGGGGTTGACGTTTACTTGGATCCCGAGGAGAACTTGGTGACGGCCTTGGTTCCTTCCGAGATGGCGTGCTTGGACAACTCTCCGGGGAGGATGAGGCGGACCGAGGTCTGGATCTCTCGCGAAGAGATGGTCGACTTGCGGTTGTACGACGCGAGCTTGGAGGCCTCAGTGGCGATGCGCTCGAAGCTGGAAAAGATAATGGGAATTAGCCCCAGGTCTCACGTGACTTTGGAGGAGGATCGCGTCGAAGAGGGTCGGCGAGAAAGTAGTCGACTTACATATCGTTGACGAACGAGTTGAGGATGAGCATGGCCTTGTTGGAGATACCAGTGTCGGGGTGGACCTGCTTCAGCACCTTGCTATATGAACGGGCGAAACATCAGTGACGCGACGCGTGCATTGATCAGACGACGATCAGCTCTCGGCCCGATGAGCTCCCGAAACACCCCAGGTGAGGGTAACGCACTAGATGTACGAAGAGTAGGTCTCCTTTCGGACCTTGCGCTTCTTCTTCTTGTCACCATCGGCGGCGGGGGCCTTCTTGACGGCCTTCTTGGCGGGGGCTTTGCCAGCGGGCGCCTTGGACGCCGGTGCCTTGCCGGCGGTCGAGGCGGGCTTCTTCTCAGCAGCTTTGGGGGCCATTATGAATGATAGAGGTTGGGGTTGGAGGTTGGGTCGGGTTGGTAAAAGCGGGATGGGGAGGGAGGAAGACAAGAACCAGAAGCACTGAAGTGAGTGAGGCAACTCGCGAGCGCCGGCGTTTGTTTTGGTCGGTTGTTTGTGAAGCTCCTCGACTTTGGCGCGCGAGATGTCGCAACCTAGCCCGAGTCAGTTCCTCATTTCGTCACCCAAGGTGCAAATGTGCGCCTAGTGTGGCTCAGGCCCTATCCCGAGTCGCTGCTTACGTTCGCCACCAGTCATCAAAGGTCACCAAATTTCAATATAGTAATTTCGAGTGGCCCTCGCTCCTCGGCGCGTCTGCCTTTCTCTCTTCTTTTCTTCACCCCGCATTCATCCAACTCAACTTCAACCCACCCAAACTCTTCCACCCCAACCCACTTTACATCAACATGTCTTCAGGCGGCAAATCAGGTCAGTTATCAACGAGGCACGAACCTACATTGATGTGAATCACTGAACCCACGTCGTGCTCTCTTCTGGCAAACACAGGAGGCAAGGCCAAGGCCGGAGCTGACTCCAAGACTCAATCGCGCTCGTCCAAGGCCGGATTGCAGTTCCCCGTCGGTCGTATCCATCGTTTGTTGCGCCGAGGCAACTACGCCCAGCGTGTCGGTGAGTCTTTACAGGCAGAAGCTCTAGAGAGCCATCGCGTGATCCAAGGAAGTGAGATTGACCTCGCCTCACTTCTCTATCTCTTCCTCTCAGGTGCCGGTGCGCCCGTATACCTCGCCGCCGTCCTCGAATACCTGGCCGCCGAGATCCTCGAGTTGGCTGGTAACGCCGCCCGTGACAACAAGAAGTCGCGTATTATCCCCCGTCACTTGCAGCTCGCGATCCGCAACGACGAGGAGTTGAACCGCCTCCTCGGCGCCGTCGTCATCTCCCAGGGTGGTGTATTGCCCAACATCCACTCGGAGCTCTTGCCCACCAAGCCCAAGAAGCCCGAGAAGGCGGAGTAAACTGTCCTATGACCGTTACCCACCATCTCCTTCCACTCGACACTTTATTCGACTTTCATCTTGTGCTCGGGGCCCGACATTCGAATGCGAAGATCTTGGGTTTTCCTCCTCGCTTGGGAATCCCTATCTTCTCTTCGATCGCCAAACCCCAAAGACCGATCTTTTTTTCACCATCATCCCTTTCTTTGGACCCACGACGTGCGCTCGTGCTCGTTTGTTGCAGTTGGATCGGACTCTTTTTATGTTGCCAACATTTTTTCGGTATCAGACCTGTAACACTCGAGAAACGCGCTGTCCGCAGTTGTCCCCTTCACCCTGCATGAATTGTTTTCGAAGGCAGGCGAGCTGAGAGAAGACATCCGCGAACACTTTAGCCTTCAGTTTTGATCCAGCGCTAGCGAACAGCGCAGTTCGGTATTTCAGCATGAACTTTTCACACACAACGAAGACGCCTGCAAAAACCTCTTGTATATGGCATATCATCTACAGAGGCGGTCCTGCACCCATCTTTGCCATCTTCTTATCATTGCCTCTCTGCCTTCTGACGTGCGCCGCACGATTGCCATCGCCTCGTCCTCCTCGCCCACCGCCTCGTCCGCCTCTCGCGCCACCGCCACCGCCACCGCCACCTCGCCCTCGTCCCCTACCCCGACCAAGGCCCTGATCATGATTCCCTCCTCCTCTCCCTCCCGCATTCGGTCGTGCCTCTCCGTCCTCGTCTTCCTCGTCGCTGTCGTCCTCTTCCGACCCCGGACCAGCATGTCGTTCTTTGACATCCTCGACCATCCTACGCTCCAACACCTTCTCCTTCCTCTTCGGGTCCCTCTCCAGCATGATCCTCCACCCTTCCAGCTGTTCATCCCCGAGTCCAGTCTTCTGCTTCAACTCGGCCCTCATCTTGGATTTGCGCGTCGCTGACGACCGATCGAACAAAGCCGGATCGGAGAGGTAAGTTCGTTCAAGCAATTTAACGAGCGTCGCGTTATTGAACGCGTTCAAAGTCGACGTATCACTTGCAGCAACACTTCCCTTCAAAGGCGTGTTCGCCCCAGACGTCGTAGTAGCAAGGGGTGTTTCAATCCCTTCGTTACGGTCCCGAACTTCGAACGAGCGTTCAACCGCTCTGAACCGGTCCTCCTCATCATCATCAACAACTTCTTCATCATCGTCATTTTCCGAATCGGAAGATTCTCGTTCGGCTCGTTCGATGATGAGCGCTTTGAGTTGTTCGGTCATGAACGACTGATCGGCGAGGAACTGCTTCGATTCGTTTTGGTCGTGTACCGTGGATCGGTTCGTCTTGAGCAAGGTCGGGTTCAGCGACGCCGAGTCAAAGATGTTGGAGCGGATGATGGGTGCGTGCGCATCATTCGGCCGGGGAGGGACAGATTGGGTTGGAATCTTTGTCGGTTCTTCGATCTTAGTAGATGGGACGGGATTGCGAAGAAGTTCATCCAAATCCGAGGGTAAACTCTCCTCGAAGATGGAGGCGATGACGGCTTCGGAGGGGGCAGAGGTCGATGAGAACCTTGGGTGGAGCAAGCATGTGCGCAGAAAATTGGGCGATAGGTCGGGTAGCACGTCCAGGATTTGACTGATCTGCAAAGAGAGGAGATCCTGTGTTGTACAAGCTTGGGTTAGTGTGGGGGTACAGCCTTTGGAGCTGGATAGAGTCGACTCGCCTCTTGTTCTGGTGAAAGCACTTCTTGCTCCACGACCTTTCCTTTGCCTTTACCCGGCACGCTGTCGTGGGCTGGTCTCGACACGGGTCGGAGACTTTGCAGTCGTTTGAACCACTCGCCGACCTCTCGACTTTGCAGACCTCGTAATCCTTGAACCAGTCGATCGATCTTTGCTTTGATCTCGTTGGCTGAGGCCCTGCCGCTCGACCGTTGCAATGTCGCCGATGTGGAGAATAAGGTCTCGAGATCGGCCAAGAGAGGTGCATCGACACCCGCTTTCGGTATGGAGGACGAGGACGAGGACTCCTGGCTCGAATGTAGTACGGGCCGGAGGACGGTGTCGAGTTGGACGAGGAGGACGTGGACATCCTGATCGTTTTGAGCCGAACGAAGTGGGGTCCAGAACGCGGCTTCGAGCATCGCTTCGACAGTAGAAAGGATAAAGACCTTCTGATGCAGTTGCTGCTCGATTTGGCCACTGGAGATCGTAGATTGATAGAGCTTGTGGAACGCTTGCCATACCTCGGGATGACGTGCATATGCTCGAGCGATCGTCGAACTGACTCGGATCATCGCCATTGAAAGTTGGCAAAGTTGCCACTCGTCGTCTGTTTCGTTTGATGAATGGGACGCGAAGACTAGGGGCGCCGTGTTGAGAACTTGGTCGTGGATGGTCGAGTCGACTCGCAGCACTCGATCGAGGACTGACTCGACTCGCGCGCGGTCGGTCGGACCAAAGTGGAGCGCATACAGGCCACAGAGCGTGTAGGTGAACGTGCCAGAGAGGTGCGAGAGTCGATCCAAGAGCGCATGAAGGAGCGGTCGATGCGGGTCGCCGGGATGGCTCGTCGATAGGAGGTGGTACAAGGTCGTACGGAGCGAGGGCTGCGACAGGAGCGAGACGAGGTGCGGAGCAGCGACTTGGTGTACGAGCAGCGTCAGCAGTTGAGTTGCCTGCGACGAGGTGAGGGGGGATGTTGGCACCGTCATGGGTCGTAATCGAAACAGCTCCGATCGACAGGCTGAACGGTCACGCTGACACGGAGGAGAGGAGAGAGAGGAGGCCGTGCGACGTTTGCTCGTGTGGGGGACTCCGACTGGGCCGGCTCGATCCAGTATTTCACCGCTGACCTCAGAGTGTCGAATTTTGCCACAACATTGTCAACCTGCAACCTCGGTTTGCGAAGCCTGTTCTGTTTTGTATTTTGAGAATTTATCGATGGAGTGTAAGCACCTCGCTGGGCTGCTGCGACTGCCAGTGCAGACGATCCGGCGAGTGCAGTGTGACTCGACCGGCGCTTGAATTTCTAACCGCTGATCTACAATGACGCTGCGTGGCGAGTGTGCTCGTCGCGGAGGTGCGTCGCCGCCTGTCGCCGCGCTGCTCTTCCGGCCGACGTCCACTCAATCGTCATTGTCGGGTTCGGGCTTGGCAACGAGCTCATCTAGGCTCATCTCTCGTCCACCCCAGCATCGACTTGGCATTCGCCGACTCGTGTTGTGAACTCTTTCTTCTGCTACCTATCGCCCACTCGCCGACCTCCGACCTCCGAACATTGGCAGCCGAGACACCTCGTCCAAAACCGAGACCAGCTAGCTGGCTCGGGCTCGCGCTTCTCCTTATCACGCTTTCCCCATTAGGGTCCCTTCGGTGCCTCGCTCCGCCCCACCAGTGCCACCAGCGACCACCGTCCTGTCACGCTTCATCCGCTGCTGTGCTGCTGTACCTGACGAGCGCGTAGACAAGGGATGGTCTTCATCATCCGATCGTCGACGCTGGCCGAATTGGAGAATGCCCCGAACCCTCTGCCGGCGCTCGTCCTGGTCGTAGTCGAATCGCAAGTGCCTCCTCCCCTCCGCCCTTGCATTTGTTTCCTGGCCTGTCAGACGAAGGCGGTCCTGGTGTTGTTCGGAGCTGACGATCAGCCTTTGTCTTGTCTTTTCTTCTTCACACCATACTGCGTGGCATCACAGCATATTGGAAGTCTTTTTTCTCTGGTCAGTAGCTCATACTCCAGATGACATGTACCCCTGTTGGATCATCACCTCTTGGCACTGATTCGCTCGGCTTCCTCTCCCCCCCCCGCCCTTTCCCCCACTTGCGATCTCCGCGGCCTTCCGCCATGCCATCGGTGCCAATTCGACGCCATAGTCTCGTAGGATGGATCCTTGCCAAGAAAGGAATTGTCGATGACAAGGCCAAAAAGGTCGGTTCATCATCACCCACGCTTTGTCACCGAACAGAAGACTGATCTACATGCGAGTTTCATCTAACAGATCTTAAACAAACGTCAGTTCCTGATACCACCACTGTGGCGTCCCTCAAACCTCGGAAGGTCGCTAATCGCCAATTTTTCACAGTCAATGTTTCCCTCTTCACTCCTGCTCTCCTCTTCTCCAAAGTCGCCTTCTCCCTCACGCCGGACAAGCTCGCGGACCTCATCATCATTCCGATCGGGTTCGTCATCTGCACCGTTTTCTCCGCCGGCGTCGCGTTCGCCATCGCCAAGGTGTTTCGACTCAAAAAGGCGCAGAGGAACTTTGCGATCGCGTGTACCATGTTCCAAAATTCCAACTCGCTGCCCGTTAGTTTCCAGTTTCCGTCGCGCTGATCGGTGTGGGGCGCTTCCCGTGCCCTTGGAACGAGGTTCTGACCTGACTCGATTGTATCACACCAGATCGCTTTGATGCAGTCCCTGATTGGGGAAAAGATGCCTTTGAGATGGGGGCCCCACGACACCAAGGACCAGATGCTCGGTCGAGCCTTATCCTACCTCGTCCTGTTCTCAACCCTCGGCATCATCGTCCGATGGTCATTCGGAGTGCGGTTGTTGACCTCCGCGGAGACTGAGCAGGACGAGCTTGAATCGGTGGATGAGGAGGACGGTGAGGAAATCGATGACCTCGATGTTTCGCCCGACCTCGATGCGACATCGCCCTTGTTGGACTCGGACGAATACCGCTCCAAGCATCGCAGGAGAACGGCGAGTGGATTGTTGTCGAGCAACGGCAAGCACGCAGGCAACAAACCTTCCCATTTGGGCAACGGGATCGAAAATGGGATCGAAGGAGCTGGAGCATGGGCTCAGTCTCAGGCCGAAGGGAGGGGTCACGGATCGAGGACTTCGAGTGGGGATTCATTCGAGGGCGACGCTGGAGGATCGATCAAGTCCAAGAACGGCAACGGAGCTGCCAAGAACGGCATTTTGCTTGTTAAGGAGCCAGAAGAGCTGCCTTCCTCCGCGCCCCTCAAGGTAGATCCCAATGCTACGCCGCGACCGAACAAGAAGCGCACCGCCGATCGTATTTTTATGAGTTTCCCCAATACGCCGATCCCTTCGCAATACGGGAGTGAGGTCGACGACGAGGATCGGGAGTACTCGGATGATGATGAAGAGGACCAGGAGATGAGGGAGTGGGGACCCAGGAGTCCGGCTCCGGCTAGGGGAGATCGCGATGGGTGGTTCGAGGGAGAGCGGGCGCAAGCTGTTCGACGCACGTTTGCAAAGGTGTGGAGACCGATCAAGAGGTTTGGGATCAAGATTGGCGCATTCGTGAGTGCGCTTGGGGGGGGGGGGGGGGGGCTCTTGCTCGTGTACGTGTGCTGACTACTCGATCGAGGGTGTTTGCAGATGACTGTACCGTTGTGGGCCGCGTTGCTCTCGCTCGTCGTGGCCTGCATCCCTCCACTTCAGTGGGCTCTGAACGAAGCCAAGCCCTTGAAATCGTGAGCAGGGCACCTTGACATCTGGCCGACATGTCACGCCCAAACTGATGCCGATCATGTGGTGTGCAATAGAGCGATCAGAAACGCCGGCAATTGCTCCGTCCCGATCACGCTCGTCACCCTCGGCGCCTACTTCTACCGCCCCTCTGCACCCACCTCGCCTTCAGACCCCAAGCTAACTTTCTGGGAGCGCCTCAATCCATTCCGTAAATTGACCGCGGCCGAACGTCGTGAACGTCGAAGAACGTCAAGTCCCGGAGAAACGCGGACCGTGCTCGTTGCGGTCCTCAGTCGGATGATCATCGTCCCTGCCTTGCTGATCCCGATCTTTGGGTATTACGCGGCTATGACGGTCAACGTCGCGGACGATCCCATCTTTGTCGTTGTCGCTTGCCTTCTCATTGGGTTCGTCTACCGTTGTTTTGAGTTTTCGGCGAAGCACGAGGTTGCAGGCTGACGTTTGATTCGACATCTATACAGGAGTCCAACGGCCATCACCTTGGCGCAAATCACGTCCAGCGCTTCGGGCGAAACGTTCGAGAAACTCATTTCGAGAACCTTGTTCGTTTCATATGCCATCATGACGTGAGTGGTCTTTTTTCCGTAGAGGCCGATCTCGGCGAATCACGGGAGCTGATAGAGTCTTTTTTGCACTGTTCTGCCAGCCCTCCTTGTACGATCGCGTTGGTGCTCGCTGCGTTGCGCATTGATCAGAATCAGCAGTAAACGGAGGCCCTGCCTTCGTCTCCGCGACTCTCGAGTCGAGATGCCCGGAACGCGGTTGCAGGATCAGGTAAATGATCACTGCCTCGCTTGTGTATCTGTGAATTATCTTCTGGTGTGTATGTTTTTGTGAATACACGTGTAGCTCTTTCTCGACGGAGTGATTTGTTTGCGTACGATGGGCTTTGTGAGCGTCGGCGATCGTTTCGGTGTGATCGGCGGGCGTGACGGTGTTCTCTTCTGGCAAGACGTTGGCGTAGCGCTCTCCTTGCGCTCGCCGCTCGCACTCGCCACCGAGTCGTGCACCGCCCGCCAAGTTCAACAAAAGGTGATCAAAAACGCTTTGACTAGTCAATCGCGTCATGACTTCTGCAATCTTGCCTCACCTGCGTGCGCCGTTTCGTCTTCTGCGTAACTATCTGCCCACGACACGTCCATCGTCTCAGCCACGTCACGCCTTCTCAACTGGTTCCGGATCTTTGCTAGCCGGTCATACCTCAAGCATCACTTCACGAGCGATCGGATACGAGAAACATGGTGACCCATGTGAAGAGGGGACTCTGGATGTGCGCGAGTACGAACTACCTCGTTTGCAAAAGGGTCAACTGAGGCTTAGGTTCGAGATGAGTGCTTTGAGTGAGTGGTATGGCGCCTTTCGTGTCCGAGCTTGGGAAGGCGTGCATGCTTCGAAGATGCTGAGCAAACTTTTTGTTTTGTTTGGGGTTCGAATGCGGTTAGATCCGGCTGATATCGTTAGTCTGACTTGCTGCGGTGTTTAGGCTACTTTGTCTGATCAAAACTGCTTCACATACCCACCTTCACGTAGAACGTCATACAAGGGGTATACCCAACTAAACCTACCGCTCAAACAATCAATGGGAGCACGTTCACGGTCATGGGGAATGAAGGTACCGCTATCGTAGAAGGTTTCGAGGAGGACGGAAAAGTCGAACACGAATTCAACGTCGGAGATCGAGGTGAGCTTCAATTTTTTGGTGACGACCTTTGCTTGTTACAAGGCAGTTGGAAGGCTGACAGGATTAGGGTGTTGAATTGTTTCGATGTCAGTCGTTATGGCCAAGGCGCAGATGGGTACGTTTGGGCTGTCCGCTTTCGAGGGGGAAGAACTCTCTTTTTCATTTCCGCCTTCGTCGTTCGGGTTCCGATCCTGATCCTCATCCCCGCCGTTACCTATCATCTAATCACAAACGTCCAACACCCCCTGATCTCGTAAACAGGAACATGGCAAACCCACCTCAACGCCTTCCCCTCCGAGTTAATCCGACTGCCTTCTTCGAGCCATAACACGACCTCAGCGACTCGACTGACCGCGTCCCAAGCCGCAACGCTCTGCATCAACCCTCCGACGGCATTCCGGATCCTATCGGACAACTTGTCGATCAATCACGCCTCGTCCTCTGATCGATCACAATGGCTCATTCAGAACGGTGCCAATTCGGCGGTCGGGCAAAGTGTGATTCAATTGGCTCGAATTTGGGGAATCAACACGATCAACCTCGTTCGAGCGAGGAGTACGCAACACGAAACTGAGAGTTTGAAGAAGGACTTGAAATCGTTAGGCGCTGACGTCGTTTTGACGTACGATGAGTTTTTACGAAAAGGTGGACCGGAGGAAGTTAAGGTTCTGGTTGGGAAGGATGAAGGTGGTCGGCTCAAGTTGGCGTTGAATTGCGTGGGAGGGGACGAGATTAAAGGGATGTTGAAGGTGTTGGATCGGGGCGCCAATTTGGTCACGTATGGTGGGATGGCGAAGAAGGGGTTGACTTTGTCGCCGAGCATGTTCATCTTCAAGGATTTGACCGCGTACGTCCTCTTCTGCGTCCGTTTTTTTCGGATCGTGGCGTGGCGCTTACGATTAATGACTGAGACGGGGTCGTTTTTTGGGGGCTTTTTACAGTAAAGGGTTCTGGCTTTCTAACTGGGTCAAGCAACAAAACGACAATGGCCAAGCCCGTCTCGAGATGATGCACCAACTCGTCTCGTTCATCGAAGCCGGGCAATTCGTCACGCCCAAAGTCGAGATCGTCTCCTTGGGACCCAAAAGTGGGCTCAGTATCGAGGAAGCCAAGAGTCGGGTGAGGGAAGTCATGAAGCGGCAGATGGAGGGTAGGGCCAAGAAGGTTTTGTTCGAATTCGAGTGAGCCAATGATGTGGAGCCAGTTTGGGTTCAATGAATTAGGAATTGCAAGCGAATGTTGTTTTAAACAATGTAGAGTCTACAAAGCGAGCAGCGAGAGACGAGATGCTGCAAACGAGGAGCTTCAGATGCGAAGAAGCAGCGAACGAAAACAAACCCGAGTCGAAAGCTTAACGGAACCTTCCCAGCTCAGAACTCGTACCCATGATCGAAGCCGGCATCGACACCATGCGAGATCCACGACATCATATCACTGGCATACGAGTCGTCATTACCGTCCTTTGTTCCGCCCAAGAGGTCCTTCTTGACCTCGTCGGCTTCCTCTTCTTCATCCTCTTCCTCCTGAGCGTCATCGAGCTCGATCGCTTCCTCCTCGTGGGGATGCTCTTCGTCACCCGAACTAACATCCTCGTCGTCGTCCTCTTCGTCATCGTCTTCGTCTTCGTCATCCTCATCATGATCATCAGTCGAATCATCCAACTCGACCTCGAGTCGAACATAGTCCTGATTCTGCGCCAACTCGTTCCCTTCGAACGTCAAGCCAGCCTTGCGCCTCTTCTCCGCCCTACCCTCCCCCACCCCCTCTCCCCCTCCCTCCCCCTCATCAACTTTCCTCTTCTCACCCACGGTCCATTCCGGTCCCGCATTCCAATCGATCCCCAACTCCTCCCCACCCTCCTTCTTGTCCCCCTCACCACCACCACCACCACCACCCCCACCACCCCCACTCTTGACCTCATTCCTCCTCCTCAAAACATGAGGCAATCGACACCCCTTCTCCTCACAAACGCCCGTCTCACTGAACCGAGGACATTCGTTCGCATGCCTCGAACGACACTTTTCCCCCAATTCGCACCACCCGTATTCGACGAACGGTCGACAAATCGTCGATTCGGATAAAGCGGGCAGTCCGTCGATATGGGAGAAGGGGCAATTCGGTCGACGGGTACAATGAGGGTGGTGGATGCAATGAGGTGAACGGTGCGCGTTAGGTTCGTGCGAGAGCGTACAGGTCGAAGAATCGAAGGCGCATTTGGATCGTAGGAAGTTGGGACAGATCGAGACGCGGTGCGAATCGTGGATGTAGCGGCAGCGGAGACCGTTCGTGCATTGGCCTGGTGGGTTTTTAAAGAGCGCGAGTGGAAGTGAGGAACGAAGGGGACGTACCAGGTTAATGAAAGAGGTGATCGAAAGGGGTGCGGAACATGAAAGGTCAGAAAATGTAAGGATCGCAGCAAGCTCTTGAGTCGAGGGGGGTCGGATTCGATGCAAAGCAAGCCACGATCGACGGCGCGTGGGTTTGAGTGGGTTCTCACCGGTTTTCTGGAAGAAACGACACAGCTTCATCGACTTGGGTCGAGTTGAGGTGCTGCATGGAACAAAATCATGAGATCACAGAATCGAGTGCTCTGTGGCGATGTTAGCATTCATGACGAACCTCTTGGCACCCCCTCTACCACCCCGCTTGGACCCGCTCGTCCTCGTCGAACGAGCGCTATTCCTCGCATTCTGGACATCATGGACGATCCCGACCAGTCGATCGAGTCGAGCCTTCTTGGCTTCAAAGTGCTTCTTGTCGCTCAGTTCCTTTCTCTTGCGCGCGACGTCGAGGGAGATGAGGTTGCCGTTCTTGGTGCGGATGTAGGTCGTGCCCGAGACGGAGGCGCGACGCGGGGTCAATGCTTTGGTCGGGTCCGAGCTCGAGCTCGTTGATGCCATCGTTGGGGCTGGAGGGAGTGAAAGTGTCAGGTTTTGGGACAAGAGCGAGGGGGAGTGCGGAGCTGCGAACTTACCGGTGGTGGCCGAGGTCTTGCGAATGAGCTTGTGGGCCCTCGCGTCGGTGATGAACTTGACCCCGTCGATGAGAACCTCCTTCATGGGTGCATGTCGGGATGTGCTCGCTGATGGAGCGGTGCTTGACAAGGTGGTGGAAGTAGTGGTCGAGGGCGGGGATGTGGTCGAGGTTGATTCGGTGTTGATCGTCGTCGTCGAGGTCGACGTCGCTGCAGGGCTCTGGTCCTTGTTGAGCACGAGGACCTTGTTGCGGAAGCCTCCTACGGGAACAGGTGGTCTTGACGTGGTCGCAAAGGGGGTCGTCGCCACGGGGGTCGTCGATGACGATGCTGATGATGGTGTAGTGGCCGAGGAAGTGCGGGCTAGTGCCGGTGCGTGCCAGGTGGCGTTGCGATGAACGAACGCGCCTCCTCTACCTCCTCTACCTCCCCACCCTCTCACCCCTCTACCTCTCGACGCCCCTCTACCCCTGGAGTTTCCTCTGCCAGGGTTCCAAGTCGTGGGGTAAACGGGTGCTTCTCCCGTGGCGGCTACGTGGGCCTTGTGCTGCGCGATCGCATCTGTACGACCGCGCGGTCGGTCGGGTGGCGTCCGGCAGTCCAAGTCAGCGCACACGCAAGATCACTCGGGGCAGTGGGAACGAACGTACTGGACAGTCGAGCGATCTCGGCTTGAATTGCGTGCTCGTTCATCTTGTGTGCGGAGATGGGGCTGTGTCGCGTGCCGTGCCGTGCCGTGCCGTGCCGTGCCGTGCTCAGAGTGGAGAGCGAAAGGGGTGAGCGAAGCAGGCGCAGGAGGGGCTTTACCTCCGAGTGTACAAAGTCTGTGCAAGTTCCAAAGTGGTTCTAATGTCAAATTCACGCGCGCCTTACTAATTATTAGCAATCGCCGACGCGTCCGCGCGCTCCAAAAAGGAACGAGAGCCACCCGTTTCACTTTTGGGGCTCATTTCACTGGCATTTCACTGGGACTAATGGCCCACTTTGTCGCGTCGGGCGCGTCCAACCAACCTCAACCCCCTCCGAGGCACTCCTCGCTGCGCGCCGTCCCCACAGCGATGGCCGACCCAAGTCAAACACCCATTCCCGACGTCGTGGGTCATCAAGACGTCGACATGGTCGAGGCGCCTCGAACGGCCACTGAGCAAGGTCGCACCCACCATCTTTCACCTCGCGACTCGGAGGGTCATCTCACTTTGACCCAGCGCGTCTCCGAGCATCCCGACACCACCACCGATCAAACTGCATCTACCGACAACGGAGCATCGACCAGCAATCCTAGTGGGTTAGACTCCGCTCACCTTACTACGACCGCCCACGGCGATGCGAATGCGAATGCGAATGCGAATGCGAATGCGAATGGTGCGGTCGACGCGTCGCGCGGCGACCAGCAAACTTCGCCCGCCTCGAGCTCGCCCCCACCATCGGCGCTACGAACGAGCGAGGCACCCCTGTTCCGATCGCCCAGCACCGACAGGGAGGAGGACGACGATCACTCCTACAGCCAAAGCGAGGACCGAGCACCCCCCTCTCCCGTTCACGCTCACCGACCTTCCAACCGCGACGACAAGGAGAATGCTTCCCTTGCGGCCCGTCCTCCGAATAATGGTGTCCTCGGCGTCAGCACCCATAGCGGCGCCGTAGCAGGTCCATCCTCCCCGACCAACTCGTCGCCTCAGTCGAGCCTTACCCCTCCTCCTTCACCCGAACCGTCGGAGGCTCGGGAACGTCCCACGAAACGACCCAAGCATGCCACCTCGTCCCAACTCGAACTCGCGACTGCCGACGGCGCTCGACCCAAGACGACGATCCCTTCCCCACCCTATTACAGCGTCGTACGGTCCAAACCCAACTCTCCGGCGAACCCGCACGTCCTACGTATACACCCGGGCGTGACCGACGCCCCCAAGAGCCGCGTCAGTTGGCCCAAGAATGTGACACCGGGAGAACGCGTCGCCGGCAAAGTGAACTGGTACGAGCTGCAGTCCAAAGACTCCGGCACGCACAAGCTGTGGAGGATCAACTTGGGCCACTCGTTGGCTCGAGATCTCAACTTGGACGATGGAGGTACGTGAACGGCGCGAAAATCTTGCCTCTCGATCTTGGGAAGGACATAAGACCTGCCACTTACGCTCGTTGGTCACAAATATCCTTCTCTGCAGAGGGTGAGGCCTGGATACTTGATTCTTGGCCCGACGACTACGTCTTTACGATCCACCATTCATCGTCGACGTCTTCGCACAAGGATCGAACGGACCCTTACCTCTTTGGCTCACCCGCGACCAAAAAATTTCGCTCGGTCAACGAGTTTGCGCCTCACCTGTTCTGGCTCGCGCGTCGTTGGTCCGACGAGGGCATGAGATGTTATTGCAAATACTGCAACGGCAACAAACTACAACGCGTCGTGAATCATGATCTAGGTTTGAACCAATCACCGCTCTCTGGCGTTCGCTCTACCGGTGGCTCGATGCGCCCGGGAGGATCGAGACCGAGCTCGCCCGCTCGATCGATCGGATCCTCAGCGGGAGGCGCGCCTTCGTCGATCCAAAAGAAAAAGGTGAAACGAGTGCAGAGTAGCCTGATCCCAGAAGATCAGAAGGTATCGCATACGCCGAATGGCGCCAAATCATCCAAAGTCAATGGGGTGGCCATCGTCGGAACGAGCGAGCCCACCCCCGCGCAGTTCAAGACGCGTACCCTGGGCCCGACGTACAACGGCACGTACACGAACAAACAACGCGACATGGACCTCGGAGACGGTGCTCGGTACCGTTACTGCGAACTCGTGTGGGTCCGCCTACCCGAACCCCTGCGCGACCTTTCGGTTGCCGACTCCGAAGCGGAGGGTCACGTTCCCGACTTGACTTGTTGGCCCGCATTGATTTCGGATCGGTCGGTCAAGATCGAGTCGATCAAAGTCCCCTCCACGGTCCCTGGTGGCGCACCTACGATCCGTAACACGGAGACGTTCGTGTACTCGGCCAAACTCTTCGCCGCGTTCGACGAATTGACCCTGCTCAAGGAAACGTCCGTCATGCCTTGGAAGGGGTACGAAGCCGATCGGAACTTGACCCGACGGGATCTGATCCTCTCGCCCGAGGCGATTGCCCACGTTTGGGATGGCGTGGAATCGCATCGACCTCGATTGGACGACTTCAATGGCGACGTCAGAGCCGCGTCGACGAGCTTCTCCTTGGCGGCCCAAATCGCAGCGCATCTCGTCGTCACCTTTTCATTGATGGACAAGTACAAATTACTCGATGATCACATCAAGTTCGACCCCGAGGTCGTGCTCAGTCAGGAACAAAAGGCACGCGTCGAAGAACAACTTTCGGCGTCGCATTACCAACAAATGTGGTCCGGTCCAGAATTGATGTGGTCCGGCGAAATGGTGAGGTTGAAGCTCGACGTCGATGCGATCATTCACCCCTTCGCGGAAGGGTCGGAGCCTATCATTCGTGTGAATGGCAAGTTGGCCGAAGGGGCGAATTTGAGGAGTCTATTTTTCAAGACGACGGGTATTTACCGCACGGCGAAGAACTCGGGAATGCTCGCTGGCAAACTTTACGAACTGAGACCTATCGTCGAAGGGGACGATTCGAGTGCCGTCGCTGCAACGACTTTAGATTCGCCGACCAAGACGGGATCGATGTTTAAGAGCGCTTTGAGCAAGACCAAGTCCTTCTTTGGTGCATCTACAGCGACATCAGCATCGAACTCACCGAGCTCGCTTAACGGTTCTGGCGCAGGCCCTAGCAGCGCCGATCATCTCAACAAGCCTGTGGAGGAGCTGCGAGATCCTTACATCCCGTCCGCGCCCCCCGGCTACGAATTTCATTGCCTCACCCATCCGAACGAGAACATCCACCTCTCAACCGGCTACCTCGCCGGCCGCTACCACCCATTACCGAGCAACATGTTCCGCTCTCGCTCGGACGTTGAGAAGGCGATCGCGAGGGTTCCGGCGCTCAAGACTTTGGAAGCGGCGAGGGCGAGGGACCCGGTCAAGGATACGCTGACGATGCTCGAGAGGCAGTTGGCGATGGCGGGCTTGACTCCCGGTTTTTGGTCCCATTCAGAGGTGAGTTGTTAAGACCCGTTTTGGACCACCGTTGGTTCGGAGCTGATCGGGGGATTATCTCTCCTTGCTTGTGCAGGTGTACGTTTGGTGTCGCACTCGTCACGACGCCGTCATCGCTTCCGAAGAGAAGGGTCAGGTCAGTGTAATTTAGATCTTGCCCTTGCAAGTCCGTAAACGTCGCACGACTCATTCATGTTGTTCTGGCTTTTTCGATTTTTACAGAAAGAGATGTTTGAATTTTTCAAAACGAACTTGACATCAGAAGTGATCGAGCGCGTCGCTGCAATCAGCAAGGAGAAACGAGTCGCTCGCGTGCAGCTTTCACCTTCCCTGGGGTTGGAGACTGGGGAGGGGGGGAGCAAGGAAGAATGAGGGGTTTAATGCGGCACAAGATGCGGCACAGGATGAGGGCGGGCGGAAAACATGAAGGGCGTGACGAGTGGTCGAAATTCGGCTGTCGAGGTTTGAATTCGGTGACGCGAAGTATACGATGGCGCGGTCGTCCCGTTTTTTTTTTTTGGCGAGCCGAGGTGAACGATTTTTTAGTGCGGCTTGGCTTGAAAGGGCTGTCAGTGATGTTTCGAAGTTTTCTTCTGAATGATGTCAGGGGTGGTGTATTTCTGGGGTATCTTTAACTGCTTCGTCGGGTTCTTTTCTGCTTCTTCGCAATTCCCATAACCCATCATCTCAGTCTTTGAAGGCGCTTTTGACAATGCTTTTCATGTGGACAGTTCTAGGCTACCAGGGCGGAGCCTCCCCCTTCGAAAGAACCAGAAAACGCCCAAGAGATTTTTTTTCGGATAGTACAGGATTTGTTTTGAGCTAGAGTGCGGGGACGTGCTACGGGCCGCGGCGAAGCACTTTGGTGCGACTACTACGCCGTGAAGAACCTGTAGAAGACGAGGACCGGCCGCGTCGTCCCCGAGTCGAGATTCGACGGCTTCCTGATGGGCCCGTAGTAGTAGCCCCGCAATCGGGTGATTATCGATGCTTGATGATCATCAACAGTCAAAAAACAAGCGTGCGGCGAACTATCATTCTCTATTGCGCTGGTTGAGGATTCAAGTCAGGTGAATAGATGGCTGAATAGTAATGACAACAACGGATGATGGATGTGGGTACAGAAATCACTTCTACTCGCGGTCATCCTCGCTAGCTACCGTAACAAACCCCAGAGATCCGCTCCTTTTTACCGGGTATCCTCTCGGTCCCTTCCTGGGTACTCATAGCGGGTCAGCGAGCCCCAACCTCGCTCGAATCATCTGCGTTGTTTCGCCCTGAGTATTGACATAGTTGTCCACGCCTGGGACGCTGCCCCCCGCCTCGAGCAGTTTCCGCTCGTCCAATGTCAGGAACCGACCGCCTGGTCCTCGTGGTCTTCGCATCGCATGGGCGTGACGTGATTCGTGGATGTAGGGCTGGAAGGAAGGAAGGTAGCAAATACGCCAAATACCATAAGCCGCGGGTTCTCAGAAGACGGGAGGGAAAGGGAGGAGAGGAACTAACTTTACGCTGCCTCGACAATCGACCCATCTCTTCCAGCCTGGCCCTTGCTGCCCTCCGCTTGATGATCCGATGGTATTGCTTGGCGTTCACATACAATGGCTCGTCGGCCTGTTCCTCCTCTTCTCCGTCCCGACTTTCGAGCGGTGCCTCGCTCCCGTTGTCGTCCGCGGCGATAGAGGTGCCGGCGCCATCGTTGGGGTCCTCATGATTCGGCGTCGGGGCTGGCTCCGGGGCCCGTATTGCGGTTTGGAAAAAATCGTGCGTTGTTGATGAACTCGTTGAGCTAGCGGCATCGTTCGGATAGTTGTGATCGAACCCGTTTTGCGATGGTGGCCTCGATCTGTTCATCCCTGTAAGACTATTCGAGTATGCGTTCCCGGAGTGCATATGGTGGTGGGGTACATGGTGCGACTGTTGATGCGAGTGCTGGAGTTGAGGTGAGTGATGTTGTGGGTGTTGCATCTGTTGGTGCGGCGACGGCTGGTGGCTGTGATGACCGCCGTGACCGACCGCGACCGACGAGAGGGCATGCAGCGCCGAGTCGTTCATCGTGTCAGCCGAGAGCGAGCAGTACGTGGGATCGGGCGAGGGTGAACCCCGAGATCGGCCTTGCGAGGTCGACGTACTACAGTCGGGAGTTGGATCGTCTTGGCGCGACGGCCGATGACTGTCCTGCTCTGTGCGAGTCCGCTCTGGTAGCGGTGAGATACGGGCGGTAGAGTCTTGGCCCCTGTCCAGAGATAGTTCCGCTAGTCGCTCTAGAGACGACGAGCGATAAACAGATTAGAAAGGCTCAGGCGAACCAAGAACGGGAGATCAAACTCGTGGGGGGCACGGGCGAAAGCAGAGCGCGATTTGCGCCAGGCCCGTCCGAGACTCCGACCGCCAAGGCAACTAAGAATGACTAAAACTTACTATTAAGGCCAGCCGGATTGCGCCGCCGGCGGCCGGCTCCTTTCCCTGCCGAGCACGTGACCCTTCGCTACGCGCCGGGTGCAAAACCGCTTATAAGTGAGGTGAGGTGAGGTCATTTATTGCCAGTACATATCCGGGATCTTGCATAATTACAAATCAGTAGGCGAAATCATGGGCGCGTGATTTTATTTTTTTACGTCATGCCGGACTGCCTGTCGATTTGAGGTTGTTCGGTTGAGTCAAGTACGTCAAGCACGGGGATCTCAGGGGACCCGACGCCGGTTCCGAAGTTGCTCACAGGCTGCCGGGCGCTGCACTCACTCGGGCCGGTGCTCAAGATGATTAAGTTGTCAAGCTTGATGGCGATATAAGGTCGCTTCAGCGTTCCTCATTAGATAAGATACTCTCGCAGATATCCCTGAAGGTCTCTAGAGCTGAAGGCTTGTTCAAGGAACATCCCTGAAGTTCTTTTAGAGCTGAAGATATCTTCGCTCGGAGGCGGTCGCTTGGGACTTATTGGGAGTCTGTTGGACGGCAGTACCACAGTTCAAATATTGCAAAAACTGGATGAATTGGCAAAACGCTGGATTTTTGTTCATTTTTCCCTGGATTTCTTGTATTGGAGTTGTGTTGGTAAGTGCCGGGAAGACGAATCATGCCTGATCAAGCGGGAGAATGCTTTGCTGCCGATCGGTGTGCCTTTCCGTGTCGTCAGAGTCGTCCGAAATCTCCGCCTCCGCTGAGAACGACTGCCATGACGTCTTTGACACTTTGACTTCTTCGTGGCCGAACTAGTTTTAAGTTTATAAAAAGGGCGTTTTTGCGCCTCTGACGGGGCTTTCGGGGGTCCTCCGTTGGTCGCCTCTGGCAACCGGCCAGATGTGCGGTGCGCTCCCGTTCCCTTGACAACTTGTCAACACGACTGGGCACCAGCATCACGTACCTTGCACCTGAACAGCCTGAACACCCCCACCATGCCGACTCCATCGCCCTGTGACGCGCGGCAACAAGGGGGGCCTCACAGCTCGCTCAGCGACCCATTCGTGACTCCGATACGCCGACTGCCGACGGGCCAAGGTGGCAGCCCTTCATCAACTGTATCGCCACCCGGCTCAGACGGATCGAGCAGAGTATCAACTCAGACATCAACCGCGCCATCATCACCGCCGTTAACTTGTGGCCACCGCCGCGCCTCTCGCTCTTCGAGCGCCTCCGAGTGCGAGTCATCTGCAAGGTCGCACTCGGATGAAGAGAGTGAAGACGAAGGAGTCGACTGGCCACCCTTGAGGGACTATTTCATCAAGTCAATGGACGATTCGGAATCGGAGAGCAGCGGATCAGGGGCTTCAGGGATGCCAGAGATCACCTGGGAGTCGGGGAAGCCGACTTTGGTGAGTTGGCCTCGTTGATTCAGAACGCACTGCACTGAGCCAGCTTGGTTCAGGCAAGGGGTAAGAGGGTAAGGTTCTGATCGTTGACGAGTGCAATCGACCTGTGCAGAGAGCCCATGGACGTTACCTCACCTTCCGTGAACCAACAACTTTCGGCGACGTGGACTTTTCCGAGACCATGCCAGGTTCTGCCATCCTCACTCGCGAGGCCTATGAGGCCGATTGCGCCGACGCGATCGACGCCAACAAGAGCTCACACCACGTACAGCAAGCGACGCCCCGAGATTGGTCACGGGTCGCGGTAGTAGGTGATATCATGGTCAGGCGTCAGCAACTCTTTGGGGTGGCGACAAAGAAGCGCTCCACGAACGATTTGTGGGGTACATCCGTGCGCTCGCCTCCAACCCGATCCGCTTGCACGCCCTCGGCTTTATCCTCGTCGAATCGACCCTCGTCATCTTTCTTTGCACCCCTAGCGATCTACTGTTCAGCCCCGATATCGTATGCACGGAAGCGAATGGTTACCTCTCGACGTTCTTCGCCCGACTGCTCAACCTGACGGACTCGGAGCTTGGCATCGTCGCGAGCCTGTCTGCTTACCCGTTCGCCTTTGCCGCGTTGCCTCCACGGGTGCCTCGATATCGCGAGCATTTGGTGTCAGTCCCCACGTTCAGTCACGTCGAGGTTGTGGAACAGCTCTGCCGGAGCACCTTTGTGGATGGACGGTGCACGTCGGCCTATCGAGTCAGGGCGACTCGAGACGGCGGCGAGACGGAAGCGTCAACGTCTACCCAGGAATATGCCATGACGGTTTCTTTCGTAGCTGAGCCTCGAAGCGATGAACACGACCGCATCCGCCTCGCCATCGCTACAGCTTCACCCGAAGAGCGCGAAGGATTGACCAACATCGTCGATGTGTACCGCGAGAGCGAGTTCACCGTCGTGCCCAAGTTTCTCGGAGACGGCGACGGCTTACCCCGTCGATTCACGCCAAGGGCCTTGGAAGTCGCCTTTCATGAGCAATGCTTTGATCCAATCTGGGTCATCGATTCGACCGTCTCCCTTGCTCGAGTCATACTGGGCGTAGCCAAAGGTGAATGTCAGGCCTTGGCTATGAATGGGGCGTGCCAGCGCCATGTTCTCACGAGCCCCTGTCTTGTCTTCAGGTCTGCGTAATCTTTACCGGATGCACATCCTGCATCGTGACGTCTCGGCCGGGAACATTATGGTCGCTAAAGATGGGCAAGGTGTGCTCATCGATTACGACCTGGCCGTTTCCATCAAGGATGACGATCGAGCCTCGGCGAGCGAGCGAAGCCGCCTCGTGGTATGTCGTGACCGCACGACACAGTCACCGTTCGCCTAATCGATGCGTGAGCTGACAAGACCCAGTTGCTCGTTCTTATAGGGCAATTTTCACTTCATAGCTCGCCAAAGGTTCCCAGCCCGTGCTGGTGCGGGGAGGCTGGCTCTACCTCATCAGCCCTGGCATGACATCGAGCCGTTCGCGTACGTGATCCTCTTCCTCGTGTTCAGTCGACCTGAAGGACCGAATGGCCCGAAAGCCATGTCGGACCAGGCCAAAAAAATCTGGTCAGGTTGGGACAAGGGAGTCGGCGCCGTCTTGGCCAAGACTTCGCTCTTCCTCTGCCGACCCAGGCTGCAAAAGATACTCGATCGCTACGAAACGTTCTGGACCGGTGTTTCCGACCTGGTCGGGATCGTCGTCCGCTCTTGCGGATTGATGGACCCGCGTTCATGCAATCTGGTCATGGAAGAAGAAGCGCAGGTGGAAGACCAGTGGGAGCGGGGTCGAATCTCTCACAATCAATTCATTGCTGAGGTGTCCGCCTTCATCAACAAGCCTTCGACTGGGAGTGCCTGCATATGATTGCGTAGGATATTACTGTCTCCAGCAAGCAGCTGTCTGAGTGCCTGAGCCGGCACGAGTCCGTCTAGTGCTCCACCCGCTGCTCTCCATTCACGTGCTTTCGCCCGAAAGGGACTTGAAATGGACAACCTAACCCTCTCTGAGACATTCTTTGATGTTGGATCCGAGGACACGATGGCTGCTATAGCAAACAAGGTTAACTTCGTGGTAAGCCGTGCCCTTGGATCATGGTCCCTTCTCATTGACACCGTGCCGGTATGTACAACGTTGACCTGATTTGGGCCACGCAGATTGATCACAAAACACGGCGCAGGCTCGTCATGTGCGGTGCTTGCCCATCGGATGCCCTACCACCTTCAAGCGGAGATTACCCCAACACCGACAAGGCGTGTGATCTGATCGTATTCCTGGAAGCGTGCTATCGACCCGAGCTTGTCAAGCCGTGGACCCATTCGGCGGCCCATCCTGGCGAAGGTTGCAGATCGTCGAACGGCAAGGAGGATCAGGAGGATGGAACGAAGGACACCAGGTGTGTTAACCACGTTGTACGACTCGCTCCTCCGCTGAAGCTAAAACACCAACGTCGGAGCGTCGAGGTAGGCCGGAGCCGGCCGGTAGTGTCGCCGGCCGATTTGCCCTTTGGCCTTTGTGTTCGTAGTAACTGTGTCCCCTGTCTTGATCTCACCCAAAGCCGCAACGTGGTTTATACACCTGGTGTCCTTCGTTTCATCCTCCTGATCCTCCTTGCCGTTCGACGATCTGCAACCTTCGCCAGGATGGGCCGCCGAATGGGTCCACGGCTTGACAAGCTCGGGTTGATAGCACGCTTCCAGTTCCAAAGATATGATCAAATCACACGCCTTGTCGGTGTTGGGGTAATCTCCGCTTGAAGGTGGTAGGGCATCCGATGGGCAAGCACCGCACATGACGAGCCTGCGCCGTGTTTTGTGATCAATCTATTGTTACTGGTGGGTGAGACGCCAGTGTGAACCTCGCATGTAAACGACCTGAGCTATACTCCAGTCAGTCTTCATGCGAGAGCGAATGAAGAAGCAGAAAGGAAGAAGTGTAACTCAGGCGCAAGCTAATTTAACAAGCAGCCAGCCTCCCTACAGGTGGCTGGCATATGCCTCGCAGTCAGGGCAGAATTGAGATCCCACTGCAAGTGATGATAAAGACAATACTGCCATACTGCCGTTGAACCATATTGTCTGATCAAGTCCTCAGTCAACTCCTATCACCCTTCTCATCATCGGCCCCCTGTCCCAAGTCGGATCCTACTACAGAGACATGTCATGTCGTTGACAACTGAATGGGCCAGGAGGAGCGCCTCGGCGCGCGCCGCTTTCTTTTTGCCACATCAAGCTCATTTCGCCTCCTACGCCAGTTTGCACAACATCAAATACATCCCCAAAGTCCACAGATACCAACAAAAGAGTCAAAGTCCCTATAATCCAAAAACTCGAACCTCCCAAAAAAAAAACCTCCCAAAAATTTTTTTTTTTTGTAGAAAACGTTCATCATATTGCCCCCAATTCCTGTTCCCCCTGTTTCGGCCTACGGAAAAACTAGATGGAAGACTACGATGATAACACAAACCGCCCGCAAAAGTGCGAGAAACGAGCCAAGTCCACCAATCCGAGATTCGGATTCAAATGCCCTAGCCAAGCGGTTGCTCCCCCCAGGAGACGAATGAGAGAGAGAAAGAGAGATGAAGAGAAAGAGAAAGAGAAAGAGAAAGAAAAGAAATGTACTAACGACAGAAGGCCCACCCCACAGCCACTTCCCACTCGGTCGAGACGAAGACAAGAGCACGACTGCGCAACCACCACGACCCTCGACGCTCCAAGTCTCTGCTCAGTCACAACAAGACGCGGTGAAGGTCCCTCAAAACCTCCCCCTCGGCAGTCCCTGGCCCCTCAAAGCCGACTTTCTGCCTGTGTCCGCTGATCCCTCCCTTGACTCAGAACCCCGAAGCCGAAGAGCGCGAGCCACACCGAGTCGACGCCAAATCGCGAGATGGTCCATGATCCGCAACGGTGAACCTGTAACAAAAGAAAGAGGAAAGCGAGCTATTTAGTGTACAGTAGGAGAAAATGATGTCACGAGAATTTGGTGTGTGTGTGGTGGTGGGGGGAAAGTCGAACCCAGCCTCTACTGCCTTCTCCTCCCCCAAGCTCCTCCCGCCCTCAGCTTCAACCTCTCCTCCAAGATTATCCTCCTCCTCCCAACACCCTCCATCCTCGTCCCCCACTTCTGCATCCCCCACCTCCCGCTGCTGATCATCTCCAAGACCAGCCCGGTGAATATTTCGATCGTCCTCCCCGCTCCTTCTTGATCGCGCAGACTGGCCTTGAGCTTCGGAAGTCCGAACATGCGTTGAACGGCCGTGTAATGCGTGTTGTCGATCGTGTCGAGCCCCAGTGCGTCGCAGAGCACGCCCCTTGCCGCGATCCAAACGTTCCTAGAGTCAACGCAGTCGAAGAAGTAGTGCTCCCGATCGTCCTTGGGCGCTCCACAGACGAGGCACGCGGGCGAGTCGTCGTGCTTTTGATGAAACTGCAGACTCCGAGTCGGGGTGAAGTTCCTGACGAGCTTGAACCACACCTCGCGTTCCCTCGCCGTCAATGCCTTCGAGTTGACCCCCTTCCAGAATCCCTTGAGATCGTCGGGCTGCAGCGAGTCCCTGAAACCGATCGTGTCGGTGAAGGCCTTTGCATTCAAGACTCGGCGGACGCGACGGATGGTGTATGGCCGATCCATGCTGAGCAAGTTGTATTGTGTTGATTGGTCTGGGAGAGCCGGTCTCGGAAGGCGCTGCGGCGGGTCGATCGGATGGGGCAGGATCGACTCGAGCGGCGTGGTGGGGCGGACTCGGGGAGGCCCGTTGATTCGTACTGCCGCCACCGGTTGAGCTATTGGTGTGAACCTCAATCGATTGATCGCATGTCGGTACCATGCCACGATGTGCTCTCGTTGTGGGCGGCCCCGTTGATCGTATTCGCTGTTGCTGACGACCACATCCGTCGGCGGCGTCCAGAGATGAAAGCCCCCGCCCGGGTACAGCTCGCGTCGAAACAGGTCCGCTACCTTGGCGTAAATGGAAAACGCAGCATAGTCGGCGTCGTAGGGTGGTCGCGACACAGCTGGTGCTCCCGGTAGGTAGTGAAGGGTGTGCAACTTGATCGGAAGAGCGAGAAGGTTCGCGAGCGTCAACGTCCTCGGCTTGACTTGCGCATTGTGCGTCGATGGTACCTTCAGCACGGCCTGCCATCTTGGGTGTAGATCGGTTCGGATCGGAGTGTAGTCGCAAGGCCACGCATCGGTTGCCAAGTCAAAGTCGGGGGCGGGATGGGCTCGTACAATCGCCGCGCGCGCAAGTCCCTGCCAGATCGCATCCGAACCGCCAAGAAGCACGTCCCAGACGCGTGCCGCAACCGAGTCGACGACGTCCTGCATCCGCATGACCCCAAGACCCCCCTTGAACCTCGGTGTGAAGACGACGTCCTTGCCATAGCACGACCTCCTCTTGCCGCCGCGGACAAAGTCGGCGAGAATGCGATCAAGCTCCTTGACGACCTCGAGCGGTGGGATGTCGGCGGAGAGGATGTGCAGAATCTTGGGAATGGCGTATCGGTTGACGTAGAACGCTCGGGTGTGGTGTGTGAGCCCTCGGTCCCGTGCCGAATCGAGCACCGCTTCGAGCCGTGCGACGAGATTCACGTTGGCGAGTTCGGTGTTGCCGGTGGGGTCGAAAGATAGGCCGATCCACTCGAGCGACTCGCCCTCGGCCTTGACGACGAGCGGACGATCGCCAGCCTCCCAGCGACACCCGATGGGTAGTACGACGGTCTTGTCGGTGTTGAGCCGGCCATTGGTTGCGAGCCTCCAGTCGAGCGCCAGGTCGTCGAGCAAGTTGAGTGACTCCGAGCCCGCGACAGCGACGACGACGTCATCGGCAAACGCAAGGGATGTAATGGCGCGGCTCTGTGGGTAGGGGTGAATGGTAGGAAGCGAGAGGTTCAGCGCGATGCCTCGACGGTGCAGAGCATCCAGGAACGGCTGGAACACGACATCCCAGACCGACGACGACGCCGGGTCCCCTTGGCCGAGCCCACACGTCAGCCGCACCGGCGGAGTCAAGAAGCCGTTGATGATATATCGCGCCGTGGTTGAGTCACCCGAGTAGAGCATCCTCAGAACGCGTTGGAAGGCGGCAGGAGCGCCGAGAGCGTCGAAGATGGCGAAGATCCATTCGTGCTCGACGAGGTCGTAAGCCGACGATTGGTCAAGAGACAAGAGCGCCGCGTCAGGGAACTCGGTGCCGCGCGCGCCCAGCTCTTCGATCAAGAGTCGCCGGTGGAATGACGCGTCCGCCGATCGGCGGCCCTTGACGAAGCCGTGCTGTTGCGGTGGGAGCAGGTCCGGCAGCACGTGGTTGAGTCGCGCAACGTAGACCTTGGTGAAGAGCTTGTAGTCGCACTCGCGCAAGGTGATGGGCCGGTACGACGAGAGCTCGGCGCGATCGGCCCCGATCTTGTGGTGCTTGAAGAGCAGGCGAGCGAGTCCTTGCCCCTGCTTCGGTGAAAGCGAGCCGCGCTCGGTCATCGCGTTGAAGGCCCTGCTCAGCGCCTTGGCCCACGCCCGCGGCGCTGTGTGATAGAGCTCGTAGGGCACGCCAGATGGACCCGGCGATCGACCGGGGTGTGTTGTTGCGATTGCGGCTACGACCTCGTCCTCGGTGATGGGTTGCTGCAGCAGCTCGATGTGCGCTTCCGAGAGTCGTCGCAGAAAGAGCGGGTCCGAGCTCGGGTCATCGCAAGTGCGCGCCGACCTGATCGGCGCCAAGAAATCGTCCCTAAGTCGCTCGACGTGGTCCCGATCGCGCGGCTCGAGATCGTAGAGGCGCTGAAAGTGCGCCTGTGTGTGGTCAAGCGCGACGTCAATGTCATGTGTCAGCTCTCCGTTGGGCAATCGCAGTGCTGTGATCTTGGAATCCG